CCCCAGTTTGCCTCGAGATTCTGGAAACACCTATGCTCATGCCTCAAGATCGAGCCACGCCTGTCGACTGCCTTCCACCCCCAGACCAACGGCCAAACCGAACGGATGAACGCCGTCATGGAACAGCTCCTCCGCGCGTACGTCAGCTACCTCCAGGATGACTGGGTCGACTACCTGTTCTTGGCCGAATTCGCTGGCAACAACCAGGTCTCCGACACGGTGTGAGACTGGAACGAGATTGCGTCGTCGGAGTCTATGGTAGTATCGAGTGTAGAATAAAAGTCAGGGATTTCGATAATTCACAACGGAATAATCTCAAGCGTGTTTCTTCGATGGTTTGTTCGGTGCGATGATTGTAGTTTGGTTCGGTTGCCCGCTCGGTTCGACTTATAGCCGTTCCGATCCTCAGCACGTGATTTCTCTGGAGTGCGGCCTAACGTAGCTGCGTTGCTTCCTTTGCATCGGAGTTCCGCGGCCTAGCCTTGAGTCGTCGTCAGCTCTCTTCGGATAGTCTTCCCGACTAGGCAGGTGGTAAACACCACGCGCCCAAGATAGATCGGAGTTTTCCGAGCAATTATCTCCCTCATGCGCCGGCAGAGTTCTTCGCTCGAAGTTGTCTGCCACCATCGGTCGATGTTCGATTCTCTCGTCATAACAGTTTTTCCCTGGATCGGAGTTCCTACTGCGGGGCCCTATGAACGGAGATCTCAAAGTCCTCTGGACTGTTATCCCGATCTCCCGCATCTCCGATCACTGTCTAGACTCTGGAATCCGTTTGCTCCCTCCTTCCTGTCTTGTCCTCGATCGCTTCTAACTATCCTTTCGGCTCGCAACTCTATTCTAATCACCCGAACTGTAACGGCACGGTCGGGCAAGGCTCCAGGTAGCGAAGTCGGGCTGGGGATCGGGTTCTGGGTTCGGTAGGGGCAAGACGGGTACAGGAGACAAGGTGAGGCAGGGCTCAGTGCAGACGGCAACTGAGAACAGAGGCAGGGACAAGGACTACGGCGCAGACGGCAGCCGAGGCAAGGACAGAGGTAACAGTGGTTGAATTAACAAGTTGTTGCGTGAAGAACTAAATACAGAGGGGCAACGGCCCGTTTATAAAGAAAATCCTCCACTTCTTCCTGCAACCTGACAATGACCGTGGGCGTGTGCCAGACCCTGAGAAATCCACCTTGCCAGTACCCCACTTCCGTGACTCACACCCTGCGCAGCCGCACTACCCCTGCTTCCTGCACACAGCCCCAATATCCTGCGACTCATTACTGCGCTATCCCTGCTCCCTGCACACAGCCCCAAATCCTCTGCGACTCATCCTTGCACTGCCGGTGCACTGCCTCTGCACTGCCCCCCAATTCTCCCGATCCTTGTGCCGACCCTCCCTTCGTCATTCCGTCGTGAGCCGTGACACGGACTATCTAATCACATCTGTTGCGACCGTCGTGACCTCCGATACCTATCGGGGTGTCACACACGGCTACCCTGTCCCCATTCTTCGCTAACCTAGAATACCACCCACGGTGTGACTTTGAGCTGGATATCCCTGTCGACACCAAGGAGGAACATCAAGCTCAGAGTGCAGCGGAACGGTTGCATCAAATCCACGACGTCGCCCGCAGCCAAATGCGGTATGCCCAGGCACAGCAACAGGGCGACTCCGACGGGCACCAAACCCCTGCGCCAGCCTTCCAACCAGGCGACATGGTATGGGTGGATGGTCGGAACTGGCGCACCGAGAGACCCAGTCGCAAGCTGGAAAACAAACATCATGGTCCCTACCGTCTGATTTGGACAATCGGAACCCTCGCCTACGAATTGGACATCCCGGACACCATTCAGAAGCACCGAACATTTCCTATATCCCTCCTTCATTGTCACGGTTCGCGACGGAATGACGAAGGGAGGGTCGGCACAAGGATCGGGAGAGTTGGGGGGCAGTGCAGAGGCAGTGCACCGGCAGTGCAAGGATGAGCCGCAGAGGATTGGGGGCTGTGTGCAGGGAGCAGGAAAGCGCAGTAATCAGTCGCAGGAGATTGGGACTGTATGCAGGAAGCAGGGGTAGTGCGGCTGCGCAGGGTATGAGTCACGGAAGTGGGGTACTGGCAAGGTGGATTTCTCAGGGTCTGGCACACGCCCACGGTCATTGTCAGGTTGCGGGAAGAAGTGGAGGATTTCCTATATAAACGGGCTGTTGCCCCTCTGTATTTAGTTCTTCACGCAACAACTTGTTAATTCAACCACTGTTACCTCTGTCCTTGCCTCGGCTGCCGTCTGCGCCGCAGTCCTTGTCCCTGCCTCTGTTTGTAACGGCACGGTCGGGCAAGGCTCCAGGTAGCGAAGCCGGGCTGGGGATCGGGTTCTGGGTTCGGTAGAGGCAAGACGGGTTCAGGGGACAAGGTGAGGCAGGGCTCAGTGCAGACGGCAACTGAGAACAGAGGCAGGGACAAGGACTACGGTGCAGACGGCAGCCGAGGCAAGGACAGAGGTAACAGTGATTGAATTAACAAGTTGTTGCATGAAGAACTAATTACAGAGGGGCGCTGGCCCGTTTATATAGGAAATCCTCCACCTCTTCCCGCAACCTGACAATGACCGTGGGCGTGTGCCAGACCCTGAGAAATCCTCCTCGCCGATACCCCGCTCCAGTGACTCACAGCCTGCGCTGCCGCGCTACCCCTGTCTCCAACACACAGCCCCAATTCCTCCGACTCATTCCTGCATTGCCGCCTGCACAGCCTTCCGACCCCTATTCCGATTCTTCCTCAAACGTTCCGTTGTGAGCCGTGACACTGTTCTCAGTTGCCGTCTGCACTGAGCCCTGCCTCACCTTGTCCCCTGAACCCGCCTTGCCCCTGCCAAACCCAGAGCCCGATCCCTAGCCTGGCTTCGCTGCCTGGAGCCTTGCCCGACCGTGCCGTTACACTAATCTCATATAGTACTCGTCAGGCGCTTGGCGGTACGGCGATAGCGGTACTGGTTGGTAATCTGCATTACCTATCAGTGCAGCGCAGTAAAATGTCAGCTCGGGGTACCCTTGCTGATTAGATCCCAATAAGGTCTGGGCTGCATGTTTGCGCTCTGCATCTAATCAGGCCGTGAATATGCTAACAGTTAAAATGTACTTGTAATCCCCATTTACGTTTTATTTCAACTGACGGATTGATTTACCGTCCTTTTATTCAGCATTCTAACTATGTACCATGGCGGTTGTTGCTCCACATATCGCAAGTCTCCTCGTTCACTAATATATCGTGTGATATACTCCTTCATGAAATATCACACAATACATTCTACATCATGAAACATCACGCTGTACACCACGCATCTTGAACTGTCACGCTTGTGTAGAGCAATCAGATCACCTTCGGCCGACCAGTAAACTACGTCTGACCCAGAGATTGGTACGCCGAGTGTAATGAGCATACTTTGAGGGTCCCAACGAGTGTCAGGTGGAGAGAAACAGGAGAATACTGACTGCGATACAGCAGTGTTTCGTCCTGCTAGGCTGTAGATTCACCAGATCGACTACGGCCGACCGGTAAATTGCGTCGGACCCGCTGCCGCTCCGCGAGTTTGCAACCGATTGACACGTAACCGCAACCCCATTCATTCCCATGCATAGTAGAATCTTTTTTGTCTTACAAAGTTCTCTATGGGACCACTGTTTGATGGTGCTCCTAGGCTAGGGGGGGATTGAAATCGCTATTTTGGTGGTACTGGGGGGCGCCGCTCAGCGACTTCTCATCGTTTGTTTACCGCATTCCAATACCATCTGTCTCCGCACTCACGGGAATGTTTCACGCCATAAAAAGTTCTCTGTGGGACCGCTCTTTGACGGTGATCTTGGGCTGGGGGTGACTGAAATCGCTGTTCCTCCCAACTGCTAGTTCTTGGACGTGCTGTTCGCTCGCCTCATCACCCGGCGGACTGTGTCATACAGTTTGCTGTCTAGTACACTCTGAAGCCGTGGTTTCCATGGTGCGATGAGAGAGACAAAAGACCAATAATCCGAAGCGATTTCAATGGTAATGATGGCTCCGCCGCGTCCGTACAAGATTGAGTAGCCATCGACCAGAGCACATCAAAGGCTAGTGGAACCGGCCCCGCGTGAAGGCCATCATTCCGCAACTCGAAGTGCTCCAACTTCGCCGGATATACAGTACCAATACTTCCGGTCCTAGGGAGTACAGAAGAGGGTGGGTGTCTGATTGCCATCTTGTTTCTCTCGGGCGTCAAGGAGATGACGGATGCTGAACCCTTCAAGACGCCCATCAACACTATCCGTTGCATGTCGCCGTATGCAAGTGTCTTTCAGTTCTCGTGGACCGTAGATTGCGATCGACCGAGCGCCCAAATACCTTCGACAGGTCATCAGTTCGATTTCGCAGCACTTCGAAAACCAACCGGGCCCGTAGTCATTTCGCCTCTGAGAAGTTCGTGGTCTGGTTGAATTATGGTGGACAGGACGCGAGATTACCTTTGACCTCGTAGGTGCATGCTCTAAATACCGCACGTCTCGTGCCGCAGATCTCCCACTGATGGCTGGCAGTCGTATTCGACCGACTCGTTCCAACCTGTGTCTGGAGGAGCGAGCATTTCGTTGGGTACTAACACTGTATGCAACGATGTGTATTTTTCAAGTTCTATCGGACACGCTCGAAACATGAGTGTCCGGTAACGTGCTACGACTGCCATGTGCCCTCCTTCCACCGCCATATCAAGCTTTCTGTGATCCGCAAACCCGCCGCGTTTCACCGCCGATTCCCCACACGCTCGCTTAGAATAACTGCATCAAGTGGCGAGAGGGTTACTCGCTTAGCATATCGGCCTCAAGTGGCGAGAGGGGTGGTTCCCGGGACTCTGATTCCACACGTACGTAGAGCACCTACGACACCTGTTCCCGGTTCGATGATTTTCTCGGTTGACGTCATATCCCTGCCCCACGTCGTACCCTATTTCGCCCCCCGCGTGCGAGTTCAAATACGGTAGGCCGGCCTGTATTCTAGATGTACCCACTTTATCCTGATCGTTATCTGCAGCAAATGTCAACTTCCACTCCCCCCCGACAGATCGAACGTCTTCCACCCTCCGCCAGAAACATGCCAAAGGATCGTTCGAGAATAAATCACGCTTGCGAATCGTGTCGGCGACGGAAGACGAGGGCATGTTGCTCAAGCCTCATGGCGGCGATCGAGCTTGCTGACAATTCTAACTCTCCCATAGTGCGACGGCGAAAGGTTCCTTTCTCTCCCATACGACGCTGGCTGAAACCACTGCGATGCCTGTTCAACTGACCTTGCTCCTCGCGATCCCCAGGCCGACTTGCGGGAATTGCACTAGGTTTCTCATAATCTGCCGATATGCCGATGGAAAGCGGGAATCGGCGAGAAAGTCTGCAGCAGGTCGATCCTCATCACAAATCGAAGCACTCTTTAACATATTGGCAACAGAAGGACGCGGGAATTGGAAGCGCAGGTTCAGATTTACGAGAACCTTCTGCGGGAGCTCGAAAGCACTCTCGACGGACCGGAAAAACTCGCAGTGCAGAATGCGCTCGCAGCGGTAATCATCCGTGAAGCCCTTGTGATGTGCTGGTGTGGTGTTGTAGCTGATACGTGTAGGAAGGGGCCGTTTACACTTGTGCCGCCATCGGAACCCACGGATTTCCCAAGCGACGACGGCAGCGATCTCTCCATGTCGGACGATGAGGGCTCCATTGGCTCCAATGACACTCTTGCCGACGATATCAACACGCTCTCCGTCAACAAGCCGACTGGGTACATGGGTCGCGGATCGGAGGTCTCGTGGCTAAGGTCGCTACGACAAGCACTCGAGCTGGACGAGGCTGCGGAGGATGAGGCGCTTCGTGAGATTTGCGCGAGGAAAGGTGATCCCGGTAGTTTGACCGATGCCGGGCTGGACATGGTTGGTTCGTTCTCTGGAGGTCTGTATCCAGTGCGTATCCGAGGGAAGTACTTACGGATGGATTCCGGCCAGGAGCTACCTATCACCTCGACGATATCGATCTATCTCTAAGCGGGGATAAATATCAGATCGACACCTATCATATCCCTCCCAAAAACATCGCCGACGAGCTCGTTAGGCGGTACTTTGACACTGTCCACCCATTAGTTCCCATCATCTCGAAACCGGAATTCGAGGCAGCGTACGAAGCACTCCATGCTAGCGGTCCCACCAGGATCGCCAACCACTGGTTGATGATCATCAACCTCGTTTTCGCCTCTGGCTCGCGCTCGGGCGAGAGTGTTGGAATAGACATGGGCTGTTCCCATCTCGAATGCTTCAACAGAGCTCGGGTCCTTGGGGCATTGGACGGCGGCACGTTATTCGAAATTGCCGTGCTAAAGGACGTACAGGCGTTGGGCCTCGCCGGGATATATCTCCTTGGTAGCAAGCAAACGAATCGGTTGGTGTAATCCCATTCTGGTAGTTCGATTACGTATACGGCGGTCACTGAGAAGAGTACGCACCAGCGCGTGGAATGCCGTAGGACTTGCCATCAGGCTAGCACTTGGGTTAGGCCTACACCTCCGCATGTTGGATTCGAAACTCGACGAGCATCAGCGGCAGATGCGAGTGCGCGTGTGGTATTCGGTGGAATACCTCGAGGCAACCTTGTCTCTCGTGACCGGACGTCCGACGGTTCTACAAGAGGTGGATCTGAGCCAGATTCCCCGCTCCGCATCGATCGCGGATAGCTCTCCGGACGCCTACTACAGCGCTCTGATAAAACTATCCGTGATAATAACGGTCGTGCAGAGTCAAATATACTCGACAACGGCCTTCGGGACTGTGGAGAATAAAGGAAAGAGGGCATTGAAGGAGGCTATCCGTGTTCTGCGCCGGAGACTCGACCATTGGAAGTGGGAATTGCCACCGATCCTGAACTTCTCAACACCCTGTGAGGATCAGGGCCTAATTACACAGGTTGGTGCTCTTCATCTATTCGCCCTTTCAGTAGCTCTCTAACAGGCTGTCCAGAGAGCGGACCTTGCACTCCGCTACTACAATTCGATGATTCTTGTTTACTTCAACAGTATGTCTCGGCGGTATTCCAAACGAGACGCTGCCGAATGTGTAGCTGCCGCTCGCGCGATGCTGTCTCTTATCCTCCACCACACCGACAACAAGACGGCCGGTGTACTACCCTGGTGGTGTCTCTTGCATTATCTAGTGTGCGCTGAAGCTGTACTCTTGCATGAGATCGTGCGGAACAACGATCTCGACTTTTGCCAACAGCTAGTCGAAGAGGCACGTCGGCCATTGGAGTGGTTAAATGTCGTTGGCAGTGTTGACCTGGCAGCACAGCGGGTCGACACACAGTTGGGAAGATTGTTAGGACATGTTGAAGCTAAGCTGGAGTCGAAGCGCGGGTTGCAGGCGGCAGGTTTGGTCGGGCAACAGCAGTGGCCATCGTTTCCGATCCCGCCACAGGGCATGTAGGATACGGGTTTCTTGCATTCATGGCGTTGGACTGTTAATTTTATGTAATACCATCAGATCCCTTTGATTTTTTCCACGGAGTCGAGCTACGGCACGGGGGGGGGGGGGGGGGGGGGGGGGTTAGAGAGACAGGTGGGTGGAGGCAACTTGTGTATAGGTTATGATGTCGGGCTGATGTCAAATGGTATGGTGAGGCGACTGTGCGGCCGAGTATGAGATCCCTCGCCGCCGCCGCCGCGCCACCTATGCCCGCACCACAAGCCAGCCTTCTTCAGCCGGCTGAATGGCGGATATTTGCTACATAGTAACCAAATTCGGACTACCTACCCCCTGTGTCCGCCACTCCCCCCACGTTACAGTGAAATATTTTTGACGATCAGGTATTGTCCCGCTTTGACATCAAAATCATCACCAACGCTGCACATCACGACCAATCTTTGCTCGCCACACCGAAACAATGAGCGTTCCTTTATCCACCGCGCCTCCTCTCACGTCGAAGACTCCCCCTCGGGAGCCGACACCGCCTTCTATTGAGGTCACCCCCACTATGCCATGCATCTTCGCGGCACCTGTACAAGACGCTACCGGAGACGCTTCGTGGCGACAGATCTCCACGCCCACAGCGCCATCACTTCTCCCATCTACACCGATCTCGATAATCACATGGAACATCGATACCTTCGCGTACCACTCGGGCGCTCGGATGGAAGCGATCCTGGGCCATATCTCCTTCACCTTGCCTTCGCCGCCGTCGCATACAATCGTTCTTTTCCAGGAGGTGGATTGGGAGTCCCATGTGGTGCTGTTTCGGAACGAGTGGATCAGGGAAAACTTCCAGATTTCGCACCTGGAAAGTCCGGAATCGGTACGGTACTTTACCGTTTCTCTGGCGACGCGCGATGTACCCGTCATCGCGGTGAGGAGAGTGCCTTATGAGCGCACGCAGATGGGAAGAGATGTGCTGTTCCTTGACGTAGCTCTGCAGGGCGACCCCAGTATCCTGAGAGTGGGGAATACGCATCTGGAGTCGCTACCGCATCCAGGGGTTAGGTTTCGCCCCGTGCAGCTTGCCATGGCGGCAGAGATGATGAAAGAGGGAGACATTCGGGCAGGTGTAATCGCGGGCGATATGAACGCGATTTGTCCAGAGGACGACGATTTCCCGAAAAGCTGTGGCTTGGGAGATGTGTGGGAATTACAGAAGGGGACTGAGGAGACGGAGGGCTATACTTGGGGGTATCAGCCGCCCTGTAGGTTTTCACCAGGAAGATTGGATAAGGTCCTGTTCCGTGGAGATTTTGCGTTCGATGAGGTGGAGGAAGGGCGGCTCTTGAGGCGTATCGGCGTGGGCTTAAGGTTCGAGGAGCCGACGGGCGAGGTCAGCGACGGGAGTAAGAGTGACGACGATGACGGTGGCGATGACGATGACACGACCGAATGGGCAAGCGATCACTATGGGCTTTGGGTTAAGGTCCGTTTGAGCAGGAAGGGTAGTGGAGATATGCGCGGTCGGGATTAGTTGCCAGTCACCCCGCCTAGTTCACAGCGGCAGAAGCCGTCCAACATTTTTCTACATGAAATCGTGCCGTCACGGACTTAAGCTGTCATAGAAAAACAATACAGAATCCGAGATGGAATATTTCATCGCAGGCAATCATTATTTTCCCCGAACTGTGTGCGCCTATCCGCCCCACCCACATACAGGAACACGAAAGGAAACAAATTTCAAGGTACAACCGAAATCCAACTATCCCCCTACGCCATCATTACCCTGAACGCACTTACAATTCCTTCTTCGCCTGCTGCCTCGTGGCAGGAGCATCACCCAGCTCGTTTCCGGTGCGGTCCTCTCCAGGCGGAGTCAAACCCTTCCGTTCCAGCTCCACAGCCCACAAGGCGGCGCCGACAGTGTTGGTGTAAAGGAAGAGGATGCTAGCGCCAGGCACAAGCTGCAGGAGGGTTGCGACAGTTCCAAAGCCCAAGTATTTGGGCTTGTTGCGTTCGATAAACGTATTCTTCTGCGATTGGGTGTAGCTCTTGAGTTGAAAGTATCGGGAGTGGTAAGTGGGTCCCTGAGCTCTACCTACTCCGTTGTCAGTATTTGCGAGTCATCATCTTTACCGATGAATTTTAACTTACCTTGGGCAAGCAGGAAGATGACAGTTCCGACCACAGGCACAAAGTTAAGCGGCAGGTATAGGAAGTACTTAATGATAGCCTGCGGCGAAAACTTGGCGAACGGGCGCTTCAACAGTTTCCCAAGGCCTCCACCGGACGACTTGAGCTCGCGGCCGTTCTTGACGAGAGAAGTCTGGTTCTCGGACATGAGGACCAAATCAAACGTATCGATCAAAGCATCGTCGATCAAGAAGCTCTTGCTCAATGCGGTGATGATGGCCGCGCTCTCCGAGAGAACGAGCGCGATAGTCGAGATCCAAGCCAGCGGGCCATTGACGAATTGGAGGATAAAGGACTGGGGGATGTAGCTGTGTTCGTTTAGTGGGAGCACTTCCTAGGAGTAAATCTGAGGCGAGAGAGTGAGGAGTGGACGTACGTGAACAAGAACATGGGCACCACAACGCCAGCACTGAGGGTCAACAAGGGCAGGAGTCGCGAAGTCAATGGCTTCCATAGCTGGCGGTGCGTGAAGAAGTAGAGAATTCCCTTGATAGGGTAGAGGTAGGTGCCGGATTCGATAGCTTGTTTGCCGAGGGAAGTGACGCCGGCAGCTTCCGTCTTGACGGTGTCTCGGACAGTGTCTTTGAGCGACGACATGTTGAGTCTTGTTAGAGATGGCTATGATAGGTTGAGGTGGCGGTGGTAACGGGGACAGCGATGTTGTTACAGGACGGAGAAATGAAGGAGAAGAGGAAAGTAGATCGGTTTTGTGCGTTGCGCTGGTTCGGTCATTTTCATTGTTTTCCTTGCGACAGAGGAGGGCGATGTCATACGTCATATTTTGGTCATCGCTCGTGAAAGCCGGGAGTGGCTAGAGTTACGCAAGCGACTGTGGCCAGTGCACGGTGGCTTGCCGGGATGCCCTAACTAGGTAGTGGCGTCATGCTTCGGATATCACTCGGAAATAGTGTCACTAGCTGAAAATCACGGGAATCTTCCCTCAAAAACACATGATATTCCTTCGGAAGATTATTAGAAGCATTCAGGCTCTCCAAAAAGTGCACATAAGCTTATTTAAGTATGCACGTATTACCGCATGGTTTCTGGGTGTCCATGATGTGGCCTCACTTACGCTTTTGTCGAAGGCTAGCCTTTATACGACTCCACAGAACAGGTATCTTGCCATTTGCTTGTAGACATGACTCTGGGCCCTTTTATCCACATCTTTGTCGACATTCGACTTGTCCTGATTTTTATACAATTATTTTCCCTACTCATGATTCACTCAATGCCATGCCGAGAAACGCACGCAAGTCCGACCTGCATCAAACCTCCACCACCTTCCAGACAGCAAGTGCCATATATGCAATCACCGCCCTTCAGCCAATATTAGAACCCCAGAAAGTACAGTACTTGCCCGGTTTGGGGATGATGATGCCGCTTGACACTCCCACGCACCCCAATCCCCTGTCGGGAGGTCCTCTCATCCGTTGGCTCCGGATTCAGTTAGCTCATACAAACTCTCCGATGCAGAATCGCGAGGAACTCCCCGAGAGACGACTCACCAAGATATAAGAACCCCGCTGGTGCTCTTGCCGGGTCACGAACCAGTTGACAATTAGGTTCTCATTGAAGTACCTATCCGGGGTTATTGTTTTCCCCTGGAGCATACTCTCACTCCTTACAGCTCAAGGTAGCCCCGGTGTTTAATACTAAGATACTGACACATGTCACAGCTCACTTTTCTGGGCTGCTTGACCGCCTGTTACGATAGTAGCCATAGCAGAGGTTACCGTGGTTTTGAGAAAGGACTAAGGTACCTAGGTACTGACATTCCCAGAGTTCGATATACCTAGTTGAGTTCAGTCCGTCCGGATCCATGAATGAGACTGGACTACATTCATCACGTCCGTCCGGAGGTGTGTGCTGGACGGATTAATCTCCGGTAAAGTTGGGCAGGTGGGACTGCAGTCGGCTGCAGTCGACTCTCAAGAATGCTACATAGTACCGCGGAAAAGAAATCATAAGGCGACATTTGTATGAATACAAGAGGGAGAGCTCCTCCACGTTGCAGACCTACTTTGGGCTGTCGAAAACTATTCTAAATCCTTCTCACATAGAGCGTACATCATCTCTTTTCAATAACTCAGTCACCGAAAGGCAGATCGTGCTGAAAACAGCCTATCATGTGAATGATCTGATTCTGCTGACCGAGAGCCAGACGCTTGTGGTCCCATGGATTTAATGGTTGTCAATCTGGCACCAGACCCTCGCAGGGCTGACGATCTTTTCCAACGTTGGGGCGAGCCGCATTGTATCCCCCGGTAAGAAATCATCCTCGGTCCCTCCACAGTGTCTTATGACGTTTTTCTGCGTTGACGTGTAGGCTGAAGTTCACACAATAGCTGGAAGAGGTTCACTGCCATCTTTCGTGGGCTAAGTTCTGAAAAGATTGGAACTGTTTTTTTTTTTCTTTTCCCACTAACGGACTACTACAATGTGGCGGCTGGAAAAGATTGGAACTGTTTTTTTTTTCTTTTCCCACTAACGGACTACTACAATGTGGCGGCTGACGGCACGGACCAATTTTATCCCGTCCCCCATAAGGAACAGACCGGACCCGAATGATCCTGTCCAGTCCGTTCGGACTATATAGAACACTGGATATTCTAACAGTTGGGATTATCAGCCTTCTCGTGGGCCGTTTTACCGTTCTTCGTCCAACGTCGGTTTGCAAATTTTCATGGTTCATATCGAACGTGACTGAGTGATGGCAGCTGATGTCACATGTGAGTTGATGCGGCGGTTTCGTTTGCCAACGAACGTACAATTAATAACGACGGCACCGTGACGCGTTACATTGCGACACAGACCCGCTTGATTGCCCATAATCTCATCTGAGTGAGAAACAGTGAAGCCAGTGCACGTAGCATGAGGCGCACGCCCAGTTACGCGAACCGCGGCTTACATTAATTGCATCTCAGAACGTTTAACCGCTAAACACAACGATCTGGATACCATATGAACTTTCAGATACATAGAAATTTATCTGTTTATTACAGGGTCCTTGTGTAGGACATATCCCTCGGCGGGATCCATAATTTTCCTTCAATGATCGCGCAGGCGGATCTGTTTTCAATGCCTTAATTCTGCAGCGCAGCAAGGAAAGATCTCCAATATTAGCCAGACAGGCGGCCTTCCCCGTGCTCAAGGAGGTATTTCCGAAGCGATGTACATAAGTATTTTCGAAGAAGTCAACCTCGGCTGCGCTACGATTAGTGCGGGAGACTACTCAGTAGTTGAGCTAGAGTAGAGTGCGGAATCGCTACCCTCCCGGAACCGCCGAAGGAGGAAGTGGTCCCGTCTGCACGGTATGGAATCCACCTGATACATGCTCACTAATAGTAGACCGTATTCGTGTACATACTCGGGCGGCCGAAAAGTCTATGATCCCCCTCGCTACAATCCGTGGCTCCACCACTGTTCTATTGATCGATAAGCGGCTGGGCCACAGATCGCAGAGAGGCCCGAGGGGGGGCTTACCGAGTTTTTGGCCGGGCCCGACTCAGTAGAGCAGCGCCGAGCTTGACCCGCGGTTGCCCTCCATGCCGATGAATTTGCTCCCGAGATGGGGAACAGATGTTCGAGCTTAGCGACGTGCATCACGATTCCAGCAGAGCACGTAAGGTTTGTGGGAATACATCAGGGCGGGAACAGTGAATAGGCTCGTGTCATCCGGAGAAGCCCTGGCTTAGGCGCGAGTGCATTAGAACGACCGAGCAGGACCACCATAACCATCGGCTGTGATTGAACCCCGCATCGCCACCGGCGATTTCTGAACTGCATATGTAGATGCTATTACATGTAAAAAGATCCCCTCAAGACCAAGACGTGGTTGCAGGGTTTCTCGGCGCCGGAATACCCTCGTAATCTACGGGTTATGCGCTTATGTACCCCGCAATGCATCGTTATGTAGGATGGATGCATATCTATTTCGGCACGCAAATTTACCTTCCAGTTTAACCGTTTGTTCCTAGAGTTGAAAAGGCTTGTCGATTCTAAGTAGATGCTGGCGAGTTTTCCGAGTCGCAGGGCGTATGCTGTGTACTTTTGACTTGAAAAGTTCCTACTGTTGAGACGAAACCCCCCAAGACTCGGTTTGCGAGTGTAGTCAGTGAAAATAATCCATTGCCATCGGAGGCGGAGATAGATGCCTCTTCTGGTTGAGCGCTTACATCGCTTGTCAACCGATATGTCGCACGATCCGGTACCAGTGCCAATGGTTGCCGCGCCAAGAGTCACTGTTGTGTTGTTACATTCACAGCTCTGCGATAGATTACTCCGAGATCCTATCGACGGACCAGATTGGATCACACGCCTATAACGAGAAAAAAGAGACTACGTTTCGAGTTGGGTGGCCCTACCGGCGGCTTCCAGTACAGACGCAGGATACCCTGGTATCCATGTACCCCACCACATACGTTCCACAGTATTGGCAAGAACTTTGAAAGCAGCCCTCGGAATTGCTCTGGAAGCCCACCTAGGTTGTGGTCCTTCTCTTATCGCATCTACTAGTAGTAGGTATTCTGCCAGTTAGAGCGACATCACACGGGATGTGGGGCAAGAAGGAAATGGAGGACGAGGATATAAAGGTGTGGTTTGCGTCCCATTTTCTTCCAGACCTACATCAGCATCGGCATCCGCAACACTTTCATTCGTCACTCACGACTCTCGCATTCCTTCAAACTCTTGTCCATTCGTCCTGATCCACCATGAAGTTCCTCGTCAGCCTTGTCAGCATTGCCTTCGTGGCCACCTCTCTTGCAGCTCCCACCAAGCTGGAGGCCCGACAGCTAAGCAGCTCACGCAACGATGTTAAGAACAAGAAGTGTGCAGCAGTGACGGTCATCTATGCCCGTGGAACCACAGAGGCTGGTAAAGTCACCCTAGTGAACGGCGAAGTTCCAAGTGAGGGCAAAGTAGCTAATGCTAAGGTGATGAAGGAAACGTCGGAAGCATCGCCGGACCACCTTTCTTCACCGCGTTGGATAAAGCCGTCGGAACCACGGCTGTGCAGGGCGTCGACTACCCCGCTGATGTGAGTGGAGGCCTCCTCTTTACCACCCCCCCTCAATCGTGCTGTATTTGCTGATGGAATCTCCAGGTTGCCGGTTTCTTGGCTGGCGGCAGCAGCGACGGCGCAAAGAACATGGCTCAGTACGCTCAAACCGCCATCACAAACTGCCCGGACACCAAACTCGTCCTGTCGGGCTACAGTCAGGGCGCCCAAGTCACACGCAAGGCAGCCGCTCAACTTGGAACCGCTGAGGCCAAGGTAGTTGCGATCGTACTCTTCGGCGACCCAAACAACGGGGACTCCTGGGGCGATCTGCAGTCCAAGACGAAGACCTTCTGCGCGACCGGTGATCTTATCTGCGCTGGACAGAGTATCATCCTGGCCGCACATCTCGGTTACGGTAGCGATGCCACTGCGGCTGCGAGCTTTGTCAAGAGCCAGATCGGTTAGGTACACGAGTGATCGAGGGACGTGGGGGATCGATCAGAGGAAGGTGGAATGGTCGGGGGTGGGGACGGGGGAGGGGCAACAAAGATGCAATGGGAGCCAGAGTGCTGAATGTGTGGAAAGATTCTCTGGGTTTGTAGGGTGCTGGAACGCCTATACCGAAGAAAATATACGCTGTGCACAGCATTATCTACGGAGGAGGGCCTCTCGCGTGATTTTCGGTGCAACATAAGTCTCACCTGCAGAAGTTCACCCGTGACTACGATCTAGTTTCTAGGTCTCTCATCATTCACTGCAGCACTCAATGATGGACATGTTTGTGTACGCTTCAACCGCACTGCCGTGCCTCCTTTGTTCCCTGGGTTCCATCGGGTGACAGATGTCCCCCGGTTCGTCGGTGCCATGAATTCGTGCCACAATGTCTTCACCCAAACATTTTGATAGTCCGAGCGCCTGCAGAGTACTAGTCTACAATTGAGTTTCGCTCGGAAGTTTTATGAAACAGGAGGGTAGGCGAGGGTGGGGATTCCCGATCATCCTAATCCCTGAATTTGGCAGCTACATAATCTCGTCGCAGTCTTATGTATGTAGAGTACCTTGGCTTTATATACCCCCTGCTCATCGATGTTCGGGACTGACTCACAACCCCCGGCAATGGCCTCGGGAGGAACCTGAAACAATTCTTTCGGGCCGATCGCCTTCGCCGTTCTCTGGCCACCACACGGTGAAACGTACTAGGTAGTAAACTTCGCGCGAAATCTCACCGGGATCACGAGGCTTGATAAGCGGACCTCTACATCATCAGTATGAATCTACGTGTCTTACCGGCGGCAAAGAAGTTTCCACCATGAGGTGGCCGGGAGAGGAGCCGACCTGGGAGGTCGCAGGAGAAAGGATGTGAAAGCCAGGGAATCATGCGGAGCAAGGCAAGAGAAAAACGGCCATGGGAAGTACAAAATATGGACAATGGAAAGGAGGACTACTTCTGGCACAGGGGTTTGTGGGGCTGGGGCATCGCGACTCCATTATGAAACGACGTTGGATGTCGCAGGATACGGGCAGCGGACATCATGGGGTCTGGATGGAAAGAGGTCTAGGAGATGCGGACTCTGTGAGGGGTTCGAGGTAAAATCGAGATCCACAGGGCTATTATACTAAAGCCTCGAGGGCCTGGCCACTTGCTGCAAAGCGGGACCAGGGCTGATCGCTTTCCCGCGTTCCGAGTTTCCGTCATATTGCGAAACCAAGATAAGTAGAGTATCCCTCTACGCGCAACGTTCTTATAGGCTCTATATATATGCAGCTACGAGAAAGATTGCACCTTAATCCTCTTCCCCTACTTTATGGGCAACAAATACGTTTATACGTCAACTCCCCCCTCTCCCCGTAATTTATTGGCAACAAATGTGTTCGTACTTAGACCGCCTCCCCTTTCCATAATTTCTTATTTACGAATACGGCCGTATTTCAACTCCAAAATCTGAACACGTATATTGCGAACTGTGCATATCTCCTAATAGGACAGTTTCCTTGGTACGGAATTCCGGAAACTTGGTTTACATGCCATCGACAACATCCTGCTTGCCTCCGCTCAAAATTTCCGAAATACACCTGCAGCTCTACTACTGTCTCGCGGATACTAACATGCGGTAAATCTCAAGCGTTGGGACGATGGCTTACCGCCACGCTTGGATGTTGATCCTCGGTCAATGGCGCAGCGTTTCACGAGACCATGAAGCACACAAACGCTCACCTATTCTCAAAAGCTTTCTCTCCAATGCTTACCTATCTTAAAGGGAGGAGTCTATTCAACTACTACAGGTACCCGCATCCACCTGCCGTATAAACTGGCAGAGGTCAACGCCCGGTAATGCTTAGTGTCACATCTCCAGGTCGTCCCGATTGTATACGCATGGAGCTGCAGAATTACCATGTTTTCCGAATCTCTGGGCCGCTGTTTTTGAAGGCTTCCTGGGTGAAGCGCGGCACCCGTATTCTTCGGCGCTATGTAGGCATAGAGACAAGCATCCGCATACTTCAGAGCAGAATGGAGGTTGCTTTGACCGGGCACAATGTAAGCTAAGGCGTAAGAAGCTCGCTCGTCCGGACACACCGTTGCTACCTCGGTCGATGTCGAATGGATACAGTTGACTACCTTGGTCGCCGTGGATCACGCAGACTGACCAAACTACCGGTAGATATTCTATTTGGCTGCCCACCGCCAGTGGTGGCCGGTGGTCGCGGGGCAGAGCAGATGCCAAGTCTACCGCCTGCGATTTGGGATGAGAATCACCTTCACGCTGGGGCTGGAGCTAGAGCTTCGCTACGACTCCATACTGCATGCCTTTCAGATTGCTGTTTGGTTGGGCTTGGCCGATCTGCGAAACCAAGAGGCAGGTGATGATTTTCAGTGTTTTCATCTCACCGTTTACCCATATGGCTAGCGGCTGGCAACTCACAGACAGAATTGCCCCTGTCACGGCTTTCAGCCGGCCCGGATCCAACTCGGCGGCCTCCCGGACTTGGCGCACGGTTGAGGTTGGCCCCACGGCAATGGAATATATGACGGCCATTCCTTTCGTCTCGAACCATCCGGCTCTCACGTGTCGCCGTGGCATCACTTGGGTTTCCCGACGGCCACCAGACAAGGCCATCCGTGGACAGAGTAACTCAGGATACGTAGAGAGTTGCCTAGGTATAGTATGGTTGGACCGCTCGCTTGTTTAGAGTACGTTTGTTCATCCACCCCACTATCGATGCATCCACCCCATTATCGATGCATCCCCCGCAACTGAGTCGCGCACCTTAGAATTCCCCACACAATCTCCGCCTCCTTCTCTTAAGTACATGTGTATCTTCTATTACTTAATTAGCCAAGAGCAACCCTGTGGCCGTCGAATCGAAAGATCTAGTGTCGGTCAACTGTAGAAGGTCCGAATGTCGCCGCCGCTTCACTTGTTGCTATGAAACCGGCGGGAGTAAATGGGTATTGGCTTTGCTAACCTTGCTTCAGTGACCATCAAGTGAAGCCGACAGGCAGGAGACTTTGGTGCATTCCATGCGCCGAGAACATCATTCGGCGCAATGAATTCCGTGAATCCGGGACGACAGCCTCGAACAGCTTGGCCCACTATGCGCTGTCAGCGGATTTTTAATATTATTAATTTTCCTCATATGCTTGATACTCCGAATAGTCGATCTTATGCCGCCGCATTATTGGATAAATGTCCTCCCCCGGCCAAATCACGACTAAAGGGACTTCAGGGTTTCTTAATTATTGAGGCACTTGGTCTGCTGGAACCTTCCCCCCCCCCCCCCCCCCCCCCCCCGCCGCCGCCTCTCCTATAATCCATATTCCATTCTTCGCCTAGGTGCCCCCCCCGCTCCTCATACGAAAGCCAGAGATATCAGTGGATACTGAGATAGGATTAAAACTGCCTCGGTATTCGGTATCTCGGACTCTTATCGAAAGACGATGAAGTGAAATGAATGACACGAACGCACGATGAGGACAAAAACGAAAAAGAATAATCCGAGTATAAGAACACCCTACGTACTCCCCAGTGTTGTTGAAGCTCCACAAGCAGCAGCACAGCCTACTACCTGGAGTTCCAAGTGTCATATCAGCCTGCCATTCATTCATTTTCTATCCATCGATTGCCTGGTAGCAATAAACATTCATTCACTCCCTAAAAACTTCCAACAAATATGCACTTCCTCGCCACCCTCGGTCTTATCTTCGCGGCAACCACCGCGCTCGCCGCCCCTGCCGGGGAGCTCGAAGCCCGGCAATCACTGAGCAGCTCGCGCAACGACGTCAAGAGCCGCAAGTGTGCGCCCGTCACTGTCATCTTCGCCCGTGGCACCACCGAACTAGGTTCGTCTTCATCTCCTTTCCCCGGGGGCAACTTTGAACTAAGCCGGTGACTAGGCAACGTTGGATCTATTGCTGGTCCCCCGTTCTTTACCGCCATCGATAAGGCTGTTGGCAGTATCGCCGTCCAGGGGGTCGACTATCCCGCCGATGTGAGTTTCCCCTTTTGGGGGTCGCTTCCTTATGGGAGAAGCTTCTAATACGGGACATCACGATCCAGGTCGTCGGTTTCTTGGCTGGCGGCAGCAGCGACGGCGCAAAGAACATGGCTCAGTATGCTCAAACCGCCATCACAAACTGCCCAGACACCAAGCTTGTCATGTCCGGCTACAGGTTAGAACTCCATCCATCCATCCCAAGCTGGGCGCATCCAGATCAGTCGCTAATTCGTTCCCGGGAACGACAGTCAAGGGGCCCAAGTCGCCCGCAAGGCCGTCAACCAGCTGGGCGCTGCGCAGAGTAGTATTGGGGCCATTGTACTCTTCGGTGACCCAAACAACGGTGACTCCTGGGGTGCGCTCCAGGCCAAGACCAAGACGTTCTGCAACGTCGGGGATCTTATCTGTGCCGGAACCAGCGTGATCCTGCCGGCTCACTTGACTTACGGCTCGGATGCTACCGCCGCTGCCAATTTCGTGAAGCAGATGGTTGGTGCTTGAGAAAAAAAAGGGAGAGGGATTGGAATAGCTAGACACGGGGAAGGCCAGGTGCGTCGTCATAATATGTCACTCGATGGAATGGGAGACAAGAGGCACGTGTCAAGTGACAGCGGAGGGGAAGAGGAACTTTCATTCGTATTACTGTATTTTATAGCTATATATCGAGAAAACTTCTGGCCAGACACTGGTTACCAAAGTCGAGTGATCTAGTACGCCTAAAGCAATTCTTGGTTTTTGATGTTGTTCCATGGAATTGACTCTGGAACGAAGCTTTTTTTTCACACCGAACGATATTTTCGTTTCACTTTCGTACAGGCCCATCGCACTATCACTATAATCATTGCGGCAACATCCGTACTCTGAAACAAGATTGATTACATGATGGATTCTGTAGATCGGTCCGCAAGGGTCTGAGAGACCGGAAGCTCTTAGAAGCAATGGACCGGAGTAGAGTACATATGATGGGACGATATACCAACTTACAGCTATATTTAGAGAAATCGTATCCTCCAGGCCCAGGCCCCTCCCTTTCGGTGGTCGGAGGTTATTTTAGAAATGCGATATTATTCTCGGAGTTTTGACATCGCAGCTTTTTCGACTCAAATATCCAATGACCATTTCCAACATGAATTTATTCATGCATAAATCATCACCTATATATCATACACGAATTACCCCCGTACCCCGCCAACAGGGTTTTCGCATAGTACTGGAAGGAGTTGGCGACTAGTACTGGAGGCTTCGACTTATCGGTGCCATTTTTACAAGGGGTTTTTTGCCAATACCTCTCCAGGCCGACAAGCGGGACGAGCAAAGGATAACACACCCTGGAGAGAAAGGAGATAAAGGTTGACCGTCCATTCGATAGGTGATGAAGAAAGGGACGAAGAAGCTTCCCGGGTCCCAGCTTAAGTTGGCTCCCTCCCCGCTAGCTAACCTAACCACATCCGTTTCCTCTGCTAGCCCACCGCACTTCGCCACATCGTCACATTGCCACACTGCCACAACATCGTAGATGGTCGGAGCATGTATCCTTGTTGTCCAAATAGTTCTCCTTGCCATGGCATGTACCAGGTATTCGTCCGTATCTCGGTGATAGCTGTCAACTTAGAGGCGCGGGATGGTACCTAGGTAAGTATTAAGCACGTCGGAATTCAGCGCAGCAAAGTCATCGACCGAAAAATGACGATCATTATGGATGGTCCGTTAATGACGGTAGCCAGCTGTGGCTCGGGCGGACGACTGAGAGTCATATGCAGTTGGCGTATTGCGAGGATGGTATAGTGCATGAGGAGACCATATTCACAATGATCACCGATGTGGGTTTCATACGTTATGTAAATAGCTGGCTCTTTGCATAGGTACTTATGTATTATGATGTATGTAGGTATGTATGTAAGTACTTAATGTAGTTACATAGGCAAATTGTTTGTCCCAAATAAAACCTATCAACAGCCCTGGGCCTGTTGTATGCTAAATCCCTTTCTCCCCCCATCTCCTCCCGCAAATATGTATTACTGAGTCCCTCTCGCATCCCCCATTTTCCTCCTGCATCCTAGCTCTCATCCGCCAACCTTTGCTTCCAAGAGAACTACTACACCATCTGCAGCACAACATCATCGACTATCATATCCCTTGTCACTGCAGTAGGGCCCGAAAACTGAATCCCAAAGAGGGCCGCGCCACTCCCCGCCAAAGGTGCTGTCCAGGTCCCAGTGACCTCAGTCCAGGCCATCACCGGAGCGGTTGTCCTGGCTACCAAATTCCCATTGATGACGAAAGTCGCGATCATTTGAGAGGTGGCGCTTAGTTGGCGCGTCCACGCACTGAAGCGGTATGTGGCACCGGGACACACGGCGATCGCTTGACGGATCATATGGACACCGTTGATTGACGCGGGTAGAGAAGACCAGAGCACGAGGATGCCGCTGCGGGCATTTGAGTCGGACGCCCGTCGCAACGTACCACCGGCAGTACTAGTCGAGAAGTCCCAGTACTCTGCTAGTTTATCGAAGCCGGGGTCTCTCAGTGGAGATGTGTTAGTGCATTGGGCCGCGGATTCGGAGGTGGTAGTAACGGTGGTGGTTTCCGTGGCAGTCGTGGTGAACGAGGAGACGGATGTTTCAGTTGCCGTCAACGCCGTAGTCTCGGTGGCTGTGTCGGTGACCGTGGCCGTGTCGGTGATCGTGGCGGTGTCGGTAACCGTAGCGGATTCCGTGATGGTGGAAGCAGACTGGGTTACCGTAATGGACTCGGTGTCGGTAACCGTAGCGGATTCCGTGATGGTAGAAGCAGACTGGGTCACTGTAACCGACTCGGTGGCGGTTGCGGTGACCGAGATGGATTCGGTTTCGGTCGCGGTCAGATGCTCCGTGCGGGTGATCTGCTGTGTCTGCGTCACCTCCACCGTCGTCGCCGGTTTCACTACCGTGCTGGTGTGGGTGACTGTGATTGCGCCTCCTGTTACCGTCCTCGTTGTCGGAACTGTAACCGTGACGGTACGGCCCGGGCCTTGGCCGTAGCGAGTGACGGTAGTAGTGGCATATCGGGTGTTCACCACCGTCTTTGCTGGCGCATGCCTCGTGACAGTGACGGTACGGTAGCTGATACGAGGATTGTCGTGGTTCGGTCGGGGGGATGCGAGTGCTGTCGTTGCGAGCAGCGACAGCAGAAGTGCTGGTAGGAGGGCGGAGAAGTGATGCATCTTCGAATCCCTTGGATAGGCTGAGAATGAACTAGGTATATCTTCTGTAACCCAAGACCTGACAACTCTGAAGGAGGAGGAGGTGGTGGAGAACGAATCGATGTGCCTTGAGTGATGAAGAAAGTTCCATATCCAAGGCCGCAGTGCTGAATATATAATACTCGTTGTAACCACAAACTCAGATCGGTGCTTTGAGCCCCTCAATGATGATCTCACCATATGGACGCGGTACTTTTACGCCTTGCCGCGTTATGGAATAGCCCTATGGCAGCGAACCGAACTGCCTCCATGGATTTTGTGGCAAACTCGCGTAGTTGATTGGCTCCAATTAGCGAAGCGAGTAGCGTCAGGGATTTTTGATCTGGACAACAGACCGATACGGTAACGCGATAGTATCAGCGACCGGGGGACAACAGCGGGTTTCACAGATTTGCAGGCGTCGGAACTACGAGCTCCCATGCCGCTGACCTTTGTGTAGGTACCTCCTTACTAGTCAACGAGCAGGAAAAGGGGAAACCTTCAGGATTTCAGCTGAGAATTTTCAGAAGAAGCGAAGCGACAAGCAGTGCGGATATTCGTAGTAACTACTCCCTACTCTAGTAGAGTACAATACATACGGGACCACCGGAACCCCCACCAAAGTGCCCCAAGCACGTAATTAGGTAACTACATAGGTACAGCATTAACTACTACCGCATCCGTGATGCAGGTACACACCTCCTTAAAATCCTTCCCGCAAACCACCTTGAACGACAAGACGGCATCTTCTTGGGTTGCGGGAGCTTAAAACCCATACTATGGAGTTACCAAGTGCTCGGTTGGTTGGAGGTACATACCTACTATACATATTGCCCTCATAGACTGACCGAACGTGAACATCTGGCCAACTTCTACAATCGTTGAGCACCTGGAGCAAGTATGTGCATACCAATGGACCTGACGAAGGATTATGAGAGTAATGTTTGGTTTGTTTGATCGCAACAGCAACTTTAAGCCTTGATTTCTTCTCCAAATCCGCAGTCATCACGGTACTGCATGGTCCCATCCGACAACGATGCGAACAGCTGAACTCTGCAGTCATATCAGCCACACTAAAGTATCTACTGGTACCTATATTAGTGCCTAGCCCGGTCGGAAACATTCGCCATCGCATTCCGATCTTTCGCATACCTAGCTAAAGGGATTCTACATCTAGATATCCCCTATTGACCCCGCCTGATTTATTTGTGGCGAGGGCAGCTGAGGATTTGGTGGTGTGGGTTTGTGGCTCGTGATTTATAGTAGCGTCTTTCGCATAATTTAGCTTCTCTCAGAGAGATGTACTCTATATAGAGTAGAGTACTCTAGATTTCTCTCCTCGCCGGTGGAGATTGCGGCTAGTTAAGACCGTAGGGAGATACAAGGGAAACGGCCTGCGTTCCTCGCATGATAGACCGGTCTGGACTGCGCCGGTCCAGTCCCGTCCACGGATACATGTAGATGAGAACTGATGACGGCAGCCCCCGCAGTCCGTCTATACAAGCATCAATAGATACCGGTCAGCATCGACCGCGGACCGCAGCTGACTACTATAGGGTAGATCGTTTTAATGGGAAGATGGATATGTACGGTTCAGCCCAACCCGAGCGGCAGGGCACTTCCCGGCCAAGCTCAGTTCACACGCAGGTACCAGAAACTACCGACTGGGCTGTGAGATGGGGACAGCACCCGGAGGCAAGAATCTATAGCGATACTCAAATTCCGGTTCAGAGCCGTGGCGCAAACATCAGCTATTGTGGCGATGTAAAGTATCAAATCTGCGAATGTTACAAGGAAAGACTCAAGAACAATGGCCGCCTTCCATGCCCGTAGTGCTACCACAGACTCCTTCCGTTACTCTCCCTCGAATCTCCCTAAAAGCCGTAAACCCTCCCACCCCTTTGTTGAACCGAATCACTGAGCGCAGTTGTCTTCGTTTTTGAGATCGCTAGAGTTATACTTAACGGTATTGAAGGCAACTGCAGATATCGCGTTTAGCTGACCTCATGCTTAACCCCTCCACGGGTCGGCTATAAATGTACTGGGTATAGACTTCGCTTCAAACCATAAAACTTCAGCTGGTGAACTCAGATTAACGCCCGCGATACTGGGATTAGGTATAACCTTCTAGGAAATCGCCGAAGGCGCAATGGGCTAGGTGGAGCATCAACACAGGAATCAGTACCTGCAGGAATCACGAGGTACCTGCAGATATCAGCATGTACCTGCAGGAACGCCACCGCAAGTCCGCGGTCGCCTCGGTTCCGTCCAGAGACCCGCCCCAAGATTTGGGCCCAGGTCTGACGGGCTCCTCGCCAACTCCTCTCCAGGCCGATAGGCGTTCGGACGAGAAATTGCGCACACACAGAGGAGGGAGCAGAGATGGGAGGTTGAGACCTCGAGGGAGGGGTGGTTTCTGGAATTTGGGAAATCCGGTGATATCTCCTCGAGGTATTCTTTGTCTAGCGATGCGGGCAACTCGGAATCCGGAAGAACGTATCATAGGGTCCTACTCGAGAGTTCCAGCAACGAGTCTTCCGTCCGATGACACAAGGAAGCAGTTCCGCGAGGTAGCTCGGGGTACAAAAACTGCGGACGTTCGTGTGGGCAACTGGATGGGTGCTACCTCCTTGCTCACACTTGACGAGAATGTAGGCGGGCGCTTGCAAGACAAACGACTCGACTTCCCAGGTTGCGGCGGTAGTGGTAGTACTACCAGCCAGTTTGACTCCTGTTGGAATATTTGGGTAGACAAGAAGAGATAATTCATTCGATGCAGAAGAAAAGAAGGGCCTATCGTCCGCGGCGAGGCCTTTCTTTGAAACTAAGGTGCCGCTTAAAATTGGCCGCCGCCGCGTAATCATATACTCGTAGACAATCCGTCGCGGCCGTCGAGACTTGGTCTCGATCTTCAACCGCGAAACCTTATTGGCGCCGACGTCTCCGGGCAACCAAAGTTTGACAACTCCATGTGTCAATACGCTGCTTTTCACAAGGGTAGGAACCAGATGACTTCCTAGGGAAACGAACGGGTGCGGGCAGACAGCTCACGGGTTAATCTCGAGAGGTGCCCGCTATTCTTGTCACCCACACCCGAAGATGATGGTCCTAGGGCTTTTCTTTTCAAATATGAAGGGGAGTAGCGAGAGAGAATGAGTGAATGAGATAGAAGTATCAAGAGAGAGAACGTAGTGGCGAGAGAGAAAAGTATTTCCTCGCGATGTCTCAGGCGAGTACTCGCACTCGTTCGATGAGCACACATAGAGTAGGGGGCGAAGATGGAGGGTTGATCGTCTACCTATTCGATAGATGATGGTCAAGAAAGAAGAAGAAGGAGAAGGAAAAGAAGGAAAAGAAGAAATCCCGCTATGCCCACCAATGGCGATGCGCACCACTAACCTAACGATATCCGTTTTCTCGCGCCGACAGCTCCTCCATCGCTCACCACAGTAAGCTTGCCAGAGAATTCCCAAAGAACGATTCCCCGTCGATACGTTTCTGCGGCATAGACATGTACAATATATGTAGATACATTGTAGGCGTGAGGGTGCAGCTAGAAGAGGAGGTATAAGACATGCCAAAAGAGAACTAGGATCACCGATGATCCGCGGGATATCGCCAGGACTGCGCGGTCAGCCAAGTGCGCGGTCAGCCAGACGGACATCCCAGAACGAGGCATGAAATGCAGTCTGCGGAGCTCCCTAGGTATCGTCTTCGTGATTGGAGAGTAGGAGGATCACCGGCAACAATGCAGGATTTGGCGTTTAATCCGATTTCGTGAGTGTTCGGAAGAGGACAGAGAAAGGACTTTCAAACGAACTCATCTGTGATGGTGATTTCGGTTTCCTTTGCTCTGATGGAGTGGGGAGTTGGGACAAGGTGCTGCTTGTGGTTTATGCAGTTTTTTTTGGTGACGGGGTTGTGGCGATGCCATGGCCCATTGTGGTTGACGGTTCGAACTATAGTTGATGAAGGTAGTAGGCCGAGGACGAGGTAATCCAATCCAATCCCACGATTCCGCCTTCTTCGCTTGCTACGGATTAACTTGGATTACATATTGGTCAGAGTTATGAGAGGTTACCGAGCATTACGCATTCAGTTATCATTGCGGCCAGTGAGAACATTCCAACGTGACATCTCATGACCGGCCCTCCCAAAAACGGACAACCGTCTCCTCTATTACCATCTCTATATACAATCACACACACTCCGCACACCTAACGCGGTATCTTCCAACCCAAAACGAAAACCAGTCCTTGCGTTCTACCTTCTACCCCGCCATCTCCTTCCTCATCGCCTCCTTCACAATCGCGCCACACAGCCTGGCGACAGGATTAAACTTAACAGCCATCATCTTCGCGACCTCGCCGCCATACCTCGCGCCGGCCTGAAACACTTCCCCGGCCTCCTCCTCCCGCCCCTCGCTCAGCAGCACCGCGCCCAGCTGCGTATACGAATTACTCAGCACTTTTGCCTGCAGCGGTGAAACGGCGTCGATACTCCGCGCAGGGCGAGCGAGGGTAATCGCTGTGCGTAGGTCCGCTGTTATCTCGGTGGAAGAGTGCGAGAGGATCCGGAGTAGCTGCGCGCGGTTGTTGTAGGCGCTGGCGTATTGCGGGTATGTGGTGATCAGGGAGGAGAGGATGGTGAGCGCCTCGGCTGGGGATGCTTCCGCGAGGGAGATGGCTTGTCGCTCCAAGGTTTGCAGGAGTGGGAGGACGGCGGATGGGTAGTGTGGGTCTGGCGGTAGTGAGGGGGATATGGTCCCGGTGGTGGATGAGGGTGAGGACTCGGGGTCGAAGAGGAGCGAGAGCGTGTTGCTGTCGTGGAGGGAGAGGGTTGCTGCTGTTGTCATTGTGTCTGTGGTTTGATATGGGAAGGGATTTGGAGGAGCACCGGGGAATGGAGGGGTACCTGTATCTCTCGAGCGCTCGCGTCTAGAGAAGGTCCAGGCTACACTATATTTGCCCGGCAAGCCACGGGATCTGCTTGCGCGTCTGGACGGTGCGTTACGACGTCATCCGGTGCAAGCCGAGGGTGGCCGGCGGTAAGCGTCGGCTTGAGATGGCAAGATAGGAATGGAGGTGAGAGCTATGCTTATCATCATCAAGTCGGACGAGATGACCTACCGGTCCAGCAAGAGACCGTGAATGGCGGGGAAAGATGGTATCAGGTATCCGAGCGATGAGGGACGTGAATGAAGATATATTGACTCCTTCCTCGCCTCCCCCAACGTCGCCCCGATTTTACTTCCATCAATATCGAGACACTGCTTGACCATCCATTCAGTCTCAAACGTTCCCGAATTACCGCACGATAACCATGCCTCCAGTAGCACTCTCCTCCTCCCCTCCACGGGAACCCAGCATCCTCGCCTCGAACGGGCAGACATATGCGCTGAGCGGCGTCGTCTCCGCCCACGCCAACCCAACCGACAACTCCTACCGCGGCTACGACCACGTCCACTGGTGGGTCGGCAACGCAAAGCAAGCAGCCGCGTACTACAGCACGCTGTTCGGCTTCCGGTCACTAGCTTACAAAGGTCTCGAGACCGGCTCTCGATGTTTCGCCTCGCACGCGATCTCGAACGGCCACGTCACGTTCGTGCTCACGTCGCCGCTGCGGTCCCCCAGCGCCGAGGACATCAGCGACGAAGACCGCGTGCTGCTAAGGGAGATGAATGCCCACCTGGCTGCCCACGGCGACGCGGTCAAGGACGTCGCGTTCGAGGTCGACGATGTAAACGCTGTGTACAGCGAGGCCGTGGCGAACGGCGCAGTGGGACTGAGTGCGCCGAGAATCGAGAGTGATAAAGACGGCGAGGTAGTAATGGCGACAGTAAAGACGTACGGAGACACCACGCACACATTGGTGGAACGGAGGGGGTACCGCGGCCCGTTCCTCCCTGGATACCGAAAGTCGACGAGGACGGTGCCGTCGCTCCTGCCTGAAGTCAAATTGGAGGCAATCGATCACTGCGTCGGAAACCAGGACTGGGGCGAGATGGAGGATGCATGCGACTAGTAAGCAACCCATTCCCTGCCGTTCGTTCATCCACTGACCCGTCTTTCAGCTACGAAAAAGCGCTCGGCTTCCACCGCTTCTGGAGCGTCGACGACAAAGACATCTGCACTGACTTCTCGGCTTTGAAGTCAGTAGTGATGGCGTCACCAAACGAGCTCGTAAAGATGCCTATCAACGAGCCAGCGCACGGAAAGCGCAAGTCACAGATCGAAGAGTACATCGACTTCTTTGGCGGGGCGGGAGTGCAGCACATCGCGCTGCGGACGACGGACATCATCTCGGCGGTGACGAACCTCAAGGCGCGCGGCGTCGAGTTTATCAGCGTGCCGGATACGTACTATGAGGCGATGCGGAAACGGCTGGCTATGAGTAAACTCAAGGTGCTCGAGGACTTTGAGACGCTCGAGAGACTGAATATCCTCCTCGACTTTGACGAGGGCGGGTATCTCCTCCAGCTGTTCACGAAGCCGCTGATGGATCGCCCCACTGTCTTTATCGAGATCATTCAGCGGAACAACTTCTCCGGCTTCGGCGCGGGGAATTTCAGGAGTCTCTTTGAAGCGATTGAGAGGGAGCAGGCCATGCGGGGGAATCTGTAGAACAGGAACCACATGATCCAGGTTGTTTCTTTTTTATTCTCTTTGTTTGATATTATTCCGAGCAGGCTTTGTTCTTTTTTTCGGTTTTCTTTTTCGGATTTCTTTTTCGGATTTCTTTTTCGGATTTCTTTTTCGGATTTTTTTTTTTTGGGAGATATCGGGAATGTTGTTAGTCTAGGTATTGGTTCGAGCGCATGACAGACGGAAGAATTCATCTGTTCTTGTTCACGGTTCACAATCAACTTTCCAAGTGATGACATGATCGCCCATGATGTTATGGCTGCTGTGAGCCTGCGATATAAGATGCGTGAGATGGGGCAAGGCTTAATTTAGATCCGGCCGACGAGAACGTTCAACACCGAGCGAACTCTCGTGCGACAGCACTCACTCAACTCCACCCCACTCCAGATCATATGTTTACTCCACCTACATACCCTACTCACGGAAAAGCCATGCACGTTCGTCCGAACCTCGCACCTATTTTTTCTCACACACAGAATGATCTCCACGCGACGCGACTCCCGCACATCTCTAAACCATATCAATTCTCATAGTACTCCACTCCACCTATGTAGGCACATACTCACGGAAAAGCTATGCACATTTGTCCGAACATCCTCTCTTTACTCCCCTCCCCTCTTCACTTTGAAAGAACTCCACGTCCCGGAACACTCTCATCCGCCCGTCCGAATAGAGTGTTGAATAACAATCCGCGTAGTCGGCATGCGACGTCATAAATGGGCCATGGGCACATCCTGGCGACCCCACAGTTGAGAGGGAGAAGCCGACGGTAGCCGCGCCGCGAAGGGGCGTGCGCCGCACGTGCCACGAGCGGACGTGGAAGGGCCCGTGCTTTCTGCGCGGGGGAAGAAGCAACGGCCTGCAACGGCTTGCATCCCCCTGGCTACAGCTGAACCACGCATAGGTATCCGTCCTCATCCATGGGTCGAGAGTTGAGTTGATCTCAGCCAGACACAGTTCAGGATATTGTGCAAGATGGAATATAAATTGCTGCCCAGATACATAAAAACTCAACCAACGTTCCTCATAAAAATGCTATCGTTGAAAAGACAAGAAAAAGAACCAGAAAAAGAACATGCAGATGATAATCAAAGCCCAAAAGTCCATCCATGTAACCCCCCCAAACCCCAATTGTCCCAGAAAACAGAATGAAAAAGACTCACTACGCACGCTCCCTCGGCGTAATCGCCACAATCGGCCCCTCCTTTTTGCTCGTAAAGTGATCCATCAGCCTATACTCTCCCTCCCTAGCCGCGAAGCCCTCGCGCCAGCACTCAGCCTTGCCCTCGGTGACGATCTGCTTCATCTCGAAGCTCCAGACCAGCTTTGCGATCGCGAGTCGCAGCTCCATGTACGCGACACTCTTTCCGATGCAGCCGCGCGCGCCGAGCGAGAACGGATTGAACGCTGAGCGCGCGATCTCGAGCTGCTCCTCGTCGCCGTGCATCCAGCGCTCGGGACGGTACTCGAACGGCTCCGGGTAGTATTCCGGGTTGTGGTGGATGGTGTAGATGGGGACGCCGACGCCGGTGCCCTCGGGGATGTCGAGACCGTCGATCTTGCACGCCGAGATGACTTCCCTGGGCAGGAGACCGGGAACGGGAGGGGAAACGCGCATGGCCTCGTCGACGCACGCCTTGAGGTAGTGGCAGTCGGCCAGTTCCTTGCCGGTGACGATGTCCTCGGGTGAGGCGAAGGTCGATCGGATCTCGGCTTGGAGCTTGGCGAGCTTGTCGGGGTTGCGGCAAAGGTGGAAGACGGTCGACGAGAGCGCGGTGGCGGTGGTGTCGGAGCCGGCGATCATCAGGACATTGGCCTCACCCCAAAGCTCCTTGGTCGAGAAGCCCTTGCCGGTCTCGGAGTCCTTGGCGTTGAGGAGGTAGTAGAAGAAGTCCTTCTTCGCCGAGTGGTCCATCTTCATTCGCTCGTTGGCGCAGGCTCGCGAATGCTCAATGAAGCGCCAGCGGTCACGAGCAATGGTGGGGAAGAGAAAACGGCCCAAGCCCATCCGTCTGATGGGGAGATAGTTTCCGCACTGCAAAAAGTAGACAGTCAGTGGCTGCTCTTCAACTTCAAGGCGGGGGGATGCATGAACTTACGATGTAATGGTTGTGCGTAGCCTTGCTGATCAAGTCCGTCACGAAGCGTTGGGTCTCATCCTTCAACATGCCAAAGGACTTTCCGAAACAAAGATCACCCATGACATCGAAAGTAAACCACGAGAAGCGTTCTCCTATATCAACACCCTTGGCACCATCCCTGCGGAAACCCTCGAGGAGCGTATCGACGGCATCCATCACAGCACCCTCCATACTCTTCAAGGCGGCCTCGCTGAAGGCGACCGAGAGCACACGCCGCTTGAAGCCATGCTCCAGCTTCGAGATGGCATTGTGGGTGTTGTGCACGCCCTTGACGGCGGGGTATGCGGAGTAGAACTGGCCCTTCTGGATGTGGCGCGAGACGTTCGAGTGGCCGTAGATGCTCTTGAGGGCCGTGGCGGTGTTGAAGCTGAGCATGTTGGGAGCGACGCGGACCACGGGACCGTACTTCCGGTGCGCCTCGTAGAGATCCATGTAGCGATCGCCCTTGAAGGCATGCCAGGCAGTGTTCCTGTCACCATTCGGCCGAGTCAGCGATCCGGCAATACGGCAAGCAACCACCACTCTGCGGCAATTCGGCAGGAAACCTCAATATATCAAAAACAGGGCAGAAGCGGGGGACATACCAGTCGGTGATCTTTGCGAGGAAAGGGCCCGGATACTTTGCGAGCGGGTGGAAGACGAGCCGATACACGACGAGAGTGACGAGGTAGACTGCACCGAGGAGGAAAGCATTGCGTAGCAGCGTCACGACGTCGACGGTGGTCGGACGTGCGATGGGTATGTCGGAGAGGACGCCCATTGTTGCAGTGGCACTGCGAGCAGAGACACTGGTATCAAGGTATACTAGCTGTGGGGGGGGGGGGGGGGGGGGGATGTTGAGATATCCGATTTGCTTGCTGTGGGGGGGTGGTGGGACCGCGAAGGAGGACTCGACTGATGATGAAGCAGAAGGAAGGACAATGGAAGAAGGAAGCTGGGCGGGTTTTATCTTTTTGCAGACCGAAGACCGAAGAGAGACAGACTTCCCGACTGACCAATGTACACGGTTCGTCCGAGTGGCTGGGAAGGGTTTCGCCCGGCTGGGCCAGACGCACAGCGGCACATGTCGGTATCGAGGCATCAAAGCTGTGTGCTGTGGCGGGGGCTGCTGCACTCCCACTAGCTGCTGCAGCTCCATATGGCAAATGCTCCCAATTCTCGCAGTGTTCCAGAAAATGCCATCGTCATGTCTCACCCCCGGTTCAGCTGTCCGCTTAGGTGCGGCTGTGTGCGGATCATGCGCAAGCTTTGTCGCCAGCTAAGCTACTCTGGAGTCTGCCGAGAATGACGTTAGCAGCTTCGGCCGTGTTGACCAGCCTGCGACCGCGAAGTCCGCCGGAAGCCGAAGTTACCGAACGGAAAGACGACAAAGAGAGAAGGTTCAATTCACGTCGAGCTGCTATGCATGCTCTACGTATATGGCATATAGAGAAGAGGGGCTACTGGTAGGCCGTTGTGTTTCGCGGGGAACTCGCCGTGTCCGTTTTCCCGATGCGCTTGGGGCCAGCCCGCGGCACCGTGGTCGCTGGCCATGTGCTGCATACCGACAAGCCGGATGCAGGGGCGCCCACGAAGCAAGGCGTGGAGGTAGCCAGCCAATCAAGGAGAGAGTGAACATCTGCTTTTTAATTCTTGATTTCTGCAGATTTAAGTGTTGTTAATACTCACTCCGTTATTCGATGCAGGCACAGTCAGCACGCGAGAGGTGCGCCTCGCTGTGAGCGCCTCACCGGCAACGCCTCAATTCACGGCCGAGAAACCAAAGCCGAGCCTCCCCACTCCGAGATCTGATCCCACAATAGCCACCGTATCGCTATCGCCGAATCATGTTGTGCGGTGCCATCATCCATGCAGAATCCATGTCAAGCTTTTCCGGCCGTTCGGTCAAAGCTGGGGCTGTGTTACTGTTTGCATCAGGTGTCACTCGAGATTCTATTTTCGGAGGCGTCCGTCAGATGTCTGGTCTCTACCAGTCAAGATGAATCGGAAAAAACAAATAAGACATAAGCTTCCACTCCTGCACCCGATTGGAGGGTAACCAACGCATCGATGATCTCCACGTGGGTCGCCGATATGTAGAAGGCATAGGTAGACTCTACATAGAGCAGCACCACTGCCGTCCACGTGGAAACTCCCTCGCACAGCGGCAACCTCATCCGGCGTTTACTCTACTATTGTACTGATCTCGTCCAATGAGCGTGAGTAAACAACAAGTAGATGTAGTTATCCCTTCCCCACAGCCCACGCTCAATCAAAACTCCATCAGATGGCGATTCCACTATTCACACGGTAGTACCGTGGTAGATCTAGTATCAAGATCCCCACGCCTCTTCCCCTGCGTCGCCAGGATGTTCGCTCTAATATCCCGCCAATCGTGCGATAAAAGGTTTTCTAAAAGCACCTTTCTACGTTCACTGCGCACATCCTCGGGGCAAAGTAGAGTCTCCAGTCTTGCGGCCTGCTCTGCTGCGGTGGTAATAGTATTAGAAGTATCGGGGTCCGGCCATTCAACCTCGGTGTCCGGCGCCAGGTCGCGGCTGGAAACGGTCATGCGTATGTGTAGGATGTTACTCTCTGTGGTGCTCGATGATATTGTTGGTATCGATGAAGGCATGGTTACTAGCTGTGTGGTCGGGAGATGTTTACCTATGTTCGACGGTGGTAGTTGCGGCCGACTGCCTTGGGGAAACGATTTTATAGAGTATTCGAGGGTGGGTTCGCACCTTGAATGAGTGCAGTGGGCTCAGCTTACTAGAATGGAAGTTAAGGCCTGGTTTACATGGTTTAGGACTCAAAAGTGGTGGGTGATCTGATCGTGAAAAAGGAAAGGGAGCTAGAGAGGCAGATGATTTTATACTATCAGCGCGTAGAATACCGTTCAATTTTTGCCCTGGGGAGTGCATTTGAAGGCTAGCAGTTGTATCACTCGGTTTTCTTGGGGTTCATCGTCGGATTGAAGTTGCATACGGCCTGGGTAAAAGAGAGATCTTCAGTTGATTTCGCATGTAGCCTACCTATCTAGACCATGGCGAACCGTCGCACTTCTTTGCTGCCCACTCTGGCCGGCCGGGAGCTGAGACCCCGTTACCAGCCAGCACGATGTGGCGCCGCTGGTATCTCGATATCCCGAAGGATACGACGTGCAGCCGTTTATGCCGAGTGATATCTCCTGATTGGATTCGCTCACCTAATGGAATACCTGTTTTTATCACTACGATAGCGCTACGATACTGTTACCACATTGACGTTAATGCGAATGATAGCTGAGAATCCCGTACTATGGCGGTGGTCTTTGGATTGGATACATTGGTAAAAGAAATGCGTATTCATGTTTCGCCACGCTGTGAAATGACGTTTTCGATCTCAGTCACTCCGTAGTAAGACGGTCGTGCAACCGTTCCTGCCGTAGCACGTAATCCTTTAAATTCTGTAGCGCTTTAGCCGCACTTTGGTGGAGTTGACCCAGCCGCACTCAATAGACAACACGTTTTCAGCTACAATAGCAGTCGAAGGACAACGTTGTCCATAAATACCAGTACTGCTACTAGACTCTACCAGTTCGGCAACAGAATCCCGAATACGATTGCAGTAAAATTGCAGTACCGATACTGGCACTGGATCTTTGTCAGAGGCTTTCAACTATGGCAGATGATGATTCTCAGAACACCCTACTGCAGCGTGCGTTATCAACGGGAATTCGGCATGCTTCCCTTTCCATTCCTGCAACGGTACGCTTTGTCCGATTTTCGTGATTTACTAGGATGCACTATAGCCATCTTCGAATACGGGATGGCAGAGCCATCGGGAAATTGTTCGTTCAATCGGGACACGACAAGTGATTCACGGTGAAGATGAAACTGCTTACCTAAGTAGCCGTTGCCGAATTCTAGCTCGCCTTCCCAGCTCGCCTTCCCCACTCCCGAGCATGCATGGAGTTCGGCTAATATCCGGTCACTTTCGGGCCCCTGAATATCGCTATGATATGTACGGTTCCCTACGACTCCTACGTACAAGTACATCCGGGGAAGAGCACTAGGTATGTAGGCAGCTTAGCCTAGGTAGTTACCCATCGGACCCCAATACCCCGACGTCAAGACGCAATACGAACTACGAACTATGGGGGCAAGTTTATAGTCGTGTACGTAGGAATCACAGCGACAATCTACTCCCCCGGATTGAATCCCATTTACATACCTATATAGAGCGGGAACCAACCGCTGCTGCATGCATTCCCGCCACACACACACATACACATACCTACAAACACGGGCGCCGCAAACATGCATCTCTCCGGCCTCCTACCACTGGTGGTGCTGCAATTGACTCTCGCCGCCGCGGCGGCGGCAGAGGCGGTCATCCTAAAGCTGCCCTACATCACACTACAAGGCACGACCTCCACTGACACGAACCTGACGGTATACAGCCGGATCCCGTTCGCACGGGCGCCATCGCGGTTCCGCGCGCCGCAGCCACCGCAGGACGTCCGCGCCGCGGGCGTCTACGACGCAACCCGCAGCTTCGACATGTGTCCGCAGCGCGCGAGCAACGGCAGCGAGGACTGTTTGTACCTCGGCGTGTATGGCCGGCCGTGGAAGGAGGGACAGAGGAAGAGGCCGGTTATGGTGTCGTTCTATGGTGGCGGGTTTATTCAGGGAGATGCGAATTTGAGGGCGCCCTGGCCCCAGGTTTATCCGGTGCTTAATCTCACCGCCGATGGGTTCGTCGCCGTCTATGTCAATTATCGCGTCAATGCATTTGGGTTCCTCCCTGGTAAACGGGTCAAGGACGGCGCGGATTTGAATGTTGGGTATGTGTTTCCCGCCTAGATGTGAGCTGTGTGAGTGATGCTAATGATGGAGAAGACTTCTCGATCAGAGACGGGCGTTGGAGTGGGTTCGGTCGTACATAAGTAAATTCGGCGGCGATCCGAACGACGTGACGATATGGGGTATAGTTACTTCCATTCCCCAGGCATTCCACACGTGCTGACACCCCTATCTAGGACAGAGTGCGGGCGGCGGCAGCGTCGTCTCCCAGCTGATCGCCAACGGCGGCAAGACGAAGCCGCAGCTATTCCGGCGGGCTATCCTTTCCTCGCCGTTCTGGCCACGGCACTACCGCTACGACTCCACGGAAGCCGAGGACCTGTTCGACACGCTCGCCGAGCTGACGGGCTGCGCCGGCAACGCCACCGTCGACCCGCTGGAATGCCTCAAGACTGTACCGGTGCAGACCATCCTCGACGCGAACGTGGTGATCAACGCGATGCACACGAACACCACGTCATCGTACACGTGGGCGCCCGTGATCGATGACGATCTCCTTCCGCTGTCGCTGTCGGAGGCGACGCGGCGCGGCGCGATAAACGGCGAGGCTGTGCTGGCCGTCTACAACACGTACGAAGGCACGACTTTCATCCCCGGGTACGTCTCGACGGAGAATAAGACGCGCGAATGGGTGAAGGGGTTTCTTCCCAACTTTGACGAGACGGCGCTGCAGAAGGTCGAGGATGCCTATCCTCCGTCGGCGAACGTGAGTGCTAGGGACCGCGCGGGGTTCATATACCGCGACGTGGTCCTGTCTTGTCCGGCGTTTTGGCTGGCCGCCGGGGCAAAGAGCGGCTGGATCGGCGAATATCAGATCTCGCCGGCGCGGCATGCTAGTGATGTCGGCTACGTAAGTTCTTTCACGAGTTAACTGGCTGAAGTACCTACTAACCTCCACAGTGGAACACGGTCAACTCACTACAAACGACCAGTCCGATTACGTACAAGGGCTACACGGGTGGGTTCGCGGGGTTTATTACGAAAGGGAATCCGAACGCGATCAGTGGAGTGACCTGGCCGCCGATACGGAACGGCAAAGGACTGGGCATGGTTATCAACTTGGAGCAGTTTGGAACACAATCGTTGGCGGATCTGAAGAAGAAATGCGACTTTTGGAGGAGCATGGGGGGAACTGTGCCGGTTTAGACGGGGGTGTAGATAGTGAATATGTAATACTAAGGGATATGCAGAGCATGTCCGACGTAAATAAAGGGGACTTGGGAGGAGAGCTGCTTTATAATGGAGACTTCAAAGCACGGTTGAATCACTCGGCCTTCAAACAATCTACCCCTGACCCCAACTGCTCACACGAAACCACTGGACCCGCCTGCCGTTGGCACAACCCAACAGAAATGCCTCACATCCTTCCTTTAAATCTGACGCGATTTTACTTCAATTAGGTAAGGTACACCCACTTGTACGATTGACCTTTCATTCCATCTACCGTAGCAAGCCTTCAAGGGGCCACTTCACAGTAATTTGAGTGATTTGCACTCTTTTTAATGCCCGAGAGCGAAGCCTTCCATGCCGAGCCTACGGGATGGGTGGGTGATTATCTCGACTTGAGATGAGGGTGGGCGGTGGATGTGAAGGTAATGGGTCAGTATTTTTCATCTTTGCTAAGGGGCATGAGTTCGTGAGACGGAGGATGGGCTGAAATCGAGGTAACAGCGGGACTTCTTCTACAGGGCCCCAGTGTTTGCTAACGAGTGAGCGTCGAAGCGACACCTCCGAGCATTTTCTTAGGATTACCGGCGATTCGGTTTGCATCAGGCTAGTTTTCTCTATGAATGGAGACCCAGCAGGTCCACTCGCTCGCGCTTGTTCTGACGAATCGAGATATTTCCTGGCTCTGCCACTTTCTATTCTAATTTGGAGAACTAGAGTATGATTGGTCTACCACCCGCCAATCACACCAGTCCACACCGCTTGCAGTGCTTCATGGTGATTCTGTTTGAAAGTCCGAGTGCAGACAAACATGCCTTTCAACACGAAGGCCTTTCGACGGGAGGCACTCTAAAAGCGCCCCGTTCTTGCCATAGAATGGAAGGACACCTGTGGACTACTATATCTACCATTTCCCACACATTCCTCATCCGTCCATCAGCCCATCCTCTCGGCATCTTTAGACTTCACTAGCAGAATTCCCCAGCCAGCCCACAATCATGTCTCGGAGAAACTACCGCAACCCACTGACGCCGCCCTACCGCGCACCCGAGCGGCCCGGCCATCCACCACCGAGCACCTTCTTCACGCTACAGAAACACCACCTGGCCGCCACGCGGGGACCAGTCTGGTACCGCGGGGTGAAAGAGCAGCAGTACTACGGCAACGCGCTCACGAAGTGGCAGTGTCAGGTGAACCCGTCGAAGCTGGTGAACAGCCCGCTGTGGCGGAAGCGCACGATGATGACGCTGGAAACCCCTGTCAGCGCCGTGGTCGAGGTGACGGAGTGTCGGTGGGATGCGGTACAGGCGCAGCGCACGATGCAGAAAATAGCCGCAGACGTGAGGGTGGATCGCTGCTTGATCCGGTTCCAGAATGTATGTGCTCCAATTTCTACCCGCTGGCGCCGAGCGATGCGTGATGATCGCAGCTGATGTGTGATGTGTAGGCGTTCTCGCGTTACACCGGGGACCAGATGTGGGTGGTGGCGCTGTTCAACGCGGTAACTGTGGGCTTCTGGCTGCCGTATGTTGTCCCCCTCCTCCCCTCCCACCACGACGATGATGACGACGACGACGATGGAGGAGCCGACATTTGGTGAAGTGCTCGGAGTTTTGTTTGGCCGTTTTCCCGTTCCGCCAAGTATGGAGGCTGTCACTTGTGGCCCTCTGCACCTGGCTAATCAATGATTCTGGCGTTCGTGAGGCTGATCTGTTTAATCACGAATAGTGATCTGCTGTCGAGGACTTGAATAGACTTGGATGAATAAGTCATGGGAGTCAGCGACAGGTGAGGTGGAAATCCTTCTGTCTCAATTCCTTATCGGGTTTGGAGTTACAGGATGTTGTAGAGTCTACGTCTAACCTTCCGAGATGACTCAGGCACCATACGTATTGCTGGACGGAATTTTGATTGTACTTACATCACTTGCATAATCTATGGATTCTGGTTTTGTATTCAAATCATGAACGTCCACTCGGAAAGAAGACCGAGGAAGAGTGAGGTGTGTGTGCGAATAGAAAGGCTGTCACCGGTGGAATCATACACCCATCGTAATCCATCTTGCCGAGTGATATTCATGAATCTATCTAACCGAGTGATATCCATGAACGCGGTTGCATCTGTTTGCATTAATGGGACATCAAGGGCATACTTATAGACCACTCCCGCCTTCTTCTTCCTGGCTCTGCTTAAAAGTTATGGCTCCTCGAGAAACCGAAACATGACTACTATCTAGCGACTCACACGACAATGGTCGTTGACTTTGCCGATTCTATGCACGCTACCACAAATAGACAGAACTAGCACAGCCGAATGCAGATTGCAACCGGGAGTTGGCAGATAATACCGCACGATGGGATGAATTAGGTATTTAGTATTAACAATCCCCGAAAACGTCAGACGCTTGTGCCTAGGCGAAAGATACCGCAAGAATATGTGTACAACATCATCATCAACGCAAGAACAATAGTACCGAAGACCACATTAAGATATATATCCACAGAGTAAGCCCTCTCCAGCCCTATTAAGTCCACCTTCACGATCGCAATCTCCCTGAACCTACGCCACCAGAATTTCGTCCTCCTCGTTGTCATCCTCCTCTTCCTTCTTCTCCTCCTCCTTGTTCTCCAACTCCTCCCGCCTCAACTGCCTCCTCCTCAACCTTTCGTACATCGCCTGAGTTCTCATCATCTGCAACTCAAACCTCTTTTCCCTCTCCTCATTTTCAAGCCTCTCCTTCCGTTCATCGGCAGCAATAGTAGCGGCAGCCTTCTCGTCAGACGGCGGAACCTCGCAATGGCGGAGACGACTCGGCACGAACACCTTGGTAGGGTTGACTTGCTCGTTCCATTTTTCGAGGGCGGTGACGAAGAAGAGGTTGCGGGCGCTGTCGACAAGGGTTTGGGGTGGGTGGTCGATCGACTCGTGCTTGGTGAGCGTGTGGAAGGTCGTGGCCATTCTGGGGAAGGCGGCGGCCGGGGCGAGGGGGAAGGTGTTGCTGCTGTCTTCGAGGGACAGAGACATCGTGGCTGGTGGTGAGGGTGGTGGGTTTATAGACTGGCGGAATGAGTGGCGGCGGGGCGGAGAGAGCGTTGAATGGTGGTGGAGAGGAGGGGGTGTAGAATGAATGGCGGAGAGTGGATGGTTTTGAGAGGCGGACGAGCGGATGGAAGGGGCGGCGGGAGAGTGGATGGACGGGGAGGCGGGAGGATGGAAGGATCGAATTATGCGGCGTATTGTGAGTAGCAAATTGCGCGCAGCGTATTTCGAGGAGCGGACGGTGAGGAGCGGACGGTGAGGACGTAGAGGATTGCAATGATGTAGAGGATTGAAATGTAGTATTGTGAGAGTTGCTTCGACCGGACAGAACAGAGGGACAGCACCTTGAATGAAAAAGGCCGGAGAGCGGGCTAGCTTCCAAGGGCCAACACGCTTACGCGAGACCGATGCCCGCCTCTAGACGTCGACTCTCCCCTACATGTCCAGGCCATGTGTACACTTTGCACTGCATAGGTAGTATGCCCCATTGGGAGGCGGCAGTGCGTCCACACAACCACACAGCTCACTGGCTCAGTTAGTCTTGTTGCAGCTGTGCAGGTAGCAGTCACGGTTGCTACCATGACAGTGGCCGTCGCCGCCTCTTGCCTACTAAACGTCATACATCCTCGGTGCCAGTACCAGAGACAATGAGGAGCAACAAACCTGATACAGAGGTTTGTGGGAACGCGTGTGTTCCTGTGAGTAGTCCACTAGCTGTTCGGAGGGCCGGTCGTGGGTGCTTGGAACATTCGGTGCAGTAGCGGATCCAAGTTTGGTATTCTCTCTCTCTCCCTCTCCCTTGTACCCGTAGCTCCTCGACACGAACATCCCACGTCACTCTATTTCCATCGTTCTAGCGATCCTTATCTCGAGTCTTTCCAACAAATAGCAGAGACAATAAGCAACAGGGTTGATATAGAGGTTATGGGGCCGAGACTCGAGTCGCAGAAAGGTTGCAGACGGGCCACCGGCGGATGCTACTACACCGGCGGCGGACTCTAGCTACTAGCACTGCTACATTGTCGAGTGTTTCGAAACGCTTCGGGATGAGGGAAGTGGGAATGTACGACGGTAGATACGTCATGGTAGGGAGGTTTCTCCTGGCTTACACAAGTTGCTCTGCGGAATTCATGCGAATGCTTTGGATATCTCTCGTTGCAGAGCCAACTTAGTGTGGGGTCACTGCCAGGGACTCCCTGGGGAGCAACAAATTCACAAACGTCGGACATGTAGGTGATGGTGTATCGAGCAGACTGGCTGGCTGTGTTATTTCTGTCGTACGTAGGCATTCCCTGATGTTGCACTCTACGACGGACATCACTCGAACCAGCACTCCCGCACATTGTTGTTTATTCTGGCCTAGACTGTCTCATTTCGGGTTTGACATCACCATAGCTATCACCATACCCCCGTCTTGTACCGAGCTCCTTTCTATTCTCTAAGCAATTAACATCATCTATTATCTCAGTATACTCTCTCCCATCGTATATTCACAACATACATCACTAGTAACACAAGATAGTCTGAAATCATAGACAGCAATGCATCCTTCATTTCTCATCCTCTCATCAACATGCAAATAGCTAGCTAGGTAGGTACCCCATCTACGGCTCACCACTCGGCCCCTGCAACACAGTCGACAGACTCGGCGCACTGCCAAAGTTCGGGGTACCATCCGAGTTCCAGTTAACCTTCTGCGCCATCGTGTAGCGATTGCCATCGCACGAGCCGCCCGAGACGGTGGTGGCATGGTAGACGTTCCAGATCTCGGTGCCGTCGGGGGAGACGAAGAAGCTAGTTATCGCCATCGCTGTCAGACCTCTGCCGAAGGGGGGGGGGAGGGGGGGGAGAGAGGAGGGGAGGGGATGACGAACCCGTTATGGCCAGTGCCGAGATTCCCGTTGGAGCTGCTAAAGACGGGGCCGGTCTTGGCCCAGGAGCTCTGCAGGAGCGGGTCGCCGCCGTTCCAGGTCAGGAGGCCGAGCTGGTAGCTCTCGGTCCAGCAGTAACTGGCCGAGTAGGCGATGTAGGTCTTTCCGCCGTGGTACATGGCCGCCGGCCCCTCGTTTACCGCGCCGCCGACGGTCTCCCACGACAAGGTGGGCTCGCTGAGGAGGTATGGGGTGCCGATCACCGAGGGTGAGGTCATCTTGGCGATGTAAAGCGACTGCAGACCGTTGGGCGAGAAACGGGACCACACGAAGTAGTTCGCGTCAGACATCCGGAGGATGGTCGAATCGATGCCCCATTCTGCAGAGAGGCGGCCGAGGTATGACCACGAGCCCAGGATGTCGGTTGTCCCCTGCAGGACGTGCGAGCGCTGGTTGTCACAGCAGGCTGTGGTGCCTGCCGAGTAGTAGAGGTACCAGCGGTCATTAATCCAATGGAGCTCTGGGAGATGTCAGTGATTGTACGTGGGATGTGCGGGAGCGAAGGACTAACCGGGAGCCCAGAAGTTACCGCTTCGGCTGGCGGTAGAGTCGGTCCAGATCGTCGTGGGGGTTGCGGTCTTGAGGCCACCGAGGGTGGTGGCACGCGTCACCTGGATGTTGGTCCAGGTGGTGGTGACGAGGTAGTAGTAGCCGCCGCTTCTCAAAATCAGCCTAATGGTCACTCCTCAAGGTCGAAGCGGTGACACTTACGTGTAAACGATATGCGGGTCACTACCGTTCTTTGCCTTGAGCGGGTTCGTGAAGGAAGCGCAAGACACGGCGGAAACGAGGAAGGCAAAGAGCCAAAGAATACGAGCGGGAGTGATCAACATAGCTGCAGATGTTGGCGTCAAGAATCTTGTCGTACTGACTTAGACCCACGGTCCCATGGCGGAGGCTTTATATGCTTGTCTTTTACCCCAGATGTTTTCGTCCGCGCCGGGTCCCGGTATCGAGCAATATCGGCCGCCCGGTGTCGGGTGATTTAGCCCCGTCGCGTGTGTCAAACCCCCGAGGTGCCCGTGATGCTGGGTGAGTACAGAAGTATCTGCCCAGAAAATGTCCGACACGTTGTTTGTATGATGCAAAGAACATCAGTTCGCCTAACTGCATTTAGGCGGCGATGGTACCTGTATGCAGCGTGTACCTTGCCGTTTAAAATTGTGGGGTATAAAGGATGGGGGACAAATCAGCCTGAAGACGATATGTACATACCGATGGTGACGAAAATCTTTCGGATATTAATCAGTCCCTGGGGAATACAGGCGTTCCCCGCACAACTGACGAAGCTCGACTCTGGCTAAATTGCGACTCAATTTAGTTGTAGGAAGTTTTTTTGATTGCCTGTAGGAGGATGAAAGTGAGCTCAGCCCTCTTCCTGTTGTATAACAGCTGCCCTGGCAGCAGCAGGATTAAGCGGGAATATGGGGTCGCTTCCGTACGCAATACCGCGTTCGGAGGTCATTGAAGCGAATTCAAGCAGATGACTGTGGGGTGTACGAGGTCTTTGTCTTCAGCCGGCGATATTAGGGGTCCTCAAGCCTTCGAAATTGAGTCTGTTTTGTCCGGCCGTCGGATGGCGGTGTGGCCGTAGTTAGTACCATTCTCAATTCCGACCGGCGCGGCGACGAAGGGAGGCTCATGATCAACCGCTCAACTCACCCGGAATTTCTTCAACATGTGATCATAACCAAAATTGCAAACTGATATTGTAATGTGCATACGCCGAGTTGAACTCCCGCACCCCGTATCCGATCCCACATCTCATCGTCGCTATCGCCATCCATCCTCCCTGCCCCCTCCCCCGGATCACTCATGGACCGAAGCCTTCACTCCCTTTCACCTCCTTCAACTTCCATCCATCCCCATCCCTCATCAGCTTGACAATAATATTATCCGCCTTCTTGGCCATCCCCTCAGCGCTCCAATCACCCACACGCTCCTTGACATCGTCATCGACGCCCCACAGCAGCAACGCGATGCTCGAGCACCCCCAAGCACCGACAAACTCATCGTGCAACTTCGTAGTACAAACGACGCCCCACGCGAAGACGGCGCTGAAAATCCAAATCGCCGCAGGATACACCATCCACCACCAACGCACGACGATTATAGTGCGACGCTCGACCTTCTTGCCCCTAGCCGAAAGGGATGTGCGGATCGCATTGGACATGCCGTCGGCCATGACAGCGATCGGATTCTTTTTGTGACGGTGCATGTGTTCGCCGCCCACGGTCATGTCCGCTGTGGCGAAGGCGGCTATTCCGCCAAACAGCGGCGACGAGTGCACCCATTGGCCCCTCCGCGACTTTTGGGACCACCCCCGCAGCGTCAAGCCGAGGTTCTTGAAGGCTAGCTGGGCGTTCCGTGTGACGGTGAAGTTCTTGGCCTGGTTTTCGAGATCGGTGTACTGGAACAGGGCACTGCCGTCGGGCTGGACCGTGGATCTGTTGTATTCTCCCAGTTCACGCTCCCGGTAGGTGGAATCAATGACAGTAGCGTTGACGGATCGAATGCACCAGTAGATCTCGCAGGCCCAGGCGTTGTATGTCGGCGGCCATGTGGCTATGCTGACGTTGAGGGTGAAGGTCTCCACGATGGGTGCGGAATCGGTGTTGGTGGTCTGGTTGATGATGGTCGAGTACGCGTTCTCGTCCGTGTGTTTCCATGCGTGTCCGACCAGGTCGCGATAGGTGGCCCAGCAGTGGTCCCGATCGCCATCGCAGGCGGAGACGATCTCGTTTTGGGCATAGTCGCAGTGGGAGCATATGCCCAGCGTCGCAAAGGCGGGATATTCGCAGTTGCCGGAGTCGCAGCGGTAAAGCGGGTCGTGAACTACATAGTGAACTAGGGAAGAAAAGACGGAGGAAGTCACGGCAAACTCGACCGATGGTACCGAGACGCCCTGCATGGTGGTGATTTCCTGGAAGGTGTCGTATGTTTCTAAAGAACGACCAACCAAGGTGAGGTTGCGGGGATCTCTGGTGGTAAAGGTTCGGGTTGGGTACGAGATCAGTTGTTGTTCTGCGACGCGTCAGGTCAGGTCAGCGTCAGGTCAGCGTCAAGCTCACATCGCGGGGGCGGCGGTGGGAGCGGTTGAGGGACTGAAAGGCAAGTCCTACGCGCAAAACCTAGTATTACGACCATAATAGTCAAGACACATCCCATCGATACAAGGCCTCTAGGGAAGAGTCAGAATCCATCGATCAGTAGTAAATACGGCCGGGGGGAAGGGGGCTTCCACGGGTTGCCACTCACGTTCCCCTCTTCATCCAGAGTAACCTCATCGCGCCATATGGTCCTCTGGCAGCCTCGTTATACAATTCGACTTCCGACAGCTGCCTGCCCTGCTTCGATACTGCGAGCCAATACAACTGGCCGATGGACTGATCGATAGGAACCAGAAGGCTAGCCCTCGACATGGTCGAGAAGACGGACAAGATTGAATTGAGGGAAAGACCGGAACCAGCCGTTGCCCAGGCCGGGATCTCTCTGCCATCAAAGTGAATCAGTAATCCCGTGGTGATGGCGATAGCAGTAGCCGACGACATCAAACACACGAACTCGAACCACCACGTGTAGCGATGCATGTGCGTCCGGGACATGGATGACGGGGCGTCCGAGTGCCGCGATGATGGCCCGCGCGGTCGGCCGCGGTACTCCAGCGCTTCTTTCGTCAGATCCGGTGATGCGCTCCGATCGGGTTCCGGTGGTAGCATTTCTTCCATACTCGGTCCGAGCGGAAAGGTTGGCGATGACGACAGCGATCGCGATGGAGAATGCTCGGACTGTGAGAACCGTCGTCCGGTCTGAGGCGGCGAATCCATGTTCTCCAAGGGGATGTAGTTCGAGTTGTCCGAGCGAGAATGTGGACCGTGTCGCTCCATGGTACCGGGTGGTATCTAGTATTGTACAATGTAGAGTCGAGGTCAGCCGAAGGTTCGAGAGGGGGCTTTTGGCTGATATTCAGTTGAATCGCGGAGGACGCAAGGTACGGTTAAGGGCCGGGACCAACTGAAAGCGATCGAGGGGGGTTTTGAGGGGGGGCGCTGTGACTCTCTCGAGCACTGATCAGAGGCTGCCTCGAAGCGGCCAATGGGATTCATGATGTGGCACTAGTTTGCGCCTGAGCTGAAGGGAACAGTTCTGAATCAGCAATGGTTCTTATTCAGAGCGGGGCACTGCATGACTGGGGGCGCAAGCCACAGCGGGAGATACCGTATGGAAGGGGCGAGGAAGTTGATGTAGAGATAAGTACCGTACTCTCGGTACCCCGCTGTCGATGTTGTAGAGAGGTTGGTACCGACTCTAGGTATCTACCCCGCTGTATGTAGACGTCGTGGGCACTGGCCACACGACTAGGCCTCCTCCTCCTCCCCGTGCCGATAGCACACCAGGTAGGCACCCAAGTCAGGTCGCTTACTCCTTGCATACTCGATCCATCTATATCTCTCCACAGCCGGCGCAGTGCGGAGCGGTGTGGGCCCAGGTCGATTGCAGCTTCAGCCCTACGGAGCACGTGCCGGCCAACCAGCAACTGCCGTTGCCAATACGCATAGAGTCGGTAGTGACACCGTGATGGCTCGCAGCCACTCACGATCAAAGTCATGCTCGGGCGGTTCTCCGAGCCTGCGAATCTTCAAAAACTCGGTTGAGGCGGATTGGTGATTGGCTGTCGATGCCGATGCACGGTGAGCGGCCAAACGCTCAGCTTGGTATGTACGTCGTTTTATGGTTCGCTGTTACTGTACCGGAAGTTACTCCAAAGTACCCACTCTACGCTGGAGTGGAGTAGAGTAGAGTCTTGGGTAGTTACCCATGCTTTGGTTAGCCCCCAGTCGATCCTCCAGGGCTGAGGGGGGCCGTTTCGCACTCGTCTCGTCGGAGTACATATAGGTACTCTGGAGTCCAGACAGAATACGAGTACTATGGATACTCCTACTATGGAGTCTAGACATCGCACAGTTCACACTCTAGTCGATGCGAAGAAAAAGCAATTGTGCTTGGCACTTGGCGCACCTGATTTTTGGGAGTTATCGAGTTGTGGAGTTGTGGAGTTTTGGATTGGTCACATATAGCGGGAAGACCACCGACACAGACAGCGCTGAGCGTGGGGGATTCTTGCATTCGACAGCACAACACAGAACAGCACAGCACAGCCCAGTGGCAAAATGTCTGGACGGAAGGTGCCGCCATCATCGAGCAAGTATGCATAGGTACCATAGATACCATAGGTAGCCCTTGAGTATGTACGACAACACTTGATCCTCGGTGGCGACCTGACGGAACAATCTTCATGTTGAAAACGAAAGGTATGAATCATACATAGGAGGAAAGAATGAATGGTGGATTCAATACGGAAATAGCAATTATGTCGGGCTCAGCATCAGATCTATACAGGTCCTTAATGTACTTACACGACACAAAGTTGGATAAAAACCCTTTGGTATGCAATCCATCATGGACATAGGTAGAGTACGGAGTCTGGTACGAATACAACTCTGGTACAAGTACAAGTCTGGTACGAGTACGCAATATATCGAGGTCATCCGCCTACCCCCACAGTTTACAGTAAGAGTAAATACTTCCTACATAATCAAAACACCCTCGTAGCCATTAGCGGCGTGTGGGTGAGATATCCACGGCCGGATAGGTACCAATCCTTGGGTGCCCACTCCCGACCCTTCGGAAGCCATACTGTGGGTGTCGGCCACTAGATGCCCACATACCCACTTTCCCTCGATCCTTACGGAATAACTTATACCCACCTAGGTAGAAGGAACATCCGGCATTGCTCAAATATCAAGCCACCTCGCCGTCCTTCATACCCCATCACACGCCATCACTCTCCACTCTCTCCACCATAGAATCTCGCCAACTTCCGTCTCTACTAGGTACCATATGCCCACCGTGCACGACCGAGGGCCGAGGCAGACACAGGCACTCGCTGGAATCGGAAAACCCACCTGGCGGCGGACCCTTCATCCGTACTGGTACATAGCGTCCTCTGTGCGGGGCGCACGCGCGCAAACAGACGCTCCAATTACCTAGATTCTGGACCGAGTTCGGGCTCGATTGCCAGTCACGCCTGCGTAGTACAGGACTTTCATGGCCACAGGGGGCAGCTGCCATGGAGCGCCACGGGTCGACGACCCAATGCGATTGCCGATGCATTGCAACTCCTGTTCTCCTGCCTCTCGCGATTTGGTGGGGCACTGTGGCATTGATTGATTGATTGATCATGGCTAAATGTGGCTGCTCAACTGTGTTGCCGTATAGAGCCTGAGTTCAGCTTGCTTATAAAAGTAAAGAGTTGAGGGTGGCTGCGGATGCTACCTATCAGGTGGTACCTAGTACCCGGTGGCTACCTGGTACCTACATAGAGTACACGGCCGCTACAATAGGATAGATCACCGGGCCACAGTAAAGGGGGAAAGGGGCGGCGGCAGGAAATCACCTTCGTCTTCATCTCCGTCTCCGGTGCCCGCGATCGTCGAAAGATGTATAAAGCCCAGGAGTCCTGGCGAGAGCGAAGAGTCAGTTACTTAATCGTGCGCTTTCGTACCGTCCGATCTTTTTATCACCGGCAACATGCGCTTCCCAGGATATGCGATGGTTGTGCTGTTGGCGACGCCGTTCGTAGCCGGCCAGCATGCAGATCTTCTCTCCCAGTTCTCGACCGCCATCACACCTCGAACTTGGGACGAAGCCTATGTGCTTGCCGCGCCGTTCGTAGCGCAGCTGTCGCTTACCGAAAAGATCTCGCTCACCACCGGGACGGGAATCGCGCTCGGGCCGTGCAGTGGGAACGTTGCGAACATTCCGCGGCTAAAGTGAGTCCCCGTTTTGTCTCTCCCCGCCCTTCCCGGGGTTTTAATTGTTTTATTGTTTATTTTTGATTGGTTGGTGTTTGATCGCTGACGGGGTTCAAGTTTCCGCTACCTGTGCCTCCAAGACGGGCCCGCCGGTCTCCGTGGCGTGGACCTGGTCACCCTGTTCCCCGCGGGGATTACCACGGGCGCGACCTGGGACCGCGAGCTGCTATACCTGCGCTCGCGGGCCATGGGCGTCGAGAACCGGCTCAAGGGCGTGAACGTAGCGCTAGCCCCTGTCGGCGGAGCGATCGGTCGGGCCCCTGCCGCGGGCCGCGGCTGGGAGTCGTTCGGAGCGGATCCATGGCTGAATGGCGTTGCGAATGCCGAGAGCGTCCGGGGATTGCAGGATGAGGGCGTCGTCGCTTGCGCGAAACATTGGATCGCGAACGAACAGGAGAAGTATCGCTTGGTCATCGATAGTATCGCCTACGGCCCGATATTTAAGAGCTTGGATAGTCAGGTGTCGCAGCGTGCGCTAAGGGAGCTGTATGAGTGGCCGTTCTTCGATGCGGTGCAGGCTGGTGCTGGGTGATTATGTCCGATGGCTCGATGTTGGTACATGTCATAGGGTGCTGATGAAGATACGCAGGAGTGTAATGTGCTCCTACCAACGTGTCAACAGCGAGTACGCCTGCGAGTCGGCGACCATGATCGCGCAGCATCTGAAAGGCAACTCGTCGACGGGCGGCCTCGGCTTCCGCGGCTTCGTCATGACGGACTGGTTCGCGTCCGCGGCGCCGGACCTAGCCGCTACGGCGGGCGTGGACATGGTGATGCCCGGGGATCTCGGGTTGACCGGAATAGCAGCGGCGACGAAGCGCGCATCGACCGGCTTCAACGGGACGAGGCTGGACGAGATGGCAGTGCGCACCTTAGCGGCGTGGTTCAAGATGCGCCAGGACGAGGGACGCCTCGGAAACATCAGCTTCTCGTCGTGGAATCCCGACTCCGAGTTTGGCGCTTGGGTAGATAGGGCGTATATCGGTCAGATCAACTTCCACGTCCCGGCGAATCCGCCTCTGCATGCGGCCATCTCGCGCCGAATCGCGGCCGAGGGCACGGTGTTGCTCAAGAACACCAAGGGCGCTCTGCCACTAGGTGCAGGAATCAAGCGGGTGGGAATATTCGGAAATGATGCTGGACCGATCACAAAGGACTGCGGCACGTTCACTATTTGTGAGGAGGGCACTCTGGTTGTGGGTTGGGGCAGCGGTAGCGGCCTCATTGATCATGTTGTTGATGTTCGTGCCAATCATCATCACCGCAATCGGTTACTCCAGACGGAGTGATCGGGAACACTAGCTAACGTTTATTAGCCCCTCTCGGCCATCACCGAACACGTGTCCGCGCTCTCCGGAAGTGTCGACAGTGTCTTGGATGACTACGATTATGCGGGTATCCGCCAGAAGGCCCGGGACCAGGACGTGTGTCTGGCCTTCATTAACTCGCGCAGCGGTGAGGGCACGAACAACGTTCAAGGCAACCAGGGCGACCGCAACAACATCACAGCGTGGCGCGACGGTGACACGCTCGTGCGGACCGTTGCCGGCGAGTGTGCCAACACAATCGTGGTGATCCACAGCGTCGGCGCGATAATCATGGAACCATGGATCGAGCATCCCAACGTCACCGCGGTCGTTCTCGCAAACCTACCGGGGCAGGAGAGCGGTAACTCCCTCGTCGACGTCCTGTGGGGCGCCACGAACCCCAGCGGAAAACTACCGTATACGATCGCGAAGCAGGAAGCGGATTACTGCTGCCGAGTGCAGTACGAATGGACTGGGTTCTTTCCCGAGCAGAAGTTTGACGAAGCCCTCCTGATCGACTACAAATGGTTCGACGCTAAGAGGATTGCACCCCGGTTCGAGTTCGGGTTCGGCCTGTCGTACACCAACTTCACATATGGCGGGACACTGGGTATCAGCACGCCCAAATCTTTGGCCGCGACCGGGTTCGTGGATACCGTCTTCACGGTCACGACGCAGGTCACGAATAGCGGGGATGTCGCGGGGAAAGAAGTTGTGCAGCTGTATCTATCACTGCCGTCTGCTGCGCCGGCCGGTACACCTGTGCGGCAGCTTCGGGGATTCGAAAAAGTTGCTCTGCAACCGAGAGAAACGAAACAGGTATCGTTCAAGGTGACGAGGAGGGACCTGAGTTATTGGGACGAGACTGCGAAGGGGTGGCTCGCGTTGAAGGGGGCATATGAGATTTCTGTAGGCGCAAGTTCCAGAGATTTGTTGGCTACGGCGAATGTGGTGGTTTCGTGAATTTAATACATAGGCTATGGTGGATATCAGAGTATTTACTTTAGTAGTTATTAAAGTAAATGGCCTGTCGCTCGTATAGAAGCTCGTGTCTTCCGGCAACAGACCTCTGACTCCCTTATATGAAGCCGAGAAAACAATCCATTCACTAAGTTTTTTGGTGCTTCCTTCTCCTTGATTCGAGATGTTCTCTTTTGAGGGAGGTGATGTGTGAAACCTTTTCCACGCACATACGGGAGTACTTCCTATTCAAGGGTTCGTGAGAAGCTCATCACCATTTTTGGGATTCCCCACAAGCAGACCGGGCCCAGCTCTATTACCACAGCTTTAAGAACATACACTGATATCGCACAACACATTCGGACATGATTAAAAAAACATAACCATCCAGTCATAACTCAGCATCCAATTGCTCCTTGCCAACCGTTCCCCATTCCCATTCTTCCCTTAAAATTGCCTCCTTACTGTCGCGGGACCCTTCGGCACCTATCACGGCTTGACGTCCAGGAGACGTGTCCAATCTGTCACGCCACACTTGGAATTTCGTCCGTGATTTCTTACCGCATTCTAAAATAAATTAGTCACCCTACACGTATCAAACCATCAACCATTGGTAACTGAATACATACCTGATAACTCTGCGAGAGCAAGTTTTTTCCACAAACTGGGCAAAACTTGAATGTGCTGTTTTTATGCTCTTTCCAAGTGGATTGGTTGTGGAGGTCGACTTCCTCACCATTAGCGGCCAGCCTCTGTCTCTCCTGTTCACTCTTCTCGTCTGCTAGTCTCTGCTTCCGCGCCTCCGGAGTTTCTTTTGTCCCCTTTGGCTTCACTTCCGGCTTCTGCGCTGTCTCGGCGATTTCTTGTGCATTGGTAGCCGCCTGCGTGGCAATTTCCGCCTGATTCTCTGCAAATTCTGCCGCTGCCTCCGCCGCCTCGACATTTCCTGCCTCCGCCGCTCTCGCCGCATCTGCCGCGGCTTTGGCAGCGGCCGTTGCCGCTTTCTTCGCTGCCGTCGCTTCGGCTCTCGCCTTGTTCGCCGCTGCCAACGCCGCTGCTTTCGCGGTCTTATCCTTCTTTTTCGTCGCGGCTGCCCCCGCCGCTTTCGCCGCTGCTTCCGCCTCCGTGGACGCGTTTGCCGCCGTCTCCGCCGCGGTTTTCGCTACTGTCGCCGCCGCCGCTGCCGCCTCCTTCTTTTCCTTCTCCTCTTTCTTCTTCGCCGCTTCCCCAGCCTTCTTCTTCGCCGCTTCCTCAGCCTTCTTCTTTGCCGCTTCCTCAGCCTTCTTCTTTGCCGCTTCCTCAGCCTTCTTCTTCTCCTCCTCCTCTTTCTTCTTCGCCGCCGCCTCCGCTTCCTCCGTCACATCCACATCTTCCCCATCTTCCCCATCTTCCCCATCTTCCCCATCTGATGCATCAGCTCTTCGACGTCCCGTCTTGATCGTCGGTTTTGTCGGCTTCTCCCCTATACACACAGCTCTTTCACCAGTCTTCCGTATACCTTTTTGCGGCCTCTGTGGCTTCTTAGGCCCTTTTCCGCGTTGCCCACCAGGATCCCCCGGCCGCGGATCGTCCACTATAAACGGTTTCTCGGGCTTCCACCCCGCCCTCAAAACCGTGTCCAGGACACCAACGTTTCTTTCGTAAGCGCGGCTCGTCGACCACTTCGTGGCCCTATCTGCTCTGCGTCTCTTTCTCGTCTGGCCACTAGGATCGAGCAAGTTCGATTCGTCGTCGTCCGACGACGTCAGATCGTACATGAACGGCGCCTCATTCTTGGGCCCGTCAAAGTCCGGATCGCGACGGAGTCGCCTCCGGGGCCGCACTCCGGACGGCATGTAGATTTCGAGCTGGTAGTCGACTGAGTTCTCCGATGACGAGGCGTCGTCGTGCTCCCTGGGCTCCCAGAAGGCGTTGAGCTTGCGCCGCTTGGGCACCACGGCGTCCTGCCGGCGGTTCGCCCGCTGGCGGTATCGCTCAAGGATATATCCCATGGCTGTTCTGTCCGCGACATCAGGGTGGGTGCCACGCACGTGGTTCCAGTTGAAGCTTGAGACACTTTTGGGTTCTATGACCGCCGTGGCGTTGCCCCGGAAGTAGCGTGGCTTAGCCGTGTCGTCCGGCGTGGTTTCACTCCAGGATGAGTTGTCACTGGCGCTCTCGACGCTGGCGTTCCCAAAAGACTCGTCGTCGCTGGCGTTCCCGAAAGATTCGTTGCCGCTGCTGTTCCCGAAAGTCTCGTCGCCGCTAACATTTATATCATCTGCGGTCCAGTTTTCTTCGGGGACCGTCATCGGCGTTTCGATCCCAGTCGATAGAGGCTTTCTCCGGGTCTCAGATAGAGGCTTGATTCGGGTTCCATCGTAGGGATATCGTGGGTAGTCGGTGGTCGCGTACAGAAAGCGATCCAGATGACCCCTCCAGTGGGAAACCCCGATGTATGAGGGTGGGAACTCGTACGAGAGGTATCTGCTGATGATGGTGTCGCACATGAGGTGTCCCGAAACCTTCTTCGGCTCGATCTCAAGGCACCGCTTGGGGACCCTGCGATCGGGAACTTTCCGCGTCACAAAACCCCACTTGTCATCGCCGACTTGGAAGTATCCAAATTCTGGAAGCTTGAGCGTTCGGAACTCATGCTCGACTTCTTCTTCACTGGTCAAGGGGTACCCGTTGAACTCTAATAGTGTCTGGTTGTCTTCTCTAGGATTGAAGCTCGTTCTCGAGAAAAACCCATCGATCGAGTGACAAATCATGACCTTGTCGTTCTGCGTACACAATGCAGTAATACGACGGTCGGCCATTTGCTTGACTGTTGCATTCTTATCCTCCGTCTGTGGCTCGTAACTAGTACAATGTCAACAGGGGGGCTTGCTCGCATTGGGTATGTACCCATAGAGGCACTCACGGTTGCAAGATGACCTGGCAGTTCACGGGCACGGGAATAATATCGATCAAGTGAGGACACGATTTGCCCTTGCATTGTGTTGCCGGTTTTAGGATCAGATCGGGATGCTCTTTGAAAGAAAATAAAACGCCTCCAGCGTGATCCAAGTGGTATCGTATGCGTTCGAGCGCGTTGTTGTGGTTGCCGTGTATCAGGTTCAAAGCCATGACATTGCAATCTTGGAACCATTGGACCCACTCGGAAAAATCCGGGTGTTTATAAGACAATATACGTCCCTCCTCCTCCTCCTCGACATTGGTTTGTGCGGGATCAAGGAAATACTTCTGCGGGCACCAATTGCGAAGAATCTCCGTGTGTGGGATGGTCTCCGTGCGCCCACGCTGTTTGATGTGCCAATCCCCGCTTCTGAGTTCCTGACTGACATGGCAGATTTGGTTCAGCATTTGTCGGAACTTTCTGTCGGACCTAGCTTCGAAACCTAGGCTCGTGTAACGTAAACTTGCTGCGTCCTTGAACTGTCTCTTCGGGTCTATCTCCCCCAAAGTCTCTTGACCACGGAGCGCCGCATCACGGTCAAGATGGAACATCCACAGGGTATGGATTGCGAGAATCCCACAACTATAATCGTCTTCCTGTGGGTAGGAGTGCGCTTGCCTGACTTTGATCTTTGCGGGCATACCAAGGTTGTGCAGACGGCTGAGCCACTGCAGGTTCACCTCGAGCCGCCGTATTTGTATCCTCTCTTTGGGCATACGTGTGTTGTGGTCCCATAGGGTTGCGGTTGTCCTGTCATAGATCATAAGCCACCAGTGATTATTAATCTCGCCTCTCCTTTGGGGGAAGTCATGCGTGATCATCTCTTCTTCCCACGTAGCAGGGAGTTCTGAGATCACAATGTGGACTCTGTCGGGTGTTCGACTCGATTCCGCAGCGGAACGAGCCTTGTACTCGAGCACTCTGAGATCGGCCTCGTTCTTGAGAGCGTAGTATTTCCTCGGCCTGGTGACGCTAAACTTTCTGTACAGTTCTTCCTCCTCCCGGATGTAGTAGTACATCTCGCTTTTTGTGATTCCGGTTTTTGTCAAGCGGGTCCACAGTTTCGGTTCGAGTTTCAGCAAGTCGTTGGGAATGTGCTCGAACAATTTCGCCTCGTATTCGCCCAGTCCGGGGCCTGGCAACTTCTGTTTCTTCCTTAGGTCGAAGACGGAGACCGCGGCTAACTTGACGCCGTCGGTGTCTTCGAAATATATCGTGGTTTCCTGGTCGATCGCATACACACACTCTCCAGTGTTGTGCATGTAAAAGGCCCAGAAGCGGTTATTCCGGAGCTCCTCAATGTGCAGATCGGGCCTCGTATCCACCCTATCGGCGGTTTTATAATGCAGCAGAGGTTCCGGACGTGCTCCGGTGAGAAACCTCAGATTGAGGTGACCCGACATGAACTCGTGCCGGCCGATCACAGCGATGTCGCATTTGTACGGTTCTCGACGGAACGGCTCGAACATCTGGTGGTATATGTGTTCGCCGATAGCACTCGAGACCAGCGCCTTGGGTGAAAGACCGCTGTCGTCTTTATCTTCGGCGTGGTAGAGATGCTTGTAGATCTCGAAGGCCCTGGGATTGGTCGGGTGGAAAGCCACCTCGACGTCGAATTCTATAGGTTGGTTGAGATACTCGTCGAGCTTCCATTCGCCGAATTTCTTCGTGCGGTCATCCACCCGTGCCTGTGTGAAATCGGCCTCCCGGAGGATTTTCTGGAAGATGGTCGGGTCGCGGACGACCCGTGTGACAGCGTCATGTTCATTCGGCAGGTTTTTGGCTTCCCATGTGATGTCGAAACTGTGGCGCCAGCGCAGTGGACCATGGAAATGCGGCATCGTTTGAGGGTGGCCCGGCGGTACCGGGGGTGGTGCGCCATCGATCTTTATTTTTGGTCCCGGGCTCTGGGAAGGTCCGGCTCCGCCTTGCAACAACAACGGTAGTTGGCGATACCGCGACTCTTCCATACCTGTTTGTTCCCACGCGGATCCACTGGCGAAAGAGAGATCCTCGGAGTTGCTGTACGACGTTTCGTGCCGTCGGCGACGTATGCTCTGCAGTACACCTCCAAGGTCGACCGGGCCCGAATCCAATCCAGCCGCACATGTTTCGGCATCGAACCACACCCAAAGGGAGGTTTCGAGATTCAAGAGAGCAGATCTGTCCAGAGGGCTGTCTAGAAGGATGACTGAATACTGGAAATCGGCATCGGCGTTTGCGGGCCGGCAATAGGCATTTCCATTCAGCGCGACTTGCAAGTTCAGAGCCGTGGCGCCAGCAGGCAAAGAAACCCTTCCGACTTTTTGCGGTGTAACCGGATGTTCTGATTCGGTGCATCGGTCAATCAGTCACTGCGCAGGCCGGGGGAGTCGCTCGAGGTATGTAGCAAATCTCTCACCGCTCACGATCTCGTCGATTTCCATCCTATCCTCCACAAACTCCTTTGGGTGGATCTCTGGCTCTCGCTCAGACCTGACATAGTAAGCCATCTAGTCCGTCGGGCAGTAAATCTCGAGGGAATCGCCAACGCACCTGCTAAGCGTGACTATCTGCCCGTGTTTTACCACGACAACCCGAGGCGTGTCTCCCTCCGCGTGGGGCAGCAGTCGCAAGAGGATGCCTGCGATCCGTGGTCGGCGTTCGGCGATGTACCCGCCGGTTTCGTGTGCGGATATATTCTCAAAAGCTGTTTCGTGCCCCTCCTGTCGAAGGACTTTTCGCACGGCCTCTATCCAGTACGAGACACTTGCGTCCATCCCCAGCGGCGGAACATCGTCGAGCACCATCATATCGGAAACCATCACAGGGCTTCACAGATGGAGAAGAAAAAAAACGACACGAAAAGTTGAGGAAGAGTAGGCTAATTACGACCGAACTTGGCTGGTAAAGATGCGAGTGCCGCTGTTCCGTCTAGCGTCGGCTATGAGGGAGGGTCTCTACGATTACGCGCTCAAAGGAGACGTTGTCGATGTTGTTCTGAATGTTTCCGCCGGTCAGGTCAATCGGGCAAGAGTGATGGATGGTGCGGAGGAGGAGGTGAGGTGAGGAGAAGGCGACAGAGATTGTCACGAAAGACTCTGCTTTTCTTTACCGCAGGGTTTGCGCGCGGGGCGCTGAATTGAGTCGGAATATAAGCCGGTGAAGCTGTTCGTCGCGCAGTCGGAACAAAGGATTGTTCGAGCTGCCTGGCTGCTGTTGTTGTTTACGATGGATGTCAAACAAAGAAAACGGTTACGGGACTTGAAGCCATAGACCAACTCGAAGGGGTGGTTTTTCTCGAGGATACCCCGCTAGGCCTTCCCCATCTCTCGGGGGAGAGCTCGCATGTTTGTCTCGTCGCTATTGGAGCGAGTTGTCTTCCGGTATATCTCGCATCGACCGTGAATGGCGACATGAAGGCGAGGCAAAATCCGCTCTTCCAGTCCACATTCAATGCGCGTATCAACAGTGATTTGTCACCAGCCGAATCGACAGCCAGACCGAGCTGGAGTGCAGCGCCATGACGACGTCCGATAAGCGTCGATACGTACATCAAGTCCTTGGAACGCATCAACGCATCGGCATCGCTGGTTTTCGCATTATCACGCTCGCGGTACCTTCTGCCACAATGGAAGCCGATTCTCCGCACGTTGGGAGCCGCGCGAATACTTTATTAGTGGACATCTACCAACGATTGCGGCGGCGCCGTCCATGCCCCCTCGACGTGATGTTTCGCAGAACCATTCTTCCCCGCTCTCGAGGCGCGGAGAAAGCTCCTGTCCAGTGTGGCCGTGAATTCCATACGGCTTCATTGTTTCCGGTATTGGAACAAAGCCCTTGTTTCGGCGGTGGTAAGATTTGCACTTGGAGGGGAAAAAACGACACAACAAAGGGCGGAATACTCGACTACTCTCTAGGCAGCATTTCTAGAGACACGCCCTTCGTTCGGTTTGTAGTGCGGAGAGAGAGGAAAATGGAATAGCACCGAGTGATCATGCCGTTGAAACACGGACTGCATCTGCTATCTACAGTGATCCACGATCCGTCACTCGAGCACGTGACCGTCTTATCAGGAGATTTTCGGCCATCAGTACCCCTTCCCCAAGTTTGAGGTGAGAGAAATGGGATTCACCCGAGAGAAAGAGATAGAGGGAGAGAGACAGAGAAGGGGACTGAATTTCTATGTACTGGCATCGTTTTTGCAGGCTTGGCCCCAGTTCGACGCCACTTTGCCACCGAGGACCGTGTCGTCGCATGTGCATGCACCACGCGTCGCTCAGCTCTCCAACACGTACCCCTTGGTTTTTCTTCCTGTTCCCCCATGCTCCCCCATGCTCCCCCACCCTCTCCTCCAGAAGAGATGTTGTCGCTCCCGTCTTCCACTGCTCGGATGTGATTGATGCTGAAATGCTGCGGTGCAGATGGGATCGGGCGCGAACAACTGGCTATGTACATCATAGGTAGCGACCACTACTTCAGCAGGACGTCTCTGAGTGGAACAGGCGTCCGCCGACACCCGTGCTCCTCCCGCTTACTACTCGCACGAGGCTCCGATAGTTTGATTTGAGTCATATTCATTCCCCATTACAACGGTCAGCCGACCGATCATACGCGACCTCGGTGGTGCATAATGATCGCATCGGCCTTCATAGAATTCCCCGGCACCAGATTGTGATAACTATCGCCGTCACCGATGACGCCGCGCGGGTCCACCTGCGGCGTCGGTCCAGACCGCTCCTCGCTCCGCTGCCCATAGTACCCATTGGCGCCGGGCTCCTTCCCGCCGCGCCAGAACACTCGCAGATTCGGCAGCGAGAACGCAACGAGCACTGGCACGACCATGACCATTGTGCCGACGATGTGCACGTTGCGCTTCGCGAGCGTCAGGAACTGGCCGTCGGTGTAGCCGCCGACCTTGGCGTCGATGATCCGGTAGAAGCTGACGATCACTGAGATCACGCCGAGGGCGACGATGGTCGCTACGCCGTAGCGCTGGGTTCGCGATCGGCGTGGGAGCTGCAGGAGGGCGAAGATGGGGACCGCGAGGACGAAGAAATCGGTGAAAACGTTGAGAACGCAGGCGGTTACGAGCGGCGCGAAGGCGACGGCAATGATGCAGATGCCGCCTGGTCCGGCGTGCGGATGCCTGGTAAATCATTCAGCAAAAAAAACTCCCCACCCTCCCCCTCTCGAAGAACGAGGTCGGAGCAAATATGGGTTTACATACCAGTTCTTCTCGATGGGATAGCAATAGAACGTAAACATCCCAAACGAGGCACAAAAGGTGACGGCGGTGATCCCGATGGTGATAGCGAACAGCGCCCGCAGTCTGGGTTCGAAGCCGCGGTATGCGGGGGCATACGAGGCCAAAAAGGAGGCCTTCGACAGCCACAGCGCGAATATGGTGGCGATGTCGACGGCGTACACGATCTTGAGTGGTTCCGGGGTCGACAGCTTCGCCCGGATCTGGGCTTCGGTTTTGCCTTCCGAGATCCAGCGAAGGATGGTTCCTCCTTGATTCACCCAGGAGCCCATGATGAAGATAGTGCACAGACAGGCGACTATCATGCATATGGCACTCAGCAACTCGAGCGTAGTGAGGCAGACTCGCCGGCGGAAGAGGATGACGACGCGGAGGATGATAAGGATGGCGCTGATGGTGAGGCCCACGGCCTCGACGGCGACCATTGTGGAGGTCTTCATGGTGATGTGATGTTTTCGATGATGATGATGATTTCGACTTCCGATGGGGAGTTAGCACATGAATCATTCGCAGAAAATGGGATGCTTGATGAATTTACTTTAGATACCGACTAAAAGGCGGGTATGTAGGTATGTATGTAGGTATTAGGGAGTTGTGAGAGGCTCGCAAGTGACCATGGCACGGAGGAGCTTTTCGAGAGGCGTGATCGCACTTGCAGGATCCGGAGCACTCGCCAGGCACGAGGGACTGGACCGGTATATATAAGTAGTAGTTATAGCTCTTCCGCACTCAGAGTCTCCCAACTGTCGGAACCAACTAAGCGAGAGTGATCCAGCGCCAGCACCGGGAAGTGGGGATATTGGTGCTCCTTTCAGTCCGGGTATTTATGTATGTATGTATGAGATCAAAGAAGTACTATGCAGTAGGTAGTTAGCGAATGTGGTGGTGGTGGTGGCGTATGTAAGTATAGTAGAAAGATTCGTCTTGATTTCATCGAAGCTCCTATTAGTTAGCAGTTACTTTAGTACGCGATGCGACGAGGACATTGCTTTATGTAGTACGGATATCTATATGGGGGGACGGGGGATATCCATTGGCCCGCCGGATACCGCAATGATGGATGATTCACATGAAGAATTTTCGAACGACCGGGCAGAACACCGCGACACACGGCATTCTATCGAAAACACATTTTGAATTCCAAAGGGGGTACCTACATACGCGCTCCAGTTGACCGCTCCGACCGAATCTACGTATCGATCCTTCACTCTAAACAAGGCTGGCCAACCGGCGCCATCCGCAGCAACTCGATCACGGCCAAGGTATGTAGATACTAGGTATACTAGTAGATGCACCGTAGTTAATCTTGAAGCTGGAGAGATGGGGGAGGGGAGGGGGCGAGCATAGCGCAAGAGCCCTTGCCATTAAGATAGTGGCGAAACCAGGGCTCTATGTACCTACTCTAGCTACATATCTCCAGGACAGCCACGCAACCATCGACTCGTCTGTCTGTCGAGTTTCGGAATGTGGGGAGCTGGGGGGGACGAGAACGTGGCGAACATGGCTTTTCGAACGAGAGTGCGATGGGTAACTAGAATATGCATAGAGTATAGCAATCGCGATGTCTGCGACGTGAGTGAGGGAGTCAACAGTTAGTTTCGTTTTATTTCGACCGGCCATCATAATTGATTGGTCCGGCGCCAGCCCAGTTGCCATTGAAATTCCAACCAAACCAAACCGGCTGCAGGGAGTTGATGGTTTGGTTTGGTATAAGTTTTGGTAGGTTTCATTCGAAGGAAGGAGTAGAAGCACGGAAGGATGTTGGGCTTGCATTCTAGAAGAACCTTCAACCAATAAACGCCCGGCAGCGAGCCGAAATTGCGTATATGGGCACTCACGCGGTCACACCCCCAGCCTGCCACGCGACGACCCGCACCATACGAAACCCGCTCCCAGCGCACGCACCGAGGTACACGCCGCGGACAGAAGCAAGTAATTACTTGACTAATTGTTTCTGGAAGAAAGTGACGGTACTTAGGGTGTCCACAGTAATTTTGATACAGTCGTGCAGTCGAGTGAGGTACCTGCGCCATAACTACGCGTGGCCGAGGACCAGTCGAGCTCTCGAAAAGCAAGAATCAAAAATCAGCAATTACTATTTACCGTATATGCATAGCAACCGCGTATGTAACGGCAGGATCCACCAAGTGAAACGAGATGAGTACTGTGCATCACTCGTGTCGATCAACTAGGTGTGTATCAACTACCTACACATCACATCCCCGGTGAATTCTTCGCGCTCAAGTTGATATCTAACAGAAGCGATCGTGAGCTGCTCTTGGCGGAAGTTCCCTAGATGGATAGTTTGAATTATGTAGGTATTCGGCATGCTGTCGCTGTATGCACCTATGTGGGGAGGGGGGATTTTCGTTTACCCGAAAGAATCCAGACCGGAGCTTCTGGGGGGAGGGGGCTAGCAGCATGGATGGAGCATGAAATGCATGTACTCTAGATATGTATGTAGAGTAATATCGGCTCGTTCCGTCGATCGCCTCAGGAGTCAGTTTGAGTTCGTTAGCGACTGTCTCGCTTCCTCCCAGAGTGGAGTACCTACAGTACCCACCCCGATGCCGGATGTCTCGTGACCGGGTTTCGGGATACCTATATCCCGGCTTGTATTGTATGATTGTGTGCATTTTCTCTCTTTTTTCCCCAGCAGGCGCGTGAAATGAGAGCCCGTGAGGACGCCCCGGTTTGGGTACCCACGGCGACGGCCGATATTCTTCGCCGACATCTAGGGAGGTACCAAGGTTTCCAGCCATCGAAAGTCGGCTTATCCCGGCCCCGTCGGCCTGGCCAGTCGAGCTCCTCTCCGCCTTGCATAAGCTCAGGAGCTCGTCTGTACACACCATGCGAACTTTGGTGTAACAACGACTTGGAGATGCAGCTGTTTGCTAGTTAGCCCTGAAGCTCGAGGTCTAGCCGTGGTATCATACTTACTAGTGGTTCCTGGTAGGTGAGCTATCAGAACCGAACTCACTACCGTACATAGCGCGGAGTGGGGCAGAAATCCCCTTCCTGCTCGACAAGAAAGTTACAGTTCCAAAGGGTTGCAAGGGAAAAAGAAATGAAAGTTGTGTACGTACCTATGTACGAGTACGACGAGGAGAAGCAGACCTCCTTTATCTATGGATACAACGCACGGTGTCCCGCCGCAGACTTCTCCGAGATACACCCACAGATGGATCCCCTCTGGGGGATCGCAATGGATGTTGGATATAACTACTAGTGTGTACTTGTATACATGTATGTCCGCCGTGCGACATGGATATAAAATCCTGTCCGACGACAACGACGTGCGGCGCATGCGGCGGCTGACGTGAATAGCAGTGTATCTCCTACATCATGTACGGGGCGTGTGTAAATTTGTTGCTCTGCATAGTATGCCAGATTAGGAGGCTGCAGACTGCAGTGCGTCTACACAACCACACGACGCACTGTCTCGATTAGTCTGGTTGCAGTTGTGCTGGTATCAGTCACGCGGTTGCTACCATGGCAGTGGCCGTCACCGCCTCTCACCCACTGTACTTCAAACCTCCTCGGTGCCAATACCAGCGACACTGAGGTTATGGGGCCGGGACTCGAGTCACAAACAGGCAGTCATGTTCCAGATGGGCCACTGGCGGTCGAATGCTGTTGATATCACTCGTTTCCAACCTTTTTGCATCGGTCCAGATTGGGCCAACTTCATACACTGCAACAAATTTACAAGCGCCCGGAGACGTAGGGGGTAGTACAGACCTGCAGGAACAAGTGCGGGCACCTATGTAGCAGACAGCGGGCGACGGGGAAGGGGCGGGGCGCGGCCCGGAGCGTGCATTCCCGCCGGAGACGTTCAACCTCGGGATGGGAAGGGATCGGCGTCGGCATGTATGTTTCTCAAGACCTAGGATGGTCCTGGCACATCGCGCTATCTACTCTGTGCAGAGTACCGCTCTAGCGAGTCGACGGAGGTCGGACCTGGGTGTGCTTAGGTAATACACTGTACCTACCAAGGTTACCTACTCTAGATGCCACGGGATCGGGGAGTCGACGTGGCAAGAGTCGCCTGACTCCCGGAAATGGCAGAATTCTTGTATGTAGCAGCAGTGGGACGAGCGGTGGAATGGCTACATAGGGTCCGAGAGAAATCCGCGGCAGAGAGGGTCGAAATCTCGAGCGACGGTTCCTCGAGTGCCCTTCGATTCCGATTGTGCCGTAATTAGTTAGACCAAAAACCCGCGGTAAGGAAGAAGACGAGTGATTTGTCGACGATCGGAAATTCTATGGTCAGTCGAGAACATTAAGTGTTACAAACTTTGTTGGTAGGTGAGTCCAGGTTCCAAGTTTACTGTTGTGGGGTAAAGACCCTTTGATTTATGTAGCTCCTGGGGGGTTCCAACTTTCAGGCCACCCGCCGTCTCGCCGAGCACGACTGTGAAGGTTTCAATTTCTGGCACTGCGGTCAAGATCCAGTGCGCGTTGCACTACTTAATATCACTCACCACGTGCCTAGATATTGCATTGCCGGAACCAAGGCGCCAGGGGAATAATGTCGGTCGGGTATGAAGGGGCGGGGAGTCGGCCGTTTATGTACGGTACTCGGAGGACGATTATCCGGGTTTGCGAGGGCTCTTTACCAATGCCTCTCCAAGCCTGACGAGAAAGCAAGCGCACATAGAGGAGAGAGGGGAGACGAGGGTTTGACCGTCTTTTCTATACGAGTAGATGATGGTCAGGAAAAAAGAAGGAGAAGAAGGCCTTGCGGCCATTCCCACCAACGCTGATTCCCACCAACGTTGGTACCCACTACTAACCACATTCATTTTCTCTCACCGGCAGGTGTCTTCCTTCACTGTGCCACACCGGTGGGGAGATGTCTGTTGCTTATGTACCGGTACTCTACTCTATTCTCCTTTGTAGTTTCGCTCATACTTTCGCTTGAGTATCTTGATCCGCTACTCTATTCTCCTTTGTAGTTTCGCTCGTAGTTTCGCTTGAGTATCTTGATCCGCTTGGTTGCCTTGGTTCGCATTCGCTTGATACACTTGATTCCCCGATCGTCGTCATGGGGCCTGGCTGCTGAACTATCGAATTCTGAATTGAAGAGAATTTATATGGGAGCTCTCGAGTAGTGTCCACGGGACAATTACCTATTAGGGATAGAATTACGGGTAACAGCATGCTTTACCAACAGCCTAATGGGGAAATTCGAGCAGTATCTTCAAAGTTCATATAGGTATTCGATTCTATAAATATGCTGAGTTGGAGACCCTTGGAAGTTGGCATAGGTACCTCATCTATCTAAGCTTAGGCTCATCATTGCGCCCACCATCGTTTACTCCTCTAACGAACGAATCATCACCGTAGAAATGGCGGGTGTGTGTACCAGGAACAGCCGATACGTCGTGCCTCACCACCATTACGAATTACCTTTAAGCGCAAGATGAGGCAACACTTACCCTTACACCCGATCGAGTACACGCTGCTTGTGGCTCCCGATCGTATGGTCTGGGTCTATACCTACTCTAGGTATACAAAGTCTCTGATTTTTACCTCTTTAGTTGTTGAGCAAACGGCGATTTCTTTGGGTATCCGCCGGGAGGCTGGAGCACCAACGCCGCCACGACTACGGTACCTAGCCCCCAACCGTGTGCTGGCTGGCACGAGTGCCTACTCTCTAGAGTAGTAATATGTACCTAGATGGTATCAAAATCAGGTGATGCGCAGTCATCAGTGCATTCCAACCAACAACTCATGTTGCAAAAGTTTCGCACCGGCCGTCAACCGGTACCATGCGGATAGCCCTACCGTCGCCATCACCACCAACAGCACACCTTACCCTAGTCCTCGCCACACAACATACAGATAATCTCACGGACGACCATTACTCTAGAACTTCAGTTATGTCGGTTTGAAGCTGAATGTAGAGTACCAGCTCTACGTCACGCCCAGCTCGCGGGGGCCTGATCACCGCGCGCTGAGCCAATGGCCCCACGTCCGCGCGCTAGTGACCGTAGCGGCAGGCCACTACGCCGTAGTCAGCAGTCAGCGTGAGTGTGCTGGGATGTCAACGCGGGGGGGGCTGAGGCGCGATACCACAGCCCCGCGTCATCGACGTCAGCTGGCTGCGGACGCCGGCCTCGATCGGAGTCGAGAGGCTGGAAAGCAGTGAGCTTGCTATTTCGGTCCACGATCGACAGGTGTCAGGCACGTACATAAGAATTGAGCTTCCCGCCCTCTCGTTGCTGGGGAAATCACCACTACTACCACCACTACCACCACCACTACCACTACTACTACATATCTTCCACTGCACCTCAACCGAGAACCACCATCTTCCAGTTGAATAACCCCACCTCCCCACCAACAAAAATGCAGTTTACTCTTCTCCTCTCGAGCGTGCTCCTGGCCATCCCTTTCGCCGCGGCCCTTCCCCTCGCCTCTCCCAACACCATCACACCGCGCGCCGTCTTCCGCAGCGCCGACGGCAACACGGTGTGCATGGCGAACTTCCAAGCCACGCCGATCACGCCGGCCAAGTTCGACACGCTGCTGTCCACGTTCCTCGACGGCGACGGCGGCGCCTGCTGCGGCGGGTACTGCATGGAACTCTCCGCTCCTGCGGCCGAGGAGGCCGTACTGGCAGCGGCGGATAAGCTGCGGCTGTGTATCGGACAGGCCGATGCTGGTGTTCAGACTTTTACTGGTATGTACACACCGATGTTCGCGAGAGGCCTCGCGGGAAATGGGATTGTCGCTAATGGACTGTTACAGTGGATTATTCTGAGCTGCGGTTGGCATACCGACTACAGAGTTCCAGTGTTCCGAGTGCTGGGTTCCGGCAGTGCTAGGTTCGCGATAATGGGTTCGTGATGATGATGGATTGATGATGGATTGATGAATGGGATATCTGTGGCGAGAAGCATTAGCGAGGCGTTTTGTTTTATGGGAATATTTATGATAATAATAAACGACGAGTCTCTTATGTATTCGGGAGATTATGCCGATCGACGATGATGGTGATGATGATGAGGTGGTTGTGCCCTTGGGCCTTCTCCACGAAGAGCGAGAATTCAGAGCGCCAGAGCGTGCTGTCGAAATGCGATAGCGATGATGGATCGTATGCATGATGTTCCGATCTGCAGGCCACGTGCGTCCGAGTCCTGACCACCATCCCCAGAGCGAATGTAGCAATGGCCCTCACAAATCACCTCCCTTCTCGGTCCCCTCTGACTACCCCGCCGTCGCTTCTTTTCGGCTATCTGGATTTCCACCGTCCGGCTCTTTCTCCACCCCCTTGCATCGCCGCACCCCGCCGCCGCTTCGGCCCGGTGCCAGGGATACGCCCCCTGAACGAGGTAGGTACTGCGGAGATGCCAATCGTGACCTTTCAAGTATATTCGGACCAAAAAATGCCGCAAAACAAACGCCTATCCTGTAGTTAGTCTCATGACGCAGTAAAGAACTACCTATGCCCGTAAAGATGCAGACAAATAGCACTCGCGTAGAAAGAAGAGAAAAACAAGAAAAGAACGTGGACTACAAAGTCCTATCAAATGGTATCAAAAACGCAGTAAAATTGAAATCAGAAAAAAAAATAGCTCCTCCCCTCCCCCTAAATGCTGGTATTCGCCTCTCCTTCCCAGCTCGTGCACTAGACCAGAACCGCACTCTCCTGCGGCTCTGTGTCCTCTTCCGCCTACTCCTCCAGCTCTGTGACTTCCTCCTCTTCCGCGTCCTCATCTGGGCGGAGCCGGCATCCCTTCCTGACAGCAAATTGCTGTACAGGCACTCGTCCGTAGACGTAGTGTGGGGGCAACATGGTCGGTGGAACGGCGGAGGTAAACCCCTGGCCGGACGGGTAGACAGCGCGCGGCAAGCCGCCGGTCTCCATTCTAGTCTCAATGACGATTCCACGATTCTCGACGTTGCCGTAGCCGCCGCCCGGGATGTGGGTACCGGTATTGTCGTTGCCGGGTCCCGTTCCCAGCAACGTCGGCGAGCTGCCGGTGAGGCACGGCGACACTCGCCGAGGAGTCAAAACCTCGGCCGGTTCCCCGACCTCCGGCTCGACTCCGACAATTCCCGTCCCGATCGGCTTCATCTCTTGATCCCTATCGGGCGTGCGCGCAAGGAGGCTGGCCGCCGTCAAGGGCTTGAGCCCCGCTCTCCGTTCGATGCGCCTGGTCCAGAACTTTGCCTCCTTCTCGTCCCACAGCATGCTCAGGTACTTTGGCATGCCGGATCCGTTCGCGCGACGGAATGGCTTCCACTGGGGATGGACGGGGTTCGTGGGCGGCGGTGAAAGGTAGGTGTCGTGCCCCCTGTTGACTACGAGACGGTCCGATCCGGACAATGGCTGATAGTACAGCGAATCCACGAGGGGGTACAGAATCGTCTATAGCGCTTGGGTACGCTCGCGGCGGAGATTCGGCTTGGTACGAGCAACGAATTCCACCGTGATGGGCACGTCTGCGGGGTCAAGTGAGACGCTGGTGCGTCTAATTTTCATCATCCATGGGGCGGCCGCACGGGGAGCAGTTGGGTTGCTGGGTTCCAGCGCAACGCCATTAAGCGTGCATCCAACAGAGGAGAAATCTCCCGGGACCACCATGGGACGGTGCGGCATCGGACCTGCTCGGCTAACCTGAGGCTGCTGCTGCTCCTTGTCAGCCAGCAGCCGCTCGAATTTCGCCAATAGCTTCAGCAGGATCAATCTTTCCTGCTCATGCTCATCCTGTAGTTGCCCCTTGGGTTTCTCATCCCGTTCGCAACGGCGGACGCTCGTCGAGGCCTTCCCCGCCTTCCGCTTGGAGATAACAGCTGCGGACAAGTCGTGTAAGCTTTGTAATAACAGTCGGAGCTTTGCACGCTTGTGTCGGAGGATCTTACCTGGTGGACGAGGACGATACTCCTCGTATAAACTCCCGTTTTCTCCGCTACATCGGTAGAAAATGGTACCGCCGACGATCAACTTCCGGGGTTCCGGGTTCGTTTGACCGTCGAGCTCTGGGCGGGATGCTCTGATGCGCTTCATGAAGCGCTCACATGATAACTCCATTGGAGTCTTCTGGATACGGATGAAAGCCGTAGGGGTCGAAACGCTTGAAGCTGGGCACTCCTGACTCGCAAGCTTCCGCGCGGAAGACTTTGTTGGCATTGCCACTGGGGAGGCTCTTTGAGCCAGTGACTCGGGCTTCTTCTCGGAGGCACGCGTGAGAACTAATTTTCTTGGTGGAGGAGGGGGTTGAATTGATCCCCGCCTAGAAAGTGACGAAGACGGTAGGTTCGATTGGCTTCTATGTGGAGCAGATAAGCTCTTCGGAAGCTTAGAGTTCGCCATCTCAATGTCGTTTGGGTTTGCGAAGTAGATTTCCTCTAAACAAGAAAGCTGTCTTCGGCGGGAGAGAGTCGAAAGGGGGAGTGATTCGAAGTGCAGAAGAGAGGAGTGTTTGCAATTTTAGAAGAGAAGAGTGGAAGTGGAGAGGAGAAGAGCGGTTGGAAGTTCAGAAGAGAAGAGTGATGATGAGCCAGGGCACTTGGGCTGATGCAGCCCTACCGAGTGATTGGTATATGCTAAACAAAAAGTAGACATCTTTAGAAGCAGGTACTGTCCGCCAACAGTACTATCCTGTCTCACGATGGTAGGTATACAACCTCCATGCGTAGTCGCTTGATTCTCTTTCCGTACGACGATTCCATGGATTCAACGCACAGAAACTGTAGCACCATCCTCATGTGAGGATGGTAGAAACCTCAATGCGCAACCCGAACACCCCCAATATAAAGTACCGGCGACTCTACGAATGAAATCACGTTAGCTTGACGAGTATCCTTCACCGTTGTACTAGTATTCACCGGCATCGCTCGGAACTTTGAAAAATTGCTGTGTATATTCTGGGACGTCGCGATACTGTGTAGCTTCAGAAGGTCTGCGGGATAGATCTACCGGATCCATCCACGAGCAGATGACATCCGCCGACACCTGCGATACCCTGGGGAATTTCTGCATTCGGTGCCGCTTAGATGGTGTATAAAGGCGGGGAGACGCTCTCACTCCTCCTCCTCCTCCACTCCGGTTTTATACTACAGCCTACCCCGCTTCACCATCTTACCAGCGACAGCCCTTCGCTAGCACAGTTTCAATTCATCTCATCAGGAACAATGCGATTCCCCACCGCTCTCTTCCCACTTTTCACGCTCGCCTCCTGCGCAGTTCTGACCTTCGACGACCTCCCCGTCCCCAACGACCCCAACTGTGGCAGCCTCACGTTTACTCCCGCCACGCCTTACAAAGGCTTCACCATCAGCGGCACCGTCCTGAACACCACGCAGACGCAGTACTGCCATCAGTCTTCCTCCGGCGCAGGGCCGTGGCACCGAGCCGTCAGCCAGCCGAACCTCCTCACCTCTATGGACGGAGTCGTAGCTTTCGAAGCGAAGAAGAAGTTCGATGTGAGCCAGCTGGCGTGGGCGACTGAGTTGCACTGGACCATACTTGCGATGGATCCGAACGCGGTTGTCAGGGTCATGGTACAGGGGATGAAGATGATCGGCGGGCCGCCGGTGGTCACGAAAAGCATCGACGTCCAAGCCCCTGGGCCGCATGTGATCGAGCTGCCGGGGTTCAAGGGATTTAAGGCGGTGAGTGTCAAGGCGGAGTTGAGGTATACGAAGCAGGGAGCTCTGGTGGTGCTCGGCGCACCGTCATATGTCGACAATTTCATTTATAAGTTTCTGTGAGTCATGTGCCTGTTGTCGATGGGCTTGTTGGTTGGTGGCGTCGGTTTAGTAGTTTGTTGGTTTAGTTGTTTGTTGGTATGGATGGAATGTCACTCGGCTGGGAAAGTTGTGAAAAGTTGTTTTGCACCGAGTGATGAGATGAATGATGTCTTTGAAAGATGAGGGGTACAAACCCCAAACACCGCAAGTGCCTTCAACGCAAATAACTCCTATTCCAAGCATCGTAAAACAAAATCCAACCACTCCTGCGAGACTCGATACCAACACTCGTATCTTCCGCCTCTGAACACCTCAACATCTAGCATCGATGTCCGCAGCCCACAAATTATCACCCCCCTCGAGAACCACCGCACAGTCTCCGCCGACAATCTCCCCTCTACGAATGTTCAGTCTGACCACGCCCCGCAGCTTCCGCAGTACCAGCTTCAGCTCGCCCTTCAAGAAAAAATCCCCACCGCCCGCAACCAACGGCACAGCCAACACCAGCCCTAACTCGAAAAACACATCCATCGCGCCAGTCCTACACCTAAGTAATGGCACACGACACTACCTGGACCAACGCAATATATCCAAGCCCCGGCTAGACTTTCTATCCAGTCAGCACCAGCGCACGTCCGGCGTAGTTGACGCGGGGGAGTTCCGACTGCCGCTGGATCTGCGGACGTTCCTCTTCTTGCCGAGGAAGGAGACGCCACAGTGCTTAAGGGAGTTTGTCCAGTACACCGAGGAGCTCATGGTGCAGTTAAGGGAGATCGAGGGTCGACTGCAGGTGATGCGCGAGTGGGAGAGGAGCGGAGAGGGGGAGAAGGTTAGGCACGACTTTTGTGAAATGGTCTCTGCGGCGATGGAGCCCCTGACCATGATGCGCTGGATTCTGAGGAGGCTGGTCAAGCAGCGCCCGGCGGAGTTGAGGACGAACCACCATGCCATCGAAGAGTGGCGCGAGGATGTCGCCCTGGTTGCGAATATGGTGGCTTCGTGTTTCGTGGAGGCGGCAAGGGTCGCCGAGACTAAGGACCTGGGTGAAGCGGCAAAGGTGCTGGCCGGTATACGGAATATTCGTTTGCTGAAATGGGCATTCGAGTTAGTAACCCCTTCCGGCGATTGCTGGTTTATAGTTACCGTACTGATCATTACATATGTACCACAGCGACAGGATTTACATCCCACGGCCAAAGCGGGCCAGCCTTACGGTCATGATTGCGCCAAAGCTCGAAGAGAAAATTGTCGAGAAGGTGTGGAACTTTGTGGACGAGCAAGTCCAGGCGCTTGCGACCGGAGAGCTACATGTATCCGACAAGGAAAGAGATTCCAGTTCGGGGAGCATATTTGGAGGCATTGAGGTTTGCTTTCCGGTTTGACTGGTATCGGTAGTTGGGGATGTTCACCGGAGTGCAGGAATACGAAATCGAAGGCAATATGCCGCTGAGCGATCATCATTTTTGATAGCGAGCTTCATGTTTCATTTACAAGATATCGCATGGTCATCGAAGTTCTCCTCTTTAACATAGGTATAACGGGCCTATTTGTTTTTTGTACTCGGTGCGTTTTTTGGGTCATCAGGCTCGGGTTTTGTGTGAAAAACGGAGTTATGCAGTAATCAATGCCTTCGACTTGAACAAATGGAAACCGTTATGATAACACGAATCCGTGCTTGGCATGTCAAACGGGCGTAAAAGGCCATGGTGTTTCATTCCGACCTATAAAACCCCCCTAATGGAGGTACTCACTCGTACCCCTTCCCCAGAAAACCCGTAGATTGCACCATTTCAATCCTCGAATATTCCCCAGATGAAGTTCCTCATCCGCCCGCGCTTGAGTCGTCCCCAACAGCCCGACCCAGAATCCGTCCTCCGCGTACAACGGGATATAGCACTGACAATCCTCGAAGCCGAGCGTCTCCATACCCAGGAGCTAGAGCATCGATTATCTGAGGCACAGGATGACCTACGGAAGCTCCGGAATACAGTGCGCAAGCTGCGAGGGAAGGAGCAGGTGGTCATCATGATGGTTGACTCGGAGTACGCACGGAAAAATAAGATTGGTGAAGTTTGAGATCCAGCTCCGGCAACGAGACGCAGTACACACCTACGTATTCGGGAGGCGTTTTCTGGATGACTGCAGCTGGAAGATGTGCGGGCTTGTTCTGTGACGTGACATACATACGAGCTGGTTTTGTGTGATGTCTACTAATACCGGTATGCGCAACTGCATGCAACATGGAGGGCTAGACCGTTAGAGTAAAAATGGCAATTTCAAGATACCCACCGGTACCTGGTTCATGGACGAGACGTGACAGCTGTCAGTCCTAGACACGACCCGAAAGAACGGTCGACTCACCCACCGCCGATCACATCCTCGCCATCGAGAGCTCGAAACCGAACTCCGGAGGACCGTATTGGTCTCGGCTGTATCGGCATGATAACGTCGCACCGCTCCTCCCCCCCGGCTGCATGATTGCCGCACGATCCGAATCGGACGGCCGGCCGTAGTTGTCGGACATTAGAGACTTCGGGACCGGGAATCTTCAAAGCATTAACTCCGAGGAATAGCCGAGAGACCAGAAAAGAAAATAACATCACTTTGGGGCCTGGGCCTTCGACACCCTGGGACCAGAAGGTCAAGCCGAAAGCTAGGGGTGCTCGGTACTATGCATTCGTAACGAGGACTACCTACTGGTACCTATACACGGTAGCAAGCCGTGATTGGGCCAGTGAAATTCCTCAGTTACATATGTACGCCCCCGCCCGGCCTCGGGAGCTCATCCCGCCGGGACCCTAGAACGACCGCGTTACGCCACTACCCTACTCCGGGCCCCCACGAGCAACTGCGTCCGCTATCGATATCCGCGCACACGCCCCCAGCGAAAAGCGCCATGACGACCGGTTATGTCGGAACGAACCCTGCAGACTCTGCGGTCGCGAAGGGATTCCCCCATAAGGATCCATCATCCATGACGAACTAGGTACTCTAGTTAAACTGGAATCTGGATAGCAGTTAAAATGGAGGGAAGAATTCCAACTTAAAACCAACGTCCCCGCCATCATGGCAATGGAAGATGCTGGCAAGGGAAAAGGAAAAGGAACGATAGAAAATGTCTTCGACATCACCGGTAGCAGAATTCTCCCAGGGTAGCGTAGAGAGCGCCGCGCATGCGCCAAAGGCGGCTGATAACGTCGACCTCGAAAAGACCACGACCTCGACACCAATAGAGGCCGAGGCATACTCGGTCTTCACGCGCCCGCAGAAGCGATGGATAGTGCTTCTCGTGGGGATAGCCTCCTTCTTCTCGCCACTCTCAGCCAACGCAAGTTCTCCATCTAAAACCTACCTAGCCTGATCGTCCCGCTAACCGTAGCCAGATCTACTTTCCTGCACTCTCCTCCCTCTCCGCCGACCTCAACGTGTCTACAGAGTTGATCAATTTGACTATAACAAGCTATATGATCTTGCAAGCTCTCGCACCTATGCTGATCGGCGATCTGGCGGACACGCTCGGTCGCCGACCCGTGTACATTCTCCTCTTCGTCATCTACATCGCCGCAGACATCGGACTGGCACTGCAACGGGCGTATCCAGCACTACTAGTCCTGAGGATGCTCCAGTCGACCGGCTCGTCAGGCGTAATCGCCCTGGCCAGTGGCGTGGTAGCGGATATCGCGCACGCCGGCGAGCGCGGCGCCTACATGGGAGCCGTAAACCTCGGCGCCATGTGCGGGCCTGCCGTCGGCCCGGTGATCGGAGGAGTTTTGGCCGACAAGCTGGGTTGGTGGTGGATCTTCTGGATTCTTGCCATATGTGGTGGAGTGTATCTGGTATTCCACGTCGTGTTCTTCCCCGAGACGGGGCGGAGCGTGGTCGGGAATGGGTCCATCCCGCCACCGCGAGTGGATGCGAGCCTTCTGCAGCTGCTCAAGGGTTCGAAACATCCCATCGACACGCCGCGGCCGCCCCGGCCGAAGCTCCGTGCGCCGAATCCGATGGCTAGCTTGAAATTGTTGTTGCATAAAGATATGGCGCTGGTCCTCTTTATCAACGGTATATTCTACACGGCGTTCTACATGATCATGGCCTCACTGCCGTCTGTTTTCGCCGACATCTACGGCCTCACTCCGCTGCAGGTCGGCCTATGTTACCTCCCATTCGGCGTCGGGTGCGGTATAGCCTGCATCATCGCCGGGCGGTTGATGGGCCGAGACTACAAAATCATTGCGCAGCGCTGCGGGATAAAGCCGGATGCGAAGCGCGGCGAGGATATGCTGAAGTTTCCGATCGAACAGGCGAGGCTGAGGAGTGTTTTCTGGTCGCAAGCTCTGTTCATGGCCGCCATCGTAACTTATGGCTGGTTGTTGCATTTTGAGACTGTATGGCTTCCAACCACGACCCCGCCCCCTTCACCTACCCTTAGCTAACATACATCTCTAGCACCTCGCAGCGCCGTTGTTCCTAACATTCGTCGTCGGTGTCGCTGGCACCTGCGTGTTCACCGTCCTCAGCACGCTGGTGGTGGATCTGTACCAGACGCGCCCCAGCAGCGCAACAGCGTGTAATAACTTTGTGCGCTGCCTGATGGGTGCCGCCGGAACAGCTGTGATAGAGAGCATGCTCCAGGCCATGGGACGCGGTTGGTGTTTTACGTTTGTGGGCATAGTGTGCACGCTTATGGCACCGCTGTTGTTTTTGGAATGGAAGTATGGCATGCGGTGGAGGGTTGCGAGGCTGACGAGGGAGAAGGAGGCTGAGAGGGGGTAGTACCTATATATAGGGTAGGGCCAAGGGAGTGGTGATGGGTAATAGTAGGCTGAATGTATACCTGTGTTATGTAACGATAGACTCATCTAGGTCCACTAATAGATCTCGGAATGTGATGAACAATACTACTACTTGCCACGGCAGGAAACTTGATAGTTCGGCAGAATTTGTTGTCACTCACTACCCCCATAAGTGACGGCCGATGAATATCAGCGTCACCATAGAAACCACTCCTAGTACCTACTAGTACTCTGGATTACTATATAGGATCGAATCATGATGGATGGTATTGTACATATTCAGGGAGATCGAACCCGCTACTAGGCACTCTATAAATCCCAGTTCAACTATTAATATAAAAAGCTATGGACGCTTAACGAACCGAGCATATAAAAATTCTCAAGTTGAACCCAAGACAGACAACGCCATATAAAATGCAACCGTAACTCCAAAGAAAAAAACAAAAGAAACCCCATTACCATCGACCCATCGGCAGGCTAAATGTACGGCCTTCCAAAAGGATCCACCCATTCACCGCGCTCGTTGTAGTGGCCTAGGTACCACTCCGCGTCTTCCTGCCTCCTCCAACGCGGCCGTTCTCGTGGAAGCATCTGCGGTGGTGGTCGTGCAACTACCCGCGGCAGTTGCCGAGGAGCTGCCTGCGGTACTGGAATCGCAACCACCGGTCGCCCTCCCCAGGGACCGCGCTGATGGAACAGTTCGTCCACCAACCGCCGTCCGTCCCAGCCATCGCCGTCACCGGCGGGGCCTGCTTCCCCGCCATGTGGCTCGAATTGTCCCGGAAACCCGGCAGGTGGTGGTCCTTCATTGGCCAACATGTCGTTATGCTGCAGCCGCTCTGGGTGATCATCGTGGTTATATATTGGGCAATCACAGCCACCCTCGGCTGCGGTTGCATAGCGGTTGGGGCCTCGGGTTGGTTTACCACAGAGGTAGCAGAACCTGAACCCGCAGACGCAGATCATCTTGTTGCAGGAGTCTTGTTGCTTCATGATCACTCGGTGGCAGGCGGGGCAGCTGGCCCATTTTTCCTTCTTCGCCACTTCGGCGAGCTCGCTCTCCGGGCACACACCGGCGTGCTCGAGCCCCTTGCACTTCGTGCACATCTTCGTTTGGCAGCGGGGACATGTCCCCGTTTCTGCGCGGATATCGTTCGCGGACAGTTTCGCCGAACATTTCGGCTTCGGGCAAAAGAGCTGCACAGCCTGTTTGCGATCGTCGAGACGTTCTTCGTATTTCTTGAAATCGGCGGCTGAGAGTACCGTTTTCACGGCATCCGTCGGTATCGGATCCGTGCAACATTTCGGAGGAAAGTTCGTGTCCGATTCTCCACCCAGGGCCTTTGAGACCATCTGGGTGAGACAGTCGATGCAGTACCGGTGCTCGCACTTCAGCTCGTGGAGCTCCCCCACAATCTCGTCACTGCACGCGGTGCAATCGACGCCCGTGGCTCTGCCTTTCCCTTTACCCTGGGGTTCCTGCCAAGGCTCTGGTCGGCGTGCCGGTCCTGGTTGAGGCCAATGCTCTAGCTGGCGTGCAGGTCCCGGTTGAGGCCGAGGACGTGCAACAGGGTCATGACGACCGGCAGCACGCTGTCTCCCGGCGTTTTGCCTTTGGAGGAATGCCATCTCGGCCTGCTGATGTTGCAGCCAGTGAGGTTCGCCTCCTCCGAATGCCATGACGAAATCTGGAATACTGGATTCCGTGTCGGTTTTGTCGCCGCGGGGTGGTGGCCGATCGTGATCGGGGGCCCCAGCTGTCGAAGGGCCGGCCTCGTAGCCGTGCACTGTATCCAATACGTCTATATCCTCCATCCACAGCTGCATCGCCAGCGTATGGATATCGTCGGCCATCTTATCGTGAGGGTTGTATCGCGGGGGTTGTATCGGTAAAATCGGGTGGAGGTTTGGAATTTATCTCGTAATCTTCAGAAGTCGTAGGAGAGAAGCTGTTAGCGAGGCATGATGAGGAACAGAAGCAAGAACAACCGCAAGAAGACGTGGCTTTTTGTAGCTCGAGCTCATCGGGGAACTTCAACTTGAAAGACGGCGGAGATTCCAGTCATTAAAATGGTTTTGTAGCTTAACCTTCGTCTTTCTGGCTTATTCCGAACCACTATGAGAGAAGGGGATCCATGCAATATACCTTTCAATTCCTCCGATAGAAAACTTTGTTTCTCATATGCGATGTTGGCCCGCAATGGGGCATGCTCACATTGGAGACTTCTTGGTGCCTCAGTAACTCAAGGTTTCAACCATATACGGTTGGTTTATCTTCTAGATCCGATCATGCCCCTACCATGGAGTAGTAGATACGGCGCCGCCACCCGCACCGTCCAACCGCGACGGCTAATGTTGCCATCGTAGATATGGGTTTGGACCCATAATTGAGCCTTGCTCGTGGAAAACCGATGGATGTTCACGGAGTGTCGGGATCGAAGGATCCCATTATCTCGAGTCAGTAGGAATATAGTAGCAGATGAATGCGGTATAGTATGAGAGCAAGAGAGGCACAGCTCACTCCTATGCGCGTCTCCACTGCCAGTGAAGTACACTAAGTTCAGTCAAAGCAGTTTCGATGTCGGCTGGACTCTGCTGACTTGATTCAAGTATTGATGGTAAGGGATGAAAAGACCGGCCAGAGACTCGAGAACAAGGGCAGAAAAAAAAGCTACCACTTCGCCTTCCGGTAAAGGATAACAAATCGTGGGGATCGAGTTCGCTCTTCAAATTCAAGCACGAGAGTATAACTTTATGTACCTGCTGCGGCATGATGAGGTTGATCTAGTTGATATGGTGTGGGAGAAACTGAAGGGTGATGGGCGAAGACACTCATCCAAGTCCTCACCCGGGTACCCACAAAAAGTCCCCACAAAAAGTCCCACCCGGGTTCCACAAAACACAGCAACTTCAATATGATCCTGACTGAAGATGCCGAAGCTTCAAATGAATTATTTGAATTACATTCCCATTGTATCTTTGATCATTCATGGGACATGCATGCATATTTCTGTTGTGTCTCGGATGCATGTGGTTACGTATGAAGCTATTCCGAGTGTCGGAATGGTTCCGTGGAGCATCACTCGTGTTTCCGAGAATCCCCTACCTAGCTTTCCATAAAACAGCACCTATCTGCCTCCCAATGGATCGTACGATATACACTCGGGGTCGCCTTGTTTTCTCTTACGTCCCACTACGATTCCACGATGGACGATGGTGGAAATCCCATTTGTGCTCACGTGACGTTCGCCGATAAGGTCGAGGTCAGGTGTAGTTAGTGATCGGTTGTGATCGTGCCGTTTCATAATCACCCGAGTACTATATACCTACTCACGTCTCTTCGTAATCGGTAAAGCACGGTATATTATGCGAATCATAGGCCTATTTACCAAATCCTAGATGAGTGCAAAGCTCATCTAAATCTAGATATAGCGGCGAGAATGAATTCTCTCCCACCAGTACATACTTTAGATACCGTAGCGATGGCAGGATCTCTCTGAGATTTCTGGAACGCCAGGCAACCAAGTGAAATAACCAGTGGTGCCTCACCTTGCGCTTATGATTCGTAATGGTGGTGAGGCACGACCTATTGGCTGTTCCTGGTACAATGTGTCTACTATTAAAGTTCTAGTAAAGCCTATTATTCAGACTTATGGCTGAGTATACTGAGAATGGCCAAACACTCTGTTCACCTCAAAGTTTTCCGGAAACTGAAACTGAACGGTATTCGGTGTCCAGGCGGGGAACTGACTTTGGTTCTAAAACTGGAACTGAGAACTGAGGTCATCCAAACGGCCCTTACTCTTGTGGTACAAAGAGAGAGCGCGATCATGAGGAAGGACTCGGCACGTGATAATCACGTGATGGAATATGATTGGCACGAAAGGAGGCTATGTAGAGAAGCACGTGAGAGGCGAGTGATAGGTTTGGTGGCTGAAGCCGACCCACCGACAAGTCTGTTCGGATCAGTGTAGTTGTGCGCTACGTCACGTGAGTTTGATAAGGTCCGTTCAGACCGTATGTAGAGGAACAGCCTTTTCACTCATACTTTCTTTTAAGTCCAGCCCCATATCGTATGTACTCTGTGTACATGCATACTCCAAAACTTTATGCCTGTGTATGTACCGCGAGTACATACCGGTTAGCGTCCCTGGCGCCCGGGAGGCCGATTGAGCACGGGAGGGGACGCTAACATGGCCAGACCATGTTCCCTCTTTGTTTGCCTTATATACTCGTGGGTCGCGACCTTGAACGCGCGCATGTGGGTCTGGACGCGGTGCGCAGGCAAAGAAGGTTTCTGTCTATCTGAGTCACAGAGTTTCGCTCCTCTTCGAATGGCGCGTTGAAACATTAAATGCGAAGAGCCGCCGCCGCCCAGCACGTTTCCGAGAATGCAAGTTGTCCAATGACCCCGCGTCCGCATCTGCCGATAAACGAGATATTCGTCTCTTCGACCGCCCATTCGCTCCTCCTGTCGGCTCGCGTACTCGTGACATCCTACGGACCTCGTCGAATGGATCGGCAGCGACTGTATCGGGGACCGGCCAACTAGGCAGCAGAGCAGGCCCATCTTATCGGAGGCTACATATAGAGGCGTGCTCAACCCCGCTAAACTTCCCCTCACAGCCAAACCTCCCCCACGACCGCCCCATCTCACACTTATCGATATCCAACCGAAACCGGGCCCGATGGATTCGAAAAGTGGAAGCTATGGCTCCACCTCCGATGAAGAGCCCATCGTCCTGTCTACACCGGCGGAAAAGAAGGTCTACTTGCCGAGGACGCGCAACTATCAGGCGGAGATGCTCGAGGAGAGCTTGCGACGGAATATCATCGTAGCTGTGTGTTGACCCTGGCCAGAGATGCAGTAGACTTGGAGACTGATGGGTGATGAAAAGATGGACACTGGGTCTGGGAAAACTCATATGTAAACCCTTCCTTCTCCACCACATCTTGGCGACGTCATGGAATTTTAATGAGACGGCAATCAGCGCCATCATGCGTATCTGCCATCAGCTAGATCGTGGCGACGGTAAGGTCTGTATTCCGTCCCTCCCGTCCCTGAGCTACGGCTAACATCTCCAGTTATCATGGTTCCTGATCCCAGGAGTTGAGTTGGCAAAGCAGCAGCACCAAGTGCTCATGAGTGCGCTTCCGCCCGTCGGGATCGCACTCCTCATGGGATCCTCTGGTGTCGACAAATGGAGCAATAAAGAGATCTGGGACGAGTTGCTTCAGGCGCCGGTGGTTATCAGTACTCATCAGGTCCACTGTCCTCTCCGCTGCTGTGAGATGTATGGCTACATGTTCTGACCGACTACAGGTGCTCCTAGATGCTCTCACCCATGGCTTCGTACAGATGGAGCGTATCGGCTTGTTAATCTTCGATGAGGGTATGCACACCCTCCGCTCCGAGTCAATGCCCCCCACCCCTTCCCCCCACTGACCTCGACGCAGCCCATCATTGTATACAAAACCACCCCGCGAACATGATAATGCGGCACTTCTACCACGAGCGAGTACGGGACGGACTCCCGGTGCCGGACATCTTGGGGCTCACGGCAAGCCCCATCATGAAATCGAATCCCGCACAGCTGAAAATAATCGAGTCCAACCTCAATGCTATTGCCCGGACGCCATTGAAGCACCGCAAAGAGCTGCTGGAGAATGTTAGGCCGCCGAAGCTTAAGTTGGTGAGGTATGGCAACTCCACTAGGCCGCAGGCGAATGAGCAAATTGCTACTACATCTTCGCGGGCGGATCTTCTCGCTTTGGGACAGCAGCAGGCAGGGAGAATGCAGCAAAAGGATGAGGAGGATGAGGAGGTTATGGAGACGGGCGATATGGAGAGGGTGGTTGAGGAGGCTGAGGAGGTGGATGAGACAGTATCGGACGATGCAGAGATGGACGAGATGGGGGCGAAGCCATCGTCGCCCTACGATTCCGATTCCGAATTCGAGACCATAGACCCCATCACCGGCGAGGTGGCGGAGAAGCCAGCGCGTGCTCCCATCCGAACCAGGCAGTATTCTCAACTTTCTTCCGAGGTGGAAGATGGGGACGATGAATTCGACGACATCGATCCCCTAACCGGCGAGCTGGTATCTGCCACAGTAGGCAAGGCCATCTCTCCGAAGCGAAGAAAGTCTTTCCCGGCCGTCCATACATCACATGGATCGGAAGGGTACGAAACAGAGCCCGTCGACCCGTACATCGGTGAACGTTTTCCATCCGGTGTCGTGTCAACAGCTCCAGCATCTGAATCCAGTTCCTTCTACGCGGGAGTGCCCAACTCTCTCGCATCGCTCCTGGAGGCCTACGAATGCATGGATATAATGGAAGATCCGTACATCATCATGCTACAGAGACGTCTTGACAACAGAGCCGAACGTGATCTCCAAATGGCCATCATGAGCGAGAAAACGTACTCGCAGGAGCACATGAAGACCTTTGTCAACAAGGCGTGCCATATCATGTCCGAATGCGGTGTGTGGGCTACCGATTGGTTCATCACCGGAGTCGTGCACAAATTTTTACACCGGCAGAATAACTTTGATACGGAGATGGATGAGGCGCTGGGAGATGATGATGCCGATAAAGACGACCGGGTCGGAGACGATTTCAGAGCATTCTTCAGCACCGGTGATGAAGCACGCTATGTGCGCCGCATTCTGCAGGAGGTCGTGCTACCGAGCACGTTAGGTCCGATCGAAGACCATGTTTCGGCAAAGGTGGATACACTCATCGAGGTGCTGCTGGAGGAGTACTCGGCAGAGCACAGTGATTTCTCCGGACTGGTGTTCGTGACGCAGCGGGCTGCTGTGGCTGTTATCGCCCAGATCATCTCCCAGCATCCGAAGACGCGAGACCTTTTCCGGGTCGGCACTATGGTCGGCACCTCGACCAGCGCCCAGAGGAATCAAAGATTCCTGCACGATGTATTGGTGGGCGGCAAGAAGCAGGAAGGTACCCTCAGGGATTTCCGTGCCGGAAAGTTGAACCTACTTATAGCCACTTCGGCCATCGAGGAAGGAATCGATATCCAGGACTGCCATCTGGTGGTGTGCTTCGACCTGCCTACCAATTTGAAGAGCTTCGTCCAGCGCCGAGGAAGAGCCCGTCGCGAATCCAGCTCGTACGTCATCATGCTAGGCAGCCGCGACACCAGTGGTGTTATTGCTTTCCAGGAAATGGAGAAGGAGATGATCAAAATGTACTCCGACCCGAACCGAGAACTCGAGCAAGTTGAGGATGACGAGTGCGAGGAAGGAGAGGATCGGGTCATGAGAATGAACAAAACACAGTGAGCTACCGCCATCCAAATCACCCTCACACCCCCGCTGACCAGACCACCCAGGGCTCTATTGATGTTTGCAAACGTCCTGCCCCATCTCTACCACTTCTGTGACTGCCTGCCCATGGGAGACTTCGTAGACTCGCGCCCCGAATTCCGAACAGAATGTAAAATCCTTCCACCTCCGGGAGGCGGTCGCGAGTGGACGGCCGAGGTGATCCTACCTAATGCCATCGATCAGGCTATCCGGCGGTCCTCCGGGACACGAGCCTGGAAGACGGAACGTGCGGCGAAACGCGACGCCGCCTTCGAGGCGTTCCTGAAACTGATCAAGCTACAGCTTGTGGACGACTACTTGATGCCGCTGGTTAAGGGCGAGTTCCAGAACGAACAGGAAGTGCAGAAGAGGGCGCCGAGAGTCGAGGTCGATCAGCGGATGGATATATGGGCCGAGGTCGGCAAGAAGTGGGAGAACGCGGAGTCGCTGTATATCATGACTTTGACGTTGGACTTCGACACCGGCAGAACGGTTAGTGTTGATATGGTATTGCCGGTTGAGGTCCCTTATGTTGAGGAATTCGAGCTGTTCTGGCCGCTCAGCGATACGGCGAATGCGAGATTTGGCCGTAGTCGTCGTATCGACTACGATCCGATGATGGTGGAGCGCGGCAGGAAGGCAACCCGCCGGCTGATGATGACTGTGTTTAATTCCAGGATGGATGCCATGCGCGACGATTTCATCTACCTCTTCCTCCCTAGCGACGGCGGCGAGTCTTGGGACATGATTCCCGACGTACACCAAAACGCCCTTGAGTTGATCAACGAAAGGAATGGCGATTTGTCTAACATAGGGCTATTGCGGAAAACCTCAAACCAAATGGCGTATATATTCAGACGGCTGGTAACGGACGTGGATATCGGTAACGCCGACGATTTCAAGGCCAAGTCTCCTCGGAACCGCGATAAAGTGAGGGCGGATCAGCCATTGATCGAAGTCAACGAACTCCCCAAACGACGAGACTTTCTACACCGCGAGGGTTTTCACAAGCCTTGCAAGACATTGCTGCTGCTTCCAGAGTTCCTGACGGTCGAGCCTCTACCATTGAAATACGCCATGTTGGCACTGTTCCTACCAGCTCTCATCAACCGGGTTGAGAAAGCACTCCTCGCCGCAGACCTGAAGAAGACCCTACAGCTCGATGTGCCCAACCAACTTCTTGTACACGCCACCACTGCATCAGCTACCCGGGACCCAGTGGACTATCAGCGCCTCGAATTCCTGGGCGATTCAGTGCTCAAAGTCCTCGCCTCGGTCGCGCTCATGGACGAGTTTCCACTCTGGCCGGAGGGATACCTCACGGCCGCAAAGGACCACGTGGTGTCCAACGGCACATCTTCCAAATCCGCGGCGGAGAAGCGTCTCAGCCGATGGATCAACCTCGCGCCCTTCACGGCGCTCAAATGGAAGCCCAGATACGCCGACTCCAACGTGACACCCCCGGACAGCAAGATGCTCTCGACCAAGATCCTCGCGGACGTCGTCGAGTCCATCATCGGCGTCTCGTACCTCACCGGCGGCTACGACCTTGCAACGCAATGCTGCGCAACCTTCAACCTCGGTGTCGACTGGCCATGGCACCCGCTCACCACCCGCGCATCCCGCCTCCGCGCCAACGCCCTCTCCAACGCCAGCAAACAAGGTGCACGCACCTACCCACAGCACTTCACCGAGCTCCAGCAGCTCCTCGGGTACTCCTTCGACAACCCGCTCCTGCTCATCGAGGCGACGACGCACCTCTCGTACGGCGCCGGCGGCGCCGGCGACGCAACCAACACCACGTCCTACCAGCGCCTCGAGTTCCTAGGCGACGCCGTGATCGACACCGTAGTAGTCAACACTTTGTACCACTTCCACGGGCTATCCACGCCTCTGACGCACATCAACATGCACCACCTAAAATCCTGCTGCGTGAACGCGCACTTCCTCGCGTTCCTCTGCCTCGGCGCAACCACGACAATCGAGCGCACAGAAACCAACGCGCACTCTGCGCCCACCCGCCGAAAAGTCGAGCTGCCGCTCCACCGCTTCCTGCGCCACAACAACCCAGAGCTGCGGCACGCACAGGACGCCTGCGCGCGCAGGTATAGGAAGTGGAAGGACACCATTGCGCAGCAGCTGGAGTCGTCGCCCGAGTACCCCTGGACGGACCTGCAGGAGCTCGACGCGCCAAAACATCTCTCTGACATCATCGAGAGCATTGTCGGCGCGATCTGGGTCGACTCGAATGGCTCGTTTGCGGCGGTCGAGGCGTTTCTGGAGCGCATTGGCGTTATGAAGGTCCTTAGACGATTGGTTAGGGACAGGGTCACAGTTAATCATCCGCTGAGTAGGTTTGGGATCATGGTGGCGGAAGGGGGCAGGATGGGTGTCGTTAAGTATCACTGCGAACAGGAGGACGGCGGATTGTATTCGTGTGAGCTCACTGTCGACGCGGCGGTGTGGACCAAGGTTGAGAGGTGCGCGAGTAGGCAGCATGCTAGGACGAAGGCGGCGCGTGCGGGGATTGAGATGTTTGGGGAGAAAGAGAAGGAGAGGATCGCTAAGAAGAAGGCAGAGGAGGAGGAAGAGAGGAGGAGGAAGCTGGAGGAGGAGGAGCAAGAGAAGAGGAAGCAGGAAGAGGAAGAAGTGAAGATGAAACAGAAGGAGGAAGTGGAGGTGGACGAGGAACTTCACGAAGATGACAACGACGATGAGGAGGGAGAGGAAGAAGAATTCACAGACGCGCCGGAAGATGGTCTCGACTCGCCCGCTGAATTCGAGGTACACGAAACCCGCTCTCGGATGGTATTACGATCGGCGGATGTATTACTCAAGAACCGGAAGGGACGGAAGGGCGGACTGAAGGTCTACGAGAGTAGCAGCGAAGATACGGACTTCTTTGATGCTAAGGACTACCAGTCGTCCGCGGTGTCGGAGGTAGGCGGAGGAGATTAGTACATACGTCATGTAGGCAAGCGGGACCGGTCACATTTCGGGAAGATTGTGGATATGAAGCGTTTAGTAGTTATTAGAGGTACACAATGTTAGCAATGGGCCGGATTTGCACTTGCAATTGCGATACGTACTGGTCTCTGGTTAAAACATGATCATGCACGCCGATACTAAGGTATGGAAATAGTACGGACGTAGGTAATTCGAAGCCCACCATCTACCGCCGAGTGATTCCCAGTGCAGCGGTCGAAAAGCAGGTCTGTGGCTTGTTTCCCCTCAGGGGGCTTCCTGGAGACTGGAGTAGATGCCAGATGGGGCTCGGCCTCTAGGTGCTATATGTATGCAGAGCATGTTTCATGATCGCAGCAACTCCTCGGCTCCGGTTCGTCGTGCTGCACAGGCGGTTGGTAGTTAGGCGATTCATTTGTGTGCTTGAGAGTACTGGAAGTAACTACTGGTATGTAGATACCTGGGGAGTCGTCCGATTGGCACGCCTCACGCCTCACGGCATGCAGACTTCAGAGTAGGTATACATGGTAGATGTCTGCCCACGGACAGCCACCAAGGCATGAACATTGAACGCACGTCCATGCAGGCCGTTCGGACATATGTGGAATGCAGTTCCGGGCATGTCCCAATGGGTGCATAAGGCCAAGAATCCTACATGTGACCGATTGCGGCCATGAATCCCGTTCGCGAATAGGTACATACTGGTATCTAAGCTGGACGGCTTGGCTGTGGGGGATTACACACGGCAATGGGCTGGGATCACTTGCACAGTGCACACTCCGAACCCCGACGGCCTGTGGAAGTGACAGTGGCACCCGTTCGGTCGCGCGAGTAGGTATCGGTATGTATTTACGGTATGTACGTGCTAGAACCTGAAGAAAAGAATCGGGGTTTGTTTGGGCGGCAGAGCGCCGGGAACTATGCACGTGCAGGTACCTATTCCAGGTATGTACCTGGTTGGCCACTTGAACTCGCGACCCCGCACTTGATCAGCCGGCCCGTCATAAAACTACTGGCCAGCATGTACTTTGAATGTATATACCTTCTTACTTACTGAGGTACCTATCTCGAAATAAGTCCACGTCACGCTGTCATAGAGCAAGGCAAGTTGACGGGTTGTCGTGCTGAAACAGGCAAGAATTCAGAGAGAGTTCCGGGAATCACGGGCTCGAGGTGCGGAGGGGCAGAAAGAAGAAAGCATGGCTACGGTAGCTCCCGGCCGGGCACCGACGGCCAAATGCAGAAGGTCGGCAGCGAGGCGTTCGACGACCAAACGATTGCGACGCCCAACAGCCAGCCACCCGACAGCCAACCAGCCAACCGACGAGTCACATCGCGAATTATTTCTCCGAGCGAACCGAAGGCGAGCTCAGTGTCTGCACTGCAGCGCCGAGGGTTTGCGCGCATAAAGTGTCGCTCGGGGGCGAGCTGTGAACCGTACCGTATGTAGAGTACCTAGCTGTATCGACGGTAGGTGCCGTATGGACGTCGAGTCCGTTCGATCGAATGGATTGACTGCTCATCTCGGCCCCGTTGACGAAACTATCTGACTGTGCTATGCATACGGATTGGGGATTCTTCGACTCCATACGTACCTATTCCCCACACAATCATGCCCATGAAACGTTCCAGCATTCCCAAGGCTCGCTTGGGGGTAAATGCGGCAATGCGATGCCCATGCGCAATACTCACTTGTAGGCCTTCTCGGCTGCCGAAACGATCACCACTTTGCGGACAACGATGTCATCGCCGCGATGAGCAAATGAGAAGGGGGGGAGGTGGTGGTGGTGGTGGATGGGGAGGAAGAGGAGGGAGAGGACGAGGAGAGGAAGAGGAAGAGGAAGAGGGAGAGGGAAAGGACGAGCACGAGCAAGAGCAAGAGCAAGAGAACGATGACGACGAGGTCAAGGACGAGGAAGAGCTCTTTACGGTTCCGGTTTCGCGGATGCCGGAACATACATCATACTCTACAATCCTTACTACGTCCGGCGGCATTCATCTCATCCCCATCACCAACTACAGTCCTCATCCATCCTGCATTCCCGAAGCAAGGGCACCGATGCCCGTGATCCCCCGTCCACGTGCATTGCAGAAAACAAGTATCGACTTGTACAGACCCGTACCTTAGTTACTGCGTGCTGATGCCTACGGCATGCCGCCAACCCCCCCTCACAGCTTTCGAATGCTCAGGGTTCCCCACAGTGTTGGATGGGGCATCGTGGGCTTCGGGGTATGTACTCACCAGATTCCTCTTTTCCGCTGTTGACGCAACTACATCCGAGAAATGCGTAGTGCACTATACTGCCTGTATTATACATACGTTCCCTGCTGAAGCCTCAAGATTCAAGACCCTGGGAGATATCAAGAACCCTCCATCCCGTCCCCTACCACCTTTCCATCTGACTTCTCTAACCGTGAGTGCTTCTCCAGTCCAGACTCCAGTACATACCCCATCCCCCTCTTCTCGCGCGTTCGGCACTGACGGAAAGACTCGATTCTCGTCCCACCGACGCCCCCCAGTTTCCGATACCCTTTCGTGTCGTTCGAACGTTGCTTTTTCTCAGCCATTGCTATTCCGACGTGCGGGTTTATTCTGGGAACTGCGGAGTGCGGACCCAGGCGACTCAGGCGAGACCACGAAGTCGGAAGGATCGATATTTACCCATATTAATATCCTACAGCTACCGACATATAACTGACCTCTTCCACCACTGCCCTACACGGTATCTCGATTGAGCAACCGAGCGACGAAAGGGCCCAAAACAAGACTGTTTCCTTAGCTCCTCCCACCTCCGCGATCCGACGCTACCACCCGCCGTTAATCCGAAAGGATCATCCGCCTTGGTTCCCCTCCACTAGCTCGCCCGCCGAACCCTCAGCATCAGATCCCCTCCCCCGCCCCCGCAAAAACAGAGATCTGGGACCCTCCGCTGTTCGGTGCTGTATCCTTCGTCCTCCTGTCTGTACATAGGACAGCCAGAATCCAGAGCTTTCGTCCGATCTCACGGTCGGCCCTGGCCTGCGTCACCCTCCCCCCACTTGCTTATCTACCATCCTCCCGAATCTCGAGAAAAAAAATCCCGACTTAATTGAGTTGCCTACCTGCCTTCGTAGAAATCCCAGACCAGATCAGATCCGTATCACTCGAAAATCCGGGGTCACCTGGCTCCTCGGAACGAACCTCCCTTCGATTGAACTTCCTATTGCATCGAGAACTCCTCCGTCGGCCTTCCTTCTCTCCTTCTCGTGGGGAAATACACTCTTCGGTCGCCGGGGATAGCCGCCGTCGTATTTGCACTTGACGCTTGCCGGAAAAAGTTGCTACTTCCAGTTGCTCGGGGAAGGAAGGGAATCGTATATAAAAGTGCTTCCCCCGGTCTCATACGGAAAGGCCCCAAACAAAAAAGTCACTAAGCACGCCGACAAATATAGACCACCGCCGACGCCACAATGCATCCGCTTACGCCCCTCCTACCAAATGAGATCACTGCCTGCTGCGCGATCCTAAAAGCCGGCTTCCCACTGCCCGCAGGCAACGAGTTCCAGTTCAAAGCCATCGCCCTTCGAGAGCCCATAAAAGCCAGTCTACTGGCATGGAACGAAGGCGCCGGTCCCGGGCCGCTGCCCGCCCGTGAGGGTTACCTCTGCTACTACATCCGCAACACGGACAAGCTCTACGAGGCGATCGTGGATCTTGGGAAGTCGCGGCTCACGAGCAACTCGCGCGTCAAGGACGGGTTCCATGGCCCCGCAGATGGCCCCGAGATCGTGGCGATGGAGAAGGTGGCGCTTGCGGATCCTGGCGTGCAGGAGGAGCTCAAGAAACTGCGTTTGCCCGAAGGAAGTGTCGTGGTGTCCGACCCATGGATCTATGGCTCCGACGGCGTTAACGACTCGAGGCGGCAGTTTCAGTGCTATCTCTACCTGCAGTCGCCGCACGGCGAGAATGATCCCGACTCGAATCACTACGCGTTTCCCCTTTCGATCAGTCCCGTCGTGGACGTCGAGACTATGAAGGTGGTCAGGATCGAAAACCTGCCAACCGGCACTGATCACACGCCTACTCTGCCGAAGCCGTATCGGGTTCCGCCTCCGTCCGAGTACACCCCCGAGCACCAGAACCTGCGCACAGATCTGAAGCCTCTGCACGTGGTGCAGCCGGAAGGAGCGAGTTTCACCGTCACGGAAGAGATCCGAGACAGTGGTAGCGCCGTGATCGAGTGGCAGAAGTGGAAGCTGAGGACGGGATTCAACCACCGCGAAGGCATGGTGTTGTACAACATCTCGTACGATGGCCGAGATATCGTATGGAGGATTGCGCTCAGCGACATGTCGATTCCGTATGCCGACCCGCGCTCCCCCTACCACAAGAAACAGGCGTTTGACCTGGGAGATGCGGTGAGTACATCTGCCGTGCACGCTTCATGACTCGACTAACTAGCTGCAGGGTGCCGGCGTAATGGCGAACAACCTCAAACTCGGCTGCGACTGCCTCGGCTCGATCCACTATCTCTCCTCGAACCTCTCGATAGAAACCGGCGAGGTCTTGGAAATGCCAAACGTGATGTGCATCCACGAGCAGGACGCGGGCATCGGCTTCAAGCACATAAACTACCGCACGGGCCGGGCGGTCGTTACCCGCTCCCGCGAGCTGGTAATCCAAAGCATCATCACGGTCAGCAACTACGAGTACATCCTGGCGTTCATCTTCGGCCAGAGCGGGGAATTCCACTACGAAGTTCGTGCCACCGGCATCCTCTCCACCTCGCCGATCGAGCACGGCCTCGAGGTGCCGTGGGGAACCGTCGTCCACCCCGGGGTCCTCGCCGCCCACCACCAACACATCTTCTCCCTGCGCCTGGACCCCGCGATCGACGGGCAAGGCAACAAAGTCGTCGTCGAAGAAGCGGTCGCACTCCCGGTGCACCCAGACACCAATCCCTACGGAGTAGGCTACATCACGCGGGAAACCGAGATCACCGTACCAGGCGGACACGACACGGCCACAGCGCTCAACCGCACATTCAAGATCCAATCGACTCGCGCGCGCAACCCGATCAACAACAAATCCACGGGCTACAAGATCGCGGTCCCGCCGTTCCAAAAGCTCCTCGCCGACAAGAACAGCTTCCACTTCAAGCGCGCCGAGTTCGGCGACAACGCCGTCTATGTCACCAAGTACCGCGAGGGCGAGCTGTTCTCTGCCGGGAAGTGGACGAATCAGTCGCGTGGCGGCGAGGGCGTGCGCGGGTGGGCGGCCCGCAAAGAAGAAATCGATGGCGAGCCAGTCGTGTTCGTTCAGTTCGGGATTAACCACATCCCGAGGATAGAGGACTTCCCTGTCATGCCATGTGAGATCTTGAAGGTCTCGTTTAAGCCGGTTAACTTCTTCGATAAGAACCCGGGGCTAGACGTGCCCCCAAGCACGCAGCAGTTCAACCAGAGCGTTCTACTAAGTGCGAAGCATGCGCAGGGTGCTGGTGAAGGCGCGGTGGTGAATAAGGAACATGAGCTAGAGGTCAAGAATGGGAATGGGTGCTGTGCGCAGGAGTCATAGGCGGGAATGGGGCAGGGCGGGGAAGACGCGGGGGAGTTGTGATGCACGACTGCACGACTGCACGAGGTTTTGCTTTTGCTTTTGCTTTTGCTTAGACTGGTTTCTTTGTGCGTGTAGCAGCGGAGGGGCGCTGTCAGCCTGTCAGCCTGTCAGTGTAATGATCATGAACGACCGTGAAGCTTCGTGCCGAGGAAATGTGGGATCTCCCGGTTCGGGATTAGAGACTACCGTACTCTACTCCGGCGGAGTCTACTATAATGCTGCAAAAGACCCGATACCGGTATTGGTATCACCCTGGCAACGGTCTCCGCCTGGTGGAAGAGCCCAGTACTCCGGCGGAGTCTACTACTGCAAGTGACCCAATACCGGTAACTATTGTATCACTCTGGCAACGCTCTCCATCTGGTGGAAGAGCATAGCACTGTAGAACTTCATGGCGAATCCACCATCGAGCCTCGGGTTGTGTGAATAAAACCACCTCTTGTCGGCACCAAAGGTACCTAGGTTGCCAATTACTAGTCCTGGGCTCTCCTGCTTCCTTCGACGAGCCATGCAACCATCAGAAGTGCACAAAATGCAGACAGAATATCCACATACTCACTGACATATCTGCCTATGTAGATAGTTCCACCGCCCCGCAAACACCAATACCTACCGGAGATATCATACACGTACGGATCATGCGATGCGGCCCGCGGGAAGTGTAAAGCTACGATTTGGTCCGGTTAATCGGTCAAACGCATTTCCACGCGAACAGGTCCTTCGTAGTATCTAGTAGTTGGGTATTCGGTCGAAGTTACTCGGTCATTCGGTATTCGGTCAGCGTGGAAGCTCAGGATGAGGACCTGGTAATCGGCCAAACGTATTCCCGTACGAACAAGACCTACGTAGCATGTACTCGGACCTGTTAATCGGTCATTCGGTCATTCAGTCAGCTTGGATACCTACGATGAGGACCTGTTAATCAGTCATTCGGTCAGTGCGGAAGCCTGAGCTTCGGACCTGTTGATCGGCCAAACGTATTCCCGCACGAACAGGTCCTGCGTAGTATGTATTCGGTCAAAATTACTCGGTCATTCAGAGGACACGGAGGGAGCTATACAGGGCTTCTTATTGTACCGTATACCTCCATCAACGTGGTTTGCTGTCTTCTGGGGAGATATAGAAGGTGGGTGTAACCTAGGTATCTGTAGAGGAGTGTAGAACTTCATGGCGAATCCACCACCGAGTCGTGTGAACAAAGCCAGCTCTTTTCAGCATCAAAAGGTTGCTAGTTGGTGGTCCTGCGTAATCGGTCACAAGTATTTCCACGCGAACAGGTCGCTGGTATTTACTCGGTCAAAATTACTCATACTTCCATCAATGTGGTTTCCCATATTCTGGGGGGATATAGAAGGTGGGTACATGTAGCCTCGGTATCTGTAGGGGAGTATCCATCACAAGATATGGTTCCGAGAATCTCTGGGAAACCAGGTGCACGGTTTTACCAGACCAGATCCGCTACCTACGGCATGATCGGTCCTCCCCGTTGTGGACACACACATCGGCGAAACTTTACTTTCGTTCTTCGCCATCCGTTTCGGATGAAAGCCATTCAATTCCTGTCAAACACGTTTCCATCAAAGCTAGCAAAACTAGCACGTGGGTGCGAGTCCCGATGGCGTTAGGTTGTGCGCGACGTGTGCCAAGGGGGGGTCTAACCGTTGGGTTGCATTCAACGCGCTTTCGCTTGCCTTCGTGGGCTGGCCATCGCAGTGTACGCGCCGTCACCGAGTCCTTCGCTTTCTTCTCTTGTCGTCTTCTCTCCCTCCCACCAACCGACGTAACAACGACAACACAGACTACACTTCTCGTTCACACCCCACAAAACCGTCCTCCACGTCCCACACTACACCTTCCTTTCCCCCCACCACCTCCCCACCTTTCTCCCTTCCTACCACTCTACCTCCCCACATCTCTACTTCCCCACCTCCCCCATCTACCATCCGAGAACCACGAAGACCCGACGCGTTGCACCAATTTCATTCGTCTTCGCTCGCAGCTACTCCAATGGCCAACGATACTCCCTCCACAATTCTCTCCCCCAGCTCCCAAACCTCAGTCAACATGAACCCGCCGGCCGTTCCCCCCGTCTCTACCAGTGAGCCCTCCAAGAAAAGGCGCAAGTCGGCCGCCGCCGCCGGCTCCGACAATAAATCCAAGAAGACGAAGACGAAGACCGCGAATGACGACGGCGATGCACCTGCGACTACAGGCCTGGGTACCGCGACTCCAAGCACGAGTACGAAGATAGTTGTGGCGATGCCTGTTACTCCCGCGACTGCTACAAGTCCCAAGGCTGGTTACTGTCATCACTGTCACAGGGGCACGGGTGTTATCGTGTGCACACTCATGAAGACCATCGGAAAGAAGACGAAGCGGTGCCGGATCGCATTCTGGTATATCCCTCCTCCCCCCCCCAATGTATCATCGCCACACACGTTGGACATTCGCTGACTGGTTCGCAGCGACAAGTGCCTTCGACGGAATTATGATAACAGCATCGAGGAGATTCACGGCGCTGGCAAACCTCACAACCTCACAACCCTCGGCCACGATGCTAGCGAGGCTTATCTCTTCCGCTGTCCGGTCTGCGAGAAGAAGTGCCAATGCTACCTCCACCGACCCCCGGAGGAGGCGGCTTCAGACTCGAACACGGCCGCCAAGAGCGCAGCCCATCTCGCTATGTTCGCGAAAGAGGCGGGTGTTGACCCCGCAGAAATAGAAGGCATGATGAATGATACGCCTACAAGGAACAGGGGGAAGGGGAAGGAGGTTGTCAAGGGGAAGGAGAAGGTAGTCGTCAGGCCAGAATCTGCCAAGAAAAAGACCGACAAGGGGAAGGAGAAGGCAATCCCCAAGTCGGAATCGGCCAAGAAGCCAAAGGCTGAGGCTGAGGCTAAGGCTAAGGCTGAGGCCAAAGGGCTGAAAAAGGCTCCGCTGAAGAAAGATAAGGCTAAAGAAGAGGCCCAGTCGAGCTCAACTCTCAAGCTCGTTACTATAAGTGGTCCAATGCCTCCGGCTGTCAAGAAGCCGAAACATGTCGAGGATCCCAATTTCGAGTTTCTGGCAATCTCGCATCCGCTCCCGGTGATTGCGCTTAGACTGTAAGTCAACCCTTGGTACTGTGTTTACTGCATGAGCTAATGTTCTCAGCCAAATCCGCGAGTTTTACTTGCGCTTCGAGAAGCACTCGAAGGTGTTAGTAAAGTACGCACGCCTCATCAACGATCCGAATAGCGACTGGACGGATTTGACGTACAAGAACTTGATCAACATGATGGTCAACGTCTTGCGTTATGACGAGAAGACCCCGGCGGAGAAGAAAATGGGGATCGATCCCACTATTTTGCACGAGTCTGCCCGTGCATTGACTACTCTGCCGGCCGATAGCCCAGAAATCTGGGCCATCACTAGGGCCCTAATCGAGGTGTGGCACGATGGCAGGCCCCTCAGGCGCGATAGCCCGGCTCCGTCGGCTCAGCCGGAAGAGGACGTTGACAGTGAAGACGACGAATTCCGACTTCGTCTAATCTGCAAGATGATCAACTTGGTGCTCAACACTCACACTTACCACGAGTGGGTGGATGCTGGTGCTTCTGTCGAGAAGAAGCACAGACAGGCCTGTGTCGACGAGGTCAAGAAGCTGAAGACAGGTAAGTTTCCCCCGGGACCACCTCATACCTCATGAACAAACAACGCTAACACGCCAACAGAATGGGAGGAGCAGCGGCAAGTTCTTCAGAAGGAGCGGCTCACGCTTCCCGCCGCACACAAGGCCGACTTCGAGGTCCGATACAATGCTGCGCAGAACGCCTCGAAGACCCTGATTCGCTCGGCCGAGATGAAGGAATGGGCGGCGAACCGCAAGACGGCTTCTCGCATCACACCACTTGGTATTGATACGCTTGGTAATCTGTACCACCTTTTTACGCAGCGGGACCCAATGGAGGAAGATTGGGGTTCCTGGGTCGTTGTCGAGAAAGGAAAGAATCTTCCTCACCCAACCGGCGTCCTCCCGCCTCCACCCAGCATCGCCAGTGACCCCGGCGCGGACCACGAGGAAGACCACGATGAAGACCAAGAAGAGCCCGAGGAATATGACGAAGAGGCTATTCGCGAGCGCGTGTGGTACGCTGTTAGTGAGCCTTGCGACATCCGCCAGCTCGCCGATTGGATCAAATACAAGGGCGACTCTGCAATCTACGAGCAAGCGACCCAGAACCACCCGCCTACTCCAGGCCCCAGCGTCCCCGTCTCCCCGAAAAACGCCACCCCTGCGAGGCAGTTCCTTTCCAGCGTCAATGTCTCGCCGACGAAGGGCGGTGCTCCTGCAAATGCTCCTGCTGTTCCTGCTGCTCCTGTCAAGAAGGAGGACTTCATGCCGCTTGTGGACAAGATTCGAAAGATTGCGGATTACTTCGAGTTAATGATGAATCCGGCAGTTTAGAAAGCGTACTACTACTGCTTCCGTACTACCTTTACACCATTGTCTTGTTTTGTTTTGTTGGTTGGTTGTCTGGGCTTTTTTTCTTGCTCTTTTCATAATTGTCACCATTACTACCCTACAGCGCTGAACTGCCTGCCTACATACCAACCTTACTACCATTACCATTTGTTGCTGTTTCTGTTTTCTGGTTCTGTTTTCTGGTTCTGTTTTCTACTAGAATTGTTTCGTTTCTTTCTTTCTGTTTCTTCTCTCGGGGTTGGGGAAGATGATGCGCAAGGGTGAATACAAAGCGTCTGTAAAATAGCATAAATTTCGTTTTCTTCTTTTCTCGTTCTTACTGCAACGAATTTCAGTTCTTTTTTCTTCTTTTTTTTCCGGAGTGATGTTGGGTTTTGCGGGGACGATGTGGATGATTGGGATGATGGCGAACATAGATTTACACACGCGGAATAACTACATACGGGCTACGGAATATGGGGGCTGCGGATACAATACCTGGGCACTTAGGTAGATACTCGTTTTTCTACATACAGACATATAGTAAGGCAGGCTGTGGTGCTTTACTCACGCACTCGGCTCAACTCATGGTCACTTGTACTATCTACGCGGTGATGTGTACGGTAATCGCCCAACTCCGCCGCTACAATCGGCCATTCTCAACGGGCCGGACTGTCCAAGCCAGACTCACACAAACACACACACACACACATGCCATCACTTGATCACTCATTCACTCGTTCATTGTTATTCGTGCGAATAATATGGCTCTTCAAATACCCAGTCGAACTGGAAACGGAGGGGAAAGTGCCGTTGTAACATAGTCTAGGTACATTAGGTAGATAGGTAGATACTTAGGTGGGCTGAATGCGAGTATCATCTATAGATACTTGTTTTTCTACGTACAGGATGGAAGGAAGGAAGGAAGGCTGTGGTACTCTTCTCTACTCGCGCACTCGGTTCATGGACACTTAAACCTACTACCTACTCTGTACCGTGCGGTAATCGTCCAGCTTCGTGGACATGGTAATCGGCCTTGTGAAGACACAGACGCACACACACCATCACTCGATCACTATTATTCGTGCGATTTAGTCTAGTAAGGCTACATGCGACAATAAATTGATGTTCTCTCTCTCTATACCGTACGATGATCGTCCAGCTTCGTCGACATAATCGGTCCATAATCGGCCTTGTGAACACACGCACACACGCGCCATCACTCGATCACTGTTCTTCGTGCGAATAAGGTACCTACTCGATATCATATGGTAATCGTCCAGCTTCGCAGACATGGTAATCGGCCTTGCGAAGACTCACACGCGCACGAATACACACGCTATCACTCGATCACTCGGTCACTCAGTCACTGGAGCATTGTGATTCGTGAGATTAAGATGGTTTGGGAGATTGAGATGGTTCGTACGTGCGATTAAGATGGTCCGGGCGATTAAGGGTTCCTGCGATTACCGGACGATGGTTGGGCGATTAAAATGGACTGTCCGAATACCCAGTTCAATAGGAAACAAAGGGGGGAAACGTGACATTATTCGGTTGAATGTGAGTAGAGTATCATAGAGTATCATCCAGCAAGAACAAGACGTATGTAGGTAGGTGCCCACTACCCAATCAAAAGGTTGTGAACAGCGAAATATCAAGCTGGTGGAGATGTCCTTCGGTGAACTTATCTACTCATCGCTGGGTCTACTGGTTCGGGCAATTAAGATGGACTCTCCAAATGCCTAATCGGATAGGAAATGGAGGGACAAGACGTACGCTGTTATGGTCTACATAGATTGGTGGAATGCGAGTATCATCCAGCGAGAATAAAACGTAGGTAGGTGCCCAATCAAAAGTTGTGAAACCACAAGCTGGTGGAGATGTCTTTCGGTGGACTTACTTGTCGCTGGATCTTTGGAGACGGCATTTAGTTCTGCTCTACGGAAATTCCGGTGATCATGGGGATGATGTACAATAGTGTGAATTGATACAATGTACTCATAAGCCATATACTTCTGTACCTCCTTCGTAGCTATCATACCTACTTCCTACCCCAAAGCCATACCTCAGTACTTCTTCAACAGCCCATTGCATACCCACAACACCCCCATAAACCTACCAAGTAAGTACATACTTCTACTCCATCTATAAAACCCAATCAACAGAGTACAATCCTAAAAAACCAAATGCTATGCTATGCATACAAACCAAACCAAAGCCGCATACAAATACAACACAAGTTCAACACCTTTCCTCGCCCCCCTCTCAAAAAAAAACTATTATACACCCCACCCCGCTCCACCCCCCGCAATCTCAACTCTCTAAACCCGCTCTCCATATTTCTCCGCCCACAGCTCAAACTTCCTCAGCCCCTCGGTACCTACACTCGGCCTAACAGCCTTCAAGCTCTCTTTGAAATCCGCCAGCCCAATCTCGGCAATCTCCTCCACCGGCACGCTGAGCAGCTTACTCCCCAATTTCCTGAGCGGTCCCATCGCGGCATCTTTCGCGAGCGCGGTGATATCGCTGCCGGAGAACCCCTCGGTCAGGTCTACGAGCGTGTCCATTTCCATCTCGCCAAGGCCGTGCCGTTGCCGGGCGAGCAGGTTCTGCATGTGTTTCCTGCGCGTGGCGGGCTCCGGGAGGGGGATGTACTGGCGGCGGGCGAAGCGGCGGCGCGCCGCCTCGTCGATTTCCCACGGGAGGTTTGTGGCGGCGAGGACAAGGACGCGGCTGGGGTCGCCGAGCGCGGTGGGTGTCGGGTCTTTGCTGCCCGCCGCGGCGCGCGCGAGGTCGCTCCATTGGATTAGGAACTCGGTTTTGATGCGGCGGGTCGCTTCGTTTTCGCCAGAGCTGCGCGACGATAGGAGCGAGTCGATCTCGTCGACGAAGATTATGCTCGGCGAGAGCTTTTTGGCGAGGGAGAAGAGCGCGCGGACGAGTTTTTCGCTTTCGCCGAGCTGTTGTTGCGAGGTCAGCGGGGGAAAAGAGAGTGCGGGAGAGAGGGACCGACATATTTGCTCGTGAGACTACTCGCCGAGATGCTGAAGAACGTACACTTGCTCTCCGTCGCGACGGCCCTAGCCAGCATCGTCTTGCCCGTTCCCGGAGGCCCAAAAAGTAACATCCCCTTTGCTGGTTCTCTCAATCCCGAAAACAGATCCGGCCTTAGGAACGGGTAGACCACCGCCTCCATCAACGCCGACTTCGCGCCCTCAAGCCCCGCCACATCGTCCCAGTGCACTTCATCGCCCTTCACCACAATCTCAGATGCCACCTGCCGCAGCGCCCCTGCGTCAGCCCGACCGCCGATCGATTTGATTGCAGCCTCGACGCGCGCATTCCATTCGCGATCCGAGGGGTCTTCGCCAGCATCATCCGTGGGCGTGTCGAGGGGTGAGTAGTCTTCTGAGAGGGAGGAGTCACTTTCGGCGGCGGAGGTATTCCGCGTCCTAGTAGTTGCAGTCCCATCGGTGTGAATCCTCCTCAGCCTCTCGGGTCTCTCCACCGGCACCTTCGGCCTCTCGAGTCTGTCCATGGGCACCTTCGGCGGCAACGGCGGCGGCAGAGCTCCATCCATCCCCATTCCATACCCCTCATCATCCTGATAGCTCCTGTTCCTCGGTAGTGGTTTCCTGCTCACAACAGGCACTCTATGTGGTGGTGGTGGTGGCGGTGGTGGCAACGGTATCTCCCCCTCATCGTCCCACGGCAACACCGGTCTCTGTCCCCTCCTTCCCGCTCCCCTCCTCTCGGGCAGCGGTGGTGGCGTCGGCATCGACTGCTCCCTCAGTTTCTCCCCATTCGGCAGCGGCGGTAGCGAACTCCGCGACCTCCCGCCAATCCTCTTCTCCGGCCTAGCCTTAACCCCAGGAAAGACCTCAGGCTCCGCACTCACCGCCCTCTCCAACGCGACCCTCTTCTCGCCCGCCGCCCTGATACTACTCCACGCCAGCGTCGCCGCCTGGGTAGCCGCCCTGGGGCCGCGCACATCCCTCAGCGTCTCCAGCGCCGAGGGGGAGGAATCTCTTCTCCGATCTTTCTTTCCCGACCTCAGGGTGGTGCGCAACTTCCGTTCCGGCTCGGGACTATCCCTCCTCGCGGCGGCCACGCCGGACACGCCGGACGACCTTTCCGGCAGCAACACCGTCGGCGCCATCGCGCCAACATCCACGCCGCCCGCCTCGCGCGCACTCAGCAGCAGCGCCCCCAGCATGCGCAGCTGGTCCTCCGCCTGCGCGCGCAGGCGCTTCAGCGACTCGAGGAGCTGGGCCTCTGCGTCGCTGCGGGGGCGGCGGTGGTGCGGGACGGCAGAAGGCGGCGGGAGCAGGGAGAGTACCCGCTGCCAGTGCTCTAGTGCGAGAGAGAACTGGCGCTGGGATTCGTAGTAGATCGCGGTGGAGGAGCTGAGGTACGCGGCGTCGAGGGATTTCTGCAGGCTTGTGGGCGTTGGGGATTTCATAGTGTGGTGCGTGCGAGGTCGAGGTTGTGAGCCGGGTGGCGGCGGGTGGGTGGGAAGGTTGAGGTGGTGGTGGTGATGATGTCAGTGGGCTTCGTCCTCGTCTATGCTAGTTGGCCGGGCTTGGAGAGCTTGTATGATGCATATGGTCGTCGTAGTGTTGCTCGCAGGTCCCGTCTAGTTGTAACTAGCAGAGAGAGAAGAGTAGTTGAAGAGAAGGGAAGGGAAATGGGGGGAAGATAGCTGTGCTTCGCCATCTCGGCGGAGGCGGCGGAATGTAGTTTAAGCCCATTGGCGGGGGACGATCAGATAGCGGGGATGATGAGATGGGCCGGGATGATCGTACGGCAAGGCACGGCGCACGCGTTCATCGCTCTATTTTTTGCCCCCCTGGCACTGTTCCTCTACGACGACACGCCGGCCGAGCGCTAGCGAAAGCGCTGCATCTCAAACACTCCCGGTTTTACGCTATGGCATGGTACGTACAATTATCGATATATCTAGCTAACCGCTGACTTCACGACGCTGAAGAATATCTTTGCACCACATGGTAGAGAATCATTCTACCTCGCAAGCGAATACAAGTCTAACTATCGTTGTCCTAAAGACGAAATCCGGCCAGCACAATACCTCCGCAGAAAAAGAAGAGAAAGAAAAAGAGAAAATAGAGATAAAGTTCATTCCGGCTTCCCTGGGCCGCTGCCACGATATTCGATATGGCTTTAAGCGCCCACCACTCCACCCCCGAATCAACGCCAATCTCCTATGAGCTCGCGGCGGCTGCTTCCTTCGCTTCCGTATCTTCCTTCTTCCTGGCCTGATCCGCAATCGACGTCAACTGCCCGACAAACGATTGGCCCCAGAACGCACTGAACAATCCTCATTAGCTATAACCCGAGCGAGAAGTCGGTGAGTTCATACCTTGTATATTTCGTAACGTAAGCATATAGCTTTTCATGGTTCGCCTTCCTGAGGTCCGCGGGGAGGGTGATAGCCTCGTGGATGGCATTGGCGAGCTCCTCAGTGTTCCACGGGTTGACGACGATGCTGCCGTTAAGACTCTGGGCTGCTCCAGTGAACTCGGAGAGGATCATCACTCCGTGTCGCTTCTGCTGCGTGGCGATGTACTCGTACGATACCAAGTTCATCCCGTCACGGGTAGAGCTGACGAGGCAGACATCGGAGACGGCGTAGAGGGCGATCAGTTCCTCGAAAGCAACGGATTTGTGCATGAAATGTATCGGCATGAACTCGACCGAGCCTATCATCGCCGTCAATATCAACGTTCTCGAGAATGGGACGACCGAACGTACCGAAGCTTCCGTTTATACGTCCAACCAGCTCGTTTACCACCTGCCTAAGATTCTGGTACTCCTCCACATCGCCACGACTCGGCACAGCGACCTGGACGAGCACAACTTTCCCGATCCACTCCGGGTGCTCATTCAAGAACACTTCGAGGGCGTGCAGCTTCTGCGGGACGCCCTTGATGTAGTCCAGACGGTCGACTCCGACGATGAGCTTGACGCCTTGGAACTTCTTCTCCAGCTGCGCGATTCGCTCTTGGACCGAGGGCTTTTGCAGTCCCTCGGCGAACTTCTCCGGGTCGATTCCGATTGGGAAGGCACCAACGGTGCGCAGCTTACCTTCGTATTCGACGCCGTTGGGGGTGGTCGTGAGGCCTCTGAATGAACCAGTGAGCATTCCTTTCCACCCAGCGCCTTGACGACGGGGGAACATACAATATCCTCGAGCAACAACTCAAGAAGTGTCTCGCATAGTCAAAGGTGTGAAATCCCAGGAGATCGCAATGCAGCACACCCCTCAAAATCTCCTCTCGCACTGGCAAAATCCTGTAAATTTCACTGCTAGGGAAGGGGGTGTGAAGGAAGAAGCCAATCTTGACGTTCTTGACTCGATCACCCAGCTCTTCCCTGAGCATGGCAGGCATGAGCATGAGGTGATAATCATGGACCCAGATCAGGTCGTTATCCTTGACGGATTTCGCGACCTCTCTGGCAAAGATCCTGTTTGCGTCGCGGTAGGCGACCCACGCACTCTCGTCAAAGCTGATCTCGCCCGGGTGGTAATGGAACAGCGGCCACAGGATTGAGTCTGCCGCACCACAGATGCTTGCATTAGCGCCCAAGCCCACTTATACATATGAGGTCATGACGTCGGGGTGATGTTTTCTTACTCGAAAAACCGTTATCTGCCCAGGGGTGACACTCGTTAGTCCAACCATGCCTCCAACCCCGCTCTCGGCGCGGGGCATGCGCAACATGCGCAACATCCGTTCGTATGAAGAGTAGAGTACTCACAATGCCTATCGGCCATCTCATCGGGCAACCATATGGGCACAGCGTTGTATTGCTCCTTAAGCTCCGCCTCGACCCTTCCGATGTCCTCCTCGGGCAGCTCCAGCCCTGGCCACCCGAACCAGCTGAAGGTGGTCGTCTTGGTCATTCCCGACAGGCCGCTGACGAGTCCGCCGGACGACATGCTGTAGTTGTAGTTGCCGCTGTCCTTCTTCTTGATGGTGATGGGCAGTCGGTTGCTGACCATGATCAGGTTGTGTTCTTGCTTTTTGGCCGCCATGGCTGCGGTAGGTAGGTGTGTTTAGACGGGGAGATGGAAGGGGGACCGTTCCGGCGGGGGTGGTGGCTGTGAGATCGGGACTTGGTGGAAGGTATTCGCTGGAGATGATGGAGCGAGTGATGAGTGCGGGGGACGGGGACCGCCGATCGAGAGTGAGACACGAAGCGGGTGATGGCTAATGGCGGTACAGATGGGGACGGGAGTGGAAGCGAGATAGTTTGATGTGTGAGCGGCGACAGTTCGCAAAGGGAGAAAGGGGAGTTTTTAAGACGGGAGAGAAGAACAGAAGGCTAGTTGAAGAGGGCAGAAGCAGTTGCTGGTGGAGGTGGGGGTGGGGGGAGGGTATCTCTAGATAAGGCGCAGACGAAGGGAAGACAAGAGGCAGAGGAGGGGAAGAAGAAGATCACTTGGGCACTGAGTGCCATTCGGAAAAGCCCCACTACGTCATCCTTGGTAACGGGAGGGAATAACCCAACGAAATGCCCCTCCATGCCAACACGCAATAGGCTGGAGAGGTAAACACTCTACGGACGATAGTAGATCGTCCATATCTTCTATATTCGCGCTCTGCTCGCCCGGACTGCGGGACAGATGCCCAGGATACTATGTATACATAGAGCCAGTCGGCAGAGGGGAACGCAGCTGCGTCCGTTTTACATATCAAACTCTGCACGAATGGAGATGTGCCTGGAAGATAGACCACACTGCAGGCTGAATGACAGCATGAAGAACCCATCTCGATATGAAGTCCTGTTCCGCTATCCACTCGCTGCGGAATCCGCTCCAAGTACAGATGGAGCCGTATACCTATACTATACCCAGCCACCAGTCCGCGCGGACCTGATCGCTGCTACTATGATAGAGTAAATCTCCGTATGGGGCAGGCAGTTGAGCCAAAATCGCCGCGTCGAGTATGTAAAAACCGCCAGAGTCAATTTTCAGCCCTTTTGTGATCTCAAACACGCCGGACCCAAGACCCGCCCAATGCAAACAACCCTGGACCGCTAGCTCGGCCCTTCCGTCTTCACATCAACCACACCACACCACCCCAACCACCACTGCCACCCTCCACCTCCACCTCCACCACAACACGCGCGCCAAGTCACCTCGATACTTACCCCTTCACACTATACGATGAATGATCGCGACGAGTCCCGCGACGCCCAGATCGCCGGCGCCCTGCGCAAGGCTGTAGCCGACGCATTCCGTAAAGACCCTGAATCGGTAACGCTGCGGACGGTCCGCAATGAGGTCGCCGAGGAATTGAAACTTGGAGAAGGCTTCTTTAAATCGGACCCGTACTGGAAGGATAAGTCGAAGGAGATTGTCCTGCAGGAGGGGGTATGTAGTGTGGCATCGATTGAGAGCGGGTTCACGCGTTTTGTGCGCTGACGCGTCCGCGTGTCGTAGGATATTCAAAATGCCAACATGGAGGCTCCTCCGCCGAAGACGTCGCCCGAAAAGAAGAAACGCGTCGCAAAGGCCCCCGCGGCGAAGAAGGCTACGGCAAAGAAGGTTACGGCGAAGAAGCCTGCGCCGAAGAAGGAGGATATCTCGGAGCCCGAGCCAGACGTGGGCGGTGCCGAGGACGAGGACGAGGACGAAGAGGACATCGCGCCGAAACCGCGCAAACGAGGCCGACCCACCAAGACTGCTGCAGAGAAGAAGCCGGTCGCTAAGTCGAGGGCAAGGGTGAAGAAGGTGGTAAAGGGGGAGGACGAGGAAAAGGAGGAGGAGAAGGAGAAGGAAGTAGAGGTGACGGAGAGACACTCGACGCCGAATGTGGAACCAAAGGATGAAGATGACGACAGCGTGCTGTCAGACCTGCCCGACGACTTCCTCGACGAGCCGGAACCACCGAAGAAGAAGCTCAAGAAAAGCATCGTGCAGAGTCCATCGAGCAAGGCGACCAAGGCGAGCCCGAAGGCTGCAAAGGCTGCGAAAGCGGAAATAGTCGACAGTGAGAACGAGGAGGCATCTGCATTGAAGGCGGAGCAGAATGGGGAATCCGCAGGAGGGGAGTCCGGGGACGAGAGTGAGATGTCGGTTGTGCTAGATGAGACGCCAAAGAAGAAAGCTCGTGGCCGTAAAGCTGTTGCCGCTAGTGGTGACACAAAGAAGAAAGGAAAGGCTGCGGCTGCGAAGCCCAAAAAGGCCACTAAGGCTAAGGCGAAGGCTTCGGTATGTCGTCCTCGTCGTCGCATCGATCAACCGTAGCATGGGGCTAACATACGACAGGGCAAGGAATCCTCTCCCGACGAGGAACAGATCAAGACATTGCAAGGCTGGCTCGTCAAGTGTGGTGTATGTGCCCCGCTATCACGCACTGACCTTCAAAAGTTGCTGACAATCCCCAGATCCGCAAGATGTGGTCCCGAGAACTAGCAAAATGCGACACACCCAAGGAGAAGATCCAGCACCTGAGGCAGATGTTATCAGACGCAGGAATGTCGGGCCACTACTCCCTCGCGAAAGCGACCAAGATCAAGGCGAGACGCGAACTGGAGGACGAGGTTGCCGGAGTTCAAGCGGGCGTCTCAGATTGGAACAATACCAACGACGGCATGGTTACCACCCGGTCCGGAAGAACCTCCATCAGCTCTCCGAGTACTGGGCGAAGACTGGTGAGTTATCCTCCTGACTGCTGAGTTACATGTGGACACTGGATCTGACAAACAACAGGTACAGCGATCGCGCGGATTGGAGGGTCTCGAATTTCTGGATGGTCAGAGCGACTCCGACTGATTACCACCGCCGACACCTCGCTGTACACCTTTAATATACCCCTCGGGCGCTCCCCCCACTTTCTATCCTACCTACCACCCTCTTGTACGATACCTCTGCATGGTTTGCTTTAGGTCTGTCATTTTGCTTGCCGGGTCACTGAGGAGATGTGAATGTTAATATTTCCATCACCGAATAATGGGATAATAGAGCTATTACTCTCTCTGCTTTCCCGTCACTTTAGCTGCCGACTCTTTCCCAAATGCTGCGCGACGAAACTATATGCGGCGATTGAAGTGGCAAACAGCAGTAGATTGTAGAACTGTAGATGTCCGTTAGCTGAGTGTCGATATACCAACAAGGAAGGTGGGGCTCTCTCACAGCTGTCCGGCTGTACGTCCTCTCCTCCTCCTCCGTCCTCGAGGCGGCAAAGAGGTTTCGTAGGTTGGGGATTTCAAACTTCGCCTTTGGCCACGTCAGATTGTACTCCAGCTGTAGAGAGCGAGAGACGAGAGAGATCGAGACATACCATTTCCACTTCCTCGCGATGGTTCAGCGTTCGCGTGCAGAGTAACTTACCTGCAAGTCGTCGGGTATGTATGTGTGAAAGTAAGGTACTGCCAAGCCAGCCAACTGCACCTGGCAACCACAGCTCCAGGCTCTCTCGCTCACCAGCACCCTCACCACCACCACGTCAACCAACCGCCAAAAACGTCGACAAACACAATGGCCGCCAACAGAATACGCAGCATGTTCCCCACCGCGCCGCGGAAGGGCGAAACCTTCGAGCTACGGAACGGGCTGAACTCGCAGTATTCACACGAGAGGTAGGTGGGGGGATCGATCTCGGGGGTGCGCGTGGATGGAGCTGATGTGGTTGTGGTGGGGTGCGCAGGAAAGAAGCCATTCGGAGTACTATCGCGTCCATGACGCTGGGGAAGGACGTATCCGCCCTGTTTCCGGATATCATCAAGAATATGGTATAGCTACCTTGGTGATGGTGCTGGGGAGGGAGCCGCTGGCTGATGCTCTGTGGTGGCGGCGGTAGGCAACGAGTGATCTGGACCAGAAGAAGTTGGTGTATCTATACCTCATGTGAGAAACTCCATTGCTGCCGTCGGGGTTGGTTGGTGTGTGTGTGCTGATACGGGGTGGATATAGGAACTATGCAAAGACCCACCCCGACCTATGTATCCTCGCCGTCAACACCTTCGTTCAGGTACGTCCATCCCACATTCGGCAGTCGCCTCGTACTGACCTCCACAGGACTCGGAAGATCCCAACCCGCTCATCCGTGCGCTGGCGATCCGAACCATGGGCTGCATCCGCGTCGACAAGATCGTGGACTACATGGAGGAGCCGCTGCGGAAGACACTGCGCGATGAGTCACCGTATGTCCGGAAGACGGCGGCGATCTGTGTAGCGAAGTTTTTCGATCTGAACCCGAAGGTGTGCATCGAGAACGGGTTCCTAGAAATCCTCCAGGAGATGATCGGTGACTCAAATCCGATGGTCGTGGCGAATTCGGTGCAGGCGTTGTCGGAGATTGGAGAGAGTGATCCCGACACTAATGCTCTCACTGTTACGCCGGCGACGCTAAAGAAGCTGTTGATGGCGCTGAATGAGTGTACTGAGTGGGTCTCTGCATGTTGTTGCGGCTGGCTGGTGATGAAGGGCTGATGGCGAACAGGTGGGGGCGAGTCACGATTCTTACTACACTCTCGGACTACAGAACGGAGGACGTGAAAGAGAGGGAGCACATCTGCGAGCGAGTGGTACCCCAGTTCCAGCACGTAAACCCTAGTGTGGTTTTGGCAGCCGTGAAGGTGGTGTTCTTGCACATGCAGGGCATCGGACCGGACATGATGAAGCAGTATCTACGAAAGATGGCGCCGCCGCTAGGTCTGTCCCCAGCCGTCTCGGAGATGGTGCGCGATGCTCATCTACTATAGTGACACTCATATCTTCTCAGCCAGAGGTGCAGTACGTGGCCCTGCGGAACATAAACCTCCTTCTTCAGGCGCAGCCCGACATCCTGACAAAAGAGATCCGCGTCTTCTTCTGTAAATACAACGACCCGCCATACGTCAAGCTCGAGAAGCTGGACATCATGATCCGGATAGCGAACGAGAAGAACATCGACCAGCTCCTGATGGAGCTCAAGGAGTATGCACTGGAGGTTGATATGGACTTTGTCAAGCGCGCAGTCAAGGCTATTGGGCAGTGCGCTATCAAGATTGATTCTGCTGCGGAACGATGTGTTACCGTGCTGTTGGATCTTATCAATACCAAGGTTAACTACGTGGTGCAGGAGGCCATTGTAGTGGTTAAGGTAGGTTTTATAAGCTGTTTTCTACGATGCACAGGAGGCTGATGGTTGGTAGGACATCTTCAGGAAGTACCCAGGATACGAGGGAATCATTCCGAAGCTGTGCCAGAACATCGACGAGATTGACGAACCCAACGCACGAGGCGCGCTGATCTGGATTGTGGGAGAGTATGCAGAGAAGATCAACGACGCAGGCGAGATTTTGGGGTCTTTCGTAGAGAGTTTCCAGGATGAATCCACCCAGGTATATTGGCCGTCTTGACGATTGTTTTACAGCTATTAATAGTTGACTGCAGGTCCAACTTCAAATCATCACTGCGGTCGTCAAACTCTTCCTCAAGACATCGCAAACCCCCGCCAAACGCGACGAGGCACAGCAACTTCTGCAGACTGTTCTCAAGAACGCCACATCGGAATGCGACAACCCCGACATCCGCGACCGCGCATACATCTACTGGCGACTTCTCTCCATCAACCCGGACAACGAAATCGCGCGGGAAGTAGTCCTGGCGGACAAGCCCGCCATCACCTCGACCATCCAAAACCTTCCGCAGGGGCTCCTCGAGCAGCTTCTCGCGGAGCTTTCCACTCTGGCCAGCGTATACCACAAGCCTCCATCGGCATTCATGGAAGCGCGCCGAGGCAAGGGGCTCGGAATCCTCATGAAGCGCGCCATCGAGGAGCAACGCGAGAACGCCGCGGAAAATCCCATCACCGCCGCCACCGGCCAGAAGAACAATATCGAGAACTTGCTGGATATCGACTTTGACGGCGCGTCGCCTGCGACGCCATCGGCCGCTACGCCGCCGCCGCCAGGTGGCCTCGCGGATCTGATGGGCTCCCCTGAGGTGCAGAGTCCGGTTGTGGGCGGTGGTAGTAATATGGATGATCTCTTTGGTCTCGGGATGGGTGGGGGTGGAGGAGGAGGCGCTGGACTGTCGAACGGATTCGAGGGCTTGGATATCGGCGGGACAGCCTCGCCATCACAACAGCTGGGGAGTAAGAAGACCAATCAGGATATCTTGGGCCTCTTTTAGTCGGATGGATGGATGAGAGCGTTGCTTGCCTGCTTGCTTTGCTTACTTGTCTACTGTATTTCCCGAGTTTGCGATTACGTGCGATACATACATGCGAATATGGGTGTAATTGAGAATAGATTGGTGTCTGTCTGCATCACGGGCGTCGGACTCTGCCCAGGCCCGCGCTAGAGGGACACTATACCCCACTACTAGTTAGCCCCGCTAGTTAATCACGTCACCGCCCCCCACCCCCCGATCCTCGAACGTTAACTCAGCCTTACCACCACCACCACACCACGACCTGCTCTCGACAGTGCACACACCCGCATAATCGCCACATCAGATAACCACCATCAGCACTCTTCTTCCACGTTCCGCACCCTTCCGTCCACAATCCACAATGACCACCGCCGGCCTCACCCTGTCCGACCTCGAATCCGCAATCCGCACCAAGCTCGACGCAAGCCACATCGAAGTCGTCGACGTCTCTGGTCTTTCCCATCCCCTCCCCCGTCGCCGGGAATCCATGTGCTGACGCGATGCGATGGCGAAAAAGGCGGCTGCGGCCAAATGTTCGAGGCGGTGATAGTTTCGGACCATTTCCTGGGGAAGACACGCCTGATGCGCCATCGCATCGCGAATACGGCGCTCAAGGAGGAGATTGCCACCGTGCACGCGTGGAGTCAGAAGTTGTACACGGGGGCGGAGTGGGAGAAGGAGGTGGAGAAGGTGAAGGCTACTCAAGAGTAGGGGAGGGGGGGTGGGAAGGGGGGTGGGGTGGGAATACTGGGGAATGGTGGGTGGTGGGGGTGGGTTTGGAGCATACGCTCGAGCAACTACTTCCTGCTATATAGAGAGCGGGTGTATACCAATCGAATCGTCGAAGTCAAGCGGCTCATGTTCGGCGGAGTCAAGCGTTCCGCCGCCGTCATCACTATTACCTATATTACCCATTTCCCGCAGCTGAACACCGTCGGTTGGAGCGATGTCCATTATCTACCCCCGTTAATCCCGACCAGCTCGATTGTGATATACGGTACCAGATGCCCCACTCCCGTTCCCCAAGCCCAGGGAGTAGGTATCCCACCCGGTACCGCCGCCTAGACACTCAGATTCCGGGCATGCCACCCTGATGTCTAGTGCTAGCCACCGGTTATCCGTCCATAGGCCGATGTACTCGTCTTTGCCTTGAATTTGTATCCCAATGATCGACATGACCGAGTGCCACCCAGTGACGCTATCACATCCGCCCGCAACAGAAGTGCCTTGACCCAGTATCCATTGAATATTGTACACCAGCCCCATCCATCCAACCATTCATTTATTTCTGCGCCACCGGCACCTTCTGCTTGCCCGCCATGCCCTTCTGCTTGCCCGCCACGTCCTTCACCGCGCCCTCCACCTTCACCGCGCCCTTCACCTTCCCCGCGTCCTTCACCTTCGCCGCGGCCTCCGCAAGCTCCGCCCTGGCGGCCCTCCTCTCGACCCTCTTACTCTCCTGCTTCATCATCTCCCTGCGCTTAACCCATCCATCTACGCCCTCGGGCAGCTTTCGCTCCTCGCCCGTGCGCACAGCCGACACGAACGCGTCCACCACGTGGCGCTTGCTCTTGCTCGTGCGCAGGCCGCTGGCGATCGTGACGATGTCCCCCGGTACGCACGCGAGCGCGTGGTCGTCGCAAAGGTAGGAGGTATGGCGTGTGTAGTTCTACTCGTGCGTGTTAGTGGGTGGGGTGGGGGGAGGAGGGGCAGGGGGAGGAAGGACACACCTTCCGCAGGTGCGCGTTCCACACTTGTTTTGCGACGCGGACTTTGACGGTCGACATGCACTTATGGGCGGCGGTGACGACGCCCATGGCCGTGGAGATGGCTTGTGCCGGTTTTGACATTGCGGCGCCGGATGTGCTGGTGGTGGGGGGTGTACAACGGGAAAGCTCGAGTTCGGAGGTCGGGGCCGGAGGAGGGAGATACAATTTTCGGTCGGTTGCGGGAGGCGCGCGTGGGTGTGTGGTGTGGATGGATGGGTGGGTGGCCGGCCGTGCGGGGGCCGGGTAAGTACACTCAACCCCGCTATGAGGGGCGCACAGGGAGGGAGCGAGGGTCACGGTTTCTGGCTCGGGTTGGATGGGTCGTGAGTGGACTTTGAGGCCAGACATAAGGCGGTGATTGAAATCGTGAAGATTCTTCCGTCCGTCCCGCGGTCTACATGATTATCCCACCGTCCCACCGTCCCACCGTCCTACCGTCAGCCACCCATTGTGCCTGCCCCTGCCAAATCTATATACCTCTAAGACACCACCACTCCCCTCGTCCGTCCAAAAGGAACCTCTCCCACTCCGACTCATGAATCATGACCGCCCCCTCCCCCTCCCCGACACCAGACAGAACACATCACGCCCGCAAAGGAAACTTCAAGTATCTATAACCGCCCGTATTCCCCTTATTCCCCGTATTCGCCACGCCCACGCCCCGCTAAGCCGAACGAAAAACAAAACCGCAGTAAAAAACGAGGAAAAGAGGAAAAGAGGGAAAAACGCAGACCCAGACCCCCCTGAAAACCCCGAATTGCGATAGTAGTAGACAAAGATGAAACCAAGCAGGTAGTAATATAGGTAGGGAAGAGAGACAATGATGATGGGCTTTTGTACACACATGCAAGGAAAATGGAACTTTTTGCTTGAACAAGAGAGGACAGGACTGAAGAAAGAAAGAAAGCCAATCCCCCCACCCCTCGGCCCAACTAGTAAAAACACACAAACAGACAAAACCAAAGCCTCCCATAACAGATACCAATTCTCGTCGCAGGAACCAAGGGAGAAGAAAGGTACGCTTGTAATGATGCTGATCTAGAAAGCTGAAGTTGTAGTAAGTGCTCACAGGGGAAAGGTGGTTAGCAATGGTATCGTATCGTCATCTAGGAGGCTCTGGAAGACTCCGCGCTGTTCCGTATCAGGTAGAACTTCGCCATCTCGTAGGCAGTCCTGTATTCACAATGAGCATTTCCCCACGTCACTCGTCACCCGGGGAGAAACAAAAAACTCACCAGCAGATCGCAGTGGACGGCATAGTAGTGACGATGCGAGGCTGAAGTCCCCTCATGAAGCCACGCATCCCCTCGCGTTCATGGATGATTTTGGCGGCGTCAAAGAGTCCTTTACAGTTCCGGATGCGCTCGTCCCTAGCAGTCCCGCGGGTCTGCAGGAGGGTCTTGATGACATCCAAGGGAGTCGTGACGGATGCAGCGACAGCGCCAGCGAGTCCTCCGGAAAGACAGTGAGACATGGGATCGTATCCCCTGCGGGGGTTGAAGAACTTGCTGAGGGAGTCATATGCCGCAAATTGTATCGCGGTGAATGGGATGGTCATAGCAAGCGTTGTCGGATACGAAATGTAAAAGGCTTTCAGTCCCTCGAGGCGGTACACCGTCTTGGCACAATCACCGATAGACTTGTATGTAGATCCGTGGACCTGCATCCGCTGCTTCACGACGTCGAACGGATTCATGAGGGCATCGCTCGCGGTAGTAGCGCAAGCGCCGGCAAAACCAGCGACGAAGGGGTGATGCTCATTTCCGATGTTGCCTCCCAAGTTATGCTTGACGCTCTCGTAAGTAGCGAAGTAGATTGCGTGGGCGGGACCTGCGGCAGAAACATTAGATTAGTCGATCCATCTGATAAAGCGGGAGTCTCTAATCGCCGATCTTGAGGCGGGGGCGGGGACGAGGGACGGGGAAGCAGGGAAGCATCAAGACTTACCCGCACCGACCGCAACACTTGCGATGCCGCGCCACAACGATCTCACTCCCTCGGTCGCCGAGATCTTTCCCGCAGCGTGGGCGATGCCGTTGTACATCGCGCTCGGTGACGGGTTCATGATTTGCATCCTGGTCTGCACACAAACGATGTCAACCATCCATCACGAACTCACAACTCACAACCCACCACACACTCAATCCACAACTCCGACTCGATTGAGCGCCAGGGAAGAACGGAAGCACATACCTTGATAGCGTCAATCGGGTACATAACCGTATGTTCCTACTCACAGCGTCAGCCAACAACACCGACAACAACATCCAAGTGCGCCGAGCTGCATGCCGCATACCATGATGCCCGCGAAGGCTCCAGCCAACAGGTTCGACACGAGACTGCCTCCTCCGAGACTCTCGTAGTCGATTTCGTCCAACTCAACCGCTGGTATGTGTTCCGGCATTCTGGGGAAGCCCGGGATCTGGGGTGACGCCGTGGTTGTTTCTTGAGTACCGCCAAGTGGGCGGTGTGTGTACGTTTGTTTGGGAGGAAGCCGGAAGCTTCGGTCGCTGTCGGTCGCTTGTCGTGGGGGGGCGGGGAATTGGGTGCGACACCGGAGGTATGGCTATCTCTGGTGTTGCGGGGGAGGAATGGGGGGAGAGGAGTGCAGAGTGAAAGAAGCGGAGAGAGGAGGGAGGGGACGGAGGGGACACAGAGGGGAAGGGTGGGAAGGGCGGCCGAGAAAGAAGGGCGGGCTAGAAGGAAGGGCGGGCTAGAAGGAAGGGCGGGCAAGAACGAGGCGGGGTGACTTGTCGTATTGCGAGGCTCTTTGTGTCTCGACGGATCAAAGATTTCTCGTCGACAACAGCGCAGGAGAACACGGCGGAAGAAGTGTTGAAGCGTACGTTACAGGACGGCGGCGGTGGCTAGAAGACGTCGGTATGCGCACATGTGAGCAATGGTCTCGGCAGCATTCTTAAGTAGATGATTAGGAACAGCAATACTAACGAGTGGGTACGGGGCCGGGAGCCACAAGGCAGGTTGATGAGCTGTCGGGGAGGGGAACAAGTGGTGATTGATGAGGATGGGGAGTCCAGCCAAAAAGTCCAATGCCCGGTGGTTTTGCAGCAACAAATCCCGGTCCCGCGTATTTGAAGAGACCGTCGATGGTGACGGAGTTAGTGTTTGCTTGTGGGTGCAGGGGTGGGGAAGGTAGGGGACGGACAATCGAACCAGCCTCCGTGCGGCCATGGGGGCAGTGTGTTACGTGACGATGGTTGGACGTGGAAATGTCCATTCGAGAGCGGTCGAATTGAGTCCGAGTGGACGAGATTCCCACGGTGATCTTCCCCGAAACTCAGAAACATTACAAAAGGTTACCATTTACGAGGCTTCACGGCCATTTATCACATCGCCACAGCCAACCCACGACTGCCCTTCGCGATCGTGATCTATGTAGATATGCTGGGAGCCTAGGGAATCGTGGGCCTGGAAATCTGCACAGGTGGACCCGGACTACCTGGATCATCACGGTGGTGGCTCACATCAGATCGGAGGTAACGAACTCCTCTCTCTCGACCTTCTCCGCGGCTGGGAGGTCAGCTATCTCCGGGCCAGGAGTGAGGAAAGTATTGCAAGTCCGCGGCGGTCGAACTTTTCTGGCAGAGGGGGTGGGTGGTGGGGGTGGGCATCTGATTCTTGAGATAATCATTTTCCCGGCAATTTTTATCAGATGGGCCGAGGGTTGACAGTTGGGCCTGGGGAGGGGACTGCATAAAGTGTGGCGCCAACTCTAATAGTTTAAGCCCCAAGCCAGCCCCCAAGATATTGAGGGGGGAGGGGGGGCGGGGGCATGGCGGGGGTGGGGGTAGTGGCCACACGGGTGTCCGGGGCGAGTTGATTGATAGGTATGCGGAGTATGCAGAGTATCTTGCACCAACGGAAGGAGAGGATAAGGAAGAAACATCTCAGCTTTGGCCGAGTGAAATTGAATTTGCTCGCCTTGGGTCAGAATCCTCCACAGAGAGTCGCTCAAGCGATAGCAGCGAGAACCTTCTCCGCCGCGCTCACATCGACTCCCGTATTGTCCGGCTCGGGGAATACCTTCTTGACCGTGCCGTTCTCCACGTACATTGCGTACCTCTTGGACCTCTTGTTTCCGAAGATCTTCTCGCTGTCGAATTCCATCCCGAGAGCGGCGGTGAGCGAGCCGTCGGAGTCGGCAAGGAATCGGAATTCGCCCGGAGTGGAGTCCTTGACGAGGGTGTCCTTCCACGCCTGTGCCATCATGCGGTCAGCACTCTACATACGACGTGCTAGACGGAGAGGAAGGAAGGGAAAGGAAGGGAGAGGAGAGGAACCTTCATCACGAACGGGTCGTTGACGGAAACGACGTAGGTCGGCACGCCGGATTTCGCGCTGACATAGCCGGGAATGTGGGTGGCCGAGCAAGCAGGGGAGAACGCTACGGATGCGAGTTCAGCAAATCGAACCGATTATCACGTCGAGATTATTGGAGCTCGGGCTATACCAGCGGGAACGCCAATGACGAGAGCCTTGCCGTGCTTGTTCAGTAGCTGTGCGAGGGACACCTTGTTTCCAGGGCTTCAATCGTCAATTCCAAATGTCAGTCGAGTTGCGTTGCGTGCACGACGGGTGGCAGACAGCGTCCGGGGTTGCGAGCGGGTACGTGCCTGTCCTCCATCAGCTCGACGTCGGGAAACGCGTCGCCGGCTTTGACAGAGAGGATGCTGGAGCGGTGGAACGAGCGCTTGGCATTGGCGGTGATGGCCGTACGGAGGAGGGGCGAGATACGGTGTAACATTGTGATGGGTGGTGGTGGTGGTGATGGAGGTGGTGGAGGAGGTGGTGGTGGTTGTGGACGGTGTCTTTTTTGCCTGCTTGTGGTGTTAGTTACGGCTGAGTAGGAATTTGTGGTACATCGGAAAAGGCTCATGGCCATGCTACCACTGCTCTATCATAGTAGGTACTCGGGATATATCAACCGTAACAAGTTCCATTCCTTCCATTCTTTCCCTTCCCTCCCCTCCCCTCCCGCTCCCCCTCCCCTCCAATTCCCCACACGCATGACATCAACGGTGTGATGGTGGTGGTGGAGAGATGTCGCGGATGGCCGCTGGCATAACGTATGACCCAATGACAGCGTTAATCGATCAGGTTGCTACCGTTACGGTACTATACAGTAGAAAGAATTGAACGGAAGAGGCTGCAAATGGCACCGGTTCCTTCCCGTTGAGCTCTCGAGGTTTGCGAGAGTATACCTATTCGGACATATATTCGGATACCCACTCTAGCTGGTGCAGAGGCAGAATCACATCGAGTAATTATTATTCTGATGGATATCCGCCAGCCGTGTTGACGTTGTACACACGCAAGTCCACCACCGCTGCTGGTTGATGGTGTATCGTAGGTACCGTGGGGTCAGTACCAGGTACCTACTTTTTATGTATGGAGATAAGATGATTGGATAGGTATCTCCGTCCCCGTCCCCGTCTCTCCCTTCCGCGCACGCGGGGGTTCGTCGAGTTTGCTTTTTTTTATGCGTAGGCATGGTTGAATACGGTGCTCCGGCCAGAACGAAACGGAGCGGAGCCGTATGTATCGTCAGCGGTGAGGCGCGCACATGAGGCCGATTCTCATGTGCGCGCTATTGGGCTGGTCTCGCGATCCATAGCAGTGCTTACCTTATACCGCCATCATGAGAGTGGGAGAGATTGAGAGAGGGCGAGATAGATTGAGAGATTGCGAGAGAGAGTGAGATGGATAGGTACCGTCACGACGTGAATTAGTTAACATTAATTGATCGCATTCTATCAGCCCTAGTACGGTACTTAAGTAAGGAAGCTCTACCAACGGCGATAGTCTTCGCGACATGACCATTTGAATTTATTTGTTAAGACGAGGACGGGCGCGGGCGCGGGCGTGTCGACTCGCAAAGGCAAAGGGCAAAAGCCTGTCCGAATTGACTTCGAAATATTATCTAAGGCCGATGGCTGATGGCTGGTGACGGAGGTGCTTGCTTTCATTCAAACTTGCAAAAGTTACATACAAACTTACAAATGACTTCCTTCTCCGCTTGACAGTTAGCATCCTGTTCGCTCCATTCACTCGGGTCGATGGTGTCCGTGAACTTCACGATGTTTATTCCTCCAATGAAGTTCGTTCCCATTGAGTTCGTACGGTATGTGCAACATGCATATTCCGCAGGAAGCTGTGCCAAGTTTCTTTTGGAGTACTTGGTAAGTTGGGTGAGTCCTCTTTCCCTTCTTCGTTCTCGTGATTGATATTATTCATACTGCCCACATATACCTATCATACATACAAACTGACCGAATAGGTAGTCTGCCAGTAAAGTATTCACTATACACACACGGTACATACCTCCTGGAAATGATTTACCCACTCTGCTCCAGCAGGTATTCTACATACGATACGAGTCGAATCTCCCCCACTCCTGCCTAGCTGTCCGCGGTGTGTTCGGATCTGTCGTCTGGTCCGGTGGGCTGCACTGCAAGTATCTACTGCAAGTACTGCAAGTACTGCAAGTTCAACTGCGTCGTGCAGAACGATCGACACACACATGCACGGCAGCCACCCAGAACGGGCCAGTGTGGGTGCTGCTGTGCAGCGAAACAACGACTAGAGACTCTTCATGCTAGTGGTTACTCTAGCAACTGGTGACTGGCAGGCTGGCGGCATACTTGCATACACACATTCATACATACGCCTCCCTCTGCGTGCTGCGAAGTCAGACCGGGCTGGGCTCCGAGCGAGGTCTGGAGTTTGGAGATAGGTACTTGGGGACTTGGTCTTCCAGTAAATACAGACTTACATACATACCATCGTGTGGATGCATAGGATGCATACATGTCCTGATGGCATTGCAGACACGATTTCCGCGTCTAGATTACATCCACGGCATCTATGGATGCCGAGTGACCGAGACTCGGATCGTCCAGCCGTGAGCGCTAATCGACGGGCCACCATTATACGGCTGCGGCGTCTACGAATGTGGTACTATATTACCGTTAAACTCTAGCTCACTCACGAGGTCCGAGGCTGAGCATGAAGGGGAATTTCATCATACATAGCCTCAAAGTTTTAGAGTTGACGGGACCGAAATTTTATTTACACTCGGCCAGAGGGGGTTCCCCAAGGGTTCCCACAGGCTTCAATGGAGTTAATCATTCTGGCTGCTATTGTCCGATGTCGGTGTACAAGTATTCGGCCCAATGGCTGGACATCGCAGCTCTAACTATCCTCGGGCCTCAACAGAGTCACGTCTGCGTATTTCGTCCGGCATCTTTCCGTCCAGCATCTTTTTGTACGGCATCTTTTTGTTCAACATCTTTTTGTCCTTTTTGTCTAACATCTTTTCGTCCAGAACCTTTTCGTTCCGTCTGTCCGGCCCGTCGATTAATTTATCCCGGCCCAGGGAAAAAAAACCGAAGACCATAGAGAAAGACGGTAGGTGATGGTGGTGATGGAGATAGTGGTGGTGATACATAACATATCACAACCAACGGATCCCCTGGTCTTTCAGTCCCCCAGATAATGCGTTTCTTCCGGGCGGGAGAAGGCGGCCATCGCCAGCCAGTGCTCTCTCGCAACCAGTAAGCCAGCCCTGACGCGCATTCTGCCATATTGGAGAGCGTACGGCCATTGTTGCCGTTCGACGATACTCATATCAAAGGTAGACTGACGATCCGACCCTAGGAACGTTGATACAAAAGACAGGCACGGACCACCCGCCTCGAAAAACTCGTCCGCCGTCCCGTTGGACGTGTCGAAGCCCACGATCTCTCCACGAGTGACGTGAGCCATATTGAGAGTGATAGATACTGATAGTGAGTGTGGGTATTCACTGTGAATGTGAGAGTGTGAGACAGTGGGTGTGAGAGCGTGTGGGATAAGGGAAGAAGAAGAGGAACAAGAGCAAGAAAAAGGACGAGAAGAAGAAGAAGGAGAAGAAGAAGGAGAAGAAGGAGAAACTGACTGATCAGTATCTAGCCAGCATTGTACGGCTACTATCCTTGTGGGCCCCGTTCCTCTCCAGCCTGCTGCTTCTCCTCCTCCTCATCCGCTTCTGCCCCTCCTCCTCCTCTTTCTTCTCCTTCCCGTCTTCACTATCGCTACTTACGTTAGGTATGTGTATGCACCGTTGTTCTGCGTCGCTCTCTCACTTTTCTTCATAGAAGGTCTCATCTACTTTACGGTCAAGTACCCAGCCTCCTGGCCTCCCGCGATCGCGCCGCAGCTAAAATCGCCACCACCACCACCACCACCACCACCCTCGTTGTCTCCCGCTTCACCTGTGCCAATCCCGCTAACTAGTCTTATCCTGCCCTCTCCTCCGACGACCGTCCGCCGCAGAAAACATCGACGTTCTCCTCCCTCCCTTTTTGACCGTCCCCGTCCCTCCTCCCCCCTCCGTCCACTCCGTCCGTCCGTTCGTTCCGCCCCATCTGCCTGCCAGGTTCACCTTTCGCCGTCGCCAGTCAGCCAGTCATAATCCGAGTCCGCGGGCTTTCGCGACTTCCAAAGATAGACTAGGGGGGGCCAGAGCTGCTACTCTATTGGATGATCTCTGATCGACCACCGAACTGCGACGACGACAACAACGACACCGACACCACCGACGACGACGAAGAAGACCAGAAGAGGCTCTGTACTCGGCGACAGCCCTTCCTCCGCCACCCCTTCCCCCGATATCGATAGCGAGACATACCCAGAGCCCGTCCGCCACCGCGCCCCCCGCTCCGCGCTGTCTGGTGCGATCGAGAAAAACGCACGCACTCCCGCTCCTACACTCCCAAAACCGGATGCAGGGATCCATTGCGACTCGCTCTGCTGGGTACAACATCATCTGTCGATACCCCACGAGTCCACGAATCTAGATCACCAACCACTTCTACCGACTGAATAAGCGACACTTCCGATTCCCGTCGGCGGCTGGTGGAACCCCTGTTCGTGTCGCGAACCTCAATTCACTATACGAACCGAATCGTCGTCTGTTCGACTAGAACGACGTCCCGTTCTCGAGATCCCCTCCCCGCCTCCCCGCCTCCCCCCGTCTCCTTGTGGCTGGATATGGAACCGAGTAGCTCTGCAGGCGGTGGGGGAGCTGGAGGTGGTAGTCAGAGCAGTAGCGACTTCGTGAGTTTTGCCTTCCTTTCCCGCTCCCCTTGCTCGAGCGCGCCGCCGAGGTGCTGTTTGATCCGGCAGTCGTCAATTTCTGTGGAATGACCATTCTAACGGCGTGTGCGTGCGCGCGCGTTGACATCTCTAGGTTCGCAAGCTTTATAAGTACGTTCACTCTCACTGCCGCGATTCACGCCTCAATTTGCTTCTTCTTCCTCTTCTTCCTCCTCTTCTTCTCTTCTCTTCTCTTCTTCCTCGTTCTTTACCTCTCCTGCCTCTACCCGACCTCCGCGAATGAAAGCTCGCTCTGACAGGATGTTGCCCGAAAACGCAGAATGCTCGAGGATCCTACACACAGCAACGTTGTTCGGTGGAGTCACTCAGGAGACAGTTTCATTGTGGTGGATGTACGTTTAGTGATGCGGATGCTTAATTCTCGAAACCCCTTTGGCAGAGCTACATACCGCCCTCGTGTCGCGCGCGCGAAAGGCTAACTTTCACACTCTTTAGACCAACGACTTCACCAAGAACATCCTACCGCAGCACTTCAAACATAGCAACTTTGCGAGCTTCGTCCGCCAACTTAACAAGTCCGATTCTACACGTTCTGACATTCTGGAACAACGGCTGACTCGGTGCCAGATATGATTTCCACAAGATAAAAAACACGGACGAGGGTGCGGGCAGTGGAGAGGTGGGCACCTTACTTCTCGGACGTGCCGGACGCGATGGGCACTGACCGTCCGTGTAGGGTTGGCAGTTCAAGCATCCCGAATTCACCAAGGATAGCAAGGACAACCTCGACAACATCCGTCGGAAAGCTCCGGCTTCGCGGAAACAACAAACGCAGTTCGATGAATCGGGCTCGCAGCAGATAGAGCAACTCCAAGGAGAATTCCGACAAGTCAGGGAGTCGCAGCAGGTCCTCAACGAGCGGATGCAAAAGTTCCACGAACAGACGGGAAATGCGTACCAGGATATGCAACTAGCCATCAGCTCGCAGGCGGTATACATACACCAGCACGAGGAGATAATCAAGAGGTTACTCTCGGTACTGTCGGATCTCAGCGCCCAAGTCCGGTCGTTGAAGCAGGATTATGGCAGGAACAATAGTCACGGCCAAGAGATTCTCCACGATGACCCGGTGTCGCCCGGTCAGACTGGCGGTATGGGTTCCTCGGCTACATCCCCGGCCAACCACCAGCAGGCGCCCGGCAGTAATGGATCGCCGTTGCAGCAAGCACAGCGTCTCATGGAAGGATACCGAAACCTCCAAAGACCTAGCATACAGGCCGGCATCGACCAGTTCCCAATGGCCCACCAGGATCAACACGATGGAGGGTATGGCGGGGGTTACCAGAATGGTCAGATGATGAATGTCGTGAACGGAACGGAACAATCCGGGGAGCATATGTTCCCGGGGATCAATCACCCGTTCAACAATAATGGCCATCCTCCAGGTCAACTGCCATGGCAACATCCACATCAAGAGACTCCTCCTCCTCCGCAAGGCAGCTCCGGTAGTGTGGTCGGTGGCAACTCTGGCCGACCCACGCCGAATCGAAAGAGAAGCACGCCCCAAACGCCACACTGGAGGTCGCCGCCAAGAGTGTTGCTCGTCGAGGATGATCCTACTTGTCGGCGAATCGGAAGCAAGTTTCTAACGAGTGCACAGTGTATGGTTGATGTTGCGGTTAGTACCGTCCGTACGGTGGTGCTTGTATTTGGCGCTGATGAAGGTGTTTTTTAGGACGATGGTTTGATCGCCGTCAACAAGATGGGTCGGAAAACATATGACCTCGTGCTTATGGATATCATGATGCCCAACCTGGATGGTTGCTCTGCCGCCGCTCTTATACGACAGTTCAACACCGATACGCCCATCATTGCCATGACGTCAAACATTCGCCGCGACGATATAAACAATTACTTTAATAATGGTAAGGGCTACTTTCCCTTCGTTGTTTGTTGTTCTGGGGATGTTGCCTGATAAAAATAGGCATGAATGACGTATTACCTAAACCCTTCACCAAAGAAGGTCTTCTGCAGATGCTTGAGCACCAACTCGTGCACCTCACTCGGCCGAAGGGAGGGCAACAACCTCAGCAACAACCCCAGCAGCAGCAGCCGTCGCATGGCCAGATGTCGCAGGGATCCATACCTACGCAGCTCAACTTCAATAATCCTCAGCACGGCATGCACCACGACCAGCTAGCGGATCCCCCCAACACTGGCAACGGCTTGAAGTACTCGGTCTCTCCTGCGCCGTCAAAGAGCCCCGGAACTGCCGGAATGTACAGCACCGGTCGAAGCCCGACAGATATGGCCGAAGATGTTCCGCAACAAGTGCAACCGCAGGGGGGCATGGAGGAGCCCGGAGGAGGATACATGGGGATGATGGGAGGTTACATGCCCGACGATGCGTCAGCGCATGGACATTCGTATCAGAGTCCTGCCCAAGGGCAAAGAAGACTTGCGGAGGATGACATGTATGGTCCCATCAAGAAGCAGCAGCGGTACTAAAGATTCTTCGTTCTCATGAACCGGTTTTTGGCGCACAATCCCGCCGTCTCGAGTTTTCATTCCATGTTTATCATATTTCCTTCTGGGTTTAATGGGGGTTTCTTTTCTATCCCCTCTAAATGTGAATTTTGGTTCTTTTTTAGTGTTGATCTTTCATTCGGGTCACGCGTGTGGGGTCTCTCTAGGTTTTTCTTCGTCGCTTCGTCTGTTTTATTGAGGAGGCAAAACGCGGCGTGCTATGGGTCATTCTTGGCTTTTCTTTCCTTTTCCTTTTCCTTTTTCCTTTTCATTATTTTTTTCTTCCTTTTTTGGAATTTGGGGCGATCAACCAATTTTTTACCAAATTTCTCTCACCTGGTTTTTTTTTTTTAACAAACCAACCTTTCCCCGTTTATGCAGTGAAGTGGGCGGGCAAAACGGTTTCCTCTGAATTCTCTGAATTATGTGTGTGTCTTGCACCGAGAAAAAATGTACGAGTTTGACGTTTTTTTCTGCTGTACTTCGATATGGCACATGCCTCCATGTTCGCCTATCCGCCCAACTCAACTTATCTTGTTTGTTTGGTTTAGGGGTTTAGGGGGGGCGAGTGGATGTTCTATTGTTGTTGTTGTCGGTAACAAAGGAGCGTCTGTTGCAATGGGATGCATTGTATTGAGGGTTACTTAATCATCGTACTGCGCTGTTTGTGCTAGATGTGGTGAATGTGGTGGATGTGGTGAGTGGATGCCGATGTCCCTGCATGTGAGATCACTCGGCCTGTGGGATTCTGACGGAGAAATGCGCGGGATTCAGGGCACTGATACCCTAGAGTTCCTCTATTCCATTGATGTGGGCAGATGGATTCTACAGGTCACGGAGGAAGATGCAGCGAGTGAGGTATCCGAGTGGGAGCTCAGGGAGCGGGAGGAAAGGGAGGCGGACATGAGGCGAGAGGAGGAGGAGGAGGGTGCTGAGGTTGAGAAGCCGGGGCCACGCCCGCTATTTCTTCCTACACCTTCCTTCATGGCATCTCCTGATGAAGAGGCAGGAGGCGGCGACAAGGACTAGTGACTTGCGGTGAGGCAAGGACGAGTCGAGGGAGTGGAAGTTGTCTTTTCCCAGTGTCATTTCTTTGGTCATACATCGTTGGGACAGGCCACGGCGAGGGCAGGGAAAGCCACATCGGGCCGCCTGATGAAAGTTGGGTTGGACAGTGGCGGGAAACGGGGGGCGAACGGGTAGATATTACCATGATCTAGATAGGTCGCACGCAATCAATGAATGAACAAAAAAAAGAATAGATTGATGTGCTCTCTTTCAGGCCACTGATTCTAGGGGGATAGGTCCTAGGGAAGGCTGCGCCTGTATATTCTGCATATCGTCCCAAGGGTGTAGGTTTACGGGTATATCCATATTGCACACTTTGGAACTGTGGAATTCGGATGAGATTATGCACAGAATGTTGCATTGCCGGGGGTGACGGCGATAAGCACATTAGGTCATAGTTACTGGTACTTACTCCATAGAACTACCAGTAGCCGCGAAGGTTCATCCCGCGTAGATGGAAGCGAGTAACTTTACTTTGAGTTTTACATGGTCGGTGGAGTATCAAAGTAAATATGTGTGAGTGTTTAGGTACATAAGGCATCACCGCTTGGCTGGCCGCTGGGCGAGGCAGTGCTGCCACATGTAGGTTCAAATGCTCACCGAGAACTCGAGTTGCAGTCATTTCTGAGTCATGCAAGTAGCCTGTGAGTCAGCACATGACAGCGCGCGATGCCAAGCCCGGGAATAATATTTACAGTCGGTGCTCAGTGAGCAAGTGCTCTCTTTTTCCCCGATTGGGAATTTAAGTCGGAAACCACTCTATGCGCTCACTTGCTCGAGGTGCTTGCCGCTTGCCTTCGATCTCTCGCTTCTACACCTATTCCAGCACATTCATCGCCAGTTCTAACCCAGCAACGCTTCTAACCTTGTCCCCCACTGCTTCGCCCTCTTGTTCTCTTCTTCCTCCCGCTTCGACTTTGCTGTCGACAACATTCGTTCTCTTGTCTAACTCGACCCGCCCCCCTTGATCGTCCTGTTACTCTTCGACATCCCCACCGACTACATATAGGTTCTCCTCCTCCCTCTCCACCACGCCGGCCCTCCGTTGTTTGGTAGCGATCCAAGCAACGCAGCCACCTCGATAGCCTTCAACACGGTCTCCTCCAGCAGAAAACGAAAGGTTCAAGACCCGTCCGACGACGACCCGGCAGCCAAGCGTGTTGCCACCTCTCCCGCCGTCGACGAAACTACTCCCTCCGTCACCACGGCCATGTCCAGCGATGAAGACATGTCCGACCGCATGTCGGAGGACGACTACGACAACGATAGCTTGGGCGAGCTAGGTATGCATGCAGTTTCCCCATCTTCCCCGCTTCGCTTCCTCTACCATCTTGTTTGGTGCTCTCGGAACGTTCCCCACGCTCTTTCTAGGACCTAAGTTTCCCCGCGCGCCCCTCCCTCAAGGCTAAACTAAGCTTGTCGCGTGCTCATACCCTCCACGATGCCTACGATTTACTCCCCGTGTGCTACCCACCACACCAGACACTGACTGTGCGGACAGACTCGGAGTTCGATGATGACGATAACGATCAGTTCCTCGACGACGTGAAGGACGAGAAACCGCAGAAGAAGGCGTACGAAGTTGATTTCAAAACGTTATCGTCGGGCGAGGTGCGGGCGGAACAGGTCTCGCAAGTCACAGAACTATCGGACCTCTTCGGGTTGTCGTCGGAGCAGTGTGGGATCCTCCTGCGCCATTTCAAATGGCAGAAGGAACGGTTGATCGAGCGATACATGGACAACATGGAGCGGGTCCTGGAGGAGGCTGGGCTCGGCTCGGAGTACGCAATCACCCCGGTGCTCGAGAAGATCCCCGGGTTTTCGTGCGATATCTGCTGCGATGAGGGCCGGAGGCTGTTGACCTACTCGATGAAGTGTGATCACCGGTATTGTGCAAACTGCTACCGGCAATACCTGGAATCGAAGATCAAGGATGAGGGGGAAGCTGCACGCATACAATGTCCGTCGGAAGGGTGCACGCGGATCGTGGATTCGAAGACGACGAAGCTTCTGATTGCGCCCGAGGTCTACAAACGGTGAGTCACATCGATCGGACTATGCGGGTTACTTGATTCTTATGATCCGGTGGTAGCTACGAGGAGCTCTTGAACCGAACATATGTCGACGACAAACAGAACCTCCGGTGGTGCCCTGCGCCCGAATGCGAGTTTGCTATAGACTGTCCTGTGCGGTCAACAGAACTCCACAAGATAGTACCTACGGTCACATGCAACTGCGGGAACCGGTTCTGCTTCGGGTGTGGACAGAGTGACCACCAGCCGTGTCCGTGCTCACTGATCAAGAAGTGGCTCAAGAAGTGTGAGGACGATTCGGAAACGTCGAACTGGATATCAGCACACACCAAAGAGTGCCCGAAGTGCGTGTCGACGATCGAGAAGAATGGTGGCTGTAACCACATGACTTGGTAAGTCACGTGCAACCTCGCGTGGCCCGAAGAAGCATATGCTGACCCTGGTTTGAATAGTCGGAAGTGTAAGCACGAATTCTGTTGGGTGTGTATGGGGCCTTGGAACGAGCATGGCACGAGCTGGTACAACTGCAACCGATACGAGGAGAAGAGTGGGTCGGAAGCACGGGACAACCAGGCAAAGTCTCGGGCATCTCTGGAGCGTTATCTCCATTACTATAACCGTTATGCCAACCACGACCACTCGGCAAAGCTCGACAAGGATCTCTTCATCAAGACGGAGAAGAAGATGACGATGCTGCAATCCGCGTCGGGGATGTCCTGGATCGAAGTGCAGTACCTCGCTCAGGCGTCGTCGGTCTTACAGCAGTGCCGCCAAACCCTCAAGTGGACGTATGCCTTTGCGTTTTACCTCGAGAGAAACAACAACACGTACATCTTCGAAGACAACCAGAAGGATCTAGAGATGGCGGTTGAACAGCTTAGTGAGCTCTTTGAGAAACCCCCGGATCAGCTCCGCGAGAGCAAGAAGGAGATGATGGATCGTACCGCATACGTCAACAATCGTCGCCGGATCCTGCTGGAGGATACGGCGCAGGGTCTCAAGAATGAACGGTATGCACTCTCTGTTCCTCGCACCCTCCCCGTTTACCAAACATACTAACACCAAACCAGATGGGCGTTCACGGTCGACGTGTAGATGGAGGTCAACCTAGCTAACTCTGCAGTGCGTTTTTACTCGGTTCATTCTGCCGGATAATAGGATGTGTAGACATTGGTTGTTTTATTTATTTCTCAGTCTACGAACCTATTTTAGCTTTTGTCTTTAGTTTTTTTTCTCGATTGGCTCGGTTTGGTGCTGGATGGATGTTTTCTCTTTTCTTGCTTTTTTGCTTTTTTCTATATTCTTTTTCTCTTTCCTATTTCTAGCGTGGGAAGACGGGACGGCGGGGACGGCGAAGTGGGGGATTGGACACGGGGGATTGGACATCGGGGATTGGACACGGACAGGGGGATTGACGGTGAATTCTATACTACCTATACTGCTACCACTTTACTACTCTACCTACCTTACCTACTCACCTACCTACTTTACTACCTATTACCCCCGTTGGAGCGCTATATGGACTACTGGACTACTACTCTTGTTTAGCATGCGTGTTGCGCTTACTTTTTCTTTTCTTTATGTTTAGTTTTACTTGGGGGTCTGATTTGTTATTTGTTTTTTACGTGTGTGCATTTGTCTTTCGTGTGTGCATTTGTCTTTCGTGTGTGCATTTCATGTGGTTTTGAACTTGGTATTCGTAGTGAGAGACTGGGGGTTTGCATTGCTTGCGTTGCGTTGCGTTGCTTGCGGGGTGGGGTTAGTTTGGTGGGGGGTATTGTTTTCGAGGATGTAGGATGGTGGGGGATTATTGTTTTTCGAGGTTGTTGTTTTTCGAGGATGTAGGATGGTGGTTGCTTCTATGGCATATAGAGGGTGGAATTGGTGAATTGCGTTTGTCGAATTGTCTTTGTGAATTGTGCTTGTTGAATTGTTGAATTGTCTTGTCATGTTTGTCTAGTCATCCATATGGATTTATTGCGAATTTGGAGTTTAATCGAGTTAGGTTGAGGACTCGGGAGTCGTGGGGAGGCGAATGAGATTATGTGATTGTGTGATTGTGAGGTGATTGTGGTTGTGGTTCTATCGGCGGTTGTGGTTGACGGAAATACCTACTGCAGTAACCTACAGTACCATAGTGGAGCACTCGCAACGGTTAGGGGGGGGGGGGGGGGGGGGGGGTGGAGGGGGGAGATAGAATAGGAATAATGTGAATGGCAATGGCAATGGCAATGTGAATATGAATGTGAATGGCAATGGGAGGTCGTTACACTTTGGATGTATCTACTGGTGAATACGCAGTAGATCCAGAGTAACTAGATCCAGATACTAGCTAGTAGGTAGCTCGCTACTGAGCACCGAAATGATTTAGGTTACCAAATCCACAATAAGGAAATTGTATATACGGAGGAACCCGGAATACTTCTGCCTTTTGTGGTTTCTCACTGACTAGAATGCCGCCGTCGAGGACAAAGGTGATTGAGCCGAGAAAGTCGTCGGGTATCCATGCCATGTCTATATTTGCAAGACTGGCCACTGGAAGAGGTGTGATGGATAGTCTTCAAGCTTCACCAAGCTCGGCAACGGTTGAATGCAGTAGGTACCATATATACGGCGAAACAAAACAAAACAACAGCAACAGCCAAAAGGGCAACCAAAAAAGACCGAACTAAGACCATATGTAAATCCAAGACCATATGTAAATTCAAGACCATATGTAAATCCAAAATCCAAAATCCACAGAAAAATACAGAAAAAATCCAAAAATCCAAACCGCAGGCATATCCAAAACAAAAACATAACATGTACACAAGCTGTAGGTATCATACCATATAGGTTCCAAAACAAAACAAATAACACCCCAAGAAATCAGAAAAGAAAAGGAAACTCCCAACTCACCCCGAACCTCGAACCCGACTACACCCGATCATTAACCATGGTCCCATAGCCCATTGTCGTCTCCTCCTCCTCCTCCTCCTCCTCCTCCGTATCCTCGCTCGGCACCAGGTCCATAACATCCTTCGTCCTCGGGCCGGTATATACGCTACCACACCCACACCGTCAGTAAGAGATCCCAAGAACACGCCGGATGTGGAAACATACTCTCTCGCGCCGGCCCACCACCATCCGACCGCAAACACGACCATGAACGCGGCTACACAAATGGCATAGTTCATATTCTCTGGTGTGACGGGCTTCCTAGGCGGGAAGAACAGTACGACGCTGATGAAGCAGACCCAAGTAATCGCGGTCCAATTGAGTGCGCGGCCGTACTTACCGAGGGTAAACGGCCCATCAATGAATTTAATCTCGTCCGAGTACCAAATGCGGGCAAAGATGACGGCGACGTAGGAGAGGTCCAGCGCAGGGGCGGTGATGTTAAAGATCCCCACAATCGTCTGCGTGCTGCCCAGTCCGATCAGGTCGAGACACACGCAGCAGCCCACGACGAGCCACACGCTGTTGATGGGCGTGTGCGTTTTTGCGTTGATGCGCGACCAGAACGAGGAGAACGGGAATGCGCCGTCCCGCGAGAACGCATATGCCATCCGTGTGCATGCCAGCATCGCGGAAATGCCGGTGAAGAATTGGATCAGGATTACGAACGACCACATGATAGTGGCCCCGCGCACGCCCGCCGCGTTCAGGAAGATCTGCGCCACTGGCATACCAGTGGGCGAAGCGATCGTCGACTCCAGGTCCCCCAGGCAGAAGCAGAAGGTTATCGTCAGCATCCAGCCGATCAGCCCGCTGGTTACGACGGCGGTGTTGATCGCGACGGGGCCGCGGATCGCGGCGTCGTGCGTTTCCTCCGACATGCTGGGCGGCGTTAATGAAGTGTCGCGAATGAGTGGAGAGGACGACTTACTGCGTGGTCCCGTCGTAGTCCGTCATGGTCCAGGCAACCGACAGGAATCTGCATTCACATTGGCATCAGCATCCAGTCTCGCGGCATCCCTAATCCATCTCGATGCATCCCATACCCGAGTAGAAACGAGAAGGCCTTACTACCCCAGCCCGAGCCATCAGTCGTATCTATCCGCCGACCTCCACGTCAGCAACAGCAACAGCAACAGCAACAGCGGACGAATCTGGGTGGTGCCAACATACGAGTGAAGACCCACTTGGCATCGTGCTTATTGGGTGTCATGACCAGCAGCGTGATGCAAATCCCAATCGAAGCGAGCACTAATGTAATGCGCGTCAGACCCCGCGCATAAAAACAAGCGCTGTTGGGAGAGCAGAGCACAACACACGACGAGTCACGAACCATTAATTGGCGCGAACCATATCACGATTTTGTGTAAGCTGCGGGTGGTGAGCGAGCAAACGCAGCCCATGGCGCAGAGAAGCGCGAGGGCTAGGAGCACGGTCTGCAGTGCCGTCCTGAAAGAGGGTCAATACCGATGACTGATATGTAGGAGGGGGAGACGCACGGAGAGAAGGCATATTTGTCGCCATCGAACTGAGAGTGCATGCTGATCATAGCCAAAAGCATCTGCGAGATCGAGTATGCCAATGACGAAACTGGGCATCCCTCAGCATCCGACCTCTGTCCGGGATAGATATTGAAGCCTTACCACCAGCCGCCTGTCCGAGAAAATTGCACCAGCCCACGATCCACGACCATATCGGGACGTGCCGTTCCGGTACCACTTGCTTGGTGACAAAATACATCCCACCAGCAGTAGGATACGCCGAGACCAACTCGGAAACTGCCATCCCACCTGGTTAGAATAGAGCTTCGTCGGCGGCAGTAGTAGTGATGGTGGATGCGAACCTGAAGCTGCTATACACATAGCCATGCAACTACCAAAGAACCAGCACCAAACGGCTGTAGCCGGGCCTCCAGAAGCAATCGGAACATTGAAGGTGGCAGGGACTGAGCCCAACACGCCCAGGATCGAGATGGCGTACGAAACCGTTGACCACCGAGTGAACTCGCGGCGCAATTCCTATCAAGCGTCAACACCAGGACCCGGGATTACGAAGGGAGGGAGTGGCTGGCTTACCTGCTTGTAGCCGATACGCATGAGCATCCGCTCGTCGTCATCTTGGATGGTTGCCATCCTTCGTAACCGCCGCTCGGCGATCGATGTGCCGAGTGTTTTTGCTTCAAAGTCTGCTGGGAATACTTCTGAGGAGGGCGAGGGTGGTGATACTGCCTTCTCTGGACGCTGGGGTAATCTTGAGATTGCCATGTTAGTCGGTTGTAACTGGATCTATTGCGAGGCAATGCAAGGCGGGGCAGTCAATTGCGAGGAGAATGAGGCCCTTCAGGTCAAGCCGGGGAGGTATGGGGGAGAAGATATGGCTGGCTGGCTGGCTGGCTAAGTAGGGAAGGCGAGCGGAGGAGGACGGAAGGGTGGAATATATAAGGATGGACCACATAATGGCAGAATCCATATGAATAAGGTCCAAAGACCCGGAGTGTCCAACACAGAGGCCCCCATGGATGCTCCTCGAGAAAAGGGAACAGTGGAACCTACAACCAAGCCTACGGTACGGTACGGTGTCCGGCGGGCAAGCAGGCAAGCAGATCTGGACCCGATATGTTTGTACCGCCTGTGCACTCAAAGAACGCACCAGCACTTCTCTGGGAAACCCGACTCTTGAGCAGAGTAGCTGCCGCTGATAGACTTCTCCCCTGCAAGTCGACTGTTGTTGCTGCCTGGGGCCAATTGATTCGTACAGTCTAGTCCCACAGTCAACGAGTCCGTTTGCATCCGACCTCGAAGGGAAGGCTGAGGTATGTACAGGTGGGGTTCAAGTGGAGATACGAGTGTGTACGCTGCGTGTACGGCGTGGCGCGGGGGGGATCTTCTGTGCGGGGGATGAGTGCGTGCGTGCGTGCGTGCCTTCTGCTTTGCTTTGCTCTCCCGGTGGCTTTTGTCGGGACTTTTTTTTTTCTCTTTCCACGTAGGTATTAGTTACCCCAAGTTGCAAGGCACCGGTACTCGGATCCGATATCGCTGATAGTCCAGATCTGCAGATAGACCACTGTCAGTGCCGTCAGATTGACCAGAATGTGTTTTAACTTTCTTGCTACTGCAAGTTGCGTCCTGCTCGCAGATAGGTACTGCGGGTTTGTTTGAAGGCCTAGGGACAGAGTGCATATGTCAGGCCACGCAGCTGCTGCGTGGTAGGTAGTGTATGTACTCTAGGTGGTGGTGGAGTCGAGTGGACCAGCCATTGTCGAGTGGGCTTCTCGGCTCTAGGATGTCCCACTCGACTCGAAGTCACAATCACACCCGAGACATATATATCCAACAAATCATCGGGTTCTCACCCACGGGTTCGGCCTAGCACGGGGATGGATGCACGGCGCTCAAGATACTCGCCTCACAACGAGGCCAAACAGCCGACGTACGAAGACAGGCAGGCATCTGTGAGCCGAAAAGAAGCGGTGAAAAAGGAAAGAAAGAAAAGAAAGAAAAAAACAGCTGTATTCACCATGGCGATCCTTGCGGTACCGCTTGATAATCCGAGACAGCAACAAGAATAACAGTCTGAACCGTCTCTCTCCTGTGCGACAATTGCTGCGGGCCGAGGAAGCAATGGGTAGGGAAAGGGAGGAAAAAGGAATGAGAGTGCTCGAAAAAGAAGCAAGAAAAAAGAAAAACGACCTATGTGTACCTACTTTCTTTACTAGGGCATGCGCACCGATGAAGTCCTCAACAGATTCCAGAAATCGGAAAAGTCTCGAAGGCAAAAGTAGGGCGGTGGATACGTTATGCGGGCGCCCGGCGTGACGTCGTCAGGTAGGATCGAGAATGCGAACTACTCTAGCAACGTAGGTGAATGGATACTTGGGTGGTAATTACGGCTCCTTCTTGCCGGTCTGTACTATGGAGCAGTCAGTTGCGGTAATGTTATGTGGTAACTGTGAGGACTCGGTTCGTAGATGACCCTACCTATAGTAGAGTACCTATTTGGTCTCGATGGGTCATTCGGGGGCGGGGTATATTCGTTGTAGTTCCGAGTATCGGGAGGGAGAATGACGGAGAGCTCTGATGATTTCTCTGCGCGTGAGTTTGATACCCGTAAAGAAGTGTCCCGAACGGAGAAATCCGTGATGTGAAGTGGTTACTGATCTGACCTGTCTTTCAGCCCACGCCCGCCCCGCCGATTTCGCAGCACGTGTCGAGAGATCGTCGGTAGTTCTCGACAAGCAAGTGGAGGCGGGTTCCAAGACCTTGACGGCGAGAGCTGTATTTTCTTTTCTTTTCCTTTCTTTTCCGGGATGGTGAATGAGACTCGTCAGTCGATGGGCGGGGGGGGGAAGCAAGCTCGTGGGTGGGCGTGTCTGTGCAGCGAGAGACAGAGTATGGTTCGTTTGAAGGAGGGAGAGGGGGGAGGCGATAGACACTTCCCAAGCTCCTCGTGGATTTCGGGGGGGGGGGGGAGGAGCACCTGCATGATGCGTCTCCACCACCACCGCTTTCGTCAGACTTTGGGTTCGTCTCGTCCGTCGTCCGCACTTGCGAGCCAACCCGCCTAACTAAGCGGAGCTGCTGCAAGGATGGATGGCCATGTTGTTGCTGGCGGGAGCCGCCAAGGGAGGGAGTGGTTAAGAAAAAGCATGGTCGGGCGATCAGCACCGGCACTCGCGGAGACACTTCACTCTGCGCCGATGATGCTTCACTTCGCACGTCGGATCCTGCCGATTTGCGGGTTGCAATTTACGGTGTGCGGTGTGCGATTTGCGGTTTGCGGTTTGCAATTGCCATTGTGGTTTGCGGTTTGCGGTTTGCGGTTTGCACTTTAGTTGATCGAGTGGTGCACTTGCTGCATGCCGCAGAATAATTACCGATGCGGATCGACTTCACTTCAGCTGCTGCTGCTGCTGCGGAGAAAACGATTGCGATCGCCGAGAGCGCAGGTTCGGCCCGGCTTAACTAACCATGCGGAGGACGTGATGTGAGGATAAAGTTCCTTATCGTAGCACGCTTCCGTGCTGGCGTCCCAAGCAAGCCCTGTAACTACTACGGTAACTAGCACTCCACCTACCTACTACTATATGCGTAGGCCGTCCAACACACCGCGCTCGACCAAGAGAAAAAACTTCCGTGGAAATGCTCCTGTACTCTACTATTGCGATACTAGGTATGCTACGGCCTACGGGCATTTTGTCTATACCAAGAAACATCAGCAGATCGGGCGTGTACCTACCGAAAGCGAATACAAACCTACGACTTTACAGCCCTAGCACGGGCCGGGAGGAACGAACGAAGACCACCGCTGCCAGTCGGAATGGCCGGCATTGTCACGGTCTGATTGTCCAACTGGAACTTTGACGGGATCTGCCGTAGAGGTGTGGCCGACTACTGACTGACCAGCTGGAGGAGAACATATCATACCACAAGTTGGAGACTGCCTGCCTACTAGCTGCCAGTCCGTCGTGTTTTCCAGAAATGGTTCGAGACCGCATCTTCTCTTCTCTTCTCTTCGGAACAGTCCGCCCACCCTGGCGGCCGTGGAGGACTCAAAGGACCGGACGAACATCCTGCACGCCGACGTCACTCTGCTCCAGCGGAGCATCTGTCGGAGGTTCCGAAACATCCTACATATCCTCCCGCAACCGCAACTGCAGCATGTTTCCCCGCTCGGCCATATGTGCTCTACAAATTGTGAGTTGTGAAATGTGAGATCAACCAACCAACCGTACGAATTGGATCGTGCAGTCCCGCAGCAGGCACGAAATGAAGTCCAGATCTATCTTATGGGGTAGAGGAGACGCTCCGGCACAATAAACCCCGCAGCAACCCCCTCTTTGTACGCTCGCCGCAGTGTTTAATAAACATGTATCTGCCTACCACCGCGGCCGGCGAGTGGTCATGTTTGAGGATTTTGCACGACAACATCGCCACCACCACCACCACCCCCACCACCACCATGTGTGTGCATCGTGTTTGGGACACGAGGGTCTGGTCAGCATCATCATCACCCGCCAGCATCATAATCGGCAGCATAAGTAGCGGCAGTATTAAAAGCTTGTATCGAAGCGTCCAGTCAAGTCAAACTCATGTCCGCCTTGCCTACCAGCGGATGGCTAATAGGTACCGATGCAGTGCCCGATATGCTAGGTTGACGGTACACAGTGAATAGTCCGATGTGCTCACTGCGAGGTACACTTTACACGGTAGACAGTGCACAGTGAATGGTGTACAGTCCAATGTACAATACACGGTAGGCCGTTTCCATCCGTCTCGGAGAACTTTACCGACCCGACACCGCTTGCGGCCGGATGGAAATGTCTGGAATGTCTGAAAGGTCTGAAATGTTTGACCAGCGGGCGGGCTCGGGCTGTCTTGGGCTGTCTCGGGGTGTGTGGACATCCCGTGGGAGAGGAGATCGCCACTTCTACTAGTATCTACCTACCGTACGCTTGGGTAGTTACAGGGCTAATATTTGGAAATAGGGGGACGGCAAGCTCGAGGTCTTAAATCCCGCATTCGAACATCAACTACCGCGGAAGTGTTCGATCGAAGGCTACCTACTAACTATACATAGGTGAACATAAGTATGCATAACTTTACCCTGGACTCGACAACTGAGACTTCATAGAGCCCGTCTCTGCCATCCTCTAAAGTGGGCATATAGGTATATACCTAGTATCTAGGCACTCCACATCGGGGGACCTCTCATCCCGAATTGGCCACCAGCGAAAGCCCCCACTTCCCCTTCGGTGCCTCATGCGCACGCACTCGTACTAGATATTCCGAGTCCGGACTCTCAAGCTCCCCAATGCAGTCAGTGCAGATAGTTGTACCCACTGTTCAGTTCGCCCCGCCCACCCGCCGAGAGAGGACCCGAGACGTACAAACCAGTGAGTACGCCTGCCCGACGAAGGACCCAGGACCTAGGACCTACATACCTAGAACACTCCCCCACTCCCACAAGGGCGGCAACCACGCAAAGCCACATGCCAGACTTTTGCCAGACTTTCTTCACCGCCGCCACCAGCAGGCAAGCGGGCAGACAGACTGCGCTTGCACCCCCTCGGCGCCCCACTCCCCAGAACTCCCGCCCCACTCCCGCCCCCACACCGAACCACACTGACCATGTTGAACCACACTGAACTACGCTGAACCATACTGAACCACACACTGAACCACGCCGTCTACACCGACTACACCGTCTATGCTGACCGCGCATAGCAGCGCATGGCAAGAAAAGGCGAGAAAAGGCGACGGATGGCAAAAGACGAGGGTTGGGGAGTATGCATGCAAGGTAATGCGGCTGGGCAACGGCCAGCGATTCAGCGATGCAGCGATTCGGAGACCGGAGACCGCGTAGTTCCCCGGACCGGAGCTTTCGTCCTCGACTGTACGATTCGGCATGGCGTGGAGGTATTATTATACCTACTACCTAGTGCTATGGATAGGTTCTCCGTGAATCTACTATGGATAGCGTGGTCCTCCTTCAATCCATATTCGATACATCTTGCGAGTGCCCCTTCCCCTTCCGGACGATGTAGTTATTGGCATTCAGTGCGATCACTCGCTCGCTGGGCTCCTCCTCCTCCCCAAGAACTTGCATTTCTTTTCACTTTTCACGAAGGCTTACGGCTTCGTCGTTAATGATCTACTGAGTCTACTCCGTCACCCATCCTGCCTTGTTACTCTCTCATCGATCGATTAATCTATCACTCTATACTATGGTATATCCTCGCCGAGACCGAACGTCGCCATTATTCTGAGCGCCATGTAACCAAAGAAGTGCCATTCTCAGTCACCGATGCATGATATCCCCAAACAAATGTCACTACATCTCCAAATCCCCGGGCTGTTCCACTCCCACCACCACCACTAAATTCTCCTCACTCCTCACTCCTCCCCCCGCCTCTCCCCCTCCTCCTCACTGCTCCGCCCCCTCTTCCCCGCCCAGTCCACGCCCTTAACGCCCAATCTCCCCTCCTCCTCCCCCGTCCCCACCCACCCAGTGCCATCAACCCTTTCCTCAACCAACACCCCGGAGTTCCTATTCGGATCCGCGTCGACACTCTGCGCCTCCTCCTCATCCTCATGGACGGTCATAACCGGCAGGGCGGGGGCAGCCGCGACCCTAGCCTGTGGCAGAAGGGCCTCGACGATCTGCGTATCTGGCGCCTCCACCTCCCCCAGCTTCCCGCGCGGCTCGATCCTAATCTCGCTGGTCCACTTCTCGATCAGATATCTCTTGCAGCGATTCCACTGGCCGATCGGCTGGTCGTCAGCCGTATCAGCGCCCGCAGCGCGCGGAATCGCGTCGCCCGTCGTCCACCGCTTTATGAGCGCCCACTTCCAGCGGCTCGCGCGGCCGCGCGGGAGGATGTACTCCCGTGGGCCCTGCCGCGTCCAGATGTCGGGGCGGCGGGATTGCAGCGACGTAAATAGCGCCTCGTAAGCCCCGCGTTGTAAGGGCTGTTGTCGAGATTTGGCGAACCAGTGTTTTAGTGCGTACCAGAGGATCAATACGAGGATCATGAAGGGGACCGCCGTGATGAAGTACCATGCTATGCTGGGGTTTGAGGCGAAGGTGTCCACGTTCATGCCGAAGAAGGAGACGAGGAAGGTGCTGCGGTTGTTAGTGGTGGTTCTTTCTAGGGGGGGGAAAGGGACGGACGTACAGTGGGAGGAAGATGAAGGTGATCCACGACACTAGAAGATGGGGTTAGCAAATCCGAGTGGGCGAATGGGCTTGCTGTGGATACTCACATCGCCACATGCTTGCGCCTAGTCGCAGTGATTCCCTTGAGTCGCGGATGCCTACGGATTTATACATCTATATACGGGTTAGTGAGTGGAATAATCGCCATAGGGAACGATGGGAGTACATACGAGCTCGGATAGGTTGTTGGTGCGTTTAGCCAGATCATCATCGATGAGTGCGCCCAACCTGACAAAGTCGACGGGCGTATCCTTAAGCCACTGTCCTTCATCGCCAGTATCGCCGTCGAGCTCGGCGAGGTATTTCCTCATGTCGTTGACGACGTCCTGGTGGCCATACATGAGTTTTTCGTACACCACTACCAGCCGTCAGCAGTCGTCTCGAAAATTCGGACAGAAAGCCACGCACGCCACTTTGCCGCATTCTTCCACAGCTCGCCGGCCCGCGACTCGTCCGCCGGGTTCTCGTAGATCTTGTCCTCGAGGATGCTCACGTGATCCCAGCTGGCGTCCAGCAGCTCGTCCCAGTTCTCCGCGACGGCCTTGAAGAAGTCCTGGGTGATGGTGCGCATGCAGTCGCCGGTCATCTGCTCCTCGGACTGCTCGGGGTCCGGGAGGAGCGTGTTGATGTAGAACGGCAGGCGGCGCCACCGCGACTCCCACTCCCCGCGCGCGGCGATCAGCGTGTCGTAGATGCTGTGCGAGTCCGAGTTGTCGAAGATGATGATGGTGTTGCCGTTGTCGAAGCGCTCGGGGATGTTGGGGCCATAGGGACTAACCAGTTCCGGGCCGGGGGTCTGCAGGATCGTGTGCGAGTACTGCACGTAGATGGCGGTGCGCTGCGCGAACACGTTCGAGTGCAGCACGGGCTGGTCCTCGGCGTCGAACCCCATCAGCCCCGTCACGCACGTCGGCTTCTCCGTCTCCATCTGCGGGTTGTCGAGATCCCCGCACGGATACCGCTTCATGATGTCCAGGCCCGCCGCGCATTTCGTGACGCGTCTCCACGGATCACTCGAGACCTTCCAGGCCTTGGCCGCGAGCAGCGGCTTTCCCGCGCGCCGTCGCGGCTTCTTCTGCAGGATCCACTCGGCCAGGCCCGGCTGGCCTGTCAGCGCCTCGTCGTCGTCGAGCCGGAACTTGCGGATCATGAATTGTGCGGCCTGCGGCCAGTTCTGCACGTGGAATAGCCGCAGGTCCGTCTCCTCGTTTCTGCCGCCCTGCTGTTTCCGCTCAACGCCAACCCCACATCCCCCTCGGCTGCCGGACCAGAGTAACTTACCCGCGAATACACCCCCTTCAGTGCCGCCATGTCCTGGATCTCTTCCGCGATGACCTTCCGCGTCCTGCCCCCCGCCTCTGTTGCCAGCCATCAGCCACCCCCCTTGGCAATCCACACACGCACACATACGCACGCCGCAACAACGTACCTTTCCGCACGTAATCAACCATCAAGCATCGCGGCCCCTTACACGTTGCAGGCGTGTACTCTCTATGCCACTGGAGCCCTGGACTGCGATCGCGTCCGACTACACCCCATTATTTAGCCCAGCCCACACCGCAGCCACACATCGGGGGAGGGAGACCCACGTTTCGTCGGTAACGACAGCCTTGGCTTGACGCCGCCCATATCTGCCTGCTGTCAGCGGTGCAGCTCACCTAGATTCGGGGGATCTGGGGGGTTTAGCTCGGTGAGCCATACCGACAGTGCTGCGAGTCGCGAAGGAGCTGGTGCGCGACAGTCCGCCTCCGCCGGCGCCGCCGGGGCCGTCGAGCGTGTTGCCGGTGCTGGTGCGGGTGTGCATCGTGTATCGTGTCCGGAACAACAGGAGTCAACGTCGTCGTGTGCGTGTGCGTCTGTGTGCGTGGGTTGCGACCGACGGATGAGGATGGACGGAGACTCGGAGGGGGTGCGGGTTTTGTCCTGCGTTCTCTCTCGGTCACGCACGCGACTACTTCTATGTATTACTTCTACGACTACTGCTGTGCCTCTCCGTCCGCGGATAGCATAGGTAGGCAACCATCAACGTGAGCCTCACGAACCCTGAAGGCGCGGCGCGGCGCGGCGCGGCATGCATATCGTTACGGTTTTTGGGGAGTGGTGAGCGGGCGTCATGCAGGGTCGGCAGGGATGCGGGGCACTGGGCAGGGTGCGAAGAAGGCTTTTGTGTTGCTTGTCTGCCTTTCGCGTCATGGGATGGGAAGTTTGGATGACGGGTCCGGTGAGGATAACCGGGGGAGAGGGGCCATTACGTAGTATTGAGGCGTAGATGGGATGGGGTGGGATGGGATCGGACGGCGGGTATATTGACGGTAAATACTCTGCTTGGATGTGGAGTGGTTATGGGACGCAAGGGCCGGGAAGCAACATCGATAGAATCTAGATAGGCGAGGAGCAGCCGGAGCAGCAGGAGGTAGGTAGTTGTCGCGGCTGTTTGGGGGTACATGCGAAAGCGCAGTAGTGACAATAACTACCGGTACTATTGTCAAAGCTTCCGGCCGTGATTCCAGAAGTCGCAGATGTGCAGTAACCAGTTGCCAGTGACAATCTATAGTATTTGCACTCTCACATGATACCTTCCTATATAACCATGGTACAGCGAAGAAAAGACCACCGTAATCGTACAGCCTCCACAATGAAAACATAACCTCATAACCTATCATTCTCTACATATTCAGACGGTGTATTTATATCTCGGCCTAGACATCAACCCATTAGCACTCTGGATCCTCCCCAGATCTCGATAGACAGCGAGCAGGTAGACGTACGACTCATCACCCATCTCCGCGACCTCCTCCCACGTCTTCCCCTCGAGCTTCCAGTCCTCCTTCCCTTGTTCGCGGTCACGATTCAACTTCGCGAGCGCCGCCCATAGGATGGAATACATGACTGCGGCGAACCCGACCATGGCCAGGCTCACCGCGTGGCCCTTTGTGAATCTTGGGCCGTCGGTATTCGGATATAGGAACGGGGCCATGACGCCGGCGGCGTTGCCGCACGTGAGCTGGAACCCCGTGGCGGCCGTACGCTTTCCGTACCGTGGGGAGTTGTTCGGCAGCCAGGCGAGCGGCAGGCCGACAGCTACGTACAGCCCCATGGCGACGAGGAAGCAGCCGAAGTAGTGGACGCCGGCGGAGGCGTCGGCGAGGAGGACGCCGTAGCCGATCATGGAAACTGCCGCGAAGATGATGGTGTATAGCCCGCGCTTTTGGTGGCGGTCGGAAAGCCGCGCGACGATCAGGTAGGTGATTGCGCCCAGGGCGTAGCAGGGGATGGTCAGCGCTTGCACTTGCGCGTTGCTCCAGGCGGTGCCGCCGATGCTCTTGATGATGGTTGGGAGGAAGGTGGAGTAGCCGTAGAGCATCGTGTCCATGCCGAACAGGGCCGCGGCGAAGAAGTACGTTTTCCAGTCGGTGAAGCACTTCCTGACGTCGGTCCAGTGGAATTGGCGGGCGCTCGCGGTGGCTTCGGCCTCGCGGCCCAGGCGCTTGATGCAGAATTGGCGCTCCTCTTCCGTCAGGTACCAGGCCGTGTCCGGGTCGTCGGCGAGGATGAAGAACGTCACCACCCCCATGATCACCGTGGGAATCCCCTCGATGATCAGGATCCATCTCCAGCCGCGCATTCCGGCTGTACCGTCCATGAAACCGATGGCGTACGCGAGGAGGCCGCCACAGGCTCCGGCGAGCGCGGCCGAGACGAAGAGGTAGCCTATGCGTAGCGCCAGCTCACCCTTCGTGTAGAAGAGCGTTAGGTACACTGCCAGGCCCGGGAAGAGCGACGCTTCGACGACGCCTAGCAGGAGACGACAGGCAAGCAGTCCGCCGTAGGACTGTACGAGGCCTGTGAAGGTTGCGATTGTTCCCCATGATAACGTGATGAACGTGACTGCCGCAGCATGTCAGCCATAGCATCTACTGCACGGCGGCGGAGGGGAGTAATAGGGGACGGCACTGTAATATCTCGGTGTGAACTTTTTGAGCACGAGGTTGCCAGGAAGCTCACAGGCCTACATTCTCGCTGTCAACTTCTCGCAGTCAGACCAAGCCGAGGGACCGGTAAACCCACCAAGTAAGTTACGAAGAGAATCGAAACAGCCTACAATGCGGCCCAAGCCCAAGTCAATTAAGTTCCGATCAGCCGCCGCCACCACCGCCGCCGCCTAAACTTCCCTCACCCTCTCGCTCGTTCGAAGTCAATCTCACCAACTGATACTGATTCCCGACCAATCCCAGGTCCTCCTCGAGGCCATACAACCTAGCCGAGCCAATATTGACCCTTCCGTTCCGCGCATCCCGTCAGCGCCCCATTCCCCCCACCCCAAAGCGCAGTCTCCCAGGTCCCGGCCACTCACCGATCCAGGAACGACAGCAGATACAGCAACATAACGACCGGGACGATGTTCATATCGAGCTTGCGGACGAGCTTGCGTTCGTACTCTTCGTCCTCCATTCCGCCGCCGACACTGGCAGCTGTATCCGTATCCATCGTCGTCGGCGTGGCCGTCTCGTCTCGCGCGTGTTCTTCCGGCATCGCGACTCGGCTCGGCTCGGAAGCTCTCCGGTTTAAAGTTTAAAAAAGTATATCGCGATATCGCTATATCGAGTCGAGGGTTGTATAGATGTATATATGTGGCGCGTGCGTCGATTCCGCGTGCGGCGTGCGGGAAAAAAAGAAGCGAGCTATGGGCCTATGTACCTTATGCTTAGATATGCTTGCTTACGCCTTCTCGCACTCCACCGACACTGACACTGACGAAATCCCGCAGGGGCTGCAGATTATTGATTTGTATAGGTATGGAGATAGTGATGTAGGTAGTACGGATATAGCGGATCGATAGATACGGTATCGGAATCCGGATATCCTGAGATTCCTGCCCTGGCCTGGTCTGGTCTCAGTGGTCTGTCGCACGAAAGATTTTCGTCTCGGTCTCGGCTCTCGAGTCTTGAGTGGCTGCATGGGGTGGTTGGAGATCTTTCTCTTTCTTTCTCGCCGAGCTCACGCGATGCACGAGCTAGTTGCTGCTCTGCAGTCCCGTTTTGTCATCTTAGCACCGGCACAGGCATCGGCACCGCGCGGGCCGATGCCAAGCCAGCCTCCGCGGCCGGGGGCAGGGGCAATGATCTCGGCCCGAATAGGTACGGTAGAACCGTAGAAGCGCTTCCTCGGGGAGATGGTCGGAACGGGCGTAGTCAATCGTTAGATACATCTACAGAGTAACGGAGTTGAATCACCGAGGATATATGCCTACCTGGTACTCATGTATGATGTATATACTCTAGTAGCACACGGCACCGTGGTGGACTCGTGGTACCCCACGCGATAAGAGTAAAGTATAATCCCACCAGCTTATCATACTGGTGACTGAACCCAGACACGGTCCTCACACCGTCCATACGAGGATGCAGTCCACCCCAGGCCTTATCTAGAGTACCTTTTCCATCAGAGCGACATCCCCGCCCCGACCCGGGCCGTTGACTGCGGCGCATCCCCCATCTCGGCCCGAAGACCAAACCTCCGGAACGGGCGTGATCAATTGCCGATGGAGCTGGATCCCCGGGATACACGGCACGGCAGCGTTGGGGTCCCCACATGGTGAAGGTATGTACTCTGGTACATACACACCTTCCATCACGAGCAGTTCCCTCGGTATTTCACAGCTGCACTGGGCTGATGCATCATCCGCATCCAGCAACACATGTCACAGCCCCACTCACTCCTCACTTTTTCGATCTGGAAACGGCTTGAATCAATCTCCGAGCACCTAGGTAGCAGAGAAGAGAAGAACACACACACAGAGAGAGAGAGAGAGAGAGAAAAGGGCAAGTGGAGTAGGTACTTTCGAAGCACCTCCTCTGCGCCAGAAGTGCGGCGGACTAGCTGCGTTCACAAACTCCATGCGAAGAGTCCCCCCCTACTCCGAAAACAATGACGGACATGTCATAGTAAAAGGACAGACAGAAGCCAAATAAGGAAATAGGTACTAAAGAAACAGAAACAGAAAACTCCATAGCCCAACCATAAGTTTAAGAAGGAAACCCAAGAGAACGAAAGAAAGAAAACAATCCTGAAACCATGAAATCAAAACCCAATTCACAATTTACTGAAGAAATAACCTCCATCAAACAAAAAAGCAATCATGTCCCTACACGGTTGTAAAACACACATACAGGAAATACTGCTGCTGTTGCGCTGGTTCTGGTTATATCGGGAGACAGCCATCCAGATTAGGAACGTAACTTCTTCGCAGTTCGTCCACCTTCCTCTGTAAATTCTGTAGGTCTACCAGAATATCGTTCGACGCCATCGCCTCGCGTTCCTTTTCTTCACCTAGCACCGGCAAGTGCACATCGGGCCTCTGTGCACTTTCGGATCCATCCATCGAGCTTCTGGATCTTCGGTGAGGTGGTGGTGGAGGCGGCGGGGATTGGGTTGGGGATTGAGTCGGGGATTGTCCGTCCTTAACACTTGCCCCGACGGTGGTGCGCACCGAAACGCTCTTTGCCCTCCTCATGGGAGGAGGAGGTGGTGGTGGTGGCAATGGTGTTGACGATCTAGGTGTCTTAATGCCCTCACTTTTCTCCGCTGCGGCAGGTGATCGCCGCTGAACAGACTGTCGTCTGGACAGCGGTGGTGGTGGTGGGAGCGGGGATGGAGGTGCGTGTCTCTTCTCCGCTTCAGCGGGCCCCGTGGAGGACAGAAGCGGCGGTGGTGGAGGTGGCAACGGTGCTGGCAGATGAGGCCTGTCAGGCTCTTTGAATGAAGAGGGCCGATTGGTGGTGGCGGTGGGGGACGATGGAGTCGTCTGGGAGGGAGATGTGGATGTTGACAGCGAAGACTTCCCACCGGAACGGGTTCGCGGTTTTGGTGGCGGCGGTTTCACTCGAGTAGACGAAGATCTCGAGAGAGATCCTGGCGTTGCCATACCAGGGGTCGATTCAGCAATCACAGCAGTCTCATCGCGTTTGGCCCCCTCCACTATGGGTTCAGAAACAGATCGCCGGCTATCAAGAGACACATTGGAGCTGCTGCTACCGTTGACGGTAGCTATTGGTGGAGCCTGCATGATCTGCCCCGTCAACATCAACCGTTTGAAAGCATCCACATCCAAGGACTGCCGATTCCGGCGATCGGTTGTTTCGTGTGCTCTGTTGGCCACGGAGTTCGAGTGGGCTTCTGTCATCGGTAGCATATCCGACGACCTCCTCGATTGGCTCACCGACTTGGCTCGGTGCAGGAAGGGGTTCGGGAAAGCCGATACGATTTCCTTCTGCATTTCTGGCTCGTCATCCTCCTCGCCATTGAATGGGTCTACCAGCTCGACTGGTAGTGGCGGTGGTGGTGCAGGGCTATGCGGTGCGGAGGTAGTGGTAGTGGTAGCATCGGGAGTATTGGCGACGGCTGTGAGAGGTTCGATGCGAGAAGCGCGTTTTCGGGGGTTGACAACGGGCGGCGGCGGTTTCGACGACCGTGCACGGTTTGGCGGCTTGAGGGTGGAAGGAGTAGATGAGGGTTTCTCTGATTCTGCAACTGGTACAGGAGCTACAGCTGAAGCTGCTTGTGCGAAGACTGTACCGATCAGGGTTCCGTCGTCAGCAGAGGAATCACTAGCGGCAACGACTCCCTCAAGTGATTACCGTCGTCGTCGACTCCGGCCAACGGGCCGCCAGCGTCCACCACCATACCACCAACACCACCAACACCAACAGCAGCACCAGCAGCACCAGCAGCACCAGCAGCACCAGCAGCACCAGCAGCACCAGCAGCATCAGCAGCACCAGCACCAGCGGCGCTACTACTCTGGTTTATCCAAGATAAAGGCGACCCCGCAATTTCATTCTCCAGTGAGCGGCGGGCATGATCGACTAGCGGCGGCGGTGGTAGAGGTGTCTGTTGCCTTCTAAAAGGATTGGAGGGTGCGGGCACCATTATTGCGGGGTAAATCACTCTTTCTCTCTCTCTCTTTGTCTCATACAAGGCCGACGTGCGGAGGTCTTGGTCGTCGTCGGGGACAGGCCGGAGTCGCGGGCGGAATTACCTGGCCAAACAGACGAAACGCGGCACCCGGGAGTTTAATTACTGTGGAAACGGTAAGAGGTACGGATGCAGAGATGATGCGATGGAGAAAAGACGATTGGTAGCTATGGCTAACGGGGGTGGTGGGTTGGATGGGTTGGGTGGGTATGCGGTTGGGTGGTGGGGTGCAGTAGAGTACCAGGTACGGGATGCGTAGATAATGGCGTGCTGGGGGTGGGCTTGGGTGGTTGAGGTAGAGGAGGAGTATGAAGAGGAGGAGGTGGTGGTGGAGGTGGTGGTGGTGGAGGTGGTGTTGCAAGACGATGAAGGGATCAACAAGAGTGAACGCGAGGGCGAAGGGAGACAAGTACCCCACGGGTACGATGTCAGCCATAATAATAGCCCGTTATAGTCACAATAATCCCTGCAATAATCCCCCATAATTCTACCGAAACGAGAGCAATAGGTACCCAAGTAAGTAACTTGTACTCAGATAGGTAAGTAGCATGGAAGATAAAGCAGCGCCGGCCGAGGCTGTGCGAATCGCGGGACTGCATGATGTTGTGAGTCTGTAAGTGAGTAAAGACGGTAGGTACTTGGATACCGTAGTTCGACCGCGCGCATGTCTTTTTTTTGTTTGGCTTGTTCTGATTGATCGAAATGGAGGGGTGGTGGCATGTGGGGCAGGGCAGGGCAGGGCGGAGAAAGCAAAAGACGGCTGCACCAAACACCCGGTTCCGAGGCGCTATGGAGCTTGAGCTATCCGGGCGTCACGTATGTAGAGTGAGATGTGCATACATAAATGCTACCTACTGTATACTCTACATAGGATTTGCAAGCACGCACTCTACGTGCTATATACTACAGTATTTACGGATTTCCAGAGTGTGCTATGGTTAAAGGTGTTTCTGCTTTACGCTGAGCATTATCATGTATGTGGAGTATGTACCTCGGAGGAAGCCGTCGGGGAATCCGCTAGTTAACCACTGGCCGTGACTCGTGAGCTCGAGACGGGCCAGAAGGATCGGCCCCCGAACGGGCTGACATTCGGGCTGGCGATTCGGCTGGCAGTCTCGACCACTCGGACCAGCTCCGGCGCACGCAATGGCGCGACAACTCGTGTGCATACCATTCAGTGTTTCGCTTTGGCTGGTATCCTGTACATAACTAGAGGCATAGGTAAAAGGTAGGTATCTACCTTCTTAGGTAAGTCCTTGGGTAATAATCCACTCGGTGCTGGCACATCGATTCTCCACAGGGGGTTTTATCTCCAGTGACGGGAGATGCTTTCGGCCTGCAACTTTGCTTCGTTTTTCTGCTGCGGGAACACCCTCTTCACTGGCCCTTCCCCCCTTCCCCCCTTCCCTTGAAGGTCCGTAAGGATGGCGATTAACTACTTACCAAACTTACCTAGTATACGGTAGATTCACCGCATGTTGAAACTTGAAACAGCACGTTGACCGTTGTCCACCATGCTGAAACACTCAAGATCCTCATCCGATCGATCGTCGACCTTTTTCTAGCAACAGTGCAGTACCGTAGCACTGTATGTAGCACACGGTGCTTGAATTGGGGAGAAATCACTCCCCTTCCCAGTGGAAGATCTACTTTGCGATCTTACATACATGGGGGGATTGGAGTCTTGCAACTGGGGCCGTCACCCACCGGCCGTCTGACTGCAGCACATGTACTATACAGTACTGTATGTACTATTGTGTGTACTAGGTACTATATACGCATTACTTATGTGTACCTACTATATTGTTAACTAGTATGTGGTTAGGTACCTTGATATCCGCTTCCACGTATTCCCTCCCATGTATAGTACGGTATGGGGTTGCTGCCGTGTACATGCTATACACGGCTCTCCCCTGATCGGTGTGTCCACGAGTGCGAGCTGCTCTTAGGCCGGGTGCCAATTGGTGGGACGGTCAGTCTGCAGCCGATTCGGTGGGACAACTTCCGAGCTACACACGGCCGGAAAGGATCGAGGAAGGATGTACATGATGGCCTCGGTGTCAGCGAGGTGTTCGGGTATGTAGACGAGGCGTGTGGCGAACTAACTACTAACTTCCACCTAAGTATAGGTGCTGTAGTAGGTAGAGCATATATGTATCTAGTACCTAGGCCGCCAGAAGGCCGGTGCCAAGGTGAGGCAGTTAACCTATGGTATGTAGAGTACCGAGGAGGAAGATGGATGCTAGATTCCTAGTACTTTACCTGAACCTCTACCCCAAACCTTCCCGGCTGTTCGACGAATACAATATTCCCCGCATTGAAGTTCTTGACATGTATCTTATCCTATGTATCCACCTACGGAATACCGGTCGGAGTAGTCAATAAGTACGTACTCTATCCGACATTAGTACATGCATACACCAGGCACTCACTCGAGCCCGTGACTCGTGCAGAGCTCCTTGGTCCGTAGGTACTAACCATTCCTCTAGTTAGGCCACCGGTACTCTAATAGGTACCTAGGTCGAGTACCCATGGTATATATCATACGAAACATTTCGACCAACCCTTCATCCTGGAGATATTCATCCTATCTCGACACACCGCTTAGTAGTATGACTAACGGGCAATGCTGAGTACATATTCGCAGCACACGAGCCTGCCAAATGGGATGGCGGTCCTGCCAATCGAATCCAGGCCTTCCGATGCCCTATCTGCTTCCCATATTGCGGACTTCACATCTCTCACCGCAAGCCAGAAACACCATCAGGAAACAATGGAGAGGACAGCAATTTCCTGTCCGACGGGTCGGACGATTACGGGGGAGAATTGACACCTTCATCCACCGGATCGACTTCCAGTGACGACTTGCTGCGAGAGAACAGCTGTCCGCTGGTACAGCTTCCTCCGCATGGGCAGCAGCTGAGCGTGGGTCCGCTCCGATCGTTACCTACACATCGAACGCCCGATGACCAAAAGTCGGTGAGGAGCCGACTATTGGGGGCCTTCGCAAAATCCTATCTGGCATCAATTCCTCCCAACCCCCCTCCGCCAGCGTGAGCAAACGGCCCCTTCAGGAGATCGGTGTTACTGCTGGAGCCTATGGTGCATCAGACTTCTCGATTCCTCCTCGTGGTTCACGGGGCAACCTTCTCTCACCGCTGTAGCTGGCAATTCATTCTCGTGGTGAGCATACTGCACCACTCCGCCGCTCCACCGCTCCCCACCACTCTACCTGTGGTTCGGGAAAAAGGATCGCTGTGTCCTCAGTCAACACGTAGCCGGCAGTGGCCAGCTGAGGACAGAACGAGCAAGATTCCAAAAGTTGGGTCCGATGTACCGAGATGCAAGCGTTCGGTGAGATGGCTGCAGCAACAACAGCTGTGCCTAACGTTACTCCACTAGGCGGTGGTTAATGAATGAATGCCAGCTTTTTTTTTAGATGTTGGAACGGCCACTGGGGCGAGATGTCCTGCAGCCAACGGTTTCGTCCCGGTGGGCGTGCTCGTGTGTCTGTAGCTCGACGCTCGTCGCTCGTCAACCTCGTTGTTGCTTTTTTTCTCTGCAGGATGCAGCAGTGGTTAGTGAGCCAAGTGCAGCAGCAGCAGAAGCAGCAGCAGCAGCAGCAGCAACCCACTGCACATCTTCCAACTACTCAATCGCAGAGTCGACGGTCGGTATCGTCCCACCCACCGCCACTCACCACCACCATCACCACCCAACCTTGCATCTACCTCTACCTAAACTACTTGCCGTGATCAACATGCACTTCTCGCTTCACCGTCGGCTCGAATGTGACGTCGACGACGTGAGCAGCAGGACGGAAGAGCGAAAAGTCGCGGCAGAGCCTCAATCGACACGTGCTGCGGAATCTCCCCTGAACACGCACTCTGCACGCCTCAACCCTACAGCGCATACGGCAATTGGCTCGGGATTGCTTGGGATTGCTTGGGATTGCTTGGGATTGCCCACGATGGTCGGTCGCAGGGCTCCATGCCGCATCCCCGAGGCCGAATGTCGCCTGTGCAACAGCAACATGAAAATAACAACGACAACAACAACTACAACAACTACGATTACTACTACCAATTACTACTAACTACAGCACCAGACCAGAACTAGCAATAATAACACCAACAGCAACAATAACACTAACGGCGACAATACCACTAACAGCAAACTGCCCTGCGGAGGAGGAGGGGAGGTCAATTGTCCGGCCCATGGTAACCAATGGCCATACTCCGGGGCCTGGTTGGCGATCACCCACTCGCACAACATGCTGGATTTCTCCGGCAGTCCGGAAAATGTCAGTGTCGTCTTAGCTCAATTGCACCGTCAGAACCGCGCTAGTTGCTCTACTGACATGGACACTACTCTTCGTGGCAGTTTTCGCTTTCCCTTCCCTTCCCTTCCCCTTCACGCTGCGCACTTCCCAATCGAACAGCCACTCACTCTACTCTACTCTACTTTACTCTACATGCTCTGCTTTAATCTGCTCTAATCCACTCCACTCGAATCCACTCTACTCTATTCTACATCATGGTGGCCTGTAAATCGCGAACCGCCCTTGCGGATCTGACTGAGTTTGCAGGGACGTGGTTTGCAATGCATGAAGACAGCTCATGCGGCCTAGAACGCCTACTTCCACTGCAAGTGATGTGGCCCAGTCCGAGCTACGATATTCTTCGCCCCGAAGCAGACAATTGTCAACGATGCTGCATTTTTTATGACTGGCCCCCCCTCAAGCTTACCATTGGCCGAGGGGCAACGCCTCATGTGTCTCTCCGTCTCTGCCCTCCGAGGCCCAGGGCATCGGTTCGCTAGTGCCGTCGTCGTTGTCGATAAACGCTCAGGAAACAAGCTGTTTCACCGTTTGGCAATTGTCAGAGCGGCGTTGTTCACTTCTAAACTCCATCCGTCCTGTGCATATTCATCTGTTTACTGCAATGCGCCGCGCACGACAGAGTTGCTGTATCATCTGTCACTGCAGCTCGCAGCACGCAGCAGGGCAAGCAGCAGGGCAGGCAGAAGCAGAAGCAGAAGCAGAAGCAAAGCAGAGAAAAGCAGCGCAGAGCAAGGAAATGCTCGAGGAGCGATGGCCCTACCGCCTTGGACGGAGGGCAGCGGGGATATTGCCTGGCGAGCCGCCTAACGATTGGTGTCGATAGCGAGCGCCCCACCCCCCCCCCCCCCCCCCCACTCAGGCCGATGGAGCAGCTTAAACCTCACCCATTATTGAGGGGGGGCACAGTACGGAGGTCCCGGAAGGAAAGCCACCATCTTTTTTTTTGTTTGCAATGTCGTAACGGCTTTAATCCTATTGAGCTTGGGCCAATATCGAAAAAACACGCCAGCACGCAGGCCCTTAGGTGGGAGGGAGGAGAGCGCAAAGAAGGATGGATCCACTGCCTGGCTCTCGCTTTCCTCTCGACGAGCGAGCAGAGCTCTAGGGCCAGCTCTCTGCCATGATGGGGTGTCTGTTAGGCCTACCGAGAAGGCGGGGTTAGCGTCGCATCTGGCAGCAGCAGCAGCAGCAGCAGCATCAGCCAGAGTGCTGCTGTTTCCGTGATGATGGATGGCCAGCTCCCATGGCTTCGCTGTGGGAGTGTTCCTCTATATATTCGGAGTTGAACGCTCACATTTCAGTCTGGACCAAAGCATTCCGAACACACAAACCAGACCGACCTGCAATACACCAGTACAGCAACCCACCACACGCCAATTCCCCACCAACCTTTTGCTCCAAATCTTATATTGATCAACCCACCATCCCTCCCTCACTCCTAAATACACCCCCCCCTCCCTACCCATATATATCATATCACATTCTCTGCCGATATGCAGTCCGTGCTTGATATCGTCAACTATGAGCATCTGAGAAGCGTGCAGGGGAACCACCCTCGGGCTCTCATCATGGTCTACGTCTACAAGAATGGGATTGCACAGGGGACCCTCGAGTAAGTTACTCTATCTCATCCATGCCTCGCATGAAGAGGATCCCGAATCAAAATCCCAAGGATGGGAACAATGGGAAAAGAAGAAGAAGAAAAAAAAGACTGATAGTCCTCGGCAGCCTGTACAGGAACATCGCCTCGTCTCCGCGCGCGGCGAGCTTCGGGCCGCGCCCCATCATCTTTACGCGCAACTCGATTGAGCCGGACGCCTCGATACAGCACGTGGGAAATGTGCTCAACGTTCCCTCGCTGCTGTTCTTCATGGATGGCCGGCTGGTCAGGAAGCTCGAGGATCTCTCGGAGCACATGGTCTGGAAGTACATCGAGAGGCACGCCATGCAGGAGGCTCGCCACTGATGGCAGCGGTGGCGGCTTTCCTCTTTCAGGTTCGTGGTGTTGTTGGGGCGGCGGCGGCAGTTTGCGCGGGTGGCAGTTTTTTTTCTTTTCTTTCTTCTTTTCTTCTTTACCTTCCATACGGTACTTCATTCACACCATCCTTCTTGAGACGCTCGAGGTTACGACAGATTGTTGCTTTTTTTTTCTCCATGATTTTGCTTTCTTTTTTGCGTACTAGTTAGTGGGGGATTCCCATCCGGAGCGACGAGTCACAGCATGGCATTGCATTTGTTCGGATTGATTGATTGATTGCTTGCTTGCTTGCGACTTTGATTGCTTGTTTGCCTGCTTGCTTGCTTATTTTTGTCTTTTATTTTCTTTACTTCTGCTTTTTCGCACACGTTGCTGTAACTGCGCATCTGTTAGTTTTTTTTTTTTTTGCTTTTTTGCTTCTTTCGCAAGGGCGTTCTTTTCCCTGGGTTGAGGGATCTCCGGTCGTTTTATTGTTCTGGCATTGCATCCTTCCCTTCATTCAATTCATCATTGCATCTTCTCTGAAAAAAGCCCCTCATGTAATCGCACTACCTGTGTTTTTCGTCTGGTGGTTGTTTTTCTCTTCCTCTTCCTCGTTCTCTTCAGCGTCCGTCCAGCGTTTTTTTGCGTTCTTGGCCTGCACTGCACCGCATTCGTCATTCTCTTCTCTTAGTATAACTCTGCTTCGGAATCAATGCTATTGGCTCGACAGAATGCGGGATTTGTGAGTTGACACGGAGAATGTGATTGGTGATCGGTAACTGGGGGCGGGGGGGAAGGGGGGGAAGCCCGCCGCTATTGGACGCCGTGATGTTCATCCGAAGGCGAGGGCGTATACAGAGGACGTTTCTACAGATGTGATGTGATGTGATGTTGTGATGTTTGTGATGTGATATGAGAATGCTCCACCGGGAGCCACGACGGGTACATATGGTAGAGATGATGGGTGGACGGCTCGAATTCCCGCTCCGAGCGAGACATACGGACTCTGCGTGTCGTGAGACGGGAGCCCTACCCTACCGCCGTGTCTCTCGGGCTCGCCGGCTCGGACCTCGGTGCGGTGCGAATCAATCTCTACTATATCTACGTGTCGATAAGTATCTGTGTCCTCCCAAGCCGGAGCAGAACGATGTCTCACGATCCTGCCTCCCCGCACGGGACTGCCCAGCCACGGAGGGGAGTGAAAACCAAGATCGTCCGTCGTCGTCGGCGGCGGCGGCGGCATTACCATGGCATCATTGGTATGTGTGTGGCTACGCTACTAGTGGTGGTGGTGGTTCCGGTGAGGTGGTGCGCGTGGTGTGTGTGGCAGTGGTAACCAGAAGTGTGTGTGGTGGTGAAGGTGGGTAGTTCGCATGAGTTGTCGTCTGCATGCATGCAGTGGTGGTGGACCGGTGATGGTGGTGGTGGTGGTGGTGAGGGTGGTTCGCAAGGGTACTTACTCTAACTACGAGTACATGGATGCCGCCTCTTTTCCTCGCACCCCTCGCACGGTCGTCCCCACCCCTCCCATGTCTGTGTGGTGGCATGCAGATATCATGCGGCCTAGTACAAAGCTGGGTGGGCACTTGGTTACTTGGTTACTTGGTTACCTGCTTGGTTACTACGAATCTACATACGATAGGATGTGTGCCGACCAAACGAATCAACCGCAGTGGCTACATATCATACTTCCTATATACATCCATATCATATGTACTGTAAATACATCCAGAGCACATCCAGAGCACCCACCTAATACCTCCCCAGTACCTACCTACCTAGCTAGACAAGGGACTGTAGAGTAGCTGCGGAACAACTGTCACGGGAAGCAACACCCCGTTTCTGTACATACATGGAGTTGAAAAAAGCAGGTGTTGATGATGTTCCCGCCCGCATCCGCCCCCACTCCCGCCAACTCTACTTTTCCCCGGCGCACGCCGCACGAACACGAGGGGTGGAACGGGAGGGAGGGACGGGGGGACAAACACTCCCGCGACTGACCGACCCTGTTGCTATACCTGGGCAGTTAGTAGGGATAGGTAGTAGGGATATTTCACCTATGTACTGGATGTACCCTGGCGCTGGCGCACCACCACCACTATAAACCTACTGACAACTGGAGAGTTTCAGCTTCTGGGCCGACAGCGAAGAGCGAAGAGGAAGCCAGCCAGCCAGCCACCGCCACCGGATGACACCGCATCTTCATCCAGACTATCCAATTGACCGGGGGTGAGGGCATGGCTGTTTCGTCCTGGCCACACCACAGTTCCGGATCCGTCGCCGCCGCCAGCAGTGGTGCCTGGCGAGTGACGAGCCATGAGCTCGGCAGATATGTTTCGTGGGCTCTAGGTTCTGGGTTCGGGGTTCGTCGTCGCATGGCAAGATGACAGGAGCCCAATCCCAGGTAAGTAATCCCTAGGTAATCCCTAGGTAATCCCCAGGGCCAACCGGTTGTTAGCCTCCCTCCCTCCGCCTCCGCCTCCGCCTCCGGACTCCACATTGCGACCTGTCGTTTCTCCCACTCCTGCCAATTCCTGGCCAGCTCAGCGCAACAAGCTTACGCTTACTTCCACAAGCTTACCTCAGACTCGCATCGTATCGTATCCATGATAGATACATTGTGCGGGCGGAAAATCCGGGGCAAAACCCCCCGGCTCTGAAAAACAAATAACAAAAACAAAAAACGATAAAACGATAAAACGATAAAACGATAAAACACCAAAAACGATGCAGACACATCACTATGCTATTTAACGCACTACCGTAGTGAACTATGTACCTAGTGGCCAGACATTTCCAGGCAACGCAGCGGTTCATCCCGCTTCGCTGTGTGGTGGTTGGTTGCTAGGTAAGTATGTAGCATACCACAGGCACAAGCACAAGTGGAACCGTTTGTTTGTCGTTTGTTTACGGCATGGTGCGATCGAGTCCGGCGGAGTTGTCAGCAGGCATACCGTATATGGAGGTAGGGTAGGTAGCCTCCTCGAATCTCTTCGAATCTCCCCACCCGTTCGTGAATACGCCAGCGGCCACTGGCTAATTATGTATTAGGTAGGTAGTTATTCCGAACCGGCCCGCCAGGCCTCCAGAGGTATAGCTACTACGTGGCCTGGGACCTGGGTAGCTCTGTCTCAGCGTGGGGAACCGCGAGGGGAAACGGCTGGCTGGATGGATGACTGGATGGCTGGTGGGTGGGAAACATGTGAGCCCGCCGGTTAACTACTCTACACACATGCACGGTGAGTCGGTGACCACGGAATAGCTGTTTATGTATGTATGATAGCCTGTGGAGAAGCAGCTCCCCGCAGATCACCTGCAAATCATAGTGCTGGGGGAAACATCACCTCCCTCTCACCGCCCTGGGATATTTTCCTATGGGCTGCAAGATAGGTACAAAGTACAAAGCTTAGGCTGCATAAGCCAGTGGATAGTGAGGTACACGGAGTAGGCAGCTTTGTTTTTTGTTTAATCAGTAATTGCTTGCGACCTATGTAGATCATGGCAATATACGGAGTAGGCAGCCATACAATTGCCAATCCCGAGAGTGAGTGAGTGGCTCGTGAGTGAGTGAGTGAGCAGGAGGCCCCACTGCCCCACTGCCCCAGATCTCCGCAGACTAGCTAACCTCAAGGTAGAATTCCGACCAATAACTTCCCGCTGGTACTATACATTAGTTATGTACGTATGGTACGCAGTATGGCACGCAGCAGTTGGGTATGTACATACTACGACACAGACAACTACATAGGTAGTTTTGGAGCTACGGGTTCGGCCTATGCGCACCACACACACCGAACCAGCTGGCGGAAAGTCTGCGTTCGTACGTACATAAGCACGCTTAGTCCTTGGTCGTCCTTGGCCGACTTGGAGGAGCCTACTCCACACTCAGCGTGCTCCTCCGGTAGAGTACCTACATACCTCCTACCTACCTTCCTACCTGCTACTACTACTGGTGCTGCACACATCGTACTGCACACATCGTACCTACCTCTTATGTAGGTATGTAGGTATACTTTAAATACCCCCTCGGAACCAAAGCCCTGGGAGCAAACAGCCCCCCCTTCACCTCCCCCCTCCCCCCTCCCAGGGGCTGCCCCGGTATTGTAGACTGCATTCTGTATGTATGTATATCACTCATGATCAGCAGATACTATCTACCTACCCACTGCTACTGCAGAGGCACGTTAGAGTTTCGCGTGCTACATAGAGTGGGAGGGATGGATGGGAAGCGGTAGGCACATATGGCAACCACAGTGCACAGTGATCAATCTGATCGGCGAGACAGAAGTCGGCGGGTGTGTGTGTGGAGGGGTGGCGGTCGTGTGGGTAGGTGTTCGTCCGGGAACCCCGGGCGAGTGAGCGAGTGATTGATGTGTATTGATGTGTCAGGCGGGCCTGCCTACATACATTTTCTGGAGAAAGAATGGCCAACCACGAAGTTAAACGTGCACATACATTATACCTATGTACATACCTACGTACCTACATACCTATCCCCGGAGACCCCCGGAGAAGCAGTTCCCAGAACTCGAGGAGGAGGATGCTTTGGGCAATGATAGCCTCATAGGCCGATAACTAGCTAGCATATGTACAGAGGGTGATGGATGGCTGGCTGGATAGACTGGCTGGATGGATGAATAAACGGGGTGAGCGGCCGGCCGTTTCATCTCGATTCGTTTCATCTCGTTTGTCGTTTTCCGGGACTGTCTGCCTGACTGCCTGACTGCTCTCCGTTGCAATTGGGGGCACAAGGACGGAGACGAGGATGAGGGAGGACCGGACCGGTGCGGTTGGAAACTACAGTCTATAAGTATGTGGTTACAGCTGGCCCGGCGAGATTGGTGAGATTGGTGAGATTGGTGAGTGAGCTGCTCGCGGGACGTATAGGAGGAGAGGGGGAATATGCTCCTCCTCCTCCTCCTCCTCCTCTCCTCTCCCCCCGGGGCCGTGAGGGACGGGCCGAGGGAGGGACGGAGGGAGGTATATATAATCCAGACTATGGTTTGTGCTCACTGCCCACTGCCACTTTTTCCGTGTGCACTGTGCGAGTGTTTAAATACCGGCATGGAATTCCCACATACCTACTTAGACCGATGGCCCAGTGGCGGGCAGGACCTGAATGATTCCGTGCTGGCCAATTCTGAGGAGACTGGCGGAGTAACTTTTAACTATCCGTGAGTGTCCACCTATTCCTTCGGTTCGTCCGTAGTTAAAGCCAAGTATAGGGCTTGTTTTGAGGGGACCTTTTAGGTAGGCACTGAGAGACCCCGACTAGTACGGGAAACTGGTGAGACTGATTCATTTGACTAGAAAGCAACAAGAAAAGAAAGCAGCCTGTGTTCTCCAGGCCCAACAACCTCAAAGTACCTCTGCGGTGTTGATAATAATGTCTACGGTGGTAGATAATGTCTGATGTGTTGAACAAGAGCCATGACACCTTTGTCCCACAGTACCGAGTACCGAGTGGTTCTGCGCTATACCCGTCGGACCCGATGTGATTTTCCCCCGTACCCGACAGGGGGTGGGTATACCAGCACGGGATGCCGGTACTGCTCGCAGGAACAGTAAAACAACAGTCTAGGTGAGTACCGAGCGGTTCCGCGCTTTATTGTGATTGACCACCTGCCCTCCGGTACCGGAGTCATGGGGAGGTAGGCTGGTCTTCCCCTACTCTAGAACCCGGCCGCGGCCGCTGGCGGATCCGAGGCGAGAACACCGGGAGACTCGGTGATCTCCCTCTCTCTCGGAAATACCGAATTGCGAGCTGTTAGCTGTGAGCTGAGCGGTGCCGGGGATGCATCACCGGAGACTACCGTATTCGAAGCGCAGGCATCGGACAGGTACTCAAAATTCACAGCCGTTCTGAGATTAAAACATGTCCGTTGCTGGCGGACCTTCGATTGTACATGCATTGTATGGCGGCGTATCCAACAAAGCTTCGTGGATTGCGAAGTGAAACATGTCATGTTTCCCGCGCCTCAATGAGTATGTTTTCTCAGAGCTTGGCGTACGTCAAGCGGTGTGAGGGGTTGCCGTTGCTGCAGTCCACCCCACCCTACATATCGGCATTAACCACCTCAGAATCGAAACCTCGATTCTCGAACCATGTGCATCTCCACATCCACATCCACATCCCCGTCCACAGAATGAACACCGCCCTCCGCACCCCCCTAGTCCGCACCGTCGTGAGCGCCATCCAACGGCTGTAAGCCCCGCCCCCTAAGCCCACAGTACTCCCTTCCTGACGCCTGCCATAGCTACCCTCTCGCGCTCGCCGACAAATCCTGGGACAACACCGGGCTTCTCCTGGAGGCACCGCATCGATTCGACCTCGCCGCCTCACGTCCGTCAAAGCACGTAGTCCTGCTAACGATCGACCTGACGCGTGCGGTGGCGGAGGAGGCGATCGCTCTGCGCTCCTCGTTCGTCGTTACGTACCACCCGATCATCTTCCGGCCGCTCAAGAGCCTTACATTCGCCGACCCGCAGCAGGAGAGCCTGCTGTGGCTCGCGCAGGAGGGGATCAGTGTGTACTCGCCGCATACGGCGGTTGATGCTACGATAGGTGGAGTCAACGATTGGTTGGCCGATGGGATCTCGGGTGGCACTGCGTGCGAGACGGCGAGGAAGGTGATCCAGAAGGTGGACGGCCCGGAGGGGTTCGAGGACAGTGGCATGGGGAGGGTGCTGGTGCTTAAGGAGCCGGTGACGTTGGGCGTGTTGGTGGATAGGGTCAAGAAGCAGCTGGGGATGGAGAGGTTGATGGTTGCTGATGGGAGTGGCGGGAGGAAGATTGAGAGGATCGCGCTGTGTGCGGGCAGTGGAGGGAGTATGTTGAAGGGCCTCGATGTGGACCTGTACTATACTGGGGAGCTGAGCCATCATGAGGCACTGGCGGCGAAGGAGATCGGGATCAGTGTCATCAGCTGTGAGTTGCCGCCACCGTCGAGTTGTGTATCCCTGCTTGGCTAACCGGACGTAGGCTTCCACACGAACACTGAGAGAGGGTTCCTGACTGCCGTCATGAAGCAGAAGCTCGGCGATGCGTTGGCTCGGGAATGGGAGCAGGTGGCAGAGGCGGAGAGGGAAGGGAAGGAAGGCTTTGAGGTGGTTGTGAGCAAGAAGGACAGCGATCCGTACAATATCGTATAGATCTTCGTCACACACAGACGATTTGTACATGTCCTGGGTAATAGTCTAGAGTACCGAACGAATACATGGTACATACCAGTCCTTGACTCACAGCGGGTCACTCATCTCATGGCGCATGGAGGCGGCGCTTGTCAGGATCGGCTAGCGTGGGGTAAAGATGGTTCCTGCAAGTGTCACCAAAAACTTTCTTTGAAGCAAAAGCCCAGAAGAAGCACTTCGCGCGACCGACGTGAAACCCCCAGCAATCGCGCAATCTCTCCCCACGACACGAGGCTCGGAAAACCAGATATAAATGGCGCCCTCGCAAGCACTCAAGACCACGTTCAAGCCCGCACGGGTCATCCAGCCGTATTACAGCGGAGGTGCTGGCTGCGTTGCGCTCGACCGCTCCGGACGTCTGCTCGTCACCGCGTACGGCGATGAAGCCGTAATCACCGATATTGAGAGCGGGTCGGAGGTGGCCCGTATCGGCGGGGTACGTTCGCCACATCTTCACCATCATCGCAGGGAGAGCACAAGCACTGACATCCCGTTGCCGCGGCCCACAGCTCGAAGACGAGATCTCGACGCTCGCCCTGACACCCGACGGCTCGCACCTGATCCTCGGGATCTCCAAGTCCTACCAGATGCACACGTACACGCTGTCGCCGGATTTCTCCGCGTCGCCCATCACCGTGACACCCGAGCGCGAGCGCTCGGTGCGGCAGACAACGCCCATCATCGTCTCTGCGGCCGATCCCACCGGAACACTGGTCGCCACTGGGGGCGCGGACGGCATCGTCAAGGTGTGGGATATCCGGAAGGGTTTCGTGACACATAACCTGCGTGGACATGGCGGATTGGTGTCGGCGCTGGCGTTCTACATGGCCGAGGGCGAGACGGATGTCGCGATGGATGGGAAGATGAAGAAGGGGAGTGCGAAGAAGGGCGGCATGGGCAGGTTCATGTTGGCGACTGGGGGTGAGGATACGACGATTCGTGTGTGGGACCTCGAGACGACGAGGAATGTGGCTACCCTCCAGAAGCATGGGAGTGTGGTGAGGGGATTGGATTGGAGTCCGGATGGGAGGAGGCTGCTCAGTGGTGGTAGAGACGGTGTCATGTGTCTCTTCGATACGACGACTTGGAATGCTGTTATAACGCCTGCTGGTGAAGAGGTGGAGGTGGTTGGGTTCGTTGCTCCCGGCATGTTTGTGAGGGAGGATGGTGAACAGGTAGATAAGCTTGTGTTTGCGGCGGGAAGGCAGGACAGAGTGCGGATATGGGATCTGGCAGCGGGAGAGGAGATCACCAAGCAGGCGAAGATTGATGAGGATGAGGAGAAGGGAGTTATCCAGATAATGTCTGTATCATCCAGCGATGAGTGGAACGAAGGGGAATGGTTACTGACGGTCCTACAGATACCACAAGAACCTGCCGTCGTTACTCTCCATCCACCACGACTACACCCTCCAGATTCACAACCTTCACCTACCCTCGCCCGCACCGACTTCCCTCCCTACAAGCCGGCACATCACCACCAACTACGACCAGATCCTCGACATTCAGTACCTCCCTCCAGACTCATCCCTGATCGCCATCGCCACGAACTCGGAGAACGTGAGCCTTGTCTCTTCATCCACCTTCCACGACGTGGCCATACTTCGCGGGCACACGGAAACAGTCCTCGCTCTCGACGTTGACTGGTCTGGGAAATGGCTAGCTACAGCTGGCAAAGATAATGATGCACGGCTATGGAAGATCGACCCAGAGAACAACTCCTTTACATGTGCCGCGGTTTTCACCGGTCACGCAGAAAGTGTAGCAGCGCTCTCCCTGCCGCGCCAAAGGCCCCAAGAGGGCTCAAAGGCGGCGACAGAGAAGCTGCCACCGAAGTTCATGCTCACCGGAGGTGCTGACCGTACGATCAAGAAGTGGAATGTCTCGGTGGAATCGGGCAAGAAGCCACGGGCCGTCTGGACCAAACGTGCCCATGAGAAGGATATCAACGCCATTGACGTCTCGCCGGACGACGTCCTTTTTGCTTCCGCATCCCAGGACAGACTCGTCAAGATTTGGTCGGTCGAGGAAGGCGAGACTATCGGTGTGTTGCGCGGCCACCGTCGTGCTGTGTGGTCCGTTAAATTCGCACCTTCCACTGTCACTGCGAGCGCGGTCGGCGGAGAAGCTGGGATGAAGGGCGGTAGGATGGTCGTCACTGGGTCGACAGACAAGACGGTCAAGCTGTGGAGTTTGGTGGATTACACCTGTCTCAAGACGTTCGAGGGACACACCAACTCGATTCAGAGGGCGCTGTGGATTTCGGGAGGACTGCAGGTGATCAGTGGTGGAAACGATGGCCTCGTCAAAGTGTGGGACGTCAAGAGTGGAGAGTGTTCCGTCACCTTGGACAATCACGAGCAGCGGGTATGTAACTTTCCGGTCCCTCGAATCGCATGGCTCAACAGAGACTGACAAGTGCTAGATTTGGGCGCTGGCCACACGTCCCGACGAAGAAGATACCGGTACGACTATCGCCTCGGCCGATGCCGAGGGTGTCATCACTTTCTGGCAGGACGCAACCAGCGCCACCATCGCTGAGGCCGACGCCAAAGAGCAGGCCCTCGTCGAGGAGGAACAGAAGTTGCAGAACTACATTGCCGTCAACGACTACCGCTCGGCGATCTCCCTGGCCCTATCGCTGAACCATCCCGGACGCCTGCTCAACCTGCTGACATCCGTCACGGCGACCTCGCCAGCCGAAGCCGACTCACTCTCCGGCATCGCCGCTGTAGACGAAGTCCTCGCCTCGCTCTCGGACTCCCAGCTCTCGGTACTGCTGTGCCGAATCCGCGACTGGAACACCAATGCGCGCACCGCGGTAGTTTCACAGAGGGTATTGCACGTGCTGCTAAAGAGCTACAGTGCGCAGCGTCTGGTCGAGCTGCGCGGTGTCGGTAGGGATGTCTGGGATGCGCTGAGCAGCTACACGGATAGACACTACAAGCGGATGGAGGATCTCGTGGAGCAGAGCTTCATGGTCGAGTACACGCTGCGCGAGATGGAGCAGGTTATGGGCGCCGTCGACGGTATGGAGATTGAAGTCGTGTAGGTAGGTGTGATGTTCCTAGGCAGTTGCTCCGATTATGTTGTATGTATCTTTCTGGTCTTTTGGATGGCGTTAGGTATACGAAAAAGTTCTGTTTAAGTAATAGAATGAGGGGCCTTTGCGAGCCGAGCTGAGTCGAAACATGTATTAAAGCACTAAAGCTCGCAACGGTGTTACGGTATTACGGTGCTGCTTCCTCACCTTGTATGCCGATTTTTTCGTGGGTTATGTGATCCATCGGTTGAGAAGTAACCTTTTGGTTGGTTGGTATTTCAGTAACGAGTCAATCCGTTTTAATGACAAGCCCCTAGATTAGGTGTGTCCATAACATGTAGCGAGTCAGTAGCTTTTATGTCTACCTCAAGCGCAAATTCCACTCATCTGGTCTGCGCAGTCCTCAACGCACGACTAGAGACCAGTGCTCCCGATAATCCAGTCCGGAATGCATCAGTCCAGTCCAATCCATCCCGTCCGGACCCATGGAAGGGAATATATAGACGACGGTGGATCTAGAGCATCGAGAAAAAATCATCCAGTCCGTCCGGAGGTGTCTGGTGGACGGACGGGTTGATTATCACGTGTTTGTGTCACAGTGTATCACTCGCTTGATCACTGCTTGTCAGTCGTTTGGTTTACTGGCATGTTCTGCTATGTGCCTTGCGTCTATAAAAGTACGCTCTTTTGCATTCTTGTATCCTTCCTTCCACCAGTGCACCTATCAACTTCAAGACCACTTTCCTCTACCTATGTCCCCTCGGACCTCCAGACCGCACTTCTTTTCCACGGACATCTGTACCTGTCCTTTCCGCCTCTTCATCTTAACTGATACCTCGGCTGGTCGGTTTGTCGTGCGAACACTGTACATACAACGAAACGGAACAACAAGACCACTTCGGTTCCATCCCCCCGAGACTATCACAAAATGTCACTTGACAGAACCCGATGTTCGCGAATAGGTACCTTCCATAAGTACTGTCGCCGGTCGAGTGATCTGCAGACTGCTACCGGACACTGATTGGCTAAAGGACGGGGGTTCCAGATGCGGGGTTTTTAACCCCCGTTCGCCACGTCATGCACAGAAGTCGAACGCGAACATCGACTTCTGCTAATTGACATCTACCGCGAACGCGACCACACTCTTCGACCGGGCAGTTACTATAGTTACCCTTCATCGAGCAATCTTTAAGCCCCACTGGACGCACATCCCATATCCCGTCGCCAATGGCAAAATTCTTACGGGCCATTGACCAAGGCGCGAGTAAAGTCGGGCGGCTGATCGCCGCGAACCCTCTTGCCATCAGCAGCGCCATCAGCGGCGCGACCATTGCGCTGTATCCCGATCTCACTCTCGGGACGCTCCTCCAGCCGCTCGGATTCACCGCCGATGGCGTAGCTGCAGGTAGGTAACCTACTTCCCTACCTACCTACTCCAACCACACCACCGCTGACAGCGGCCGGGGGGCGGCGCGTACTATACAGGCAGTCTTGCGGCGTCGGCACAGTCCGCCCTCGGAAACGTAGGCGCCGGCGGGATCTTCGCGTTCTGCCAGAGTGCTGCCAGCGGGGGGTCCGCGACATCGACGGTTGCGGCGTCGGCGGGTGCTGCGGTCGCCACTGCTTTCCGCGTGGTGGCTGCTATGCGGAAAGAGTCCGCCAACCAGGAGGAGGAGGAGGAGCAGGAGGAGGAGCCTGCCAACGTCGACTATGAGGCCGAGTTCCGCAGGGAGCGCTCGGCCAGCCCGTCACCGCCTGCGCAGGCGGCGGCGGCTTCTAGAACGGAGGGCCGCGGAGGTTGGGGCCCAGGCGGTCACAGCCCTATATTTATTGATCACAGTAAAGTGTGCTGGCTGTGTCGGCTGAGGTGGGGTCCTGAGTGTCCGGATCTGCCAAAAACCACCTGGGCATGCGAACGCTGTGACACGCCGTTATGTCTCAGCGGTGAGCGCAACTGTTTTCGAGAATTCCACGATCACTAGGTAGGGAGATGATCTTGGTGGCTGGAGGAGGGGAGCTGCCCAGGAGGCGGTGAAGTCGAACAAGCACTGTTTGCTGGAGAATGTGGTGGGAGGGTTGGTATGTACTGCATGCGGAGCATTCCTTGGTTGCGTTGCGGGTTTTATGATTGAATTGCATTTGCTTTGTGCTTGTTCCCCTGTTTGTATATTGGAAATTATTGATGGTCCGACTCAGAGAATAGGTTGAATCTCAGATTGTTGCCGCTTGGATCTCCGGAAAGCCCGCGTCTGATTCTTTCTCTACATACCTTTCTTTCTTTAAGATCTACTCTTCTTCGATTTGGGTTTGTGTTGGTTTTGTTATCGTTTGTCATTGTGTTTGTAGGTACCTATTCGGCCAGTTATGACAACATTAAACACATCATGATCCCTCGTTGGGGCGCCTCCGTCATCCTCCCAAATTCACACCGAAAGGGGACGTCCCACGCAACATGAGCACTAAACATGAACCGACTCCAGCCTGCCGTTCTCCTTTCGCACCTCTCCTGAGTCCTCCTCCGCCGAGCTCTTCGCGAGTCGTCGCTCCGTCCTGCCACCCTCCCAAATGGCAAGACTATCCTTCCGCCATTTACGTCTCCTCGAAACTCCAGACCGCACTTCTTTACCGTAGATACTCTACCGTAGTGCGTATCTAATACCGAGTGCCCGGCACATTTACTTCAGCTCTCGATAACCCACCACTAGTAGGAGTGGCTGAGACCCCCAATGCTTCATTGCAAGAAGCAGCAAGGACATCTTCACCTTTTATAGATTGCGCTACCTACTACCTACTACCTACTACCTACTACCTACTACCTGTATATTCCGATTCCCCCCCACCGCGCTTCTCCCCACCACGAGTGACATCCCATGCGCCAAGCACATCCGTTTACCGACGCAACCTGCCATCCCGTATGTGTGTGCGCAGCGCAGCGGCGATCACCGCCGTGGGGCGTGGGTGCACTGGCTCACTGGCTCACTGGGCAGTGGGTGCACCGTAGGAACTTGGAAGTCGGCGACGTCCCCTAAATAACTAAATAACCAAGTATGCACGGAGCACCTCCTCCGTCACCTCCTCCATCACCTCGTCCGTGTGGTGTGTGTCTATGGGTGTGTGTCCGTGTGTGCGGGGAAAGCGAGCGGTGCTCTGCAGTATAAATATTCAACGATGCCTTGCCTTTGCCTTCCATAACGATGCACTATCTACCTATTGCGTGCCCGGTGCGATGCGATGCTACACAAACGACTGTGACTCCGACTCCGACTGCGACGTCACAGCAGACACGATGACGACGACGGAACAAAACAGAACAGAACAGATACATCATACCGATATAGGGTTGTATCAATTCCTACTCGCACGCTCAAACAGTCAAACCAAACTCCTCCCGCTACAGCAAAAAAAACAAAAAACAGAAACAAACAAAACTCCAAGCCCAGCGCAACGAAACGACATCTAGTCTAGTCCAGCCGTACGCGACCCGACTCATTACTTCTTATTGAGCAGCAGCTGTCCCTGCGGCCCCTTCCGCTCGAAGCCCTCGTCGGTCGAGTAAATACGGCGGCCGCGGAGCCACGTCTCGCATACGCGGCCGCGAAGGGTCTTGCCTTCGTACGGCGTCACTTTGTTCTTGAAGTGCATGTCTCTAGTCGTGACCTGTTCCGATGTTAGGATGTGCGAGGAGCGAGGAGCGAAGGAGGGGGAGGGGGGGACATACAGTGAACGAAGCCTCAGGATCAAAGACGCAGAAGTCCGCATCCCAGCCCTGGACGAGGCCACCCTTAGTGCCGAGGAGTCCGACCTGCTTAGAAGTTTTCCACGCGGTCCACTCGGCCATGGTTGCGAGGTCGACGCCGCGCTTGGAGCCCTCGGTCCAGAGCACCGAGAGGCCCAGGCCGACGGTGGAAACGCCGCCCCACGCCTCGAAGAAGTCGCCGTCGCCGCCGTTTTCGGCGAGCATCTTGAGATTGGGCGTGCAGGGCGAGTGGTCGGACACGACCGTCTCGATCAGCCCATCCTTGAGCGCGTCCCAGAGGTAGTCGCGGTTGGCGCCCTCGCGGATCGGCGGACAGCACTTGTGGCGCGTGTCGCCGTCCGCTATGTCTTCGGCCGCGAGGGTGAGGTAGTGGAAGCAGGTTTCGGCGGTGAGCTTGACGCCGGCTTCTTGCGCTTTCTTGACGAGGGGGATGCCCTCCGCCGCGGAGAGGTGGACGATGTGCAGGCGCAGATCGGGGGCGATGTGGGCTTGCTCGAGGATACTCTCGATGGCGTACGTCTCGAAGGCGACAGGACGGGAGTCGAGGAAGGTCTTGTACGAGTTGACAGGGCCGGTGGGCGCCAGAGGAGCCTCACCATGGAGGACATAGTCGCCAACAGACTTGGTGATTGGGGGGAGCATCTCAGCGTGGAACATTAGCAGCGTTGGGGAATCCTTCAGCTTCTCCATTGCCTTGGAGATGTCGGCGGCTGTCACAGCGGGGAACTCTTCAACCTGAAGAAAGATGTCAGTTTCACCAGTCATGACGTCGGTGGTGGTGGAGGAGGGCGGGAAGAACATACACCACTGTTGATCAGGAAGCACTTGAAGCCACGGACACCAGCTTCCACTAGCGGAACGAGGTCATCCTCATTGCCGGGAATGACACCACCATAGAAACCGACATCGACATAGCACTGGCCTTCAGCCGCCTTGACCTTAGCGTTCAAGTTCTCAACCGTGGTGGTGGGCGGGATGGCGTTTAACGGCATATCGATCAGCGTCGTCACACCACCAAAGGCGGCAGCCCTGGTTCCCGTCTCGAAACCTTCCCACTCGGTACGCCAGCCTGGCTCGTTCAGGTGGACATGAGCATCGACCAGTCCGGGCATCAGATACTTGGGCGAGACATCGTGGTACTCGGTGCCAGGCGGGAAGGTCGAGGCGGGAAGGATCTCAGCAAAGATATGGATGATCTTTCCGGAGGTCGGAGAGACTACAATGGTTGCCGGTGTGCATCGCCGTCCCGGGAGGATGGTGTTGATGGAGCAGAGAACCGTGGGCAGCTCCTCCGGAGGGGTATATGGCTGCTCAGGGAGAGTGAATGGTTGCTCAGGGAGAGTGTGGAGCTGGACGATAGGAGTTTCCAACAGAGGAGCCATGGCCGATTGTCGTGTGGTAGGATGTGAATGGGATCCGGGGTGGCTTCAACGAACAGTGGAATGTGTGGGGGTTCTGGGGTATCGGTATTAGGTTTAGAGAATGGAAGGCTGTGAGTGAATGGAAGATTGCGAGAAAGAGCGGAGTCCCAGATGAGATGAGATGAGGGGAGAGGAAGACGGTTCAAAGAGCGGTGGGAAGAGTGGGAGGGACTACTCTATGTATAGGCCAAGGGAAAGCATCTAGATACCGGACAGGATGGCAGTTTCGGAGGAAGCGGAATGGACCGATAAGACCCGATAAGCCTTCAGACAAGCTACCTGCATACATACACACTTGCGCCAACAGCTACCACTGCTGCCACTGCCATCGAAAAAGAAGACAGGTTAAGAAAGTTGAGTCGGCCGGAATGCGTATGCGTAAGCGGCACAGAAAAGGGGAAGGTGGCGGGATCCAGAGGGAAGCGGGAACTCGATGATCCAAGTGAAGTTCTAGTGCGGAGTGCTGTTTAGTGTCGGATGGTCTACATACTAGTGACTAAGGCCTCTCGACGGCGGGACTACGGACCATTTGGCAGAAATCCGGGGTAACTATGGGACATCGGATTTTTGTTGGTTTTGGTTTTGGTTTTGGGCAGACCCTTATCAGCGCCATGTGTATCTAGAGCAGATATGATACAGAGAAGTCGATGGATAGCCGCACTTTACTGTGCTGTGTCGGCACACAACCAGGGTCCACTTTCAGCCTATCTAGACAACCGGTACCGGTATGGCCCACTGCGACGGAGCGCTCCCGTGTGCCTATATGATAGTATGCAGGTATCTATTGCGAGCTCCTTCCAATGGTAGCGATTGGAGCTGAGATGGATATATAGCTGTATATCTCCCGGGGTTTGGCAGATCGGTCCGATGCTTTACTTTGCTGCCTACCTGCCACGCCTGACCATCGCATAGGTTTCTTTTCTTTTCTTTCCCAAAGAGGTTTTTTCTTCTTTTTTTCTTTTCTTCGGGTGCCTGGCATGACGAGGGATGGATGGATGGATGGATGGGACCGATGGGGCCGTTGGGGCCGCAGGCTGCGTGCGCATAGTCTGATAGGTGCGCTAATCCGCAGGGTCCGATTTTCGCGGGAAAAGCCGGTTCGTCGGAAGAGGGGGGGCCAGGCGTGGCTGACAAAGGCTCGCGCAGGGGCTTTCTTCTTCTCCCTAGAGTTCGAGAGAGCTCCGAAGCTTCCACGACAGCTTCCAGAACGATTCCCTGTGCTAGTTAAGACCAAGCGAAAGTCTCGGGAGTACAAATCTGGACTCCACGAAGGGGTTCCCGAGACAGCGCTTCGTCTTCCCGTTGCTTCTCCGCCTCCTGCTCCTCCTCCGCCTCCTGCTCCTCCAGCTCCTCCATCCTGCCGCCTTGTGGGTACATAGAGTACCATGTCGCCCATGCGCCGAGCTGCCGACCGTGCTGAAAGAACCCTCCCCTCCCCCTCCCCGTGGCGTTGTGTGCGCTGTATATGCTGTAGATAACTGCTTTCCATTACTCGACCAAAACTCCCCTCGCCGCATTATTACTCGATAGGAAGTGCAACACGCCTGCACCCAACCCAACCCAACACAACACGACGCATACATCTACCTACCTAGGCCTTCGTTATTACTCGATCAGAACCGAGAATCCGGTATGTTGTCGCGCGCCCGTCGCCCCGCCGCCCCCGCTGCCCCAGCGCCTTCTACGAACTTCGATCTGGTGCATCGATTCCTTTTTTTCTTCTTTCGCGGGCACGTGGATCGATGGGAGAGGAAGGCGAAAGAAAGAGAAAGAAAAAAACAGTTGGGGTTTTCTTTCGAAGGCGGCGTTTCGTTTCGCTGGGGATGGAACGGATTTGAAATGTCTCTGGGTAGCTTGTCCCGACCGCGGCGCGTGCGGCAAACCGGAGACGGCCGACCAGCCGACCGCCTGGCTGACTGGACGCTCATCTGCTGTCACTCGGCTGTTGTGCAGAATCTCAACGGAATCTCGGCGGATGCAGAGAAAAAACAGCGGCACTCGGCGGAGGCGTCAGGTTGGTGTCAGGTTCGTCGAGCCTTGCCAGCACAGCACATAAAAGCACAGCGCAGCGCACGGTCGAGCCTCCTCCGAAGTTCGAAGCACTCCCAATGGCGCCGTAGAGGAGTGCTATTACTCGATCGAAGTAAAGAAACCTGAACACGTTGGCCAACGTTAACACTGGTGACTGCAGACATTACATTTTTGCAGCTGACCTTTCTTTCTTTCATCCTCAACTCTGAGGAGTGGCCAGTAGCCTGGCACGTAGGAATTTCGTAATAGCAGCCCGTTTAGCCCCGGGAAAGGAGGGGGCCGCCGGGAGCCGGGCGGAAGCGGCCTGCGCGTGGTCATTGGTCGCTGGTCAACTGGTCGCTGGTCAACTGGTCAGGTGTGTTCGCTCCAGTACATAGCCAGGGTTGCGATTGCGATTTCTGGATTCGGTCGGCAGTCGATGTGGCTTCGTTTCGTGCGCGGGGAGGGAACTACCTATAATACACAAGTCAGAGTAGGTATTTAGAGTACAAAGTGAAGCCACTCCCGACGGACGGAGTGATGTCCCCGAACGAGTGCGTGGACGTGCACCTACGGACTCTGGAGCGCGAGAACCGAACCGAGACATAGCAGATGGGATGGGATGGAATGGGAGGCGAAGTCTCGGCTGCAACTGCGACTGCGACGGCGACGGCGACTTTTTCCGAGCGTGCATGCTGATTGGCTGCACCGAACACATTATGCATACCGTATGTCGTCGTTCGGCGGGGTGGACGAGTCCTCCTCCTCCTCCTCCTCATTCCGCCGATTCAGCTCAACTCAACTCAACTCAACTCGAGTCGACAAAGCCCGCCCGCGAGAGTGAATGTCCAGACCGACCTTCGATCGAAACTGGAGCGCATCAATTAACTGCATGTGAATAGGAAACCTAATAGGAAACCGAATAGGAGCGTGAAACGCTTCGTCGAACTGAACCGGTTCGGCCGTTTATAGTGGTTAGCGCGCAGTACGATGACTCCAAGTCCCGGCGGCGAAGCCACGGAGGTTTTTGCTACCCCGGAGGCTCCCAGAGGGACGCATGCAGTGGCTCCCGGGAGACAAAATAACAGTCTGCAGGGCGTGCCGCGTCTCACGATCCGACGTGTGATAGATAGCCGGGGCCGGGAGAGTCGAGAGCGTACCTGCGACGCTAGTGGTTGTATGAAGGGATGAAAGGCATAACGCGAGTGAGTGAGAAGTACTTCATACTGCCCACAGCTAGGCTGCAATTACCTAACTTTTTCGAACACCGGGAAAAACGTCAGTTCAAACAGTACACTCAGCTCACCAGCTCACCAGTTTATGGCAGTTCAATAACCAATCGAAGAATTGAGAAAACTGCACCAATTGCCTTGCCCTTTCATGTCCCCGAGTTCCAACCCAATCGAGCTGCCGAACGAACAACTGCAAAAAACAAACCGGTCGGCGTCTACCCGGTTAGGTACTTATCTGCACGTCTGGTCAGTGGTCTGTGGTCAGTGATCAACGGTGACAGCAGGCGGCAGGCCCCCCATACATGTCAACCTAGGTAGGTAGGTAGACGGCGTCTGTGTGTACGTACATAACATACGAACCGTAAAACAGCGGTTCATATTAGTTATGGCCGAGAAGAAGAAGAAACGGAATAAGTACCGTATTCGAGATCGGGGACGGGTACATCGGGTACGGGGACGGGGAGCCCATCGCAGCAGCAGCATCAGCAGCAAAGTGGAGCTGGCTTGAGGTATATACCAGGAGCAGCCAATAAGTCGTGCCTCACCACAATGCCGAACTCTAAGCGCAAGGTGAGGCACCACTTACTATAAGTGCGTTATTGCCAGTATGTGAATGCGCGAATTCTGCTCAAGCCTTTTACTCGCAGCCTCGCAGGTGACATAAAGTGCGGTAGCGTTAGGTAACAGCGCTTAAGGTGCAAAAGACATGATTACTCACAGCGGTCTCAGATTACGGCGAAGTTGGTACCAGAATGCGCCTAATTTTCAGAACCGCTCTGAGTCGCATATATATGACGTATCATACAATGCGCAGAGTCGATGAACACACGCGCACAATGCGCAACGCATATATACATACTACACACGCGCAGCCGTCTTAGAATACGGGGCAGTGTAGGTACTACATACGGCGGCGAATGCGCCTATCACGCAGCAGCATCTTACTTAAGCTTGCAGCCGTCTCAGAATGTGGCAGAGTCGGCGAATGCGTCTAATCTGCAGCTGCTTCTCCCTTGCAGCCGATACAACGTGCGGTAGAGTTGTTTTGTTTAATCATCATAGCATTCGACCTTATCAGATCATGGCTGTACAGACGTCCAGACGTGCGGTAGAGTCAATCAGTTTTGGAGATGTACTACCTAGTAGCCGCGCCAGTGATGGTGATAAAGAATGCAGCAAACTCTCGCAGCGCCATAAGTCGCATGTGTAGGTGAGTGACGCATGTACAAAGTACTCATGTCAGTAAGCGCGGGGAACGTGCAAACAAAGAAAACGTAGTGCCTAGACGCAGACCACTCCGTTTAGCCCAAACGTTTGTGTCGGAAACGTTCAGGACTGAACCAGTGGGGATGGAGCGAGCTTGAGAGGCTGTCCGAGAGGCCTCTTCTCCCCCTCCCCCCCTCTCTCTCCCTCTCTCATCATCATCATCATCTACAGAATAGACAATCAACCTCTACCTCCTCTCTCTCTCCAGTCTCCACTGTAACGAGAGTGCCATATCCACGGCGAGAACAGTTTTGCGAGAGCTCTCTGCCAACTTTGCCTCTATAGGTCGACAAGCGTGGCGAGGAAGGGAGCAAACACAGAAGAAAGAGCGGAGATTGGAGGTTAGAGATGACGATCAAGAAAGAAGAAGAAAACCCACGGGTGCCAGCTTAAGTCCCCCCTCCTTCGTCAGTGGTCGACCGTAGGCCCCGCCATGCCCACCAACGTCGATGTCACTACTAACCACATTTATTTCCTCCCGCCGACTGCTCCTCCTTCACTCTGTCACAACAGTGTGCAATCGGCGGCGAGGCAGGCCTGATACTGTGGGACGGCATAAGAGGACAATGCGTACCGACTGTAGCCTGTAGGAAGACCAGGGGCTGCCAGACGGTGAAGGACGGTGAAGGACGACGATACCTACCGGCTGTAACTTGCAGAACGAGCGCGGGCTGTAGGACTCGGACCGGCTATCGACGGCGAGGTCAGCGGCTTGGTTGTGGGGAGGAGAGTGTGGTAGGTATCTGCGGGGAGGACTCCAGCAGCTGCTAGTCAGTCACGCGGTCAATCGGCAAAACACGATGCACATAGGCAACACAACAGCTAATGGCAGGTCGGAGGATAAACTGAGGGTGTGCTTCACCGCGAACCTGAGGGGTTGAGGTTGAGGGGCTACTGCTTGGTCGGTCTGCACTTGCTAGAGTTATTCGCTGTGGGGATACTCTAGGGCCGGTCTTATTTCACGGTGGGATACTGCGGGGCCAGTCTTTCTACGGTGATACTGCAGGGCCGGTCTTTCAGTATGAGGATAGTACTGCATGATCGGTCTTTCAGTATGAGGATAGTACTGCATGGTCGGTCTGAACATGCTGGAGCCATTTTCGCCGTGGGGATACTGCGGGGCCGGTATTTTACCATGGTGATACTGCGGGGCTGGGCTTTCACCTGCTGGTGTCATTCACTGTGTGGATACTGCGGGGCCGGTCAGCACTTGCTCGAGTATTTCACTTTGGTGATACTGTAAGGCCGGTCAGCATTTGCTGGAGTCTTTCACTATGGTGATACTGCATGGTCGGTCTGAACCTGCTGGAGGTTTTCACTGTGGGGATTGTTGGAAGGACTCGTGGAGGTGATTCGCTGGAGCGATAGATGGACTCTGGAGAGAAGTGGAGTGGTATGTTCGGGTGTAGGAGGCACTGGTACAAGAGAAAGAGAAAGAGAAAGATACCAAGCTTGGACCCGCTACCGCACCGAATATTCCAACCCCCACCATCGGTCCTCCGGACGGCTAGTGGATGGCTTACCAGAAACACACTCTTTTCCACGGGGATACTGCAGGGCTGGTATTTCAGTATGAGGATAGTACTGCATGGCCGGTATCTCACTTGCTGGTGTCATTCGCTGTGGGGATATTACTGCATAGCTAGTCTTTCACTTGCTGATGCCATTGGCTGTGGGATAGTACTGCATGATCGGTCTGAACTCACTGGAGTCTTTCATTATGTGGATCATGCGGGGATGGTCTTTCACCTGCTGGAGTCTTTCACTGAGGGCATACCGTGGGGGCGGTCTTGCACTTACTCGAGTCTTTCACTTTGGTGATACTGCATGGTCGGTCTCAGCTTGCTGGAGGCGTTCACTATGTGGATAGTACTGCATGGCCGGTCTCTCACTTGCCGGTATCATTCGCTGTGGGGATAGTACTGCATGGCTGGTCTGCATTTGCTGGAATCTTTCACTTTGGTGATACTGCAGGGCCGGTCTGCATTTGCTGAAATCCTTCACTGTTGTAATACTGCATGGTCGGTCTGCATTTTCTGGAATCTTTCACTGCAGAGATACCGCGGGGCTGGTCTGAACTTGCTGAAGTCTTTCACTATGGGGGTACAGCATGATCGGTCCGCATTTTCTGGTGTCATTCGCTGTGGGGATACTGCAAGGCCGGTCCTTCAGTATGAGGATAGTACTGCATGGTCGGTCTGAACTTGCTGAAGTTATTCACTGTGGTGATACTGCAGGGCCGGTCTGCATTTGCTGAAATCCTTCACTGTTGTAATACTGCATGGTTGGTCTGCATTTTCTGGAATCTTTCACTGCAGAGATACCGCGGGGCTGGTCTGAACTTGCTGAAGTCTTTCACTATGGGGGTACAGCATGATCGGTCCGCATTTTCTGGTGTCATTCGCTGTGGGGATACTGCAAGGCCGGTCCTTCAGTATGAGGATAGTACTGCATGGTCGGTCTGAACTTGCTGAAGTTATTCACTGTGGTGATACTGCATGGCCGGTCTACATCTGCTGGAACCTTTCACTGTAGGGATACTGCGGGGCCGGTCTTTCACATGCTGATGTCATTCGCTGTGGGGATACTGCATGATCGGCGTGCATTTTCTGGAGACTTTCACTATGGTGATACTGAATGGTTGGTCTGAACTTGCTGGAGTCTTTCACTATGAAGATACTGCGGGGCTGGTCTTCAACTTACCGGAGCCTTTCACTTTGGCGATACCCACTGTATGGCCGGTCTGCATCTGCCGGACTATGCTGAAACTGCATGGTCGGTCTGAACTTGCTGGAGTCTTTTGCTGTTGATACTGCATGACCGGTTTTTTAGTTACTAAAGTCTGTCACTATGAGGATTTGCATGCAGCGTCAGACTGCCGACGATGGGTGCCCATCGTGATCCGAGATTGAGCGGTTGGTCGGGGTTTTTTTGCGCTATTTGCCGCTGCTAATTGAAATAACTCGTCCCACCAGCAAGACGAATGGCATTGAAGGTGCTCCGGCCTCCAACACGAACAAGACGGTGTTCCTATCGACTAACTGGTGAGAGCCTGGCCTACTGCTCGAATCAATTAGCATAGCCGCTCGGCATGATGGATGTAGGCAGGGTGGTACCGTATGCAGAGGAGGAGGGCAACAACCACTTTCTCTGCCGTGGGGATATCGGATGGGGACATCTCGGTCTTGGACTCTTGGTCCCTCTTGCCAAATCCCGGCGGTAGGGAGGACTCCAGCCAGCCAGCAAGTCCAGACCTACATAGACCCAACGCTGAATGTCAATCTGCAAGGGAGGGAGCCGTCGATCTGCGGGGAAGAGGGAGGGGGGTAGACATCGCCATGTCGGAACAACTACATTGGTCCTCGATTCCAAGCGTCACCGGCCTAGGCTTCGGCAGTACGATCCCGAATCCGAACCGAATCCCCGCGGTACGACGATGATGATAATTATGTAGGCGTTTGGTGACGGCAATGCGCTGGCAACACTCTCGTAGGCTCTTGGACCCTGGAGTCCGGACCGAGTCTTCGGGTCGGGGAGGTGGAATGGGAGCTGCTGGACTCTTACAAGCTTGGACCTAAACCGTGTGGTGGAGTCGGTATGCGTCGCGTCGGTCGGTTGAAGAAGTCGACGAGGTAATGATGATGTTTCAGTCGGTACAAACGCGGATCATGTCCGTAGCTTTTCATGCTGGCCTTATTCACTCACCGGGCCACGGGCCCCCCCTCCCGGCGCCGAGTCCGAATCGACTCCTTCCGGCGGTTTTCGGTGATGAATCCGAAGAGGCCTGGATCCGATCCGGATCCACCTTCACCACTATCATCTCCACTACCATCATCACCACTACCACCACTATGTACCACCATCACGCACTGATACATACTCACGGGTTAAAGGGGAAAGGCGTCCACAATCGGCCCCAAATATAGTAACTAGCACCTACCTAAGTACCTACATACGTCTTCGGTACGTCCCGCGCCGCCCCGCCGCGCCCCGCCGCGCCTCCAGTTTTCTAGAATCCGAAAGAAGACAGGCCACGTTTTTTTGTTTTGCTTTTTCCAAATCCAAAATTCGGGTCTATGCTGATCCGCAGATTTGTGGTTGGTTTTTTCCAGAAAGGCTAACTCAACTAGCGACGGCCCGAACGACGATATGGTTTCACAGGACATCACTCGCATCCACCCATCCTCGCTCGTCGTGAGCGCCCATGAACCGGGTGGGGGTTCGTAGCATGTGCGTATCCGAGCATGTACGGCGGTTGGAGCAGAGCTGGAATTCAGCGTCGACTTTGTTGGTTACGGTCATTTGAGGCCGGAAAGTAGATTTTTCCCCGGTGGGGGGAGGGAAGCGTACGGCGCCTCGCGCGACGATGTTGTTGTTGCAGCCGGCGTAGACGTGGATTTTGCGCCATAGACATCTCTGGGGATGGGGGGAGTCCCATGAGCTCCATCACCGGCTTACTCAGGTTTCAATACGCCCTCAGCCCGGTCTCTAACGCTTCATCAATGCTGTATGCTGTACTCTAGATGCAATCGAGCAAGTGTGGGCTCTGACCAGCCTCAGCCAGCCAGACAGCCAGACAGCCCAGTCGTTGTGGGCCTGGGCGGGCCCTCTGGGTGGCCCTGTCCTTTCTTCTTCTCATCATATGTATCTAGCTGTCTAAATATGAGTGTCGATTGTCGGATAAGGGGGATGGGGTACTGGATCGGTCCCCACTTTTCCCTCTTTCCCCCCCGGCAAGGTGCCTGCCTGCCTGCCTGCCGCTAGTTTTTCTGGGAACTGGAATTTGTGGGAGAAAGTCAGGCCACTTTGTTTATTTTTATTTGCTTTTTTTCTCTGGGGAGTATCGGAGGAAATCTGGGTCTGTGACGATCCGCAGATTATTCGATGTTTGGAATTTCCCCGATGCACGTGGTGGTGGTGGTGGGAGATTTGGGGGGTGGGGAGGGGATGGGATATTTCGTTTCTTCACGCGCAGTCATTCGGGGGGGGGGGAGGCGTGACTACTAACACCCCGGATAACGGATTTTTTGGTCCGCAATTGATGTTCACCAATTTTTGTGGACGGGGGGTGGCTTGTTGTGGCGCTGGCATGGCGCTGGCTTGCGCCAAATCCGATGTTTGACGTTCAATGTCCAAACATTCGGTAAATAGCGGTTGGTAGTACGATAACCCGAAGGCTGAATGCTGGAGCCGGACTTCTGTACTTCCGTAGGGCCAGCGGTATAGTAGGGGGAGGCTCATACCTTACAAATGTCTCCCCTGATTATCACGGCCCCCGACTAACTACCATACATACACTGTGACGAAAACCACTCTAACCCCCCGTCCCCCGTCCCCCGTCCCGTCCTCTAGTTACCATGCTACCGTTACCCCCGCTACTCGTCACGGAGGATCAGAGTAGCTACTACACTAGTTATACTAGTAGTAGGCTGTTCTTTCTAGCATCGCACGATCCATCCACTCGCTTAACGGAAAAACACTCCATACCGTCCTGGCGGGACCATAAACCCTCCCTCACCCACCCCCCCGCCCCCCGCCTCCCGGCACCACCACCCACCACTACCACCCACAACCCACCACCCTCCCCCGCCTCCCCGCCCCCCCGCCTCCTCCTACCCCTACTTACAGATTTCCGGCATCCATGGTCGAGGAATGGAGGGAAGGGAATGCCGGTAGGTAGGAAGGTAGGTAGGTAGATTGGTAGGTAGGCAGGCAGGTAGACAGCTAACCCCTCCGATTCCCCGTGGGGTGTCCACAGGTGACAGTGACAGGTCCACCATTACCATTGCCGGATTCTGGACGGGGTGTTTCTTGTTTCCGGTATCATGTATGTAGCCTGTAGGAATGTAGAGTAGGTGTTTTGTTTGGCTGCAAGGTGACTGGCTGGAGGCACTCAGTCACACACTCTCACTTTCAACTCTATTTCGAGAGAGAGAGAGGGATCGCTGGTATGTAAGCAATAGAATGATGCACCTGATGTACGGCTAAGTCTGCTGTCTGGTGTCTCTGTCTGGTGTCTCTGTCTCTGTCTCTGTCTAGTCTCTGGTGTCTGATTTCTAGTGTCTGTCTGATGTCTGGTGTCTGATGTCTGGTTTCTTTTGTCTGTCGGGTGTCTGTCTGGTGTCTGGGTGAGCACTGGCCACAGGGCGCGGCGGTGCAATCTTATAATGACCCGCATCGAGGACCACCCGCGTGCTGACTGGTTCCGCCGGTTCGGCCGGTTCGGGTGCGGTTATCCCTTGCATATTGCATGAATGATGTTTCGCTGTAAATAATGCACCGGTAGTTAGTTAGGTAGGTGGGTAGTTTATTTAGCTAGGTAGGCAGCTGGGGTAGCTGGGGTAGCTGGGAGGGGGGGGTGGGGGGCAGCAAATCGCCGAACGAAATGAAACGGATGGATGGACGGACGGATTGCGATTGCGAATGCGATGGATGGGTGGATGGATGGATGTCGGTTGTGTGTGTCTGTCTGTGTGTGTGTGTGTGTGTGTGTGTGTGTGTGTGTGTGTCTGTGTGCATGATGGTCTGCTGTGATATGATGATATGATAGCTCGCTGCTGCGGGGAGGTTGATATTGATATCACTGCCGCGCACCCCCACCACCACGACCACGACAGCTGCGTCATAGATTATCACCATCACCACCACCCCCCGACACACATATCACATATCAGCGGAAAAAATACCAACAAACTCGCTCGATTGTATATTGTAAATCGTAGAGTACATGCACACTTTAATTTAAACCCCGGAGCCGAGCCGAACCGTATCGTATCGTATCGTATCGTATCGTATCGTATCGTAGCGGACCAACATAAGGAAACCAACCAACCAGCCAACCAAGTACATACCAGCCTAATAAATAAGGAGTCGTAAAAAAAAAAAAAAAAAAAAAAAAAAAACAGACAGAGATAAAAACCATGACCACCCGTGTGTATGACGCCCGTGAACCCATTAACAGCAAACAATCCAAAAGCCCAGCAAAAACCGACCAACGAACGAACGGCAAAATCCAGCGGAAAAAAGTAGAAAACCCCGTCCTCCCAAACAGAAATGAAAGAGAAAGGGAAAAAAAACAATGAGACATGGTGTGATGTGTAAGTACTCATGTCATGTACCCGGTGTACAACAGCGCGGTACCGATCTACTCTAACTAACGGCGGTCGGTGGAGAAATCACAGCTGCACGGATGTGTTAAAGACTGGTTGGAACAGTGGTATGGGGAATCCTGCAGCTTACCCAAAGTATTTCCTGAACTCTCTCTGGCCGCCGCCCTCACCGCCACTGACGGCAAACACGGCGTTGGCAAAGTAGCCCCGGAACTCCGGGTCATCGAACAGCAGTTCCTTCCACAGCTTGCAGACGTCCTTCAGGGGGTTCTTGTAAGCGCTGGTAGTCGCCGAAAGCGCCTGACTCCTTGGCGGCGTGTGGTGGTGATCCGCGCCGTAGCCGTGGTTGCCGGTCAAGTAACCATCAGCGCCGATACCGATGCGGCAGGATCCGATGCCGGGCCCGCACGACCCGAACCCGCCCAGCACCAAGTTGATATGTCCGTTCTGCGCCGCGATGCGCAGCACCGTCTTCATCTTCTCCTTCTGCAGCTCCTTCTCCTCGGCGAAGCTATAGCGCATGCCGGTCTCGTCCACCTTTGGCCTGCGCACCGCCGCGGCCGATATCACGCTGATCACCGTCCAGTCCCGCTCGTCATACAGCGCGTAGTCCTTCTCGTGGCCGCCGCGCAGCACGACCGTGCTGGGCGAGTAAATCCCGCCGGTCTGCGGCAGCGGGTAGTAGCTCGTGAGCTGCTGATTCCTTGGATCCGTGGCGGTGAGGCACTGCACGAGGTTGGAACGGCGGGCAAGCGACTCCTCCGCGCCCAGCCCCAGGAACCCGCCCTCCCAGTCGCCGCCCGCCTTCTTCTCCGAGCACGTATTCAGCACGACGATGCGCTTGGTGGGCGCCCCGCCGCTGGCGCTCTTGAAGAAGCAGGGCGGCGCGCGCTCGCCCGCAGTCGTCCCCGCCGCGTCCGGGAACATGTAGCTTTGCCAGTCCAGCGCGATGTCGAAGGGGTCGCCCTCCAGCACTGCGGAGCGCAGGTGGAAGCGCGCGTTCTCGGGCATCCGCGGGAGCGGCGCAGTGAATGGATAGAAGTAGCTGGTGGGATCCGTCCCGCTCAAGTGCGGGATAGACGGGAACAGCGCACGGGTTTCCGCGGCTGCGGCCGCGGCTTTCTGGCGGTGCGTGGGCATCGGGCCGGATTGTTGGTCGGCGCTGACGGCGGATGTGGTGCTCGGGCCGGCTCGGGAAACGGCAGTGTTGTTGCTGCTGGGACCGGATGGATCGGCGGCAATGCTACTGCTGCTCGGGCCGGATTGGGAGGAGGAGGATGCGAATGGATCCAGGGCTGGGAAGCTTTGGGGAAGTGCGTGTGAGGATTGGCTGGTAGGTTCGTCTACGTATTTATGTATCGGGACGATGCTACTACTACGTACCGTGCAAGAGTGCCACGGGGGAGTGCAGGACCAAAACTGCCGCTGCAAGGGGAGACTGGGTGGACTAGTAGGTAGTCCGAGGGTGATGTGATGGGCAGGAGAGCTGGTGGATGAATGATTCGAAGCAGAGACTGGGCGAGGGAGATTTCCAGGAACAGCTGAGGCAGATGAGGAAGATATGTAGATGAGGAAGAGGGAGAGGAAGAGGATGAGTATCAGTATGGGGAAGACTATGAGGATGAGGAGGAGGATGATGAGCTGCTGTTGAATTCTGCTCGACATGATTGGAACCTGGACGGGATATATATACACACTGATGAAGCCGGCGAGTCGCGACCCACCATCCCACCTAACCCGATTCTAATTCGACTCCCTCTCTCCCTCTCGCTAGTTGGGGAGCGGATCGTGGTCAGGCAAACTCCCATAGATCTGATCCCACGGCGTGCCCCTCCCTCCCTCCCTCCCTCCCTCCGTCCCTCCCTCCCTCCCTCTCCCTCTCTCCAAGCGTCCTAGCCCTCTCTCCTCACTGCATCCCCATCCCCATTCTCATCCCCGAGCCCCGAGCCCCAATCGACTCCTCGGACAAGAAGCGCTGCGATCTACACTGTGAAACCAGTCAAAAAAAGCAAAGCACCAAGGATCGATATGTAGAGAGGAAGGCGAGCGAGCTTGCGTGCGTGCGAGAGAGAGAGAGAGAGAGAGGTGCAAGAGAGAGTCCGCAAAGGCTAAAGTAAAGACCCTTTTTCCCTAGGGTGGTCCGTAGTAGCGGGCACATGAGGAAATCGGAGGTTGTTACACTGAAGGCTTTCCTCCGCTGGATGTTCCAATCTCCAATTAACGTCGTTTCGTCGTCTACGTCAGCAACTGGGCTGTGACCCCTAGGAAAGGGCATGGTCCGACGGTAGACCCCCTCCGAGCGATTTTGCCGGCCACATGGCTGACATGTTCTAGATCTGCCCTTACGTTTTGTTTTGCAGCCATCGGGACGTTGTTTTCTATTTTTCGGTGTTTATTTTTTTCTGCTTTTCTATTTTTCATTTTATTCTTCGTCGTCGTATGTGCTGAGTACACTCGTAGGGTCGGCCGGAGACGTCAGATGGGCAGATGGGGACCGCCACCATCGACGTCGAAACATCCCTGGACGAAGCAGCAGCAGCGGCGGCGGATCCGTCTTCCCGGGCAGCCATGTCGGACGGGATTGTTCGCGGGACGACGACGACGACGACGACGTTCACGGTTCACCGCCATCGACCGCTATCCGCCGCAAAGGGAAGACGACGATGCGTACCTGGGTATCATGTACTTGCCTATCGACCGAATGCTCCAGGGTTTTCTTCTTCTTCCCTTTTCTTTTCTTTTCCTTTCTCTTCTCTTCTTTTCCTTTCTCTTCTCTTCTCTTCGTTTCTTTTCCTTTCTTTCTTTCTTTCTTTCTTTTCTTTTGCAATCGAACCAGCAACGGTGCCGGTCCGTCATACGGGGCAAGAAGGACAGAGAAGGCCGCATGCGGCAAGTCACGGGCCGGTCCATGCGTGATCCCATAGGAAGTGATGTTAAGGGCACGGGAGTGTCGATGTTGTTGGTGGGGCACTGGAGGAGGGGCTGGGTCCTCCCGAATCGTGACTCTCGACGCAGCCGTTCACGCCGGCAATCTACACGGCTTGTTCCTTTTTTTTTTTTTTTTTTTTTTTTTTTTTTTTTTTTTTTTTTTTTTTTTTGCTTTCGCGAGGATGGATGGAGGATGGATGGAGGATGGATGGAGGATGGATGAAGGTGTGTGTCATCCGGGGTCCCGGTAAACAGATAAGCGAAGAGACAACATGAGATGTGACGGCGGGTAGCCGTGCTGTAACTGTGGGAGCCAGTTCCGATGAGAGGGAGGGGGGGTGGTGGTGGTGGTGGAGGAGGGTTCGCGAGGACGAGGGGGCGGAAGGGACGTACCTAGGCGGTTTCGGTGGGGTTGTGAGAGGGATGGGGGGCTTTGGGGGCTTTGGGGGTTTGGGTTAGGGGTCTGGGACATGGTTACCTCATTTCACGAGGCCAGGCAGCGCTTCTGGCCCTAGTTGCAGAGTAGTGTTCCCGATCGCCATGGAGAATCCACTTCGTCGGTGATCAGGACCCAAGACTGGGGCGGTGGGGAGGTCCTTTTGGTTGTCTGTGTCGGGGGAGATTTGGAGGGTGAGAGGGAGGAGGAGGGGAGAGCGAGGAAGCGAGGAAGCGAGGAAGCGAGGACACACAACGGAAGTTGTTTCCGGGGAAGAAAAAAGCAACTGGAGGGGGAGGGGGGAACCAGGAGCCAGTCCATTACCGATTCGGATGTGCTGGTTTCCATCTCAGCGGCGGCGGGCTGGGGGGGTGGAAGCGGAGGGGGAGGGTGGCAGAGGCAGGCAGAGTGAGGCAGAGTGAGGCACAGGGAGGAGGGCCAAGGTCTTGGTCGGATGTGCAGCTTCACTGCTTCAGACTTCAGTGCTAACTTAGTCAGTGTGTAGTAAGCTGCTTCAAATTCAAAGTCCACGCCTAAGCAACAGTCTGACACCAGGGAGAGTCGCGGACAGTCTCGAAATAGCGTGACCAATCGCACATGCAGCCAAGCCCGCCGAAATGCCATGTTCGACCCAGCGCATCGCCAAGCCCGAGATTGGCTGTGCTTCCGTGGTGGGCGATGTGCATGGGCTGGTGAGACTCCGAACTGCCGGGATGTGCACCGTGAGTGGGTGAGTCGGCGAACGAGTGCAAGTCCGGAACACCCCCCCGCGGGATGCGCTGAGTGCTCAGCTGTGGAGGAGTGTCGATGTGTCCGAGGTGTGTGTGTGTGTGTCTCTGTGTATGTCTGTGTGTCTGTGTGTCTTCGTGTCTTTGTGTGTGATGCGTCCGATGTGTGATGCGTGTGTGATGCGTGATGTTGTGATGCGTCGGATGGATGTGTGATGCGTGATGTGTGATGCGTGATGTGTGATGCGTGATGTGTGAGGCGTCTGATGTGTGTGTGTGTCTGATGTGTGTGTGTGTCTGATGCGGCCGCGTCCGATGTGTCTGATGTGTCGGCATTGTGGCTCTCCAGCTATGATACAGTCTCTACATACAACTCATCCGTCCCCCCGATTGTAGCGACCAGTGGGGACCCGGCATGGTATCGGCCCCACGCCGGACGCCAACCCGCCTTCTCTGGTCGCGCCGTCGTTGTTGGTGTGCATGAAGTCGATGATGCTGATGATGCTGATGATTACCCATGGTGTTTGTTGGTGCCGTTGTGATGCGATACCTACTTTCCTAAGGTATCCATTATGTGATGAACTTGAACGGATTCGGGTGCATAGGACGGGAGCGGTGAGTCATGAGGTCGGAGGGTGCTCTGCGCGTCAAGGGCACTCCATGCGGACTGTCCGAGTGGGCCACGGCCGAAGCCGTGCCAGTGCGTGGATGGGCCTTTGCGCTCTTGACCGCCTCGAGATGCGTCTTCGGCGTATTTGCGGCTACATACTCTGGCGGGCCTGGTCGGGCTTGGAAACCCACGGACGACCGGGTGGAGCATTCAGTCGCAGCCAACCGATTGGCACGGCACCGTCGACAGGAGGGAAGATTGGATGGACGGGAGAGAGAATGCACTCGATATTCTATCACATAGATACGGCACCATCGACAGGAGAGAGGATTGGATGAACGGGTACACTCGATATGCCATCACATAGGTATTATACCGCCACTATACCATCGGCAGGAGAGAGTATGAGATGAACGGGTACACTCGATATGCCATCACATAGGTATTATACCGCCACTATACCATCGACAGGAGAGAGTATGAGATGGACGGGGGCACTCGGTATGCCATCACATAAGTACAGTATCGTCGACAAGAGAGAAGATGTGATGGACGGGGGAAAGGATGCACTCGATATGCCATCACATAGATATGGCACTATCGACAGGAGAGAAGATGGGATCGACGGGGCGGCGGGTGGATTTGACATACCTATGCTATGCTGGATGGAATATCACGACAGCGGACATCCGAATACTCTTACCGCCTCTTGTCCTTTCCTTTTCCTCTTCGGTACGGGACGGGCCCTCTGTGGAGCCAGTGCGAACCCGTACAGGTTCATGGAGCGAACGAGTCTGCGCGGCAATCGTTTGCCTGTGGTTGAATGCTCTATTACGAAGTCCGTGGCGGCCGCAGTGGACTCGGCCGCCTCTGAGCAGTTTGCTCGAAGGTCAAACTGCTCTCGCGGTCCTGATGCAGAAAGTTAATGCCGCAGTGGACTCGGCCGCCTCTGAGCAGTTTGCTCGAAGGTCAAACTGCTCTCGCGGTCCTGATGCAGAAAGTTAATGCCGCGGCCGACTCGGCTACCTCTGAAGAGTTTACTCGAAGGCTAAACTGCTCTTGCGGTCCCGACGTGGGAGCGCGGTGGACTCGGCTACCTCTGAAGAGTTTACTCGAAGGCTAAACTGCTCTTGCGGTCCCGACGTGGGAGCGCGGTGGACTCGGCTGCCTTTGAAGAGTTTACTTGAAGCCCAAACTGCTCTCGCGGTCCTGATGCAGAGATTTGGTGCCGATCGCGAATTGTCGGATTGAGCTTGTGCTCGCATAGACCCCTGGCCCATTTACGTAACTCGCATCTCCTCGGGTTTGCGCCGAGGATATGTATCGGAAATAAGGGATAGCAGTCGTTCCCGTGTTTTGGGGCGGTGACTGCGCTGCCTTGAGGTTGGCTTGATCGTGACCATGTCTAGTACCGTCGGCCTCGACATGGCTCGGCCGCTATGATTGGCTGGGCCACTGAGACATCCCAACGTCAAATCCTTTTGGCCTGTGCCCTTCCTTTCTTCCCCACCAACCCTGCTCGGCTCCGCGAACGACCCCCGCTGCGTGCCTCCCTCCACGCTCCCTCGCTCCCTCCTCCCTCGCTCCCTCCTCCCGTCCCCACCGCTCGCCATGCCGATGTGCGCGCGTGCTGCTAGGCTCTCGGTCCCGTCCACACGGCAATTCCTCTGCAGTCGCGCTTGCCCGCCGTCGTCGCGGCGCCCAATCATCAACCCGCGTTTCTCGTCATCATTACCAACGCCATCGTCTGCGTCGGCCCCGTCCCACTCCAGTCCGGCGCCTGAGCAGCAACTCCCACGGACCATCGCGTCCCTTCTACACCCTGGTTCCGCTGCCAACACCACCACCACCACCACCACCACCACCACCACCTCCACCTCCACCGTCACCACCTCCACAACCGACGCAAGAAGTGATCAGCCGGACATTGGCATTGACGTTGGCACCGGCACTGGGACTGGGACTGGCAATGGCATTGGGGCGGATAGCACCAACGTAACGGTGCACGGATGGATAAAGTCGGTCAGACGTATGGGGAAAGTCAGTTTCGCAAGCGTCACCGACGGTACCACATCTACGCCCCTACAGGCTGTTCTGGCGAAGCCTCAAGTAGCAGGGTGAGTGCGTTGGATTATACCCGGCTATCTCGGAGCGATGCGATATATCGAGTAGATACCATGTCCGTCCACCTGTAGACGTTCCAGAGTACATTGTGTGGCGGACGGAGCGCGCGCGGTGGGGGGAGGGACACGGGTTTATGCGGTGGACCCTGGTAAACATGGCTGACGTCTCTCTGCTGGGTGGAAAAAAGGTTATCGACAGGTTCTAGCGTGCGGATCTCCGGGGAATGGAAGCAATCTAGATCGGGCACTGTACAGCAGAACGAGCTCGTTGCTGCGGATGTCCAGCTGCTCGGAGGGGCAGATCCTGCAGTATGTTGAAGTTACCCCCGCTCTCTCCCGCGGAGCTACCCCCGCTTGAGAACTTGTCGAGCTAACCGATCCCCGTGTAGACATACCCACTCCAGAAGAAGTACCAAACCACCGAGTACCTTCGGACTCTCCCTCATCTGCGCCCGAGGATACCCTTCAACGCCGCAGTGCTGCAGTTGCGGTCGTTCATGTCCCAGACTCTGACATCTTTCTTTGCGGAAAACGAATTCGTGCAATGTTATCCTCCCATCATCACTTCATCGGACTGTGAAGGCGCTGGAGAAGTCTTCACGGTTTCGTCCAACGAAAAAGGCAATGGTCATTTCTTCAGGACGCCAAAATACCTCACTGTTTCATCTCAGCTTCACCTGGAGGCGTTGGCTGCGGCCTTACCGCGAGTGTGGACTCTGTCGCCCACGTTCAGGGCAGAGAAATCCGATACGTCCCGTCATCTGAGCGAATTTTACATGCTCGAGGCGGAGTTGTCGTTCATTGAGACGCTGGACCCCCTGTTAAATGTGACTGAAGATATGATACGTCGATTGGTATCCGCCCTGAAGACATCAAGGATTGGCCAGGATATACTGGCGCTCTCGGGCGACATGATGCCGGAACTAGAAGCACGGTGGGAGGGGCTAGTCCAGCCGGGAGGATGGAAGAGGTTGACGTACTTGTCCGCCATCGAGGTTCTCCAAGCGGCAGAGGAGCAGGGCAAAGTCGAGTTTCAGTTTCCAGCGCGATGGGGCGAGAGTCTCCAGAGCGAGCACGAGAAATATCTGGCGGGCCGATACGGCCCTGTATTCGTCACCGATTACCCCCGCGAAATCAAGCCGTTCTACATGCTGCCGTCGCATGGCGACGCTAGGACTGTTGCATGCTTCGATCTGCTGTTCCCGGTCGTCGGCGAGCTAATCGGCGGCTCGCTCAGGGAGCATCGCTACGAAGAGTTGGTGCAGAATATGCGATCGCACGGGTTAATATCCGGTGACGGCGACGCCGGCATCGAGCAGTCCGGGTTGCGATGGTACACGGATCTTCGCAAATATGGCAGCTCGCCTCATGGCGGCTTTGGTATGGGCATGGATAGACTGATCTGCTACCTCAGCGGTGTGGGAAACATCCGAGACGTGGTAGCTTTTCCGCGGTGGGTGGGGAGGTGTGATGCCTAGGCTGGGTTTGGCACCCTTTGGATCGCCGGGAGACGGAAGCACGGCTATCTGCCTCAGTCGACTCTCCCAAGAATGCATCCGATTTGTAGAGATCCGTAATCTGGGATAGGCAGACAAGTGCAGTGTTGCGGCAGCTGAGCATCAAGTGAACCGCCCGCCAACCACGGGATGCCCCCCACCACCACCATCACCACCACCACCACCACCACCACCACTTGAATGTGCATATCTGTGGCGGATGGTTAGTGAAAGTCACCTTCTCCAACCGGGATCGGATGCGACAGCCTCAGCTTCACTGGTTGAATTGGCATATTCCATTTGCACCGCTTTCCCGATAACTGACAAATGCCGTCCACTGCAAACCCGGGCCGGATCACATACTCAAAGAGGCCTTTCCTCTCGCACGCACGCATGCACGCCCCATTGCGAATACGAGCAGTAGTCCAGCCTCATTTCATTCGTTGCGATCGTGGGAGGATTGCTTGGCGAGCCACGGTCCTTGCCTCTGAGTCTCCCCTTCTCTTTCGCTGTCCTAGCGGCCGTCGCTCGCTTTCCCCCCAAGCCTCCAAGCCTCCTCCAAGCGTTGACAGGATGGCGGTCGGCTTGTTCCGCAACTCCAAGCCTTTCGTATAAGCGAGCCCAAACAAACTTTGGAAGTGCGCGGCTTTAGTGACAGCCGTTGGTCAAGCCCAATGAGGCGTGGAGAGACATCCGTCCGATGAGGAGTGGACGAGGGGGCTAAGGACCGATGGCTTGCCGTCTCACGGCAACGATATGCACCTCCAGCGGACATGCCAGAGTGTGGATGCATAGGTGGAGTACTTTACGTAGAGGAAAGATGCAGGTGCATCCCGGCGTGGGGCGGGACCAGCACAACTCGACGCATCGACGCAACTTATGCACTGGGGGTGGCACTGCCTCGCTGCGCGTTGCTCGCTGCTCGCTGGTCGCAGCAGTGGCGCTGTGGCGAAAGCAACCGGCTGGGCCACAGCTAATCCAACCCCCTCCCTCTGATGCATAACCCCAACCCCAGCCCCAACAAAACCCGTCGATCGCGCGTCCATACTCACCATCGGCTTCAGCCCCAGCCTGCCCTGGACGATCCGCGCTGCATAACCCACGACCCCAGTCCATAACTCCCATGGTTACATACTATACTTGCACAGCGCAGCGCTCACCGCCGCCGACGCCGTCGACCACGACGACCACGACACCGCCTGGCAATCGAAGCCCCCCCAAATTGGCGTTCTCGATCCGGCCGGGTGCGGGAATGAGACATGCATTGGCGTGCATTGCCGCACGGTGTAACCTTCGCTAGTTTTTTAAGACCCCTCCACCTCCACGAGACGGACTGGACTGGACGACTGGGCGGGACTGGACGGGACTGGACGACGACGACGGTGGCTTGCTTGCTTGGGCACCCTTCCTTGCCCTTGCCCTTGCGACAGACAGACAGACAGGGGCCCGGCGGTGAGAAGCTCCCGACCCGACGCCGCTCGGTCGCTTGCCAATTGCTTTTTTTTTGGGTTCTGTTCGTCTGTTTCAACTTTCCCCGGACTACATAACACCCTAGAGTATTCTACATACTTTGTTGGAAACCCCAAACCCAGCATTAACCCAAACTACTGGTCCGCGGGTGGAGATGAATGACGAGGCGGCGTTTTGCGTGGCTCATTTCACCGTGTTTCTGCACGCATATTTGTTTTTGCTTTTGTTTGTTTTGTTTTTTTTCTGCCTTCCGACCGGTCACTGCCGAAACGTACACAGAGTACAGCATCTAACTACAGCATCTACTATCTATAGTATAGCAGCCACTACTACAAAGAGTAGGCCTTCCCCTCCCGCCGCCGGTCCGCCCAGATGGATGGACGATGCATCTGCGGCACTTGAGATGCGTGTCCCGAGCAGTCTCGATGCTTCTAGCGCAAGAACGAACGAGGGCCGTAGAACGAATGAATGAATGAATGAATGAACGAATGAACGAACCTGCGGCGCGGCGCGCCTCCCGCCCCCTCCTCTTTCTCCCGTAGTTGTAGTTACATAGCCGTAGTTACATATGTAATTCTGTGTAATTCGAGGGCTTCGCGGTGGCTTGCCAAGGGCTCGTCACGGCTTGGAGGAAGGGCTTGGGGTAGGGGCTTGTCAGTTGTCAGGGCTTGGAATATGGGCTTGTCAGGACTTGTCAGGGCTCGCCAATGCTCGTCAGGGCTCGTGTCCAGCGTCCAGCATCTCTCACCGCTCCGCTATGTGTGTACGCTCGGCGCTCGCCATGCCCATGGCCATGACGTCAGGCAGGAGTGTTGCCTGTTACCTGCCTACCTGTGCAGACACCTACCCACCTAGCAGCTGCCTGCTGGGGATGACAGTGGAGGGATGACAGTGGAGAGATGACAGTGGAGTGGAGGCCGATGAGCGGGTGAACCTCGAACCCGCTGGATCGGTGCGCAGGTGCATGGTACCTACCTACCTGGGTGCCTGGGCTCTACCTAGATACGTGGTGCACACGGGTATCGTAGAGATCTTGCTGGCATCTACTCTACCATGCCTCTACCATGCCGCTGCAGTCTGCAGTGCTGCAACGCGGGGCGGACGGGGAGGGGGGGCGGAGGACCGGGGGGGGGTGGGGGGACGGGAGGACGGGGGGCGGAGAGGCGCCGGAGAGAGGAGCCGGTGTGCAGGGCCTGCAGTGGAGTGTTGTGGAGGAGTGCAGTGAACTGGAGGGGGGCTGGATGGCTGGCATGCAGGGCGTGCGTAGGTGTACTCGTTGGTGGGTGCGTAGGTGTGTGGTGGATGCGTGGCTGCTTGGGTGCGGGTGCGTGGGTGCGCGGGTGCGTGGACACTGGAGGGCAGGTAGGTACCTATACTATACACCATCACTACCCATCACTCGCCACCCAAGTCCAAATCCACCAGTGGGACCACGGATATACGCAGATATCCGTTGCAGATCCTCAGGTCGCAGACATATCCGAGACATATATAGTAGGGTGAAGACTTCATGCTCTACGTAGCTTTTATACACTATATCTACACTAGGTATATCTACACTATCATCTACACCATATATACACCATATATACACCATATCGTAGCGGATCTAGGACTAGATCTGGGGTAGGGAGGGGGGCCGGGAGGGGGCTGGCTCACCGACGGTCCTCCTGCTCACCCCCAGAGCCCCCAGAGCGGGGAGTGGGGCGGACGGGGCGGACGGGGGAACGGGGGGGGGGGCAGGGGGAAGGAGCGTTCGTGAATGGTGACAACATGATGATGATGAGCATGATGAGCATGATGATGAGCATGATGAGGATGAAACGAAGCCTGCAGCTGGTGGCCGTGGATGGTTGGATGGTGCATGTGGGGCTCGTGGGGTTCGTGAAGTTCCTGGAAGTGCGGGATGCACGCAGGCCTGAGGCACGCACGCACGTGCGGTATGGATCTCCGGGGAGGATGAGGGGGGGATCAGCTGTTTCCCGGTTCCCCGGTGCCAGTGCGGGTGCAGGTGCGGGTGAGGGATCGTGGACTATACCATCATGCCTACCTACCTGGTATGCTGGTAAGCTGGTATGCAGATACCCAGTAGATATCCCAGATCCCAGGTTGCATCTTGTGCTTGTGCTATGCTATGATGTATGTAAGATTCCCATGGGATGCCACAGTCTGGGATCTGGTCTGGTCTAGGATCTGCTCTGGGGGCCGCGTCTGCGCTTTCGTAAGTGTCGTAAGCGGCACTCGAGTGGTACTTGATCCAAGACACGATTTACAATGCGGAGGATGGGGGATGGGGGATTGGGAAGGGGAGGAGGGGGTGCGAGGGGGAATGGAGGGGGGAGGGGATGCGTATGCTGCTTGCCGTTGGTGTTGGTTGGTCACTCGTGTGCTGTCACTTATAAGTTGGGTACGGACGGTATTGGTATTGGTGCATGAGGTGTCACTCGAGCTACTCCGGCCGACAGGTGGATAGTGGACGGTTGACCGTTGGCTATTCGTGTGGAGCGGTCCGCTGAGGAAGAGGCAGAAAGTACAGCGTCCTTGTGGGAGTGGGAAGATTGACATCCTACGGACGCTGAGGTCGACTCACCCGAGTTACTCCCTCCTCCTTCATAGCATCTCCCGATGAAGATGAAGACGCAGAGTTGGAATGTGTGAACAAGTATTGTAGGTATTGTGAGAGTCTGAAAGCCTCGAGAGAAGACGGAAAAGAGTGGTGGTAGGCGGCCAGTGCTTCTCGCCGTCATGGCCGGATAAGCGACTAAGCAACGAAACGAGTGAGATATTATAATAGGCAGGAAGGAGACGCGGCCGAGTGACGAGGCCTACATTCTTTCCCAGGCTCTACTATACCTGTTTCATTAGTGCTCTACATGCGTACGTGTGTCTCTGGGAAAGGCCATGGTGGAACGTCGGATTGGATAGTGGACAGTGGACAGGAAACGGAGTGTTGGGTAGGTAGATATCGCCATGATAGGTACAGATAAGGTACCTCGGTCGTAAGCAAACAATGAGTAAACAAAAAACCCCTCAGCTGTGTGGAGTGGAGTGGGGGGGAAAGCTGAGAGCTCATTCGGTTTGGGCAGTAAATGGAGAACTTCACCACACTACACTACACCCTTCCCGAGTCCCTTCCGAGGTGTGTATTGATATAGGTAATAGGTATTTGCTTTATTGCGATAAGATGAACTCGCTCCATTCTAACGGTTAACCAATCCAGGCAAAGGATAATCGGGTTGGCCTCAATAGCAGGATGATATGTGCATGGTGTGATACTTAGTGTCGCAAACCATACCGGTAAACGTCTAAATGCCAGTTTTTTCGACGTTTCAAACCCACCACCACTCAAACCCACCATCACTCAAAAACCCATCTCCTCTACCGGTACTCAAGGAATTTTTCCATATGCGAAAATAGCTGCTACGCAGAGTTCTTCCGAGCAGAGTTCCTCAGAGCACAATTACTCCGCGCATAAACCCCAAAAACCAAAAACCAAAAACCAAAGGCAATCACCAAGGCAGCGTGGCAGCTCGAATGGAGAATACCTACCTAGATACCTACACGCTGAGCAAGGCAGAGTAGGTATTTGGGCTTTTAACTGGATGCCTAAGGTAGTCATCCTTCATAGAACCATAGAATCATAGGTGGAAGCTGGCTATCAAACAGAAGTTCGACGTGTTGAGCATCTACCTCAGCTGAGATGGAGTACCGTAGGGGAGGACCGCGTGGAGCAGTACATATCAGCAGCTATGTACCAGACTGGATATACCTGTCGACTAAGGGCTACGAATCTGAACACCGCCTATACGGTTGTATGTACGTGACCCTGAGACCAGGCGACTCCAACGTATTCTCATCTGTCCCTTCACATGTTCTCTAGCATTTCGATATTTGCGTGGGCTTATGGCAGTCGGTGGCACATTCATGCTTCATAAGGGGGAGAGGTGCTATTACTATAGGCACCTGCTGACCGTCCTGCAGTAACTTAGGTACAAAAACATACAGTCGAAGAAACTATGGAGACCTTTTCCCGAAACTCTGGTATTTCAGACTAGGTACAGGGCCAAAAACAGGTAGTATAAATAGGTCTATCCAAAGATTGGGCACATCTACTCACAAGCAGCATGAGCCAGAATCGAAAAGAAAGCAAACCCAGGAAAACTCCAACCGCTACCGCTGCCCCTCCCCTACATGTAGAGCACGATCTTGCCACTCGCAGTGCCACCCGCAACCCACGGACGACTCGGGTGCATCTTTGCGGCCGAAGGGACAGCGGTGATGCGGTCGTCCGACAGATGAGCCAGCTGCACGCCGTCCTCGCCGTAGACGTCGATGCCCCTGTTCATGTTGGCGATGACTAGCTTCTGCACGCCGTCGTCGGGCTTGTCCTGCCAGTTCGCCTTGAGAATCGTCACCCACCGGCCCGTCTGGTTGTTGTGGCGGATGACATGCTCGGGCTGCATTTCCTGGATCGTGGCGCCGTCCCCTTCCTCGGTCTTGATTTGCTGGAAGGTGACATCCTCATCCTCGTTCTTGATTTCGTTCTTGATCTTGACACTCTTGGTCTTGACGTTTTCGGTCTTGACGCTGGTCTTGAACGGGAGGGTCGGGTTGTAAATCTTGACCGTGTCGTCGTAACTAGTGGTTGCGAGTTTGCCCGTGGGACTCCACATAGCCGAGGAGACCGAGAGTCGCGAGCCGTGCTGAGCCACCGGACGGTCCATTGCGCGGATATCCCAGATTTTCACCGTGCGGTCGAGCGACGCAGTAGAAAAGTAGTTCATATCCTTGGGGAATACATGGCATCCGCCGATTTTCTTCTCGGAGCACTCCCAGGTATCCGCCGGCATCTTGGCGCGAGTATCGATGCGGCCGACTGTGCCGTCCAGCGTCGCGAACAGCAACGTCTGGCAGCCCTCATCCAGCGCATTGATAGCGGAGAACTCCACCTCGTCGGGATGCACGTAGATCTCAACGCTCTTGCCCGAGTTGAGATCCAGCTGGCGGATCGAGCAGTCGTAGGAGGCTGTGTATAGCGTCTCCGGCGCCGAGGGTGATACGAAGAAATTGGTGATTGTACGAGCATGCGGTTTGAACTGAGTGATATCCGGCACATCGCCTTCATCTGTGGCATTGAGGATTCCGAAGTTGCCAGTCTTATCGGCCGCGAAAACGAGCGGTTTATCTGGGCTGGGATGAAATTCGAGGTAGTAGATTCGCTCCGGGGTGATTTTGAGCTCTGCACGGTTAGCATGTTTCATGGAACACCGGATGGACGAGACAAACCGTTCGGCTCAAACTTCTCCCACAGCTTCAATCCCATCATCTTCTTCCTGACCTCTTTTAACCCGCCATCTGCCGTCTTGTCGACATCCTCCTTCGTGAACGTCTCCGTATCCCAGCTCTTGCCCGCAAACAGTCCCCTCTTAATCTCAAAGCTCAAATCGCCCGCGACCCTCTGGCGCTTCGCCTTCTCAGCCTCCGCGACCTTCTCGTAGCTCCAACCCTCGGCCTTCCTCTTCCCTCCGGCGTCGTCGTCAAGATTAGCAGGAATTCCAGCAAGCCTCGACGAAGTCCGAAGCGGCACACGCGGCTCGTCTTTAGACTTCTTTTCCCTTTTTGTGCGCGGCGCTCGAGCTTTAGAGGGGGTGCTCTCTGCGGCCTTGCGAAATGTCGCGCCGATTGTGTCGAGTTCGAGCGACTTCAGAAGCTCTTGGTTCTGACGGATGTTCTCGAGGCGTCGAAGCTCGTATTCAGACGGTTCTTCATCCATTGTTGGTGATGTTGGAGTGGGGATTGCTCTGGGAGTGCTCTGGGAGTATACGGTGGTAGTTGGCTAGTGAGTGATGGTATTTTGTAGATGACGTGACAAAGCTCCGACGGATCGTGTTAACGTTAGATGAGAGAACGCGATCTACATACGCGCCACACATAAAGTACTGTAAAGCACGCGTACAATCATTAGCGCGAAGGTACAGAATGCCCGCCGTGGAGCTAAAAAGTTAGCCGAGCCCTTAACTTTACAGTACGCGATGCTCTCACCAGCCACAGAAATGCTGCAGAAAAGATGGTACATCTTGCAACGAAGACAATGTAACATGACAGAAATTGAGGGAGAAAAAGAATACGCCTCGGAATATTGTAGTACCTACTATCATCGAAGTAATTTTACTGAGGATTTGCTGGCATTTCATGATTGTGGAATGGCCAATTTGTCTCCAGCAATGCCTCCGATAGGCAGTCCAGTCCAGTCTATTTTTCGACATTTTTCGGACTGGAATTGTAGTCAGTCTTAAGGCTTGGACTGGACTGGGCAGTTTGCGCGGCTGGTAGCAGGACTGGACGGACGGCAGTCGACTGCCGAATGTCTAAAAAAATAATGACAGAAACAATAACAAAACCAAACCGAAAGCCAAATCGAAGAAGATAGAGAAAGGATCAAAGGCCCAAGCTGCAGCATTCTGAGATTTGACCTGTTCTCTGAGTCGGACCATCATCAATAATTTCCAATATACGGTGTACATATAAACAGGAGAACAAGCAGAAAGCAAATGCAATTCATTCATAAAACCCGCAACGCAACCAAGGAATGCTCTGCAGTACATACAAACCCTCACACAAACATTCTCCAGCAAACAGTGCTCGACTTCATCGCCTCCTGAGCAGCCCCCCCTCCTCCAGCCACCAATATCATCTCCCTAGTGGTCGTGGAATTCCCGAAAACAGTTGCGCTCACCGCTGAGACATAACGGTGTGTCACACCGTTCGCAGGCCCAGGTGGTTTTTGGTAGATCTGGACACTCGGGTCCCCACTTCAGACGACACAGCCAGCACACTTTGCTGTGATCTATGAATATGGGGCTGTGTCCACCCGGGCCCCATCCTCCGCGCCCATCCGTTCTAGAAGCAGCAGCAGGAGGAGGAGGCGGGCTGGACGAGCGCTCGCTGCGAAACTCCTCCTCGTAGTCGTGGGCAGGCTCCTCCTCCTCCTCCTCCTCCTTGTTGGCGGCCTCCTTCCTCATAGCAGCCACCATCCGGAACGCAGTGGCGACCGCAGCACCCGTGGCCGCCGCAACCGTCGATGTCTCGATCCCCCCGCTGGCGATACTCTGGCAGAAATCGAAAATCCTGCCAGCGCCTACATTTCCGAGCGCCAATTGCGCCGACGCGGCAAGACTGCCTGTACCCGCCGCCCCGCCCGCTGTCAGCGGTGTGGTTGGAGTGGGGTAGGTAGACGTGTGGGTTACCTGCAACTACGCCATCGGCCGTGAATCCGAGCGGCTCGAGGAGAGTCCCGAGAGTGAGATCGGGATAAAGCGCGATGGTGGCGCCGCTGATGGCGCTGCTGATGACAAGAGGGTTCGCGGCGATCAGCCTGCCGACTTTACTGGCGCCCTGGTCAATTTCCCGCAACATTTTTGCCATTGGCGACGGGATATAGGATGTGCGCTCAGTGAGGCTTAAAGAATGCGCGATGAAGGGTAACTGCCCGGTCGAAAAGTGTGATCTCGTTCGCGGTAGATGTTGGTAGAAGTCGATGTTCGCGTTCTTCTGTGCATGACGTGGCGAATGGGGGTTAAAACCCCTCATCTGGAACCGCCGTTCTTTGGCCAATCAGTATCAAGTAACAGATCACTCGACCGGCGACAGTACTTATGGAAGGTATTTGCGAACATCGGGTTCTGTCGAGTGACATTTTGTGATAGTCTCGGGATGAAACCGAGGTGGTCCATCGGTTATGTAGATTATCAAACCAACTCTAAATCCATACTAGGTAGGTCTTGACAGCCCAGAATGTGGCCAATTGTCCGTGCGAAGGATGATAAATCCAACCGGGCCAGAGTTGCCACACACGTGACTACGCGTCTGAGTCACCCCTCATGCTTCCATTTGCTCTATCTTCCTCACGTCCACAACATTATTCCCCGCTTCAAGCTCACCAATTTCCCATTTTTTATATCAACACAAATCACCCCGATGATTCGCCCCCGTGGCACTGCAACTCCCACTCCCAAGAAATCCGACCCTCTCGCGCGTCTCTCCACACCCTTCAAGTGCCCCGGCTCCGCCGCGCCCATACGCAAAACGGTCCTCCCACCGCGTAAACGCCGCAAAGTATCGTACAAAGACGCGGACGCGGACGACTGCGACGATGATGGCGGCTTCAAGCCGGACGGCGACGGCGAGGACCGCGAGGTCTTTGGCAATCTCCAGGTGAACAAGGCGTTTCCCGTGTTCAAGCCCAAGGATAAGGATACGGTGTTCCGGGCCCGGTTTGCCGTTCCCCTCGCGGACAAGAATGCTGGTGGATACAATCCGCATCGCCCTGCGCCGGCCCTGGGTATGCGTAAGAGTGTTAACTTCATTGCGCGGCCGCTCCATGATCCCAGTGGCGAGTTCGCCATCGTCCTGTACGATCCGACTGTCGACGATAAGAAGATCGAGATCATCGAGCAGGATGGTGAGGCGCCGAAGCTGGAGGTCAAGCCCATCAGTAAGGTTCACAGGAGCTTGAAGGAGATTTTGGGCCTGGATCAGGCGAAGGAAAAGGAGGTGCCAAAGGTGCCGGTGGTTATCGATCCCAGGCTGGCGAAGGTCTTGCGGCCACATCAGATCGAGGGTGTCAAATTCCTCTATAGGTGTACGACAGGTCTCGTGGATAGTGATGCTAAAGGGTGCATCATGGCTGACGAGATGGGTCTCGGAAAAACAGTAAGCCCCCCCTCCCCCCGCGCTTGCATGGGCATCATTAGCTTGAGCTGTAGCTGATTGACTCGATGATAGCTTCAATGCATTGCCCTCATGTGGACACTGCTCAAGCAGTCACCGGAACCCGGGAAATCTACCATTCAGAAATGTGTCATTGCTTGTCCTTCGTCACTCGTTCGCAATTGGGCCAACGAGTTGGTGAAATGGTTGGGCAAGGACGCGATAATCCCTTTCGCCATCGACGGCAAAGCTACGAAGGCGGAACTCACTTCTCAGCTCAAACAGTGGGCCATCTCGTCGGGCAGGAGTGTGATCAGACCAGTGATCATTGTCTCCTACGAAACGTTGCGGCTATACTCGGAGGAGCTGAGGGATGTGCACATCGGGCTTCTACTCTGCGATGAGGGTCATCGCCTCAAGAACGCCGAATCCCAAACCTACCAGGCTCTGAACGAGCTGAAAGTTGATAGAAGGGTTATCCTGTCCGGAACACCTATTCAGAACGACCTCACCGAGTACTTCTCGCTTCTCAGTTTTGCAAATCCTGGTCTACTCGGTACCAGACTGGATTTCCGCAAGAAGTATGAGAATCCCATTCTCAAGGGTCGCGATTCGCTGGGATCAAGCCAGGACCGCGAAAAGGGTGACACCTGTCTGAAGGAACTTCTTGGCATAGTCAACAAGTTCATCATCCGACGGACGAACGACATCCTTTCGAAATATCTTCCGGTGAAGTACGAGCACGTTGTCTTTTGCAAGCCTGCTCCGTTCCAGGATGCTCTGTATCGCTATTTCATCTCCTCGCCCGAAATCAAGTCTCTCCTTCGAGGGAAGGGCTCGCAGCCGCTCAAAGCCATCGGTATGCTCAAGAAACTCTGCAATCACCCGGATCTCCTCAACCTTCCCGACGACCTCCCAGGTTGTGAGCAATTCTTCCCCGAGGATTTTGTTCCCAAGGATGCCAGAGGCAGTCGAAACCGTGAGGTCAATACCTGGTATTCCGGCAAGATGCAGGTCCTCGATCGCATGTTGGCCCGCATCCGTCAGGACACGAACGACAAGATCGTCCTGATCAGCAATTTCACGCAGACCCTGGATGTGTTCGAGAAGCTGTGCAGATCGAGGGGCTACGGCAATCTACGCCTTGACGGAACGATGAATGTCAACAAGCGTCAGAAGCTCGTCGACAAATTCAACGATCCCGAGGGATCCGAGTTCATTTTCCTTCTGTCCTCCAAGGCCGGAGGCTGCGGTCTCAATCTCATCGGCGCCAACCGACTGGTCCTCTTCGATCCCGACTGGAATCCCGCCGCCGATCAGCAAGCTCTAGCTCGTGTCTGGCGTGACGGGCAGAAGAAGGACTGCTTCGTCTACCGATTCATCACCACCGGCTCGATCGAAGAGAAGATCTTCCAGCGTCAATCGCACAAGCAGTCGCTTTCCTCTTGCGTCGTGGACTCGGCCGAAGATGTCGAGCGCCATTTCAACGGAGAGGACTTGAGGAAGTTGTTTGAGTACGTACCGGAAACCAACAGCGATACGCATGATACCTTCAAGTGTAAGCGCTGCAAAGATGGGAAACAGATCATCCGCGCGCCTGCTATCCTATACGGTGATACTAGTACTTGGAATCATTTTACGAACAAGAAGGGAGGGGGACTGGGTAACATTCAGGATCTGCTGTTGCGGCAGGAGAGCGGGCAGGACATTGTCAGTGCTGTTTTCCAGTACATTTCGCATTAGAGGGGCATTTTGATTTTGCGGTTAAACTCTGACCCTTGATATTTCTTCTTTTTCGTTTTATGAGCGTTGATTATATGGTTATATGTGGATTGCGGGAGTTATTGGCATGCGGATGGATGGTATTATTGCTGTGAGTTGGATTGGTATTATGGAGTTAACTATTAAGGGCTTTTGTTTATTTCTAAGGGCTTTTCGTGTACCTTCGCGAGTAACTATAGCGACCAGAATAGATGACTAAACGGCCGGTGATGAATCAGAATCAATGACATCGGCATCGATACCCGATAATCAGAGTGATAATCTGTGATGTCTAGCGTGCATTCTAGCCCGCTCTAGGCGTCTTGGCATTCAGCCGACGACGGTTTTTTCTCCACACCGCACAAACCCACTCTTTCCATCGCCGTGTCATCACGTCTTCATCATTACCCTCCACTTCACACCCGCGCGCCCCGTCGAGAAACAACCCAACACCTCCACCTACCCTACCATCACACACCCCCGCCCACCCCCCCGGCGCGGTCATAAAAAAAAAATCGACAACGCCGGAAATTCGGTTACCCGCCTTTCACGGACGAAAAAAGACAAAAGCCACACGCTCGCGCTCACTTTTCGTGCGACAGACTCCAGAGAAATTTATAAGCGAGTGCCGAATGGACGGCGACGTCGCGTCCCTGGGCCAGTTTGTCTCTGATATGGGCAATAACGAGTCGCGGGAATCCGAGCATGAGTATAACGGGGAAGAGGAAGAAGAGGAGGAGGAGGAGGAGGACGTTGGGGGGGAGCGGGAGGACAGTGTAAGAGGTGACGAAGATCACGATCATGTACCTGCAGGACTAGTCGTCGATGAGCTGGAGGTTATACATTATGCTGCGGCGGCCGAACAGTTGCTCGCATCCAATGCTGCCGCTGCGTCTGAGCCTCCCCCTCCTTCCCCTCCTCCTCCGGCGGTGTCGAGGAAGGCTAGGGGGAATAAGAGCATGCCTAGGGAGGAACTTCAAGTGTCTTCGCCAGCCCTGCCGATTGTTTCCCAGCCTCCACAGGAGATGTCGGTCGCTTCGGCGGTTGCTGCGGCTGCGGCGGCGTTGAAGGCTAGGATGGCGAGAGCGGAGGAGACGGCTGCAGTGGTGGTTGCGGCTAGTCCGACTATCCCACCAACGCAGATGGAAGTGGAGCTCCCCGCAGCGGCGACGGAAGTCACAGAGAAAGGGAAGAAACGACGGAAGAAGAAACAGCGACAGACCAGCCAGGAGGAGGAGAGTGCGCAGGCGCTTCTAGCATTGAATAAGGGAGGATTGGGATCCGGAGGTGTCGAAAACGAGCACGCCGTCGTGGACGACGACGAGGATGCGCCAACGGCGGTCGACTCGGTGACTCCAACGAAGAAGGGAAAGGCCAAGAGAAAGACAAGATCGAAGAAGGCCACGGTCGAGGAGGTGACGGAGGAGGATCAAGCGAATCAGTCGTTACTCTCTCTGGATGAGAGCTCGAGTGCTGACCACGACCTGACCGACGCCTTCACCAATTCCATGGTTGCTGCAGCCGGCATACTACCTTCTTCTGATCCTCCGATTATAAGTCTCAACGAAAATGCAACCGCAGCTACTGCAACCGTGGACCAGACTGGACTACCCCAGCCGGACATTCCGGACCAGCGGATCCTCACGGAGCATTTGGCTGCCCACATGGCGAAGCTTCCACCACCACCACCACCAGAGGCTGAGGAGGAGGATATGATGGTGGTCGAACAGCGACTCATGACCGAGTTGCAGAGCATCCACCCGCCTATTCTAGGAGCTGAAGGCTTTACAGCTGTGAACCAGAACAGCGAGGGTGACCATCATCACCAGATGCTGGGCGGTCCTATCCCTATCAACCAGAAGCCGGCTCGGGGGAAGCGCAAGCGCCAGGGTGATGTTTCCAACGCGATCACCAATGATAACGAAAACATGCCCATGAACGGACTGGTCGATCCGCAGCTAATGCAGCTCGACGAAGCCGCAGCTCAGATCGCCGGAGAAGTTGGGGGAGATCAGAGCATGAAGTCCAAGAAGCGCCGCCGCGTACCGAATCCGAATATTCCCGAAGCAGAAGAGATCCCCATCGACGAATCCGAAGGGAAGCAGCAGCAGTCCGTAGTCCGCCGCGAACAGAAGATGAGTTGGGGAACCACGCCAGTCTCTGGCATGGGTGAGTCCATTAACGGAGGCACTTTTTCACTCGATGAGCGCTTCGCCATCGATAAGGCTCTTCAAGACTATTGCCGGGTTCAGAGCATGACGATGGAGGAGCTCAAGGATCGCGTGTGGGGTAATAACCGCCGCAAAGATGAGTTCTGGGATTCCATCTGCAGTGCTGTTCCGAACCGCAGTCGCGCCTCTGTCTACAAGCATGTTCGACGATCCTGCCACATCTTCCAGCAGCGCGCCAAGTGGACTGCCGAGGAGGATGCGGAATTGGCGGAACTGGTCAAGTCCAAGGGCAACAAGTGGAAGGACATAGGAGAAGCTATGGGGAGGATGGGCGAAGACTGTCGTGACCGTTACCGCAACTACGTCAAATGTGGCGATAGTCGTGGAACCGATCGTTGGACCGAAGAGGAGGAGGAGTTGCTCAAGAGGACGGTTCGGGAGCACAAGGAGCAGAACAGACAGCTTATCCTCCAGCAGGGCAAGCCGAATCCTGCGCCAGAAGAGGAAGACAACATCCTCATCAACTGGACCACGGTTTCGGAGCAGATGGAGAATAGACGGTCGCGGATTCAGTGCCGATACAAGTGGAAGAAGATGTTGGCCCAGAAGGAGAAGGTCAAGCAGGCCCCGATTGGAGTTACGTATGTGGGCGGAAAGAAGAAGCGTATCAGTTTCGACATCAAGGATATGCTGCCTGGTGATGAGCAGTGGCTACTTTTCTTGTGAGTCCTTTCGTAATCGCCCCGGTCGACGTTGGAGGCCGACACTAATGCCGATGAACAGGATTCGTGACTGCGGTGCTACCCAGGAGAATGAGATACCGTGGGACCAGTTCGCCAAAAACGATAAGGACGTTGGAATCTGGTAAGTTCTCCGCGCATCACCCAGCACGACACATACTGACCCGTCACCAGGACCCACAAGGATCTCAAGAGCGCCTACAAAGAGTTCCGCAAGCACATACCGCACAAGCGGCGCCCGCTCCGCGAGATCATAAAGCAGCTCCTCATAGAGATCCAAGAGAAGTACACGGTCGAGCAACGCAGCATACGTTTCATCCCGAGCCAAAACGCCGACGGCCAGCCGATCGACGCCGCCTCAATCGCCTCGCACAACACCATCAGCACGCACTCCCCCGCCGCGCCCCACGCCCAGCAGCCCCAACAACAACAACAACAACAACACCCGCCACCCCAGGAATTCGTGCACCACCTGTACACGCTCACGCCGGACCCGTCGCTGCCCATCGCGCCCATCGCGAGCATGGGCCCAATCCCGATGGCCGCGCAGCTCTCCGTGCAGCCGCCAGCACCCACTCCCAGCCACAACAACGCCGTCAACGCCGCCGCCGCTGCCGCTAGCAACGCCATGGTCGACCCCGAGCTGATGGGCCAGGGCATGGACGAGGAGCTGCAAAAGATGGCGGGCGAGGCGATCGCGCACTCCACCGCTATGCACGCGCACGCACACTCGCAGCAGGGCGAGGACGAGAACGAGCGCGAGCTGCGCACGCGCCTGGGTGGCTTCATTGGTGGTATTGGCGGTGGTGGCGCCGCCGGAATGATGCATCAGGGTGCCGCTTAGGAGAACGCACCCCCACAATTGCTGGCTGTTGATTACCGCTACTATCCCTATCACTACGGCTACGCTTATGGATATCCCTACGGATATCCTTACGGCTACGGATATGGATATGGATACGACTACGACTATCGCTGGCAGGCGTTGATGTGATGTGAGGATGGTGATTGGCAGCGCTTTTGGTGAATAGTGTCTCTGTCTGTGTACGATGGGGAGGGGAGGGGAGGGACGTCTGTGCTTTTCGCTTTTTGCGTCATTCTGGGTTTTGGGTTGGAGTAGGTTGGGTTCGAGTGGTTTGGATGGGTTTGGTGGTAACTCCTACATCTACTACTTCTAGGTAGTTCACATAGATACATAGTAGGCTTTTGTAGTAAATCAATCCAATCACACCCAACTACCGTAGACACCCAGTCCAGCCACGATCAAGTCCAGTCCATATCGAATGATCATTTCTTCTAAGTAGCAAGTAACAAGTATCAAGTAGCAGCACAGCACAGAAACTAGAGTAAAGTAAAGCAGCGAGTAGGAAAAAAAGTACAATAACACAACACGAGCAAGCAGCAGCGCAGCAAACGGCACTATCATACATACAAAGATACAACAATTCGAAGAAGAAGAACAGTACAGCAATGAAATCAAAACACAAGAACACAAGAACACAAGAAAGCAAAATTCCAAACCATATGAAGAGAAAACGAAGAAAAACGAAAGAAAAGAAAAAGATGTTCCAGCCAAGATACAATTCGGGGGGGAAGTACAAGGAAAGAACGGGAGAGGGTATAGTATGCCAAAGTATGCCAAAAATGGGATGCATTGAGAAGAATTGAGAGAAGAAGTGAGGATGACTTTGGAAAAAACAGGACATAAGAGAGTTTTTCAATCCCGTGTTTGGGGTTGTTGTTGAGCTCGGTTGGGAGCAAGAGCAAGAAATAAAGGAAAAAAAAAGGAAGAATAATAAAGTAAAGAGGGGGGGGAGAAAAGAAAATAGGAAAATATCCGGTAATGATTGTTAGCTATGATATAAAAAAAAACGCAACAAAGACGGAAAGACAGGAATGAGAAGAAGAAGTTAAGAAAAGACACACACAAACAGCACCCCCCCAACTACAAACCACACGCCGCCGCCACAGCCGCACTACCCACTAACTGTCGTCACCCTGATTGCCATCTCCTCGGTGTCCGTCCGCTTCCTGACTGCAGTATTCCTCTTTTGAAACATCCCCGCGCGTTCGTCCCCGCCGTGGCCACCGTTACCGCCATGGCTCTCATCGCTGCTGCTGCTTCCTTCTCTCCCGCCCAGGCCAGAGTCGTTCTTCACCATCGGTGCGCCACCACGGTAGCTCTCGACGCTGCGGGCACTACCGTTGCGACTACTGCCCTCGCCCGCCTCCTCGACGACGGGCAGGATAGTTCCTGTGGCACCACCGGTGCGCTCGGCGCTGGGAGATCGTACGGCGGCGATGGTTCGGTTGGGAAGTTGATCTTCGCCTCGGGCTGTTCGATCGGTCCGCTCGGCCTCGCCGGCTACGGCCGCGTCAGACACTCCTGTGCCTTGGTTTCGTGTCTCCTTGTCCCTTGCCGCTTCTTCGGGCGATTTGACGATGCTCGTGATGAAGGTGCGGAACCGTTCGCCGTAACCGTGCGGTGGGATCGCGGACACCTGGTCTTTAGGATGCGAGAGACCTCGCCAGAAATGTTCCAGACGTTTGATGAAGCCGTACTATCATGATGTTAGCGCACTACCTATCACTCGGAAGAGGTACACCTACGTGAGTCAAGCAATCTATTATCCCTAGATAATAGATCACTTCGCCAGGCTCATCGGTCTCATGAGTAGCCCGGAACCCCCCATCGTCACCGTAGAAGATGGTATTCTTTTGTCTATTAAAGGTTAGCACCGAATGCCTCGTGTAATAGCAAGTTGTGAGGAATAAGTACTCTAAGAACTCTTCCGGTAATCTGTTCGCAACACTACGATCCAATGATATCGGAACCTCGTTGTTGATGACCCGCCTCAGCTCCCTCGCTTGCCGTGCCTTCTCCATCTTACTCGGCGTCCGCTGCAGCGCATGGCCGTGTATGTCGTCGCTTTCGGTACCCCCAGGTTGGAACACTTTCAGCGCACTATTCCGAATGTCGTCGCGATTCCCTCGTGTCAGATCGTGAATTCCCAACAGCAGCGAGTAATCCATAATCTCCAGCCTCTGGAGCAGAGCCACATCCCGTTCCACCTGTTGTATGAACAGATTCTTCTTGTGTGGGCCAAAGTGAAGGTGCATATCCCTCCGCAGCCAGTTCAGATCCTTCAGTGTGGCCCGCGGGTTCTCGCTGAGGTTGTCTTCCTTGTAATCGCGACCGATAGTTGACCCCTTTAGATCGAAAGTCTGGTGGATATCGCGGTGCGGTGGGAACAGGTTGTTCATGACCACAAAGTGAATCTTCCTGCCGAACGGGGTCTTGACGCGGTGGAGGCCATAGAACTGCGAGATCAGTGTGTTGGGGTTGTCCTCAATGTGCTTGTAGTAATCTCGCAATATGTGCCTCAGAAAACGGTGCTCGCCATGGTGAATGGTCTTGATGATGTACTTGTAGTCCCTCGAAAAATAGAAGAAACTGCCACTCTTTCCAGGCGACCCCAGCTCCGACAAGATGTACTTGCTCGTCAACGACATCAGGTAGTCGGCCGGATCCAATCCGAACTTTGTCCGCAAATGTCGAAACACCCAGGGCGAATAGTCCTTAAACTTGAAATCGTATTTTGCCGAAGGTGTGAGCTCATTGCCGGTACTATACGTATGCGCCGTCAGACGAACGTTCCACTTCACTTCACTTCTACCGCCACTGCAACACAACTCACATGTCAAACGAAAACTTGTGCTTCGCATCAAAGTCGGCATCCGTCAAGGGCCGATCCATCTTTGCATTGATCCGGGACACACAGAAGCGAATTCCAGTAAGCATGTTGTAGGCGGTGACCCAGTTGGCGTGGTTGTGATCGACTTTGGTGCCCACCACCACCTTATCGTCATCAATCTCCTCTTCCTTCCGTTTCTTAACCGCCCTCTTCGCCTTGATAGCCTCCGTCCACCTCGCAGCATCCTCATCCGGAGGCACTTCTTCCATGTGGTTATCTGAATGTATCGAACGCGTCGGCCGTCGGCCCATAGATATGGAGTGGCGCCGTGGCGTCGTCGACGACGACGTCGGTGAGAACCGACCACTCGCGACCACTTCGGAACCACTTGTCGCCGTTGAAGTTCTACTTCCTTGTGACCCCTTTGGAACCTGCAGTGTATGCCGTTGTCGCAGAGACCCCGGTTGTGGTGGTGATAGATTTGGTGGTGGTAGAAGCTGCGAACCGGGCCCAGCCCCTGTTGTTGTTTGAGGTGCCATACGGGGCGATAGACGCGGCGAGGATGAGGACAATGTAGGTATAGGAGTATGTTCGGCGGGTTTCGTCGATGTAACGGACACTGGAATCGACGAGGGTTTCACGATGCTTGGAGCGTTGTTGAAGTTGTTGTTATTGTTGTTGTTAGTAGTGGTAGTGGAGGTAGTGGTCGAGCCGTTCGAGTATGGAGGGAAATAGGACCCGTCATCCTGCGGCTGCGCCTGGTACATCGCTTCCTTTGCACTCGGCCGGATGTCCCGATCGGGAGAGGGCGTGTTCAGACTTCTCTTCAGCTTTGGCGGCACTGGTGGTCTTCCCCCGTTCGCGCCGTCAGCAGCCTTTGGTCCCTGCAGTACACCGTTGGGCCCGATGTGTCCACCGACAAAGCCACCTCCGCCACTTCCGTTCGATAGCCCGTTCGACAGCGTATGGCTACTATGCATGGACGACGCGGAACCGGGCGGGGGATGCGGTCTCGAGAAATTGTAGGGGGCGGACGGAGTCGCGGCGGCGGCGGCGGGAGCGGGTTGGTAATGCGGCGAGCCGGTGGAGGTAGTGGAGTCGTCTCTAACGGGGGGCAGGGTCATAACAGCGGTACCACCAGAAGATCGCAACATGTATGCGTGTGTAGTATTTATCCGCACACTTTTCCGTCCACTATCTCTTTCTTTTTTTTTCTCTCTCTGAGCGAGCGTCGGTCTCCGATCGTGAGGGTGAGGAGGGGGGGGGGGGGGGAGGTTTGGGTGGTAGATTTGGCCCAAGGGCGACGGCGACGACGCGGGTTTAGTGCAGAGACGGGAAATAATGGGGCGGTGTGCTCAGCCCTTTTTTTTTCTTCCTTCTCTCACTCTCTCTTTTCCAAAGTACCTTGAATTTGAGCAACCCGGACAACAAATGAGTTTCTGACAACACCCCCCTTCTTCTTCTTCTATGGGAGCTTGTTTTTTTTCGCTTTTCAGCCTGCAGATTTCTCGGCGGTGGGCTCGGCGGCGGCGCAGGCGGCGACGGCGGTGGTGGTGGGCGGTAAAGTATGCGTGATATCGGCAGACACCGTAGCGAAGGAGGAGGAGGAGGAGGAGAAGGAGATGTACGAGCGCAGTAGGTACGTGTATGTAAGTGAGTAAGTACGTGAGTCGGTATGTAGGTAAGTGGATGTATGTATGTGCTATGAGTATGTGCTAGAGTGAGGTAGGATGGTGTGCGGAGGAGGAATTCGCGGGGGGGGGGGGGGGGGGGGGGGGGTGGAGATTAGGATGGGGGGTGCTGAGCGGTGTGAGGTGAGTAGAGTAGAGTGTGCGTGAGGGGGGCTGGCTCGTGCTCGGCTGCTGTTGGGGACTGACGACGACGACTGGGCGGGTAGGCTTGGGAGGAAGGGGAGCAGCCAGCAATTAGGCGTGTAAGCGTGGAAATCTTGTGCTTCGACTCAGCTATGTTTCGGCCTGCGAAGAAAAGGACAAACGAGTGTTGGGGGAGTGGGGGAGGTGGTGGTGGGGAGGATCGGAGGGAAGAGGGAATTGGTAGAGAGCGACGGCGGTTGGGAGGGTGTAGTGATGTAGTTGGGAGGTAGTTGGAAGTTGGTGGTGGTGGTGGTGGTGTTGGACGCGGAGAAGGAGAGAGGGAGGGCGACAGACAGTGGCCAAGGCGCTCAGCCAGAGTTGCGGTTACAAAGAATCAGCCGTCCCGTTCATCCATTCACCATTCATTCAGCTGCAGTCCGCGGAGAGACGATTACGGTATTCGGGACGGGTTTATTTTATTATTATCATTGTCGACGCTTGCGATTACGGTATTCTTACAGCTATTCGCGGCATCAGCAGCATCGAGCAACAATCGCAACACAAAGGGGGTTGAGCATTGAGGACACTCTGGGTACATGCGGTACTATAATATTCAGGGGAGGGGAGGGCAGGCCAGGGCCGGGGCGGATGTTCACCTCTTCCGCACAGCAACCGTGATCCTCTGAGGCGCAGCAAATAGCCAAGTACCTACTCTACTGCGTACCAAGATTGTGGGAGTCTTGGAATCATCAGCCAGCTTCCGTTCCCTGCAGAAGGGGAACAACGTTCGAAGCTCTCCACGTCTAGCGCGGACAGGGCCAGCTACTGTAGAGCCTAGAGTAGAGTAACTATTCTGAGTTATGGATGTCTCGTGGAGCGGGTGCGGGAGTTGGCTTGGCTATGGCGCGTGATATGCGGTGATGCTGCCTCCGATCGCTCGTTCGTCGGTGCTGTTACCGGTACAATTCGCGCGACAATCAACTTCAAGACGAAGTAACATGGGTGGTGCCAGCGGAGATGCTCTCCATCACTAGTTGCGGCCTTCGTAGCGTCCAGCCTCGAAGAAACGACCGGTGGTCAAGATGCCGACTCCATCCCCATCCAGAATCCATCGGCTTTGCTCCGAACCGATCGAAGATCGTCGGCGTTGGCTGCAGACAATCCCCCCCGCTTTTCGAATCTGACAACCGGCAGACAAGCCCTTCAGACGTCGCAGACATCGCAGGAGAAGATGGGTACATCATAGTAGGTAGGTATGTACCGCCGTACCGCAACCCTGCACCGATCCGCCGCCGCTGCCGTCGCCGGAAGCAACCCAGCCAAGCAGAATATGTACATGTACACATCATATGTACCGGATCACGAGACGATCCACCGCTACCTAAGCACCTAAGCACCTACCTAAGCACCTACCTGCCTACCGTACTCGTGTGGGGCGGGAAGACCTCCGGGCTCAAGGGATAGGGGATAGGCATAGGGATGGGCATAGGGATAGGCATACTTGCCTACCCGTAACAGATCCCCCCGATTGTTCGGTCCCGGATCTTACTGGGGAGCCGCGAATCCGAGTACTTGCCAACTCTATGTACCAGTACCTGCCTGTCGATGATTCGATGACGGTTGCCGCAGGCTCCAGCTCTAACTCCAGCACAGCCCGCAATGTGAGACATCCCGCACGTGCTGACAGAAACTCGGCGTGCCGGATTGCCATGGTTCGCTGACGTCGTACTAGGTATCATATTAGGACGGTATCGTACAGGAAACAGGAGTCTCCCACCCCGCCCGAGCCGAGTCGCTGAATTTTCCTCCGAAAGGCGACAGACCGCCAGTACTCTACTCTAAAAGTAGAGAGTAGATCTGTTTGGCTCCACCCATTACTCTACATACATACAGGGTCGCAGCCGCCGCGCCGCGCCGGGGCGCTCCGGAAGCTGGTGGTCCGCTGCTGGACCGTACCTACCGTACCCTACCAACATGGAACCCGGTATTTCTGCACGCATACGGTAGGTATACCTAGTACCCCTTCCAGGCTTCCCTATTTACACGGACGTCGGCACGAGAGCAGCTACCTACTCTAGGCAGATGTAAGTAGAGTAAGCAAGCACCGATTGTCCGGCGCACACTCGCGTGCACTACAGGTCTGCGACTGCGACTGATCCTCCTGAAGTGATTTCCCCGAAAATACTACCTACTACGGTACTACAGTATGGCGACATGAGTCAGTTGTGAGGATTACTACTATATAGTTTGTGAGCACTGAGGATACCGGTATGAAATAGACACTTAGGCATGAGGTAGGTATTCAGGCCCGCTTCCGATCCCAAGTTTTGGTATGTATGGCCATGAAGGCCCACCTGCTCCCACCAAAACCTCGCTGGCGAGAGCATTGCACTGTTCTTCGCGATGGTAGCAAACCCGCCGGATAGGTACCGGTATGTACTCATATGTACCAATGCGCGGGCGATCAAGATAATCATGGAGAAGATCACGGCTCCAAAGATGCAGTTACGGTGGGCTTCTGTCGCGGCGTTGTCGACGACTGCTTCTACTTGTTCGGATTTGCACGATTTGCACACGGTGGTGTTGATATGCACCTACTTCCTGTGTACCCCGATTGCAATCCCTAGTACGGATATATAATACGAGTTACCTACTACGAACAATAATGGCGTCTTCTTTTTGCATACGATATTTTGTCGCGATACTTCGCTTTGCAGCATCTCCTCCTCCTCACCGCCCGGAGACGACCATGAAAGGTCCAAACTCGACGTTTCTCTCAGTTCCTCAGCAAGCCCACTCCTAGGTACATACCGTACTTGATGTGCATTGTTTACTAGAATTCCTCCCAGGGTACATAACTTGAACTCCTGATTCCTGAAGCCCAAGGCTGAAGCTGAGGAAAAGTCAACTTCAAGCTCCATCATCGAGTCAAGCCCTTCCATCTCGCAGTCCAAGGATATGAACGCTTTCCCGCTTACATATGAACGGCTCCCTTCTCGTTTCTGTACGTTCATACTGCCGCTGCTGCCGCTGCGGCACTGGCAATTAATGCACCGTGTAGATGGCGCTGTTTCCCACTCTGAGGTTCACCCTTGCGCCGTCTATGCCCTCTGAGACTTTGAGCATGGGAGGTAACCACCTACTAGCAACTGAGCCCGAGGAAAGGAAATTCAAGTCAAGTCAAGTCAGCGGGATTGACGATCTCACGTATATTCTCATCCATCAACGCTGATACCGGTATGTACAGCACAGTCACCCGCTTGGATGGATGCGTTTCATGTATGATGTATGAAATAGGCAAGTACTTACTTACCCACCGGCACTTCAACGGCCGTTAACCCGGAAACGGCAATCGAATACTTACAGGCTACAGGCTACAACCTTTGCAACACACACCCATGGTCTATCATGGGCAAGCACTCGTTAGTCGTGGCTGAGAGCGCCCGGCTTGTGTACATACGGGACTCTTGGTATCGGACCGAACAGTCATGGGGTCAGCTGACAGGCCGCAGAGTTCACTGAGAGTTCTAAAGTGGGGGAGTCTTTGTGGCGAAGAGTGAGAAGGTATGAATGTACATACCGTACTTATGAGTGGAAATGGCGTCTCCAAGGCTCCACTTAGTCTTTACGGCAAGATTCACACAGGGCCGGGCAATGGAACGCTCCCAGGCCACCGAAAGACCAATCGGCAGATACCCACAGTACCTACGGCACCCAACCTGACTCCAAGTCATTGCCATCGAGTTCGGTCATCGATTTGCACCTGCCCACCGTACCGCGTGATCCAAGTCTGATCCGTCGGCCCCCAGGTCCCTACATACCAAGAAGTACTTACCATAGTACCGTGGTAGTGTAACCTTAAACCCAGGACATTGTTTCCATACTTACTTAGGTGATGTCATCGCCGGATTCATGAACCGTGTAGGGTGGCGGGTTTTGGGCTGCTGTTCGCCCTGCCAGGTGCCTGTTTGTTCACGACTGATCCGGCGGAGGAGAGGGGGAGGAGAGGGCTGCTGGTTGCAAAATATTGGAATTTGGCGTCGACCGTGTCGAGCTTTGAGCAATGAGGAGGTGTCGGATACCTACAGGCTACGGTACTGAAGTATCTATGCTTAGCGTTCCCGAGCATCCCGACTCCTGAGCGCGACATGCGACATGCGACATGCGACATGCGCCCTATATATATGGTCACGACTTTGCACTTCCCATGCATAGCTCGTGATGAACGTGGAGTGCATAGAGTATCTTCGCTTGATAACGCAGCACTCGAGCTAACATCGTTTCGGAAACGGAGTAAGTACTAGTAAACGTTGATACATGCCGACAGCCCTGCATTGAAAAATAGGTACAAGGGAGAGCTCCGAAGCCTTACCAGTAGCTCACCTGCTCAGATACTGGTATGTATCCGTAGTCTAGTTTAATAGAGTGCCTCCTTATCGGAAAGGAGTTGAGTGTGAGTGCGACGGCAGGCCGGAGTTCTCGCCTTCCACGAGTATCCCGAGCATCCCGACTCTCTCACTTCTCCTTCCATCCAACGAACCGGCGGAACCCGATCAAAGCCGTGAGCAGCCCGCGCGGCAGGCCATCCCACGTCTACCAATGGCCGTATCATACATGGATCCTACCAAAGCCTCCAACCGCAAAGAGCCAAACAGCCTACCTAGGTACATACCTACTCTACATAGCCGTCGCCATCTCCTGCAGGCTGATGTAGGATATATGTTTTGTGGGAAAGAACGCAGCACATAACCACCGAGATACTCTAGGTATGGTATCATCGCACGCTGCTGCTGCTGAGTTTGCCGTGATGCCTACCGAATCCAATCGCCGGTCCGGCACTCTCCGGCTCCACCGCCGAAACAACCACCGCCCGGCGCCGAAACCGCCGCCGGATACCCTCGGCGCAGAGCCTCTGCGCCCAACCGGGCCAACCCGCCATGCCACGGCCTCGGCGCAGGAACTTGGAGCGAGCACGCCGATACGCCCGTCGCCAGCACACCGCGAAGCCATCCGCACCGCAGTCACCGGAGGAGGACACGCAAGCCCGAGTCCGACAAGAAGCGAACAATATCCGCCACGGAGTGCATGGAAGGAATCCCAGCCATCGCAGCGGACAGCGAGTGGCAGGCTAGAGTGCACGAATTCCTCGAGAAGCCGGCTGCTGGTGGAAGATATCGCCACGATCCGCGAGATGGGAGATGCGGATATCAGTGTTGCATTGGCGTTCGCCGTTCGCTGCTGGCCGATTCCACACCCCCGCCCCCCTCCGATTCCGATCCCGATCCCGAATCGCCACTGTGTTGTAGCGATGAGCCCCTCCGTGTCGGTGCATGGCCAGCCCTCCGAAGTCTCCAGCACACACGCCAGCAGAATCCGCCAGCTCATCCCCGGACCTCGTACTCTTACCCCATTTGCTCGCTTCGGCCATCAATCGCACTTCCCCATCAATTGCAGAGCACTCTGCTTCCCCCTCCCCCACCAATAACGTTCCAATCGGAGTATGGTACGTCAGAGCTAGTACCTACCGTATGCATAGCTTGGTTGTCACGTTCACGTTCGCTTTCCCCTGCCTACCTTCGCAAGCGAGCACCGCTCTGTTCCAGCTCCAGTTCCCGCGTACCGTGCCGTACCTAGGGTAACGTTGCTCCCACTTCTCCTCCCGGTTCCAGCCTCAGGAGCAACCTCACCTCACGATTTATGAGATCACCAGTCACAGCGCATCACGCGAATATCGAGTCAACTTTTCGCAATAGTGAAAAAAACCTACAATTGAACCGCCGACCTGTAGCAAAGAAACAATACAACGAAGAAAAAAAGACAGTAGACCCTACGCGTTGATGAAAAAATAACACCCACTTAAAGAGGAAAACAAAACACCCAGCAAAACATTGAAAAGAAGAAAAAATGAAACCCCATAGACCCGAAGAAAAACTCCCAAACAATAGAAAAAGATATTGTGCCTCTCTCGCGCGCGTGTGTCTGGGTGGCATGGAAGATGGTGAGACAGGTAATTCAGGACAGAGTGAACCAAACTTCCAATTAACCAAGAGAAAGAGGAGGAAAAAATGTGAACTTAGAACCAACCCGTTTAAAGAAATGCAACCCAGTACGTAAACCTCGTAGAAAACAAGAGCTCCAAATCGCCGCGCTGTACAGAAGAACCAGCGAGGAGGTGATTAACGATGAGCTTAAGCAGAGGTAGCTGCAGCCTCCTCCTTCTTCGCCTTCTTGGGGGTGGCCTTCTTCTTAGGAGCGGCAGCAGCCTTCGCCTTCTTGGGGGCAGCGGCCTTAGCGGGCTTGGGGGCCGGCGCCTTGGTCACACGTCCGGACTTGGTCTTGGTGAGGACAGTAGCCTTCTCGACGACAGCAGGAGCGGCAGCGGGCTCCTTGCGGGGCTTCTTGGCGTTGGCCTTTGGCTTCGCGGCGGCGGCCTTCTTGGGCACGGGCTTCTCGGCTTTCTCGGCAGCTGCAGCAGCCTTGGGCTTAGCTGCGGCCTTCTTGGGAGCGGCCTTCTTGGTGGTGGTCTCCTTCTTAGCAGCGGTCTCCTTCTTGGCGACAGGCTTCTGTGCGCCATGTTAGACATCTGCGCGACTCGCGAGGGTGAAAGAAAAAATAGTCGCGTACCTTAGCGGTAGCCGGCTTGGGCGCAGGCTCCTTCTTGACGAGCTTGACGGTTCCCGAAGGTCCCTTAGGGAAAGAGAACTCCTTAAGCTCTCCACCCTTCTTGATCGCAGCGTTGAAAAGACGGTCGAACTGAGCGCCATCGACACCCTTGTAGTTGGCCTTGATGTATTTCTTCAAAGCGGGACGGCTAAAGGAAGAACGTTAGCTGCGAATCCAAGTGGCAGTTGATCGGGCAGAAAGGGTGGTTGGGGGCTGGGGGGTATTGTGCGCGACCGAGCTTGGACGCGGCGCGCACGGTAGCGATGCTATCGTACCTGGAACCATTGCGATCCTTCAACTATATTGCGCAGAACAATTAGACACAATTCCCTCGGTGATAGAAACGCAGCGAGAGAGTGAGCTTACAGAAAGAATAGCCTCCTTGACCATCTCCTTGTAGGGAGGGTGCTCCGGGGGAGAAGACTTCTTCGCAGCAGCAGGCTTGCTGGCGACGGGGGTGGAGGTGAAAGCTTTGGGGGCCATTTCTGCTGTTTTGTTTTTTGGGTGGTGATAAGGTTTCGTGTGGGGAGAAGTTGTTGGTTCGAGGGAGAACGAGCGCCGGAAGGTGAATGTAACAGAGGAAGAGTGCGGGACAGGTGGGTTGGTTGTGATAAGGAAGAGGGAGCGGGAAAACAAGAGCGGGAGGGTGGGAGAGGTGGGGAGGGCGACCTTTTAGAGCGGCAGCGTCTGAAGCGTGGATCATGCCGACCAGGGTGGGCAGGGTGTGTGGGCAGTCGACACTGGAGGGTGTCCGATCCATTCCCTCTCACTCTGCGCCCTCTCCCAACTCTGATGCTCCCTCCCCGAGCCACCCCACCCCTGCCGGATGGCTGTCTTTTCAGAGTTCTGTCCGTCCCTCCCTTCCGCAAATCCAGCACACCCCCAGCGCCAAAAAAAAAAAGCGAGCGAGCGGACCCAACGCACCGCGCCAAAATCTCATGGTGTGATGCCATACCAACTGGAGAATCCCTAACCCAGCAACAAAACTCCCCCCGTCGCCCACTTCTCTTTCTCTTCTCTTTCCTCTCCGCCGTCCGCGCAACGCTACAATTTCCCACATTCTCCGAATTCCTCATGGCCAGAAGGAAAGGCCGCTGGCAGTAGACCATCTTGACCGTGCAAGTCTCTGATTTTTATTGTCGCTGTGGGCGTAATTACAGCGCAGAAAAGAACGCGAGGAGAGCAAAACCCGTCGCGGTCGCAGACTCCCGTCCGCCCTCCCCCATCCCCCACCACAGCACCATATCGCAATCGATATCCTCCCGGCGGCAACCGGAAGGACCAGACCATGGCCGCAGCCTGTTTTCTCTAGCCATCACTCACTCTGTCATGCTGTCGGCTCGTGTTGCAGGCCCGGAAATCCTTCCCCTCACTCACTCTTGCTTCGGGGCCTTGTTTTGATTTTCCCACCTTCCACCTCCCCCCGTCCACAACAGAACCGCAAATCTCAGGCCTCTTCCTCGGCCAAGTCGGGTGGTCGGACTCATCTTGCGTTCTATTGCGCTCTCTCTCTCGCTCTCTCTCGCTCTCAGTCGTAGCCGAGCTTCACTTCCGCTGAGTGAGTGAGAGAGTGAGTGATTTCAAGTTTGTTTTCATTTGATCACTTGACGTTCCGTCGTCAGTCGTACCCCCGCCGCCCGCCCGCCCATCCACATCGACTATTCAAACGATTCAAACGATTCTCACTCCCCACTACAAAGTCTTCACTACATCGCATTTGCTCTCGCGTAAAGACAAAAAAAATCCCATTCAAATGAAACCCATCAATGCGCAGGTAAAGTAAAGCGGCTACCGTATATCTTCTCTCGCGTGCGGTGCGTTGTCGAAAAGGGAAGAGGAAAAGGAAAAAACAGGCAAACTACATGTGAAGCAACAACTGCGAACTACGCACCACCCAACTTCGGTTTCTTGCCACCACCGCCCTTCTTCGTCTCGGCTGTGGACTTGGCCTTTCTCTTTTTCTCGGCTGCCTTTGTTTCGTTCTTTTTCTTCAAGGCCTCCAATTCCTCCGCAGTCTTGGGGATCGGTTTGAAGAAGTCGCCGAGACGAGCTTTGTGGAACCCCGCGTGTCAGCATTGCACAGAAAGCGGCGAGTGGTGGGACTATTGCTCACCCTGGGTCGATGTCTTCAAGCCCTTCGTCAATCTTGCAGCACCGCTCCTAACACGGTCCTCGTTGAAGCCCTTATCTACGACCAAGAACTTGACTAGAGCCTCGATATCCGGAGCCTCCCACTTGTAGTCGAGATCTTTCGGATCGGTCACGGAAGGTTTGTGGAAGAGCGCACGCGCATCGAGATACGGCCAGTTCTCGGGGACGGTGTATTTCTCGCCCAGGTTCTCAATGACTTTCTCGAGCGACTTGTGTTCACGTATCATCTTCAGCGCCGTTGTAGGCCCGATTTTCGGGATCGTGTCGCAGTAGTCGCAGCCGAGGAGAATACACATGTCGATGAACTGGCGATGCATGTTAGTCTAGCTCTCCTCTTCCGTGACGTGTTGATTTCGCTCCATGCGGGGGCATATGTATGTGTATGTACCTGGTCGTATGTGAACTCCAATCCGGCGAGAGCTTTGTCCAGATGGATCTCCTGGATGGGTTCCTTCCTCTGCTCGCTGAACGTGAGATGTCTCAACAAAATCGGAGACCTGAAGCAGAGCGTGTCCATATCCTCGGAAGCCGCAGCGAAGACCTACGCACGTCAGCCAACCAGCGCCTACCCCACCGCCCCCCGCTCTGTCGGCCACTCACCGAACCCTCTCTCGCAAGCGTGGCGCATTGAGCCTCAGCCTCACACGGCGCCTCGACATACGGAATGCCCATGAGCTTGAGCAGCATCTTACAGTCGTCGTTCTGCTCCCTGGTCACCCTAACCGTGCGTCTCGCGTACTTCTCCATTTCCTCGGCATTGCCGGACTCCTTCGCCTCCGCGAACCCGGCCTCGGCCTGCGCCTTCCGAGCCACACGCTTCGCCAGCTCCCCCGACTTCAGCATCGGCGGCTTTCCATCGAAGACATACAGCGGCCTTTTTCCCACACACACACACACCGATCAGCCCGCCCAGCCCCCTTCCCGATTACCCAAGGAACAACTCACTTTATGCCATTGTCGACCATGCGGAGCGTGCGATAGAACATGCCCATGAGGTGCGAGGTAGTCTCGCCACTGTCGGACATGAGTTGCTGGCCCTCTGAGCGCACAGCGATCAGGAATTGGTAGATGCTCATGGACGCGTCGATGGCGACCTTGCGGCCGAAGTGCTGCTTGATGTCGCTGTTGCGGACGGCATTTGGAGCGTTGTCCGAGATGATCTGGAAGAGGCCTGCGGGTTACGGGGGAGACATTGCGTTAGGAGAGACCCCGAATAGGAGAGGAAACGGGGGGGGGAGTGTACTGTACCTTTAATACCCATCTTGAGAGCTTGCTTGTCGCTTTTTTCGTGCGGGTTTTGGGGCGTTGTGGTTGCGGTGCTGAATTCGCCGGCAACGTTCCTTGCAGGCAATGATAGGTTTCGAGAAAGATGGAGGGATGACGCGACGTGAGGTGCACTGCTCACATTCGCGTCGGCCAATCAGAGTGCACCATTGGAAAACTCCCACTTTTCTGTAAAGATCTCATTGAATGGCTACTGCATCATTGAGAAAAGTAAACTGCTACGCTTTTGGGGCAAATTTATGTATTTTCCATAGATTCCTACTAGAGTCTCGCGCTACGTATTCATGAGGATGCACTCGTTTTCACGAATTGGGAAGAAATCGCCGTTTACAGCGAGTTGTGGAACGTATAAGACTCGAGTATATGCAGGACGTACAATGCCAGCTCCCGGGGCTATGGCCGGCCATTTCTCGGCTTCCCAACGTAATCTTGTCAACCACAGTGACTTTCTCCAGAACTCAACCATCCATTCAATGACATGATCCACATCTCACCCCTCAAACGCAACACCAATACTCAACCCAAGCGCAGGCCACCCAACTACACCCACAACATCCCATTCGCATCCATACCAACTCGTGTACAAAACCCCACCCTCCCACCGCGTCCCAACGCCTCAAAATCCCCCACCCTGAGATCACATCCTCACAGCTCCTCACTCGCTAAAATCCCGTGTGCGATCCCATGACGCACCCACCCCTCCCCGCCCCGCCCACCCCCCCACCTCGCACCACACAACCACCACACCACACCCACAACTTCCTCCAGCAGGTAGATGTGTGGATGGGGTGGTGGGTGGATGGGTGGTGGGTTCGATAAGCGACCCGGTTCCTTTCCTTTGCTGGGCTGGACCCATCCACCCACCGCCCATCCATATCCATCGCGACGGATCCGGCTGTTTCCTCTCGCAGCTCAAACGGCCGGGACAGGGAAGGAGCTGGCGGGGGATAGGCACACAACTTACCAACATATGACGTGAGGGATTTTTCTTTCTTTCCCACACCACCACACGCAGAGTGCCGATATCTTCCAGTGCTGCGGGGTAGCTAGCGACGTTACACCACACCGCTCTGTGGCGTGTGCGTGTGTGCCGGTTCGGGCGGGCGGTCGGATTTCGGACTTCGGGGTTCAAGAGGAGTTAGAGTAGGTGCCGAATAGGTAGAGTAATCGACCGGACGTGTGGGGCTGGGTTGGCTCGCGTGGCACATGTGGGATCACTCGAGTTCTTGGAGCTCGGAGATGAAATCTCCTGTGTAATGCCGACGAATGTAACTGGTAATGCTTGGCCATGTTGAAGAGCTCCGTCGACAGTTACTAGGGTACCGAATGCCAGGTCATTCACTCCGAAACTTTGTAACCGTAGTCCCCTCGTGATTACAAGTTGACAGTGAAAAGTATGTACGTGAAAATAAGACACAAACCTTGATCGAGACAGTCCGAGAAAAAGGAAATGCAAGCGCCATGAACTTACACTGTATTCTCTGACAGAAGTAAATACTAAGACCGGGATAGACCCAGACTCAGCAAGAAAAGGCACCGATACCCAGGCCGTGACTGTGCAGAGTACGGCGTCATGGTGATAGTCGTTCAACCACAACTCATCACTCGAATTCTCAACCGCAGATCCCCACTCCCGCGTCCCCACTCCCAGGGACAAAGCATACCGATATCCCATAATACCCCACAAGGCTTGTTTCAACTTCCTGGTCTTGTCTGTAGAGCGTTTCATATCCTAGCCGCGCGGGTCGTAGACTTCCAGCATCTGAACCAGAACAGAGTTCTGACTTGGTGATGTCTACTAAACCCTGATATTTGTATGAATGAGAGCAGTCTTGATATCTTCAGTGAACTCAACCCCTAAACGCCTCATTAAACTGATCGTCTAGATTACTGCTATCGTGCGCGGCCTTATCCCTCATTCCCAAAGATAGGATCTCCAAATTCGCAGTCATCTGGCCGCACAACACAACACGACAAATCACTCGCTTTCCCCAGCTTCAGGCCTCTTTCAACGTTTCGGATTCTAACACTTGATCCACAAAGTTATCAATGACTTTTCGCACACAAATTTGTATGCACTCGCGATCACCAAATTTCCTGAAGAAGTTGAAAGAAATGACTTGACCGTGGGCGCGACGCAAGGGGGTTTTGTTCACCACCCCACCACAGGATCGCTTCCGCAGACCACAAACGACAAACGGGCGGTAAGGCAAGCAAACAAGCAGACGCCGTTTATGCGACAAGCAATGGGATTAGACAGACACGTGGGAGTCGCGTGCAAGACGCGCTCGACGTCAACGACAAGGACACGCATCACATCGCATCCGCGGGGAAAAAGTTAAGCCAAGCCAAGTCAATCAAAAGGTGATGACAACTTCTCATTGTCAAACAGGCAGCGAAAATTCTGACTCCGGGAAGTTATTGTACATGATGCAGAAAGAAGAAAAAAAGAACATTTAAGAAAGAAAAGGAAGAGAACAAAAAAACAAACAGAAACGAACCGAAACCCCGACCAAGAGAAAACCGCATTTAATTCGTCACCAATCCGGAAACAAAATTACCGAAACCGCGATCACCCAAGTTGCTGCGTTAAAAGGAAACCCGAAAGAAACAAAAGCGCGAGAAAAAAGAGCAACCATCAAATTCGAACCCCATTTGCCCCGAAACACGCCATGAGGCCACAAGATTGAGCAGCTGTCGACTTTTTTCCTTTTTCTTACAACTCTTGGGAAGCACCGGCCTTTCCGGCCTTGCCAGACTTCTTGGGCAGAAGGTTCTGGTGAATGTTGGGCAGGACACCGCCCTGGGCGATGGTGACGTGACCGAGAAGCTTGTTCAGTTCCTCATCGTTGCCTGGTATTGAAGTCAGAATCCGGTGAACCTGGATGTGAAATGCGATTCGGAAAAACTTACGGATGGCGAGCTGCAAGTGACGGGGAATGATACGGGTCTTCTTGTTGTCACGGGCGGCGTTACCAGCCAACTCGAGGATCTCGGCGGCGAGGTACTCGAGGACGGCGGCGAGGTAGACGGGCGCACCGGCACCGACACGCTGAGCGTAGTTGCCCTTTCTCAACAGACGGTGGACACGTCCGACGGGGAACGCGAGACCGGCCTTGGACGAACGGCTATCGAAAAGAGTCAGAAACAGATTTTCAAACACAAAAACATGCGATCCGAAAACATGCGACCAAAGAAGTCGAAATTCAAAAGTCGAAAACAGGATTCGAGTCGATTGTTTGATGGATGTGGGTGATGGATCTCGATCGCGACCGACAGACGAGGGGAATCAAGTTGCAAACTAACCTCTGCGACGGCTTTCCGCTGGCAGCCTTTCCACCCTTTCCTCCGGAAGACATTGTTTGATTTGGTTTGGGGGGTTGAAAAAGTGGGAGAGGTGAGGGGGTGCGAGGGTCGAGTTTGTGGTGGTTGAGAGTGGTGGTGGTGGTTTGGACGGGTTGTTGGTAGATGAAGAGGAGGAGAAGGTAGAACAGCGTCGGGTGGTGGGAGCAGCTTGGTCTTTATACGAGCGATGGTAACGAACGCGACTTCGCATCAACAGGCTTGGCTTCTTTTCAGGGCGTTGGGGGCAGCAGCCAGGGTTAGGGGTTACTGGTGTTGAACAGAAAACACTTTGATTTTCACGACTAGCCGAGCAGCAGCTAGCAGGCCCATTAGTGGCAGAGAATCCGAGAGGAAGGCGCTGCCACCAGTCTGGCCATCTGCAATCACGCGTCGTCGTCGGCTCAGAGCGAATACGCAGCACGCAGCAGACAGCACGCCGCACGCCCGACTCCTCTGGTCTCCCAGCGGCGACGCGTAAGGGACAGATGGCCAACATCACGACAGGTCTTGCTGCTGCGAGGAACGGTGGATCCGTGTAGCGTCGAGCAGAGTAGCGGGTTCGTACTTGGAGTAGCAGCGTACAACAAGAGGCTGGGAATGGCGGCTGCTAGAGCAGTTAGAGGGAGGTTGTAGGGATGGAAGAGCAGAGAACAACAACAACGCGTTGCGACCAGCCCCAGCTAACCCACCCCGGATGTTTTATCAGCCCCCTCCCCCGAATCCCAGCCGCACCACCCCAATACGGCAAATGCACGTAAATTCCGAAAGAAAACCCTACCAGCAAACCCGCGACGCTTGGCTGGCGTACTCCCTAGTACGCTGCGCACTTCCCAGCACGCACAATCGCGCTGCGTGATGCGACTCCGAGCCCGTTGACACTATAAGAGGGACTGGTCTCCCACGTCGCCCTTTCTCTCCCACCTCCACTACCACAAACTTCTGCCATCCACTCCACCACATCAACCACCACCACAACCACATCCAACCTCAATACCTCCGCAAACCACCCACTTTCAATCCCCAATCCTCACCACCAAAATGCCTCCCAAGCAAGCCGACAAGAAGCCCGCCGTCGCTGGCAAGACCCCGGCTGCTTCCAAGACTACCGAGAAGAAGGTACGATTTCTCCCCCAATCATAACAAACACTTCCGATCTCGACACGTCTCATCAAAATCGAATCCAATTTTTCGCTCACACTTTTCTCGTCTAGGAGTCCAAGAAGCCCGCTGCCACTGGCGAGAAGAAGAAGCGCACCAAGACCAGAAAGGAGACCTACTCTTCCTACATCTACAAAGTCCTCAAGCAGGTTCACCCCGACACCGGTATCTCCAACCGTGCCATGTCGATCTTGAACTCCTTCGTCAACGGTATGCGATTCCGATTCCTTTTGGCCCGAACTCGATAACTGATGGTTTCCAGACATCTTCGAGCGTGTCGCTACCGAGGCCTCCAAGTTGGCTGCGTACAACAAGAAGTCGACCATCTCCTCCCGCGAGATCCAGACCTCCGTCCGCCTCATCCTCCCCGGAGAGCTTGCTAAGCACGCCGTTTCTGAGGGAACAAAGGTACGTTTCTCGCCATTCTGACTCGGATTTTCGCACAAAAACAATTCGGTTTCCGAGTGGTTTTTTGTCGGAATTTTCTGGGCTCCACATCCGATCATGACTAATTCTTTTTCCTTGATAGGCTGTTACCAAGTACTCCTCTTCCACCAAATAAACGATCAACTTTCCGCTCTGATGTACGGCACTTTCGCCTTTTGTTCTCACATTTCTATACGCGTTTGATCGCGTATTGATTTGGGAAATGAACGAAGTAGGTTGTGTTGGGCTGCAAAGTTTTAATGTTTTCGGGTCTTGGATGGAGGTTTCTGTTTTGCTGTGCATTCATTCATGATTTTTGTGTGCGTGTCCAACGAACTAAAACCTTTCTTTTACCTTTACCTTTTTGCGGTTTTTGTTCCTTTTCCGGTTTCTTCACGGTTTCCTGCTCTTTTTTTTGTTTTTTTTTTGTTCACGGGGTCAACGTCGTTCTTCCTTCATTGTACTATAACGGATTGCTGGGTTCGAATTTGAGGGAGTTTTTCTTTATTATTTTGTCTACCGCTCGCTATACTGTCGGTATCGGATAAATTACTAAAAAGGCGCCCTTTATACCACGGCACACATGCCCATTGGGGTTTTCTCGACGCGTCGCGTGAAGACAGACAGGTACATAGATTACGCGTGCTCATGCTTTGCTGATTCGGTGATGGTGCGGCGTGAACGCGCGCTTCGTTTATCGATTGCGATTGCGATTGAGATTACCGTGCTGTTGGTGTTGGTGGTCGGACTTGACCTTCTGACGTGCCTACTGCGGCGATCAGTCGCTAGAGTACGGTAGATGAAGACGTTGCTTCTTGGGGTCTTGGGATTGCGATTCGGGCGGGTTTATTATTTTATTTTACGAATGAAATATGACATAGCGTTGGTGATCTTGCACTGTTTGGAGTTCTTTTCGGCGTTTTCGGCGTTTTACTCCAGTACTTGCAGTTTTTTTGCTCGATTTTAACCGACCGGAGTCTTTTTTGATTTTTTTTTGGGGGAGAAAATAATCCTCGAGAAAATAGAGAAAAGATTGCGGTCTCTGCAGCACGAGCGACGGGTGATTCTCGTGTCACCTGTCCCTTGCAGAGTGCGTCAGACTGGGCTCAACAGTTCTGATGGGTTTTTTATTTCTGCATTTGATCAGTGCTTGCCATGGCAGCTCTTGACCTTACCATACCTTTAACCAGGTATTCCGTTGCAGTTCTCAAATTTTTTGTGGTGATCGCAGAAACAATCTCTGCGGAACGAGCGACGAGTGACCTACCGTGTCCTTGTCCCTCCCTCGCTCGCAGACAGACAGTTTCTGGAGCTGCGGACTTCGTATATAGGGGAGTCTACAGTGGCAGTTGCGGTCTCTGCGGAACGAGCGACGAGTCTGAAGTTTCCCCCCCGAAACCCAGACTTGTCCCTCGCAGAGGAGGAGTTGTGGACTGGACTCGTCTGGCTCCAGGCTCCTCGGCGATAGTTAACGAGGCCCTGGTTGGGAGACTGAAAGTTTAAAGTTTGAACTTGCGGTCTCTGCGGAATGTGCGACGAGTGATCTGTAGGTAACGCCCTTCTCGCCCAATTCGCACCTCCGCTCAAGCTTACAGTCGAGTTTTACTCTAGACGTCACTTGTCCCTCGCAGAGGAGGAGTGGTGGACTGGACTGGCTCCGGGCTCCTCGGCGATAACGAGCATCAAGAAACGCCGGAGTTGGGAGCAGCGTGCTGGGGGAGCCACAGTATAGTTGTGTGGTGGGATCGATCTCGAGACTGCGTGGTTTCTTTGTATATTCTCAAATGTATAGTACAAAGACAGCCCTGGCTTGGAGACTTGGAGTTTGAAGTTTGAGTTTCAACCTGCGGTCTCTGCGGAATGCGCGACGAGTGATCTGTAGGTAACGCCATTACAGCCCAATTCGCACTCTGCTCAAGCTCACAGTCGAGTTTTACTCTATGTAGATGTCACTTGTCCCTCGCAGAGGGGGTCTTAATCACCCCGGCGATTGTACTGAGTAGAAGGGGGTCTTGGATGGATGTATGTACGAGGCTGCGTACCTATCGTCTCTGTGGATGATGCTCATGTCTGGATGAGCCGTTAGGTACTCTGAACTTGAAATTGTGGTCTCCGCGGTACCCTATGAGCGACGAGTGATCTGAATGTAAGTAACGGCCACCCCGTCGATTTACCCCCATCCCCGGCTGTTCGCTCACAACCGCTGCTTATAGTAGATATCACTCGACCCTCACAGAGTGGTAGTTAGTGGTGGGTCTGGTTCCTCAGCACCAACAGCTAACGGCAGGACGTCGAGCTTGCCGTACTAAGTGCAGGAAAATATCGAGGGTGTTTGGTGGTTGTAGGGGAGCAATGCCGAAACAAAGAACACCGCGCACGAGACAGTATCGATTTCAATCACGAGGACGAGAACGAGGATCACTGCCGACGTTTATATAGTAGAAGGGGCTTGGTTTCACCGTACTATTACTATCACTTTCATCGTAAGGTCGCTCAGGTTCTGTGTTCATAGCATATCATTCATGTATCGAGTGACGAGCAAGCAACAATTCCATCACAACATTTTTTTCTTCTTCGTCCAGTAAAGTGACGCACAGCGGTGGTGGTGTCGATGCCATTGTGCACGTAACTAAATTCATCATCGTATGAGTTTTCAACTCCATCACCAAGCCTGATACCTACACCTATGGTATGATGAACCAAAAGCCGGTACCTTACTGCCCGCCCGCCACAGCATACCGTACGATTGCCGATGTCACAGTCACCAAGTACGGAACACCTCAAGGCTTAAGATACTTCTGCATCCACCAGTGTAAATTCTCGTAAGTAAAGCAGCCCGCTAAATAACAACATTTGTGCGCCCAGTCTCCCAGTAGTTCTCCCGAGTCTCAAACGAATCGCACTGTACTGTACTAAAGGTACTCCCGAACCGAATCCCGCTTGCTTGCATGGCTGCGTATCGAACCCAAGCAATTAGAGAAAAGACAAGTAAAAGACAAGTAAAAGACAAGTAAAAGACAAGTAAAAGACAAGTAAAAGACAAGTAAACGCAGAAGAAACGCAGAAAGTAAAGTGCTCAAGTGAAAAGAAAAGAAAAGAAAAGAAAAGAAAAGAAAAGAAAAGAAAAGAAAAGAAAAGAAAAGAAAAGAAAAGAAAAGAAAAGAAAAGAAAAGAAAAGAAAAGAAAAGAAAAGAAAAGAAAAGAAAAGTAAAGTGGGATGGAAAGGTAAACCCCATCCTGTCCTGATCATCGACAAAATGCAAGCAGAAATCAGCGCGCGCGCTCTCTCTTTCTGTGTGTCTCTCACACACTATCCCGCAGAGTAATCGCACATTACTCCTCCTCATCCGAAAACTCATAACTAACCACCTTCTTAGTCTTCGCCTTCGCCTTAGTCTCCGTCTTGGTCTCCTTCTTGGTCTCCATCTTCTCCCCCGTCTTCTTCTGCACACTCTTCACCGGCTCCTCCACGACATTCGGCGCAATGTTTGGGGCAATGGCGTTAGTCCGACCGCTGACCCTGCGCCCACTCTTGCCGTCCCACACGCTTCCATGCGACGCCAATATCTCGCTCGGAATATTGTACAGCCCGTCCTTACCCTCCCAACTACCCGTCGACCTGCGCGGGATACGAGATTTAGTCGACTTCTCTTTTGGGGGTGGGGGTGGGGGTGGGGGGGTTTCGGCCGGCGGAGGATGCGAAAGCGGCGAGAGGACCAGGCTGCGGCGGGGACGGCCTGCGGCGGGAGTTGTAGTTGAAGTTGCAGTCGCGGGGATGGGGCTTTGGATGACGACTGTTGGCTTCGTACTGCTGGTGGCGGTAGTCTTCTTGCTGGAGCGGGAGGTGGGGATCTTGGAGGTGGTGGGGGTGGTGGTGTTGGCTGCCGGAGTTTCTGGGATTTCATCTTCAGCAACAGCGACAGCAGTTTTCTTGCCGCCGGAAGAGCGGGTTTGACGTGCTGGTTTGCTGGTGGCCGGGGTGGCAGCGTCAACTTCGACCTTGGTGACTTTACGCCGAGTGGAGGTGGTGCGCTGTAATATCGCTTTCCTGGCAGCAGGTGTCATCGTGGAGGGAGGAGGTAGTAGTTCCGGTGATGCTATTCTTTGGGGTGTCCCTTGCACCTCATCCCCTCCCACGACGGCGACGGCTTTGAGCTTTCTACGCCGGGGCGAGGTAGTGGTCGGCAGTGGCGGAGACCTCCTCGTGGCTGCAGTTTTGGTAGCTGGCAGCCCAGGAGATCCCGGGGTCTCAGGTATCTCTTGGTTCTTGTCCACGGCTGTGCGGCGAGACGAATTGGTGCGTCGTGGAAGTGATTTCTTGGGAGTCGGAGTCTTGGAAACTACTGGCTCCAGGATATCTGGATGCATTTCATCCTCCTCGACCGTTTTGTTCTTTATTCGACGAGAATAGGAGCTGGTCTTCTTCAAATTTGGCGTCTCTTCAACCTCCGAAGCCTCCGATGTCTCGATGACCGCCCTACCGGCTTTACGAAGCGACGATGGGCTACCCGGTGGTAGCAATGTCTTCCGCGAAGTTGCAGCTTTGATTTTAGTAGCAGTAGGAACTGGAGTGTCATGGTTGACACTCTTCGTCAAACGTGGCTCGGCCGGAGTCTTCTTCTGGGCCGTCGAGCTCTTCACGGCAGAAGCGATGGGAGCAATGGCAGGAGTTTCCGGAATCTCTGGCGCACCCCTCGTCTTCCTAGTGGTACGTGGGGACGTGACGGGAACTGGAAGCGACTTCTTTTGCGGAGGAGACACGGGTTCGACATCGACAAAGTTGTAGATATCTGTTTCATCGAGGGTCTCTTCACCCCGGTTTCTCTTCCGGGAAGATGTAGCGGGCTCCGGTGGTGGAGGCTTCTTCTGAGTGGAGGTCTTCGAGGTGGACGTTGGGATCTTCGAGTTTGAAGCTGGAGATTTCATTGTGGTAACCGGGGAGGACCTTGAGCTCGACTTGAGTCGAGAAGATGATCGTGTTTCGGGCAGTGCAGTCCCCATCGTTGGAGTGTCGTATGTAGTTGATGCTTGCTTCGCGGACCTGGTAGCAGGAGTCTCTTCCGTAGCTTGGGTCGGTCTCGCAGATCTCGCAGATGGGGTTCTCGTGGTGCTCGATCCTGTAGCTCTTGACAGGTAGGGTGCTCTTGAAGTGATTTTCGGAGTCTCCGCCGGCGCTGTGTTGGCATTCGTCTTTCTCCGCTTCTCTGGCGGCGGAGCTGATTGGATTTCCTGTTGAGCCGCGTCGACGTCCTCCATTTGCGCATGCACACCTGCATCTGCTGACAGAGGCACGTCGATATCCATTGACGACGACTCGGGCAACGACAATTTCTCATGCTGCTCCATTGCTTGCCCAAGAAGCGACTTTCTCTTCTTAGCGGATGGTAGCTTCTCTGTCACGACCTTCTTCATCTCGGGCGCAGCGGTGATGGGTTCTTCCTCACGAGCACGTTTTGCAGTAGCTCTAGCTTCTCCTTCCTCCGTCTCCCTCTCCAATTGAGCAGCCGCCGGCTCGCCAACAAACGTCTTCCTCACCATCTCCCGTCCCTTCTCCTCTACCTTCGGCGGCAGCAGCACATGTCTCTGTAGTATCGGAACCGGCCTCGGCAGCGCAGTCGTCGTAGACCCAGCACCGAATCCGGAGAGCACACTATACCCACCGACGGGTTTCTTTGCCTGGGGACGCGAAGACTCGTAAGCAGCCGTGATCGTGCGCGGAACGGGCGAGGTGTGCAGGAGCTTGTCGAATGCGGCGTTTGGTTTGAAGCGTGGGGCGGGGGGACCAGGAGGTCGAGGAGGTGGCTGCATGGAGCAGAGGTTTTTGTTGGGGTTGTGCGAGGTCGAGGAGTTGGTCGAGGTGCTGGGTGAGAATGGTGATGCGGAGGAGGAGCGGCCGACGAGCGGGATTGGTGGGCTGAGGGTGTCGAAGGCGCTGCGGAGGGGGGCGGGGGTCGGCATTCTTGGATGCGGGTGCGACAGGCCTCGGCGGGGAGAACGTTTCGAGGGGGGGTCGTGGTGCCGCGACGTCGTTCTTTATGATCGTTCTGGCCGTGGCTGTTGTCGTGCGACGCGGAGAGTGCTAGCATGTTCTGGTATGTAGCGCCTCGCGAGGGTTGTGGGCGAGGCTCTCCTCCACCACACTACTATACACCCCGGGTTGATCCGAACGAGCACGTACAACAAATTCATATCTCACTCGACGTGTGGAAGAAGACGATATCTAGAGGAAGGAAGAACAAGATCAAAGATTGGTTGTAATTCTCCATTGCTGGCAACCAGTTTGCGAGTGCTATGTAGTATATACACCAGCGCATCCACTCTCCTACAGTCCTCACCTAGAGCGCATCGACCATCTCCTTGGGCGGAGGGGTAAAGAATGGCGCCGGCATGTTTCGCTCGTACTTGGAGCCTGTGGCGCAAATATGCATGTTAGATCGAGAACCCCCGCGCGTTGGTGTTTGGGAGGCGGAGTAGGAGGGGAGAGGGATGGCGAGAGCGTACCTCCGGGAGCTGTCGGGGCAACGTAGGGGTCGGGGTGCTTCCACTTCTGGAGCGTCTTCTCGGTCTCTTGGAGGAGTTTCTGGGAGCAGAGTCGAGTGTCAACGGATGTCCGACGGGAACGCAGAGGACGGGGCGGGGAGGGCTACGCTGAGCTGGCGAGGATCGGTCACGTCCCGGTTGGCCTCGAACATGTCGCGGATGTTCAGCGCCTGCACACGCCAAAGGTCGCGACGAACGGTCCAGTGCAGCGACGTGTTGAGTGCCCGCCGGTAGAGCGACCTGTCGAGCCCGCACCCGTGAGATTAGCATCGCTTCGCTGGAGGCACGGCTGCAGGATTGGGATGCGATGTATACATCACGGCAGATCGTGTAGCGGACATCTTGCGGGTCGGCGTGGTCGTAGGTGTGATCGTAGGTGTGGCGAGTGATAGCTTTAGCTGGACGGGGGGTTGGAGGGGGGTCTTGATTCTTGACGGGATCTAGCAGCAGTGACGATTGGAGATTGTTGCGGCTCTTTCTCTCGTCTAGTTACGCTTGGCTCGGCTGTCACAGGGTGGCCTGGCTGAGTAATGCCTTGATGCACAGCTCTCCCCACCTGCCCGCGATCATCAGGGTCATGCGGAATGTCTATCCAGCAGACAGAGTCTGCCCAACAACAACTGTTTTTGAGATTGAATGAAGTCAGAACAGCAGCCGAGTGAGCGGCCATGCTCTTCCGTTCCGCTCCCCTCTTCGGGGCATTCTCTTTGATTTTCTTGACGTCTCCCTCATCATCGGCTGCAACTCGGCATCATCGGGTAGTTGATCCGCGATATTTTTTCCGGTGAACCCAGCACTGCCAGCCTACCCAGCACCGCCAGCCAACCCAGCGCTGCCAGCCAACCCAGCTTTGCCTGTTTCAACGGCGTCTATAAGCCTCATCTCAACCTCTCCCGTATCCCCGTAGCCATTCGCTCCCGCATCATACAAACACCCCATCCCCCACCCTCCCACACACCCTACCATTAAACCACCACCGCCACCCCGAAAACCACCTCCACACCGCAAGCAATCATGGCCTCTAGACTCGCCGTGCGACGTCTTCCTACAATCAGCACTCGCTGTCTGAGCTCGCGGGCAGTAGCTCCGGCCGTCCGCTCGTTCTCGAATGTTGCCGTCCGCTCTCCTTCAAGCACACTGATCTCTGCGGTCTCGAGGTAACTTTCGCTGATCCCCCTCGCCATCACTCACTCATTTCCCTTCCATTTACTAACACCTCACACAGGAAATCGGAACGCTTCGTCAGCGCCGCCTCGATCCTGCGTGTCCAGACTCGGTCGTATGGTACGCAAAACGAAAACATCCGCAACCCTGCCTGACGACCCAAGCTAACATGCACTTTGCGCACACGCAGCCGAAACAATCGTTAAGGTCCCCCAGATGGCCGAGTCCATCTCGGAGGGCACCCTGAAGCAGTTCTCAAAGAGTTTGTTTTGCCCTGTTCCGACAGTGGGTATGCGGGATTTATGCTGACGGGCTTGTCTTCACTACAGAGGTTGGAGAGTTCGTGGAGCAAGATGAGGAGATTGCTACTATTGAGACCGACAAGGTGCGTTTTCTGTGGAACTTTGATACTTGCTTGCTTGCTCCCGCGGAGTGGCCGCTAACTGATGATGATGATGGTACAGATCGACGTCGCCGTGAACTCCCCCGAGGCCGGTGTCATCCTTGAGTTTTTGGCGAACGAGGAGGACACAGTAGTTGTCGGGCAGGACCTTGTCAAGATCCAGCCTGGCGGCCGCCCCGAGGGAGGCGAAAAGCCCGCCGTCGAGGCAAAGGAGGAGGTCAAGGGACCCGCCGAGCCCAAGAAGGACTCTGCCCCCGCACCCAAGAAAGAAGAATCGGCACCCCCGGCGCCCAAGCAGCAGCAGCAGCAGCAGCAGCAGCAGTCCAAGCCTGCCGCGCCGGCACCCAAGGCCGCCGCACCCGTCCCCACCTCCAGCGGCGACAAGCCCTTCGGCAACCGCGAAGAGCGCCGCGTAAAGATGAACCGCATGCGGCTGCGCATCGCCGAGCGCCTGAAGGAGTCGCAGAACACGGCGGCGTCGCTCACCACCTTCAACGAGATCGACATGTCGGCGCTCATGGAGATGCGGAAACTGTACAAGGACGCGGTCCTCGAGAAGACCGGCGTCAAGCTCGGCTTCATGAGTGCCTTCTCGCGCGCCGTCATCAAGGCTATGGAGGACGTCCCCGCCGTCAATGCCTCCATTGAGGGCCCTAACGGCGGCGACACTATCGTCTACCGCGACTACGTCGATATCTCCGTCGCTGTCGCGACCCCGAAGGGTCTCGTCACCCCCATCGTCCGCAACGCTGAGGGCCTCGACATGATCGGCATCGAGGCGGCGATCGCCGAGCTCGGAAAGAAGGCGCGCGAAGGAAAGCTCACCATCGAGGACATGGCCGGCGGAACGTTTACCATTTCCAACGGAGGCGTCTTTGGGTAAGCCTCCTCCCCCCCTCCCCCCCTCCCCCAGTTTCACCCCCCCTCCCCCCAGTCTCACTAACAACCGACCCCAGCTCCCTCTTCGGAACACCCATCATCAACCTCCCGCAGACGGCGGTGCTGGGGCTGCACACGATCAAGGAGAAGCCCGTAGCCATCAACGGCGAAGTCAAAATCCGTCCGATCATGGTTGTCGCGCTTACCTACGACCACCGTCTGCTCGACGGAAAGGAGGCCGTCACGTTCCTCGTCAAGATCAAGAACTACATTGAGGACCCCCGGCGGTTGTTGCTCGGTGTTTAAGTTATTTCTACTTCAGGGGACGGGGAGGAGGGGGGGAATGAAGGGGGAATGAAAGGAGGAGGGGGGTGAAGGGGGTTTGATTTTTGCTATGTTGCATTTTCTTTTTTTTTTCTCGTTCTCGGTTGGGTTCGACTGGGTGTTGTTGTATTACCAGCGGTGTTTGGTATAGGTACAGGGCAAGCATGGCAATGGTATTGAGATGAGATGAGATGAGATGAGGTGAAGAAAGATGTGCGTGGGCGAGGGGAGGGGAGGGGAGGGGAGGTGTACTTTAGGTGTGGTGTGAAGTGTTGATGATGGGGGGAAGGTTGCGTTTTGATTTGTTTTCACGCACGATGCCTGAAGGATACATATCAGATGTGTAGGTTAGGTGTATGGCGGTCGGACGGTCCCGTTCCATTCATCATCATACCCATACCCATACCCTATCCATTCATCATCATACCCATACCCATACCCCATCCATTCCATCCATTCCATTCCAATCCATTGAAGTAGAGTACCTAGCGGTTAAGGGGAAAAGAAGAACAATTTCAACGAACGTTAAAAGCACAGCCAGCGGAGTAGTAAACAGCACACAAATTGAACGCCCGCACAAATCCCCTCCAGATTCCCCTTCCCCTGCCCACGCCATATCCAGATCTAGGTAGCTGGTTTACTTAGTAAGGACTATCAACGATCGCATTTCTATTCCTCAGCTGCCTTACGGGGGTGCTGATGCTCTCGCGCGACGGCTTTGAGAACGTCTGTTTGCGGACCATGTCGACCTCGTTGGCGAAGGCGACGACGACGGACTTATCGGAGCCAAAGCGGAAGTTGTCAGCCTTGACCTCCTCCTGGTAGCGTTTGATCTGGTAGGGATCGCGCTTTCCGGCCAGGGCGCGCTTGAGGTTCCAGGTGACGACGAAGGGCCCGGTAGAGGTGATGATTGCCGTCTCGTTGGCGTCTACGCCCGTGTTGAACTTGGCGGTGGTGAAGGAGAGCGGCGATTTGGTTTCCGCTTGCATTTGCGCCACGTGCATGGGGTTGAGGGTGAGGCGGCGCGGCTTGGGCTTCTCGTCTTTCGGGAAGGCTTTTTGGAAGCCGAGCTTGCCCTCGTTTTTACCGGTCTGGAGGGTGTCGATGAGGAGGAGGTAGGTTTTGCAGGTGGCGAGGACGTAGCGGCCGTTCTTGGAGACGTCGAGGCCATCGATAGCCTCACCGAGGGCAGGAAGGAGCGTCTTTGCGTTGATGCCCAGGCGGTCGAAGAGACGGATATCACCCTTGTTGGAGGCAACTGCGATGTAGCCGTTTTCGGTTGTGGCGGCGGCGGAGAAGTCATTCTTGGTGACGTATTGCTTGAGCTCGGAATCGACAAGTTTGTCGCCGGAAAGACGTGGGTCGATGCGGAAGAGGGCGTTGTTGGATAGTCCGAGGAATGTCTTCTCACCTGTCATCTGAGAGAACTTTTTCTCTGGTGCGAAGACTTTGACTGGGATGTCGTCGTGAATCTTCCAATCGTCGACGACCTTGCCGTACTCGAGGTCCATACGGTATAGATTGTGAGGGTTCGTCTCGTCCTGCATGATCATGCTGCTGTCGCCCTCGTGAAGCATCACCTGAAAGAAATATGCATTAGACGACGATCACTATTGCTACACAGCTGGTTGCTGAACTCACCTTGGAAGGCACAAATCCCTTGCCCTTGGGCGTTTTAACACTGTTGATGGTGGTGGAAAACTCTAAACCGTTATCACCAACGTGCTTGAAAACGCCAATCTTGTTTCCACGGACGACAAAGCTCCGATCATGCTTGAACCCGACGGCCAACTGGCTGTTCTCGTCCCCATCGTCATTGATGTTGCGCACATGCTTATCGTCCTCATCCTCGTCAGTGTCGTACTCCTCGCTCCGACTGCCTTCATCGTCCTGAAGCTGCTCTTCGTCCTCATTCTCATACTCATAGAACTCGTCTTCATCGGCCTCTTGCGGCGCATCGTCCATGGTGAGATCGTTGAACGCATCCATGACGTACTCGCGGTCCTGGTCTTTGAATTTGGCCCACTTCTGCTCGTTCAGCTGTTCCCAGAGCGCGCGCATCAAGCCCTCCTGGAAGCGCTCCTCAGTCTCGTAATCCTTGAAGCGGAGAAGCCACGAGAAGGCGGAGCCATTCTCGAAGTCGTACTGGTTGAAGATGAACGATAGGTATTCGAAGTTGAACACAGGGTTGATGTCTGCGATCACGGGTATTCCAACATGAGCCTGCTCAGGACCCTCAATCTGTAACCAATCTAGAATCCACTCGTCAGTTGGAACGATCGAGTTTGCTCCAGACAGAATAGCTTACACTGCCACTTCCCCACCTCGCTGACAACCGCTGTAGCCTCGGAGTCTTGGAGCACGAAGGTTCCGCTTGCAAGATCAAAGAGATGCAACTCCGCCTTCTCCGTACAGAACACATCCAAGGCCTCAGGGGCGGACTTTGTCTTCGGGGTGACTGTGGCGACAACCTCGGGAGTCACCGTTTCCGGTTGCTTCGGTCTCCTAGTGTTCCTAGCGGGAGCAACGGGGGCAGCGGGGGCAGCGGGAACTTTGGATGCACCAACGGGCGACCCAGCATTTGAGGTATTGGGCGGAGTGGCCACCGGTGAAGCTGGGGGAATCGGACTATCCCTAATGGATCAACCACACCGTCAGTTCCCATCATCCACGCCGAGTAGTGTCTCGAGTTGGTAGCACAAACGTGAAGATGAACTGGTTCAACTCCTTCTCGGTGGCGGTCTCGTAGCTGCGCTTGTACTTGCGCTCGAACTGGCACTGCATGGAAACAACCTCGAATGTCTGGATCGAGCTCGGCTGAACGGTCGTATCGCAAACGAACTCGTAGACGTCGCCTGGGTCCTGCAGACACGATCAGCACCAATGCCTCCGGTATCAGCTCGCTATTTTTCTTACACCGCTCAAGTCTCGCCATGCGAACACAGCGTGGCCGTCCCTCACGGCCGATCTCATGTGCAGACTCTCGTCCAACAAGAAGGTCTTTTCGTCCCTGGTGTCATCCGAGTCCTCGGCATCATCGATCAACTGCTCCTCACCCTCTTCGAAGGCGCGCTGGATGACAAGCTGGTAGTGATACTGGGTCGACGTCCGTCGGATGGTGGCTTGCGCATCTTTGAATCTGTATCGTAGGCGCAAAACACATCAGTCACGTAGGGTTTGGGGGAAGAGACATCACCAATACTAGAATATTGTATTCCACTTACATGCACTCGCTATATCCCTTCACGGAATGCGGCCGGACAATATACAGCTGTCCCTGGTCGAGCTGTATGATATCCTGCTTCGTCGAGTCGCCAAAGACGAACTTCCCCAGATTCCTGAGGACGAACATGGCTTCGCTTTACGGTGTCTTTCTGTATGTCTGGGAAGGTTCGTACGCGTATGGAGGAGAAGAGGGGTCGAGGTGAAGTGGATTGGTTTGGGTCTCAGAGTGGCTCTTTGTAGTTGGGCGGTTTGATGCGGTGCAGACAGACGCGGGGCAAGCGAAGCGATCACAACAAAGGTTAGCACATACCTCTAAAATTGCGCCACAAACGTCAGTGGTTGCTGGTGGGTGGGTGTGGCTGGCGAACTCGAGTGAGCCACTGTCTCAAGTCTCTGGCTCCTTGTGGCCAATCGAATGGCTTCAACTTTAACCGGCCACCGTACCAATAGAGTTATAATATCTCCAGGATTCTCAGTGTATGACTCTTTCTCCATCTCCGAATTACTCATATCTCCCCTGTCCCGTCTTAGAGTTACCGGAATACTGTTGGTGTGTTTCGGACCGGGCAGGCTGCCGCGCAGTACGGTACCTAGGGCACGGTGAATGCGCTTCAGCCATGGATCTAATCTTTGATCCAATCACCTGGCTAGTGGACAGTGCTGTGGACCACGGCGGCGCCCACGACGGCCGCTCATCTCGATGTCGGCTCTCGGACACATGCTGGAACTAGCTCCTACCCAGCATCCGTCGTGTCGCAATACCGTAGACATTCACCATGATTGGATTTCGCTGTACCAGGTGAAACGATGATGGCTCCCGCCACAGTTTTCACGGTTGATCGCGACGGTATTATAAGGACAATCACGTCGTTCGCTCGCTCGGCCTTAGCGGAATATCGAATGACTGTACTTAGAGTAGTTATCGGTCGACAGGATGCGTCCAATGGCATAGGTATCCTCTCATCCGATGGTCCATAGTACAGTACCTAATTTGTTTGCAGTGAGGAACTCCGCGCCACAGTGTGGCGCTATGCGGCGCTTTTGACGGGGCCCAGAATCACCGCCGCGGAGTCCAGCAGAAAGGTGACCGCCCCAGATCAACAGCCCGAGGGAGCAGAGATGCCTGCTCGATCCCGTCGGCTGGAGCTCCGCAGAGACACCTCCCCCGCTCAGCGATCCCTTGTGCTCCGATCCGGCCTTGCGCAGCGCAATAGTCTCCGCTCAAAGTCTCAAGCTCGCCAACCCCTGCAACCCATCCTATTGGGCTCCGCACGCGTGTTGTCCCGCTTTTGAAAGTCTTCTCCACTTCTCTGACCCCACCCCCCCCATAACTCGCGTCTCCCGGAAAGCTGCCAACTCGAACCCGCCAACTGCCTCCCACGCAAACCGAACCCCCTGGAATCACCAATCGCCATCCATCGCGCTTCATTCCTTCATCCCTTGATTCTTCACAAAAAGGAAAAAAAATACCCATTCACCCCGAACCCGCGCATCCCGTCATTAATCGTCAGAAATCCGAAGCCGCCGCCGCCAAAGCTCTAGAACCTATAAACAGCGCCGTGCTCAGTGCAACCCCACTCGACCAGCCCCACTCAACCCCCCATCTTGCCCCGTGCCTAGGTCGCTTTACGTTCTCCGCGTCGTACCCTTTTTCCGTCACAAAAGAATCCCGCCCTTCTCTCGATACCATGAACGGTGGTGGTGGTGCATCTGCTGCGCCAACGACGGAAAACGGTGCCGGAGGTCAACAGTCGCAGCCCCTACACCAGCTCAAGCAAGCCTTACATATCGTCTACAGCCCGCAGTCGAGCAACGATGACCGGAAGCAGGCTGGAGCCTTCCTAGAGGCTGCAAAGAGCGAAAAGGAAGCGCCGTTCCATGGCTTCAAACTCGCGCACGATAAAACCCTGGAACCGGTAGTGAGACATTTCGGCCTGCTGCTACTGGAGAATGCGATCCGGTACTCCTGGCCTGACTACACTGTCACCGAGAGCATTACGGTTAGAAACTGGATCTTGTCCCTGGCCGAGAATATCGACAACAACGACCCAGTCTACCTGAGGAACAAGATCGCGCAACTCTGGGTGGAGGTGGCCAAGCGGATGTGGGATAATGAATGGCTGGATATGGACGAGTTGCTGGTGAGACTTTGGGACAATGCCGCAAGACAACCAAATGCTGCACAGAGGGACCTCGTACTATTCATTCTGGAAACGTTGGTAGATGATGTCTTCAACCGTGAGGATTCGGTAGCTGGGTTGAGGAATACACCGTTGAGCAAAGCCTGTTTTGACGTCTTCACGCCTCTGAGTGTCTTCGATACTTATTATCCTCAGAGAGAACCAAGCACCGTGACACGCCGCGGAGACGATGGTTGGCTCGTGAGACTTGTCCGTCTGCTGGATGAAGCCCTCGAGGCGGGTGTGAACAAGGATTCCGAGGCGGAAGCATGCTCCATCAAGATTCTGAGCGTACTGAAGGCTTGCATGGGATGGTCCATACCAAAGTGCGCATGCGCCACCCCTGACCGTCTTTTCCTGTGAATTTACCCATAGCTGACCATGAGATTGCTTTCCCTAGGGCTGTATCCGCATCTAAAGTCGTCGAAACCGTCGGGAGATCACTGATGGTTGAGAGTACGGCAGTACAGATGGTAGATACCCGGCTCACCTAGTCCACCATCTCCTTTTCTCCTCCGCACTTCAAAAGCTGATGGTACAGATCGCCACAGAGTGTCTTCACACGCTTTTTTCAAAGCCTTTTTTCGAGGATGATGACTTTCAGAGCCTTGTCTGCCCAATGTATCATTCTCAGACTGTAGACCTTCTAAAAAACATCTTCAATTGGGTACGAGTTGATGCAAGCGACATTGACGAAGAACGGTATCTGTTCCTGAAGAAATTTTCCGAGGTAGACAGTTCCATGTGATTGCGACTGTCGTGGTGGAAGAGCAGATGAGGAAGTCCCAGAGAAAGCTGACCTGGTAACTTTTCTCACAGATGATTGCCAACCTCGGGGGTTTTATTGAGGATCGGGCTAACTCGCTACCAAATGAGCTCGATTTGCCTGGTTTCCTCAACTTAGCCTTCCTGATCTCCAGCCACGACAGTCTTGCGATATCTATCCCGGCATTGAATCTCTGGACTAAGATCCTTAGGTCGGAGACTCTAGGCCAGATTGATGTCGTACAGCCTTTCACCGCTCAGCTATTGGAACTGGCAACTTCCAGGCTGATCAGGGTGTGTATTTTATTCCTCGCCCTCAAGATCGCGAAAATATTAAACACAACATTGCTGATTGGTGACATTTCAGTACGAAAATATGGAAGAAGACAGCAAGATTCCCAGTGTAGTATTCCTCAATGAAGACCTGGACACGATTCCGGAGCGCCATGCATTCCTAGGGAACTACAGACGCTTCTGCAGTAGTATAGTGGAGAGCATCACTAGACGGAGACCCTTCGAAGCGTTCCCTTTCATAATGGGCAATGTCGATAACACTCTCGGCTCGCTTTATGCATCGGAACCACCGTTTGCCTGTAAGATACGCAATTCTACAACGTATGGCTGTCGTCTAATCTGTTTCATTATGTAGTTGACCGGTACAAGAAGAACTCTATGGAATTCCTACGGGTGGATTCTCAGTTTTCTGTTGTTGAGGCTGCACTCAAAGGCTACATGAAATGGGCTGACAATAATGCGCTCGAGCCCGTACTGGTAAGTTTGATCGAAACGTATGTACTTCCTTTGGACTTTAGTGGGTTAACCTGCCGTATAGGACAACAACAAGGAGCCCCTGGAACGGAACCTGGAAACCTGGTGTGAACAGCTTCTGGCCAAAATTTTTGAGGATCCAATGATAAAACGACGAGTTATCCAATTGATGGTTACCTTTTCCACAACAGCCCTTGATAACAGGCCAGATCTCATGCTGAAGATTCTTGAGCACATTCTGCTGACACGACCGGCCGAGTACCCTGCTAACCATGGTTACACGGATGCGCTCAAAGAACTCATGAACATCTGCACGACGGAGATTCAACGGTTAGCGATGAAGATGCCAGATCATCTCATGGTCGTTTACGATCAGCTGCAGAGCAAGATCAACGAGATTGCTGCGGGTGATGGCGTCGACGACCGGACGAAGATCGCTTTTCATACATTCCTCTTCACTATCAAGTAGGTGGGATTTTGTCACTGCCGGAAATCGCGCTGACAGAAGTCATAGCCATCGCACAAAGAACATAGACCCGGAAATACGGAAACAAAGACTCGAAAGTTACATCGTGCCAGTGAAACAAGGCTGGTCAGATCCTAACTTGACGGAGGCTTTGCGGTCTTTCCAAGGGTTCTGTCAACTACTGGGGTTGGACAAAGTTCAGGAATATCTGATATCACGGCGGGTGCATGAGATTCCCGACTTTTCGAACCATCCACTAGATACTGAAGGCCAGGCACTGCAGAACGAGCTCACAGAGAAGTTCAAGGTATGGCTTCACCACCATGTATTCAAAAATAGTTGGTGTGCTTACAATGATAGACACTTCCGATCCGCGCTACAAAGGCATTCATCGCTGTATCCACGGAGAAACTGAAACGCCCGTCAAACGCCTACAATATCTCTTGCAGCTTGTGGCATGATGCGATCCCTATGATCTTGCCGAACTTGTTGAGTTTCATGAGGTTAGTTTCCTTCGATCCTATTGCGTGAGGCGATGTTGACTTGGGCAACAGTAATGCACATGGATTCCATAACCCCCAAAATTGGCAAGGCCTTCCTCTAGAACTTCAGCCAGTCGTGAAGAAGATCCTTACCGATCGGTTTTGGCAAGCCGGTATCTCAACCGGCAGCAGAGACGACTTCTACGAGAATGTAACAAAGACCAAAACAACCATGGAAGGTCTTGCGTCCTCTATCAGGGGCGCCATTCGCATGGTTCGTGAATCGTGTTACTCAATTCTCTGGTGTATGTCGCGGCTTGACGTGCATTTCTACGGGTTGGAGGAGCTTCCCGGGCCTCTTGCTATGGCTCTATTCTCCGATGCGCATGCGCTGAGCTCGCACCAAATGTCGATTTTGCTCAACATGACGCGATACATCATCGATGACTGTCCTGTACCTTATCGACAGCACTTCCTGACACCCCTACTCGCCAGTCTCTTCACCCAAGTTGACGCAAAAGTGAGCGGGGAGTGGAATGAGTTGATCGAGAAAGGACAAATATCGCAAGGTGGAGAGGCGCAGCTGGCCGAGGAGATGAAAGAGGAGAGTATCCTGCGGCAACTCACCTACACGGCGGTATTGATCGTGGCAGGATTGCTGGATCCTCAGCGGCCTGGGGAAACGAACCTCGCAAACGCGAATATGCTGCCCCACCTTGCGCTACCGGAAATGGAGGCGAGCCAGTCAGGAGAACCAACTATGCGGGAATTCATCCTCTCCAGTGATGTTGTCTTGGAGCCGCTCATCCTGTTTTGCACCCACGCCCTGCGCATGCGCGATTCAAGATGTTGTGGTATCATCATTCGCGTCTTTAGGTCTATCGTGCCAGAATTCCGCGCGGACCGTGCGGATATCCGAGAGTTTATCTGCCGTGAAGTGCTGATGGCGGCTGTAGACGTGAGCCCACCTTCCCCCACCTTGCATTTCGACAGAAGCTAATAGCCCCGTTTCATAGTCACTCCATGAAGATTACTTCGTCGATGTCCAAAAGGACCTCGCGCAGTTGATTTCCACCATTTGTCTCCTCTACTCCCCCGCATCACAGACACCCAGGAATCTCCTACTCTCCCTCCCGGGCATCACAGAATCTAAAGTGGACTCCTGTTTTAAGCGCCTAGCGGTAGCACAGAGCACGCGCCACCAGCGAGCGCTATTCTTGGAACTACTGGATGGCCTCCGCGGTGTGCCAATGAGCGAGAAGGGGAAGCTGCCTCGGGCCAGCAAACAACGCGCTGCGGTGGAGAAGGAGAGGAGGTCTCAGCAGCAGCAGCAGCAGCAGAGGTATGCCGAGGAGAGACAGAAGAGCCCAGATTTGGGAGGCGTCGCGGATATGTTCGCGTGATATAGATTTCATGTGTGATTGATTGTTTTCTGTACATTTTCATTTTCCAGGGGTAGTTGGCTGGTAGGGACTGATCACAGACAGCCTTCATAAAGCATACTCCCCCCTATCCTCTTGATTTTTTTTCCTTTTCCTTTTCCATTTGTCGTTTTCCATTTTCAGTTTGTTGAGTTGATGGACATCATGGGCGGATACCTATCACGGGTGATCATAATTGTTGGAGAATGGTAGGGTACTATTATGTTGATGATTATTGTGTACTTTTATAGTAGGGATCTGCTTTGGTCGTAATGGCAATGGCAATGGCAATGGTACTTTCTACCGTGTGTGAAGAATTCGTCATCCAGTGATAATTTATCTATGGTTGGGCGATATTCATTTTGAGTGGCCAAAGCAACGCTAGTGTTTGTGTATCAGTATAGGTATACGCATTTGAACTACCTATCTACATAGACTGCGACCACAGCCCACAGCACTTCCCCACAGCGCTTCTCCCCAACCGTGGGTCCGTGACAGAACAACCATCCCCCTGCGCTTACCTACATACATACACACAACCATCACCTGGTATATATATCCATAGCTATCCTCTCATCTTACCAGTGATACACCAGTAGCTAACTCTATCAAAGTTCCAAAGCCTGTACTCGCCGTCTCGGCCCCCGTACTCTAAACGGTATCTATTGAACTCGTCGTCTCGAGCTCATTCCTCGTCGCATCGCCGCTGCAATCCGACACGATCTGAAACTGCAACTGCAACTGCAGCAATGGCACGCGCAAAGAGTCTGAAGCGTATGATAGAGCTTGGTCGTGCAAGGGCTGCAAGGAGGGCAAGGGCGAAGGAACTAAAAGAGAAGAGAGCTGCTCTTGAGGCCGCAAAATTGGCCGCTTCTTTACCTGCGAGGACTGGCAATGAGGGTGGAGAGGGGGCACAGCTTGCGGGTTCCGGGAATAGTGCTCACCGCCAGAGTGATGGCGTCAAGAAGGGGGGGAGGACGAAAGGGAGCAGCATCAGGTGCCCGGTAAACGCAGATCGAGCAGGATAGCACAAAAGCAGAAAGAACTGAAGGTGGATGCTGTTGGCACTGCGATAAACCGCTAATATAAACGTGGTGAGGCGGTTCTGGAGGCCGATTCGGATGGAGTGGTACATGGAACTCAAGAGCTCACGGAAGGTGTGTAAAGGACATCGACAGGTTGCAGATAAGAATAGAGAGGACATGCAGTAGTCGAAGGCGGTTGGAAGTGTTTTTGTGGATCTCATCTTTTTTTTTGTGCATTCATTGATTGAATGCGAATTTGTGGATCTCCTACTGCTGAGATGTGGTTGTGGAGTGATATTGGATGCAGCCATATGTTGTGTAAATTGTAATAGTTAGCACCGGTCACGCCAATCATGTCAGATGGGCGTTTCAATCGCCAGCGGTCAGTGATGTGAGGCCTGATACGGCTACTGTTTACCCGTGAACTGTGTAGGTATTCGCCAGACTAGTAACATTCCATGATGCCTTCTATGATACGACCAAGGGTACTGGGTATCCCCAAAAGTAAAGTACATCCAAAAGGACCAAAGGACCAAAAACCCAAAAAGTCAACCCCCTACGCAACGCCAAAAGAATCTAAGTTTCCAAACCCAAAAAACCGATGACATCCAACAAGAGACAGTCAGTCCTGCTCCACATAGACTAACCAGCCCTCCCCCCTCTCTCCCTTATCCTCTGTCTCGTCTGTCTCTGCCTTCTCCTTTCCGTTCTCCTTATTCCCATGGACCTCCCTCAACTCCCCCCACCACCCCCTCGCCAACGCCGCACCACTCTCAGTGGGCTGGCTAAACGCAACCAACTCCCGGCCCACCTTCAAACCATAGACAAACTCCTGCCTTGCCTCCTCGAGCAACCTCCTCGCGACGCCCCGCCTCCTCCACTCCCCCGCAGTCCAAATCCTACATACGCCCAGCAGCGCCGGCCTCTCCTCCCCCATGACCACAGCGCCGGACGCGCCTCCGCGCGCCACATAGCCGCGCTGGATCCTCTCCGCGAGGAGAAACCCGACGACCCTACGCGACGAGGAAAAGAGGTATGCCTTCCATCTGCCAGCGCGCCACAGCGCGTCATCTGTGATCTCCGCAGCGCCAAGCTCCGAATCCACGATCTGCAGCATCTCACGGACCTTCCTCTTTTCCGCCGGCGCCGACTCGCCCGTGACCACCGCGACAGAGTCATCCCCCGTCGCCGCCGGCGCCGCGCCCCGCCAGATCACGCGCGAGAACAGCGATGCTGGCGCTTCCACGCCCGCGAGCGACGCGCGGTGGAACCGCGTGTGCACACGCACGTCGTCCGGCGACGACGGGTGGTACGACATCTTGCAGAGCGCGCAGGTGTGGCGGAGCCGCTGTCCGAGGTCGAGGGTGAGCTGGGTTAGTTTTTTGGGCGGGGCGGCAGCGGCGGGGCGGCGCCGCCGGGTGCTGGTCGCGCGCGAGGCTTGCGTGCTGGTCGGCTTGCTGGTTATTACGAAGGGGTGGGGAGGTGCGGGATGTGCGGCTGCGGCGGTGGGAGGCGGCGTGGACTCCGGCGGCTCCGAGGACGGCTCTTCAGAGGGCGAGGCAAGCCGGCGGCGTTTACTCGGAGTGTGTGAGTACGGAGTGGTTTTGCGGGAGTATGTGGTTGGCGCACGACTGGCGACGGATTAGCTGGTGATACCGAGACGTTCGGAAGAGGAACATACCGTCGGGGCTGGATCGGCATTGTGGAGCGCCGTATTCGTATGATACAGTGGGGTATGTGGGGTATAGTAGAATAGAGGCAGGAGGAACGCGTCCAAAAAGCAAAGTGATGTGGATAGAGTTTCTAAAGTGGTTGGGAAGACGCGTCGCGTCGTGGGGTTATTGATGTTACATGGTGGGAGATGCCGTGTTCACGTGCCCTAGTGAGCGTTTTAGTGGGCGCCCTCTCAGTCTCATGTGTGGTTGGGGACTCCTTATACCGACACTTTTGAGACACTTTTGAGACCCAATTTGACCCCGGGCTCTTCTTAACCACAACAGCTATGCAAATCTAAGAGCGAACGTAGGAAGGTATAGCAGCCCTTAAAGTAGGTCGTGACAGTGCTCAAAAAACAGTATTGATCGTGGTTAATTAGTATGGGAGGCTTTAGACGGGCATTTTGTGACTTTTGTGTACTAGCCCAGAGGGGTAATATTTTTTCCTGTGGAAAAAGCTGAGTGCTCAACTATGATTTGCCACCACCAAAAACCAAAATATACCATTGAGAGACCTTCGACGGGTACGGGCAACTGGTGAGAGTAATTCAATTGACTAGAAAGCAACAAGAAAAGAAAGGTAGCCTATGTCCATCAGGCTGAACAATCTCAAAGTATATCTGTGGTGATGATAATAATGTCTGCGGTGGTGATAATGTCTGAAGTCTCTTGTGTTGAACAAGAGACCGGCCGACTAGACAAACATAAAAGCAGCAACAGAGAACATCTCAACATTGAGGTGACCGCATCGGATCTGGTCCCCGAATCTCATACCATTTAACTAGAGAGGACGTATTGAAACCTCTATGAATCCCGACTTAAGGAGCTCGTTTCAGAGATCCAGATTCTCACGAGAAGACAATCGTCAGGTTTCATGCCCCGTGTTCCGCGCGAGTCTCTATATGAAGCCCGCCCAGACCTAACTATATGTTTAGTTGCTGGTGACCGACAGCTCGCAAGACTGCCACCTTACTTATACATATCCCGCTTATAGAAAGTCTTGCTATTGTTCTTCTTAACTGCGACTGGGAAGCGGAGATCGCGCATGACCACCGGCATTCCAGCACAAACGTAACCACCAAGTGACAAGAATCGCAAGTCCACCACAGTTCAAGCTCGCCACAGTCCAAGCTCGCCACAGTCCAAGCTCGCCAGAACGCAGTCATATGGCCCAAAGTACAGGATTTCCTTTGGCGGAGCGGCTGGTGGTACTTGGAAGTTAACGGTAGGTACCATCAATTGACAATAATCGCAAGCCCGCTACAGTCCAAGCCCGCTACAGTCCAAGCCCGCCGCAGTCCAAGCCAGCCAGAACGCAGCAAGATGACCCAAAGTACCAGATTTACTTTGGCGGAGCAGCTGTTGGCCAAGCCCAGAAACCACGATTATCCCAAACACCATGAATCACGATGGAAACTTCACTTGAAGATGCGTCTGGACTCTGGATAGAGGAATGTTGTGTATAAAGGACGAGCGTATCCTCCCGGTTTCCAGATCCCCATCCAGCCAACCAGCAATCCGCCTTCAAGACCAATACAAACCACATACATACAACACTTTCCTCGCTATCCTACCTACCTAGGTGCCTCAGTCAATATGCAGCAATCATCCATCAAGATCGCCTCCACTGCTGCCCACGAGGAATTCAACACTCCCGTCAACTACGAAAATGAAAACTGTTGGTTACCTTTCCTCGCTCCTTCCCTCCTTCCCTCAATGGTCCCGATCAATAGAGTAGTAACTGACGACTGATAATATATAGTCCACATGTGCATCATCTGCTAGGTAGTTAAGTGCCCGCTGGATCCTTATATAGTGCGCCGGCTCAGGTTCCACCTTCGACATTCCCTCTCTACAATCCACCCACATTATTATCGCTTTTCCTTCGAGTTTCCAACGACTTTCCAACGACTTTCTCTCGGGGGTAGTGAGGTACATAGGAGGAGGTTGTGTCGTTGGTGATCCGATCAAGTGGGCTGGGATGTGCTAATCTGGGGGTTTTATGTGTTGAAGGGTTATGTGAGACGGATTAACGTACTTTGTTTTTTCTTTATGCTTTATGTCGCGGTTATGGGGTTGGCAGCAATGATGGGATTGTGTATAACCACCTCTATCACCATTCCAAATTCTGTATATAGAGGACCTCCGGACCGGACCGGAGAGACTGGAAAAATAAGAGAACATTAGGTGTCAGCCAATACGGTAGATCTTCTTCGATCTGACATCATGTAACTCACTCGGTTCGAGACTCGTCATTCCCGTGAATCCGTGATATCCGTAACTCTGGAGAGCTTCCAGCCCACGTACCTACGTCAGATCCCACTGATAGATACATGATCTCCTGTATGGCCCGGAGTATATGATATATCCGCCTAAACAGTTGGAGTAATCGCTCCGGCAGAAGATGGTGCCACCACTGCCTATGCCCCTCGATGAGCGTGCACGGGACCCTCACAAGCTCTTACAGCGAGAGTCGTGATGACCGCGAGGATCGGTCTATATGAAGCAAGACTAACCGTCTCTTGTTAGATGTCATCGTATTGGAAGGGTTTGGATACTTAGATTCTTTTGGCGTTGCGTGGGGGTTGGTTCTTTGGTTCTTTGGTCCTTTGAGATGTATTGTACTTTAATTTTGGGATACCTAGTACCCTTAGCCGTATCATAGAAGGCATCATGGAGTGTTACTTGTCTGGCAAATATTTACACAGTTCACGGGCAAATAGTGGCCGTACAGGCCTCACATCACTGACCGCTAGTGATGGACATGCCCATCTGACATTATTGGCGTGACCGGTGCTATTACACGACATGGCTGTATCCGATATAATCCCCAGATGCTCCCGCACAACCACATCTAAGCAGGAGGAGCTCCGCCAAAGCCCCTGGCCATCTTTTTGGCGTGTCCCTCCCGCCTATTATGGTTGCCCACTCTTCCCTTATTATGCTCCTTCTTCGCCCTTCCTCTGCCCTCACCACCAGGTGGACCCTGTTGGCCACCCTCACCTCCGGTTCCACTTGTGCCCGGGGCACCTCCAGCCCTGTCCATACCGCCCCTGCCCCGGCCCCGACCCCGGCCCCGACCCCTTCCTCTGCCCCGTTCCGTCTCCGTATCTCCTGCGGTCCACCTCGTCCGTTCCAGTTGCACCTGCTGTCGGCCCGTGGCCATTTCCTGATCCACAAAGCGCTTCTCGAGCCTGCGCTGTCTATCTGGTTCGCGGTGCAACATGCTCGCCCAGCCTTCCAGGTCCTCGTCGGTCTTCGCCGTGCTCTCCTTCAGAGCCTTCCTTGCATTTCCGCCTCTCGCCTCACGGGAGAAGACTTCCGGAGAGCGTTTGTAGACCATCCACATTTCCATATCCACGTCGTCCCGAGTGTTGATCTCGCCGGTCTTTCCACTCGCCTCGCGGGAGAAGCCTTCCTTTTCTACCTCGTCCCGAGTGTTGATCTCTTCGGCATCTCTATCCACTGCGCCACCAATATCGGCAGAATCGTATGTATCGTCGCGCTCGTCATCGTCTGCATCAAAAGCGCTGAGAGCGGACAAGATATTGGATTTGTATTCACTCGCACCCTTGGCGATGAGAGCGTCGGCAGTGGTGTTGTTGTTGCGGCGGCCGGTGGTGAGTTTTGAGACGGTGGAGGATTTAAGACGGTCAAATTCGTCGTTGTCGTAGATGTTCTTGCGTTGGGGCTGGGGTGTGGTCGATCGAGTGTGGGTGGCTGGAGTGACCGAGGGGCGTGCGAACTGTGTCTCACTGGGGATGCTGCTTGGTGTTAGCCTGCGATCACTATTGAGGGAAGATCGATGAACATACTATTCCTCGTTCCGGTCAACGCCGTCCAACCCCGCCGGCAAGTTTCCATCCAATAGGGCCATGGTGACAGCTTCCGTATCTCCGTCCATTGCCTTCAAGCACTTCCGCAGGAAGCCAGTGCCAAAGTCTGGGAGTAGATCTCGAATGGTATCTACCTTGCTCGCAATTTCCGCCTCCTCATGGCTATGGGGAGTTACTGCCGCCTTGCCCTTACCTTTCGTGTCCCTCTTCTTCCTCTTCACTGGGGCCCTCCCGAATGGCTGTAGCTTCTCCACTGCACCGGCAACCCGGCCTTCATAGTCCGTTCCTACTGCTAGCTGCTCGAGCTTAGCCCCTACCCCCAATCCCATCAGCTTCTCCAGGAGCGCCTTCTCCTTGCTGCCACCGCTTGGCGAAGTGAGCGAATATATCCCATCAATAACGACGCTCCAATTGACTCTCGCGGCCTCACACCAAGCCTTAGCAAACAGCTTCACTGTGGCCTCACCGCCATCCATAGCAACCTCGACAAACTCATCACCCGCAAGAAATGTCGCCGCAACCTTCGGCGACGCTTGAAAGAGCTTTCCCAGCTCCGCCGCATCATCATAGCTGATCGCCGCCTTCTGAAACACCGGCAAGTGTGTAGTCTTCAGCGCCTTAACCGCCGCCTCCATCTCCACCTCACGGCTCTTCCACAGCTCGTCGAGCAGCCGCTGCGCCTCCGCGACACGGGCGTACACGCGGGCGAAAGCCGTCAGGAAGCCGGGGGTGGTCAACAGCGCCGTCTTCGGGTGCTCCGACAGCACGCGGTGGATAGTCAGGAAGACATTCTTGCGCAGCGATATCTGCGGCGCGTCCGTGGCGAGGCCCGAGCCGGCGAGGTAACTGAGCAGGAAATTGGTGGTGTTTTCGGAGCTGCCGGCAACGGCAAACTTGCTGGCTGGGAGCTGGAGGAGCACGGAGAGTGCCGCGCTCCAGCTGCTGACGATTGCGGACCATTCGGGCGGTGGGATCGAGGCGCGTAGAGCGCTGGATGGGTACGGCGCGAGAGGTATGGAGGACATTGCTGGGCAGCGGGTGATTGTACTCGCGGAAGGGTGGACGAGGTGGACGGGTGTTGGTGAACACTCGGGAAGTTCTTTGAGCTTCATTGCGGCTTAGTGCGGGGCACTCTATGTAATGCAGGGATGATGATTCATGTCGGCTACAACGTCATTTCAAGTAGAGTATGAGTAGCTTCCAATCCAACCCATTCAATCCACTCCACTGTAAACGAAGAGCGATCTTCAATGCTCGATTACTCTATTTCTTTGGTAATGACTCGTACTGACATGAGTGATGGTCGATGCAAGCCCCACACCGTCCAATCCATCTCTATGTGAATAAGCATGTGTCTACGTGTGTGGATCTACCCAAGCCACACGTGACATTGAGGGGCTTGTCATTGATGCACCGGTGGTCTTTGCTGGCCCGGCTTCCCCTCTCCACACCTCAGGCATCAGCGCCAGCCGCAATGCGAAGAAAGATGCGCATCTCGGGTATCCTGCATATCGCCGGGGCACTTGTGCCGACCGTTTCACGGAAACCACACACCCAGAACCTCGGCCCGTAGGCCGGTAGCGGGACAGCAGTGCACACGTTATGTCTCAAATACTGGGACCATGGAATTCCCTAGTCAGGAAGCCGGCATACCTGCTATCACGGAGAACTGGGGTCGACCAACCCAGTTCTTCCCCCCTCTCTGCCTCCGGCAAAAGAACGTCTCGTCTCCCCAGTTCTCGGACTTCCTAATGAGCTCTTCCTCAAAACCCTCCAAAACCCCCCCGTCATTCGGCGACAGAAACGCCCTACCTACATGTTACTCCGTAGCAGTCGTCGTTCCTACAATATTCTAAACCGGATACCTGTTGGAAGCCGGCCTCACGTTCGATCCTGAGCTTCGAAGGGATTAGTCGTGGTATTGCTGTCTACTCCCCTCCAAAGAGTGTCCATGGTATCGGCTAAAGACGGTAATGGAGGATATAGGCTTGTGTTTGGGCCTTCGTAGCTGGAGGAACTGCAGTTGGGCAGAGTGCGATAATCGATTTAGTGGGGGTAATTGTAATCAGGAGTGTGCCCACTGCCATGGTTCCGGAGAGTCGGAGAGTCGGAGACTCTAGACTCTAGACTCCAGAGCACGAAGGTTACCTATTTTTATACTGGCAAATCACAAATCACAGTTCCCCGAATTCCCGTGTATCAAGTATCCAAGCCACACGGATCTCTTTGGCTTGCGATTTGCGGGTCCGAAATAATCGAGAGGGGCAGCCAGAACAAATCGCAATTCAGGGCCCATACTGTCCACGCGATGGTGGTTTGTGCCCCGCTGATTCGTAGCGAACCGGTAGATGGCGACATACCATACATCGTTTGCTAAACTTCTATGGCTGTTCGCCACTAGAATATGCACACTGCTGGTGCCTTCTTACTGCGCAGCAAGGACTGTTCTGGATTCTGGAATACGATGATGGAGGTATCAATATATCTACAGGCTACCGTATCCCGAGCTCTGCTGCCCTCTCCCCCTCCCCGCCGTGAACGAAAGTAGGTGAGTCCTCCCGGGAGCTGGCTATCATAGTTATCACTGGTCGTGGGACAAAGCCCGTGCCTATCACTACCTGGTATCTGCACGGTCGTTGCTGGAATACGAACACAGTCGTTGGAACACGATGATCCCTCCATGGGGATTGGTAGGTAGTTTAACGAATCTCACGTTTGCCGAGAATTCCCTTGACCTGACATCCAGAGATGATGCGTTGTTCTCACGGTGGTTCTAGATTTCCAATACTGCCACCGCATGAACGATTTGGTTGGAGAATGGGGATATCTCTGGTAAAGCACTCACTGGCCCCCCACTGCTAGTGCTCTGTCATTGCATCAATTGTCACTTACCTAGGAGTCTGCGGGGGGATGCAAGACGCCATCCACGCCGCTCACGCAGTCTCACTCGCGGCCTGAAACATGTGGCACCAGTGCACCCAATTTTACTCGCTCGTAGCCTGGGGGCTCGGTAAAGATACTCTACGCAGTCAGTTGACTGGGACTGCACTCCGGCTCACGGACTTCGCGCTCGAAATAGTTGACTGGTTGGAGCAGCGGGGCAGCGGGGCAGTGGAGCGGCTGAACAGAGACTCTTGTGGCGTCCAATGGGCTCCTCCCACCCACCCACCTAGGGACCCTTGGATTCACTACTATGACTGAATACGAAGTGCGAGTCGCGACAGTTGCTTGGTATCGTACCGTATACGATGGGGACTTCGTTCTGCGTTATCTACCGCATAAAGGCATATAGGGAGAGGGAGTATATAACCCCCCCTCTTACCCGCTCCCATTCGTCCCCTTATCCTCCTCCCCCCAGATCATCAACAAAATGACCCGCCTCACCCTCCCCCTCACGATCGCGCTCACCCTGCTTTTGGCTGTGGCCTCTTTGGCCGCCCCGGTCCCCGCCGCCATCCCAGCCGCCGTCCCCGCCGCCGTCCCCGCTCCGGTGCCAGGCTGCTCAGACGGTATGCCATGATCCCCCCCCCTCCTCTCCTCCTCTCCGACCCGTGGGCCGTGGTGAATCTGGACTTACTCTCTGTGGGTGCGTGGGAATAGGACTCTGCGAGCGCGACTACAAGCCGCCGTACAAGCCAACTTCGGGGGGGTATAAGCCGCCGTACAAGCCCACTTCGGGGTATAAGCCGCCTGTTAAGTATTATACCTAAGCCATCAAAGGACATATGGGAGACGGTGCGGTGGTGCATAATGAGGGGGGGTGGGGATGGTTGGAAGTTGGGTTCGGAGAGAACAGAACAGAATGGACTGATGCAAAGATGCAAAAATACTGGTGTGGATGATGTTCCGAGTGATCTCATGTGTATATTTGAAGCGTGATTCAAATGGAATGAAATGGGTATTTCCGCCTTCTCAATTCAGCCGCCCCTAAATTCTAGCCAACCCCACCCCCTCTGTTGCGATAGTCGCAAATCCGACCCTCCTCTTCTCAAAATCAAAGACGGTGACGATATTATCGAGAAATATCCCGCCAACAATCCACATCTGTTCCCTCCCCCTGAACACCTCCCTCCCCTCATCCCCGGGGATCTGCACAATGCTCGCGCACATCCTATTACCAGCCTCACCGACCCTGATCTGTCCGAGCCCAAAGTCCTGCCGCCGCAGCTGCATGCTGCGCCCGCCAAAGACGAACTCGACACTGCGCAGGCTCGCCGAGGGGAACGAGAACATCGCGCTCTGCTTCTGCTTCCCCTTCCGCTTCTCCAGGTCCTTCTCCACGATATCCTCAGCCCCCGGAATCGCCGCCTTGACGGCCCTAAACGCCGGCTGGCTGGCAACGATATACGCCGTGCCCGTATCGATGAGCGCCTGCTGCCCCGTGGCGACCGTGTGGCCATTAACCCTGATCTCATCCAGCCTCACGAGCCACATCTCCCTGCCTCCTTGAAACACCACGGGACACCACGCGATCTCACCGGTATAAAACCTCCTCTCCACAGTGCCGAGAACAAGGCTCCCCCGTGGCTGCAGCGTGCGCTCACGATCAATCACCTCCGCGAGCTTCGGATCGTTGCGCGGGCCAATGAGCGCGATCGCCGCGTGCCGCAGCTGGCCCTGCGACTTGAGTGTTTGCACGAGATTTTTCCGGCCGAAGTCGCCCAGCCCCAGGATCCCGTGGCTCGCCCCGCCCAGGAACGCGCCGCTGATGTTGTGGGTCGCCGCGGCGCCGAGGGGCTGCGAGAGCGCGCGGAGCGTCCCCACCTGCACGACGTCTGTAAACAGCGAGGCGATTAGGCTGCTGCCGTCGGCGTAGGTTACCTTTGTGCGGGAGTTTTGTGAGAGTGAGGTGAGCGAGCGGGTGGGGTCGTAGGCCGGCTGCGTGGGGAGAGGGAGGTCGGTAATGGGCGACAGGACCGATTGGAGCCAGAGAAGCGAGGAGCCAGTGTCGAGGTCTACGGTGAACGGGACGGGAGGCGTGCCGATGTGGATTTGCGCGTGCTGGTGTGGGAGTGGGTGTGTTAGAGCAGTGCGGACGGAAATGCAACGTGCGTAAAGTGCGTACGTAGTTTATCGGCTCAGAGCCGTTCCACACATCGGAGATGAGGTCTATGACTGTCGACGGCGACGGCGACGGTTGGGCTTGCGCTGGCTCGGTGACGCTGGTGACGCTGGTCTCCGTGGTGATGCCTACGGAGTTCGTTTGGAACTTGATGGGTACCGGTATGGCAGCCCATGGATCCTCGACCGTCTCCGGCTCCAGCGCGAGGAGGTGCAGCAGTCGTCGACATCGCGGCGCGATATCGTGCTGGATTGTGGCCGCAACAAGGTCTGTGTCGCAGATGCCATCGTGGCAGATGAATTTCGGCTCCGTGCAGTTGGCCATGGTGGATACCTACCTTCCTATGCTAGGACTCGAGTTCTGCCCGGTACTCGAGTTCTGCACGGTAGTCGCGGATACTTAAGTCCCGCCGACGAATCGACGAGGCGGCATGTCTTGCTTCGCCTCAACCAGTCGCCAGTCACCTGGAGTATGTAGATATGCATGTAGAGTGCCATGACTTCAGCTCAGCTGACGGTGACACCAACAAGCTTTTTACCGAGCTCTACGCCGTCGATTCCCGGTTCAGCCTTACGACATCCTCGACATCCGCCCCAAACCGGACAAGCCCCTGGAGGTATTCATAGGAACTCGAGCCGCACACCCGTCAGCTATTGTGAGTGGGTGGATGCCTGGGGCGGGACACCCGGACCAACTGCATATCAAGCTGAGGAATATAATGCATGACATCGAGTCGGGTCGTGTTCGTGTGTGCGCCCGCGCGCGATCGTAAGTGGAGATTCGAGTCCGAGTCGCCTTAAATACGCGGCGAAGCCCAAGTTTTGCAGCTGGGTGTTTTTGCCAGCCAGAAGTTCACCTGTCAGCAACAATGGCAGATACGCAGCGCAGATTCAGCGGGGTGCGCAACCCTATCAAGTTCGAAAGTGCGTGGATCAGGTCCTGTCAGTATGTGGATATGGGCTGCGTTTGCTGATTTCCCGCGCAGCGCTCGAGCACGCGTCCATCGGCGACTCGCTCACTGTCACCGCCGCGACGGGCGCAGTCGGGGATGCGGCAAAATACGTTCTCAAGACGGTAGCGGGCGTGGAGTTGACGATCGGCCAGGTGATCGGGTTGGCCGGGGACTACTATACCGGCCCGGGGAACCATGCGATCACTGGCGACTACGGGAAGCCGACCCCGTCGTTCGAGGAGGTGAAGAGGAATGCGAAGGCGGCGGCAGACACGCTGAGTGGGAATGCAGGCGGGTATCTGAAGGCGATCAATGGGCTGTTCTTGAAGGAGGAGGAGGCGATCAAGAAGGCGTTGGAGGAGGGAGAGGCGGTGTCGGTTGCGGTATGATCCTGCTGCTGTCCGCTCGTGAAAGGAGATGCGGAAATGCTGATTGGATGGCAGTACGGGAAACATATCAAGGGTTGGCGGTTCTTAAATGCCATTGTGCCATCACGCCAATCTGACGTGTGGACTAGGACTACCAACGGATGCCGACTACTCCCTGGCGACATGGCTATACTACCCCCGGATTGCATGGAACAACTTCGATCACTTCGGTTCGGCCCACCCATGGCTAGCTGCGTAGGGACATCCATGCTGATTTCAACCGCCATGTAGGAACCGACGCGCGCGCAGCATACACGGCCTGCCACGCGGTAGCACTCGACCTGGCGGCGGCAGCCGACGGCAACGAAGAAGCTCTCAAAGCGGCCTACCTGGTGGATGCTTTCGGGCTGCACTTCTTGACCGATACCTTCAGCAGTGGACATCTGCGCGCCCCGAGAAGGGCTCTGCATGACGGTAGTGCGTGGTCAGCGTTTCCTTGTGAGCGAATACCCCCTGCGGGAGTGTGGCTTCACTGATGAATGACTCTGCAGCTGGCATCGTGGGTGCGCCGGTGTGGGACACGCAGTCGAGATACATGCATGACGAGGACTCGGCATGCGGATTATGGGTGCAGAATGAAGAAGGACAGGAATGGATTGCGTACGGAGACAAGCAGTTATTCGATGGACACTGCCGTATAAATCGCGTGCGCTGGTGGGCTCCTCACTTGTCACTACTTGTATCCTGGCTGAACATCATCTAGCATACAAGCATGCCAAAGCAGTATAAACGAAGTCTATGACGCATTCGCCTCCAAGAGCGTCCCCGAGGTATCATCCTACTCGGCAGTGAAGCAGGCTCCAAAGCCACAGATGGCACTCGTCTCACCTTCCGGCCCAGGCTGGACTCACGACAACTTTGCGCCGCTGTGGGTGCACGATCCATCCGCTCCCAAGGACGCCCGCTTCACCATCCGCAAAGCTCTCAACGACCACTCGAAGCACGAGCGTGCGGTTGCATATCCCGGCTACATCCCGCTGCAATGGCCACCTCTCACGCCGTCCAAGGAGGCAGCAGCGGTCAAAAAATCGGTGTACAAAGCTATTGGCGAATTTCCGCTCTCGATCCCCATGGAACCGCGCTCGGGCGGATTCGTCCAGATCCAGGAGTATGCCGGAGACACAGACGGGAGACGTGTCACTTCCGCGAACGTATGGGGCCCCATAACCGTCGACATCCCGAACCTGGGCCCACGGTACACCTTCACACTGCGCAACCGCTTCCGTAACATCACCGAGAACCTACCACCGGACCGTACATTGCACTGGAGCAGCCACTTCGACGCCACCAGCGGGAAAACCTCACTCGTCCGGTTCAACCTCAAGGGCGACGGCGTAGTCGAAATCGACGGCTGGAGCTTCACGCTTCACCAACCCGACACGTCCTCGCAGCTAGTCGACTTCTTCGACCTCGACGCCTCCCCGCTCGTGCTCAGCAGCGACTTCTCCCGCGTCACGCTGCTGCAAGACTTCCGCGGCCACGGCCTCTCCAGCGCCCGCTTCTTCATAGCCCCGTGGCTCAACCCCTCCCCCTCCTCAAACCCCGACGTCATCTCCGTCACCTTCGACCCGACCACCTGGCAACCGCGCATCACCGCGCTGACCTCAACCGCCCTCACCCCCCCGTTCACCAGCAAACTCGACTTCACGGACACCACCGCGCCCAAGGTGGCATGGTCAACCGTCAAGCTCCTCTTCGGCCGCCTGCTCCTGGCAGGCAGCGTCACAACCCCCGACCGTGCCATATCCCTGCACCTCCGCGACTACACCTTTCCCCCCACATCCCCACCCACCCTATCAGTCCACGAAACCATCCTCGCCCTCCCGGGCGTCGCGGGACAGACACTGCAAATCCTTATCGGCGACGTCCTATCCACAGGCGCAGAAATTCTCGTTGTCGTGATCGGCGCGAGGGTGCAGTTATACACCGTCACTGGTGACCAAGATGGGGGGCTGGCGTACTCCCCCGCCGTCACACCCGCCGCCACCGCCGCCACCGAGCCGGATCGGAATCATATCCTGACCGCGCTGGTCCCCTCGTCTTCCCCGGATGAAGGTGAAGGTGGTGAAGGTGGAGGTGAAGGTGGCGGCGAAGGTGGCGGCGAAGGTGGTGAAGAAGGCGGCAGCGGGGGACTGGATATACTAAGCATCCACGCGCCCGTGGGCACGCCGCCTAACGCGCGGACGCTCGAGTTTACGCTGTCTACGCGGGGCGGGCCGGGGGTGGTACATACCGTTGCAGACCCTTTGGCGTCAGCGTCAGCGTCGGAGGGCTACGTCTCGCTCGGATGGCACCGCGCCAGCTGGAGACATACGGACAACGCCGTGTTGCAGGTGTTTAGCTGGTTTGGGATGCTGGGGGGGAGGGTTTTTGCTCAGGTACCCGCTGAGGAGGGGGTGGGGGAGGGGGAGGGGGGGAAGGGGATGTGGGCTGTTGTGGGGTTGGCGGCGAGTTTAGGGCAGCCTGCGCTAGGGGCGGGGCTGGGGACGGCGGGGGTGCTGTCTTGGGGACCAGCGGAGGGGTGGGTCGATGTGGTTGAGGGGTATGAGCCGCGGCCGGAGATGTAGGATGTAGGGGGGTGTATGTAGGGGGTGTAGGGGGAGGTGGAAAGAGGTGGAAAGAGGGTGGTGGGAGGCAGATGGTAATGGTAAGAGTTATTTAGGTTACTTCCGTATGATGAAAGCAATGATAGCATGATGCCCACATGGCACAGCATACCCTCAAAAAGAGCTTCAAGTCAGTTCAATCGCCATCATTCGCAATATGTACAATCCAACCAAAAGGTATATGTAGTGAGCACACCAGCCTCACGCCAAAAAGACACCCCAACGCCGTCCCAACCCAACCCATCCCACGTCATCCGTCTATATACACCCCCACCCGTTTCCGTACCATTAAACAACCCCCCAAAGTGGCCTCTCCCCCGTATCCCACTCCACCTTCTCCTTTCCCAGGCTGAACTCCATCGTCCCGCCATGTTTAAAGACATCATCCCATTCCACCCAGCTCCTATCCCACAGCCTTCCATTCACTTTCAATGACTGCACGAACCAGCCTCCCCCCTCCTCATCCGCGCCTCTCGCTTTCACCTCAAACGTCCTGCCCTGTCCAAGATCAATAGCTAAATAACTGATCTGCGGCGACCCGACCAGGAACGTAGTCGTGCCCGTGATGGGATAGAGGCCGATCAGCGCCCACAGCAGCCAGCTCTGCATCGCGCCGGCGTCGGAGTTCCCGGGCAGGCCCTTTTTTCCGGAGTTGAAGTAGTCCCGCGAGACCTGCCGGCTCCGTGCGACTGACCGCCACTGGCTGCCAGGCACGAAGTTGTACAGGTACGGCGAGGCGAAGGAGGGCTCGTTGCCGGGGTTGAAGATAGTCTTTCCGAAGCGCTTGTCGCCGGCGGGGTTGGCGCCCGGGGAGAACAGCTTGTCCAGGCGGGCGACGAAGGCGCGGTCGCCGCCGCACAGGGAGATGAGCGTGCGCATGTCGTGGTGCGCGGAGAAGCTGTACTCGAAGGGGAGCGCTTGGTAGTAGGGATCCGACCAGTAGCAGCCGCCGCAGCTGAGCGGGTTGTGCGGTGTCGCGGGGAAGGAGCCGGAGGGCTCGATGGGCGACAGGAAGCCGGAAAACCCGTATACGCTCATCCGCGCGTCCCAGTGGTTGCGCCAGTTGCGGGAGCGGTTGAGGTACTTCTCTGTGTCGTCGAGCGTGCCGAGGGAGCGGGCGACCTGTGCGACGGCGAAGTCGTTGGCGGCGTACTCGACGGCGCGCGAGACCGACCGCGAGTATTTGCGCGTGATGAAGCCCCTCTCGAGCCAGTCCGGGAGCGCGCCGCGGCCCTCGCGCGTAGAGCTGTCGCGGTTGGATTGTGCGTCGTGGTTGTTGGGCGGGACCTCCTCGGCGTTGGTCAGCATCGCGGCGTAGGCGGCGTCCCAGTTGACACCTGTCACCCCCTTGACTCGGGCGTCGGCGAGAACGTTGTCGGCGTTGCTGCCGCCTTGCACTCGCCCGTTGTAGTTGGAGCTGCGCCCGTCCGGCAGCCAGCCGTCGTGCCGCCAGGTGTCGACGAGTGACCGCAGGAAATCGACGTAGCGCTGCGGTTGCAGGATGTGGAACAGCGGGGTGTGGCTGCGGAATGTGTCCCACAAGGTAAAGATATCATCGTACTGTAGCACTCATTAGGATATGTGCAGAGGAGAAAATAGGTGCAGGGCACACACGTAAGGCTCCGTCGAGTTACACCCCGGATTTTCCCCCGTGCGATCCGACGGAATGAGGAACATGCCATATATCGAAGTGTACAGCAGCCTGAGCTTGGACTCATCATTCTCCCTGACCGCAACCCTGGCGAAGACTTCCCGATTCCACGTTTCCTGGACGGAGTCGACGACCTGCTCAAAGCTCTCGCTATCCGGAATCTCGCTGTCGATGAACCCGCACGCCTTCTCGGGTGAGATCCAGGAAATGCCTATTCTGGACTCGACCACGAACTTGGCACCGGATCGGCCCATCACTCGGCTCGACGATCCAGGAGCGAAGCTGAAGAGGGCCCCTACCCTTTTGCGGCCGGAGATTTCTTGCTTTTCGCCGAAGGACTCAAGGTTTTCTCCGGTTCCCTCGAAGGCAGCGGCCGAGTGCGGCGCCGAGAACTTCCCGCAGAAGAAAATCTTCCAGTCGATACCTTCCCCGTCCCCGAAAAATTAACGATAGTCCAGCAGAGCGGACGCTAGTTAGAGAGCATACCATAATTCCACCCGCCATTATAAACTCCATACCCCGAGTACCTCCCATCGTCATGCAATTTGATCCCGCCCTCGACATAGTTCTGCTCGATGCCAATACCCCTCGAAGACGGCAGGAAATGCGAGACATCGACCAGGACATGTTTTCCCTTCGCATCGTTCGGAAACGAGTGCCGCATGATGCCCGAGTGCCGGCCGGCGGTGAGTTCCACCGTGATCCCGCCCTTCAGACTGGACTTGTACCAGCCCAGCGCGGCCGTATCTTCGCGTTCTCGCGGTAAGGCCCAGTCGGCCAAAGGATTCTCGACATCGCCCGCCACGGGCATCTGTGAGACCACTCCGTATTTTGGCGCTCCGCCAGTGCCTAGGTGAGAAACGTTTAGACGGCTAGAAGATGGATATCGAATGCGTGTGCTTCACGACGGCGGATGCTTACCGGACTCGTGCATCATCGAGAAGCCGGTGACCTTTCCTGACGGGTGGTAGCCAGAGTATGGGTCGCCCTGGCCTGGTGGAGGCCTTAAGTCGACGCCTATCTTGACCACGCCGAAGGGCATGGTCACGCCGGGGAACATGTTCCCGCCATTCTCGGTGCCCATACTGTAGTTTGCATTGTATCAGAGATGTACCTATCTCGAAGCAAAAGAAGAAGAAGAAGTTACTTACAAAGGGTTGACATAGGCCGCCGGCCCGCCAGGAAGCATCGCTCTGGGTTGCAGCCAAAACATAACGCCAAACAAGACGGAGAAGACTACCGCGAGCGGGATCAGGAAGTAGTAATACCGCAGCTTGTTCATTGTGTATTTAAAAAGCCTTTCTCACGGCCGGAAGCCGGCCTGGTCTTATACCACACCATCCCTCCCACCCCCCCCTCGCCCACAAGTTCTTGACTGGCCTGAACCACTGACCCACCCTGGTAACGACAGGAGTCCCCGATGGCAAGTGCGGGTTATGCACATATGTAGTACTTTTGGCTGTGGCACCAGACCACAACAGGCAGCGGCACGTCTCCGGAGCTTTTCTTCCTCACGGCGGTTGGCCCGCAGAGATACATACGCCTTCGCCTTCCCGCGTGCATCCGCTCGGGCGGGCGTCATTGGTGTCCGTTGGCAGCCCGCCCGCCGCTGGCTGGCTGGGCTGAGGCGCCAACCTTAGTTATGACGAGTGGGCTGAGTCCCGCCCAGCAGCTAGAGCTGTTAGGTGCATCTTTGGCCATGGTTTCGAGGCCGATCTGCGGCTGTGTGATGGCATGGCAACATACTACAACAACCTCTTGCCGGTTTTGTTTCCGCGCGAAGCAAGCTGGGCGATGAAGAGATCGGTCGGTGCATACGTCGGGGAGGTGTGTGTGTGGCGTACCTGCGTCTCTTTTGTTGTTGCTGCTGCTGCTGCTGTCGCTGTTGTCGCTGCTGTCGTCGTTGTCGTTGCATACCCGGTGGTTGGATGGGCTGGATGGGCTGGATGGGCTGGATGTTCAGCTGCACAAGTCTGCGCCGGCTGCCACTGCACGAGAATTTCCACGCCCTGTGATTGGACGTCGCGCGACCAGGGATTCGTTCCGTCTCACATGGCTCCTCCGATAATCGATTCCCCCGCATGTGTGTAGAGTACTCTACGCCCACGTGCGGGCATCCGATACACACCTGAGCAGTGAGAGCATCGGGTCCTCTGTTCTTGTTCTTGGTCGTTCGGCGCCGGGCTGGAGGGTTTCTGTTGGGGGAGGATGTATGTGCACGCACGATTCCGTTGGATGATGGATTTAAGTTAGAGTTGTATGCACCTGCACAGTGCATGGGGGCCAAAATAGCAACCCCGACCCTGGCCGGATACTCTGACTTTGACTCTCGACACTTGACGTTCAGCTGAGCTCTGTCAGGGAAGTCGCGCTCTCTCTGTGCGATGCATGCGACACACGTGCATCTGCCAGGGCAGGATCCGCACCCCCGGTCCACCGGCGCGACCCCGTGACCCGTGGCCCCGTCAGCTCAGATCAGATCACAGCGACTGCTGAGTCGCTGACATGGCCCGGCGCCGGCCATAGTGTAGGTGATTAGTGTCAGGCATCCAGCCGCCGCGACTCGCGATAGTTAAAGGGAATAGATGCGTCTATGAGGTATGTAGTATGAGGGTCAGCTTACTACAGACTCACCAAAGCTTCATTTCCACAGCAGCCACAGCAGCCACATCTGGTATGTAGTACCTGATCTTGCATCCGGACGCTTTGCTTTGGAAGTCATCTGGTACATACCTCATACGGTACATAGAACACCACACCCGAGTTGTGCCCATTTGTCCGTCCCCTCGAAACAGCAGACACGAGCCAACTCTGCTTCTTGGTGTGTATGGACAAGCCGCTCGGCATTGAAGCACTAGGACCGGGGAGACCCTTTGGCAACTTTGGTGATAGCTAGCTCGAGAGGACCGATTGTATTTCACGAGAGAGGAAACGCCACGTAAAGAGAGAGAGCCTCCTGTGTTCTTCGGGAGATCCTAGAACCTCGCGAGTTGAATAGGTAGCGAGATCGGGACAAATAACAACGAAAAGCACACTGATGAGAACGATATCTAACGAACAGATGATAGAGAACGATGAGACAGACAGACGACGAACAGACAGACGGACTGGCCGACAAAGTATACAAGAGCTTTCTGAACGTTTAACCCCACCGAATCTGGTCTAGCCAGGTCGGCGAAATTTCACCGCTCGTGCATCTGCCATGCCCGCCGTTTCCACTGTGTCCCACAGCATCTATGTGGACATCAAGAAGAGTACATGGCATCCGATGATCCCAGTCCAATAACTGGTCTTAGTCATCGTCAAGACGGATGCCGAGGCTTGGAGGCTGCGAGACGTTGTTTCCCTGCAGCTGGCTGTGCAAACACTACCGTGCCAGCGGTCATCCAAGACATCCAAGCCATCCAAGCCATCCAAGCTCGGGGAGACGAAAAGGCCAGGAATCCAAGAACCAAAGAACGAAAGAACGAAAGAATCTAATCCAAGAATCCAAGAATCCAAGAACGAAAGAACCCAAGGATCCAAGAAGCGAGAACCCAACCTCCCAAGATCAATCCAAGATCAATCCAAGAACCCAAAATCCCAAGATCCCAAGATCCCAAGATCCCAAGAAGCCGAGAAACCAAGAAGCCGAACCACGATCGATGGAAAGTCGGAACCGTTAGATAACTAAACGCATCCCTGCGTCCGGCCCATCTCGGATCGGATCACTTAGAATAGGTAGTATTGCATAAGTAACCATTCCTGCGCTATCCACAGATCCGATACCCCGAGTCCACACAAGTACATAATCGCCCACAGCACTCGTCACAATCTTTCCAATTGTGATAAGCTTCGCTAAGATGTTGGTGCACGGCCCGAGTGCAGTCGCGGCGCAAGGCGCAAGAGGCGGAAACTCGTGGATACATACAGGGTGGAGTGATGCACGTGACCCCATACCACTTCATCACTCGCTATGGGAGTGATTGCTCATGTCTAACATCTTCGCAGCATACCAAATATTGATCGAGAAGGCTTGATTCTTATCTTTCCTTTTCATCCTCAGAATCTCTCCGATGGCTAGTAGCATATGGGAGCGAATAGGTATAGTAGCAAAAAGTGGGGTGCGACTCCTTCCGCAGGTCATGAGTAGAACCACCGTAAAGGTAGAAACCTAGCAGTTTTCCGAAAATACAGATGTATTTTGAAATTTCTTTCTTCCCATAGTCCCAACTCTACGGTATCGAAAATCTTTACATAGAATTGTAAAGATATGCATACCAAAGAGTAGGAAGAACCACTGCAGTTCTTCTAGACGCAAAATCTTACGTGGTGTCGGGAATACCAGAGACATACCAGAAAACTACCTTGTATTCACAACAACGTAGTGCAGAGAGCACCGTTGTAATGTCAATCGAATGGTTTCTGGACTGCAGTAAAACTACAACCACAAGGGATCTACGGAAGAAATGCGTAGAAACCCTCTGGCTTCAAAAAAATACGTACTGTGAGTAAGACGTTGTACGCAAGCAAAAATGCACGACATTCTGGCAGTTTTCAGGTATTACTAGTACTATTACTACTGCTACTACTACTACTACTACTACTACTACACTACTACTACTACTACTACTACTACTACTACTACTACTACTACTACTACTACTACTACTACTACTACTACTACTACTACTACTACTACTACTACACTACTACTACTACTACTGTAGGCGGCTCGTGCTTCCAATCCAGGCACCCTGCCACCGGTGCCCTTCTTACACTGTCTGTGGGCAGGTTGCAGTGGTGTCGGCAAGATAAAGAGAAACTGTTAGCGAGGAGTAGTTATTAGTGAGGAGTACTTGTTTGCAAGAGGAGGAGCTATTGGCTAGAAGGTGGAGGAGTTGACAGCGAGAAGAGCTACTAGCGAAAAGGATGAGTGGCCAGTGAGGAGGACTTGTCAGTGGGGAGGAGTGGTTAGCGAGGAGGAGTGCTAGGGAGGAGGACTTACCAGCGAGGGGGAGCTATCAGTGAGAAGGAGAAGCTGTCTTCGAGATGAAGAGGAACTGTCGGCGGGGGGTAGTAGTTGCGGCAGGAGTGGAAGCTATATGAGATATGAGCTATCAAGTGGAATAGAGTTGTGGCAGGAGGGAGATAGCAATTGCAGCGGGAGTAGCAGTTATGGCGAGAGCAGGAGATACGGCAGGAGTAGAAGCTATATCAGAAGGGAGGTATCAGCGGATGTAGTAGTTGCGGTGGGGGAGAAGTTGTGGTGGGGGAGTAGTTGTAGTGAGAGAGGAGTTGCGGCGGGAGAAGGGGGAGGAGTTGCGGGGCGGACTTAAGTACTTCTCCGCACTTGGTCGACCCCGCCATGCCCGCCAACGTTGAAGCCCACTACTAATCACATTCGATTTCACCCGCCGACCCCCTCCCACTGCAATGGAGGCAGTACTGGTGTCGCCCAGGAGACCCCCCCCCCTCACCCTCCGCGTGCGGCCATACAGGTAATACTGGCGCCGATGACTAGTCATTTCTAGGTGCCTAGAGTCATTCCCACTCGGTTGCTAGAGTCATTCCCATTCATTGACTAGTCATTCCCACTCGGTTTCTAGAGTCATTCCCATTCGGTGGCTAGAGTCATTCCCACTTTGGTGACTAGTCATTCCTGCTCGGTGACGAGTCATTCTCCCATCCTGTCTCCCATCACTCTGCAATGGAGCCGTCTGCAAATCCGTTGTTCTGCTGCAGATACCCAACCCTATGATACTCCAGAAGATCGCATTGTACGGGCCCTAAGGGTAGTGGTGAGCACCGGCTTTTGCAAGCACGGAAGTCTTTTGGTAGATATATCGCAGACATCTGGTGAACATCACGTAGTACCATCGGAAGTAACCCAACACGCAATTTTGTTTACCATATGGTTCTACAACTATGCAGGGTTTATAACTACGTGGTATACTGCAAATGTACTGCAACGCTGTATAACTCTCGTTGTCTGTAGCAGACGTATTTTTTTGATACGTGGTGTGGGAAAGATGGCAGCCCTTTTTTCTATGTGAAAATACGTGCCGTCTGGTTCTTTTTGAAGAGAAAAAATACGGGTTAAGTAAAAATCTGATAGTTCTTTGGTATTGCGATAACCCTGGTATTTTTCAGGTAGTAATCGCACCCCACTTTTTGCTACTGTACTTAAGTAGTCATAGCTAATGCTCGGAACCAATCCACGCTAGGTACTATGTACTGGACAGTATTGCCGCCTCCCAATATTACCTTTCTAGAGTACATTGCGACAGCACCTGGCCAATATAGAAGGCTGTCGGCGGAAGAATTTATCTCTATCCCCATATGTGAGGTTTTATATACTCGCCCATGGTCTGGCAGATTGAAATTGCAATTCACCATGGGTAAATCTATTGATCCCGTGCTTTGTAACGTTAAACAACAACCGAGACATTGATAATCACTGAGTAATTTTTCGGTACGCATCCTACAGCTACATACACCCGACCCTTCACAAATACCTTACGTACGACCAATCCAGGCTATGGCACACTCAACAGCCGAGTGCCCCATCGCAACGAAAGTGCAGGTAAACACACCGAGTGCAATTCTGTGACGAAAGCCAACAATGTTATCTATGTCCCGAGAAAGAACGACTACTCTTGCGTCCAGTACTTCCTGCGACCCAAGAGAAGGGCAGACTAGTAAGTTGATCGTATTTAGCCGGGAAAGAAATCACCAGGAAATCGTTCGGTTAGTTTCTGAACCGGATATTTTCGTGATATAACACGCCGTGCGGAATATCCATTTTTTCCAACAAGTCTTCTAATACAGTACACAGCCTCTCCGCCACCGTCCTAAAACTACACCGAGCACCCCCTCCCCTGCCCTCTCAACCAACCCTCATTCCCAGCAACCCCCTACTTAAGAAGGAGGAGCACCACCGGGACCACCAGCACCACCGGGGCCACCAGCACCAGAGTTGGCGTTCGCAACGCCTCCATTCTCCGTCAACGTAGACGCAGAGCTGACCTCATACTCAGCGGTGGCATCGATACCAATGGTGATCCAACCGAGGAGTCCATCGGCAATATCGTCACCAAGGAGGACATACTCCATGACAGGATCCATGGACGCCGCCTCCTGGGAGAGGATGCTATCCTGCGCGTTCGTCGTGAGCGCCTGCGAGTTGCCCGTGTACGGCGCGACCGTGTCGACCTCCGCGATCAAGCTCTGGTCGAAGAAGAGCTGGCCGACGTGGGAGACCGTACCGCCGGTCAGGGTGTTGTTTGCTTGTACCGTGGCGTCCTGTGTCGCCAGGATGTGCACGTGTGTTGCGCGCCCGGTGTAGTGCCCAGGGAAGATCGTCGTCAGCTGAGCGACGCCGGAGTCGTCCGTGTTGATCAAACCGCGCAGGAAGGTCGCGTCGATGTTGCTGGCGTCGCCGCTGTTGCCGTTGCCGCTGGCTACGACTCCGGAGTAACTAAGAGTGGGTCAGTGATTGTTGGGTTGGAAAATAGGTGGGGATGGACTTACACTCCGGTGCTGTTGCAGTGCCAGAAGTCGAGGTAGACGTTCGGCATCACCGTGCAGGTGTTGACGTCAATGAGCTGGACGTCGGCGTACAGATCGATACCGGGCTGGTCCTCGCGCATATCCGCGCGGATGAGCTCACCATCGACGTCTATTTAATCCCGTCAGCAAAAGCACCAGCCAAAGGGCGCATCATAACCACTCACAGTACGGGCCCTGGGTAACCTCCGGCTGGAGGACACACTTCAGGTCACCAGTGAAGAGGACGCTCGGATCACTGCTCGCCGTGAGTCCGGTCAAGCTCGACTTATGATCTGTGTTCAAGACGTCGTCGACATCGCGGCGGACACGGTTGTATCCGGCCCTCTTCTTGATCTCGCGCTTCTCGCGGAGCGAGTCGGCCAGCGCCTGGCGACGGGCAATGGCCGCAGCCTCGATCCCCCGCGTTTTCAGCTGCTCGGAGCAGTCCGCCAGGGACCGCTTGGCGTTGCCGAGGAACGCGGTGCGCTTCGCAATGTCGTGCCCCTCGTGCGCTCCCGGGTGCGACAGCGAACTGCCAACCACCGAGAGGAGGAATAGGATCTGGGAGAATTGCATGGTAATTGCGAGGGGTGTAAACTGAAGATTGGATCTGAAAAGATGGATTGAGGGAAAGGAGGCCGGCTTCTGCTGGTTGAGTGAGTGAGTGAGTGGGTGTGTGAGTGAGTGATGGTGGTTGAGGATATGGAAGCAGTTGAGGGGATACACCCAGAATCTTATATATCCCGATTTCTCGAGCTCCATCAAGCCCATGATCAGTATCCTCCGCAGTAACTACAGTACGACGGGCTGTTCTCGCTAGCAAGCAAGCAGGCATGTACCTACTATACTCCACGTAGAACGCGAATACCTCTTCGTCACTTTTCCCTCGAGGGCCAGTGCCAATCTCCATCCTGGCACCTGGCTCCTACTCACCTACATACCAGCCACAGTTAGAACTTGGCAGCGGCGCAGGGGGGAGTTGAATCTACATACATAGAGAACATACGCGTCTCCACAGTTGCTCGATATATTCTCCCGGCCCCGGTAACTTCCAGACAGACAGACAGACGGACATATCCCAATGTAACCGTCAATCCCGCCCCTAACTAACGAACAGCAAAGCAAGGCAGGAGGGATCCTCATCGAAGAAATCTTTACACAGCAGCATGTGCATAGATGTCCAGGTTCTCCAGTAAGCAAGCAAGTGGCCTTTCGAAATTCCGCTTGCTTTCCTGCTTGCTTGCTTGCCCGCTTGCTTGTAACAAGTATGATATGCATGACATGCAACCAGGCAACGTTGGTCCTCTGGAGCAAGTCTTCCTCCCTTCCTCGACAGAACTTTAGTCTTTACCCAGATTATGGCCCGCAGCTGCATGCATCTACATACCATCATCTTCCCCCGTCCATAGTAAAAAACAGAGTTCCCTCGACTCGACGTCGAGCCAGCCAATAGGACGTTTCACTTTAGACAGCAGCAGTGCATTGCCGCGTAAGCCTCCGTCAACTTTGTACTCTATTCCCCGCAGCCTTATATTCCATGCATGCATCGGTTGCCCCCATACCCTGCCCTCGGGAACCAAATCCCACCAGGGGTCCTCCCTCCCTCGCGCGGCTAAGATCTCGAAGCCACGCGTATCTAACCTTGTGTTCTGGACCCGGGCCCGGGCCGGCCTACCTACCTGCCTACCGTTCTGCGTTCTGGCGGAGAATTCGGGAGCAGCGCGCTCCGGACGAATCACAGGTGCGCAATTGCATTCAAAGCGAGAAGCTCATGGCTCTGGACGACGATCAATACCCTAATACCCCCCGCCCCACAAACAAACACACACCACGCCCCCAGTCGCTCCCCCAGTCGCATCTTAACACGACCGCCGTTATGTGTTGACGTGGACTTCTCCGGCGCTAGGTAGGTAGGTAGGTAGGTAGGTAGGTAGTTGGACGTGGGAGCGCATGCGTACATACTCAGGTATGTAGTAGCAGGTAGCAGTGTAGTAGCAGGTAGCAGGTACATACCTGCTCAAAACTCCGAAAGCACGATCCCGGTGCGGTGTATGTGGTATAAGATGGTTCCTGCATTCCTGCATACCGTTCTCTTGGCAGAGATGTATTTACCAACTTTCATACCTAGGACTCTAGGAGGCAGCTCGAGAAATCCGGTACGCACCTCCTACCTCTTGCCTACCCTACTAACCTCCCCTACAGACAGACGAATCCACCGCGCTCAAACCACCAGTCGAGGAGGCGGATTGTGGGTGGTGGCCCGGAGTGTCCGTCGGACCGCTGAGCGGAGGTGGGAGGCGGGAGACGCGTGGTCTACTCTAACCACCGTGCATACCTACTTTTACTTGCTACCTAACAGTAGGTAGCTACTTCCCGCATTGATATCATTGATATCGAGTATTGGCGATGCTTGTTTTGCTGCCAAGAGCCAAGAGTTGCTGGAGGAATCTTCGGATTCGATTTCCCCGGTGGCCGGTGGGGAGTGGACACTGTAGGTGGTGAATACTTCCTACATAGAGTATTATTATTCTTCTCTCCCAGTGCGGTTTTTACCCACCACATCTCTCCGTCCGGTTAAAACACGCCAAAGTCCCCAACTCCCCGATACATACAACATACAACATACAACATACAACATAGGTCCATAGGGTATAGAGCGGCCGCTATGAGTCTATGACCGCGCGGGGGGGAAGGGAGTCATCTCGATGGATGGGTACATTGTAGGTGTGTAGGTACAAGCTACTTATCAAGTTCATATCAAGCCTCGCTTGCATCCTCCAAGCGATGTGTGCACTTTCGGGAAGGGGGGAAGGGAAAGGAAAAGACTTTTCCCGCCACTGGGAATGTCAATCGTGATGATTGATCTCGGCTCTGTCCGTGAGTGAGCTCGAGCATGTGCCCCCCCGCCGATGAGTAGAGTAGCTCTCTCGATGCCATGTCTGAAGGGAAAGGAAGGAGGCGAGTCTACCGTCTAGTTACGTGCTCCACCTATGATACCTACACATTTATCAGCCGCCAGACAGGTAGACCTCTTCACATATCCTACCCCAGCGAAGCTCAGTTTCCGCAAGGGTTGCCTGTCAATTCACCAGCACCAGCACCATCACCAGCACCAACCACCCACTAACTAACTCCAGTCTCCATATGAAAATTATACCCAATACCGTACCCTAACTATACTTACGTACGTACGTACAATCCCGTCTCGTCCTCAAGGCTCGGAGGTCTCCACCGCGTACAACTTCTTCTCGAGTTCGCCTACTACCTTGTACCGTATACTACAGTTACTGGTAGAGTGCGGTCAAACGGGCCGGAGGGGGGGGGGGGGGGGGGGGGCTTGGGGGAGACCGCCTCGATTGAACGAAAACGGGAGCAATGGCTGCCCGGGAATACCCTTCCCTTCCCTTCCCTTCCGCTCGGTTGAATAACGTAATGGTCGGGCGGGCAGGCGGGAAGCTACCTACCTACCGGAGTACTCAATACTACCTACTCCCATGAAACAAAGTCTTGGTGCTTCCTGGCCGTATGTACCCGACGGCGAAGCTCAATACTCCATGCTTCTTCCTACCATCCTACGTACGTATTATCGGCGGTCCTATCAACCGATGGATAGTTGGATGGTTAGATCTAGATCACATAACCAACCAAACATTCGCGTGGAGAAGGAGAAGCAGACGGAGACGGTTCTCCTCTCCGGAGTCCGTATGGGCAGCAGATGTGCATGTGATGGGTGACGGTGTGCGTGGCCCGTGGTCTCGGAGGCCATGCAATCTGTGCTCGTTTATACCTGTATGTACATTAAGTAAGTATGTTAATGGAGGGTAGTTAAAGGAGTCTTCAATCGATCCTCGTCAAGTCGTCGTCGTCAACGACGACATTGGGCTCTTGGCAACCGTGGACGTGGAATTCTCGAATAATTTTCCGGGTGGTATGTACTTAATGTAAACCTGATTTACAGCTGTATAGGAGATTCCCTTCCTTGTGAGTTGTAACTTCCTCGAGCAGAGCAAAGCAGGTCCGGACACTTGCCCGAGTGAGTGGCAAGTGGAGCCCGCTCAACAGATAGCTGGTAGGTATCGGGATTCCCCACCACGATTCTCGCTGGTGGAGTAGCCTGTTTTTCTGAGTGACATGGCTACGGGGGGAGGGGGGTTTCTGCTATGGCTACCAGTCTGGGGGAGCTTCGGCAGCGTTACATAACAGGTAGTTAGGATCTGATGATGTCCAGAGTCCGAACGCCACAAAGACAAGCAGCTGTCGGGAATTTCGTATATACTGTACAATATACCGCCAAGATCCGAAGATACGTACGTACGTAGGTATTACCTTCATATGTAACGCCTTCTTCGCCGCCCTGGACATGACCCTGCGAACAGGTATGTAACTCTATATACCTGAGTGACATAGCTACCAGTCTGTGTGAGCTCCGGCAGCGTCTGTTGATGCCGGGACGCCACGAATACGAGCGGCCGTCGGGAATCCCGCACATACCGCCAAGATCTAAAGATACGTAACGCATTCTTCACCGCCCTGGATAAGGTCCTACGAGCAGGTATGTGCTCTCAGTACATGTACACCTGCTACTACTCTACCTATGATACCTATGCCTGCAATATGTGGATGTGGGAACATACGTGGCGAGCTTCCTGACTAGTAATCTACATATCGAAGTCCATCGCGGCGGTTTATGCGTTGCAGCTGGTGGCGAACTGGCTCTATGGTTATTGAAACTTGATCGTCTTTTGGTAATCGTGTAGATAGGTAGTTCGAGGCCATCTTTCTCGACTGGCAAATAACATGGCTGTTCGCCGGATTTGACGGATTCCATACCCAGCGCGGTCACGCTGTGAACTGGCCCGCACAGTGTACAATAACAGAGCCGGTTCGAACATCGGCCAGATCGAACTTCGGCCAGATGACCGAGTAGACACTGAAAACCTGATCTGCAGCCTGCGGGATGTGGGATGTGGGATGTAGAGGCCGTTGGCTACGATGAACGGTGTGGCATGATTAATTACCTATGATCTGGTGGGCCGGTGGTGAAGCCTGGCAGAAGGAAGCAGCGGTGGTAAACTACTCGGGTATAGCAAGGAGGATTTAGCCCGAGGATCTAATCATCACGATTCACGACGACTCGAACGAACGAACACTGGTTGGTGAAGTTCATTCTTGTAGGTACCGTATCCAAGTATCTATCCAACCTCCACCAAATACCTACCAGCAAGAACACAAATTACCTAAGTATCAAGTATCTGTCCCACGGGCTTCATATCCCATCAACCCACATGAATAATCACATACACTCGGTAGTCCACAAAGCACATACATACGATTGACCCATCAGTCTGTTTCACCAAACAATGACAATCCTCTATGAGGTAGGTACAACATTCCGCCGCCGAATATGTCTGTATGTAGCAAACACGAACAACCCGCGAAAATCCAGTACCCAAATCCCCAAATTCCACACCCGCCCGCCTTTCCGCTCATCGACTCGTTACTAGAGTACCAATCATGATGAACCAGAGATAAAAAGTAAAGTAAAGCACATTAGCAACTCAAAATCAACCAAGTCTCAGCACGTAAATTCGAGTTTCCACGCAGAAAGAAAAGAAAAAAGAAAAAAGAAAAACCGCCAGACCAGCGAGATAAAACAGAAAAAAACTTTTTGTTGCCCCCATAGAGTGAAAAGAAATGGCAACATGTAAAAAAAAGAAAAAGGGAAAAAAAAAGAAAGAAAAAAGCAGAAAACACAAACAGGTAAACGCCCCCAACCACACGCCCCCTCCAAGTAGTCGCCTGTAACGCCCGCCTCATCCGAAAGAGATGTGGCTTGTAGGTATCGCCGAAGGAATGAGAAAGGAAAATATGCCCAACGCCAACCGACATATTTGAAGAGATAACGCCGTTAAAGAAATGCCAGTCCCTGGTCCGTCTATTCAGCCTTTCGCTTGACGCCCGCGAGCAGAGGTGGGAATCCCATTGCCTTGATGCGCTTCTCGTCTTCTCCGCTCTTAGGTCTCGCGGGGAGAGGGATAAGAGGGAGCGGCGAGGGAATCGGCGCACTGCTTGCCGAATGCGTGCTTCTAGGGGTTCCACCACCAGGTCTGTATGGCGGGGGCTTCATGGCCATCAATCGCCGGTTCATGTCCTCGGTGTTGCCAAAGCTCGCGACGTACGCAGGCGAAAGTGGCGTTGGAGTTGGCGAGGGACGGATGATGTTGGCACTGCTCTGGACGATTCCCTGAAGTTGGTTGACCGCGCTAGGGGCAACAACGTTGGGAGATGGACCGCGCGGACGCTTGGCAGGCGGAGGAGGAACATATGAAGCTGACGACGGACGCTTAAGAGAACGTGGCATCTCTTGTCGAGCTGGTACGAGCGGGATGCCAATGCCACCGAGGACAACCGTCAGGATGGCGCGAAGGTTCTCGTTTGTATATCCCCCAAAGTTATCCCTCGCTGACGACGGAGCCGCCACTTCCTGCGGTGTCTGTGTAAAGACTCGATTCTCGAACGGCTGTTCAAGGGGGGCGATATTGACGCTGGGGCCTTCGGATTCCGAACTAAGCTTCTGCAGGAGAGCGTCGATGTCGTCTACCGACATGTTTTCGGTTATCTCGGGACTCAAATCCTCGATCTGCTCATTCTGTTCGCTCTGCTTGGCCCCCTCTCCAGTAACGTTGGTGAGGATGGCGTCAAGATTCATCAGCTGCTCATCGGTTAAAGTCCCGAGAGCCACACTCGTCGGATCGAATCCGCACTCCTTGATAATCCTCTCAAGTGCCTCTTCTGTCATCTCGTCTTCGTTTTCTTCCGAAGCCGCCAACTTTCCGTTGCTTTCTTCTGAGGCCGCCAGCTCTCCGAGCAGCGCCTCCACATCCACGCCATCGTCCGCTATGGACTCATCGTCAGCCAGGGGTTCATCGACCACTGCTGTATCAGCCACGAATTCATCGGAGATGGAATGTTCTTCCATGCCGTAGCCGTTAAGGATTTCTTCCAGGATTCCAGCGTGTTCGTCATTATCTTCGCCAGCTGCCGCGAGAGCTGCAAGGAGCTCGTCGACGTTGACATCAGCAAGTTCGCCACCGGTTTCTTCGGGAGATCCTGCGCGAGATCCTGTGGTCTCGGCTTGAAGTGTGGACTCCTGGGTCGCGGATGATTCTACAGCCCCAAGTATCGGTGCAGATCCTGGTACTTCAGGAGGTCCCGGGTTCTCGGCAAGAAGCGTCGGCTCTGGAGCCACGGAAGCTTGTCTGGTCTCAACCAAGGATGGCGGTTCAGAAGTCGCAGGTGTCGATTCTGTCACAATCGATGATGGCTCTCCAGATGATTCGGGCTTGGGCACGGCTTCGGATTGAAGTTCGGTGGGAACTGGCTCAGGTGTGAATTGGGACTGGTGCCCGGTTTGTGACTCGAGCCGAGACTCGGGTTGGGGCTGGGCGATTTCCTTGGTCTGTGCCTTGGGTACTTGCTGAGACTGCAATTGGGTCATCGGCTGGTGCTGAGTGATTTCCTCGGTCTGTGCCTGGGGTACTTTCTGAGACTGCAATTGGGTCATCGGCTGGGTCTGTAATCGAGGTTCGGGCTGTGGCTGGGGTTCGGGCTGTGCTTCCTGCTCAACCTCTGGAGTGGACTTTTCTGGCTCTGCCGCCAACTCGGCAAGCAGCAGGTCGAAGCCTTCGGGAACTTCACCTCCAGCAACAAGACCTTGGAGAACGCCCTCCAGTGTAGTAACAGCCGGCTCGGGCTCTGGTTGGGGAAGGGGAGCGGGAACGGAGCCGGGGGCCGTGTCAAAGGATCGGCCGTGCATTGTTGGTGGAGGTGGTGGAGGAGGAGAATGAACATGCGGTGTGTATGACGGCTGTTGCTGATACGATGAAGCTGGAGGTATCTGGGATGACGTCGGGTTCCGTGATTGTTGCCCCATCCGGCTCCGTCCTAGTGGTAGTTGAGTTCCAGTGATGTCGTTCGCAACTTGATGAAGCTCGGCGACAAGCTCTGGTGGAGCTTTCGCCAGTAATTCGACGAGGCTTTCCATCGTGATTTCATCTCCGCACCCACGGATCACTCCACTATGGTCGCCAGAGCCTGCGAACGCATGTGGTTGAGAGGATGCGAACACACTAGACAAGTTCAGACCGTCTCCTCCTTTGGTCTTCTCCTTCTGTTCTCTCTTCTGTTTCCTTTTGTTGAATTCCGCTGCGACCCATGCAGTCTTCGTTGCAGAGGATCCCAAACCGAAGAGCCTAGCTGCCCGTTTGGTGACTCGACATCTCAGATCATTGTCCTTGTCTAGATATTGTCAGTCAATACTCCATAGAATCAAGCATTGTATCACTCACTTCGATCTTGGTTTACTTCGCGCCATCGCTTCTTTCTTTCTCGATTCTCTTCTCGAATTCTCTCGCGCTCCGCATGCTTGGAGGCATCGTCGTAGTCTCCCATCTGCATACTCGCGTCCTCCTCACCGATTTCGGGGGAGTAGCTCTCGCCCCTGGTATCTCCATTCTGCTGACGATACATCTCATTGGAAATGAGAAGCCCAACTTGTTCCTGGCGCTGCAACAGCATTGACAGAGTAGCGTTCCCCTGAGCCTGGGGCTCTGGGGATTGGCCTGTCGGTGTAGAATCCGAAGAAACATTATGATTATTGCTGTGTCCATCTTCCTTGAAAGCCTTCTGTAGAGCGTTGATGAGCTGGTGTTCACTGCTGTCCTCCTTCGCTCCCCCGGGCGCACTAGTCGCTCCTACGGCGTCACCTCCGCGAAGAGCCCGTGCAATCTCCTCAAGCACAGACGGATCGAGGCGCAACTCGTCCGCACCCGAAAACTGCTCGGTCTCGCCAGTCGGTACGGAAGGAGAGAGGGGATGATCCGGTTCACCGTCCTGTGGCTGCTGCAATTGAGCGAGCAACGAGTTAAGATCCTCTTCACCCAATTCTACGACCTCGGGGTCGCCTTCGACGGGATCCGTCGTAACTTGTTCAATTTGCCCAACGGGCGGGGCACAGTCTTCTTCTTGAGTTTCAACGACAGACCCAAGGGCCGCCTTGAGCATGCGCAGCTCCTCTTCATTCATCTACAGTAAACATCCGCGCAGTCGTCGACAACTCTTGTCGCACTAACCCCTCCCCTCTCTCCTCATGGGGGGAGATGGTGGGGGGTCAATGACGACGCGAGAGCGACGACGATGGGCGCGACAGGAGCTTAGCGATATTCAATTCCACAAGAGCCACACTCATTCAATCAAGGGAAAGAGTGAAGCGTTGTTGGGGTTGATGAATTGTGTATCACCAACCTCCAATATGGGGGGGTTGGGGGGGAAGCGGATCACGAACCTTTGGTGTTGCCCTGGTGGGGGTGGATGGAAGGGCTTTGTGACTGCGATGGAGTGCCAGAATGATTGTGCGAAGTGGGAGGGTTGGGTTGGTCGAATAAAAAAGTGTCTGCGCTAGCTGCAATAGTCGGTGTGGCGCAAGCTTCCTTAGCGTGAAGTGTAACCGAAGGCTGTGTGGCTGTGCGGTCTAGTGGCGAGGGGAAACCAGTGGTGTCGTACGGTACCTACTCAAGAATGGAGGATCACTCGCTTCGATCCGGATCAAAGGCAGGTATGCAGAAAGGATGGATGAAGGGTATTGATAGAAGGAAGGACGGTATTGATAGAAAGGAAGGACGGTAGATGTTGATCTGCAAAGCATTGCGAGTTACTGGTGCTGGTTACGGTCCAATCTTGGAGAACTTTGAGGTTGGAGAAACACCGACCAGCGTCAACAGGTACTCGAAAGCGGTGCGAGGCGATGTTTGCTCGCAGCTCGGCTGAGGCACTGTGCACTGTGCGATGGTTTTCCGGCTAAGTATGTGCTGAGATAGCGCTGCACGCTTACGATCGGAACGTGATAGGTAGACCACGATTCGGCACGGGAGCTTCGAGGTCAGGTCGAGTTCGGGCCTCCGGCATTCGGAGCTGAATCCGCAAATCTACACCCTCGTAACAAGGCAAGCACGAGCTCCGTATACACTATCCAAGATATCTCGAGTCCCGAGTCCACCCGGTGTCATACCACTCTGTCAGAAGCTACTAGAGTAGGAAGTGCGTCGTAAGCCTTTGTCGTCAAAAGCATGGGACCGTTTATACTTCGGTTGGGCCCCAACTGATTGCCTAAAGAACTTAAACTACCTAGACACTCGACGCTCGTCGTGGTCATAAACTCGACGGTAATCGTTGACTGAATTTGGAAAGGGGCATCACATTGGTTATCCTAACCTGCTCTATTTACAGGCCTTTCGGCGTCTCTGCTCTCGCTGTTTGGAATTCTGTCCAAACAGGAAAGCAGCTGAAGTCCTTTACATATGCTTGGCCATTACTTTTGCCGCGCTTATGCGTGTAGAGCACGGATCGCGTGGTACTAACAACCGCCAAGGTACGGTGGATTGAGGCGCGACGTCATCAAACTACCAAGCCGTAGCTACGTTGATCTCGCCCGCCCGGTATCACCAGCATCACCGAACCTCATCATCAACAACAACGCTTACGAACAATGGCATTCCGACTCTTTGCGCCTCCCATTTCCGTTCTCGGTGCCGCCGCCGGCCTCGGGTATCTCAGTCACGGTGGCAATAGGCCGTCGAGTCTGTTTGCGACGTACCGATGCGAAGCTCCCAGCTCGGCCTTCGGCGGATTCGGATTACCCTGGGGGACGAGCCGCAAGCCTATGGCCCCACCACCAAGGAACCGGAACGGATACAATCCAGCGATCTATCGGCAGATCTCGACGGGCAGTTTCGTGGGCATGGGGCTAGGCCTGTGTGTCTCCCGTTTCGGGAAGACGCTGTGCTTGATTCTTGGGGCGTTGATGTTGATAGTTGAGGTGGGTTTCCTTCGGCGATCCCCGCGAGGGGTCAACCAACATTCACACAAGACCCGAGATTGCCACAACGGGGATCATGACTGACTTTGATGTGCCCGGTAGACTCTCGCACGGCAAGGAATCGATCTCGTGCCTGCTGGGAAGCTTAGGCGTTGGGCGGAGGAGGTGGATGTGAGAGGATTGATAATGAAGAACACTGCATTCAAGTGGGCCCCCTTATTTCGTTTGGATTCGCCATGCCCTCTGATTCCTCGTCGGTGGAAACCCTCTTGGAGCATCGATGATACAGAAGCCCGCTTGGTTTGTATTGATGGCATTATTGATGAAACTTCAACTCTCGGATTCTGTGCATTACATGAATGGCGTTGAATGCTGCTATGCAACACGCAATTTTGGGACAAAACACCGCCTCACTTCCACTATCATTCTAGTCACAGAGACGCTTGTTCTTCGCAAATTTGAACAGGATGACATTAACTGACTGCTTGGTGCTGCTGAGTAGGGTGTCTTTCGGAACCGCCTTCATTCTGGCTTCCATATACGGTTAGATGATGGAGTTGGTGACGGGGCGGGCCCAACTTCAATGGTATCGAGATGTTGGTGTTGCTCGACGCTTGTGGTTTTCAATAGCATCGATGGAAATATCAGGACTTCCACATTCTTCGACTTTGGATGCCCCGGACTGTGATGATCCGCGTGAGGTGCAAGACCACCTGTGCAATATCGCCTCCTAGGGAGGGAGAGCAGGACGAACACTTTGAAAGACCACTTTAGCCTGGCACTGGTGGACAGTCTCATCGCCAACGCCGGTGGCGACGGACGGCGCGGCGGGGATTGCGATCGAGAGGAGTTCTTCGCCTATTGGAGTCGAGATGGGGGCCAAGTTACGAGGCTGCAGTTGAGATGGTTCTCGCCAGCTTGGCCCTATCGCAGGAGTGAATCTGGAATCCACCATATTCAAAGCCTCTGCCACATTGCAAACGCTATACCGAGAATGCACTGTGAATGAGCAAACCAAAATACATCCGCCTGCCTCTCCTCACATCGCATGTAATCAACACTCTTTCGTTTCTCGAACGCCGTCACCCTACTTCTCTCACCTCATCGAGAGATAGTAAATTGATCTATGGCGCGACGGGGTGCGCCATAGACGGCCTCTCGCTTAGCTACACAGATAGAGTATCTTTACCTCTCCATACCCGTCCAGCCGAAGCTATCCACACGGCGTGGGAACCATACGTTACACTGTGCGTGATAGTCAACGAAATCTTACCTGTTGGCTTCAGCGTTTGCCTCATGACCTTACATGTTTTAGGTAGGCGGAACAAAGAAGTTGCCATCACCAAGGACGTCGGAAGCGCCGGAATTGAGTTCTGGCACTTCGTTCAGACCCCGTTTGGGAGTTAGCGTATACATTTTTGCTGGAAATGACGAATCATAAATTGTGTCCCCTCAGCACAGAGAAACACACTAATCCTAATAGGGGTCTGAATGGAATCATGAAGGAGTCCCACATGCGTACCATCCACCTCCTCAATTTTCTTCGGCGCATCTAAGCGGAAGCGAGCGTTACGCCGCGATGCAAAAGGACTTTTAAGCACGATGGCTATACGTATCTCATGGCTAAGAACCTTCCAGAACGGACATTCCAGACGGGCGTGTCCGGACTAGGGCCTCAAAACTTGGTGGCGGCGGCCATCCTCTGGACGGTGAAGAGAGCACTAGATTTCACCCTTTTAGCGCCTGACCTAAGATACGATGTCAAGCTCATGGAGATCCTCGTCCTCCCTACCGCTTTCGTTGGGTTTTATTTTTCGGTGAGGGCGGCAAAAGGGTGGTGTTGACGCCACCACGAGTGATGTCAAGTGATTGTGTGGGACCTTGGACGCTCCATTCAAACGGCCCGCCCGTGGAGATCACGAATGTCCATTAACAGACAGGCAGGCCGACACCCACACTGCTCCTTACATGAGAACAGTTATACCACATGGCCCACCGTTTCCCTCCCACCTTCACCACGGTGTTTCCCTTGAAAAGTACTCATCCCTCCCAACTGGAAACTTTATCCTATAAAGACAGAAGATATCCGACCTTCTACTCACATTCCTCACCAGCAACATTCCTCAGTCTTTCACTCTAAAGACACAGACCATCTTCCTCCGGCGCTCATCTTCGGCAATTCATACCGACCGCATTCATTGCTCTCTCCGATTCGTCTCCGATTTCACACTCGATAACGGCCGTTCCTTACACCCGACAAACCATCGTTTCAGCATGCGGCCTGAGGTATTGCTTCTCGCTCTGTCCTGTGCCCCTGGCATTTTAGCTCTGCCCGCCGCAGAGCCCGGCTGGATCACATCAGTCGGCAAGCCCCCGAAGCGTGAGGCCGCCCCCGAGCCTGGGTGGATTTCCACAATTGGCAAGCCCCCGAAGCGTGAGGCCGCTCCCGAGCCTGGGTGGATTAGCACCATCGGCAAGCCCCCGAAGCGTGAGGCCGCTCCCGAGCCTGGGTGGATTTCCACAATCGGCAAGCCCCCGAAGCGTGAGGCCGCTCCCGAGCCTGGGTGGATTTCCACAATCGGCAAACCACCCAAGCGTGAGGCCGCTCCCGAGCCTGGGTGGATTTCCACAATCGGCAAACCTCCCAAGCGTGAGGCCGCTCCCGAGCCTGGGTGGATTTCCACAATCGGCAAACCACCCAAGCGTGAGGCCGCTCCCGAGCCTGGGTGGATTTCCACAATCGGCAAGCCCCCGAAGCGCGAGGCCGCTCCCGAGCCTGGGTGGATTAGCACCATCGGCAAGCCCCCGAAGCGTGAGGCCGCTCCTGAGCCTGGGTGGATTTCCGCAATCGGCAAACCTCCCAAGCGTGAGGCCGCTCCCGAGCCTGGGTGGATTTCCACAATCGGCAAACCACCCAAGCGTGAGGCCGCTCCCGAGCCTGGGTGGATTTCCACAATCGGCAAGCCCCCGAAGCGTGAGGCCGCTCCCGAGCCTGGGTGGATTTCCACAATCGGCAAACCACCCAAGCGTGAGGCCGCTCCCGAGCCTGGGTGGATTTCCACAATCGGCAAGCCCCCGAAGCGTGAGGCCGCTCCCGAGCCTGGGTGGATTAGCACCATCGGCAAGCCCCCGAAGCGTGAGGCCGCTCCCGCCCCTGGCTGGATCACCTCTGTTGGCAAGCCCCCGAAGCGTGAGGCCACTCCCGAGCCTGGGTGGATCCCCTCCGTCGGCAAGCCCCCAAAGCGTGAGGCCGCTCCCGAGCCTGACTGGATCCCCTCCGTTGGCAAGCCTCCCCGCAATTAGACCGATCAATACCGACCAACGAGTAAGTTTATTCTCTTCCCCACTCGCTTCCAATCTAGTTACAACCGATTAACCCCCAGCCCTTCCAGTACACCTAGCGGACCGACGAATCGACTACCATGAACGAATATTTTCTTTCCCTCTTCCACGGCTATTACCATACCTCGATATATCTAAACGGCGACCGAATCCCCTCCGGCAACGCAACACACAGCAATTTCGGGCCGTTTCCAGTATCGAGATCGACCGACTAAATATTCGATCCATGTCCTTATTTTTTGGGTAGTTTTTGAAATCGGTTGACTTTGTAATGCATTTTTTTCTTTTCTTTTCCATGTATCATTAAGTACTACTTTAAGTACATACCATCGCTGTGTTGTATACGGAATGGGTGCTGCCTACCTTCATTTCCGGCAGTCGATGGTCTTACAACTTTCTTTTTCTTTTCTTCTACTTCAGGGTGTAATCTACTATGGTACTTAACTTACATGGACATGAGGGGTTGCCTTTTTCTTGTATTTTACTTTACTTTTTGAAGTAACGGGTGACGGAACTACCTACTGGGACAGACTGGCAAAAGGAGGGGGTTTTGCCGGTTTTTCTTTTCTTCAATGCATCTGTAACATTCTTTAAACATCTTTTGTATCATCATTCTCACTCACTACGTCGGTGTGCTGTGTGTACGTACTTTGTGGAGTTACATGGCGGCTTCACTTATAGAAAGTATCATACTTCGTTCCGGTTCCTTGTAGACATCGTCGTATCATCAGTGTTTTACCTCCAGATGGGCCAAAACACCATTGTTCCCCAGGTTGCCAACCCACAGCGACTCCAGTATTCACTCGCCGTATCCAATCCTGCCAGCCCCTCTCCCTCCAGCCCCTCCAGTCCCTCTAGCTCCAGCCAGCCAGCACCCAGAAACCAGTTGCTCCCCTCCCTCCCTTCCTTCCCTCCTAGTTCCTTCCTAGTTCCCTTATGAAACCCCTTCGACGGGGCTGGAATGTTGCATCCACGTTTCCAACATTCCTGATACCTGCTCGTCACGAGTGACACAACATCATCGAGATCGCAGTACGCACAGCACCGGCTTTTGATTCCCGGCGGTGGGGGGACTGAGGGACCGACCGATAGGGTGGCGTGGGATGGCGTGGGATGGCGTGGGGTGGGGTGGGACAGGGTGGGATAACTACCCGCCTACATACGCCGCTACGCAGTGTGCAGGTACGCGGAGTGCAGGTACGCGGAGTGCAGGTTTTGCGGGTCGACGTGAGGGGGCGGGGTGGGGGGGTGATAGCTGTGGTGACTGAGAGGGGCGTGGGGGCGATGGGATCAAGGCAACAAAGGAACGGCGAACAACCAATCTGGTGATCGCTGGGAGGTCGCGGGGGGGAAGGCCGGTGCACGGCTGGGTGGTTAAAACTTAAAACGTGGTTGATGGCCGGATGTCTGAAGCTTAATACTCCGCCCACTGGGTAGGTCACACGCCCGTAGGTATTGGGCCTTCGGCATTTCCTCCGATGTCACATACATCATACATTCTTCTGTTGTGATAGGTACATACGACTCTATATCATTCGGGTGCTTAGCATGGAATTTAAAAGATTTAAGAAAGTACAGTACGTTATAATAGTTGCTGCTATCCCATGAATGGAGGCGCGCTGGAGTTCCAATTTCCAAAATCGCCTCAGAAACGGCCACTCCTCCACCCAGCCGGACCCACCACAAACACCCGGATTAAGACTATGGCTACTTGGATAGAGTTGTTCTTTAGGTGCTAATGAAGGGTTTTGATTTATATCATGGTGGTTCTAATGATGGTTTAAGGCACACTTTCCTCCAGCAGTACAAATTTGTCAATGTCGCCTTCTAGCGAGTGATATCCTGTGTCACTGCCCTTTTTCATGCGTATTTTGTCTTTCGAGGAGCTAGTGACGCCAGATAGCTTCTACTATGTATACCATATCTTTACTCTCCGAAGTCTCCACGATGTAGAATACTGTTATTGCGCTGAACCAACCAGCTTTCTGTCGGCAATTTGGGCTCGCCGGAACGCGAGAGTCCCGCTGACCTCATGCCTCGTTTCTTTTATGAAACCAGCCAGAAGGGTGGAGACTTCTAGATCGCACCATAATGTGGCCAGGAGGTAGAAGAAAACCCTCTCCTTAAACTCTCGGGGCTTATGCGGCCTACGTTTCGAGATTGCGTACCTAGTCGTTTTGGAACTCTGAGTCTATAGTAAACTTACGAAGTTACGATCCATGGGCCATCATAGAGATCATGGTGGCGTATGTACCTGCAATTTTCCACGTCCTTCCCACAGTTCAAACCACTGGCTCGGTGTATTAGCCCGTACCCCACCTAGACCCTGCGTCTTGGGCAGTTGAAAGGCAGTTGAAAGGCAAAGCAAATCCCTCGACGAAATCCCCCGGCAAACTCATCGGGCCCGTGCGAGTGCGAGTGCCACTCCATGACCCCATCAACAGAAGCTCACCACGCTAACTTTGTAGGTACGCTAACTAAACCAAAAGCACACATCCCTGTGTCAATCCCCAAAAATTCCCAATCCGATTTAAACTTCCACCACCTCTGCGCAGTGCCATCCCACCTTCCCGCTTTCCACGGCTGCTCCTCCTCCACCTCCACACACAGACACACAGACACACAGACACACGCACACACCCAACCATGGCCACCCCACCCGCCCCCTCCTCCGCCGCACCCCCCGACCTCCTCACCCACCTCAGCACCCTCGCGGCCTCGCTCAGCAGCACGCACACCTCCCTCCCGTCCACCTCAGACAGCGCCCTGATCTCCGCGCCACGCAACGGGATCTCCCTCCTCGACGTCAAGAACGACGTCCTCCTCTCGTATCTGCAGCACCTCGTCTTCCTCTCGCTGCTGCGGCTGCGCTCCGCGCCGCTGCAAGGCTCACCCGCCGTCGACGCGCTGGTCAAGCTAAGGCTGCTGCTGGAGCGCGCCGTCAGGCCGCTGGAAATGAAGCTCAAGTATCAGATCGATAAGGTCGTTGTGGCGGCGGGGAGGGGTGAGCGTGGGGAGGGCGAGGGCGAGGATGGAGAGGAGGAGGGCGGGGAAGAAAGTGATTCCGGCGACGAGAGCGCAGGGTCGGAAGACGAGGGTGCGGGGCGTAAGGCGCTGCTCGCCACGGCGGCCGCTACCGCGCCCGCGGATCTGGCACACCGACCGAACCCGTCTTCGCTGCTGCGGGCTGGCGGGAAGGCTGGTGCCGCCGCCGACGACGAGAAGGCTGCGGACGGAGTCGGAGTGTACCGGCCGCCACGCATCGCGGCCACGAGCATGCCTACGACCGTGGGGCGCGAGAAGAAGGCGGAGCGTTTGCCGCGGGCGCACCTCCTCGACGACTTCGTCACCGACGAGCTGAGCACGGCGCCACTGGCGCAGCCGTCGATTGGCACGACGATCGTGGATGGTGGTCGTGGCGGACATAAGTCGGCGCGCGATAAGCGGGTGGAGCATGAGCGCCAGGAGTTCGAGGAGGCGAATCTGGTGCGGTTGCCGAAGCCGAGCAAGAAGGAGGCTCGTGCGGGTAGGCAGAAGGGCATGCTTGCGGCCGCGGATAAGTTTGGTGGTGAGGATTGGAGGGGCTTCGCGGGTGATCTGGATAGGATCACCGCTAGGGTCGGAAGGAGTGGGCGCGGTGAGAAGGCGCTCGACAAGAGTAGGAAGCGGCAGAGTGGCGAGGGCGAGGGGAAGAATATCGGTGAGCATTACGAGGGCAGGAAGGGCATGGCCGCCAAGAGGAGGAAGATGTGAGCTGTGGGCGAGAGGGATATCAAAAAAAAGTTGTTTTTTCGGTCTCTGGAGGAGTTACTGGAATTTGTATATAATGCTATCAAAGACACTATTCTGCGAGATGGCCGTTTTGTGCTCTCGTTCTGCAGTTGAGAATGCGAGTATTCAGAAATGCAAAGAGTTGATTCCATTGTGAGTGATGGCCGATGCAAGTCATTTCCACAATTCTCACCCGCCCAGACTGAGAAGACGAAAGTATGAAAAGGTGTAAATTCAGAGCCACGCCGAGTCTACTGCCCCACCCAACCCCATAAAAAGCCAGCCTTGAACACCAATCAAGTACATGTAACCAGCCAAATGAAAGAAAGACCTCCGCTCATCCCGCATCCGCAACTTTTTTTCTATCACACGAGCAATCCAGAAGCGTCGAGGCGTTTACATGAAGTCGTCACTACCATGAGTCAGTCTCAAAGTTCTGGGACTACGTGGCTGGAAGTGGGATAAAAGAAACTCACAAATCGTCGTAGGCATCAGCGTAAGACCTAGTATCCGCCGTGTCCATGGATTTTCCAGACGCCGCCAGAGCCGCCTTTTTGGGCGCCACCTTCTTCTTGCCGCCCTTCTGCGCATCCTTCTCCTCCTTCTGCTTCTCATTCGACAGGACCGTGAGCTTGCTAGCAACAAGTCTGATCTGCTCACTGTTCATGTCCTTTGCCAGAGCCTTCGCAAACTCCTGCAGGAACATGCTGTAGTGGCCCTTCTTAACATTCTGGGCTATCAGCGGCGTGATGACCTCCCTCAGCGCATCGAACTGCAATTTCGTCGTAGGCTTGAAGATCTCCAAGCTCGAGAGATCGACCACCTTGGTCGGATCCTTGGGATCGACAATCGCGGCGGTCTTAACCTCTCTTCCACTCCCCGCACCAATGCCCACAGCACCAAACAGATCCTCAGCGTGCGCAAGGTCCGCCTCGATTTCGCGCGCCTGCATGCGCGCGCGCTTCTCGGCCGGCGTCTCGTTCTCGAGCGCGTCGCGCGCCGCCTCCTCCGCCGCCCGCTGCACCGCCGTCATAGCCTTCTTCTCCGCCAGCCGCTCCGCAGTGCTCTTCTTGTTCGCGAGCGCGTCGGCGGCGGCCGCCGCGGCCGCAGAAGCCTTCTTGTCCGCCTTCTTCCGCTCCTCTTCGGAGTCGTCTGCTGCGTCCCAGGAATCAATTACCTAAGGAAGGAAGAGTGCGTTAGCAGGAGCAGGAGCAGGAGTGGGAGCGGGGGGAGGGGGCGCCAACGTCGTCGTCGGATTCCTCGTCGTCCCACTTCTTTTTCGAGCCCAGTGCGACGGTCTTGCTGGCTTTCTCTTCCTCCTCGGAGGACTCGTCCTCCTCGTCCTCTGTCCGTGTCGTCAGTCATCACCATCACCATCGCCGTGGAGTCACAGAGGAGGGACACACCCCAGGTCTTTGGCGGCGGCACCATGATTTTCCTGTGCTTTATTTTTTTCTTTTTCTTTTCGGCGAAAGGAACGCTGGGGCTGGGCGGCGCGGGGCGGGGTATCGACAGTGGTGGTGGTGGTGGTGGTGGTGGTGGACGTGGAAGCGAAGGTGGGAAATATGGCGGACGGACGAGGCGATGTAGGTACTTATCGGGAGAAGTGGTGGTGGTGGGGCAGATGGCGGGGCTTGTATTTGGGGGTCACGGGGACTGGGGACTAAAAGAATCACGTGCAATTATATGTAGTTCTAACTTCTTAGCCGCCACTTCTTTTGGCGAATAAACTTGTGCAAGTACATAGAAAGGCTGGACTTGAATTGAATTGAAGCCTCCGCCCCGCCCCCATCCAGGTCCCGACTTCCCGACTTCCCGACTTCCAGGTGCAAAACCTGATCGCTCACGGTAATAATTTACATAGCACCACCCACCACTACTAGTACTCGACAACCTCCAGCCATTCGTCCATAGCAATAACTGCTGTCACACTACATACACACATCCGCATTCCCAAGCCAGCCAGCACTCAGTCAGCCAGTCATCCAGCCAGCTAGCCAGCAGAAAAGTCGGTCGGTCGGTCAGTCGGCACGCTGCTCTTCCGTCCGCAACCCAACCCAACCCAACCCCGCAAAGCCGAGGATCCGTTCCGTGCTGACCTGGGCACTCTCGCGATCGGTCAATCAAACAATCAATCATACTCATAACATCGTATCTCGTTTTTGCGCAACCCGATTTCCAGCAAACCAGGAAGGGAAAAGAAAAGAAAAGAAAAGAAAGAAAGAAAGAAAAAACAGGAATACGCCCCCGCCGACCAAAGCCCCTCGACCCGACCCGATGCTAATCAGCCCCAAAAAAAAACTCCATGCCCCGCCCTCCCAAAGCCAAAGTCAAAGTCAAAAGTCCAATCCCACCCACATCCATAAAAAAAATAGTAAAATAGTAAAATCGTGGGCCGAACGAGTGGTGGCGGTGGTGATGGTTTGTATCATATCATCAATCCCGCGATTAGCACGCTCGCCCCGCCGATGAACAGCGTGACGTAGATCGGGCTGATGGAGTATTTGACCGCGCTCTCGGAGTGGGTGTGTACCGAAAAGCGGAAGGAGGGGGCTGACGATGCTGCTGCGCGTTAGCCTATGTGTCTGCGGGTGATGGGGAGACTGTGAAGGAATGCGTACTTTGTCGCTTCTCAGCTGTCTGCGAAGTTGCGCTGGCAAGGCTGATGTACATTGTCAGGCCGAGCAGGACCAGGAGGAAGATGAACGCGGTCTGGCGCGGAAGACGGATCGACATTTTGTGGATGGTGGACGGTGGACGGACGGGTGGTGCTTCGGGATGGCTCGTGAATGGACGAGAAGGAGGGACGGAGGACTTATGAGCGCTCGAAGTGCGTGGTCGGTCGAGTTGAAGCGCGTACGTTTGTTCGATGTTGGTCTGCTGGGTAGGAGGTAGGCTACGATCGAGTGGGGTAGAGGCGATATGGTATGGTATGTCCGACAGTGAGGCGGATAGTTGTTTGTACGTCTGTTGTTTGTAACGGGCTGTAGGACGCGGTGGTGGTAGCGGTGGTTCGTAGAGTGTCGTCGAGGGTCTATCGGTGTCAATTGTTATTTCTCCTCACACGGGCCGAGTGGGGGAGGGAGGGAGAGGGTCGTAGAAGTACCTTTATGTATGCCGCCTTTCTTGTCGGTGTCGCGGTCTTGTATGTATGGCGTTAGGTAAGGTCCAAGACAAAAAGTTGAAAGTTGAAAGTTAGAGTAGATGCAGGCAGGATGGGCTCGTCATCACGCGCCCGATCTGAGCCAAACCACATGTAGGTAGAGTTCGAGTACGCAGAGGTGGTTGCTGGCACCCTGCAGGCTTTAGATGTCTGATGGGTGGTGGTGGGAGGGTGTGTATGGATGGCGGGTTTCGCCAGCCGCTGACTTCATGGCACCTGGGCCTGCACAGGGGGAATCGGGATTCCGGTTGCTATTGATGATTGGCTGGAGTTGGGATCACCAGATGCTGTAACTCCGGCAGCGCTGCCTCTAAAGTTCCAAACCTGACTTCTCGTGAATCGTTCCCTTTCCCTTTCCTTTTTTCCCTTTCACATTCTCTGTCCCTCCCCCTCGCTCGCTTCTCATTGCCCATCTGCCCCTCTCCGTCTCCGTCCCCGTCTCCGTCTCCTTCAAAGTTCACACCATGTCTCGACTCTGAGCCTCGGACCCTCGAACCCTCGAACCCTCGAACTGATCCGTACCTATTTTTATCTTGCACGCATTCGCTCGCTCGCTCGGCACTACTGAGCACTCCATGGTTCAACAAGGAAAAGGAAACCAGAGTCCAGACGGCCCGGGAGCGCGAGCGAGCGAGCGACCTTCGCACTTCGGACGTCCCAACCCCAGCCCGGTCTTTTTCTGCTTCCCCGCACAACTAGGTACCGTGTGTATCCGACGGTCTCGCCCCGCCCGCTAACTATCATACCCTAGTTGCTAGGTGGTAGTTCGCATGTATCCAAGTATCGAGTACTCTTATCCAAGTATTCATCCAAGACTTCAAGTGACTGAGACTCAAGTGCCCAAGTGCCCAAGTGCCCAAGTGCCCGAGAGTCTGAGACTTCACAGCGCACCGCCGCTGCACCACCGCCGCACCACCTCCGCACCCATCGGCGACGGTGGGACTGGGCAGGACTGGGCGGGCGGCCACGTTATCAGAACACCCAGGATCAGCGCCGACGATCGAGAAGATTAAAGCTCTCCATACATACGTCCACATACATACACCCGCTTCAATCGGCGCTGCATTGAGTCAACCTAGAGTGCATCACCGCGCTCATCGGCTTACCATACTCGATTCTCGCGGTCCCGCAGGCTGCAGGCACGATGAAGTCCGGGTCTACTACCCTATACGTGCAGCAGCAGCAGGCGGACTCCGTCGTCTCTTGGGATTAGGACAGGACAGGACAGGACGGCCTCATCACGCGACGAAGGGGAGCGGCGAGCCCATCCAGGTCCGGCGGGCATGAAGGGTTCCTGTATGGTAGCATCGGCGCTGGCTGGCTGGTCGACGCGTCTATAGGCCGCAGACTCACTTAACTACTTCGTACATAGACGAGAATGATTTCACGCGAGAGCTACCAATCTCAGTACTGCTTCGTAGGTACATAGTCGGTGTTCTCGCGGGACCTCGGTGAACAACCACCCCAAAACGCCATCCATTCATTCCACTTAACTACATACACAACCAACCTGCACGCACAACCCGCAAACATAGGTACATAACATGACGCCCTCCCCGTCCCGCTCCTTCCCATGCCAATTCCAATTCGCAATGAACAAGATGTATAAAAGAAAAAAAGTAAAAGAAAATCTAACGTACACGTACTTCACGTACAGAAGCCACCACCGCACAGCACGGCAGCACACCTTTAGACCAGGTACCCAGAATACCTACAAAACCCACAATAACGGAAAAGGTATAACAAAAACTTCGTATGTAATTAGAAAAACAATTCGCCCCATTCCCCCTCCCACTCTCACTCTCACTCGATAAAAAAAAAGCCCCCTCTTCCTAATAATCAAACGGCGCCAACCTGCACCCACTGGCACCGGTATACACCGCGCACGGCGCCATCTCATCCTCGTCCTCGTAGCCCATATCGCCTCCGTAGTAATCATTGCACCACTCACTCCGACTTGGCACGTTGTTGTTGCTGCTCCTCTTCGCCGCAGCCAGCATCTCCATAGCACTACAGTTCTCGCTCAGAGCCACGGCCCCTCCCCCTCCGGAAGAACCCATGAGCACCTGGTGGCGCCGCGCGTTCTCTTCGAGCTGCGAGCGGTGCGTGTAGGATTCCAGCGAGCGCTGGTACTCGACGGGGGAGATTATTTCGTGCGCAAGCGCGATCTCGAGTTCGTTGAGCGAGTTGGGGGAGCTGAGGTCCGAGGACATCAGGTACTCGGCGTATTCGCGGTCCGAGGACTTGACCTGCTGCTGGTGGTGGTAGTAGGATTGCTGGTGCTCATGCAGCAGCTGCGCCGATGCGTCGTCGGCCATCTCGTCGTCGTAGGTGGCGGTGGTGGCTGGCGGCGAGGGCGGCGAGGGCGGCGGCTGCACCACCGCCGGGTGCGACGAGTGGTGGTAGTGCCGCGATATCGAAAATGTGGCGGCTACGGGGCTGGTGAGGGGAGGTGTGGGCGGCGAGGCCGCCGGTGGGTGGCTGAAGAATAGGTTGCGGTTGAAGAGCGCGACGAAGTCGTCGTCTGCGCTGGACATTTGCGGCGGTGGCGGCGGGGCAGGCGTCGGTGTGGATGTGGGTGTCGGCCCCGAGAGGGGACCTTCGGGGACGAGGCTGTTGGTCGAGGCGCACTGGGGGATCTATTAGCTGTGGATAACGAGCTGGAGGAGCTCGGGGGGATGTGCCTGTGAGCAAAATGGGACCTGGTCGTAGCTGAGCCGCGGGAAGGTGTCGAGGTTGTGGCAGTTCAGACAGCGGACCGAGAGGAAATGCATGATGCGTATGTAATGTGTATAATTGTTGGAGCTATGTACCTATCGACAACGTACGGACGGCAAAATCAGCAGGCGGACAGGCATGGAGGATGAGATATATACGGAACAGCAGAGGGAGAAAAAAGAGAATGGGGAAACTGGGAATGAGATCAAATGACGCCAGGTGCGTGCCATCTGTCCACTCGTGGGCAGGTAGGTAGCATAGCATGCATCCGGCTTCCAGGTCGTCACTCCTCCCTCATTCCCTCCTCCGTCCTCTTCAGATTCTCCACACCCACAGACCGAGGTGAAGAAGGGAAATACGTACTAGCTGTAGAATTCCAAGTCGCTGTGAATAATAACGCTCCGAACGCCGACGCTGCTGTTTACTGAATCCTGAAGCTCGGGGAGGAGGAGGGTAGCAGCTGTACTTGTACTGAGTTGTCTGGTGATACCTGTGACTTCGCAAACATTTCTTACCGCGGCGGAGGGCGGGGTAGGTAGTAGAGGTAGGTATGATGCACCTGCATCCCTGAGCTGCAGCTGCTGTGAGTGCTTATTTCTCCCCCAGGGTGATACCTTTGGTAGGTAGAGTATCCGAGCCATGCGATGGCGGGAAGGCCATAGGTATGATAGAGTACTCTACCTTCGCATCTAGAGCACCGATCATCGGCATCACCATAGGTATTTCATGACTCGAAGGCATGAATTCACTCATCCATCGCCGCCGCAGCGCTGGTTTCCGCGCGCCCAATCACCACCGAGCATTCTCCCCATTCTCCTCAAAGAAAAAACACCGCAACGCTCCCCCCCTCTCCCTCTCCCTCTTCCCCCTCTTCCCCGACTCCTCGGACAAAACAACAACAACAACACAACATCGCGTTTAGCGCCACCTCCCCCGCCCCCTCCATCTCTGCAAACTAGTATGTAGCACGGCCACGCATCGAACACTGATAGGTCTCACGCCCACTAGTTCCCGGTGCCCGCGAGGTATGCATACATATATCGGAAAGAAAGAAAAAAACTTCTTGGTTACATACCGATGGTGGTGGTTGTCATGCGGGCACATAGTTACTCTATACTCTAGGCGGGGTACCAGGTAGGAATTCACCGAGGTCGGACGGAGCGTGCGAGATCTGATTAGATAGGTAGATTAGATATGTAAATACTGATGGTCGCCGCATGGCGTGTCACTCGGATTTGAGTGGGAAACGGTGATGGATATGGCTGTGCAATGTTGAGAGATATGTTGCTTTGTAACAGGTGCGGGCGCGAGTGCGGGCGCGGGGGCGATATATTTTTGGGAAAGGCCACGACGGGGGCAGGGAAAGCCACATCGGGACGCCTGACGAAAGTTAGGTTTGGACAGTGGCGTGGAAACGGAGGGGTGACGGGGTGATATTGCCATGATCTAAATAGGTCGCACGCAATCAATAAATGAAAAAAATTTGCGAGATTGGTTGCTTTGTAGGTACTATAGATGGAGAGAAGAAGGCTGAGCGCCCCCGAGGGTGGAGAGTAGGAGACACCACTAGGTATATGGTAACTGAATGCGAGTATGTACCGATGATTTGACCAAAAAAACCCAGTGCCCTTCAACGTAAAGGCCTACAAACTGATTAACGCATGGCTGGCTGAGTTTGAACATGATTCCCAGAGCCTCTGTCCACTACACAGGTTCTCCACGGTTGGTAGAAGGTCCTTCTCCACCAGTAACACAACTCCCACCTCGAGACCGTACAAGCCGTGCCATCACGGTATCGATAAGGATCCTACGGGCCATCCGCATCACAGTACATCACACCGCATCAACCACATCATAGCACAACCCAATTCACCACGAGTAAGGAAGTATGCATAACGAAAAACGAGTATACATGTATTCTACACAGATACCACAATTCCCCACAATTCCCCACAATTCCTCTCATAAACCTCACCACAATCCTCACCATAATCCTCACCATAATCCTCACCAAAACCCACACCCACACCATACACAAGAGAAAAACCACAAAAGAAAAAAACCACATTCGCACGAAGAAGAAAAACACAATGGGCGATTAAGTAAGTAAAAGCGGTAAGAAAAGAAGAAGTAGTAGTATGTAAGGTCCGCCTCCATCCCTCCTCCCCCCAAAGAAGAAGAAGAAGAAGAAAAGAAGAAGCCGGGAATCGAAAATTATCTGGGCTGCCCCCCCACCACTACTTCTTGTTGACGAGCGTAACCACGACCGCGATGACGACGATGATGATGATGATGAGCACTATAAGGTTGATTAATACCATTACATTTTGCCATCAAGTAGAGTAGATGCCGTGGAGTGCCGGCGAACAGGCATCGAACAGGAACGGAGAAGGGCGCCTCGGCATGGTACCAAAGGAGGCCAAATCAACGACAAGAAAACCAGGGAGTACTCACGAGCGATCAACAAGCACCACCACTTCTTTCTCCTAGCGGAGCGGGCCTTTTCGACGGCACCACCGATCTCCTCCTGGGCCTTATCGACGTTGTGGGTGATCTCCTCGCCGCGCTGGTCAATAACCTGCACCATCTCGTCCTGCTCCGTGACCATCTGCTCCATCTCGCTGAACAGCTGTGCCAGCTCGATGATGGTCTTTTCGATCCGCTGAATCTCCGTGTGGCGCGCCTGGACTTCTCGCAGCGCCGAACGGGCTTCGCCGCGGCGGTTGCCGGAGAGGAGCTGTATGTGTCCGTCAGTACGGTTTCGGGTGGTGGTCGAGCGGAGCTGAGCGCGATATACTCACAGCCTGAGAGAAGACCTGCTGTCCCTGCGAATCCTCACACGCCTGTCGCACTTCATCCTCGGAAGCGTCGGGCTTGACAATCCTGTACTGCCTAGCCATCTGCTCCCTCGTCCGATCGGCAAAGCTCTTCTCGACGAGCTGGTACTTCCTCAAGGAATCCTTGAAATTCCGATCCAACACACCGACCTGAGGGGCCTTGGTGGGATCCCTCGAAGCCTTCCCCTTGAGGGCCTTGATCCTGGTGGCCAGGTTGGTGTTCAACGCGCTCGTCTCTGTAACCAGCGCCTCGAGGCGATTAGTCGTCATCTGCTGCGCGGCCTCGTCGATATCGTTCAGCGAGCGCTGGTGCAGGCTCTCGATCTGCGCGATATTGGCATTGACGGATTCGATGCCACCACGGATCTGGTCGACCTCGGCGTAGAAGTCCTGGACATTGTCTTGCGGCGGTGGCGCGGTGTATCCTCCTCCGCCATTCAGGTTGCCCATCTCATAGTTTCCTGAATTCAGAGGCGAGTACGGTTCAACTTTAGTCTCTGAAGCAACAATTACACGGTGAAAAACAGGATCAACCTCTCTCCGTACAACTGACTGGGAGGGGAGAGAGTGATGGGTTGGAGGGGGGGGAGCGAACCTGCGGGCTCTTGGTTGTAGGCTGTGGTTTGTCCGCCGCCATATGGGTTGTAGCTGTCTTGCTGCTGCGCATACGGGTTCGACGACGCCGCGTGGTTACTGTTGCGATCGGGTCAGTTGAGCGCGAGTGGACGTGCGGTGCGAATTGCGGATCGAACATACCCGTAACCTCCCTGTTCAGCGCACGGAGTTTAGCTGCTGGACCGAACGCGCCCGGCCGGGGAAGGGGAAGGGGGAGCAACATACACTCATTGTGATTTATCTGGTCTGTAAATATCGCCTGGAGAAGGTGTAGAGAAGTATTGACTTTAAGTAGTGTTCGCGCGCTCAAAAGTGGGTTTGCCAGGTGGTAGTTGGTATTGAAGTATGTAGGGTGATGGGTGAGTTGTGAGGCGATGCAAGCGAGGATGTCTGGTAGGGAGGAAGCGAACGAAGAAGCAGGAGGCGGCGGCGGCTTCGTTTACTATGCAGATGATGGTCGAGGTGCTAATGCGCCACCACAGAAGAACGGCGGCTACAAACAACAACAAATGAACAATAACAAATGAACGGGCAAAAGAGTGAGGGAATGACGGTGGGTTTTGGGTATGAAGTACGAAAAATGGCTGGGCAGGAGTGCAGAGAAGAAGAAGAAGAAGAAGAAGAAGAAGAAGAAGAAGAAGCAGTGCAGTTGAAAGAAGAAGAGGAAGGCAAGCAGGGGACTGAGCAGGCAGCTTAGAAAGTGGAATGAATTTAGGGGTTGTGATTATGATGTGACAAGGGGGATGTCGGAGACGGGGGGGTTTCTCGCTAGTTTCAGACAAGTGACAAGTGGGAAGTTCTGCAGCTGTGTCTGCGTCAAGAGCGAAGAATCTCGAGAGCAGTCTGAGGATGAAGTCGAAATCGTGAAGAGATGATGTTCGCTCGTTCTATGTAAGACGGCTCTCGCGGACTCGCACATGTTCACTTGGCCCGCCCAGCCCGAGAAGAGTCGGTCTTGGGTGTGCATGATGCTCCGCGCGCCGCGCAACACGTTAAGGATCTGCCCCGCCACTGCCCGGTTCAAAAATAGTGGTCAGCATCTCTGCAATCGCTTGGCCTTAAAGCTGATGCGAGCCAGCTTCGAGAGTGACCCCAGGCGGCAGCGGCTCAACATGCAGCCGCATTTCATACGGAGGAGAGTGCGGAGGCCAATCCGCGAGATGGCGTCCTACACTCGGAAGCTGCGGGACTCTTCAAAGGTAACGACTGCAGAAAGCCGCGTATGCTACGCTTTAGCTGTCGAAGAAGCCTTGATTCTTGAGAGATCGTCTTCGGAAGCGTGTTTGTCCGGAGTTCGCGATGGATGGTCATGGCTGTGCACTATATGTAGACGTACGAATACGACTGCCGTGGCGGGATAGCGGGAATATCAGGTGACATCTCCCGGTCGAATCTGCACTCTTCAGCCCCGACTGTGTGGAAGTTGGTGGCTGCGGGTAAAGATTGACGACAAGCTGAAGCCCAGATGCATCTGCACACACCTTTGCGTTAGGTAGTAGGTTACGATGCCGCTCCTCGGCCGGCTCTGCGGCGACGGCGACGACGACGTAAGCCAACTAAGCAAGCACATACGACCCAGGAGCCGAGTGCTCCGCCATGGGGCACGCCAGTGCCATCGAGCCAGCGAGCAAGCCAGCGAGCCGCGTCGGCCAAAAAAACCCTTCGTCTTGGCGTCCATCCCCGCCAGCTATAAAAGCCCCTCCTCCCCCACACCCCACTTTCTTCGTTACGAAACAACGCAAAATATCACATCACCACCCATTCTCAGCAGGAAACCAAGTTTCGGGACAACCGGTGCGAGACCGACCGTGGCAACACGCGTTGGAGTCCACGACCCACGGGATGTCCAACCATTCCTGCGTGATCGCGGTGGTGACGGAGAATAAAGACAGGATCTTGGGTGCAGTAGGGGGAGTTTTTTATACTCGTTCTCAGCAGCGTCGAAAGACGACTGGGTGAGCCCGACTGCAAGGATCGCGTCGACATTTTTTTGAGAAGTTCATTTTGGTGTGATATTGGATGTTCCGCTATACGTCGTGACCGCATGTGGTGGATGGATGTCTCTTTGATGTCCAACACCATGATCCATCAACCCTCATCCCCATCATATCATCTATCGGGGTTATGTAGATACCCCCCTTCCCCTCCGCTCCCCCGTGCGGATCCATACTTCACGCAGGTCCTCGAACGTGCGGTACTTATCTAGAGTACATCCATCCCCGATAGATACTCCAATAGCGCTGTCACCAGTAGCTTTCGAGTCCGTGTACGGTGGAGAACTGAGACCTTTGAAATTGTGTGCTTGCCGGATAAGTTTCCCTTCCTGGCCCACCACCAGTCAAGTCAATCCAAGTCAACACACGGACCTTGGACATTGTTTTATTTGTGGGTTGGTTGGTTGGTCGGGTGTACGACGGTGGTGATGATGGCAGTAATGGTGATGATGGCAGTGATGCTCCAATGCATCCATCCATCTACCTATGCGACAGACTTCGTCTGGAAAACTCTCGCCCTACAGAATTGCCCGAGGGCAACATTCCGTGCAGTGTAGATAGAGTGTACCCATCATATGTACCGACGCATATATAACATCCATTATCTGTTCCATCGGAACCATCCCGCCGTCTTCACGCTCGTAGGCTGTACCTATGCCATATGGTGCATGTGCCCGCCCGCACAACTCCGACTCCCCGACTCCGAGTTCTTCGGAATATTTCTCCCGCCAGCAGCCAGCCAGCAACTATAGTATACATAGTACTATACACACGTGCCCGCAGATGCACAGCGGCTGCAAGCTTCTAGAAACTAGAACTGTCCATTAGCTACCAAATGACTCCTACCAAAGATCCTATGATACCAAAGACGACGGTGTACGTTGGGCGGCGATAACGATATTCCAGTGGATGATGATACAAATACATTCATTAGCGTACCGTACCGTACTCCTATCCCCCGTGTCCACGGCGCCGTGTCCACCGCCTAGTGCCCATCTGCATCAGCCAGCGATAATAATACACTCCCGTCCAGTCCAGTCTGTCCGTCCAGTACCATAAACGCAGAGCAAAAGTAAGTGAAGTGAAGTGAAAAAAAAACCTTTATAGTTACCGGGGAAAGAAGCGAAAAGTAAAGTAAAGAACCATGAAATGAACAGAGCAAACAGCAACACACACACACAGAAAATCGCATCGCACCTTTGCTGCTGCAAGAAGAAGAAAGGAAGCAGGAGCCACACAGAAAATCAAAGCAAACAAACAAACACCCAGTGTAATAATGTCAAAACAGTGAAAAAATCTACTCCATATCGACATCGCCGTCCTCATCGCTCTCCTCTTCCTGTTCGACCGGCACCTCGGGCGGCGCGTCCCCCTCCTCCTCGTCCCACACCCCCTCGTCTCCCTCAGCGTCGGCGTCAGCGTCAGCGTCGGCATCGGCATCAGACACTTCCTCGCCGACCTCGTGGCGGGCATCAACAAGCTCCCAGCGTTCGAGCCGACGTTTGGTCCTCCTGATGGCGGCGGCGATGCTCATAGCCTCTTCGCCGAAATCGTCGACGTCGTTGGCGAGCTCTTCGTCCTTTCGTGGTATGAGGCCGGCCGGGCCACGCATGTATATGGTGGTGCGGTGTGTGAGTTTCGAGCGCTTGCTGGGATGTGTGTCGTCGTCGCCATTAGTGTTTGCGTCATCGACGACGATTTCGGCGGTATGCTTGAGCGGGTGTTCGTCGTCATCGGACATCTGCAGTGGGTCTTCGATATCCTTGATACGGGACCAGGCGCGGATGAAAGCTCCCTGCTTGAGACGCTGCCGTTTTTTCCGCGCGTCCAGACGCTGCATCTTGCGGTCTATAACGTGGTTGACGCGGTCTTTGCGGTTTTGTTGCACCGCAAGCTGGTGGGATGTCATGCGTTGGCGGGGGCCGGTGCTGACTTGGACGGGGCTGGAGCGGTCCATGGATTGGAGACGGCCGACGTTCAGGTTTTCGGGGGTTGCGAGGGGGCGGCCGCCTTTGGTGAGAACGATGCGTTGAGCGAGCGGCTTCAGTTCGCCGTCGTACGTGCGCTTGGCGGCGTTTCTGGGTCGTCCACCTTTATTCTTTGGTGTTTCGATGGGTGACATGGCATTCTCGCCGTTGAAGATGCTGGTGAGTTTGATGATATTTCGACGAGCGGATTTGTTGCCAGCGGGCGTGGTGTACTGGCTTTCTGGCGAGACGGAGCGGGTGCGAGTGTCCGATTCATACTCGTAGTGGAAGCGCGTACCACCTCTTCGTGCCGAACCTGATCATCAAACATCAGCCATGTCGCTTCTAGTGATCTCCGCATAGGATATGACTCGTACCTCCAGGAGAAACGTTGGGCGATTGTGTGTCCGGAGAAGCTGCTGTAGCCACTACAGACGCATGAGTTAGAAACCATTCGAACATTGTACTGAAGGGTGATTGTATCGGACTTACAGCTCTTCCTTCCACGTCCTCTCCCTTGAGGTACCGGGCCATTATGTATCTCACCGAGCAAACCTGTAAACTTACTGTTAGTATCCTGTGGGTTCCCGCGTGGGCTGTTCCTTGTTCCAGCTGCATGGCAATGATACATACGCTTTCTCTCCTCACGCTTGGCCTCTCCAAACGCTTTCTCCTCTTCAGTGTCAACATTCTCCCTCTGCGCTTGCTCTTCGGTCAGGTACTCGAACTCCGGGACGCACATTGGCTTCGACTTGTCTCTGCCAAACTTCCCTTTTCCGAACGGATTCTCAAGGCACTCCTGGTCCGTGAAATCGCTCTCGAGGTACAACCACATCAACCAGAGGAACGCCTTTGCTCTACTCTTGGACGACAGCGTCGTCCTCATAACCAGATCGTAAAAGTCCATGTTCTCCGGAAAGTGCGTTTCCGACACCTTCGGCGCGTAGGTGGATAGGACAAAGACGAGATTGATCGGATTAGTTCTTGGTAGCGGCGCGTTCATGATCTGTTCCAACGTCTGGGGTTCTTGGCGGTCCTCGCATGCTCCTTTCAGGATCGACTTGAGACGCGGCGCATCTTGGAGCTGCTTGTAGGCGTTGCTGTCGGTATGCGCTTGTAGCGACGGGATCGCGTGGTAGGTTCTTAGCTGGGCCTTCATCTCTGGGAAGACTAACATCGCGACGTCAATCAGCATAGCTCTTTAAGCACCCAAGAACGCAAAACGACATACAGTTAAGTGTGGTATTCATCCTGCCGACATTGACCAGTAAACACACCATCGCCATGTTCAGCGCATTCTCCCTCTCCGACAGCAACTTGTCTCTCAAGATCTTGCTCGTCTTACTACTCCTCGCCATTGCATCGATGTATATATCCGCGAACGAATGTCCCTTCTCCTTGGTATATGCATTCGTGAACACCGGATCCTTATTGTGGAACACCGCGCGAAGGAACTCGAACTGGATATCGTTTCGCCACAGTGGGATACCATCAGCTTTCTTGAGATGCTTGATCTTACTTCCCGAGAAGAAGCTCTGCGGCCCCTTCTTCGCCGACAGTGGCGCGAACGCCGCCGGTATCGTCTGTCCCCCACCAGCACCACCACCACCTCCTCCACTTCCTCCCGCATGACTGTTCCCCCCCGACACACTCGAGGATCCCGATACCGTGGCACTCGGTCCATCTTTCGCACCATTCTTGTCCCTATCCTCGTCTGCCGACGAGGCTCGCGTACCTGCATCGGGGGCAGCGAGGAGGCCTCCGCCGTTCTGTGAGCGCTCGGGACTAGCAGATGTGACGGACGAATCCGGGGGTGCGGCGGCGGTGATGGCGGCGGTGGCCGTGAATCGGGAGGTATTTACTTCCGTCATTGTATCGCAACCGACTCCGACTCCGACGACAGGAAGGGCGTGAGGTAGTAGGGGGAAAGGTAGACTGCACTATTATAGCGAGCAAGTGGGTTGTTGCTCGTGATTATTTCTTCTTTTGGACCCGTCGTCTTCCTCGTGCCCTTTCTTTGTTTCTTCTTTCGCAGCTTGAGTGGGCGAGCTGGTGCTCGGATCGGTTCGGCGCAGATGGGGCTTCGTGATCGTAGGCTGCGGCTTCGTTCGTCCGGTTCGGTCTTGTGGTTTGGGGGGGTGTTGGGGGAGTGACGGTGTGTAGTTGGTGTCCAATGACGAGCGACAAGCGAAATCCCATAAAGAAACTTCGGTTGAGCTATCGCCGTTGAGGTGTTCGCATTGTTCGTCCGTACTCGTTCGTGTAGGAGTGGATTCGGTTGTGCCGGGGGCGCAGGACGAAACGACACGCACACACCAAGGCGCTGGCAAGAACGACGCTTTTTAAAAGATTTCTTGTTGTGTTGTTGTTGCTTGCTGCTTGCTGCTGCTGACTAGGGGCAGTGAGTTGTTTCGTTTGTTCGCGATAGTTGTGGGCGAGGTGTGGGAAAAAGGGGAGAAGAAGAGTTTTTCCCCCGCTGCGGTGAGATATGTGCTGGGTGTGAGTTTCTTTTTGGGATGCGGCGGGTGACGGGTTGAAGCTTGTCAGTTGCGTTGCTCGAGGCTTTCGGTTCAAGGTATCGTTCAATTTAGAGGTTGTGGAGTACAGTGCTGGTGGTGGCGGTGAAGATATGGTGTGGTGTGTGGTGGTGGTGTTCAAGATAGGTACGCACTCCACCCAATTTGGATCTACGCTTTCTACAGTATGACGATTAGAATTCCTCTGCTCGGAGGAATCGTATGCGATTGTAGGCGCATCATGTGCCGACCTGCTCCGAATGCTGAAGCCGTCCGCAACGATCAAGCACGCAACAATCACGTCGATTCCTCTTTCTCGTTCTCTAGCCTCGCGTCGCGCGTCACTTTCAAGGGGCTGCCATAAGAGCCTCATAACTACTTGTATGGATGCCCTCGAGTCGCATCCGATCGAGTGCCCTTCCCTGTCAGAAATGGCAGCACTCAATCCGGTCGACGGTTTGGCGATCACGAAGGTGGATATTCCTAGCGCATTAACCAGCGAGGAGTGATACCTTGTGGAGGCCGAGTCGAAACTCCGAGTCCTGATTCGCTTTTGGACCGATCGAATTCTCGCAGCAGAAAGATGCTTCCTTCAAGCGACTTTTGGCTTTAACTACTAACATTGTTCGTCCGTCTGTTTCTCCGTTGATAGCATGTAGCCCATTGAGACTATGGCGATACTCTATACACCTTCTTCCTAATCCTATCTGCGGTCCAGATACCTGGCTCGATGTAGCAATCTAACTACAGACACCGTTAAATCGGAATGGTGGGTGCAAGAACAGGAAACTCAAAGAACCAGCCAAATTGCCAAGTTATCCAAGAACAGATCAATGGCTATTATCTCATTTTACTGGGTACACCATCGTAAGGATGCTTCAACAGCAGGCACCACTATGTCAAGCTACTGCCAGCGAGATCTATTCACTACGAAATTCATTCATCCACTACATGATCTCAAATACGAGTTACGGTTCATGACCATCTTCACATGGTATCACCCGCCAAAACTTGAGGGCATACCCATTCCCCTCCACAGTTTCAGTAACCTGCATCGACACTCGCGCTGCGGTACAGATGAGTAACCATAGCATTGACAAGCCCCACACCAGTTCCACCTTTGTATGGCATATCCTATCCTATCCCCATAGCAATCCGTCCTACCGGTCACCGTACCCGTCACTTCACCCATTTTCACAAACCATCCGATCGAATACACTTCCATTCTCATTCTCACCTCCGTCCCTAACCTGATCTCTGGAATAGATACTATGAACAAACATACCCGGTACTAGTACCTATGACCGTCCGCCCTACGTCGCCCCCAGCCGAACCGCTTTTTGTATCATCTACCTTGCTTCCCACCTCTCCCCGCCACGGACATCGAGGCAAGCACAACACAACACATGAACACGACACACAAATCGAAAAAAATAAATAAGAAGTAGGTATTTTCGGTAGAGCCTTCGAAGTTTTCGTTCATACGGTAACTCCGACTACTCCTAGAACGACGAGAGAAGAAAGAAAAGAAAAAAGAAAGAAAAGACAGGCAGGCAGACGGATAGGTGGACAGGAAGCAGACAGCGCGGCAGAAGGGAAGGGCTAGAGTAGTGAATCCAATCTCGTAAATACGTTCAATACCGCCGCCACGACCTGTTCATGTATCGTTAGTGGATGGAAGGGGAAAGAGATGGATGGGGTTTTCAAACACACCTCTAGTTGCAATTCCTTGTCCTTATTGTCACCCACTTCCTCCGCTGTAACTTGTCCTAGATTTTGCCCCACACCAGAGGTCATATTCCTCCTTGCAAACGGCCACTGCGAGAACTCATTGAGTAGTTCGTCGACGTTGGCAAATGCGCGCTCTCGCGCCTCGTGACCGAGCGTACTAAGCGCGTTCTCGAGGACGTTGGCAGCGTAGGCTGCGCATACCATCGCCAGTGTCCGAAGGTATCGGTACTCCATGTCTTCGGGGAGGAAGGGGTTTGCCGGCAGGACCACAGTGCGAGAGGTGAGTACGTTGCGTACTCGGCGACGTATCTCGTCTTTGGCACCACCATCGACTACCGGGTGGGTCGCCATGTCGAAGAGCAAGAAATTGCGCTTTTCGGTGCGCAGGATGCCTTTGTCGACTAGGCCCTTTGCTAAGCGCTCGCGTACTTGTTTGAGCTGGTAGCCGATCTTCATCAGGTTCCATGTCTCGCCTGGATTGATGTCAGTGCGGAAAGGGCGGGAGGGCGTGGTGGTGCGACATACCACTCATCAGGTCAATCCATGCGCTAACGCTCATCTTCTCACTGGTCTTCATCATCTTCAGCGCCTCATCCAGTAGCACTTCGCCAGTCAACGTGTCATCCACCACCTCGATAACGCGGTCGGCGAGCGGGTACCGGCGCCGCGACGAATCCTTCTGCATGCTTATACGGCCACGGAAGGCGAGTTCGAGGACGATGCAGCCGCGAAGGGCGTAACTGATGTTTTCGTTCCAGAAAGAGAGGTAGCCCTATTTCCCGTTAGTCAGACAACCGACAGCTCGCACAAGTAGCAGCAGTTCGCACCTGCTTATCCTTCAAGCCTAGCAACAATATTTCCTCCATAAGCGTCAACTTGGGCAACTTGTTCCTCTCCTGGTTTTCGCTGATATCTCTAGGATCGTACGCTGTACTCGATAGCAATCAGTCCCATGCTCGTTGTCTCACATCTCCACCCCCCCCCCCCCTCCACCCCCTCCCCCCTTCCCCGTAGGTGTAGCGGAGGTGATTGTGGTGGAAGTGGTGGCTCACCAATCTTGTGTCCATTCTCGGTGGTGTACGCCGTCTCTCCGGTTCCTATACTGTCGCGCTGTTGCGGCCGGGGGGCAGCAGGACTGCTACTCCTTTCTCCGTCTTCCGTCGCATCGGCACCACCGCCGCCACCTCCTCCTCGTCGCCGCGTCAATCCGGCCGTCGATGCCATCTCGTGAAGGGTGCGTGTGTAGTGAGGGTTGTGCGAGGGTTGTGGTGTTAGGTGGTGGGTTGTTGCGGTTGAGGCGTGAAGCTAGGGGTAGATAGAGTAGAGGCGTTGGTGGTGTTCTTGGTTGAGGTGCTTGGGTGCGGTTGCTAGGTACTCTCGCTAGGAGAATTGAACAGTTTATACCTGGGTAGACGCGCGGAACCCAGTGCTAGTAACTCCGGATGTCGCTCTCTCTTTTCTTCTCTCTTTCTCTCGTCGATCAACGTGAGCGTTGTTGTAGGTTGATGGAGATCGTAAAAAAGAAGGTTAGCTTTAAAGGTGTCCAACTCCAACGAAGGGGCGATGTCTGGCCAGTCAGCTGGCTTCGGGAGTGAACGGCTGGGTGCGTGGCTGAGTGGTGCAGCGCATTCAGGCATTCAGGTGTCTGGCGTCCACCGGTAAGAAGTACCTGATGAGCCCATGTATTTCACACACGTGGGGGGGGCTTGATCTCCACCAAGTCGGAATTCGGTTTGATTGGGGAGAAAGAGAGAGCGTTGATACAAATACGATCACCACGATATTTGACCATGCATATACGTCTGAGACAAGCAGAGCAGAGCAGCAACATCGCCGGCGTTTCACAGATCATATACAAGTTGCTGGAATACAAGTTATTTTCCCCACCCAACCATTTTCCCCTCTATGTGTGGCACGCATACATCCCGTAATCCCGACAATGGACGATGCAATTAGTGGGCTGGCAAAGAAAGAAGGAAGAAATGTTAGCCACACCGTTCCCGGTACGGAATCAAGAGTCGGGAAACTGACCATCAGGCTGCGACAGGATGTACTTGACAGCTTGCTCGACGCTGTGGATGTTGTCGGCGTCCTTGTCGGGGATCTCAATGCTGAACTCCTACGAAAAAGTCAATATTGAGCTCCTCACCGCCTCACTCCGCTCCGCTGAAGCCATTATACACATACCTCCTCGATGGCCATCACAACCTCAACAGTGTCCAGACTGTCCAGACCGAGATCCTTGGAGAAGTGGGCATTGCCGGTAACCTGCCGCCAGCAATCAACATCAATACCCGCCGCAGCTGCCTGCGTGTTTGGCCGAAAACAATCTACGAACCTTGGCCTCGTCGGTAACCTACAATCGCCACTCGTCAGTCTATGATCCTGTCCTGCCCAAAGCGGCCATGGAAACCCACCTTGTCGAAGCCCTTCAAAAGGTCCTTTATTCTTCCCTCGACCTCCTCCTTTGACAGCGAAGCCGGGGCGGAGTAGTAGCGGACACCCATGGGGTAGGCGGTCTTCGCCGGGGCGACAGCGGCAAGTCGGGGAAGAGCCATGGGGTGGATGGCAGCGGGGCGAATGGCGCGGGACGCGCGGAGGACAACCGTTCTGAACATTGCGTGTAGGTGGGTGATTTGTTGATGGGCGGAGCGGTGGTGGGGTTGAACTGGTGGTGGTGGGTGGATGTTGGATATGATCGGTGACGATTTGAGTTCCCAGCAGAAGTTGGTGCGCCGGGAAAGATTTGAGACCCGAGGGTGCCGATGCTGACACCGCCACCAGAAAAATGTATGGAATCCTTCAATCTTCTGGAAATACGATGGGTCTGATTTGAGAACTCTAAATTCCAAATAATACTTCTATCTTCCCGTTGGTTCCGGTTTTGCTCTGTTTCTTGCTGTCTCGGCCGTGCGGCTCTGCCTTCGCTATCCCCGCTATCCCTTTCGTCGGCCACCGCTTCTTCACGAAGCATCACCAGGTGCCACACACTAGGACTTGCAGCTTCACTCGGGAATCTCTCGTGGCAGAAGCTCTTTCCGACTGCCGGGAGGAAAATGTATTGTCATTTGAACTCCAATTCAACTCCTGAATCTTAGGTCTGTACTGGCCCCTACATACTTATCCAACTGGACATTTCAAAGCTCCGTGGAAGGTAGAGTGCCACAGTTCTCCAAGTGAAGGAGTGGCCAAGAATCAAGTTGTGTTCCCTTCATCGATCCGCTGTGTAAACTGCTTGGCCGTATGCTTATTCACTGCTGTCCATGACAACAATTTTCGCGACTAACTTACTGCTTCCTAATATTGTCACGGGATTAAATGGATCAAGTGACTTCCCGTCTCGTCTTACTTGATCTCGGATTGTTTGGTATTATTTCGTGTTTGCGGTTAACGTCGTCACAACTTTTCTTCCTCGCGGTAAACGGGTGTGGCCAATAGCAGTCGAGTATTATAAGCAACCTTCTTAGCCGCAAGGTGCAGCCACCAAGCAACCCACCAGACCCCAACACCTCCACCACCACACGCCCTCACCTCCACCATCGACGTCAACCTTACGGCCACCACAGCAGACACAATGGCGACGTCCCTCCGCACGCTGCAACTCCGCGCCGCCCCCAGCGCACGCCTCGTCGCGCCCCGAGTCGCCGCATTCTCCACCACCTCCCGCACGCTGCAGGCCCTCCCGCGGACACCCCGCATCGGCGCCGCCACAACCTGGGAGAATGGCGAGTCTGCGCTCGACAAGGCCGGCAAATTCTTCCTCATGACGGAGATGTTCCGAGGAATGTACGTCGTCATCGAGCAGTTCTTCCGACCACCGTACACGATCATGTATCCCTTCGAGAAGGGCCCCATTTCGCCACGGTTCCGCGGCGAACATGCGCTCCGCAGATACCCCACCGGCGAGGAGAGGTGCATTGCTTGCAAGCTTTGCGAGGCGGTGAGTTCTTTGATGTGTGAGGTGCGGGGGGAGAGAGACAGCGCTTATGGGATTGGGTGATAGGTCTGCCCCGCGCTGGCGATCACCATCGAGGCGGAAGAGAGAGAGGATGGGTCGAGGCGGACGACCAGATACGATATCGACATGACGAAGTGTATCTACTGCGGTTTCTGCCAGGAGTCATGCCCCGTCGACGCAATCGTTGAATGTACGCCCCCAAACACCCCCGACATACTCCTTCGCATTTACTGACCATCTCCAGCGCCAAACCAAGAATATGCCACCGAGACCCGCGAAGAACTGCTCTACAACAAGGAGAAGCTCTTGGCTAACGGAGACAAGTGGGAGGTTGAGTTGGCTGCTTGCATCAAGGCGGACTCTCCCTACAGATAAATGCTCGCTCGCGGATGGAAATCTACATGCATGCGTTGGGGTACGGAGAGGTGAAGCTGTTGTACTTCTAGATTTTAGACTAGACGGGACAGCGGTGCGGCAAGGGAGGTCGGCGACGGTTTTGCATCATCCAAATTTATCTGGCGGTTCCACACAAAAAACAAATGAAGTTGATATCCCGCATTGTCACCGTATATCCATCGTGAAACGTTTCCCTTTCATGAAAGCAATCTGTCCATTCACCATCGTTGAATCATATCGTACAATACCATTCCCATCCATCTCCTACCCACAGGCAATCGGCATCCCAAACCCAACCCAGCTTTTATACACACAATCTATAGCACCAAATCCCGAAATGCAAATCAAGCAAACAGGCAAGTAAGCAAGTATAGCGGGAAAAAAATCTAGCATATCGCTGCCCCCTACTCCTCCTTTCCTCTGTTCCATATTTTACTAGCATCTTGTCTTGTCCGAATATCTGACGCCGAAGCGCGGCCGGGGAAATTCGGTTTCCTTCCGGTGAGTCCTCGCCTCCCCTCTACTCTACGTCCCTCCTGCTGCCTATCATCTCGACCCGCACCCCGTCCCGCACCCGCCGCACTCCGTCCGGGACCTACATCCAGCCTCTTCACAGCACTCCGCCCCTTGAGCGCAGACATCATTCTAGCAGTCCTAGTTTTCGCCCCCTTCTCCAGAGCGGCAGCCTCTCGTTCCTCACGCTCTCTAGCCTGGATCTCCGGCGGCTTGTCGAGGGTTCCGTTAACCTCGAGTCTCCTGGCCCTCTTCCGCAGGTAGTCCACGCATTCCATCTCCTGTCGTCCGACCATCATAGCGGCCAGCTCGCCCTTCTCCCCAGAGAAGGTAGAATCGACGTTATCGCAGATCTTCTTGAGGATCTCGGCGGTATGGACGTCTCCACCAACGGCGTTGACAGTCATCTCCTCGACGAGATCACGCACACGCATGATATCGCCGAAGCCATCCCACACTGCGGCGAGTGTGCGGTTATAGACCGCACTGGTACAACCAAGGACGTAGGACTCTGCGCCGAGGGATTTCGCGCGCTCGAAGACGGCTACCACGCTGCCGAGGTCGTTGTAGTCCCGCCGGAAGATATCCATAGCCTCAGCCAAGAGCTCTGCGTAGAATGACGCTTCGGGAGCAGAGTGGTCGTTAGGTAATGGGTAAACATGTGTTTCCATCCATTGTAGGACTTTGACATCGCTGAAGCAAGCGCGGAGACTCCGTTTCTTTGCTTCGAGGGCTTCGACATCGATCTGTGCCTCGAGTTTCTGCACCGTCGCCCAGTCTTTGAGACCTGCTGCGCGTGCTGCAGCAGCACGCAACGAGGGTGGGTATGAGGCGAATGTAGAGACTAATGCCATGGCTGCGGTTGCTCCTTCACGCTGACTTGCCAGCTGCTGTGGCGCAAAACTGAGATTTCCCCCCGTGCTCTGCGGGCCGATGGTGCTCGTAAAAAGATCGGTCAGCGCCGGCGGCGGCGGGAGTCCACGGGCTCGTGGCGTGGCATCGAAGGATTTTGCGAGAGGAGAGGTTCGGTTGGATGCTGATGGAGTGTTGAGGATGCTCTCGAAGATACGGGTGAAGATTTCGCGCTCTCGAAGGGTGATTGAAGACCGTGGGAACTCGGCGTCGTGGTGAGGTCGCTTTGTCCGTGGAGCTGCGGCGAAGATCGGGGGTGGCGGACGTCGGTCAATTGGCTTTGGTGGTGGGGTGTAGAGATATGCGAAAGGATCCGATGAGTCCTCTACATTTAGTGATGCGTTTTCGAATGGTATATCTTCGCCAACCATGCTATCTCTACCACCATCGCCGTTCCATCCTCCGCCTCCTCTTCTAGTGCTCTTATTGTTGCTGTTGGCGGGGCTGTAGATCGAGCGAGTTTGGTAGAGGAACGGGAGGGATGGTGGTGGGGCGGATTGGCGAGCGGCGGCGACTGGGTGACAGCACCGAAGCGGGAGTCGACAACGGCTCATGAGAGTGTGATGTATTATGTTTCGTGAAGACCTGGTGATGGTGGGCTCATGGTGTTGTCTTCGGTTTTGACGGACGCCTGCTTTTTTGGTGGAGGGTTTTGCAGGCGGCGGTATGATGCCGGGTTAGTCAGTAAGCAGTTAGAGGAAAATAAATTCTATGTCACGTGTCGCATGTCTCACTGTTGGCTTCGATCATGGCATCGACCCCCCGAATTGATTGTACGGGACCAAATTCCAAGCTCAAACTCAGTGCAGTGTACGGAGGAAACTAAAAAGAAGGCAACCTGAACTGCAAACCAAATATCACTTGAACCAATCAAGACTTCCCGCTTGAAGACTGGCCCAACTTTATTACGATCCCCAGTCTGCGCAATAACCTCATGAAGCGTTTCGTACCGCTAGAGGAGCATAGTTGGGGGGAACCGACTCGGGAATAGTCGTGGCAAAGCCCCGCCGAATTCTCCCTGGCCCACAACACTCATCTTTCCAAACTCAGCTCTGATAGGTGCGGAAAGGCAAGCCTTGAACACAGCCTCAACACTGGCATCCGAGAGTTTAAGGTCCCCCGTTATTGTGAGCAAGGTTTGAGTAGGTGCCCCTCATTGGTTGTAACATCTCATCCCGAGAAAACCCGTTCTTTCTGGGTACGGTCTCGCGAACCTGGGGTTTAGGAGATGTCTAGATATTGCTCGTGATTATTGCGCGGTTGGCTGGATGTGTGTGTGCATGTTCAAGTGATTCGATTTTTTTTGCAAATGAAAAGAACTGATGCGTGGACTGGTGGGTAGGAGGGAAGTTTTACACTGTCAGCAGCCCCTCTGCTTCTCGTTGAATGCAGATATGCAGCGTCGCTTCTATATGTGGGGCAGCGTGCAGTCTTCGGTTCCATTTTGCTGCGTGCTCGGAAGTGGGATATTGTGGTGGTTCATCTCACGATACATCCAAAGCATATACCCTCGTTGCTGTTATCCAAGATACTGCCGCATTGGATGACAGTGTATGGATGATTGTTCGTAGCACACTCTCAACCCACAGTATTAATCGCCCTACGTACATGTGTCACTTGCAGTACCTACTTTTTAAACAAGGCGCGTCTTGTTATTGCAACCATACTGTGCTCTCAAATCACAAACAAAACATTCACCGTTTACCGTCCTTGGTAACCGGGGGGTGGCGGCGGGAAGCCTCTACCAGCACCAAACCCAGGAGGCGGCTGGTAACCAGGCGGGGCAGCACCGAAGCCAGGGGGAGCACCAGGGAACCCGCCAGGAGGGCCAGGGGGACCACCAGGGGGGCCTTGTCCAAGTCCAACACTCCTCATCGGGCCCTGCAATCCAGCCATCTGACCAGGAATCCCACCAGGTCCTCCGGGTGGTGGCGGTCCTCCCATACCGATTATGGGCAAACCACGACCGGCAGGTCTAGCAATACCAGGACCAGCTCCTCCAACAGGGCCGCCGGTCGGGGTGGCTCCGAGACGTGTCGACGGGTCGGCGGGCGGCGGGCCCTCGACGGACAGAGAGACGATATGCAGACCGCGCAGGATGATGAGACCGAGGGTACGCTTTTCTTCCGAGATGGTAGGGGCCTGCGAGGCGGCGGCTTTGGCGGGCTTACGCTTGATACGGCGGAACTCTTCGGTGTCGGCGAGAACGACGTTCATGTGCTAAGGGACAATGTTAGCATTGGTTATATGATAATTAGGTGTGGGTGGCTTGTACCTTATCGAATGCCAGCAAGGTGCCAGTGAGCTGACGGCCGTCGGCCATGGTGACCCTCATCCGGTAGTTGATCTATCCAATTCATCAGCTGGAGTTCGTTCTATCGCGACAGCATTGGTCGGTGGGCGCGCTTACGAGGTTGGCCTGCGGAAGGGTGTATCAGCATCTTGCAGCTCTTGTCAACGAAAGATATCTTCCTGGGGGCAGCAGCAGAAACTCACCATTTTCCCTTGTTGCTTCGACATGATTGTAGCTTGGTAATAGCCCTGAGTTCGTGTAGGTGGGGTGGGGTATCGAGAATTATCGCCGTCCAACGGATGATGGTGCGGAGCGTTGAAGGCGTGAGGTTGGGGTGCTGTGCTGTTGGCGAAGAAGGTTGCTTCGTGTTTCGCGCTAGCTCGTAATCACACGACTAATTAGATGAGAAATGAGTCAGCTCGCGATTGCGGCTCAGCGGGACTCACCTGGCCCTAAGCCCTGGTTCTGCTGACAGTGACTGATGTTTATGCCCACGCACACAGAATTTCCGCACTATCGCGAAGTTCCGCAAATCCAACAAGGCGCTTTGGATCCACAGCGAAAGACGGTACGACAACCCCCCACGACGCCCAACCCTACCGACCGACACCCAACACACCGAATTCCCCGGCACCGGCAGGCATACCCAGATTCAACAATGGTCAGTTCCGAAAATCTATCCGTTCTGTTCGTCGGAGATTCGTTTCTCTGCTATTGAGATAAATCCGACGACGCCGGTTTCAGAAACGAGAAGGCAACGGATAAACTGACTATGCGGGGACAAAAAGGCCGAGACTCAGACTCAATCGAAGGAGGCGAACCCCATGAGGGAGCTCCGCATCGAGAAGCTCGTTCTCAACATCTCCGTCGGAGAGTCTGGTGACAGACTTACCCGTGCCGCCAAGGTGTTGGAGCAGCTTTCTGGTCAGACTCCCGTCTACTCGAAGGCCCGTTACACCGTCCGTACCTTCGGTATCCGTCGTAACGAGAAGATCGCCGTCCACGTCACCATCCGTGGTCCCAAGGCTGAGGAGATCTTGGAGCGTGGTCTCAAGGTCAAGGAGTACGAGCTGCGCAAGCGCAACTTCTCTGCAACCGGTAACTTCGGTTTCGGTATCTCTGAGCACATCGATCTCGGAATCAAGTACGACCCTGGTATCGGAATTTACGGAATGGACTTCTACGTCATCATGTGCGTTTCCAGAGCCCCACCAGGTGAAAGTGTGTGTTGGACGATTGCTGATGATGTTGATTAGGTCCCGCCCTGGTCTCCGTGTTGCCAAGCGCAGACGCTGCCAGTCTCGCGTCGGTCACTCGCACAAGATCTCGTCCGCCGACACTGTTAAGTGGTTCAAGGCCAAGTACGATGCCACCGTCCGGTAAACTTGCCATTGAAGGGGGATTTGGGGGGAACGGCGCATAATAAAAGCATGTGTTTCTATCAAGGTGCTGCTGGGATGACGCTGGGTGTTCTGGTTTGATTTTTTTTCCTTGCTGGGATCATTGCCTGTATTTATGTGCAAAACGAACCCCTCTACGGCACCACTTGGTGACGGCCACTCTTCATGATTTACCTATCTGCTTCTGCGGACGGAATCGTGATATGTGAGGATGCCTTCGGGTGTCGCCGGCAAATCGCTGTGTTACTGTGATTTTGAATTTGCCAAACCCGAGTGACAGTAGCGGGAAGGACTAGAAAAGAGCGGACGATGTCACCTTTTTTGCGGATGCAGCGGGTATTCTCAAAATCTCAATGAGCGTGGAGGTACGGCAGAATCACACTACGAAGAAACAAGCCTCAAGCAAATCCCACTTGACCAGAATTCGTGCATACAAAGTATGAATTCGACAACATGCACGGCGTGGCTTCATTCCAGTGGGGGGGGGAATAGGTAAGAACCGAAAAACGTTCTGGCAGAACATTGCCGTGCACGAACTTCTGCAATCAAACAAAACCCTCTTGAGCGACGATTCCCTAGAATACCCCTGGGCGTGGGGAATCCTCACAGGAGAAAATGCTAGGGCGGATGGTCAGTGGGGACCAACGTCCTCGACAGACCCGATGAATCCATCACAGAATCTCGTCAAGCTTCGTATGAGATTGGGGAAGCTCAGCAAGTGGACAGGTCTGACTTCTGAGCTCGCCGTCTCCGTCGCATCTTCCATCGACGAAGCTATGAACCTGCTTAACTTCAGTGAGGAGGGAGCTACCGTATTCACATAGTCGGTAAATGTGCAATTAGGCGATAGGAACGAGCGAATCGAATTTACGGTCAAAAGATCCAGCGTAACGAAGCCATGGGCAGCAAATGCGGCCGAGATCGAGGCCGCACTCTCACTTTGGATATACCACACCCGCGAGACGGAGCGGAATTCGTGGAATCGAAACAATTTTATGGTGACGCAGAATTTAGATCCCGAGGACTCCGAGGAGGACTGGCTGAGACACGGAGAAACGGCATTGCAGCGGCAGAATCCACAGTTCCTAGGCCCGTATACGCCGTGTCTTCTTCGCGACCTCAAGTGGTGGACACCGCGCAGATCGACTCTCTTGCGAATCAACAGTATCACACCAGTAGCATCATCTACACTGGTTAACCACTTCGGCCCGAGTCCAGGAACGGTAGCGATAACCGCCACTGGACCCCCCCACACACACAAACACCGTATACTAAGATCACAGGATTCTCCAACGTTTCCAACACCAGCGGTGATGGTGCGACCGAGCCAATTGTCCTGAATTACAATGCAGAAAAAGTGGCCTTTGATGAAATCGAGGCCAGTGCAACAGCCACAGGTTCTTTAGCTGTCATGACGGACAACAGCCTCGAGATCTCATGTGGGCAGCAGCTGCTGTCCTCGTTCATGTGGGCAATCTCTCGAAAAGTGTCTAGAATCGAAAACCAAGCCAATGCCCGGCAACTGGATATGTTCAACAATCCCACTGCATGGAGCTCCATTGCAATCGACCACGATACGCTCGAAAAGATGGCTCGCGCGGTGCAAAAGTCTGGGCTGGGAACTCTTGAAGAAGGATATCTGTGCATCATACCGCCCCTCAGCATGGCAAACAATCTACCAGCCGCCGCTGCTGTGGACTCAATCATTCAGACGATGAAGGTCCGCGAGGCGGATAGTACCCTGCCAGAGCTCAGCACGGTATATATAGAGTTGCTCCGCTTCGCTTCCACGTTTCATGAAAGCCCCGAGGGCGCTTTATGCCCTTTCAGCTTTAAGGCTGTCGCCGCGGTTGTAGGTATGAAGATTATAAAGCATACATGAGGCCAGGGCATCACATTCTGACGAAATTCGTTGATATAGAGTACTACCGAACCCTCGTCCTCGCGACCGAACCCAACACCAAAAAACTTCGAGATGCCACAGCGTTAGTCAGTCTGAAAGACGACTTGAAAGCACAGCTGGAAAAAGTTGATGAAAAGACTATGACCTACCTCCATGTGCTTTACGAGAATCAAGACCGGATGGGAGGGCTCGAAGACCTGCTGCCAGGCACCAATGACAGAACACAGCTAGATGATGTAGAGATCGCGATGTACCTAGGTTATACGCCATTGCACCAAGACGTTATTTCCGGCAAGTTCACCAAGGTGGAAAATCCGAGGTTCCTGGACGAGAGAAATCTGTTGGGATTTACTCCACTGCACTATGCTGCGAACATTCCGGGGCGGGACAATGAAGCTTTAATCAGGTACGTACAAATATCCATAGCCGTGACTTGTTGAGCTCTCCGATGGCTGCTGACCGCTGTTGCTCAGTTCATTGCTAGATACTGGTGCGGATGTTAACGCCTAGGACACCATGGGTTATACTTGCCTGATGTATGCATGCCTCAAGGGGAAACGCAAGCAGGCGACGGAGCTCTTGAGAAGAAAGGCCGACATCATGCTGCGCGGGCGAGACGAGTTGACAGCACTGCACTGTGCGGCTATGGGCGGTGTACAAGGGATCGTTCGGCACATTCCCGAGCAGAGAGCCGCGAATGTCGATGTGGCCGATCGGCACCAGCGTACGGCGTTGCATTAGAGTGCGTTTTTGGGAAATTGCAGCGTGGTGAAATTGCTTTTAAGGTATAAGGCCTCGCGGGATGCAAGGGACGACTTCGATCGAACTCCGCTCCATGCTGCGTGTCTCTGCGAGGAGGAGTGGCTTCGGATGGAATGCGTCAAGCTCCTGGTGAAAGATTCCGACGACCTAAAGGAAGCGAAAGACAAGGACGGCAAGAGGGCGGCGGTGCTGGCAGTGGTGAAGAAGCACATGGACGTGATGGGGCTTCTCGCACAAAACGACCATGACGCTCAAGTGGCCCTGAAATCTTCAGCAGAAAACGGCGACCTAGACAACGTGAAGGTTCTAGCAGAGAAGGGAGTTTACATTGATGCCCGAGACGAGGAGAACGGCCGCAATGCCTTGCATTTCGCTGCTGCAGCCGGGCATACCGAAATCGTCGTGCATCTCCTCGAGAAGGCAGGCGAGAACCAAAAGTCCTACGTCAACAGCTCTTCCACGGACAAGCGGACAGCACTCCATCACGCCGCCAACGGAGCAGGCGATTACGAAGATACCGTGCGGGAGCTGATCTCGCACGGCGCGGACAAGCTTCTCAAAGACGACAGCGGCAGGACTCCTTTACTCACCGCATGTCTCCGCCCCGGCCACCCCAAGATCGTAAAACACCTCATACACGATGGCATCGACGCGGTGACCGCACTCCACCGCACAATCGAATTCGGCGACGAGCCCACCACTCGGGTCCTCGTTGGCCTCGGCGTTGACCTCGATGCGCCGGATACCCACTACGATTCCGTGAACCCTCTCAGGTGCGCCGCGAGATTCGGTCGCCACGAGATCGTCAAGCTGCTGCTGTCCAAGCACGTCAACTTGAGGGTGCCCGGTGGGGAAATGGTCGCACTTCATTGGACGTGTGAGTGCGGCCATGCCGATATTGCCCGTACGCTGCTCGACGCTGGTACGGATATTCAGATCGCCGAGTCCTGCGGGAATACAGCGCTACATTGGGCTGCCGCTGGCGGACATGTTCAGGTCGTGAGGTTGCTGTTGGAGCGGGGCGCAGATAAGAACGTGCTCAATGCTGGGGGAGAAACCCCGCTCGATGTGTGTAGAGGGCATGGGACGGAGAAGCAGACGCCTGAGGGAAAGAAGGCGGTGTAAGAGTTGTTGTTGGCCGATGACGCTGCAGGGAATACGGGGAGTTCGACGCCAATCGCCGGCAGTCGCACGCCTGGAGCTGTCGTGACGGATGCTTCTCAGACATAGTTGGTCGCAGGTGTGGCGGCGTAGAATGGCCGAATTTGTTAATATCTGACCGAGGCGCTGGAGAACATCAGCCCACGAAGCATGAGTGATCACCGATAAATCCTCAAACAAACACAAAGTAGAAGATAAACCGGCTCTAATATACCTAGCAGAGCCGTCTATTCCTTTGATAAAACATGCGCACACGCACTACAGCACTCTGGCAGGCCCAAGTAATGCTCCTCTAGTAGACCGAGGCGGAGACTAAGCAGGACTGAGCAGGACTGAGAAGGATCGAGAGGAGACGAAAATAGGTGTCTACCTTTTTCCACCTGAAACGGCCGAACGCAACACGACGAAAAAAAAGAAAACCCGCCGTCGATAGCTCTTGACAGAAGCGGGTAGCTAAGTACAACCTTTTGAATTTAGTTCCCATGTCTTCTCTGCCCACAAAGATTCAAGATTCGAACGTGAAAGTGCGAGGACTGGTGCTCCAAGCTCTCATCTATGACCTAACTATAGAATGGTGGAAGACGATGCGCTGGGCGGGCAGTCGGCCGCGGGGGGAGTCAAGTTATGGAATTCATGACCAAATCCGTGAAACCCAACACCGGCACTGGCACTGGCACTGGCACAGGAGGGTTGGAAATCGCGAGCTGTGCATCCGGTGAGCACTTCCTCCCAACGGCTAATCGGCCAGATAGATACCTACCTACCTAGCACCCGCCACCCCGTATGAGTGAGTGGGGGAATCCAACATTGAACATTGAACATTGAACATTGAATATTGAACATTGAACTTCAACTCGAGCCCTGACTCTGAGCCGCGCAGGCAGCCACTATTACTATTTAACAAAAGTAGGTACCGATATCGAGTATCGTGGTGGGGGATCCAACTTTCAACATTGAAATCTAGCCCTGATTCTGAGCCGCGCAGGCACCATTGACTATTACAACCAATATAATAGGTATCGATATCGATATCGAGTGAGTCACACGTAAGTTGAGGTCCTGCTGAATCGTCGAATCGCTGAATCGCTGATTGAATTCCTGGATTCCTGGGATACTGTTCTAGTTATAGAGTTATAGAGTGCAAAGTTCAAACATGCCAACACGCCCGTCCCGTCCGCAATGTGCGGTACCTACCTACATACATACATACCTCCTAGTTATATCTTCACTTTATACCCGCAGTGCCCTGCAGGGCCCAGGCAGCTTCACCGGACGGTATGTAGGCCCCTTACTCTAGGCACTCTGCTCACTCGCATGTGTCATGTTTCATCCTCTTTAAATACACTCGACTTCCGCACTCCGGTCCAGGCCGCTTACTCGGCTTCCCTCCCAGTGTCCCTCCCTCCTGCGGCGGCCCGGCGAAACGGCCGGACGGTGGAGAATGCGGCGGAGAGGGCACATTCCTACGGCGTTGTTCGTGGCCCACTACCGCATATCTAGCGCATGTCCCGCGTGGAATGAAAATGTGCAATGTGTAAATAGCTGTTGAAAGTTGAAACTCGCGATATGGATACCAGCTATTACCTACTTGTATATAGTAAAGCATATACCAACTATAGAGTAGGTATACCAACTACTACCAGCCCCTCCCAACCTCTTCCAAGTTCCACACTTCCACCCAAGAGGTCACTCGTCTCCGAGCCCAGCCCACCAAGTTCCAACCAAGTTCCAACAGTAATAGAAGGAGGGCGGCGGTTCGCCATAGTCTAGAGTATATACTCCAGATAGATATGTCTCACGCAATCAATGAATAAACAAAAAAAAAAGCCGCATCTCGAGCCTCGCTTCCAGCCTCCCTACATCGTGCCCTGACACCGTGCCAATCACGTTCGCCGGTGGTGATTGACCGTCGCGATTGACCGTTCACTCAGCCTTCCACCCAAGAACCAACTGTCCGTCCGACCGTCAGACCAACCGACCAACCAGCGCGCGCAGCCCTATGCACAACACGACCAGACGGTATCTAAGTAGAGAAGTACCCCGCACTCAGCTCCCAGCCTCCAGAATTGCGTACATACCTACTCAATGTGCATAAATTGGATTATGTTTGCTTGTTGCCGTGTCACAAGATGTTCAAACTTCAGCCCTGGAGGCTTGACTCGTCACTCACCAGCCGTGATTCGTGATTCAAATGTGGAAGCGGAAGGTTGGTGTAGCGAGTGTGCATAACGAGTGTGCATAACGAGTGTGTGACTTGTGTGCATAACGAGTTGTAATCGAGTCGGTCGATGCTTAATCGGTCGTTGCTTAATCGGCCGTTCAGTCGATCGTTCCAGTCGGTTGTTCCAGTCGATTGTTCCAGTCGGTTGTTCCAGTCGTTCGCTGCTTAATCGGTCGTTCCAGTCGGTCGTTCCAGTCGGTCGTTCCAGTCGTTCGTTGCTTAATCGGTCGTTCGTTGCGTAGTCACTTACTCGGTCGTGACTCGTGACAGCGGCAGGCACTGACCGAGACTCCTTCAATAGTTACAATAGATACCCGTTGACTACAATTCAAAGTGTGTGTGTAGATGCTTCACATAGACTCCAGAGCACTATCTACTCTAATAGTAACTAGAATACACAGTCAGGGTATCTACACAATGTACTTACCCAAGCATGCACCGTATTTCGTCCACGTGCCCCTTTCCCCACGGAGCCAACACTGCCAACACTGCTATACCAAAGCAGTAGCCACCCACCGGTCCACTGGTCCACCCACCGCTCGGTCAGTCAGTCAGTCAGTCGGGAGCTCGGCCGCTCGGTCAATCGGTCGGGAGCTGACGCGTACCATACTACCATCCGCCGATCGCAGTCGCAGTCGGAACCAGAGCCAGAGCGCACGGCGATCTTCATGCCCCTCTCCTCTCCTCTCCCATCTTCATCCTCCTCCTCTTTCCTTCGATGATGATGATGTGCACTGCTTACGCCCCACCCCCCTTTCACCCTTTCACAGCCGTTAGTTATGCACATATGCACATATGCACATATGCACATACACACCGGTCGCGATGGCTGGCCTCCCTGGCTTCCTGCTCCTGAGTCCTTGTTGTTTACCTCTGCCAGCCTGCCAGGATGTGTGCTCTCCATAGAGTGGATACTCTAACTAGGACTCTACTTAGAGTGGGTAGGGGCTTTCAAGCTTAAACCCCTGCCTTAGCCTCTCTCCAGGCTCCCCCCACCGGCGTGGATGGCTCGGCACTGGGTACTGGGGGGCACTGGGCAGCGAATACTGGTCGGTGGGCACCCACCACCCACACCTAATTACACGGGATAGGAGAGAGCTCTCTCTCTCTCGGGCACTTTCACATCAAGAAGCGATCATGCGAACGGTGACTCGTGAGGCCAAGGGAATCAAGTTTGTGCGTATATTAAGAATTAAGTTGCTCAAGTAATGTATCCCAGACACCGCAATGTTGAATGAAAGGAGCTGCCAGTGCCCAGAAAAAAAAAGAGACGCAAAAAGAAAAAAACAGACAAATGACGCCTGCCCGGTAAAAGAAGATGAAGGTATGCACAAAGAAGTTTCCCCCTCCTCCTTCCCATTCCCCAATCGAACCGACTACCCCTCCTCCTCCACGCGATACAATCCCCACCTCCAGAACTGGCAGATGAAGTTGTACACACGGATAAAAAAAAGTAGCGGAAAGGGAAAGGAAGAAAGACGGAAAAAAGAAGAAAAAAGAAGGAAAAAACTCCAGGCCCAACCCGATATCGCACTCTAGAAGATCGATCTCATCCATTGTAAAAACACACTGTCTCTAACCAATCATATCCCTGAGCACCCTTGTTTCTCCAATGAATTCATCATACCACAGTCTAGAGAGCCATCATCAAGCCGGCGAACAGACCTCCTACAGCAACCAGCGAGCTGATGCCGAACGACGACGCGGAGCCGACAAAGGTCTCCTCGGGGGAGGCCGGTGACGACGGCACGGTCGTGTTGGTCGCATTGTTGGAGGGGGATCCAGTAGTGCCGGGTCCAGCGGTGACAGTCGAAGACGGGTAGCCGGTGACTTCATCCGCGACGATGTTCACACAAGCAAGACGGGTCTTGTTCGCGTCATTCCTGTGAATGACGATAGAACGGTTTCCCAAGAAAGCACCGAGACCCTCCTTGGTGGAAGCATAGAGGTCGTTGTACGAAGTGCTGTAATCTACGGCACCTGGGGGGATATTATTAGCTAACGATCAATGGCTTCGAAGCGAACGATAACATACCATACTCAGCAGCCGGAATCTTGCCATGCTTGCCAGCAAGATCACCAACCTCGCAGGTCTCGGGCTTGGTAGCGTCGCAAGGGGTGACCTGGCCACGACCGTACGGGTCGAGGTGAGCCTTGGTACCAGTGCAGTTACCGTCGGCAGGGACGGGCTGGTCGTGAATGTGGTATCCGAACGGGCCTTCTTCACCCTCGAATCCAGAAAGCTTGACGGTGATGTCACATCCCTTGCCGTCGGCACCGGCAACGAAGGTGAGAGCACCAGTGACACCCTTGGCACCATCGAAGGTCGCGGAGTAGCTAGCAAAGGAGAGATGTCAGCAAGATGTATCCGGTGGAAGCGACAACTCAATGCCAGCGAATTGGGACGGGAGCTCGTCGACACGTAACGTACCTCACACCAACGGGGTTGTCGAGGATAGCCGCAGCAGGTTCGGGGTTCTCAACGTTCTGCGCGGAGGCAGCAACGACGAGTAGGGACGCAGCGAGAAAAGCGGTGAACTGCATCTTGTGTATGATTTGTCTTGAGAAGGTTGGGTGATGTTTTGGTTGCGGGATGGAGAATTAAAGGTGTAGTGAAGTTCAGTAGAGAGTGACTGTGGAAAGTAGAGGGAGAACGCGAGGTTATAGCGACGGAGAAGGGAGGCGGGAAAAGAAGGAAGTTCGAGTTGACTGAACGATTGGAGGATGGTGGGAGGGATGTCTTATATGCGTGTCTTATAATTGTGGTTTGTGGGACGCTGGGCTTTCAAAGGCAGGGCGACCTTCAAGTTTAGAGCGTCACACACACCGAGTTCAGTGGGTTGGATGTGGTTGGTCGGATCCGTGGGCTCGGCATGTCAAGGATGGCTTCGCTCTAGCCCTTGGGCAGGGCAGTGCAGTGCACGTCTTCCCTGTTTCCATGAAGTTTGGGGGGCACTAAATACGCTGGACCGTCTTGGGAGGACAAGCACGGTGTGGCTACAGCGATGGACCGTCTTGGGGGGACATGGAGAGGACGGTCTGGCTGTGTAGCTACATACAGCTATGGACCGTGCGTGTGCGTGCAGCTGCTCGGTGGAGTGTTGTGTGGACGTGTAGTTTGCTGAAGGAAAAGTAAGCAAGAGCCACAACAGAGCCTTCTTCGTCAATGGTAATAGTACGTACTGCTGACGATGTCGTCTTTGTTGTAGCTACATATTGATGCGAGAGTGTGTGTGCTGCTCTGTATCCCGCGGCACAATCATCACCATCATTATCCAGTCCCTCGCAGGGTGAGCTCGGCGACAGTGATTGTTCATTATCTTCACCGACTTCACCGACTTCACCAGCACGACTACATACAATCACTATCGCCGACGGATTTCACCATCTCACCCTCGACTCTTCAGGAACCAGCACTCCTGGCACATCCCCCACCCACCCACCCAGTCCTGTCATCATATCCCTCCGCGGTACGTTTGTATGAACCAAGTCATTCTCGCCTGCGATGTACTCTACTTAGGCTGTCCGTTGCTAATTTGGGCATCACTGGGAGATTGCAAGCGTCAGCGACTCTCTCGCAATACTCGGCAACTGGCAGCAGAGTACCGTATTACAGAAGAGTCTCTAGGGATCTAGGAATGCGGCAGCGGCACCCAGGAGCCGGTAACTATCTGCGTACACACATACCTTCCGTACAACAGGAGTGCAGTTCCACCCCCCGACACATAACTGCACATACACAGAGCTGACAAAGGGAAGTGGCATTCGATTGCCGTGTGCATCTGTCTGTAGGCACACAGTTCACGAACATGAAGGTGTGGCGCAGAAATCTCCCGGTTGCGGTAGATACTCACTGCGGATCAGTCGGAGTATTCTACATACGGCGGAGCCGATTACTGGAGCACAGTACTCACTCCAACAATCACCACCCAGGATTTTCTCGAACATCTCCTTCCTCTGCTCCTCCGCAGCTCCACCGTCAACGGTCAAGCCAAAGCCACACGCCCCAGGCTCCGTCTGCTGGAGCCTTGTCCAGGAAGAACGGGCAATCGGATGGATTACACCAGTGGCCGCCTCCTGTGGCCCTCCCAGGCTCCCAGGCTCCCACCTATGTACCCGGCAAAGAAGCGAGGTTTGCCTGCTACACACATAGAGTGGAGTACCTGGCATCCTAGGTAAACATACCTGGGTACAGCGCAGACTAACTCTCGCTCTGATCGGCGCCGCTCGCTCTCACACGCCGCACGCGGGAAAGAAACAGCCAGCACCCCGGCGGGCAGGGAAGGGAAGGGAAGGGAAAGCCCCGGAAGGGAAGCCTGGGAGGGGGATCAATCATCACACCACCTGCACCTGCACCACCACTGCCGCTCACGCTCACGGCTGTCCTTAAATTAACCGCCACCACCGCCGCCACCACCGCCGCCAGAAGCCTGAAGGCCCAAGGGTCCGCGCGATGGCCCATGGGGGGGATGGATGTTTGGATGAAACAATTCCTTTTTGCTTCGGGGTGGGCACTGGGGTGGCTTGCTGCTCTACCTATGTTCGGAGTGCACCGGTGAAGTCGCACCGCATGTGTGTGTGTGGCTGGTTTCCGCGTGGATGGTGGATGGTGGATGGTGGATGCTGGGTGCGTGCGTCTGTGGGGTGTGGCTTGTGATGTCCATTGCCCTGCCCTGCAGATCTTTTAATAGGCGATCTTGAATGATGACACTGGAGTCTGGAGGCTGGGCAGTGGAAACTGATCACGAGCGGCTGTAGCTGGCAGGCAGGCAATGTACTCTGCGTACGTACAGACAAAGCCAGCCGTGTTTTGTCATGTCGCAGACTCGCAAGCACCGACGTCGCCCATAGACTCCAATGTCCATACATACATAGACCCGGATCTTCGGCGCAGCAGCAGCAGGGCGCACCCTTTGTCTCGAAAAAAGTTCTGACCGTCTGACGGCGCCGCCCCAGAATATTCTTTCCTGCTTTCTTAATTCCGCCTCAGGCTCCTCGTTCTCGTCTCCTCCATTTGGAATTACCCCGGACAAAGCCACACCCACAGCCCAGTGCCCACCACGTTGTCATATGCATGCAGATATGCTGCAGGCTGCAGCAGCATTACAGAAGCAACGGAAGCAACGGTTATCATGGTCATGGTCATGATCTGTCAAGTCAAGTCAAGTCGGACTGAAGTATCTTTTCGCTTTCTTTCTTTCTTTCTTGCAAACCGTGTGGATAACGTCAGTATTACAGTTCTGTACTGCAAGAATAGCATGTATAATGAAAATTGTAGTGGGGGCACAATTGTAATTTGCACTTTCGAGCCCAGGACCTACATAGGACCTAGGTGTGTTGTCAGAACCGTGTAAACGGCGAGCGCAGACTGGCAGACTCGGAGAGTCGGGGTACGTATCATAGGAAGTAGGTATCATAGGTATAAATGTATCATACACACATCTCTTGCGCATCGACATCAATCACAAACCGTGCCTACCTACTGTACGGACGTTTGTCATCTTCCATGATCCATGATCCATTCACCGAACGCTGGAAGCTGGAAGCCTGGAAGCTGGTAGCCTGGAAGCTTAAGGATGCTCGTTTGGTAGACCAACTGTCACCGGCACTCCGCTCCACACTCTATTGATAAAGAAATTTCGGCTCCGACGGCTGGCTGAAGCGACTGGCTGCTTCCCATAAGTTCCCAACGCAATCCACAGGCAAACAAAGACTCAAAGTCTAAAGATAGAGTGATGGATGAGAAATGATGTAGCTTGAGAGGTTCAGATGTCTTCCCCCCATCGTGTCCTTTTGTCCTTGTTCCCATGTCCTTATGTCCCCCGGTTGAGCTGTTCGAGCCGGTCTGGTCTAGACGTCGACGACTTGACGATGTGACTTGTGGAGATTGTTGATTGTTGGCAGGCCTCTCTTTCTTCACTGGATATTGCGATTCTAACCGAGAAGGGTGCTCGGACTGACAACGGGGGAGAGGGGGATGCGAGCGGGATGAACTGTAGGGAATAACCACCTAGATACAGAGTTATATTCAGGAAACGCGCGGTCCGACGTCGGCAGTATGATAGCATAATACTATTATAGTTAGTACTGCAGAGAGGTTCGTGAGCAGCTCTCGAACAGAGCTGGCGATGGGGAGGGGTAATCCAAAGCTCGGTGGCCGAGGTTTCGTCTTGTGTGAGGGAGATGATGGTGATGATATTGGTGATATTGGTGACATTGGTGAAGATGTTGGGGCGCGGTGGTAAGTGGAATTGACCGATTAACCCGATTAACCCGATTAACCCGATTAACCCGCATCGTAGTTAGGTACCAGCTGCTGGTGGAGCTGTTCGTTCGAATAACGAGCTGTGTTTCTTTCCCCTTCCCAACCACGAAATCGCTCGGACCGGTTCGGCCGCTTCCCACTTCCCGATGCATACCTGGGACCGACATCGACATCGATACCGGTACCGGCACCGGCACCGCCGCATCGACGGAACAAACTATATATCCGCGCCCTCCGGTACCTGCTATACCGGTAGGGCTGGGTGCCAGTCGAGGCCCGAGCACTCCCTTTACCGCACCGAACGCCAGGCTCCAGTACAACGCAGCCACCCATGGTCCATGGAGCAGAGGCACCTCCCCCCTCCCCCAGACCTGGCGATACTCCGCTTATGCGCCTAACAGTGCAGGTTGCAATGCATCTACACAGGTAAGTACCAGACTCTAGCTGTAGGTGCTATGCCGAGGCTTCTACCTGTTCCTGCTGACTACATCGATACTTTTACCTAGGCATGTCAAGGTACACCTACCGACTCCTCCACCGAGTCACCGACAAACACCGGAGCATCAGCAGCATGAGATGAAGGGATAGCACATGCACCCGTGACCGTATGTACAAACGTGGCGCGCAGTGACTTGCCTGTGACTGCATCGATGCCGCCGAATTCTTCGTCGGTGCAAGTACTCTGGTCTATGTAGGTACTCTACTTCCGCAGTCTGGAACAACTACCTAAACTTACTTACTGAGGTTACATGCACAGATGACTTCCTGTTGCCAACGCTGGCAACGGACAAAAAAGCCTCTCCGCCGACCTGAGCGACCTCTGCTGCTCTGCAGCGTCCCGAAGATTGGTTGTCCTGACTCCTTCAGGCTTCCTCCGTTTTCTGGGTGCTCGTACAATCGTTTGCAGCGGCACACACTCAGCAGTTGGCGAGATCCACGACATTCCACAGCACCTATTTACGCTACAGTGCTGCAGTGCTGCAGGAACCCGTTCGTTGTTCGATGGCTGCGACTCTGCGAGCGATGGCCTTGCCAACACACCCCCATCCCCCATCCCCCATCCCCCATCCCCCGGCCCAACGGCAACCGACAAAACAACGGAGAGAAATTTCGGCAGCCTTTACCGCTTTCCTACTCTATTCTACTTTACTATTATACCGGCACCCATTTTCCGCTTGATGGGTTTTGGTCTATCGGATACGAACGTCAATATAAACGGTCGCGGCGTTAGTTGCGAGGATTGATGGATACACACCTGCCTACATACCGGTACTTACCCACCGGGCGGCCTGGCGGCCGGGCCCCCTGTTTAGGCACTCCCGGCGCGCGCGCGCGCCATGGGACTGCGGGTTCCCGCTGGGCAGTGGGCTCCGTTCGTTCGTTTAGAATCTGATGATTACTTGCTGCCTTGATGAGAGATATCTATCCATCTACCAGCACTTACTCAGATATCGATCATATGTACACACTCTCATCCGCAATCCCCGTCCCTGTCCCCTCCTCCCCGCATCCGCTCCGAGATCCGCAAATACCTACCTAGCACCTACCTACCTACCCAGCCCTGCAATCTGCGTTCATTTGTTTCGAAACATCCGGACGTCATCCATCCATGAATCCATGATCCTTCGGTTTCAGATCCCCCCCCGTCCGATGATCCAGCCGACCCTTTGAACTGAATTCTCGGTACCGGCGACCGCTTCGGTGGCGGTTTCAGCCTCTCCGGATCCGAGCTCTCGCTCGCCTACGCTGTCGTGCAGGAGTGAGGTGGGAGGTGGGCGGAGCATGACGACGATTATGATTTATGATTTTATCGAAGGGATCGCACAGAGGCGGCGGTGGTGGCGGCGATGAAACAACCTACAGCCTACAGGGCGTGGCTGAGTATGTACACGAAAAGATCTGCACGAAACGAACGAAACGAGACGGAACGGGCGAACAAAGAAGAAAGAAGAAAGCATTGAATGGTTCCAATTAGCCGTTGCGATGAGCGGTATTCCTGCACGTTCGGATTTCGAATGGCTGGCCGTTTGAACTTCGAGCACCGCCGTTGTCTTGCTCTCGACTCTCGAACGCCGCTAGAACAACGCAGCGGCGCAGCGCAGGACAGGACAGCACAGGACAGGACAGCACGCAACGACAGCATAGCATGCAAAACAGCATGCGAGACTGTGGTGAGGTGCCTTACGTCCAATGGCTCCTTCAAATCCCACCAGCCACGCTGCACCCGCCCCACTGCTCACCGCTCACCGCTCACTGCCCTACCTACCTACTCTACACGCACCTCCTCCTCTCGCAGCCTCGCTGAGTCGCCTCTCGCTCGCCGAAATCGTGGCGCCCGCGAGTTCGCGACCGATCCAATAGATAGATATAGAGATAAAGATATCGATTCGCGCGCGCTACGAGATTCCCGAACGCGGAAATTTATAGTGGTATGTAACTGGGTAGCACGGTAGTAGTCCTACGCAGTGGCTGTGCACTGCACAGTACCTGGGCAGGCGCTTAGGGTAGATAGAGTGGAGTGGAGTGGAGTACAGCAGCCCAAGCAAGCCCGGGGGCCGGTCCATGTAAACTCTAATGCTACATACCGTACCGTTTTCTCGCGATGCGACTCGCGAAGGAGAGGGGAGAGGAGGAGAGCGGGTGTTTTGTGGGACTAGCTACGGGAGATTGAGATAACTGCCTGGTAGGTAGAGTATTGGCGGGGTAGTTACGTACGTACGTACCTACGTATGGTGAATTGGTAGGTATTGGTATTGGTATTGGTATTGGTATTGGTATTGGTATTGGTATTGGTATTGGTATTGGGAGAGGTGCGTCACGATGATCACTCGAGCTGGGCTGTCAGTAGGTACATAATTTGCACTCCGTATGCGCATTGGATCTGGCTATAGTCTTGGATTCTTGGTGGGCGGTACGTGAATAACGAGGAAACGAAAACAAAGACGAACAAAGTACTCGCAGGGGATTGCGTTAGGGGGGAGGAGGGAGGGCTGCAGATGCATGAGTGCCACTGTGCGAATGTGCGAGTCCTGCAGAGAAGATTCATCTCTTTATGTACCTACATTCTAGGTACTCTACTTAGGCAGCGAGTGGACGTTTGACGCTTCGGCGGACGGGGATAATACATGCAACTACCAGGTAGGTAGTCGGCAGCCAAGCTCTTGGGCAATAAGCATGTATGTAGATTACCTCCTACATACCGGTAAGCATAATCCATCCCGCCAGTGCATAGAGTATGAAGAGTACCGGTAGATATAGTAGAATCTAAGCTCGCCAGACCCCACTGCCCACTACATACAAACTGCAATACATAACCCTCCCCCCTGGCCTGTATGTAAGACTGCACCCCCTCCGCAGTCGTACATACTCTACCGATAGCTCCGCTCGGCCGGAATCGAAAAGTCCGGTGCAATCCGGTGTAGATATCACTGATCATACATACCTTGAACCGACTCCGGCTGGATGGGCGGGCTGAGGTTTGTCGCTGCACTGCGCGCACTGCCGACCTCCCCACCTGCGGACCCGCGGACCTGCGGGACGACATTGCCTCTCACTCGTTGACCGAGTGATCTGCGCCGAATCTCTGCGCCGAATCTCCAATGAGCGGTCTGCACCCTACCTATAGTTAGTAGAGTACTCCCGGCCGATATCGGAATTCTCAACGTTAAATGCAGTAATGGGTCTATGTATGTGATTACCATTTGCTATGGACGTATGTTTGGTAGACACTGGGCGGAATTGCGGGGACGGAGTACGTAAATGGTAAGCCTACGTATATACTGTTGGTAAATTGTAATGGTCGCTGCCTGCGCGGCTCAGAGTCGGCGCTCGAGTTCAAAGTTCAAAGTTGGATTCCCCCCCCACTCACACACACGGGCACGGGTACTGGTAGGTGGGTATCTGACCGATTAGCCGGAGGAATTTGGAAGTGCTCACTGGATTCGCAGGCAGCAATACAAATATCGAACATCCACAGCTCGTGCTTCGTGATTTCCAATCCTCCCTCCTGTACCAGTATCGGGTTTCACGGATTGGGTCTTGGATTCCACGGCTTCCTGTCCAGCTGAAGCCCTCAGCATCACGTATAGGTATCATACTGTTGGCAAGTAATGGTGCCTGCGCGGCTCAGAGTCAGCGCTCGAGTTGGAGTTCAAAGTTCAAAGTTGGATCCCCCACTCACCCACACACTCACTCACACGTGTACTATCTGGCCGATTAGCCGGAGGAACTTGGAAGTGCTCACCGGGTGCATAGCTAGGCACCATTCACAGCCCGTGATTCGTGATTTCCAATCCTCCCTCCTGTGTCAGTGTCGGATTTTCACAGATTTGGTCTTGGATTGTGTGGACCACGACTCCTCCCGCTGTCTACTGCCCAGCCCACCGGACCGTCTCCCACCATTCCACAATTACTATTTTATAGTTAAATATTAGATAAGAATATCTTGGTAGCGGACCATCACTTCACGAGTACTCACCCGAGGGCAGCCCGGCAGCGCAGCGCAAACACTCGAGTCCCGCAAAGATCCTGCCAAGATCCCGCCAGGATCTCGGCCGCACACACTCTCTCCACTCTCTTTCTTCCTCTCCCTTACTCTCCCTTCCTCCCGGATCATCACATCCCAGCCGTTCTTTCGATTCCACGGCTTCAACCTCCCTGTCCAACCGAACCCCCCAGCACTTAGCATTCATCACTCAGCAGCACGCATATCCATTCCGATATCCATTCCGATCCCGATTACGATTCCGATACCGGCAAACGCGAAGTCAAACCCCGAAAGCGAGTTATAGCAGTGAACTAGGTATTACTACTTTAGATCCGAGTGATATCCTAGATGGATTTCTCACAGCCTACAGGAGTTACTTCCAGACTTCCAGATATGGCTGCCTACATGGCTGCTTAATCCAGCTTACCAATGGTGATTCGAAACTTGAATTCTACGTGCGGACGGGCGGTGCCTACTTCCAAACCCCATCCTTTCGACGAGCTTTTCTCAACTGTGGGGGTCTTCACGCTTCCAACTTCCCCACCTCCTTCCCCACCTCCTTCCCCACCCCCCACCTCACCCACTGGTGTCTACGTAGCAAGACACGATATTTGTGGAAAACATTACTCATATATTCCATACACCTCATACACCACATCAGCTCATCATGATATCGATACGCATACATATCCACAACCGCCCTCACACCTCACCGCCCTCACACCTCACCACCACCATCTCACCACCATCTCACCACCATCTCACCACCACATAAAACCCCGCCGCCATCCGAATCCAAATGTGACAGAAAGTTGAAACGACCAGATCCCGCTAGAGTAACTCCCATGCGCCATAGTACAAGACAAGACAAGCAGATACGAACCCCTATGAAGCCCCCATGAAGCCCATGAAAAAACGAGCAAGAAAGAGCAAGAAAGAAGGAAAAAAATACCCCAACGGAAACTAACACGCCTCGTCACGCTCCGCTCTCTGGACACCATACTTCTCCAATTCCTGGTCCTCGATGGTGCCAACGAACGCGCGCTTGACGAACGCATGCCACACCTTGTCCTTAGCGGCTCTGCCATGCTTCTTCTTCTTGTGCTTGTTCTTGTGCTTCTTGTTCTTGTTTGCGTCTGCCTGGTCATCTTCGGCACTGGCATCGTCATCAGAGCTATCGCCGTCATCCGAGTGGTCCGACTCATCTTCCGCCTCCTCCTCCTCCGAGACAAGCGACTTCCCCTTCTTCGACTTCTTCTTGGAAGCATCGACGATCTTGCGGGCGAGCTTGATGTAGCTGCGGACGGTCAGGTCCTTGAGTTTGTAGATCTTATCCGTTCTGGTGTCATATTCCACCTCAAACTTGAGGGTGGCCTTTCCTCCCTTCCGCTGCTCTTCGGCACCATCATCGCGCTTTCTGAGTTCGGTCGAAGACCCGAGACCGCTCGGTTCTTTCTCCGCCGGCGGGGGCTGGGGGGCGCGGTTATATTTGGTGAGGTTAAGGAAATACTGCGTGTATCCAATGAGCGTGTATGGCTGCATCGAATACGCGGGTCCGGGCGGCGCGGTGCGGGCTGGAGGGTCCGGTTTCTTGTCCTTCCTCCAAGGGCGCATCTTGTGGCCATTGCCCGACGACTTCGACTCATCCACCTTGCGGATACCCTGGCCATCCACCAAGCCGGTGATGTTGTATTCGACGACGCGCAACGTAGGGAAGTAGTTGGGTACGATGGACGGGCTGACAAGCGTCATGACATATCGCTCTCCCCACTTTCCGCCGAGATGTTTGTTGCTGCCCGCTCCTGCCGCGTTCATCTCTTTCGTCGATACCATCTCCGCAAATGCTTCGCGCAGCGAGTTGAGGTAGGTTTCGGCGGACGATATTGAAAGGTTCGGGTCGTCTTCGGGATTGAATTCTCTGACCGCCGGACAGACATCGGCTGCTGAAGCGCTCGATTTCCGGCTCTTCCCTTTCCCGTTTCCGCCCCCTTTCCCTTTCCCCTTCCCCTTCCCATGTCCGAGGTGTGGCGGCTTCAGGGTATCGCTGTCGAGTAACATAAAGTGGTCGAGATTCATGTGGCCGTACAAGTGGGCGACGATGACATCTCGATATTGCCGGGACCAAAGAACGTACTTCCTCCAGCAACTGGGAAACAATCAGCGTCTCGCATCTAATGGTGGGGAATCGCAAAACTCACGATTCGTCCCAGTTCATCTTGGCATCGGTCCAGGCGGGCGGCACATGGCCAATAATGATGGCCTTCATCCCCCGTTGCCTCATGTAGTCGAGCTGCACATTCAACCATTCCATCTGGTCGTACCCGGGCTCCGAGGGCGTGTCGCAACCGTCCACAGCGGTGTTGGAATTGTAAAAGTACCTGGAACCTAATCAGCAGGTACCCCCCCAAACGCGCCAAACAATCAACGCAAACATACAAGGTATTGAGCGAGAAGACCACCAGACCGCCTTCACTGCTGGGCCCCATCTTGCCGTTTGACCCGGCGATAACCTGCTGCCAAAAGTATGCACCCTTGTGAAAGATGTGGTACTGGTCCTCGGGGATGAACGGTTTCCACAGTTCCACGTATTCCTTGGTGAGCTCACTCGGGCCGGCCTGCATGATGTTGTGCGGGTAGATGTCGTTATTCCCGAGTGTGGGCACGATCGGGACCGTAAGCGGGTACTCGGCGTCGGGACTGGTTCCGAAAACGTCGATCATCTTGTTGACGGTCCTCTCGTTGAGGTCATAGATTTCCGCCGAGGTACGAGGGATCCTGATGTCGTTGTCGTGTCTCGCCGAGTCTCCGGTCCAGATGACGAAATCGATTTGCTAGATCAGGCAAAAACCGTTAGCATCCTCAGTCTATGGGGTCGCGTAATCCTGGGGGGCGGGGTAGCCGCCATACATCTTTTAGGTTCTCGTCGATCCATTTGAACGTCTCGTTCACCAGTGTCCAAGGCGTATCGCAAGAGGACATAGGAGTTCCCCATTTACCGGCTGATCCCTTCGCATGGTGGCACTTGAACTCGGGACTAGATCCTTTTCTGTAGTTGAGGTCGGGGTGGATATCTACGCGAGCAATCAGCATATATCCTCCTCCGGCCCGCGCACAAACGGAAGGACAGCTTCCAACGAACCGGTGATATGTAAGAATCTCCCGTGTAGTTTTCGCTGCACACCGTCCTCGGGGGTCCTCTGCTGCTGCTCTGTAGTGTTTAGGCCGAGCGGCGTCTGGTCCTGGACGGTGGCCGCGGACACGGCGGCCGTGGCGAGCAGCGTGATGGCGGTGAGAGGTAGCCACATCATGGGCACGGCCAGCACAGCCAGCTCTGTCTATGACGGTTATCGTACAAGATCCGATTCAGATGGCCACCATGCAAGTCTAAGAAGGACAGCAGGAAGACAGTGGGTGCAGTGGCAGGCAGGCAGGCAGGAACAAAATCTATTACGGAGGCGAAAGAGATGTATAGTAGGAAGACGCGTAACAAATAGATCGGAACGAAATATAGCGGGGTGGGGGAGGGTGCGGCGGGGTATCTACACAGTGGAAACGAAGGAGGAGGAGGAGGAGGGGATGGAGGTTGGGAGGTGTTCGTAGCAGGTACGGCCTGGGGGGGGGGGGAGAAAGCAGAAGCGGGCTCAGACTTGGCCGTTGGTGTTGGCTGAATGGAGGTAGCTGAGAACCCTGGCGGGTGCGCAAATCGATGACATGACGTCGAAAAACCGCAGCTGGTCCGAGCGTTCTCTGCAGGCGAGCAGCAGCGAGTGGCCACGCCCACCTGCCACCTGGCTCCGGCACATAGAAGGAGATACCGGCATCACATCGGAAAAAACGGAACAAGAATGAGGATGACCATCGCTGAATTTCGTCCGGTAGTTAGTTAGGTATTCCAGGCATCCGGAGAGAAGCTCTGCTCTGGACGCGCGAAAAAAGCGCCACGAGTCCACGACCTCACGATGTCTCTTCCAGCGGCGGTCAGCTGCAGCCATATGATACTTATCTCGCTCTCAGGGCCGTGGGGATGGGGCGGGGGGACGCAACAGTCCGCTGGTCTGGTCGCAGGAGGGGTGCGGCTCGACATCGGCTCGAGCCATGCACACGACCATAGAAAACTCGCCGCAAAAGCCGCAAAAAAGGAATTCTCCATGCACCCCGAAACTTCTCCACGATGCACGCTCCCGCATAGAGCAAGAGGTCATGCGAGCTGTCATTTGGGCCTTGAGGAGGAGCGGCACCCAATCTACCGTAGTATCTATCCACCAATATCCTACCATTCACAGTATACCCCCTCCCCTCTGTCTGCGACGCCTCAACTCGTGAAGCACTGACGCCGTGCTTCATCTCAGACCCCCGACTCTGCGAGACCGACCACGGTAGTTACCGGTGCCTATCCGTCGTGATCGCCACCGCGACCAACGTGCGCCAGCCGCGCAACTTCACTGGCTGCCCGGTTGTCGGGTCCGGACGTCGACGTGCGCCGTGTTGCACAGCGGGGCTGCTGTGGCGTTCGTTCCCCTCTGCCGGATCCTTGTCGGCGGCACGGTGTGCACTCTGTCGTTGCATAGCAGAACAGTCATCAAGACCTTTGGTGAGACCTCTGAACCGAACCGAACTGAACGGTCGGCAGCAATCAATCACGATCGCGCATGAGCGATTTATACCCGCAGGGAACATGCGTCGCTCCGACTCGCTCGCTCGACTCTCGAGCTCCTGCGCCGTCGAATTCAATTTTCAACCTCTCTCTCCGCCATGACCCGTCTCTTCGATGTCTCGCTCTCTCTGTGATTCGAAAGCCACATCCACGTCGGCGTCCCCTAGCTGCGAAGCTTTTCTTCCTCCCTCCCTGACAGCAGCAGCAAGCAAGCAGTAAAGCCGCCACGAACAACCCGGACCACACACCGCAGGGAGGAGGAGCCCCATGCTGCGACGAGATCGAATCGCTGCCGCCCAGGGGCCAACCCCGGATGCCGACAACAGTGCACACACTGCGCGGGTTCGCGCGCCCGGCATGGGATCGACAGTCGAGCTGCATCTGCTTGGACGTTGACATGAGCTTGGTTACGGATGATAGTCGGTATCTGTTAGATAAAAGAGGATACCGATGCGACAATACTGATAATGTTTAATTTCAGCGCAACCTCTTCGAAGTTCGGAGCGGAGGTTCTCTAATATACAGAATTTCGGCTCTCGAGTCCCTCCCAATTTCCCAAAGGCCATGGTATATGTAGCATACCGATGACGACACGCGCTGATACGTCGTCTGCCAGTGCCAGTATTCCTGCGGTCGTCATCGATACATTCCCGACGTCCAACTCTAATAGTACCTATCGACAGGAAAGCGCCTCGCACGTGATGGCTTGCGTACTGTTTGTTAGACGCCGCAGACTACCTACCCGCGGAGACTGGCGGCAACCTTGCGTCTACTCGCGGTAAGGTGGAGTACATCACTGTGGAAAGCCACGCGGGCGCGTCTAGAGTAGTTGCCAGTGCCACGGAAACACCTTCTGTGTGGCCCACAGTCCACTCCGAACACGCCTCATCACCGCCACCGATGCATAATCGGGCGTATCCCAGGCCCATGGGTCCACTTCACCTCTCCAGCACCCGACTTCCAGTCATTCCGGTTTTCACAGCCAGTGTCCACCGTCACGGCGCCACTACCGCCGGGAATGAGAATATATATAGTGCAGATCCTATTCTCCTTCAGAGTCCACGTCAAGTTCGGACGGGAGTCGGGACCAGACGGGATGGAAGTCAAATGGCTTCCACGGACAACAGTCAACGCTGCGGCCACACCTTGATTATGTTGCTCTTCAAAAAACTGGTTCTTTTGTCGGTTCTATGATCTATCAATCCATGTAAACAATTCAAATTCAGTCTGGTCGGGTGCTAGCCTTGAATTTCACTACAAACATGGAAGCATAAGCGTGGATGATGGGCAAGCTTAGTACTCACTTTCAACCAGGTATGTATGATACTGACGTCAACTTTGCGCCTTTCAAGACTTGTTGTCAATTGAAAATTCCAGCTATGTCATCTGTCAGAACTGGAACGCACCGTGTTCTCTGAATCTTGAGTGCAAACGGATCATCATAGATCACCGTCACTCACTGCACAGTCTGCACTCTGGTACGGTTAAAGCTTTGGAGCGTCTGTGAAACTTCCACTGCAAATAAATACTAGTACTGTTCTTCCGCCCCGCCGGCGAGTTCTCTTCTGCATGCCCTAAGTCCATAGCTATATCATGTGATCATCTTTTTTTTCCAATTACCTATTCAGTTTGGGCCCTTCCATAGCCGGTTTGCACTGTTGGTTTGCAGGTCTGACCGACTGAGCGTATCGGCTGACTCGTTTCGGGCGTATGACTTGGAAGTTGGAGCACGAGGAATAGTTAGTTGGTAACTTGGCATCTATTGGTGCTTGAAGCCGTATTGAATGATAAAGCTGAATGGCACCCCCAAGCTCCAACTATTAATGCCGATTTCCCTCTCTTTTTATGATCAAGCCACGTGCCGTGTGTGTTGGTCTTGGAAGTTCGTAACTGTGGTGAAACTGACATGTCATTCATCCTCACGAACCACTTCACTTCACCATCTCAACACTCGGCAACATTGTTTCTTGGGGGGGGGGGGGGGGGGGGGGGGGGGGAGAAGTACTCAACTACCAGGTACCTAGGTAGGTAGGCAACTTCTTTTGAAGAATGATCCTAACGTTTCTTCCCTCGAGTCTCGATTTCTAACACTACTATAGATCTACCTACTGGTACTACCTAGTTGAAGTTAAATGGCACCCCCCAGGCTCCAATGTCGACTTCCCTCTCTTGAGTCTTTTCACCTCCGTATTCAATGATCTCGATTAAGCCATGTGCCGCGTGGGTTGGTCTTGAAAAAGTACTTTAGTGACATGTCATTTATCCTCACCAACCACTTCACTTCATTACCTATCTCATCACTCAGCTACATCCTTTCTTTGGAGGAAAAAAAGTACTCAACTGGGTAAGTAACTTCTTTGAAGGAGGTTCCGAACGTTTCTTGCCTCGATTGCTAACACGCGACCTAGTCATACTGCATACAACCGGTGAGCGGCCGTAATGGGGACGAAGAATCGAAGATGGCTCTCATGATTCCTCTGTACGGACTGCAAGGAGACGCCGTATTGGTTTGTCGGTTTGTGGCGATTGGGATTAAAGCTCGCTCATAACCGTTTATACTCTCTCGAGTAGGTAGTAGACGGGTTGGTCGTTAGCATTCGTAATTTCTGGCTGGCTCGTTCGGCTCTCCGCTGAATTATCAACAGTATGTCAGTATCAAAGCGACGGCTCCTCCTCTCGCCGACAACACCCCCTACGCTTCAACTTGTTACTTACCCACAGCAAGGTCGGCCTATGTACATACAAGCGACGTCCATGCTTTGACGAACCCACCCTACCGGGTTTACCTACCCAGAGATACATCATGGCTTCAATGTGGCCTGGGCCTTCATGGTATGTATGTAAGTCTTGGATGATTTGATCCAAACATTCAACATTGCCTGAAATTCTGAGTGATAATAGGCTCATAGCGGGAGCGGTCGTTTCGAGGCGAGCTCATAATTCAAATCACATGGATTTTATGCATAATTTATAGGTACTCCATTCGATCATCCTAAGTTGCATATGTTGCGTGGTGCGTGCTAACCTTTCACGCGGCCCGAGTCGACTGAGAGTATCTAAACATAGGTAGGGAGCTTTGACTGGAAGGTTTGCCTGTCCGTAAATATCCGATTCCCCGGGATAGCGAGAATAACTCTCAATTAGCCTTCCAACACCACGCTTTAGATAACTATACTCAAGGTTGGGTTCTCATTGCGGAATTGAATCGCATGCACATGCGGCACGTGAGCTTCGCGAGGACGTTTGGTATAAATAGTAGGTGTATTGAAGAGACTACTGCGACAATATGTAGTCAAGGAGGGAATGTCTCCACCCTCCGTCTGTCTCTATGGCCTACGCGGCTGAAGGAAACCATGGCGACCTTCGAGAAGGACTGGAACCGCTCCAGTTGTGGACAGGCCAACCCACGACGCCGTGTGCAGCTTGAATTTAAAACTCATGTATCGATTCCCCATCCCATCCGATCAGTTGACCTTGCCGCATGTGTGTACGTGGAGACTCGAGAGGTCCAAAAGAAAGAAAAGGGTACGGTACGCTTAGGAGTGACAACGCTGTGAGCTTCTCCTCCTCCTAGTTGCTTCGGCTCCCTACCATACTCTAGAGTACCTAGAGTACGGTAGTTAGTGCTAGACGGCCACGGTGCTTAGTAGAACGTCTTCCAGCATTCGTCGACCTCCGAAACTCCGCCTTTCAGCCTTTCAGGCTACACGTTTGGACAAGCCCGTTGACGAGCCCGCAGACGATAGTTACATACAGTACCGGTTACCTACCTACTCGGCTAGAGGTTCGAACTTCGGACGCAGTTGGCCGTGGCGGCTTCTACCGCTAACTATATAGCTGTACTGTACCGGTACTGCACTTATCACACGCAAGCCTTGAAACTTCATCGTTTGGCCAAGCGAATTCAACTTCCAATAACCGACTGTACTGTAAATACGCGATGGATTTTGCCGGCGCTAGATACTAGGTCTTAGTAGAAGAAAGTCAGGGAACTGGGTATTCGCAGGGGCGGGATGTGGGGGACGGAACGCGGAGTCGGACGTCGGCGGGAAAACCTAGGTATGATCCATCATCCCATGTCACTATGTGCGTGGAGCGTGGAGCGCGGGGAGGGAAATCAGCCTTCAGGACGCGTGGGGATAGCTAGTTTTCGTTTGACCATTGATTATTGGATGCGACCTAATAATACCCATTTGAAGTTGGTTGAAGGCCTTGACTCGGGGCGCATCCACTCACAGCACCAAATGACCGCCCATGAGCGGCACAGCACCTTACCGCACAGCACGCCGGCCCCCGCCCAACCTTCAACGTCCGTCCAACGTTCGCGGGTACCTGCCTTCCAGTTCGTGCGTATAGTAAATTTACCGAGGTACACACACACCACTCCGCAATAATATATCACCGAAGCCCGGAGTGGATCGACTCCGACCTCCACAATTTTTCCCCACAACTTCGTGCGTACTGCGTGCATCCCGGCTGTTATGCGAGGAATTTAGCCTAGGTATGAACATACACAAGTTTGCATCATACAAAAAGTCACCAAGTTATGCATACCCAACCCGCTTGCTTGCTCGAGACCAAAGAAAAAATAACTATCCTGAAGATCCTTCCCATCAATGATCAGCCTTTTCTCCCGGGTATGTAGAGAGTACTAGTACTCCATGTTTGTATGTATATACGTTCGCAAGCATACGTCGCTACCATGGATGGTGATGGGTTAAAGTCGGGATTGTGGAGTAACCGACTAACGAAGTACCCACCTAGTGCGAGTCTCCCTTTGCCGAACGGATTCCTATGGTATGTATCATGGCACATGAACCTCCAAGAATTCCCCGTTCCGGGGGTAAAAACATCATTACGGGTATAGGAGTCGCCTGGGAGCCCACCGACCCGGACACACACTCTCTCCCTCCCTCCCTCACAAGCTCGCCAGAGGCGGGAGAAAGCTGGAATTCAACCGGTGATCTGGACTTACCCCAGCTTTGGAATACTCACAGGGAGGCATTACACCGTTTGGCGGGGCCCCGCCCGCGCGACGGTGATGTCCACAGGGTGGAGTACCTGGCACCAGCCGCAATATCACGGCTATCACCGCGCGTTGCACTATTTGCATGGGCACACGTTGCCGGGTGAATACGATTCTCTCGATTGCATACGGTATCCCCCTCCCATGGTTCATGGATCGAGTCGACCTCAACCGACGCAATCCAGGTTTCTGGGCTCCGAGCTGCTGTTGATATAAAGGGCGTGGAAGTCCTCCGGGTTTGGAAGGGACATCCACGGTACCTCCCTCCAAGCGGCTCATCAATCAGACTTCAATATGCGGTTTCTCAACATCCTGTACTCCTCGCTCATCCTCGTGTCGGCTGTCTCGGCGGCGCCGTCTCCAAAGGGTGGGAACGATGTCTTCTCGCCCAGCAAGTGGCCGCTGCCCAGCAAGGTGTGTCTTCGCCTCTGTTCCTGTGGTGTCTGATGTTGTGAAGCTTACACCGCCGCCAATTGCAGGTCTACGGTGATACTGAGGGATGGGGCACAGTACACGTCCACGACCCTTCGATCGTTAAGAAGGGCAAGTACTACTACTCGTTCAGCACACATTTGGGAATCGCCATTGCACGTTCGCCGACACTGAACGGTCCCTGGAAGCACCTCGGCAGCGTGATCGACACCCAAAGCATCATCGAGCTTACCGGTCGTGACGACCTCTGGGTTCGTACATAGCTCCCACTTGCTCAATTCCCCGGCAACATCGAACTGACCAACGTCTTGCAGGCTCCGGATGTGATTGAGCACAAAGGCATGTACTACTGCTACTACAGCGTCAGCACCTTCGGCAGCCAAAACAGTGCCATCGGAGTAGCCACCTCCAAGACTTTGCTTCCAGGCAGCTGGACGGACCACGGCATGGTGATCCGGTCCTACGACCCGACACAGTTCCCCGACGCGCCCAGCCCCAACAACATCACGAACGCGATCGACGCCAACGTGTACATCGACAAGAAGACGAAGGAGGTGACGTTCTCATACGGCAGTTTCTGGTCGAACATCTGGGCGTTCCCGATGGAGTCGATGACCTCGATTGCCTCGGACGCGGTAGCGACGCACTTGGCGCTCGACCCCGTGGCCCCGCAGGCGGTCGAGGGCCCCTTCGTCCACAAGCACGGCGACTGGTTCTACCTCTGGATCTCGTCCGGTATCTGCTGCGGCTTCAACGCCTCCATGCCAGCCGAAGGCACGGAGTACAAGATTAAGGTCGGAAGGAGCAGGGCCGTCACTGGCCCGTTCGTTGACCGTAACGGAACGGATATGAAAAACGGCGGAGGCGATGTCGTCTTTGGAAGCCACGATTGGGTCTACGGGCCCGGTGGCCAGGGCGTGCTCGTCGATGGGAAGAAGGATATCCTCTACTACCACTACGTCGACACCAGGGTTAGCTACGTCGATGAGGATAAGTACTTGGGATTCAATGAGATCAAGTACGTGGATGGATGGCCAGTGTTGGTGTAATGATCGGTTGCGAGATGTAATGGGTTGTGTGTACCTATGTAATTAGAACACGGATTACGGTGGATTGCATGTATGTATGTAAATGAACGTGTGAGTTTTCTGGATATCGTGCGCAGTTTGTGAGTGAGTGAGTGAGTGTGGAATAATCTACTCGGCCCGCAATGGCTAGAAGTAGAGCTTCCAGGCCTCCCGTCCCGAAGCGACCTTCGTAGGCGCAGCCGAACTCTCGCTGACATCTGCGGGGGAAAATAACTGACTGCATGCGTTATCGGTTTTCTGTCAGGCCATGTAGGGCTGAAGTACTCCGACCCAACACTCGGCCCCCACGTCCGGCTCCGAAAGACGCCGATCCGAGTAATATCCGCGTAACCAGTTACCACTCTATGGTACAGCCACACCCCACGGCGTGCTGAGTGGCATGAGAACTCGCCTGTTCCCTCATACATCCCACCTACATACCGTCGAGCGATCCCCCGTCGTGCCGGAGTCCGCCGAAACACTGAAGTATCACGCAACAGCTCACCACTGAAAGCTATCATGACATGTTTTCCACTCCACACTGCTCCAGGCGAGCGAGCCTGATGCCACGACCGCAGCCCACAGGAGGGGAGCAGATGATACCAGCGGGCGCTCAGCAGCTACATAGCTATAGCTACAGCTCCGTATTTAACCCATCCACAGCCGCCGTCACGATCCCACCTCTCCATCATCATCAGCATCATCACGATCATCGCCACTCACCGCACTCACCAGCACTCGACTTCCATCGAAGTCCACACATCTCCACTCAGAAACTCTCTCCACTCACCCAACCAACCAACCAGCATGTTTTCCCGCCCGCTCCTGCGCGCCGCGCCGTCCGCCGCCAGGCGCACACTCGTGCAGCCCGCTCGCCGCCGCACGATCTTCATCGCGCCCGGCGACGGCGCGCGCCACGCCTCGCCCGGCTTCGCTTGGATAGGAACAATCACCAGCGCTAGTATTGTGACGTACATATTAGCCCAGGCTGTGGTGAGCTTCCCCCTCCCCTCCCCGGGATTATGGAGAGAGCTGGGATTATGGAGAGAGCTGGGATTATGGAGAGAGCTGGGATTATGGAGAGAGCTGGGATTATGGAGAGAGCTGGGCTGATTACTGGCTGGCAGAAAGTTTCTCAGAAGTACTGAGCGGTATCATCACGAAGCGGAGACGCCCATGTGGCTGCGCGCGCTGAGGGAGCTGGAGTATTAGCACACTCGGTCTTTTTTTGGTCTTTTTTTGGTTTGCGAGTTGGAACTTGGACGGAGTTTTCGTTTTTCGATTCGGATTTTTGCTCGGCCTCTGGCGGAACTTGAGGGGGCACGCTGTATATATCATGACTGGTGGCTAGATTGTAGATGGTAGATTAGGCTTAATCACTACTTCTTCTTCTTCTTATTCTTCTTCTCTTCCAGGTTCCGAGTGCTATCATCTGTGAATAAAGTTGTTCCTTGCTCAAAATTACCCAGTGCAGTTTCTCCGGTCCCAGCGTAGCCTGTAGATATATAAACAAAAAAGCCCGGGCCGATCCTATGCCATTTACTGGCTCGGTCCACGGCATTGCGATAGGTACAACCATTCCACTGGATTCCAGGGTGTAGTTATCCTAAATAGTACAGAGAGGTATGATCCCCTCCGTGAGCCTCTGCTCTCCTCGCACTAGGTATTTCCTTTTCCCACCAGATTCCTCTCTTCCTAGAGGGTAGAGTACATACCAGTAGAGTACAATTATCGCCATATACAGGCCCGCCGATAGGTATTCTTCTCGTGTTGATCCCTTAGAGCCTTAGCCTACGATATCGCTACTCTAGAGCAATCCATAATTAGAGGAGCGTCTATATAACGCACCCGCCACCCCCTGGCCGCCATCTGCTTCAATAAGCGCCATATAACGGTAAGGGTTAGTGCATGGTCTCATGGAGGGACCTCACAGTGTTTTTAAGCGGCGTCATTCCCGGAGGTTGAACGATAGTTATTACTCGAGTAGTTATACGACGCATTTACGATAGATATTTCGAGTTTGTACTTAACTCCATGGCTACTCCCCCGCCCAGCCCGCCGCCCAGTCCCCCGCCCAGTCCCCCGCCCAGTCCGCCGCCCAGTCCCCCGCCCAGTCCCCCGCCCAGTCCCCCACCCACCTCCAAACTCCCACGAGGCGGCCGAACCTACCGCATATCCGGGATCCCATTCTCAACAACCACCGACGACTTCCGAGCCGGATTTAGCCAGCTCATTAAGGACCATGAGTTCACACTGTCGCTGGGCGACTCCGGGAACGGCTACAAAACTGCGACTGTAACGTTCGAGGAATCAGTTCCGCCGCCGTTCGACACATGTAAGCCGCGGAAAAGGGCTTACTTCATTGTGGAGGGAATGGGGAAACTCGTGGTGGATTGTGATTTCTTTGGGATGACGTCCTTGTATTGCGCTGAGGATGGGGCGGAGGTTGAGTATGCACCCATTCCCCCACGAATGACATGCATCGAGGTGTTGACTTGTGGCGCAGCATAATCGCGGTCACCGGTCTCGCGGGCCACGCCTACGGCTCTTGGAGATCACGAATGCAGAACCAGATGTGGCTGCGAGACTTTCTGCCGCCGGATATGGAACGACTCGGTCATAAAGTCAGGATTCTGACGTATGGCTACGACTGTAGCCTGCAGGATAGTGACTCGTCGGCGGGGATTTGTGATTTTGCCAAAAGCCTTCTGGTGGAGATTAATGGTGCCCGTACGAGCAAAAAGGTACAGGTTTTTTTCCCTCCAATTATCGTATGTAGGGTTGGTGCTGGATCGGTAAGAGGCGGCGAGTACACCCATATTGAGCCTGCTTCAGTTCACTGCCGTGAGAAGGATGTGAGCCACCAGGGCCAGGACAGACAAGGAACTCTTGAGTAAATCCTATGAGAACTCAGTTTAACAGCTGGCCGCATGTAGGAAAGGCACCGTCCAATAATTTTCATTGCGCACAGTCTCGGCGGCCTAGTCGTCAAACAAGTAAGCACGCCCACTTCAGCGTGTCACTCCATATCCTGTATTCACCGCTCGAATCCTAGGCCCTCGTGAGTGCACTGAGAGGAGACCAAGACGAACGCACCATCCTCAACGCAGTGACGGGCCTGTTCTTCTTCGGCGTGCCCAACTGCGGGCTCGACGTGACGAACCTGATGACGCTAGTCAAGGACGCAAAGAACGCCCGGTTCATCGACGAGCTGGGGGTGGGCTCGCACCTGCTGAGGCACATATGCACACAGTTCTCGCGGGGGCTCTCGCTCAACGATTGCCATGTCCAGTCATTTTATGAGCTGAGATACACCGGCGCCGTCATCGTAGGCCAAACTTATCCGGTGTGCGAGCCTGCTGGATCACCGTGCACTAACACACACTCTCGAAGGTCCAACCCGACGGGACCTGGGCACGCGGCGACCACGGGATCCTTCTGGTGTCGCAGGAGTCCGCCACGTACGGCCTTGTGCGCAGCCCCACGTGCCAGCAAATGGGGATCGACAGAGATCACTCGGGCCTCGTCAAGTTCACCGACGAGTGGGACCGGTACTACATGCTCGTACGAGACGCGATATGCGCATGTGCGGGGAGGTCGCCTGGCGTTGTTAGAGCGCGGTGGCGGGCGATGGGGTTGGATAGGGAGGGGGAGGCGGCGGAGGTTGGGTCGCCGACTTGGTGGTTCGAAACGTCTGGGATGTTTGGGTGGAATTGAGAAATGGGCGAGCTGGGACTGGTTCGCAGTTGTTCCGAATCTGCGATCCGCATCAGGGCCCAATCCGCCAAACATGCCAAATGGGGCCCCCTAAATACTCTATCGGAGTACATAGAGTAGTAAAAAATATAGGCTTTTCGGGACCAGAGTGCAACTTGAATTATGCAATTTCCATGTTGCTTCAGTACCGTGCTAGAATTTAGCACCCAATGTAATGCAGATTCATATGAATGCGTCGTGCCCGAAAGCCTGTCACGCTGTCGTAGTTGTAACACTATGTACCGGTTTTACAATGCCCATTTGTCTGCAATGCTCATGGCAAATGCCCGATCGTATGTATACGGGAGCTTATCTAAATACTGCATTTGCAGGCGGGATGCGCGATGCCAGTACCGTCATTCGACGTATTTAATATTTTTTAAATATTTCCGATGCTTTTAATACGTAATCATTTACCCTCTGTAGTGCGATGGCTATCATAATACTAGGTAGCGAAATTACCTGCGGCATTCTTTTGAATGCCGTTTTCTCAACATACTAGGTATTACTATATAGAGCCAGGCAATAAAGTCATCAAGCTTGTGGCAGCCTGGTATGGGCACGATTTTGACACAACCCGCATGAAAATATTTATACTTATATTTGTATAAATTCTCAATAAGCCTATTCGTAAAAAAAAATGCTTGGTCAGGGTTTTCAGATTCCAGGGCATTTTGTTGAATAATCCTTCCTCAATCCGGGCGCTGTGAAAATGATTCGCGACTCCAAAGCTTTCTGCAAGGCTTACTCACCGCAAACCTTGTGAGCTCATAAGGCTCTATAAGGATGCCATAAGTCATTTCAATAAATAAGGGATAGTAAGGCTTATACGCTCATAAGGATTCTTGAACTCCTAAGCAGTACATGATGACTTCTTCCACCACAAGCCTCTTCACTTGGAGATGCCTATCACTTATTGATGCTTTTATTCTGTACCATTATATACCTAAACTACTCTCCTTCCCCGCCCCCGCCCTCCAGTCCCCCGCCCCGTTCCCATACCGTCCCTCACTCACCAGCCTACCTAACGCTGTGATGTGCATAGATTCACAACGGTTGTACTACCCACTCCACCAGTGGCCCCACCGCGGATACTGTTGTGGAGGAGCGATGGAGGAGCTGTCGGCGAGAGGAAATGAATGTAATTAGTGTAAATTGCAAGGGCAGCCAGCGGGGAGGGAGCGAACTTAAGAAGCTGTCAGCGAAAATGGAAGCTGTTGGCAAGGAGAGGAAGAGGAGAAAATGATGGATGGGCTATCAGCGAGTGGAGGAGCTGTTGGCAAGAAGAGATTCCAGCGAGAGCAGGAAGTAATGGAGTAGAGGATGGAGGAAGAAGTGATGGAAGAGCTGTCCGAGAGGCCCCTCTATCTCATCAGAGTCCTCCACCGAATACACAATCAACCTCTACCTCCTCTTTCTTCTGTGTGTGCTCTCTCTTCGACCCACCACTGGCCTAGTGAGGTGTTAGCAAAAGAGCTGTCTGCAAAACTGTCTCCCCCTACTGCTCCTCGCCGCGGATACAGCACTGGAGGTGCAGCGAGTTAGTAGTACCTAAAGTGAAGGAAGTGATGGAGAATCTATAGTAGGCGAGAGGAAGGATATCAGAGAGAGGTGAAAGTTATTGAGAAGCCGTTGGCAAGAAAAGGAGCTGTCTGCGAGGAGTTGTCAGTGAGATGAGGAAGTTATGGGGGAGCTGTCAGCAAGAGGAGTAGCTGTCAGCGAGATGAGGAAGTGATGGGGGAGCTGTCTGTGGGAGGAGGGTAGTCAGCGAGATGAGGGATTGATGGGGGAGTGATGGGGGAGTGATGGGGGAACTATCTGCGAGGAGTTGTCAGTGAGATGAAGAAGTAATGGGGGGAGCTGCCGGCGGGAGGAGGAGTTGTAGTGTAGGTAGTGTAGTGGGGAGGGTTGTGGGGGGTCGACGGCATAAAAAATTTCGGAGTAGACTCAGTGCACTGGGAATGACATCCCTTACTACTGACTCGAAGTGCCAGTGCTAGATGAACATAAGGCCGATGTAATGATTTTCGTGTCAAGCAGTCTGATCTTCGCATATGCGCTATGGATCCGCAAAGGCAGTAGAACCCATAGTTTCTAATAAGCCTCATCGAACGCTTATATCTTACTTGTGAAGAAATCCAGCGTGTGGCGCTCAAAGGATTTTCTTGGATCAGGCTGAGATATCTTATAATGCTTCCCAAAACCTGCTACCTAGTCTCACAGTCATTATCATACGTCAGGGCTGTGCATGTCAACACTGACTACATATCCCTTAGGATGGCCTAAGTCTCACAAGGTGAGAAGGCTGATTTATGAACGGTGGTTTCTGTTGGGCCGGCAATATGTAGGAGCCATGAGAATTCTAGGGTTATGGGAACATATGCCTTATTTTGGCATTCCCCTTACAGAAACCTTACGGGGTTGCACGTGCTTATGACTGGCTTATATAAAAATTATCTGAATACCTCCCTTATGATAAGGACGACATAATCTTGGTGACTTTGTTGCGTGCCTCTATGTGATAGGTACGGCACCGTACGAATGGTTACAGCATTCTTGACGATTACCAACATAAAGGCAAATGCTCGGGTATGATAACTGCTGCATAGAATTAGGATACCGTCTCCTCCTACTGCTACATACAGGAGTCACCGATCATGCCACGGACAGCTACTCCATCACTTCCTCACGATGATAACTCCTCCTCTCACACCACCCCTCCCTCACCTTCCCTTCACTGACAACTCCTCCATCTCGCTGACAGCTCCTCCATCTCACTGACAGCTCCTCCATCTCACTGACAGCTCCTCCATCTCGCTAACAGCTCCTCCATCACTTCCTCACGGTGACAAGTCCGCCTCACAGACAGCTCCTCCATCACGCCCCCCCTCACAGACAGCTCCTCCATCACTTCCTCACGGTGACAAGTCCGTCTCACTGACAGCTCCTCCATCTCGCTAACAGCTCCTCAGCCTCACTGACAGCTCCTTATCCTCACTGTTAGCTCCTCCTCTCGCTGACAGCTCCACCACAACCCGCCGCGGATGCAGCATTGACTGGGTAGTGAATACCCCCTCCCTCTTCCCCCTCTCCTCCCCCCCCCCTCTCTACTGTTGCTATTTGCCCTGCTAATTACCGTGCTTCGAGTCCCGCTGGACCCGCCGCGGATAGAGCGCTAGCTACACTGTGAGTACCGTCTCCTTCCTACTGCTAATACTCGTTGCGGATGCAGCACTGGATTTGCCCTAGAGGCTAGAGATGGCCCTCTCGCTGCTGTGGAGCAGTACTGGCTGCGCTGTGAATATTCCCCTCCCTATTGCTTCTAATCCTGCTAATTTCCGTGCTTCTAGTCCTGCTGGACCCACTCTACTCCCGCCGCAATTGGTACTCACCCCTCCCCCACAACTACTACTGCCGCTAATAGCACCTCCATCTTATAGCTCTCTTCGCCGCCACTACTATTCCCCCTCCCGCCACAATTGCTATTCCCCCTTCCGCCACCACTGCTGCTCTCGCTGATGCTTCTCTTTCATAGCTTTTCTAGCAGCAACTCTATTTTCCATTCCCCTCGGCGCAATACATCCACTTGGCACAGGCTAGAAAGAATATTAAATAGTGAAGGAAGTAGATAGAATACTAGATAGAAGTTCAATGCGAGACACTGGATTACTGCATACAAACCGGTCCGTAGTGATATAAAATCGGCATTCACCCCGGTACTACTATGAGAGTTGTGCAAAGACGCATTCATTTGAAAGCCAGCATTCATTTAAATACCAGCATGCTGCCATAGCGCGACCAAAATCAAATAACAGGATGATTCACATCTATCGGTACCGACGTGGCAATGCGCATTACTTTTCTCAGTATAATGATTTTTTGGCCGCAAAGATTCCGCTGTTTTCGGATTGCCTCCAACCATTCTACTGCCGCCTGGCTCTGGTACTGCCTCCATACCGATCAGCCCTGGTTGTATACCACTGTACCGTACCGTATCGTCCAACGGCGCCGGGATGCCGGGGAGTGCGGCAGGTTTGAAAGGGACGTTTCGGGCACATGGCGGCCCGAGCTTTTACTTGATGCGGTCGAGAAAGCAAGATCATTAGGTATTATATAAATACAGCGTACAGCCCATACATATATAGCGCCCCCAAACCAAAACGCCGTTCCCAACACCATGTGTTACATCCTCTAAATAAAACTAAAAACAAACATCAATCGCCCATCACTTCATGCCTCTTCGAGCCTTCTCTTAAAATTGTAACCCGTTTCTGTACTCCTACAAACCCCGGGCGCATCTTGCGGGATGCTGTGAGGAGGGGGGGAGGGTGGGGTATGCTGTTCCGACGGAAATTCGGAATCTGTTGAACTCTGGCTCCGCCCGCCGCCGTCGCCGTCGCTAATGCTCGTTTTTGCTGGCTTCGCGGGGACAATTTCCTCGGTCGACTCGTATTCGGACTCTATGATGGGACTTCGGCGGTTATCCATGATGGCGGAGGATCTTCGCAGTTGGATGCGGGAGTTGCGGATAGCGGCGCTGACATTGCTGTTCGAGTGGGAGCTCGCGCCGAGGATGTTCGGGAAGAAGCGCCGGATTATCGGCCGCAGAGTCGGTATCGTGCTGCAGGTGATCGCGACGTGCGCTTCGATGTTGGACCACATGAACATTATTGCCGTGTGGTCTGGATATCAAGATTGTCAGCCGCGGGTTTCATGTGGCTGATCATAGCGACGGGAAACTGACATGATGAATCGTGCCTGTAAGCCAGCAGATTCCTAGCCCTGGAGCCGTATGCTAGGCGGGTGATGGCAGCGATCCAGACACTATGCACATCCGACACCGTCAGTCAGTAATCCCGAACCACGTCCATCTTCGCATGCAAGAGTTCAGGCCAAACCCACAGTCCGCCAATCATGAACACGATCACGAGCCCGACCTTCTGCCTTCTCACCGGCAAACGTATCATCCAGATCAACCTCAGTGGAGCCAACCATACAACGACATCCACAAGGATGCTAACGACGGCCATAACCATCTGCAGCAAGGGAAAGTTCACGCAGCGGTCCCCGCGGGCGGCAGGAGGCGCCCAGGCATATGTGATCGGCCAGCACACGAAGACGCTGGCGAAGAAGACGGCGATCGAGAAAGATACCGAGAAGCCGAAGATGCACCAGATGACAAGCCGCATTCGCGACATCGGTACGAGCCGCGTGATCTGTAGTAGGATGGATGCCCGAGAGAAGCCGAGCGTCACGACGTAGAGTGCCGTGAAGGCGTAGGTAAGCTGCAAATGAACGTCCACACATTAAAACATCGTCAGCCAGTGGGGGCGGGGGCGGGTGGGGTGCGGCGTACTTTAAAGATCTTGGTCCTACTTCGGTCACCATCAAAGTCCCACATATGTTTCCCCACCCCGAAAGAGGCACCTCTGAACGCGCAGGCAGTCATCGTAACAGCAACCAGCTAATACTCCAGACAGTATCAGTCAGCCCGTTGGTCCGTCCATAAACATCATTTCACTCAAGTTCCAACCCTCGAAAACCAAAACCCCCAAGCATTTTTCACTTCGGTCCGAGTGAAGGCCAGGGATTGCACGTCACACGAGAAGCCACCGTCCCTCGCCGCCATTGGTTCCAATTAGTGTGCATCCGTACCTACCGTAGCCACGAGCATGCAGAAATCATCCCACCAGAAGATCCGCAACAGCACCGCCCTTCCGTAGACCCTCCCGGCGACCAGCAGCACCGCCAGCACGGATAGAACGCCGGATGTGATGGTGAGTGCTTGCGAAACATCGTCATGCGGGAGATTAGCCATATCCATGCCGGCGGGCCCGTTGAACTGCCCCATGGCAGCTATGGGTGGGGGGCGATGCGATGTTGACATCTAATCTCGGTGCGACGGTACCGGTACTATGGTTAGTGGAGATGCGTCGGCGACTCGGCGGGAGCAGTCGAGATGTAGGTACCCAGGTAGGTATTGACTTGACTTGCCAGTTAATCCCCTGGACCGTTGACGGGACGGATAACTATGATCTGGGGAACCGAAAGGATTAAGTTAAAGGGCGACGGGCGACGGGACGAGACCCCGATCCAAGAGCCAGACCCCAGACCCCCCAGATGTGTTGGAGATCGTCCCCCGCCCCCGCCCATAAACTCTCCTCCCAGTCAGATCTAGTTACGCCCCGTCTGGCTATGGAGGCGAATCTATAAACTTGTGAAGCCACCCCAGGGCCCGTGCAGAGGAAGATGCAGCAGATTTGTCATTGTTCCCATCCCGAGTTAGGGGGCCAGGGGCACAGGATTTGAGCCATGAAATACTGTCGCATGCACTGTTGCAGGGGAACACCAGTTTTCTGTCGTCTCTCGATGGCTAACTATTGGCACTTGCGTATGTACATATCGAAGTAGATATGCGACCCTTCACCCACGTTTGTCGTGTGGCTGCAGTGCCCAGTGCCCACGGACTCCAGCTGCCAGCACATTAGGCCAGTGCATGTGCTAACATAATGCAGATGCACATCGCCCACGCGGCTGGCGATGAAGCTGATAGATTACATAAAAGTATCCAATACCTATTGCGGTGAAGAACTGGTGAAACAACTTGGGTCGGCTCTATCCGTGATATATACTCTACCCAGGAGGAAGGAGCAGAGCAATAATATAGTAATCCCACTTAGCCACCAATACCGAGCTCACCGGTAACCATAGATACGTCCTGCACCGTAGGTATCGTATCCTAAGGCTCATCCCCGTCCTCTCTACTGCGCTGCTGCTCTACTACATACTCGGCCTCGAAGTCTGAAGAAATTCAAGCAAGTGCGTTGATAGCGTTCCTTGGCCGCGGGGTGGCCGGGGGTGGCTGGGTGGCGGTGGGGCCTGCCAAGAGCCCCCTTGAGATGTGGAGTGTAAGGTGGAGCCGAAGAAAGAAGGAAGGAAAGAAAGCGTTGCGTGCGCCGTGGGTGTGGTTTCCGGATGGGAAAGTGGATTCGGGAGAGGTGGATTCGGCAAAGGTGGATCATGGAGTACCCGACGGCTCCTCCGGTTTCCAGAGCCAAGGTCAAGGTCCCGAGACAGTGGGAACCACGGCTCAGCACTCCTCTGGCAGCTAGCAGCTGCAGGCTGTCAGAACTCAGAACGGACAAACCTTGAACGACTGGTTACCGGTTTCAAATCCAGTTAGATGCCCGTTTCAAAGATACTCAAGCTTATGGTAGCGAGACGATTGATACTATGCTGATAGACGTTTGGACTCGCCACATGGAATCCCTGGGATACGGCATGGGCTAGGTGCCAGTAGCTTGTGCAGGTGTACAGGTACCTATCCAGCTCTCTTCGGTACCGTTGCTTCCCAAAAGTGAAATAGTTGAACCAGGAATGATCTATGCAGGTACAAAAGACGGGCAGATACACCATACATCCTGCAAATTAGGTACTCTAGCCTCCACCCAGCCGTCCAAAACTCTCTATGATATCTTCCTCATCCCCCAGACCCAGACCCAAGTAGACTGACCCGCCCGCACACCATTGAAAACTCGTCCCCGTCTTGAAAGTACTCGATTTACACTATGCATTACTCATCCAAAAAAGTAGGTATCTCATCCAAGAAATCGCTCCAAAAGTTATAACTCCTCTTGTATGTATGCTGCATGCACCTCTCACTCACCAGTAATCACTCCACCTTCGCCACGACCACCGCAGGCCTTTGCTGCTGCTGCTGCTGCTGCGATCCCTTCCTCCTCTTCCTATCTCTATTCTTCTCTAGCCAACTAAACCAGACCTTCTTGACGCCGCGCCACATCGAATCGAACTCCATGGTACCCGTGCTCTTACCGACGGTATACAGCACGATAATCGTCAGTGCCATCGTGACACCGGCGGAACCCCAGAACGTCCGCTGTCCGTACTTATTCTGCGTATCGACGAGCTGCATAGAGAAGTACCCCGTGACCAGTGTCAGCGGGAGGAACACGAACGTGAACCCGGCGAACCAGATAGTGACGCGCGTGAGCAGCTCGACGGTTGTCGACTGCTTCAGCGAGATGAGGTTGAACGTGAGTGTTTCGAGCTCTGCCTTTTCGGCGAGCAGCGCCTCGAGCTCGCCGAGCACGTAGAGCTTGATGCGGTCGCGCAGCCGCTCGAAACGCGCTACTGCGAGCGGCTGCAACGGCACCCCCAGGATGTCCGAGTCGCCCATGGTCTTGGCCATCATCTGGTTGGGATCGTGTGGGTCGGCTTCGGACCACCCAGTGGCAGAGGTCGGCGTGAGGGGCCTGTGCTTGCTCGCGCTGTTTTCTTGTCGGTGGAGGATGTTGTCCACGATTATCTTTTTGGTCTCGTACATGCGCTTCAGCATGGCGAGCTGTCGGGATAGCCGGTGGAGCTGGGAGAGGTGCGAGAGTTGTGGGTCTTTGTGCATTTGGTTGCGCAGGTTGCGCATCTGCGTGCTGTATGGCGCCCCGCGGCCGAGAACGAACTCGTAGGACGAGTGCCAGTCGTCGAAGAGGTAGTACAGGAGGAGGGACGGGCCGCCGTAGACGTTTTCGCTCCGGGGTTGCTGTCGCCGGAATGGGAGGTCGTCGAGGCCGCTGCCGAGGGCTACTGTCGATGCGTTTGCGCGCACGGTTTTCGCCGCGGGGGAGAGTGAGAGCGAACGGAAGACTGTCAGCATGTTGCGGCGAATGGTGAGGATGTCCTCCGGTTTCGAGATTGTGTCCAGAGGCTCATGGATTGAGATCACGGTTCCTATAAAAGTTTTCATATCAGTGTATTGCAGTTTCAGTGGAGAGGGAGAACAAATACCGTCGTCGCAAAGGACGAGCCAGCTCCAGAGACGTTTTCCCTCGGGATTGTAGTCGCCCGTATCGAAAGGCTCTTCCCCATCTTCGTCCAGCTCTTCTCCCGATTTCTGCTTTCTATCCCACGTCTCCGGTGACGTCTTATGATGGTGATTGAACCCTATGCAAATAACTACAGCACACATATTATCAGCATCACTACCCCCTCCCCACTTCCCTTCCGCCAACAATAGACAACTTACACCTCCCGCCCCACTCGACCGCATGAAAATGCCAAACATTCTGCACCAGATTCATATAGTTCATTTTCGGCGCAGCCGGACTCGCCGCGTTTTCCATCTCGACCATTTCGAGGCCATCACCGACATGTAGGGGCTGATTCGTATTCGGCTGTAGATACATCGAATGCGGCGTTTCCTGCTGGTTTTGCTGCTGCTGTTCCAGATCCCTAACCATATCCTCGAGCCCACTGCTCCCCGACGTGCGGCCCAGGAACCGATCACGCATGCGCGACGGCGGGCGAATCGACGACGGCGCCGGCCGCCGCCGCGATACCGGCGGCGTAGTGATCACTTTGCTCAGCCGCGGCGAGAACCCGTAGTACTCCGTGATGGCGTTGACGAGCTCGGCCTGGCCGTAAGGATCGAAGATATTTCTGCCGCGCACACACCCTCATCAGCCCCCCGCCACGCCCCGCCCCTCGCCGGGAAGATTCAAGACAACCCACATCCACCTCGTCCTCAACGCAACCTGCCTCCGCTGCTCTAGCAGCGCGCGCACTCCGGTAACGCCCACAACATTCAGCGCGCACCACGCCTCGCCGCCATCAACCGCGGCGCCGCCAAAGTCTGCGATGAAGTTCTTGGTGCTGCGAGATTTCAGCGCGCTCTCGCACGTGCGGTACGCGTCCGTGTCGTCGAGGTCCTGGAAGTTGAACGACGGGAAGTGCCGGTAGTAGCTGTGCGTGCTGCTGGCGGGCGCGAGCGGTGGCCGGGACATGGATGAGGGTCGGGTGCGCGGGGAGAACGGTGATGGACTCTGGGAGTCTGGGGGGCCGGACGAAGGGGGGGTGTTTGCCTGCGACGATATAGAAATATCTACATACAAATGTAGACAGCTGCACAGCGGCACAAGCACAGGCAACAGCTGCACAGCTGCCGCCGTGGATCCCTGCCGCTGTTCACCATGCTGTTGGCTGATTCCAGCGCCGCGCGCAGGACCGCAGGACCGCAGGCCGCAGGGCTGGGTGTCCGGTGGTAATTGGCAGTTATCATATGTAACTACGCCGCAAGCTAATGTCCTTATGCTACTCTGCGCCATTCGCCCGCACCGTCCACCGGTCCGGAGCGTACGTACTCGAACCTCGCGCCACGATGATTCGCGCACGCGCACAATACCTGCCTGCGGGTCATGCATCATGCGCCGCCTCGCAGCCGCCTCGCGGTCGCGGGGGAGGTTGATTTAAGGTAGCACTCTACCAACCCTAGCCCTCCGTACGAGCGAGCTCTTTCACTCTATATATATGTGCTAGGTAGTAGCTCCGACGTTTCCCGCTCCACCGCTCCGGCGAAGTCATCCCGCTGGTCCAGCGGGTAGTCGGATGCAACCCACGCAACCCACGCAACCCACGCAACCTACGCAACCCACGCAACGCAACGCAACAGGGCGGGGGGGTGCGGGACGGACCTCTGCGGACCGGTGATGGGCGGTGGTCGTGCTTGATCGGCTTAGATAGATAGATAACTGAGGAATGGCCGGGTCGGTTTTCACATGTGATGGGTTTCGTACATACACATGCATACCCGGTTGCGTCTCGAGCCATCTCACTCACTCACGGGATCGGACGGTTCGAAAGAGTTTGACGGATATCCCTTCAACCGAAATTAAACGACTCCCCGGGTAAAAAAAAGAGCCAAAAAAGCGAAAAAAGAGCCAAAGAAAAATAAATCGCATGTACATACAGCAAAGCAAAGCAGAAGAAAGAAAGAAGCCCCAGCCCAAACACAAATCAAGACAAGGAAAATCAAAATGAAAAAGAAAAAAGAGAAATCCACAAAATCCCGGAAGTTTTCATCAGTCGTACAACATTCGCCCAGTCCATCCGATTTTATACAGAACCCGTGCCTCGACTCTAATGTTTGGCGAAATCTAGTGTTTAGTGAAGCCCTCGAACTGTGACTCGGTGACCTCCTTGCCCATGGCGGCGGTGGAGCTGACACCTCCGGTGACCATCTTGAGCATGTTGTCGACGTAGTTGGCGCCCGACCATTTCTGGTGCGTTACCACGTCCACGCCGTTCTCCATCTCGGGCTCTTGCACGAGCGTGCCGTACGCCTTCATCCCCTGGATCGAGTAGGCCTTGGCGAAGGTGTCTGTTTGCAATCGGTTAGCATATAATTGTGGGAGCGATTGAGGAGGGAGAGTCATGTATGTACCTGAGATGAGCGCGGTGGTGTGCAGTCCCGCAAGAGTGATGAACTGCCAGCAGTAGCCCAACTTGGCGAGACGAGTGATGTACGTCTCCTGCTCCTCGGAGCTCATGGCGGCTGCACGGTTCGTTAGCCGGAAACTCCGAAAGGAAAAGAGAGAGAAAAGAACATACCCTTCCAGTTGAAACTGGGGGAGAGGTTGTAGGACAGCTTCTGCTTGGGCCAGACGACGTGGACACCCTCAGCGAACTCGACCGCCTGCTGGTAGTCGGGCTTCTTGCTCTCCATCCAGATCAGGTCCGCGTACGGGGCGTAGGCGACACCACGCATGATTGCGCACTTAGTTCCACCCTGGTATCTGTAGTAACCCTCACGGGTCCGGGGGGAATCCCAGTCGAAGAAGAGGTCGGTTCCGAGGTACTTCTTGGCGATGAGGCGGGCCTCGGGGTTTGACTTGGACTTGGCCTCGGCGAGGTACTTCTCTACGGCGTCGGCCTTTCCGGCATCCTTGAGCGCGGCAGCGACGGCCTCGTCGAAAAGCATGATCTTGGCCTGCGCCATCCACTCGTCCTCGATCTGCTGGAGGGCATCACCGTTCTTGCCGGAGGCTTCGGCAACGGCGAGGATCGGCGCGAGGGCGTTCAGGTTGGGGTTGGTGGCACCGAGGATGAAGGGGTGATCCCGGACATCGACGCTGGAGGTGAGGAGGGTGGCAGCCTCGGAGTCGGTACGGGCGACGGCGATGAGGTCGGTTCCCATGATATCGGCCTGTGCCCGGATGGCGACAAGTCTGTTGATGTGCTCGCCGACCGGCACCAACACCTTTCCGGCCATGTGACCGCACTTCTTGGTGCCGGGAGCCTGGTCCTCGACGTGGATACCGGCAGCACCGGCCTCGATGAAGAGCTTGGTGAGCTTCATCACGGCGGTGAGACCACCGTGACCGGTGTCGGCATCGGCAATGATGGGGCGGAGGTAGTCAATCTGGGGCTTAGAAGCGCGCTTGTCTAGCGGGGTTGTGAGGCGCTCCTCGCGCTGCTTTCGGTCGTGGAAAAGCTGTGCCTTGAAGAGATGGTCCACCTTGTTGGGCACGGTGTTCTAGCGCAGCGAAACTCGTCAGCGAAAGCTCAATCAGCGCCAGGGAGTGATGGCCCGCCAATGCCTAGCACAACCGACAGCCCATGCCGACGTTCCCGGCACATCCGAAGCTTCCGAAGCTTCCGAAGCTACGTTCCCGAAGTCCCCGGCCAAAACAGGAAAGGACTGCAAACAACAAACTCACCATTGGGTAGTCAGCCAGATCGGGACTGGGCTCGTTGGTGCTGCTAGCAGTCGACGAGCACTGCCATCCCGACACATACACGGTATCCAGGTACTTCGCCATCTGGGTGACCATCACCGGATCCAGACATCCGTAGGTTGCGCTGACCTCGCCGCTGGCGAACCGGCCCTCGAGAATCTTCCACAGCTTCTTGCTCTGCGCGTTGGAGGGGTACTGGATTGGGAGGGTGCCCCGCTTGGAGACAATTGCTTCCGCGGTGTAGGGACGCTTTGTCTGGCGCCAGCGGTCCTCTGACCACCATGCTTTGGTGGCCTCGACTTCGGCCTGGAAGGCCTTCTCTTCAGCTTCGAGAGACATATTGATATCGGTGATGTAAGAGGAGGAGTAGGAGGATGTGGGGTCCGAGGTGGAAGCTGTAGCTTGTGTAGATGTGGTAGGAGTAGGAGGAGGAGGATGAAGGATGAAGTTGGTACGGTTGGCGGGTGACGGCACCGGTAGTCTGAGGAATGGAGGAGAATATAACTTTCCAGAGGAGGAGGACGGCTTCAGTTATATGAGTCAACCAGCTGCCTCGGAGGAAGGTCTTGCCCAAGCTCGAGTTAAGTATTCCGTCGGTCCCATCTCGGCCCAGCGGGAAGGACAAGCACTGGGATGCGTGCTTGTGGATGCAGGCAACCAAGCTGATCGATAGCCATGGCCGAGAATTGTGAGGGAGCAACACCCCCCCAGCCAAAGAAAAAAAAGGTTGCCGCTACGGCTCTGCCCTGGGGGCGAGATGTGTACACGAGCTAAGAAATACCCGAACTGACGAGTGAAGTTTGTGGGACGAGACGAAACCCTGGCATGTGAAGGGAACAAATAAAAAATTGGAGCATGACTGGGGGAATCATCATCACGAGGCGAAGCGAGGGGGCATTCTCCGAGCACATGGAATTGTCCTAATAGTAGTTATCGAGAAGAAGAAGCAACCATCGTGCTCTCTCTTCTCCACGAGCAACCGTTGTCGAGAGTCCACTACGACGAGATGTAGAGTTCCGTACCGGTACACACCTTTACTTCCCCGCGAACGCGGAAGCTTAGCTCGCACAGCAAGGTGTTGCTCCAGGTATCCGGCCGGCCATCCAGCCACAGCACAGCTCTCGCATACCTCCACAAGCGTACCTTTACTCCGAGAGCTGCACTTGGGGAAGCAAGTCGTGGTGGTGGTGGCCAACGCTGCTGCCGGTCATGGTACGGTAGGCTCTGGCAGGGCCAGTGGGGAAGGGGAGGGATCACCTCGGGCACACGCGCTGATGTCATATTGGCCCGTACGCCCGCGCTGCAGATCAACCTCGGCAGAAGGGGAACTCTGGGGAAGATGTCGGAAGAGCTTCACAAGGTAACTGTCTGACTCAGGGTAAAAAAACAAAGCGCTCTCGTTAAATAGTGCCTGCCACTGGGCTAGGTAGGTAGAATTGTTCATCCGAACCCGCACTCGGGTGTCTGCGCGAAGGGGGTACATAGAAGTGGACGGAGTATGTAGATTGCAGTTATATGTAAGGTACGCACGCGACAATTCGGGCGGGGAATGGGGTGTGCGGAGCCTCAAGAATGCTCTCCGCTTATCCTGGTCTGCCCCAACGGATGCGGAGAAACGAACCGCCTGTCACACATGCAAATGGCCCAGCCTTACAACATCCGCAGATCCAATCCGGCCGGCCGAGACGTGCATCAACCTCCAGAGCCGTTCAGTCCCGAGTGCTGAAACGTGAGCAGACATTCCATTCTGTCACCACCGCTCGAGGATACACAGATAAACCTGGAGAAATGCTTTGCCGCACACTCCCGCCTTCGACCTCATTTCACAATACATCGTAGTGTACAAAGACATAAACCAATCTGAGCGATCGCATAGGTACTTTTCAAAAGCAGTCCAAAAAAAAGGCCATCAAAACGAAAACATCAACCAATTCCCCCCGAAACGCCAAAGTAATCGTGCCCAAAAAATAACAATACCATCAATTACCTCCTCTTCGAACGGTCAACCAGCAACTTGGAATATTCCTATGAATCCACGGAAGCACTGACTGTCGTCGGGGGAGCCGCTAAGGAAGCGTTGTCTCCATGCTCCCTTTCCTTGCCTTTCTCCTTCGAACTCGCCGTTGTCCTGGGCGTGCGCCTTTGGGTTGTGACATCTCCGCGGTCCGTCCGCTCGCGACGGCTCTTCTTATGAACGACTGGATAGAACTCGTTGAAGCTGAGTAATACTCCGAGCAATCGCAGATCAGCATCCGGTTGATATGTCAAGTCCCCGAGAAGCACTACGATCCTAGCACTGAAATCGGAACTCAGACTTCTCAGTCTGTGTCGCAAGTTGGGTAGAGTCTGGTCTTGGTAGGAAGAAAGGTCATCGTCCTAACACCCCGTCAGTGCCCTGTTCGTCCCTGCATGAAAACGAGGAACATACCGTCTCTCTCACACCCCAGTCACCTCTTCCGGTTCTTGCCTCGATCCTTGCACTATGCTCCTGGCGGCGAGTAAACTCAGTCACCGAATAGCCATAGAGTCCGTCAACCACATCCTTATACTGGAGCATAATCTTCAAGATCTCGTGGAGTTGGCTCAGAAACGATTCGTCTCCGGTGTCTGCAGCAGTTCGCTTCTTTCCATTCCTAGTCGTCGTGCCGCCCAGAAGACCCTTGTGCGTAATCTGCCGAAGATATTCGGCGTGTGCATCTATCAAATCGTCGAGAGTTACATTCGGCTTCTTGATGGCAAGTATGAGGTCGCCCCAGGATGATTCGATGACCTATTATGATGATGAGCGCTTCTTCCACTTGACTGACTTTGAACTGGCTGAACTGACCTCGAAAAGGATATAGTACTGCAATTGATTGACGAAGTGGACCATCTCGGCAACGACACATCTAGCCTTCTTCCAATCGGGGCCCACAATGTCATCGACCGCTTTGAGAACACCTCTGGCACCAGTCATGTACCTCCTCCAGCTGCTTCCAAGAGCATACTCGACTCTTTTGACTCTCCACAAAAAGTTGAAAAGCTTGAGGTATTGTTTACTACTGTAGGCAGTCACCACGACATCCACTGGCGCCTCGATCTTATATTCGAGAGTGAACACATCCCATCCAACCTCACCGTGAGACAGCTCCAGCATCCGGGCATCAAGCCTGGCCAGAATATCTTGCTTCTCGAATTGCGCATTCGACCCACGGATTGCATGCTCCAGTTGAGCGGTCAGGTTGTGGCGATACAACGTGTTTGCGGGGCGATCCAGACTATTAGATAGAGACTCCATGAGCAGCGCGATGAAATCGCCTTGACCGAGCAGCAAGAATTTTTTCAATGCGACTAGATGATCGTAGAGCTTGAACTTATTATCCATCAAATCGATCAATCGTGCCATAGTTGTCTTGTATGCTTCGTCGATGCTCATCTCCAAATTTGCCGTATCTCCATATCGAAGCTCTTTCGAGGTCGATTTGCAGTATTCATCGACCCAATCGCTCTCGGAGCATCCGTGTCGAATGAAGTTTAGAGACTTGCCGATCAAGAAAACCTTCTTTGCGAACCCTTCCGTTATGATGGTAGGAACCTGAAAAGCGTGGAAGTGATATTTGTCTTGCCAGACAGAAGTTGCACCAGGCTTTATGGCGGCAGCGGCGGCGGCGGCAGCAACTGCAGCGGCAGCAGCCTCGGCCTTGTTGGCTTTAGACCCGGCTTTGTCGCCGCCCTGTGCAGCCGGCTCTGGCGCTTCCTCGGTCACGAAGAACTCGACGTAGGGATCGGTCAGTTCTCCTTCATAGATCCAGTGCCTGAGCATATCGTAGAATGGCCGCGTGATCTGGGCAAGAATACGTTCCGCGAATGCACGGACGAAAGGATCTCCGTGATCGGAGGCAAACCCGTGGATTGTCGATATGAGTTGTCCGCCTTTTTGGCCTCTCGTCTTATCCACGATCAAACTCATCATCCTCAGCCCCATCGTTGCCTCCCGCGTCCACACAACGCATCGTTTTAGCGTCACCCCCGACGAGAGAATGCCCTGTCCCCGTTCCGCTGCCGCGATGGCCCTTCGGATCTGACTTTCCAGTCCTCCGACTAGCTCCACATATCCCCGCAGCTCGTTCCCGATGGCTGACCTCAACGATTGTCCGACCAGACCTCCGCCTTCAGCCCCATCGTTTGGATCCTGGACAAAATCGTCGAGTGATTTGTATAATAGTGACGGCTCAGCCAACGTGTGTAGCAGCGATACGAGGGGTAGCGGGAGTGTTGGTGGTAGTGACACCACATATCTCGAAGCCGTCGTTGATTTGAAGGGCAGTGATCCTGAGGACAATCCCAGAAGTGTAAACGGAAGGGCGGACAATAGTGTTTGTTCGCTCGGTTCTATCCTCAAAGTCAGTGTCAGCTCTCCGAAGGGCAGATGAGAGTATGAGTAGTACCGATGCCGTCACCCCTCTTCAACAATAGGTCCGCCTTTGTAGGCTGACCCGTCATATCGGGTTCGGTAGAAAAACTTCCACCACCGCTGTCCTGCGGCGTCCCCCTCGCCGGCAACCTATGAAGTCCCTGCCCACTAAACGCCGTGGAGAAGATTTGTTCATCCTCCGCTTCCCGTTCAGCAGAAGGAAGCACCGCATCGGGAGTGCGGACGGCGACGGCGGTAGCGGCCGCGGCGTTATCCTCTTGCCCGGAGACCTCCAACAAGAACTTCAAAACACCCCATTTCTGCGCCAGCACCGACTGTGTGAGGAGTCTAGTGTAGAGGGAGCTGAACTTTTTCGCCTGTTCCGTCGTGGGGTTGTCGCGAATCACTACCGTCCGTCCGTCAGCTTGAGCCGGGCCGCGCGCATCTCGGGCCGTACGTACACTTTCCCCTGATCATATCGCCCACATGCTGTATATCCATGACCGAATCGGCCGATCGGTGTCTAGCATCACCACACCCGTCAGCGTGGCCTTCCTATCCGCTGCCGCCGTGGACGCAACCCCCCACGCACCCATTGATCAGGTCGTGCACCCGCTCCAGGACCTCGTCATGGCGAGCTTCGATTTCGGCTTCATCTTCGTAGTCGGTGCCGGGGAGTAAGTGCTCGACGAGCTGGGTGAGCGCGGAGTCGACGCGGTCATCGTGCGAGTGATCCATGGGGAGGAGTGTGGTGGTGGTTCGCTTGTTGTTTTGCTGGGCCCCACGGTATGTTCGTGTCGCGTTGATCGGTTCTCACGTGGGGGGACGTGTTATGGTGTTTGCATCCATGTCCGATGCGCCAAGCCGATGCGATCATCGTGGAGCACTCGCGATTGTTCTAAGGTGTGGCTTCCAATTCGGCGTTTCGGGAGGTTCCGACGATTCCAAGAGCCTTGGAGTCTTGGAACCTTCTAGCCATGCTGTCGAAGTTGAACCAAGCTTGAACCGGATGCGATAGGTATTGAAGTTGAATGGCACGCTTAAACGCCATGCGGTTTGCTCCACGGTTGATGACTACCCTGTCTCGACCGTAAGAGGAATTTCTTAGTTGGTCCTGATATCGAAAGCCTTGATACTGGTATCGGAGGAGACGTAGTCTGAACTTGAGCTTAAGTCGACAAATTCCCTCCACCGTTATCCATGGTCCATTACGAACGCTCACCATCCCCGTCGTATCACAAGCTAAAGGCGGGACGATGCCGGTACTGCGTGCGCGAGTAGGTAAATTAAGCCTTTGCATTAAGTGGAGGTCCAATGGAAGGGACAATTCGATCGGCGTATGGTATATTCGGCGGGCGATATGGGTACTCTAGAGTATACCTGCTCTATGGTTCTTCCTCGGAACGGGCCCTTAGGAGTTTTGGCGGTTTCCATAGAGTACCGAGTACCGCATGTACGTCTTTCCCACTTCACGGCTGTTGAAGACGAACCCTCAAGGACTGACCATCCGGCTCCATTTTTCCTTTTAGATTTGCTTAGACAATTGATCTGACCGAGCGTAATAAAAAAAAGTCAAATCCCCGCGCCTCTTCAAAGTTCAGAATACGGTATCTAGTATTAACTTTCTCGTGCCCCATTCCCCTGGACAAGTCTCCTCGGAGGAACCATCGGAACGGAGTACCATACCCAGTTCCCACATGTACTCCCCACTTTCCACCACCCCCCACTCGCAGCAAATTGTAATTCGGCCTGCCAGCGCCGTGATCGTATTCATGCCATATCACTCGCTGATGGACACCAGTGATCATGCGCTGAGACCTGGATGTCGATCTCTCGCCCCCATCCCTTCCCCCCCCCGCTTTTTGAGGACCCATCCAAGCTGGCAGGCTCAAGGCCTGGAACACAGGCCCGTTGACCTATCGGAACGTACTTCTGCTTCTGCTTCAGCTTCTGCGTCCACGTCTTGAGCATGAAGGAAGGGCAGTGGGTAATTCCCTTACCGGCCGACACGGCACGACACGGCGTGGACAACATCGTGCGATGAACTGTAATTTTTAGTCACAGTTGTAACGGCAACCATGGCAGAACTCAAAGGCCCGAAGGCTACCGTACCTACTCCACTCCACTCTAGATGTGCGAACTTCCGGAACCGATCTCCTTCAACCTAAATACAAAAAGCAATACCGGTACCTGGCTTTGGGTTCGACCTTCGAAAGGTTACCTACATAAGCATAATCTACCTACTCTACCAAGGCAGGAGCTCCCCGTACCCCCCAACCCGTAACCCCAACCCGTAACCCCAACCCGTAACCCGTAGGTAACCCGTTAGCCGACGGAGCTGACCTCCAACTCAACGATCGATCTCTGTGATCTATCTCTTCCGTGGGATTTCCGTGGGTGGGATGGATGGATGGATGGATGGATGCAACATTAGGATTGACAAGGTCCGATTATTCGACGATTCGACGAGGCCATTTGCACACCACACCAGCCTCCAGGTGCCGGTATGGTATGCAGAGTAGAGTATACAGGCTCGTTGCTTGCTTCCTTCCTTTTGCCACCTCACCTCAGAGAAGAAGAAGACGAGCGAAAAAAAGAAAAAAAGAATTATGTGGGAAAAGAAGCTGATCAATACCATACCCGCTCACGAGGATTAGCTTCGTAGGTACGGAATTCCGTACTCCACACACACCTCCTCTGCCTCCTCTGCCTCTTCTGCCGCCGCCGCCACGCTACTACATAGAGAGTCACGCTCTGCTCGCTTTCTGCCTTACCGGGAGGCAGTGGTGTGGCAGTGGGGTGGAAGTGGGGGGGGGAAGGGGAGGGGGTGCGCATTGAATTACTTACCTTGTATGCATAGTTGCAGCGGAGCGAGAGGCGAGAGGCGAGAGGCGAGAGAGGCGAGAGAGATGTGTGATGTGTGTTGTGCGTGTTTTGCGGCTTGCCCGCAGATCAGACCACTTGGCGTTGAATTTTCCAAAAATCGTCACGGATGGTTTTGGGGATATGTACGGTATGCAGAGTACTTGGAATGGATACCAGTATCGGGTCTTGGCTGTCCGTTTCCTGCAGCAACGCCGCTCGCGGCTCCACTTGTTTGTCTGTCTGTCGGCCGCGCTTTCTAGAAGGGAGTTCAAGAGATCTCTCGCAATTGAAAAGTTCCGCCGGGATACATATGTGTCTAGGTAGTTGGTGATGACTGCCGGACTAGGTACGGTACGGTATGCATAACTACCGGTATTCGTAGGCGTTATCTGGCCGCAGTATCCACCGTACTACTGCTACTACTACTACTGTTCTCTAGGTATGTATACCGGGGCATCGCAGTGGCCTGTAGGATTACCGGCAACTCATGGTCGGGACGGTATCTGCAGGGACCACATGAATCCACGAGTCCAGACTCCAAACTCCAGACTCCAGGAGAGCTGGAACGAGAGATACCGGTACCGGTGGATAGGAATCCACTACCGTCTGGACCGCACACGCACACTCACCGTGCCCCACATGAAGCGCGCGCAGCAACACGAGCAGTTGTCTGCACTGCAGATATAAACACGTACATAAAACTGACGTCGTCGTCATCGGTTGTGGATCAAACCCCCCCTCCCCGGTCCCCCCTTAGAGAGGACCCGAGTGTGAGAGCGACGTTGAGAGATGTTGAATGCCGAGCCTAATTCCCACGGATCTCTATGTACCGGTATCGTACCTGCGTGGCCGATCAAGTCGACTGTTGGCTGTATGGATCCGGCAGCCCGCTCGCCCGACGGAATCTCTCCGCACTTGGCGCCATCTGCCACTGCTGCCGCGCACATACGTAACGCAAGTGCCGACAGCGGCAGCGGCATACGTATCGCGGTGCGGTGTGGTGTGTAGCCGCGTCCCCGCAGTTACGTACCCGGGCGGCGGAGGCGGGGACGGAGCGGAGGCGGGGACGTACCGTATCTACTCTAGCGCTCCCGTGGCCGCGTCACAGTCGCAGTCGACGTTGGAACTTGGGATTCCCGGTGCAACCGTACATATCATACCATGCATACAGAAAATACGAGAGTGAAAGTACAAGAGTCTCGCAGGTTCGCAGCTGATGCGTCCTGCGCCGACAAGACCAGACCGTTCCATTTCTCTTCTGCCCCGCCCGGGAAGCTCTTCTCGGTACCGTACTGTACGTACCGGCATGGTTTCGAGTTAACTGCGCTTCGTGTTGAACTCTAGAGTAGGTACATGCCCTTGGGGATCCAGAACGTTAACTGTCCATCGATCCATCGGCAACTCTAACGCTCCAGTGTTGTCGGCAGGCAGGCAGGCAGGCAGGTCGCCTCTCGACTCCGGCTCTCCGAGGACACAGGAGCCTGATTTGCGCCTGCTGCCTGCGGGGACATCCCGTCCGAACTTTCGACACAATAGGGTGCCGGTCGCGCACGCCGCACGCCGCACGATAGTGAATATTCGAGCCGACAACCTCTCTTTTCTCTCTTTCTCTCTTTCTCTCTTCTCTCTTTTCTCTCTTTCTTTGGTTGGACCTGCCCGTATCCAACCATTCCTGTTGGAGGTGGGAGGTGATTTTACATATTTCGCTTCGGGCTAGGTCGGTAGTTAGACACTTGAGTTCAGGATTTATGTAGCGGTATTCGGGGCAGGGTGGGCGAGAGAGACAGAGAGAGAGAAGGTCAGGCACCTGGAGGTCCGTGGTTCACTCGAACAATCGCATTGCTCTCATAAGCGACCAGCGCGCGATTGGACGGCCAACAAGGACTAGAGTTTTCTTGCCGGATGAAGACGTCATCCTACAGCCATCGTCTAGCCGGTTGGGGCAGCAGGACTTGACAGCGACCCCCGGCGACAACGGTGGCCAGCCTGATCAGTTGCGAGAACCTCCATACGGCCACAGGCCACACAACACAGGGGGCTAATCCGCTGCTAGAGTACGAGTATGCAAATAATTGTGGCCCACCTCTCCCCCCCCCCCATGGTCGGCTAGGCCTTGGGCCTAGAAGAAGGCACTCCACCGACCCCCTCCCACCCACCCCCCGGGCCGTTCAAATTCTCCTTCCAGCACAGTTGCATCATTTCTCTTCCCTCGTACGTCACATCCTTCGGTTTCCACACTGTCGACCTTCCCCCGATCTTCCACCCACCACTACCTTACCACGCTTCACCCATCGCCTTCGGCTTCTCTGTCGCCTTCTCCCCCCTCTGCCGCTCCTACCACTGCTTCTCGCGCAACACAGACCGAGAGGTTCATATTACTTCTTCCTTGCCGCCGATACACATAATTAAGGCCACGCTCCCGGCGTTCTCTGCCCATCTGCCAAAAAGGCCCCGGAGTTGTGTCTCGCAGCTGCTGCTGCTTCGTGTCCGGGGTGTGCATCGCTTAGAAACTGCCACCCCACTGCTGGCTGGCTCTGGCTCTTGCTGTTCTCTGGCTGGCCCCTTCTCTCCCGGTGGGTTTGACCTGGCTGCTGGTGTTGCTGCTGCTCCTGCTGCTGGCCATTTTCCCGCTCGTTCCTATTGCTAGTGGTCGGTGTATCAATCGTACTTTGTGCCTTTTTCTGCCCTCCCTCCTCCAGCTCCCCCGAATCTCTCCTCACCCAACACCAACAATCCCCACCACCACCACCTTCTGCTTCGGAGGAGACCAGATATCAATTCGCTGCAAAATTTCATTGGCCCCTTCTTCGCTCCGCTTCGACTTGCGTGCTCGTTTAGCCTTCGCTTTCCGAGAGAAGGCGAAACCGAAACGGAAGGAAAAAAAAGACGCGCTCGCCCAGAAATTGCATCAGTCATCCGTATCAGCCTTTCCCTAACCACTCGCCGATTGCCGACGAAACCCAAGAGAAAAAAAGGGAGGACGAGACACAACTTAACTGACCCAACACCCCATCCATCCACTACGTCACTCCTCCCCCGATTCAACACCACGCACATTCCCCCACCACCCACCCCCCCCCATCTACCGCACACCCACCCACCCAAACCCGCCCCCCTTTCCCACCGCCGCTTCCCCGACGGAACCTGCAGACCTAGAGCCTCCTCTGATTTACGCCACATCCATATTGGATTCCCGGCCGCCTCAGTATCTCGAAGAGGTCAAGGATTTCGAGAAAGAGAGAGAGAAAGAGTCGACTCTCTTTTCCGCTTTCACCGCTCATCAGCGCCTACCACGCCTGATCTTGCCGACAGCCGACCGTGCGTGCTGCTGCCGTTACGTCTCGCGATAAAAAAAAGCGAATTGGTAATTTCCCGCTCCTGCAAATGGTCCAACGTGTCGCTCGTCAGTAGAGTGTCGGTCAGTCCGTCGGTGTCGTCGAGTGTGTTGCGTTGGTGCTGCTGGAGAGAAATCTCATCTTACTCGCTCGCCTCGAGTGGTTGATGAATCCACAGCAACACCACCTACGTGCGCTCTGCCCGCGTGCCCACCACCCCCCTCCCCCCAATACCAATCCCCCCCTCTGTCCCAGTCCCCTTTGCCACCCCATTCTGCCCTTCCGAGAGTCGTTGCTAGTGGCGATCGTACTTCTCCCCACCCCCCTCCGACAGATCCCCCACCAGGGGAATGACAGAGAGAAAGAGAGAGAGAAAGAGAGAGAGAAAGAGGTTGGTCTCGAGTGCTGACAGTCTGTTGTTGGTTCACGTGTAGATAGGCCGGCTCGTCGCACGTCGATTTCTTTTGCCCGCCTCCCGCCCGGACCCGTCGCCGCCGCCCCCCAGAGTAGTCATCCCATCTCCCCCCGTTAACGCTTTGCGACTGGCGTCCCCTCGCTTTTCTGTTGCAACAGAGTTCCAGCCGCCGTAGTCCCTACCCACACCTTCCTTCATCAACACTCGTCATACCTCCCCAGCGCGCCGTCATACCTTCAACATCCTAGCTATGTCAGCGGCGGTGTCGGCCATGCAACAACAGCAACATCAGCCCGGAGGTGTGTCGAATCCAGCTTCGAGGATGGGAACCAACTCACCCGTCGAGAACAAGAGGCATCCCATCAAGATCGAAGGTATGCTCTTACCCTCCAGTCCAACAGCAGCATCCTCCTTCCCATTCGGCTGGCTCCTTTCTCCCTCTACCTATATTTGCGCTCTCATGTCGCGCTGCGCAACACGCATGCTGGCCGATTTATATCTGCCCATCGTTATGCGACACAGTCGATGCCGTTGGGACTTTTTGATACCTCTCGCATGAAGCATATTTTTTGGGGTGCGAAGCTGGCAACGTTTCGCCTCGTTGACGATCCTCCTCGCATCTATCCACCTTGACCGTTGCCGTGGCTCTGTCGGGCGGACTTGAAGAATCCGACTCTGATAACTACTCTTCTTTAGACTCGCGCCCGTCGATTCCACCCGTTCAGCCACCACCGCCAGCAGCAGCAGCAGCAACAGCAGCAGCAGCAGGCGCGTTGCAGCCTCCTTCGGGACAGCAGCCCGAGTCGAAGCCCGATGGAGGCCAGCAGGATTCCCAGAAAAACACCCAACCGCAGGGCGATGTACAACTCGTCAATACCCCCGACTACTTTTCATTACCGCGTCCGAGCCGGCTTGATCAAGAACCAAATCCGTTTGAGCAGTCCTTTGCCTCTGGCGGCAACTCGAACGGTGCCGATCCGCTAGCTACCAAAGCGATTCTGCCACCAGTCACAGCTATGACGTCTCCTGCTCTTGGCGGTTCCGGCAGCTACAACTGGGGTCCCAATTCACTCCGTTCGGGACCTCTATCACCTGCAATGCTCCAGGGTCCTACAAATCCTCTGGGATTCGAAACTCTCCGTACAGGTCTCACCCCAAACGAGTCGGGCATCCGAAGTGGTCTTACGCCAGGCGGATCTGGCTCTATGTTCCCAGCAGCATCGCCCTCAACATCACAATTTTTATTTGGAGGTTCGACACCAGGTACAATGGAGTTTCAAAAGACGGCTCTATCAGCTGCGCGAAAATCCACACACTCACAACCTTCCTTACTTCCTCCGCACACCGAGCTAAAATCCGAAGATAACCATCACCACGATCAATCGAAGCCACGACAAACCTCCGACTCGTACGGCGTCGACCCCGCGCACAATGCGGCCAATGGGCTATACCTTTTGGCCCAGATGGGCGCCCCACCCAATGCCTACCAGTCTCCGCATATGACGTCTGGTATCCCTCCGAACGCTACTAATAGCATGGACTCGAGCCTCGCGAAGAGAGCCGCCATGAACAGCGCGTCTTCAGCTGCAAGCCGCGCTGCTTCCCAGAATCCTGTGGTATCGAATGGCGTGAGAGCTGTCAGTGAGATGAGCCCTCAGCGCAGCGACTCGAGCGAAGAGCCCGAGTCCGGGCGCAAGGGTGGCAGGAACTCGAGAGGAAAGACAATGGGTGCTAGCACGAGCAAGCGAAAGATCGACACCGGCTCCGATGGCGGTAAGAGTGCTAAGAAGGCGAAGAGCACTCAGGCCATGAGTGACGATGGAGAAATGGAGGACTATGATGATGATGGACAGAACGACCTTAGAAAGGATGGAAAGAAGATGACTGAAGAGGAGAAGCGCAAGAACTTCTTAGAAAGGAATCGGTATGTTCAATTCGATCCCCCAGATCTCGCAATCCAAAAAAAAAGAATAGCAGCTGTGGCAGCACCCATCCTGGAAGACAATGACGATGATGACTAATGACGTCATGCAACGATAATAGTGTTGCCGCACTCAAGTGTCGTCAAAGAAAGAAGCAATGGCTTGCGAACCTCCAAGCCAAAGTCGAAATGTACGGCACTGAGAACGACGCCCTCAATGCCACCGTTCAGTCACTACGAGAGGAGATCGTCTCTCTCAAAACGTTACTGCTTGCCCATAAGGATTGCCCGGTTGCCCGTGCCAACGGTGTGCAGCTCGACATAGCGACCCTAGCGGCTGGAAGCGGAGACTACGGCCACGTTGGAATGATGCAGCCGTACCAGAGCATGATGAGCGGTGTGATGCGTCAGCAGCAACAACAGGAGCGGCGATTCTCGTAGCCCCACGCCCTCATCCTCGCTCCCTCCCATCCCGCCCTCCGCCCTCCTCCGCTATGTACCTCCAACCCTTTTTTTTCTTTTCCACGGCGGGCCCCTTGGATTGTGCAGCAAGTGACGAATTTTACGACTTGAAACGTGGCATTTTTAAAAATTGGGGGGGGGGGGGGGGGGGGTCAACGGTGTTATTGAGTGCTTGACTTTGCTTTTTTTTCTCTTTTTTTCTTTCTTTCTTTCGTTTTTTTTTCTTCTTTTCCAAGTCACTATCCAGTGGGTTGGTCTGGTTGGCCAGTAAGGTGGGATGGATGGATGGATGGATGGATTGGATGGATGGATGGATTGGATGGATAGCTGGATAAGATAGGATAGCTGGAGCGGGGGATGGTTGGTCGGTGGAAGTACCTTACCTACGGTAGTTGGCTGGCTTGCACGCTGTTTGCTTAGAAAACTTCTTACATCTTATCGTTGATAACAGAATTTTTTAGTGGGAACTCTTTTTCTTTTTCTTTTTATTCTTTTCATTTTCGTTCGTTTTTGCAATTCTTATTATTGTTGCGTTTTTCATCCCCCTTGTTTTTTTTGTCGCTTTTTTGTTGCTTTGTTTTTTCTTTTATCTTTGTCTTTGCAGAATCATCCCCCTTGCATGTCTTCACTGGATCACAACCGAATCCGAATCTTCGCCGGGAAGAACATGCAAGTGCGCGTCTCGCCTTAAGTGTGGTGGGAGCAGTAAGAGGAGGAGAATGCGGGGGAGGAGGAGGAGGAGGATATGGTGGTGGTGGTGGAGGAGAGCTCTTGTCAATACGTCGTCGTCTGGACGGAGAATTGGGGGAAGAAGAGGAGGATGACGGGGACGGGAACCGGGAGGGGGGGAGTGTTTTATTTGTCCGGCCATGGCGCAACGGGTATATAGCGCCACAGTGTTCTGTTCTGTTCTTTTTTTTTCTTTCCATTTCATTTTCTTTGTTGGCTTTGAATGAAGCTCAGTTGTTGCTTGCTTGCTGGTTATTGGTGGGTTGGTTAGTTGGGCGGATGGGTTGGATGGGTTGGGGGTTTTCTTTTCGTCTATCTGGAGGTTGGTGCTGGAGCTGAGTGATGTGCGGTGTGGATGGGAAGATGGATGGATGGATGGATGGAGGCTGTGTATTTACTTCACTTTTTATTATTTACTTGGCTTCACAATGCGCGGGTTTCCTTCTTCAGCGAGAATGGCAAGTTGCACCAGAACAGAGCATTTATCACATAGCATCTCATCTACTCCCTCCCTTCCCTTCACTTCCCTTCCCTTCCCTTCCCTTCCCTTCCCTTCCCTTCCCTTCCCTTCCCTTCCCTTCCCTTCCCTTCCCTCCTTTCCTTCCCCCACCTATGAAGGTAAGTACTACCTCTTCCGCCGTTTCCTCTCGCCCTCGCCCTCGCCAAAGTCAAAGACGTAACCACCCGGGCCCTCATTGCCACGCTTCATTTCGACGGTGCGCTTAACCTCCTCATTCCTGATCTCGGGAAAAGTCTGTACCATCTCGGGCTTACACGCTGCAGGCTGCTCGCGCGTGAAGTAGGCATGTCTCAGGGCGCGCGGCGCGGATGGGCGCATGTCGGGATCGTAGGTGAGGAGCTCGTTGACCAGGTTGATGCACTCGCGCTTCTGGCCGTGCAGCTTCTTTTCCAGAAGGTTGACGGTGTTGCGCGGCAGCGGCGGCGGCGTGTGGTTCGGTGGGAGCCCGGGGAGCGACGGCATGCGCGGCCAGATTCGCACGCTGGGCGCGCCCAGGAGAGAGCAGATTAGGTGCCATTGCTGCAGCTCGGTTTCGCCGGGGAGCAGCGGCGCGGAGGTCAGCAGCTCGCCCATTATGCAGCCGGCGGCCCAGAGGTCCACCGAGCTTGTGTAACGCGTGGCCGACAGGAGCAGCTCCGGACTGCGGTACCACACCGTTACTACGCCTGGGGTGAGCGGCCGCGAGGACCATTCCCTGGCGAGGCCGAAGTCGGCTGGGAAGGTTAGCTAGGCGGAGGGGAGAGGAGGAGGGACAAACCGAGTTTGAGGATGCCGGTGCGCGTCAGGAGGAGGTTGGACATTTTGATGTCGCTGGTGGTGGTGATATTAGTGGGTACCACTAACCATGTTGAACGGGGGTTGTGTACGAACCGGTGGATTATGTCGTGACGATGGAGATATTCCATTCCTTCGAGGAGTTGCTTCATGAGGCACTTGACTGTCCGTCCACCCTCTCGTCGGTACATCATCCAAGCAAAATAGCTAGGACAGGTAGGGACAGAGCACATACCCTCACTTTCCGAAAACCTCACTTTCGCATGGTCCAGCAAATTCGCCAAGTCCTTAACACCTAACAGCGGGCAAGGAAAGCCAGCGACGATGCGTCCCAGTTCTTTCCACAACCCACACGTCCTCCCGGGGTACCCACCTGCTCCGCATACTCCTCGACCATATAGACGTCATCCAGATCCTTCGTGCTGACCGCCACGTCCAGGACACTGATGATGTTCGTGTGCCGTAGCGACTTGAGAATCGAAATCTCGCGAAGCGCCGTGATCGGGATCCCGTTGCCGCGGTCGGAATCGAAGATGCGGACTTGCTTGAGCGCGACGATGCGGTTGGTGAGACTGTCGAGGGAGCGGTGGACGACACCGTAGGCTGTGAATTGTCAACACCTGTGAGAGCAGAAAGGGTGTGGAGAGACGGCTACTTACTCCCTTCACCCAACCGGTTCAGTTTCTCAAAGTCGGCGATGTCGCGGCATTTTCCTAGTATTCGCCCGGTAAATCAAAAGCTATTCCATTTCTCGCATTTCTCGGAGATCCGTACCAAGCACCGTCTGTGCCTCCAAAAGCCCCGGCAGCGACTTTCCAGAGACCGAAAGGAATTGCGGAACTTGGGGCTGCGGCTGCGAGGTGTGGTCCGACATCTTGTTGCTGGTGGTGCTGGTGGTGGTGGAGTTAGAGTAAGGTGTCGTTCGTGGTTTGGGTTTTGCGTGTCGAGTAGTTAGAGTATATAGAGCTACGGTATGTAACGGCACGCGTTGTGCCAAGTCATGCAGGCTGCAACCAACGGCTCGGGTTTCTTTTTGGGCCTGGGAGCGCATGCGCAGAAGCGCGTATAGTTACATAAGCTGACAACTCAACTTGTGGGCCGAGTGTGTGTTATCACCATATCAATGAGAAGCTTCCTCGTCCATTGTAAACCCCTTTAACCCAATCTCTCATTCCCGTCATAAACACCGCCGATCTTGGATTACCTAGGGCAAATATCCTCCACTAAACGCCCGTGCAGCGTTATACCGGTATCCATACCAGCTGCCCATCAGAAACCCCGACGTATGTAGCATACCTGCCTCATATACATCAGCAGCTGCCAGTTTGACGGTATTGATCGCAGGAGCTTAAAAGTTAACGGAGTATCGTCACCACAAATCCACTTGACTATGGTTGCGTAACATCTACGCTGCGAAACCCAGTATTATTGTGCTGATTCAGTCTCTTCGTATTCCTATTCAAACAGGCTTCCATAACTGTAACTTTCTTCACGAGCAGCAGAAGGTTACTTTGTGGCCCGAACAGCTGCCGGCTGGAGACGATGCAGTCTCCAGGGCTCTATTGTACCACAGACAACGCCAACGACATGTTGAGGGGGATCACCGAAGTGGCGAAGCCCAAATAGGGTATAAAGCCGCACCTGTAGAAAAGTGAGCGAGTCTCAGGGAACTATACTGCCAAGGGCTGCGTTGGTGATGTATGAGCTTTCGTAACCCCGAGTCTGGCCAGTGTGCAGAACCGCAGGAACCAGATAGAGTATGATACCACCGGTCTGCGCACCCCATTCAAAATACCCCACCGTCCCACCCGCCCTGCCTACATACAAGCACCCATCTCACCCCATCGACGCAGGAACACCACTCACGCGAGACATTTCTACATTTCTCGTCTACGAATCACTTCGCATCACTCGAGTGATCGGCCGAGAGAGAGCGAACTTTCAACTCCCCGTTAGTTAACTAGCGCGCCTCAGGGTGCGGCTGAGAAAAAAAAACTGGCGGTTTTTTTTATTTCTTTGCCCGCGCGATACCCAACTTTCTCCCCACACAGTTCTCTACACCCCTCACCGCCCCGAGACAGAGACAGGCACAGGCACAAAGGAATCGACCCAGCACTCACACACACACTCACAGACACGCATAGGATATGGCCGAGGATACAGTGATGAATATCACTGCCGAGAAGAAGGTTTCGAGGAAGCGGAAGCTGGAGGACGACGATGTCGTTGAGGAGGAGCCGAAGAAGGTGAAGAGGAGTAAGAAGGAGAAGAAGGAAAAGAAGGAAAAGAAGGAAAAGAAGGAAAAGAAGGAAAAGAAGGAAAAGAAGGAGAAGAGGAAGAACGAAGATACCCAAGAGCAGGACCAGGACCAGCGCCAGGACGCAGACGAAAAGACCGTGAAGAAGGCCAAGAAGGAGAAGAGAGATAAAACCGACAAGAAGGAAAAGAAAGAAAAGAAGGACAAGAAAAGCAAGAAGAGCAAATCCTCCACCAGCACCGATCCTTCCGCCACCAGCACCACCGCCATCACCGCCGGCGATCCCACCACATCCACCACTCCCACTCCCACCATCCTCGCCACCCCTGAGCCCACTTCCACCAACCTTCCCACCCCCCTCCCATCACCGACCAAATCCCTCCTCAAAAAGAAACTCGCCGCGGCCGCATCCCCGATGCCCACTCCGCCCACATCATCGCGCCGGAAATCCGTAACCTTCGCGCCCGACGTCAAGGCCACCGACGGCGACAGCATAAAGCAGCTATACCTTGCGCTGGACCCGTTCGGCAAGAACCGCACGCGGGGCGGGATTACGCCCGCGAAGGCGACTCTTACCGCCGCTACTGCTACTGCTACTGCCACTCCCGCACCCGCACCTATCGCCGAGGAGCCGGCGGCGGAGGCGGCCGAGGCGGAGAAAGAGAAAGAGAACATCGCGCCCGCGCCCTCTCCCGCCGCCGCCGCCGCCGCCACCACCACTACTCCCACTAGCACACCCCCCACCGCCCCCGCCTCGGCCCCCAGCGCGAAATCTAAATCCAAACCCAAACACGGCGGCTCGAACAGCAACGGCTCCATCTTGCCTTATTTACACTACCTCAGCAACTTCCACCTGCACCGATCACTCTGGAAGTTCGAGAAGTCAAAGCAGAACTGGGTGCTCCGGAACGCCCTGGACGTTGCCATGATCCCCGCCAGCAGCGATGCCGCGCTCGCCGCGTATGTAGCCGGCCTCCAGGGCGTGGGTGCGAGGGATAGACTGCTGGTTGAGGTTAAGAAGATACTTAATGAAGCTGGGGTGGGCGAGGCGGCGAAGAGGGAGGGCGTGGTTAGGGCGAAATTGGTGGCGAAGGCGCTGGGAAGGAGGGATTTGGCGGGCGATGAGAGTGATGATGAGGCGGAGGTGGAGAAAGTGGAGGCGGAGGTGCCGGCGAAGGCGAACGTTGTGGAGAGCAGTGAGGACAGCAGCAGCAGTGAGGATAGTGACTCGGATAGCGATTGAGTCTGGATTGGCGAAGGAGGGAAGGCTAGTTAGGATCGGAGTTTCGTTCTGTACAGTGTTGATGATTCCACATATTGGAATTGGGGCTGTGAATATTGCTCGCACTTTAATCTGCGTCATGTGTTTACCCAGCTAGTTGTGGTCACTTCATTTCAATCACCGGGCATGGTACATAGAGCACAAAAGCGAATAGTTCATTACAATCACAATCCGTCATTCGCATGCAGTCATTGAAGAAACAAAAACCACTACAGCAGCGTGCAGTCCATCGATTTCCTCGCCGTTTTCTAAACCTGTGGCTCACAAGCGGCATAATGCAAGTAGGCACCGAGCAGCTTAGTTCCCTCGATGTAGTTCCTCTTATCGAGTTTTTCATTGATGGAGTGGGCGCCGTCGGTCGAGCTTCCCATGGGCAGGAGCAGTACGTTCTTCCCAGTGGCCTGCTCGAACGTGAGGGTGACCGGAATACTGCCACCCTCGCGCGTGAAATCGGGCTCGGTGTTGAAAACGCTCTGCACGGCCTTGCTGGCGGCAGAGAAGTTCCAGTGCTTGGGCGAAGCGACCCACCACTTTCCGGCGTGCATGAGCTCGCGCTTGATGGTGTTGTTACTGCCGAGCTTGGCCCACTCCCGGTCGAGGTGCGCGAATACCAGGTCGTCAACATCCGACAGCTCCATGTTGGGCACTGTGCGGATCGAGAATTTGCCCGAGACCGACGCTGGGATAACGGTCTTTGCTCCCGTGCCGGAGAATGCACCTTCTATTCCGTGGATGGAGAGGGAGGGGTAGCGCCATCTTTGCATGGTTAGCCTTTGAACACTTGCAGAGGAAGGAGGTAAAGTACCTGGCCATGAGGATTTGCTCGGTGTTGTCATAGATGGTGGTCTTGGAGCCAAGGGACTCATAGATATCGTCCATGGTGAAAGCGATGCCGGGAAACAACGCCTTCTCCTCCTCGGTGAGCGGAGCAACAAGCTTGTCGAGTCCGTCGATCAAGATCTTGCCCTTGTTGTCAACCAGTGTGCCCAGGAGACTGACAAGATCCGTCATCGGCTCGGTGACAGTTCCACCAAAGACTCCCGAATGAAGGTCTGCACCAGGCCCGGAGATGTTAATCTTGTAGTAGGAGCAGCCGCGAAGGCCGTATGTGAGACAGGGCTTCTCGGTTCCGAGCCAGCTGGGAAATCGTTAATGGTGGGAAGAGCGGGAGCGAAGGGGGAGCGATTACTAGTTGTCGGATATGCACACGGCATCGGCCTCCTTGAAAAACTTGCTGGCCTCCTCTTTGATCAGATCGTCGAGCCCCTCGGATCCGTACTCCTCCATACCCTCGAAGCACATTAACAGGTTCACCGGGAAATCGATGCCAGCCCTGTACCCGAGTCAGAACATTGCTGTATGGAAAGGGCCTCCTCTATCAAGACTCACTTCTGATGCGCCTCGATCGCATTAATCCATCCCAGCCTAATAAACACTCATTAGCACACACATTCACTCCGTTAAACAGGATATCACTCACACAGGGCCTTTGTCATCGGTACTCCCCCGTCCAAACATGCGTCCGGTCTTCTCGTCAACGCTCAACACAAACGGCTCAGTATTCCATCCGTCCTCTTTCAGCGCTGGCTGCACGTCGTAGTGACCGTACACGAGGATAGTCCTCTTCTTGGGATCGCTACCGTATCGGCCCAAGATGACGGGAGGAAGGTCCAGATGCGGAATGTCGGGCTGCTTTCCGAGCTCGCGGAGCTCAACGGTTGCGCCCAGAGCCTTCAGTTCCTTCTCGAGGAACTTGCCCATGCGGACAACCTCCGGGCGGAGCTCGGGGTCGGCTGAGACAGACGGGATGGCGACAGCGTCAGCAAGACCTGCGGGGAGGAGTCAGGTGGAATGCATCTAGATGTGTGGATGGGTTGTCTACGCTTGATGAAGGATTCGGCCATGTCATCTACCCTGTACTACGTTAGGCCTCAGTTCTGCACGCAGAGGCTGGAAACTTACTGCTTGAAGAAGCCATCGAGTTGAGGAGCCATCTTCGATGATCGATTGGTGACTATGTAGTTTCTGAAATGTTGCTTCGCGATGAACGGTCGTTTGTGGGTTGGTAGTGCTGGGCAGAACGAGGAATATAGTGCTCGCACTGGAGAAGGTTTGATGGAGATCTGGGTGCGAAGAGGAGAGAGAGGGAAACAGAGACGCATGGGGAGCTTGGTGGGGCAGCGTAACACGCGCAGCACCTAGGAGGGGTTGCCTACGCCTTGGCGCTTTTGTGGTGGACGCTTATCACCGGCTCCGGCCGTTTCCAAAGTGGGAATTTCTGCATCCGCTACAGCCCATGTATGGTACATGTAATGGTCACGGATATCTACATGCGATTCCGCAGTCAAACAGTGCGGTTTGAGGTTCATGTTGGAAGTATTGTACTGTACAGCCGTTCGAACTTCGAAGGAACCCCTCCAAACCTTCCCCGCCGCGTGGACGTCCCGCCCCCTTACAGACCGTCGGCACCACCCCATCCAGCCCGCCGCCTCTGCCTGTCCTCTCTAGCCGTGGACCTCTTGGTACCCCATCTGTTCTTGACTCCCTCATCCCTCGCCTTCATCTGCTTGATCCTACCCTCGGTCGCCTGGCAGACCATTCCAATGAACAGCGTTGAGCAATCGAACTGCTTCGCCAAAGCAGTCCTGTTATTCTTCACGGGATCTACCGCCCTAAGCCTTCTGATCTCCGCGAAATCCTCTTCAGTCAGATGATAGGTTTTCTCGTACGGCTGTCGCACTGGTGGCGGGAGGTTCGCGGCGGCATCGGCGGCAGCGGCGGGCTTCGGGGCAGCAGCGAGAAGTTCGCGTCTTGAATCGTCCTTCGGCAGGAATATCGTCGGGGTGATGAGAGGCGTGGGCGCCGACGAGGGGGGGTTGTAGATGACGTGCGAGGTTCGTGGGGAGTCGGCGGTGAGCTTCATCGAGGGGTGGGGGTGCAGCCGGAGCTTTTTGGTGTGTCGTCGCGACGAGGATTCATGGCGGACGAAGCTCTTCTGGAGGCTTGTGGTCGGCCGGGAGAGAGATTGGCGCAGGGCGCGTGTGAAGGAGTTCATGGTGCGTTGCGTGCCCGCGACTGTTTGGGATGGCGGATTGAGCGGTGGAGAGGCTCAGTTGAAGAAAAATGGTGAGTGATGCGCGGCTTGGCGTGGCGGGGCTCGGTAGGGAGACTCATGGTGGATCACTCATCGCGGGCCGGGATCACTGTGACGCCGGACACGGTGCAGGGGATTCGGACTCTACTCTAATGTCTACTCGGAAGAAAAGAAGCCTTTACTCCAGCCAGCCAAGCCCGGCGGCTGTCTCCCGAAGCGGAGGCAGATCTTTATCGTGCACTTTCCGGCGCTATCAATTTTGTGGTATGTAGGCACATCCTCGTACGGCGATGTCGACAGATAACGTCGCGCGATTCATTGTCGCTCGCGAGTGAGTGGAGCTTCCTATTCAAAGAAGCAAACCCTCTATCTGCGGCAATCAACAATCGACAAGCAAGGCTGGCTGCGTCCTGCCCACCCTCCACCACCACAACCACCACAACCGTCCCCTCTGGGAGTACCCACCCGAATGCTGCGATTCCGAACCTCAACCTCGATATGCGGCATCCTCCGGCCCCGCCCCGATCCGCAGTTCCTGTTGCTTTCCTGCACCTCTCGGAACGGTCGTCCGTTTCCTCACGTGAAGTGGTCTACGAATCAAGTAGGACGCTGCGGGCCTCGCATGCTTTGCTTCTTGCCGCTTGATTGATACAGGCCGGACACCCACTACCCCCACCCCCACCACCACCTCTACCACCACCTCTACCATAACTGCCCTCTCCGCTTTTCCTCCCGCCTCTGATCTACATCTACGCCTTTACAACGAAAATCAGCTTCGAATATAACCTACGAAAAGTCAAGAAAGACAACCCGTCGGCATTCATCGCAATGACTCGGGCGCTGGTATATGCGTCCTCACTGGCCGCATTCGTCGCGGGTACGTAACGAACGTCATGGGTACCTTGCTTGATTTAGCCCCGCAACTCCCGCAAGCCCCAGGGCAGACGGCGACGGCCCGTCCAACGAACGACGCCACTACTCTTCAACCAAAGTGCTGACATTGTCCGTTCACTGTCCAGCATCGGCTCTCACTCTAGTGTCGATTATCATTCCGCGGTGGATATCCTATCGCGACACATTCGTACGGACCCATCCCGCACCGCACCCCTTCCTCTCCACCACTGACATCCGCACCTAGGTCGACGGTACACCCATAACGTATACCTACGGCCTCCACCGGCGCTGTTCGAGCACAACAGGAAAATGCACGCACTTCCCGACGTATGAAGACTGCCACGGCAGCGACCGCTACTTCTGCAGTATGTGGCGGTCCGTGGGCTTCCTGATGTCCCTCGCGGTCGTGCTCGAGGGCGTAGTGATCATTGCGTTTATCGTTGTCCTCCTCGGCGGCCGCGCTACGAGGGAGAGGGGCTGGAAGCTCATGAGCTTTTTCTTACTCCTCGTCGGTATGTAACTACGTCCTCAACTTCGGCCTTAACGACCCTTCCAAAGCTGACACTCAATAGCGGTCCTCCAGTGCACGTCAATGTCCCTGGTCGCTTACCTCTACGACTGGGACGATAGATTCTTTGTCGGGTGGAAGCTGGATATCAGCTGGATTCTTACCACCGTCTCGTGGTGCATGGCCCTGACTTTGTCGGCGTGTCTGGCGCTCAGCGCGATGCTGTTGCCGCCGGAGGAGGGGTACGAGCTTATCAAGTGATGACGGTGGGGTTATGTGCTATGATGTTGATGATTGAGAATTTGTGGTGTTTGCTGCCGCCTGATTGCTTGCTTGCTTGGTAATTGGTCATTTGGTCATTTTTTTATTGATTATTTGGCTGTTTTGTTATTTGGTTATTTATGCCGCGGTGTGATCACTGATGGGTCGTAATCGGAATCGGAATTGGAAATCTCATGAGACACGCTCGGATAGCTATAGAGGGTGCAATGCACGGCATGGCAGGTACGGGTGATGTCATTAGCAGCCGAGAGTACTATGTAGTAGTGCTTACATTGATGTTCGCGGGTGTGAATCTGCTCGCTCATCCCCACTAAAGCCGATTACTGCAAAATCTTTATTGGCGAGTGGTGAACCTACAGGTAGCAGGTAGCAAGCGCGGTGGTTAGACACTCACGAGTCACGAGCTATCACTCAACCGCGCGTGAGATTCGCCAAAAAAGGCCATCAACCTTGGTCAAGAATCGATGCAACGGAGTGCCTAGTCGAGGAATGGGAGTCGCGATTGTTGCTGGTGGGTTGATGCCTGCGCGGCGACGCGGCGACCATGGCAGATCGCTCGGAGTTGTCAACGGTCGTCATGGGTGATGATCATGTGAGATCACTCGCATATCACGAACATCGCCACGGTCTACTACATCTGCAGTCACTAGTACATGGTCTAGTAAGGCCGTATGTGACAGTGAATTGATGTTCTATCCCTCTCTGTAATCACCAGTAGGTACATATGACACTAGAGGGGTTGGCCGGTTCGGATTTCATCGGTAAAGTTTTCCAGGTCTAGCTACGGTAAGGGTACTATCGCCGCGGTTTTTTCTAAACCTTTTCCTAACCTCATCCTACTCTCGTCCGTGCCCGTGTCTGTGCCCGGTTAGGTAGTCAAAGTAAAGGATACTCTTCGCAACTTCCAGCAGCCGTTCCGCGTTAACGTTCCGGAGAAAGCCGATGCCGGCTGACCAACCGGTCCCGAACGCGCATGAATCGGCCATGGCTTCGAACATTAAACATTCTGCTCGGGGTCTTCTGGCTTGCTGAATATCAGACTGAGAGCGGGCCGTTGCAGCCTTACAGGATCCCATATGGCTGGTGTGTGGTCGGTTCGGCGAACCCACGCTCGGCTTAGGAGAGTAATTGAGTACCTGGACAATGGATTAAATTTGATATCAAATAAAAATCTACAAACGATATCACAACACATGAAAGTCTCCCCAGTGCAGCCGTTGCGTCTCATGCTCCAGTTCCTTCTTCGCCCAAAGCTCCCCCATCCTCCGCACCCCCCTCAACCGCCGCCAGTAAATCTTCATACTCCGGAAACCACAGCCTACACCCTCTTTCCACATACCTCCTGAGCGGGTTCCTCGCGAGGACCATAGCCGCATACTCCCTATTCCCCGCGTTCTCCGCGAGCGCATTCGCCAAGAACGCCCAAACGACGACATCCACGAGCGCCGGTTTCCTCGTGGCGAGCAGCCAGTGTGCGCCCTGCTCCTCAGCCCATGCCAACTTCGCCTCCACAGCATCCACATACTCCTTCATCAGCACCTCGATCTCGCCGTCACTATGCCTTCCAATCCCGGCGGTCCACAGCGCACTAGTGATATTCCACCTGAGCCACCACGCCAGCACGCCGCGCAGCATCGCAGGCATCGGCAATCCCGCCGCCACCACGGCAAAATTATGGTCGCGCGCCCAGCGCGTGTGGACTACCGCGAGGTAGACGAGCTCCTCAGTCCACGCTATGTACGCGCGGGAGTCAGCGCGCTGATGCGGCGCCAGCACCGCGTCTTCGGCGTCGATGTCGCGGACTATGCCCGTGGCGAGGAGGTGCTGCACGATGAAGTGCGAGTCAGAGTGCGTGGAAACACCCGAGGCGGTCGTCAAAGTTATGTACGGAAGCTTCTTTTTGGGCGCCGAGGACGTCGTCGATGAGGATGCGTGCACGTAGTTCGTGAACCCTGACGCCCGCAGAAACGTCTCCAGCTTGTGGCAGTACCCTGATAAGCTCGGCGCGTTGGCGGACTTGGGGAAGCCGTGGAGCGTTATGTGCGGTAGCGAGGTAGGTGGGGAGGCGCTCATTGTGGTGATCTAGATTCCTAGTGCTTTGGAGAATTGGATCCTGGATGCAATAGTGAAGCCGTTGGGAATGCGATACCTACATGCTTTATAATAATCCCGTGCTCGTCGAGTTGCCCGATAGCGCCATGGGACCACGCGGTGCTCACGATGATATGTAATGGACCCCGCACTCGGATGAATTCAGTTCCAGAGGTGACTCAGACAGAGGTTGGGGGAGCTGAGCGATTCGTTGCAATATGCTCAATTGTGCTCGTATGGATCTGCATTCACTAGGGTGTCGTGGTGACAGCTGCAGCCATTCTCGGTACGGCTTCTTGGCCCCGGTAAGTTGTCTCAATGTCCCGGAATCTCGTGTAGTTCGCCGCAACTAATACGAGAAAATAGTCTCCTGAACGCCAAAGTTGTCTATTTCACGGCGGCCGGCTTATTAATCATGGTATCCACCCACTATATGAGTGCGCCTTACGGCAATGAGGAGTATAATGTCCGACTTAAAGGTGCTGCGGTGATGTAGGCATCGAGTCGATAGTACTGGTAGTAGGGACGCGATAGGTCTTGAAGAAAGTCGCCGAGCTTAGCAAGCAAATCGTTGAAGATAATTTCGCCGTGGTTAAAACCTGAGGTGCTACACCTACGGTTGTTGTCGGAGCCTAGCGGCTAGATGATTCTACCGCCGAAAGTCGAGGCTGTGGACCAGGATGCCGGGCCGAGTGGCGATGAGGACGATAGTGAGGATGAGGAGATGGGAGATGCACTATTTTTTCCTGCTGTTGCGGTGAGGTAGAAAGAGGAGCCGGAGGTTGATAACGAAGGGTTTGGGACGGTGCGAAGGAGGAAGAAGTAATAGGTAGCAGTAACGGAGCTGTGATCTAAATTTTGCTGCGAATAGAAACTGGTGTTTCTATGGATGTTATTCAGGATAAACAAAAAACAACTTGAATAGAGATCTACTTAGGCGGGTGTAGCCTTGTAGGTGTTTGCGATACCTATTCGCTTCAGAAACTCGAGCTACCGAGATCCCAAGGACCCTGCATCAGGCATCACTCGACATGGAATTCTAGTACCATGCAAAACCAGATTCTCATCTTTCTGACCACTACGGACGTAGGAAGGCGAGTCCCACCATTGGGCATGAAAGAGAGGTGACAAACACCGAGTCAGACGTCGTATAGCCGACCAACGGGTCAGAGGAAACTGGAGCCAGGGCGGAGACTATGAGACGGACCGAACAATGGCAAGAAGAGAGAGACATCGAGAAGGAGAGACGGGAGGAGGAAACGCTTTTCTAACCCCCCACCCTTCAGCCAGGCATCGACGACCAGCCCACAAATCCTAAGCTCGCCAGGCCCACCGATAGACTAAAACGCGGCAAGAGCCAGCCTGGCACTGACTCTCCCGAGAAAGAAGGAAGAGGAACGAGAGACTCTAGAACCTGAAACGGCGGAGAGAGACGAGAAACTAGGCAGACATGTTGGTGGCAGCGAGTTGCCGGAGGAGGCTGGATAGGGCTGGATTATGTGGGTACTTCTCCTTCATGTAATTTCCTCTATGCAGGCAGCACATGAAGGGGTGAGCGGAGAGCGATAGATAGGGATTCCACATCGAGTCCTGTGGCCAGCGGTCGGAGACTTGTTCCATCAGCCATGATTTAATAAGGTCGGATGCAAAGATGATCCAACAGAAAAACAAAAAAGTCAAATTCCAATCTAACACCAAGTGCGGTCCGCGGATGATGCCGGTACTTTACTAGATGTGGGAGCACACTCTTTAGGTGCTGTCCCCAGCGGAAAGGCCAGCGAAAAATCCTGCGGGTGTAAGCGTGGAAGGAGGCGGGGAGGGCGAAGGCCGATTCAAGATCCGGGACCACTTCGCGGACGAGCGGTGCAGCCCAGCGATCCTGGACTTCCTGGCTACCACTGGGGCATGGGCAGACGGGATTGGAGGTAGCTGAGGAAGACGTAGCCAGTGAGGTAGGTAGAAACTCCGAGCCAGTGAGTAGGAAGAAAGAAGAGAGGAGACGGGGGGACGAGATTGAAGAGCGGGGAAACCCAACTAGATATCCCCCACGCCCTCCTTCATAATATCCCCCGAAGAACGGGCGGGGGATTAGGGGACGAGGCGCAGATGCGGGCTCTCCCGTTTCCTTTGCAATTTCTTTGGTGCGCAGTACACTTTTGTGGATGGTCATGGCGGAGGGTAGAGGGAGCCACAACAAACCGGCTGGAGACGGATCGAGGTTGGGGTGGGATATGCAGAAATGGGGCAGAGAAATCATGACGAAATTGAGTGAGAATCAGGTGATCGGAATCTTCAGAAACTGCAGAACAGGGCACATACATAAGCCCTCATCAATAGTGCAACCGCTCCGCTTTTTTCCTGGCCCCTTTCTACTGCGCAATACCTAGATCCTAGAAAGTTTCAGCCTCCAGAAATCCTCATTTCGAGCAAGTAAAGAATAGTTATGCATACCTGTTACCAAGAAAATAGCCCCCGTGACGTGCAGCTCAAGCCTCACAGATTGAAGCCTGCACCCGCAGTGCGCACACGGGTCCCCTGAACCTTGAAGTGCATCAAAGAAATACGTGCATCTTCTAATAGTAGTTCTCCGGTTGCCGTTATGTGTATCTAGAGTATATGTATACACTTCCACCAGATGTGGTCTCGAAATTTGACGTGAGGATTTACCCCCGCTTAACTACTTTTCAGCCGTGGGGATTGGTGATAACTAGACTTTACTGGGCCGCAGAGTCGCAGACGAGTGAAAAAAGCTTTTGGAAGCTAAGGCGCTACGTTGTGTCTAGAAACGCTCGTCACCAATCTGGCCGGCCCCTTCTCCGGGTGACATGATGCGATAGATTTCCACAATTTTCAGGGGAAGGGGCGATAACTCCAGGGGGTATGGGCTTGCTGCTGGTAGGCCTTGTGCTACCTACAAGGCTGGCGATGCTAATGAAAATAAGCTCCTCGCTTGTCTCTACTTTACCCCTGTGCGGGTATGTAACAATGTGAATCGAACCACAGCCAAGGGATTCTAGCTGGGAAACATGGAACTTGAAGACTTCACGTTGCGACTTTCGGCCACGACATTAGTGTGATCGAGGTGGAGAGCTCAGAGGTCAGTTCACCACCGCCATACCGTAGTTTCGACTGGCGGCTATTGGACGTTTGTTGCGTTTTGTCTGACCTTCCACTGACTACGGCGGCCCGAATGCTAACATATCGGACGGTTATGGCCGGCGAAATCCGAATGTTTGGTTCCAGAATAGTCGAAGGCGCCCAAGTCGGCTTTCCCATGGCGCTTCCCCATCGACCTACATATGTAACACCCCCTCCCCTATGCCAATTCCGCTGACCGTGCCTGAGTTGTGTGTACCTGCATGCTCGAGTTCGTCAGTGCAGTCGTCTTAGCACTGGTCAATGACTGCCCCTCCCAAAGGCCGCTAGCTCGCCAAGTAGCCCAGCCGCCATCTCGCTAGCGAACCAAAGAAAACGCCAGCAGCACCACCGATTCGCCATACGATACGTCAAAAGTGCGCAGGAACTTCTGATGTCTCACCCCTTATTCAAGCCACAAAATCGCACGGCCAGTGCCATGGCCCATACATAAAACCTATCCTTCGTCCCTCCCAGTGAATGCTCTCATCTAGCACCACTGTCCGTCGTCATTCATTTTTGGTCACCGTCACTCATTCCGGTCACCATCTGTCACTCTTTTTTGTTTCTTCATTCGGAATTTCCGTCACACATTCGCTTTTTTCCATCCGCTATTTCGCCATGAAGTTCACCGTGCTCGCTTCCCTGGCCCTTGCGGCTGCCGCTGTTGCTGACGCGGCTGCCGCTCCCCAAAGGAACGGTTGGTGTCCAGTGTAAGCCCTTCTTTTCTCCATAATGTAAAACAAAACCAGCAACTAACTCCACTTGGAAACCAGCTCGACTAGATGGGTTGTTACGACCAGGAGGGTCTTCAGAACCAGAACTGTAACCAGTACTAGGACCGTCGTCCCTTCGACGAGGATCATCACGATCCGACCCAGCCCGGCCACCCGTACCAGTACCACAACTGAGAGTATCACTCTTGATCGCCTTACGGAGACGGTGACCACCGTCCAGACTTTCACCCCGGTGCCGGTCACTGTCATCGAGACCGAGACTTCTACTTCTACTCTGGCGCCGATTACTGTCCGCGAGACCGAGACTTTGACTTCGACTCCGGCGGCTGTCACTGTCAAGGAGACAACGACTTTGACCCCCGACGCGACCACCGTCACCGTCACGGACCGCCTCACACAAACGGTAACAACCCCCTAGCCTCTAGTATGACGCCCAACTAACAACATGCAGGTCAACAGTGCTGGCGTCTGCACCCCAGGACCAGTTGTCCCCACCACCTGCACGCGCACCTCCCCCGCCGGCAACGGCGGATTCGAGATCCAGGACGACAGCGACCCCTGGGAGGAGATCAACTTCAACGGTGGAGCCGGCGGTAATGTCCTCGACACCTCATCGACGAACCCGTCCCACAGCGGCACCTCGCACTTCCGCGTCCGCATCCCCCGCGCTGCCCCCGGTACATCTTTCTACACGTTCGGGCAGACCATGCAAGTCTGCCCCGGCTCCAAATACGATCTGTCCGCGTTCACCCGTCGCCCGAATTTCATCAGCGGGTGTATCGCCACTTTCACCATTGGCGGACAGCAGGTTGCGCAGAGCGCCAGTACCATAGAGACCACCTGGTTGGAGACCCGTGGTACTTGGACCGCTACTGCGGCCCGCGTCAGAATGGTCGTCAGGGTCGTCTGCTCGGGCTCCGTCCCCGCCGGCCAGCATAGGGATTTGATGTTTGATGATATCAAGCTGACTCTCTCTGGCACTGGCACGCCTGCGCCCCCGACTGTCCCTGCGCCGCCAACAGCCCCCGCGCCCCCGACTACTCCCCCAACCACCCCTGCACCCCCAACCACTCCCCCGACTGGCCCTGCACCCCCGACTGTCCCCGCACCCCCGACTGTCCCCGCACCCCCGACCGTCCCCGCCGGGGATGACGCCGAGGATGTTGAGGATGAGGAAGTTGAGGCACCGCACATTGAGGATGCCGAGGTGGAGGATGAGTTTGAGGGGCAGAATTGATCGCGAGGTTTTGTGCTTTGTTTCTCGTGTCTGTTAACCCATGTATCTGCGGTAGTTATGTAGTCTAATCATAAAATGATAATTAATTGTTGTGCAAATATTAGTGATTGATTGAGAGCGTGCTAGATACGGATTCAACCTTGGAAATGTGATGTGAGGTAGGATCTGGAATGGGTGCTGAACTTTGAAGCGAACATCGAGGAGGAAGCCAGCAGGCTTCGTGGCGACATGGTCCGATGAGAATCATTGCCGATGCATGGGGTATCACTCTTCTCTTCGACCCGCACACTCGCGAAGAAATTGCCGCATGATCGGACACGAGTGGGGTTGCGCTGGGAGGTGGTTGAGCGGGAGGTTGAGCGGGAGGTTGAGCGGGCGGGCGGTTGAGCTGAGAGGGCTGGGCGGGGGTTATGCCGCGAGGGCTGGGCGGCGAGCATTAGGGAACCGGTATCGAGCTCGTGGCCGTTCAGCGGTCCGGGAGAGCCGGGTGAAAAAGGATACGTAATCTGCCATGATCTACCAAGGTCGAATATACATGGGAGATTCTGCTGATGAAGTGTTGCAGTCAGCCAAGGAACTCTACCTACTCAAGTGCTAGTCGGAGTGCAGCCTGAAGGCGGAACGAGGCTGCACCTACATACTTCAAAGACGTAAACAAACACCTCTGTCAGGCTCAGCCTAGAAAAACTTTCACGCCATAAGCTGCGGGGCGGGACAAGGTCGAGTCAAACAAGAAATTGCTTTGGCACTATTCATCACTCTAACTTTAACCCGGGTTCTAGATCATGATTTATGGCAGTCACCAAAACCTCCCTTTCACGCGGCACCCACTAATCGTCATTTGGAATAGGCCCAAGTGCACTCAGGGATGGAGGAGCTGTCGGCGAGAGGAGGAAGTCGTCGGGGGATACCTGTCGGCGGGAGAAAACGAATGTGGTTAGTAGTGGGCATCAACGTTGGTGGGAATCAAAGTTGGCGGGCATGGCGGGGTCGTCTTCTTCTTCCTCTTCTTCTTTCTCGATCATCATCTAGGTATCGAATAGACGGCCAACCCCCAATTTCCTCTCTCTCCTCTATATACCAACCGCGCCTTGCTAGTTTTTTTTTTGATCATATCCTCCTCACATTCCCCACAGACTCCAGAGTCCCCTCTAAGCATACGAGAATCAGCATCGACACCCAACAGCCATGAAAACTCCCTTTCATCTGTCGACTACTCATCCTATCGGTGATGTTCCTGAAGACCTTCCGGCTCAGACTATCGATCCGATTACTGCGGTCGTTTCGGAGGCCCCATTTTCCGATGTCGAAGCACAGAATCTTGGCCCGAAATCCTTTGCTCGACGTGCTTGGAGTAGTTTCTAGATTTGGTTTGAAAAAAGAGTGGCAAGCCCGGTAGGTTGGTGGCCATTCGATCCACCGGAGTACACGTGCATTGGGGACTCCACGGCTCAGGCACACGGGACGCCTCCTCCTCCCATCCGGGGCCTCGAAATACCTTCGGTTTCAACGGGCAATGCGGCGTCTCCGCACATGCCATCGGTAGGATCGGCGTCCCCCATCACTGCAGTTTCCCTTGAGAGTTCGCCCGCACGTCCATCCGACGACGCCGCCCAACATCGGCTTGAGGAAGGGCTTACTACAGCATCCGATATGGACATAGTCGGCGAGCCACGATACATCTTGCTGTGTTTCGATGTGAGCAAGCTTCGGATCCATGGCCGGTTCACGACCGATTGTCATCTACACCAAGTCCCAATCATGGAGCCAACTTCTGATCGAGAAGTCTTTGATTTGTTCCGAACAGAATACTATAGCAGGGCCAGTCGGCTTAGCCGTAGCCTATCTCCGAAGACACTAGCTCATATCACGTTTGTGAAGGCGAGCACAATCCTCACTTCTTGGGAATTTGAGAAAATATTTTTTAGAGTTGACCTGTGGCTTTTCTAGTTCAACGTTTACGATGGAGATTACGTCAACATCATTCGACCAGCGCTTCCCGAAGATCAACAACGGTACATCTTCAAGAATGGGGAGGCCGGAACACAGCCGTTGAGCGATACACTCCTCGTTCGCCACTTTCATTCTCGAAAAATGGGTCGAACAAGTCAAATTTTCGAATACATACCGAGAAGGCTCCTTTGAATTGACTCTGCCGGCCAGGGGCCGGACTCAGTGGTTCGGAATATGGATTGCATTTTGTCGAAGGATTGAACGTCTTTGGTGTTCTCATCGTGTTTGTGTTTGGAATGGTTGCCAGTATTGTCTCGGGCATCGTTGTTGGAGTGGTTTCGAAGAACTTTGGCATAGGTGTCGCTGTGGGTGCCATATTCTTGTGGGCAGCTGTGGTGTTCACATCGTTGGTGAGCATGGCTTAATGTTATGGCATATCTAGTGCGAATAGGCACTTGGTATGGGAGTTGTATGCGCGCCATGGTTGAAGTTGGTGGAGCCGTGTGGCGGTGTGGAAGTCTGTGTTATTGGATGGGCGGAAGGGTTGTTTATATTTGACGGGAGAAATCGGCGGATTTGAGTCATAAGCTCGCTCAGGTTGCGCGATCGGGAAAATGCATGTACTACTGATGGATGAAGTGGGTGATTGATTCACGGGTGCGATGGGTTTGTGAATTATGTACTTGTAGTAGTGATGTACGCCGTAGTCGTACACGCGAAGATAGGGAGGAAGGAGGACACCCGTCGGCGGGAGAAGACGAATGTGGTTAGCAGTGGGCATCAAAGTTTGGTGGGAATTAAGGTTGGCGGGCCTGGCAGGGTCGTCGTCTTCTTCTTTCTCGATCATCATCTATCGAACAGACAGCCAACCTTCCATTTCCTCTCTCCTCTCTGTGTGCTTCCTTTCTCCTCACATTGTCAAAAAGCCCTCGGAAAAGCACTCACAATTGATGCGTCTGGTTTGATGGATGCCAAACGATCGTCGCGAGTGGCTTGTCCTATTCGATAGCAGTCAATGCAGATGATACTATCGGCCGACATCCGAATCGGACGACGCATCGAGAAATACAGCTGTACAATTGCCGCAAAGACTACAACTGCGACTTTTCCGTGGGGAACTGCCCGCGTTGCCGCATTGAGTGCACCTGTCTCAGCTGCGACTTTGCGGAGCTGTCACATTTGATGGCCGCATTGAGCGCCGAATTTAATGGACACGACCAGTGCCGCGATGACTGCAACAGCACCAAGTTGCAAAGTCGCACCCTGCCGCATCAAGTGCACAACTGATAGGCTGATGGCTGATATTCTTCTTTAGTTTGCGCTTCTAAGGGTGTTTTCGGATGATACCTATCTGTCTCAGAAGTAGTCGTTCGGAAGGCCTCATTGGAGGTTTCAGCCTCGTCCCGAGTCCCGACTCAACCGTGGCGACACCCGGCCAATGGACTTTCTCCAAGATTCGGATGTACGTCAAGAAGCACCTAGCCTCACGGCCGAGGGATATGGTTACATATGCCCCATCGGTGGCCAAAGCGGAGACCTGTTTTGCCCATGCACAAGCCATAGACTGATCACCGCAGCGGTGAAACCATCACCACTCTCATTGAAGCACCGAAGAGGATGATCTACCTGATCGTCCTTCCAGTGTTTGATGTAATCTAACCAGACCTCTTACAGAATCCTGCAGAATGACTACCTATTGATAGAGAGCCGCATAAACTCAGCTGAAGGCCTCCACCACCATACAAATCGTCCCTGTCCGCCGGTTCTTCCTTTATCGTTTCCTCCCTCCCTCCCACCCCGTATGTACTCTCTTTGAGCATACGGAAAGCAAAACCGACACGTCGCAGCTATGGATCACATCCACCGGTTCACGTCTGATCCTGGCAAACCTCCTGCGGACGGGCCCATGATAGACGCGGGCGACATAGAACCTCTCAGCCTTGGAACGACGAGAACCCGTCTCGGCACGATTCTTGACGAAATGAAGTACACGGAAGACAGAGAATTTGATCGAGTCAGGGAACGATTACGGACGATCCTCCACAGGATGTCACGGGATGATATGCCACTGAACGACCTCCTCAGCTTCTGTGATCATGTTCGCAGGCTGGAGGCAGACTACCGGAGTTGCGAGGCTTCGCAGGTCCAACCAGGCGGTTGGGTCAAGAGAAAACACAGGTCGAAAAAGGCCCCGAAACGGCTCTTGAAGACGATGCAGACCCTCGCAGAGCACTTGGAACATATGTTCCCTGATTCCCTGAAGCTCAACCTGGACGACAGGAAAAGCCTCGGTGACGTCGTGGCCAAAGTTTCGGAGACGGTGGTGGATTGCAACCCGCCAGCGGAGCGCATTGCGAAGGCAGCCCAACCCATCGAGGACGAGAGAGGGGCGAAGACGGTGACTGCCCACAAAGATCTTGAGCCCGGGGAGCCTCGAGAGAAGTCGGCCGTGTCGGTGGAGGAAAAACCCCAGCTGCGAGAGGTGATGACGCCCGATGGTAACTTGTAAACTATGCCTCGAAAATCCTTCCTACTGTCTCCCTGCCCTCACAAATACGTCCTACCCTCGCTACTTGGTGGTTACTATGATACATTAAATCGATTGACTAACGCATACATCTAGACTGAATGGTGGACGACAAGTTCTGAAGCGGCAGAATCTTCGGAAGAGGAACATTTGCGATCGTGGCTCGACGATTCAACTGACTCGGGGGAGGAGCAATTGCAATCGTGGTTCGATAATTCATGTGACTCGGAGACACCGCCCACGACCTGCAATGCGGCCACCGAGGTTGAGCTTGCACCACTACCTGCAACCAGCGATGAAGCCGTCGAGGTTGAATCTCTAGTGCCGCCAACCCGCAATGAAGATTTGAGTTCGGGGATATATCGCAGAATGTTGACGACTGATGGCGAGTGGATTAAAGGGAAAACTCAGCTGCAGGGGTATGAAGATATAGAGAATCACCAAAGACCAGCGACGAAAGCATACGATCCGGACAATTTAGAAATGGAGGATGCAGATAACTACCCGCAGACATTTTTCGCTGAGGAGGAAAGCACCATTGGTAGCTTTGCGAAGATGAAGCTCGAGACTGCTCGCAAAGACCTGCGGACTCGGTTGGGCCGAGAGGGCCGGGAGGTGATGATGATGCCGGAGGAAGAACGATTGCCTGCAGAGGTGATATTACCCCCAGAAAACCCGCCTAAATAATGCCCCACAGAAGTTTCCATATGTTTCCGTGTGCATGCTACGGACCCGAAATTCCGCAAAGACAGCCCTGCAACTGACTATCGACCATATATACCCATCTTTGCTAACGCGAGTACCTAGAATTCGTGCTGTGCAACCAGTTCTGGAGAGACAGCTGGGCTTGGACACACCTTGCTTCCAACGAGGAACGACGATACCGCCAAGATTGAAACCCAACTCCAACGCTCCCTGTCAGATGTATCGCAGAAACATAACCATGAGAGAGTCCAGGGCACGACCAGTCCGGAATCTAGCGGTGGCGTTTCAATCGACCGACACGTTTCATTCAAGATTGTGGATCGAAGCATCGGGATTGTTGCAGAGGTCAACCTTTCCGACGTCGAAACCCAAAATCCTCATCCCCCGTCTTGTGCTCGACGTACATGGATTAGATGTCAGCATGTGCTGGAAAAAGGACTACCGCTCCCAGTGGCTTGGTGGCCGTTCGATCCGCCAGAGCTTACATATAACGGAGATTCTGTGGCCCAATCCCAAAGGATACCGCTTCAATTGCCTTTGGATGCAATGGCCGATGCGGTGTCTTCAGAGACGACATCGGAAGGATGGTCATCTTCCGCTACTGGAATTGCCGGCCAGACTCCTTCCATTACGAGTGAGTCCGATGGGATCTCCAAAGCCGCACAGGATAAGGAGACTAGGACTTCACCCGATACTACAAACGTAAACCACGAGTCGCAATACATCTTACTGTGCTTTGATGTCAGTAAGCTTCGGTTGCGGGACGGTTTTCGGCATGAGTGTCTACTGCGGCAGATTCAAATCACGGACCCAACTTCTGATCGACAAATCTTTGATTCGTTTCGGAAAGAATTCTATAGCATCACTGGTAGCATCAGGCGTTGCATATCTTTGAGGATGCTGGCTCGTATCGAATTCGTGAAGGTAAGCCTTACCCCATCTCTCCCGGTCCTAACAATACCCTAGAGTCCACATGACTTCACCATCCTAGCTCTCGGTAGCGTATGGGGTTTTCTAAAGGCCGCATTTTCATTAGAGCAAATCATAGTTCTCATCGACACGCCGGGGGAATTTCCTATTAGGGATTCCGAAAAGGAGAGTAACCCTTAAACTAACCTATGGTTTATCTACTACCTAGTTCGAGATATCCGACGGCGATCACATCGAAATCACCGCCCCAGCGCTTCTAGAAAGCCAAGAGCACTACGTTTTCCGGGAAGATGCCGCTGCCGCAAGATCACAGCCATTAAGCGGCACATCCATGCTTCGATATTTCCATTCTCGAGAGAGCCGGGGTCAACTCGGCACCGATTTCGGGTATATACCGAGGAGGCGAGCCCGTCTTCGACTCGACGCACCGGGGAGCCAGGGGCCGGAGTGGGGATTGTATTTCGTTGAAGGGTTGAGTTTCTTGGGTATCTTGGTTGTCGTGGCGTTGGGAATCACTACGGGTATCGTCGCCGGTGTTGCTGTGTCTGTGGGTTATAAGGATTGTGGTCTCGGCGCTATTTGGGGCGCGGTTTCTGCCGTGAGCGTCGCGGTTATGGTGGTGGTCGTGGCATTCGCGAGCATGGTTTGATGGAATGCTCTGCCAGAATCTTTCACCAGGGTGGCATGAGAGGGTAGGAGTTTCGGAAGGAAGTAGTGCTAGAGGGGAGTGGGGGGTTGAGGAGTTGGATCGTGTCTTGATACGCTCGGGTTTCTAGCTTGAGAAGATAATACTAATAGTAGTCATACCAATTCCGAGTGTTCTGTAACAGTAGGGGAAGCAAGAATCGAACCTTGACAGTCAAAACCACAGCCCTGAGTCCTGTGCAATGAAGATCTCGAATACCTAGCTAATCTAGCAACCACGGCCCATCACAGGAACGAAGCACGAGTCACATCCCGTGCACCATACCTAAGTAGGTCCAAAAATTCCGAGAAAACCCCCCAAAACCCCCCAAAACCTTCCGATACCCTCAGCTCCCAGCTGGCTCAGATCGTATAGGTAGCTGAGTGTTGCTGCCGGTCACAAGTATTTAATGTACTCATGTACTACCGTCCTCCTCGCACATGTGCCTCGTCTCGAGCATCACTGTGCGCAGTGCGTCGTGAGCGTGCACGTGCAGGAAATCACATTGTCCGTTCCTGCGGTTGAACTCAAGCCCTCGATGGCGTCATACATAGATATCGAGACAAAGCTCTGCGACGACGGGGGCGGCTTGGACCGTGGCACTGGGCCCAGTGAGCATAGGTACAGTTTCTGCCGCATTCGGAAGGGCGTTGTGGGGAAGTTGCCCTTCATTCCTACTTAGGAGGAATGTAGTGGGTACATTGGGTACATATCAACCGTCAATGGAGAAAAGTACTACCGGTAACATGTGTGTACGTCCTTTATGGTCTCGCTTGCGCTGGATATGAGGAGGATCAAACAGAACAGTAGTCCATCTGCTGACTAGGGGATCCCCCGGTGCCCACGGATACGGTACACTACGATTTCATGCTGGCGGACAGCGCTTGGAAAAGACTCCCCTCCCCCAAGTGGACTTCATCAACATCTACTCTACATGCCTAGGTGGATGCTGAAGAAATGTGCGTCGCCACAGCTAGCCTGGCAAACTCAAAAGCCAGGACACGTAATGTGGGAGAAGATATATATGACACGCAATGGCCATTCGCAATGTGGGAAGAGAAAGCTCGAGGATTGGAAGACAGGTGTTGTTCTGTATAGCACTGCATGCATCTCTGGTTTTTGTCGTATATAAACCGTGCGCCCACGTTGTCCGCTCTTTTTACATCTCTAGATACCAAGCAGACAGTCAATTCAATTCCTTGCTCTCTCTCTCTCTCTCTAGCAAGCCTTCCGTACGTACGATCCGAACTTCCGCACCGCCCAACCTACAGATGCTAATACCTAGAGTTTCCATGTACGGCCAAACATAATCGTTTCATGGACTCGGCGGTAGTTAAGTCGGGTTTTGGCGTTTCGCTACGTTTAGCGAGCATCGAACGATCGTCAACAGGCATACCGCATCTATGTAGTGCCCGGGATATATACCAGGCAGCAGGGTAGCTACCCCGCACTCTCTTAACACCAGCATTTATGCGACTTGAAGCCTAACTAGCGACTGCTTGGGATGCTGTCTGCTGCATACCTACTATGTATAGGGATCGGAACTTGAGATTTCCTGGGGAATCTCCCGGAGGAGATCAGAGTAATGATGGCGGCTGCCGATATCACACCCGCCCGCGGGCGCACATAGGTAGCATTGCCTCACGTTGCTGATGTGGGTATGTAGAAATCCGTGCGCAGTGCATGCATCCGAGAACGGAGAAAACCAAGGCAGACCTCAAGTCTGAAGTTTAGATAAAGTATGCTCGGCACTTCTTGTATGATTCGCTGTCTCCAGTCTTACTGAATAATGTGGGACTGACAACACGGGTGCGGATCAGCTGCCTACGCGATGGTTGGTGGCCAACATTAACGTTTGCTTTTTTCCCGGCAGCTGCGCACAGCGGCGAGTGCTCAGTCAGAAAAGCGCGCACTGCCTCGTAAACGCAGTGACTCGCTCGTTTTCTTCGTGGAGTAAAGAGGCATATGTAAAGCCCGAGTACCCTGGTTGTCGCGTCGTGGAGACTCATGTCGCATTCCTCCAAACCCACCGGATCCAGCGATGTCAGCACTCTCGACAGCCAGCACCCACCTCCTCTGGGAGGCGGCCGAATGCGTTTACCAGGAAGAACCGGATGAAGACCACCCAAGCCTCTCCTGGTGCAGCGAATGCAAGGCGGTGTACTGCGAGGACTGCTGGAGGGTGCAACCGCTCCACCGCCGGAGGAAACCCACGGCCGAACAACACGAGAAAACGGAGCTGGGCGTCGCAAAGCTCATCCATGATATACTGCGGCCCGAGGAGGATCTGGTCAATCAGACCGAGCGGCATATCGAGAATATTTCGACAAAGTGGTTCGGAGTCACGGCCGATGAGAGCGGGAAGCGGATGTTGCAGGACTTCAAGCGGTTCGATGATCTCGCGTTCAGTAAGGAGACTGCAGCACGGAAGCAGTATCCGTGCATTGTCACTTTCGTGGGTGCTACGGGAGCCGGGAAGAGCACATTGATCAACGCTCTGATGAAGGTGCGAAATAGGCGATAACCACTCTAGCCTCTGCTGCCGAGGAGCATTTCCTGTTGACTGACCGCCATATCGCATAGTTGAAACACTCCTCCGAGGTCACGCCCGTAGTTGGAGCCAACCTTCATATTCCAACGAGCGGCGATGTCCATCTGTTTCCCGATCCTGAAACGTACCGCTCGAAGCGGCCGATCTACTACGCCGACTGCGAAGGACTACAGGGCGGGAACCGCAAGCCCATGGAAAGCGACATTCAGGACGGATCCGCAGTGCAGCCATACCATTACCCGCAAACGTCACGATCATCAACTCCTATGCAGCGCCTGCGGGGTGTTTTGTCGTCGGCTGCGCTACCGAGTGGCAGCGAGCCTTCGCGGAAGACAAAAAACAACACTCCGGCGATTTACGAAAGCCGGCAAACGCAGGTCGCGCCGGCTGTATGGTCGTCGCCGATGCAGCAGCGTAAGATGATGTACGCACAGCGCTCACAACAGTATGAGATCAAGTGGGCGGACGGGAAGGTGACGAGAGAGAACCTGGTCGCAACACTTTATCCGCGAGTCCTATTCACTTTCTCGGACATTGTCGTCTTCGTGTCGAAGGAGCTCCGGTACATACTATGATCATGAGTTTCCTTCTCCAAAGACCACATCGGAGCTGACACCGATAGAACACTCGAAAACCACATCCAAACCCTCATCGATTGGGCAGAGGGTGCCTTCGAACAATCCGTCAACCAGCCCACCCTTCCCCACGTTGTAGTGGCGGTCAACGCGCTAGAAAACCAGGCATGATACTACTATTTAAGTCCGAATTTTGGGCGAGAATGCACTCACTGACAAAAGTTACTAGAACAATACCACCCATTCTCTCAACTGGTGGGACACTGACATAGCAACAGCAAAGGTGCTTGGTGACCTCAGCGCAGCAATCCACGAGCCCGGGTCATTGAGGCGGCTGGCGGAGCAGTGGAAGGAAAGGGGGAAGGCGATTAACTCACTCGGAGACCTTCTTTCATGCTATTTCAGCAGCGTGAAAATCGTCTGTATTCCGCGCTCCGACAGGCCGCCGCATCTCATCTACACTCAGTACGACAGCTTGTACAGGGAGATCAAGCAAGCGGCATGGGACTCCCGGAAACGGCGGGAGCAGTCTGGCATGTTGTTCTCGAGCTCCGAGCTGCAGCAATATCTTCGGGCGTCCTTTGAGCATTTCTGCACGCATGCAAACAGGCCGTTCAATTTTTTGAGGGCTGCCGCCCGGAAGAATCGAGTCGGGAAGACTTTCGAAGATCACATCATCGAGGCGGCCACTTTGTTCATGGAGAAAGAGCCGCATTTGGAAGGAGAACAGTTGTCCGTGGAGCTCTCTCGCCTGGTGGCATCCAGCATGTTGCTGAATGCGACAAGATTACTTCTTCCGGGTCGTTGTGAGTGCTACTACCTTTTGCTTGAATTACCGTTACTATCTAACCAATAGACACAGTTCATATGGAGTCCGTCTTCCTTCGCTACAAGAAGATCTGTGCGAAGACACTCACTCACTTTTACAACAACCATTGGCGTTGTGAGAAACGGGACAAACGTGGAAACCGATGCGTCAATGTTGCCGTATGCCATGACAAAGGACACCAAGACGAAACAGGGAAGGTCTTCGAAAAGGGCGAATATATTTCGTCTTTCCATACGAACGAGGTACAGCAAAGGAGGGACTTCCTGGTGAAGCTCAAGTATCGCCTCTCCAAATTCCTGGACCTGAAGAGGAAGACTTATATACCCGAAGGCTTGGATGAAGACGAAGAAAAGGTAGTCGCCATGTTGCACCGCGATCACACGTTACGGAGCTACACACATATTTGGGGAACAGGTGCGACCGGGAGTCACACTACTTGCTTTTCATGCTTGTATTGCGTTCCGATGCACATCCTGTATTGTGGCCATATCATCTGCGACAGATGCTTTGTTAACTACTCCGAAGCGATCAATGGAGGCCGGAGAGAAATCACCGTCTGTCCCCTGTGCTGCAACGTGGACTATCCATGGCCGACCCCTTGGATAATCGCGTCGAAACCAGCAACTGCGGGGCTGCGAATTCTGACACTCGACGGGTATGAGCAGCTATTCCATCTTCAAAGAAGCGGAGCTGACACAATCTCGGACACTAGCGGTGGTATGCGGTCTGTTGTGCAATTGGCAATCTTGGCTCAACTTGAGCGGTGCATCGATCTTGGTATACCGATACGACAATTTTTCGATTTGATTATCGGAACCAGGTAAGCTCGACAGGTTTCCTGCCCGGCCGGAAGGCTGACATGAGAAAAGCGGCGGTGGAATAGTAGCGTTTGGCGTGGGAATACGGCAAGTTGAAATCGAAGAATGCCTGGAAGACTTCAAAACTCTCGCAGCAAAGGCGTTCACGAAACGTGTGCTCACCGGCACCCCTATTCTGGGTACATTGATTGAAGGATATTTCCACAGCAGATACAGAACTGGGTCACTGGAAAAAGCCCTGAAGTCGATATTCGGCCAGGAACCACTCTTCGGTGCTCAGGCTTCCAGTTCACAGGCTTTCCCGGTTGCAACCCGCGTGGGAGTAACTACGTGTGTAGAATCCGACCAAACGGCTTTTCTGCTCGCCAATTATAATAGGGTACGGACGGATTGTGGTACGTTTCTCCCCAAACTGATGGTTTATGGGCGATACTAACCGCGATTCCACCTCCCATCAGACGTCGCAGGCACTCCATGCAAGTTTCTGAGAGCGGCCAATCGGGATAAGGAGGTTAAGACGTGGGAAGCGTAAGGATTCGTCAATCTTTTCCTGCATCACTCAGAAGCGCTAACTTTTTTTTCCCCATCAAGACTCCGAGCCACCACCGCAGCGCCGACGTTCTTTAGACCGTTCTATCATAAATCCAGTTCTCTCTCCTTCATCGATGGAGCCATCAAATTCAACAACCCCGCGGAGTTGGCAAACGAAGAGCGCAAAATGCTTTGGCCGGAATCCAAGAATCGAGACCCAGACATACTCCTGTCCATAGGAACGGCGTTCGATTCATCCGTACCACCTCCGCCCGTAGTACCTAAAGCGGATCAGCGGGGGATCTCATTGTTCGTTAAAAGAATGCTCAAGTTTGTTAACACAGTCATAGAGGACAGTACGAACGGCCAACGGGCTTGGAAGAGTTTTATTGGAAAATTGGCCATCGAGAGAGGAGACCAGGATAAGCAGAGAAAGTATGTTCGACTAAACCCCGATCTGGCCGAAACTGGCATTGGCCTGCCCAAATTCGACGAGGTCGAGAAAATGGATCAGCTCTTCGAGCATGTCAATACCTCGTACTTGCCTAGCATATCCGCTGAGCTCCAGGTCGTGGCTAATACCCTGGTCGCGTCGCTTTTTTACTTTGAGGAGACTCTGATTGAAGTGGACGTAAACGGACATGTCACAGTAGAAGGTAGGTGGAGGATGATGCACTGGATTCTGGTACATGCTTATTCTAACCAACACTTCTGGCAGGATATATACTGTGTCGACTACCGCCGGACTCCCGAGCACTGCAAAAGCTAGCACTTCGCCTCTACCAATCAGCCTGGCTTCTCGGCATCCCGCACGGCCAATACGCACGCCTCAGCCGCAAGTCACATCCGGACGTATACCGCAACATCATCACGCCCGGCAACATGGATCCTTTCCAATTGCCCATCGCGTTTCGATTGCTGGGACGTTCGGCGCGCGCGCGAATCTATCTTTCGTTGACGGGAACATCCGCCGATAGTGTTCTGATAAGTGGATTTCCGCGAAGAATGGGTGAATCGCTGGCAATCCCGACTACTTGTGAGTACCTATATCAATGCCTTGAAACGTAAAACCAGCTGGCTGATTAAAGTCCAAGATCGTAGACCAGTAGTTCAGAATAACGGCTACCGGTGAATGAAATAGGCGGAATTCCCGTGGAGGCGACACGCTTTAGTGTGGAGATTTTGTTTGGAAATTCTCTTCTTTTTCTTCTTCTTCTTTTTCTGTTAAAATAATCTAATCATAATCCCTACGGGATGTTACTTCATGTCCGTGTGGCGGTCCGCCGACACCGATCGACTTTGAAAATCACTCGCGTAGATGGCCGGATCCTCGGAACTCTACATATCTCTTCGAGAGTTTGGGCGGCAGGATTACCCGAGCGGCGTCGGACGCGTTGGTGTGTATGTATCTTCTGGGGCCAAACCTAGGTCTGCAGGTTTTGAGTTATTCTAAAATGCAGTCCACAAAATTGTTGAGTTACATATAGAGAGCCTCCAAAAAGTAAACTTCATGATGTCAGACGTCTGTGGGTGGATCTAGAGTGCTCTGTGTTGCACAAGATTCAGAGTGCCCAGTGTTACACAAGATCCGGAGTGCGTCATGGATTATCGTACCGTAGATCACCGGACGATGCCAAGAGATGGAGCGACGAGGCTTGAGATCGGACTTGAGCAGGAACCACCTCAGGGTCCGAGATGTACGACACGCATCTGACGTAGGCGCGAGAATTACTTTCATACAAAAACGCTTCGTCGATGGGTTCTACATACGCTTCACCAAGCTCACGCATTGCTCCATCAGACAGACAGACAGACAGACAGTTACATACACACAATGGCCTCGATTTTCTCCTCTACGCCGACCTGGAGCTGCTCCACAATCCCCCAGCTCGTGTCGAAGGTCTTCCTCGTTACCGGCGGTACTGCCGGTATCGGCTTCGGTATCACCGCAAACCTCCTTTCCCACAACCCCGAGCGTGTGTACATGCTCTCCGAGCTTCCCGAGCACGCCACGCTTGCCAAACAAGAGCTCCAAAAGTACGGCGATGTGTCCAAGATCGAGTACATCAACTGCGACCTCCGAGATCTCCGACAGGTCGATAAGACTGCGAAGGAACTAAGCTCGAAGCTTACTCGACTGGATGCGCTGGTATGCAATGCCGGCTGTGGCGTGGGCGTTTATAATGTGTCGAAAGACGGTCTCGGTATGTAGATACCCATCGGTCTGGCCTTCCTCCGTTTCGAACCCAGATGTTGACCCCCAGATATAGACACCCACTTCCAGATCAACCACCTTGCCCAGATGCATCTGATCCTGACGCTCCTCCCGCTGCTCCGCAAGACGGCGAAGGAGCACCACGACGCCCGCATCGTCGTCCAAGCATCGAGTCTCCACAGCTCCGCACCGTCCTCCGTCAAATTCGCCAGCGTCGACGAGATCAACACGGACATCGGCCCGTCGTATCTCTACAACCGCTCAAAACTCGCGCAGATCCTGTTCATCCGGGGGCTCGTGCAGCGGCTCAACGACGGAAGGCTCGGGCCCGGCGAGGTGGCTAATATCTTCGCTAATGCGACGCATCCGGGCGCCGTGAACACTACGCAACCAGATCAGGCTGAGGAGGCGTATGGTCTCCTCGGGAAGGTTGCGACGCCCATCGTGAGGACGTTCATGAAGGACCCTATCACCGATGGTTGTCTACCCGCGCTGTTTGCCGCCACTGCGGAGGATGTCAAGAAAGAAAATATTACCGGCCAATATGTGAGTGATGCCAGGTGCCTGGGCTTTCGGGGAGGGAGGAAAGGTGCTAACGCCGAGGTCAACAGATTACGCCTCCGAACAAGGTGACAGAGCCGTCAAAGCAGGCGCAGGATCAAACACTAACCGATAGTCTGTGGGCACTGAGTGAGAAGATTTTGGCGGAAAAGTTAGCGTAGGAAGCGCACGAGAGCATTCGTATACATAAACAGGGCGGCGTTAACTATGGCGGCACCCGCCGGAATATAAACTTAAATGGTGTCTACATATGTGTGAATTTCAGAAGCTTGTTCGTATGTAGGTTAAGATTCAGCCAAACGAACTCGTTTATGAGGGCAGAGCTTGGCATGAACACAAAACACGTCGGCAACGGCTGATACTCGGCTGATACTCCGCTGCATACATAGCAAATTAAACATCCGGCTACCCGGCACACGATGTAGATACGATGGGTATCGCAGAGATCTTCATGGTGGCGGACACGTGGAAGATGCCTACTCCGAACCTTGGCACCCCCAAGCCACGGCGTATGCATAACTCTGCCCGACGTGAAACCGGTCGGAACGGACCGTGATGGAACGCCGCCTATCTGTGTAGCTGCGCTCGGATACCCACCTATTCCCCGGCACCCGCTCCAAGTGCACTACTCTATGCATACCTAGACGTCTCCCGCTCCGCCCTCTCGTTTTCGGAGCCCGCGCGTCGAATCATGTCAGATCCGTCACAGCTAGCATGCATTATCCGTGCTGTTGTGGGGTGCGAATTGAGCTGGAGAAACCCTTATCCTGATGTCGCACAAAGACCCTGGCGGAAACCGAGCTGCGGGCGGAAGCCGAGATGCTGGCGGAATCCGCTTCCCCAAGCTGTCACCATCACGAACGGCCGCTGGCCCTGCCTTAAGGCCCGGGTTTATCTGCCCTTTTGTCACACCCACCCCCAATAGCTTTCTCGAACCGTCCATCTACATTTATTCATTCGCTCCTTCAAGGTGGATGTCGTCACGTCCCTCGTTCCTGTTCTGACCATCACGCCGCATTCCCGTTTTATTCGGTTCATCTGTTCGATTATTAAAGCCAGTTCAATTCCCTTCGGTGCAGCTCCTGATCGATAGAAATTACCGGAATCTTGACGCAACATTTCCCTTCGAGTCTCGCTTCACCGGCACGGTTCAGGGATCCGCAGCAACCATAATCACATAGCTGGGACGCCTTGGATATTATCCTGCTAACCAGTATTTCCTCACCGCCCCCCACCTTGCATCGCCTGGATTTATAAGATCTTTCACCTTCTTCCGTCCTCCTTCGGAGAGTGGAATGACCATGGATCGTACGAACGAAAAAATCCCCGTATCTCCACCACAGACAAGCTCTTCCACCATGGTCGACCCGAACTCATCCACCAGTTCGCTGGCACATTCAGTGGCCCAAGGTAGCAGCGGTATGGAGCTTGAAGAGATCAAACCGCAACAGTCGCCGCTCGCCCATGGCAAGGACCTCGAACACGGCCGATCACTTGAACTCAAACGCACCTCGACTAACAAGAGTCACAAGTCGCAAGTCGAGGAGACCAATTACGAGCACCCCCTCACAGATCTTTCCCGGAATATCGTGGGATGGGATAGTGAGGATGATCCGGAAAACCCTCGCAACTGGACGGATAAGAAGAAGTTCTCTATGCTTAGTCTGGTTTCAATGATCACGTTCATCAGGTGCGTTGCGCAATCCGGTCACCCCGCCGTGCCATATTCTTCCGTGTTTACTGACTTGCAGCTACCTAGTCCTCTGGCTTCCGCCATGTTTGCGCCGGGAATCTCGTTCATGAACAAAGAGTTCAACAATCACTCCAGCGAACTTTCCTCGTTCGTCGTTTCGGTTTTCGTTCTAGGGTGGGCCGTAGGTCCCCTACTTCTCTCACCACTGTCGGAGATCTACGGGCGGAGACGCGTGCTAGATAGTGGTAACATCTTCTTCGTAGTCTGGCAGATTGGGTGCGCCCTTGCGCCCAACCTAGGATCACTGATTGCGTTCCGTTTCCTTGCTGGAGTGGGTGGTTCTGGATGTCTCACTATCGGCGGTGGAGTCATCTCGGACCTCTTCGCACCCGACCAGCGAGGCATGGCAACAGCAATGTACTCCCTTGGCCCACTATTCGGTCCCGTTGTTGGCCCCATCGCCGGTGGATTTCTGGCGCAGCGGGCCGGATGGAGATGGGTTTACTGGGTTCTCCTGATTGCCGGAGGACTCATCACTACGCTGATCTTTGTGGTCAACGAAGAGTCCAACCCCCACGTCCTCATCGCCCGCAAGACTGCTCGTCTCAGGAAGGAGACCGGTAACCCGGACCTAATCAGTTGGTACGACAAGAGTCACCCCGGCCGTACGCCCCGTCAGGTGTTGAGAAACGGCTTGACGCGGCCTCTCAAGCTTATCGCGCGCTCGCCCATCAGCGCTCTGATGTGCATCTACATGTCGTTGATCTACGGAATCCTGTATCTCCTCTTCACCAGCATGACCCTCGTCTTTGCGCAGCAGTACGGCTGGGAGCCCGAGATCACCGGCCTCGCATACCTCGGCATCGGCATCGGATTCTTCATCGGGCTGGCGATCATGGCTGTCACAAATGACAGGATGGTGGTCACGTTGGCGAAGCGCAATAACGGCGTCGCCGAACCGGAGATGCGCCTGCCGCTGTCAGCCGGCTTCGCTTGCTTGATCCCCATATCCCTCTTCTGGTACGGATGGTCGGCCGACAAGGCGACGCACTGGATCGTTCCCATCATTGGAATCATGCCCTTCGGAATTGGAATGATGGGTATTTTTGTGCCGGTTCAGGTTAGTTCTCCCTTCATCATTATTATCGCCCCCCCTTCTTTACAAAAACCTAACGGATGGAAATGACAGACCTACATGATCGACGCCTTCGTTGAGCACGCCGCCTCCGCCGTCGCCGCATTGACGGCAACCAGGAGTTTGGTCGGCGCAGTCCTCCCGCTTGCTGGAGGTCCCATGTACGCAAAGCTCGGTCTCGGATGGGGAAACAGCTTGCTCGGCTTCATCAGTTTGGCCCTCGTGCCGGCCATCTGGTTGATCTACAAGCACGGCGCGCAAATCAGGAAGAACCACCCCATCAACTTGGACTAAGTGCCCCGGAGGGGGGGATAGATCTAGATCTATTGGGTTATATTTGCGGGGGTGCAAGGGTGGCATCGTGGGAGGGATATTTTCGATTCGTTGCAAGATCTTTTTGGATTATTTTTTTGCGGTTTTTATGGCGACATATTTGGAGGTGGCATTATAGGCACTATAAATCAGTGGCATCATACCCTGTATCGGTACGGTTATATAGACGGTGCGTGCTTTTGTTTAAAAGTTTTAATGAAACGGCAGTGGTTACTTAAGAAGTACTTGTCCATAATTTCTCTTCACAAAGCCTAGGAAGTGCCAGTATGAGCGAAAGATGCGATTGCCATGGTTGCTTCCACCAACACAGCGGGCCGCTGCCGCGTCATATCGGGCATGCCGATGGGTTTAGAAGATTGAAACGATTATTAAACATGTCATTTGCACAACTCGCGTGCCTACCCCGGCATTGTCTATCACCCGAGCCCATCTGGATCCCATATTTCTACGGACTGCATTATATCTACATATCAGTCGCTCGCTGTTCCAAACCTCATGGTAGAACTTTATTTTCTATATCAAATCCTGTTCCGTCGTCGGTATCCACCGGACTACCTACCACTCAATAGACCATGTAGGTAGCAGGCAGCATGTGATTAGGTAGGTACCTATAGGCACCTATACTATAGTGATATATCCAGGCTTTCCACTCTCCGCACAGGCCGTATTCGTTCTCCTGAAACCTGCACAGGACGTATTCGTTCCCCAGAAACCTGCCCTAGAAACCCGCCCGTGACGGCCCCCACCCTACATCCAGTCCCCTGTTCTATTGTCCGGACGGACGATCCACCACCCGGACAACAGCTCACTTTGTCATACTTTATCATACTTTATCATACGGGTTCCAGAGTCAAGAAGCTTTGTGGGCCGATTGTGCGGAAGCCCGTTGCTATGTGCTAGGTAGTACGGACATGCTGACGGGAAAGTCTCGCCACAAATCACAATCACGTGGTGTCGGTTGGCAGATGTTGGAGAGACCGATTCGGTACCAGGACTGGGCTATCAAAGTTTGAAGAGTGACTCCGGATCTACATCGAAATCCCGCCAGGAGGAGACGAGTGGCGCTGCCGCTCATGGTCGTCCGTCGCGCACTATTGAACGTCATTGAACGGCAGCCATCACTCGGTCGACTCGGCTTTCTGCACGTAGGCCCCGAGTCCGCGGGTTGGTTCTTGCTGGCCGAAGTATCGCCGAGTGATAATGGCGATAACAGAGGCGGAAGGGAAGAGGTAAGTCGAGTGATAACCGGTGAGCTGCGTAACTCCAAGCCTATATCTATATCCACTGCGTCTCACTCTGTTATGCTTCGGCCCTTCGTTCGAGGAAGAAGAGAATTTACTGCAGCAGAGCTTGCGTGGTTGAATGGAGAGGGGAGGTTGAATGTAGCGTGTGTGGCTGAATGGGGAGCGGAGGTTGAATGAGGGTTTGTTGTTGAATGGGTGGTTGAATGGGGTGGGAGTGGTTGAATGGGGGGCTGCATGTCAGGATGGGATCACCAGCGCTAAAGGCTGAAGGGAGGTGGGCTTGCAATGCGGTGACGGATGATGGGTGGTGCGGCGGTAACTCTTGTTTGCCCACCAAGCTCACCGCAGCACTCACCATCACTCTTACCGCACACCCCGCACTGCGCTCTCCCGTCCTCTAAACCCCCAGCTTCAGTCACCGTAGTGCAGAGTTCCAAAGACAATCCAAGGGATCCAAGGGATAGACGGCGGTACATCACGCTTTATATACCCTCACTATGACTACAGTAGCAAAACGTGGGGCCGATTGATGCCGAAGGTCTCCAGTTACTAGTAGTACTACCGCACGGATTTAAATCCAATAATCTCAGGAGAATACAGAATACAGATTTATTCTGAATTTTTTTGGTTCCTATAGCCTCAATTCTACGGTATCGAAAAATCATACGCAGTGTTGTCAAGATACACTTACTACAAAGCCCGAGGAACCACCGCAGTTCTTCCAGATGCAAAATATTTCGCACTGTCCAGAATACCAGAGAACCACCATCGAACCACCATATTCGCACGCCAACATACCTGGTGCAGAGAAGCCGTTGCCATGCTAACCAAGTACCCAGTTTCAGTAATCGAATGGCCGAAAGCAACACATATGTAGGCGGACTGTGAAGGTGTTAAGCACCTCGACGTCGATTCGAATTTCATGGAATATCACGGCGGCCTCGAAGGTGACATCGTGTGATTGTCCACAGTTCGCCAGCCCGAGTACGACAAGGACAAGGCTTTTTTACCGACTGTAGTAAAACCATGACACCATGACGACAGGAGGCCTACGGAAGAAATGCCGTGCTGAGTAGAATATTCCGGTCACTGAAAAGTACTGTGAGTAAGACCTAGTGTACGCAAGCAAACATTTACGACATTCGTGTAAGGCAGGAAGTGCCGTAGGCCTGCTAAATAAATGCTGCAGAGGAAACTATACGGATTGAGCTGAATACAGAGCTGTCGAGTCACTACAGAACTGAGAAGTTCAGACAGTGTCTACACTACGTAAATTGTACACTGCTGTACCTTTTTTACGTAGTATATGGCATGGACGGTCAAATCAAAGCAATCAAGCCAATTCTCTAGCTAATAATAATACCAAGCAGCAAGTTGCAACAATTGAACACCACAGAAGACAGCATATTCCCATCCCATCCCATCTCATCTCATCTCATCGCCCTAAAACAAATGACAATTCCATCCTACGTATTACCAGAAAAAAAAAACCTTCCCTTCAAAAAAAAATGACAATCCCATCCCACGTATTACCAGAAAAAAAACCTCCTTCGCCCTAAATTATACCAGGAAGAAAGTGAAAAAAACAACCTATTACCACCCATTGATCTCAATCTGCCTCGTAACCTCCTCCTCCGCCGCAATTCCCGCCAGAAACATGGGATCGTCCTCATCCCATCCTGAATTGAATCCGAACACTGCGCCATCCCTCGCCTTGGACCTGAACACCAACGCCGTCTCAAGTCTACTAAACAGACCTGTCGACTCGACATCCCCGCGCGGTCGCCATGCATTGACAGGCTTAGATTTCCCCGCGGATTGAACGGAAGCGTAGGTTTTTGGTGTGGCGCAGGCAGAAGTGGCGGAGGAGGAGGCGGGTGAAGCCGAGAGGTCGGGAGTGAACACCTTCTCCTTGTGCTTGGCCCTGGGGCTGAAGTCTTCCTCGGAATCAAAGTCGACGGCGTCGTGGCGCCAGGCGAAGCTCATCCATTCCCGCCAGATGCTGTCGCGCTCAAGGATCCACGGGTTGCCAATGACGACCAGGCCTTGCTTAGCTCGGGTTAAGGCAACATTGGCGCGCCTCTCCTCGAATATCAGGCCGGCGCCTTTCTCTCTGTCATTCTTGAGGAACCGCTCCCTGGCTCGCGTAGTGCAGATGATGACGAAGCGATATTCGGCACCCTGGTAAGCCTCGACTGGTCCGACGTTGACCTTATTCAGATCCGCTGCCCTAAAGGCCTTTCGGAGGCGCTTAACCTGTTCTCGGAAAGGCGACATCACGGCGATTTGGTGCGGAGTGATGGGCACTGTATTTTTCCCGTTTTCGTCCTCAGGCCAGAAATCGGGCGACAGAAGGGACTGAACGGTTTCAACCGCAAGCTTAATCTCGCGGAGATTGTAGAATGAAATGGCTTCTTCGTGAGATTCGTCAAGGCCGGAGTTGAGTATCAGCTTTACGGGCATGACGGGGGATCCTTTCCAACCGGTCCAGCCTTCCAGGGCGCTTGAATCCGTAGCTTCGGGGATCAAGGTGTCGTTGTAGAAGAACGCCGAAGGTACCGCAAGGATGGCTGCGTGAGAGCGGTAATTCCGGACCAAGTTGGTGAACGCTGGGTAAAGACACGGCTACACCTCCGTCAGTAACCACAGTTTACATGGAAATGATGGATAACCTACTAGCATCTTTGCTCGAAGATCTGCCGTCACCTCCTCCGAACGACCTTTGATGCCACCAAAAGTCGAATATAGCTCCCTTCGCCACGGGTGTTCGCTGTAGATCGGCCTAGCAAACAGTCTCTCGAAAGCACTTATCCTCAGCTCCCCATCCTTCACGGTGATGGGTCCGAGCTGACGCTGGTCCCCGACCATGACCACGATGGGTTTATCACTGCTGGCCTCTTCTGGTGGCGCAACAACCGACAAAGGAATGACAATCTCAGGCTCCATTCCCTGAGCAGCCTCGTCGACGAGTAGAGCGGACCAATGGAGACGCACACTCTCCCCGACCTCCACAAAATCCGGCGAGTCCTCGGCGACTCCACGCAACGAGTCTACCACGCTCTTCTCCCAACGGCCGAGATCGCGATTTGTACATCGCGCCTGGACCAGGATATCCGCATCGCGGCATGAGCAGACGACAACCCGGAATCTCATGAGCTTTTTCCACTCCGGAATCGAAAACATGTCGTTCTCGATGTGGGTGTAGGTCATCAGCCTGATGGGGACCTCCGAGAACGTCCGGGTGTTCGATTGCAGGCGGAAAAGCACCGTCGGGTCGAGATGCTGGGCTAGCCGGAGGGCAAGAGTGTCAGCAGCCTCCTGCGAAGGGGCGCAGAGCAGTATGTGGTGCCTTGGAGTTCGAGGTGCATAGATGAGCTGAAGGACTATTCGGTATCAAGTCAGCCGATTGAACGATGCATCAACGGAGGGTGGAATCGAGATATGTACCTGCTTCGACGATCGTCTTCGTCTTTCCCGTCCCAGGAGGACCGGATATTATGAAAGGAACGCTCCCGTAATCCTGCCTCAGGATCGAATCAACAGCTTTATGCTGCAGGACACACACACGCGGTTTAGTACACATCTCACTTCGTACCAAAACCAGTAAAACTCGATCATCCCATTAACTACCAAATACATCCATGACCGTCCAACAAAAAATGTAGTCCAACAGTCAAAATACCATTGACTCCTATGGAATCAGTTCAAAGAGAGGGGTAGATTTTGTGCACTTACCTGCTCGTAATTCAACTCCCTATCGATCCAGTGCGTCTCAAATACCCCTCGGGTGAGCGTGTGCTGCATCTTCCCATCCGACTTCTCCGGAAATAGCATCCTTTTCAAGTACGGACGCTCGGCGGTATCGGTGCCATCCTCGGTTTTCTTCTGGCCGGGAATCGGCAGCGAATTCCCAATGTTGGCAATCGCCCGCTTGCATCCCTCCCACCGCTGTTCCTGAACTCCGAAAATCACATTGAACTTCCCTCCCGGCTCCAGCCATAGCCCATCCGCCCTCAGGACCACATATCCCACCGTCTTATCGATTCCGTAAACATACGTCTCGTGCTCGTAACCCGTAAACACCGGATAGTACCCTGGCATTCCCGGCTTGACCTGCCTGAGTTTAATCAGATCTCCAAGCTGGACCATCGGTGTATTCTCCCTTAACCCCGGCAGCTGCAGTTGAAACAGAAACTGGCTAGGATCCTGCGGAATGATCGTAGCATTGTACAGATTATAGCTCTTACTGATCGTATCATCCGCCGCGATTTCCTCCGCCAGGAGCTTCAAGAAATGTGCCCCGTAGTTTTCGGAATCAAGCGCGAACGGACCGATCGCGATCTCCATTCCGGTAGCCGGTGATCTGATAGAGATCCTCTTATTCTTCCCCGCTCTCTTGTCGCCCCCACTGCCACTGGGGCGACTATTAACCGCCACAGCGTTTGTCGCCATCTCCATCGGCATCACAGCGGGCACCCATTGCGACAGGAATCCCTTCCCCGCGAAGTTCTCAACGAACCGGGCGAAGTCCACACGCGGTGGCGGCTGGGCCCTGACCGTCGACGCGGGGTAGATATTGATGGAGCGCTCATGATCCGAGATGAAGGATTTCGAGTACACATCCGGGTACCACTGACTCCTGTGGGGCGACGATTTCGGATCCTCCTGGTGGTGGTCGTGGTTGTGGTGGTGGTTGTGGTCCGGTGTGGGCAGGGCCTGTTGGTACGGCATCCAGGCGGGATTCATCGGCATCGTCGGACGCAGCATGGCTAGTTGATGCGAGGGCGGTGCTGCTGGTGGTGGGAAGTGGTGGAGCTGGTGGTGATGATGATGGATGTGCCCCGCCGCGGGGACCGATGAGGAGCTTTCTGGATACAGAATGAATGTTTGGCCATTGGCGTTCACCCCAGCAGGGCCAGCAGTGGCCGGGTAGATAATTGGCTGCCGGTGGGGCTTTGCTGCGGCTGGTGTGGTGGGAAGCATTGGATTGGGGTGGACGGTGTGCTGCGGGATCCGTTTCAATGCCTGCGGCAGCAATTCGTGCGCATAGCGGGGAAGCTAGGCAGGCAGCAGCGGGGAGGGGGAGATACGAGCTGTGGGGGGCGAAGGCGGGGGGGATATGCAGAGAGATGATTGATAGATGGGAGGTGATAGGTAAAGCGTATGTCGTGTGGTGGTGGTGGCAGAAGGAATGGTGTTTCGATTGGCTGGACCGGGGGCGGCGCGCCTATCCCTGTGAAGGTGTGGTGATACGAGCGGATCCATGAAGCAAAGCGGGACGATCAAAACACCAGTACAGACCGGTCCAACCGAACCGGCAACGGTAAAGGGCACTTCTTGACACACAACCTCGCCCATATGTGGTTTGCCGGCTCGGGGGAAAAGCTGTGGACATTTCGGCAACGGCGATGTATTGGGGGCAAATCTCTTCACGCAAACTGTGGTCCGTGCGAGAGTCTGATATAAACTGTGTTCCACTTCGCACATCCGTCGAACGGTCCTCCCGGCCGAAGAGCACGGACAATCAGTTACATCAACCATCTACAAAGACAAGAGAGACTATTCGGCGCCCACCGATCCGCCGCCATAGATCCTCAGTATGAGAATAGAACAACAGAACAAAGTAACAGGACAAATACACAGGGTAAATCGTAAAGCGTGAAAAAAAATGAAAAACCAACTTCCTGATGTCTAGTACAACTTGCAAAGTAAAAAAAGAAAGAGCCGAGAACGAGAACAATGTATAGCAAATGCGTCCCTAGCTTCTGAAAATGACCAGAGAAAATGCGTTTCGCGAGAAAACAAAGCCGATGATGCTGAAAAAAGACGCCGGAATGTACAGAACAACCTTTTAATCTCCAACCCGATACCACCCCCACTCTATGCTGCGATTCCCCTCAGCTGCTCAATCGGATTAATGTGCTCTGTGACTGGCGTAGCCTGATTGGACTGCGCGAGGATGTCGAAAGGATCAACGACAGCCACCACAGCCGGAGTGAGAAGATCTCCGTCGTTGAAGGGGTTGCCATCGCTCGCACCAGGCGTCTGTGGAGGACTGGCGCCGAACTCGTTCATCAACGCCTCCATCTCGGCCGCAGTGGCGTTGAAGAACGGCTCTGGCGGAATACAGGCACCTAGGGCGCGCTTCGCATGAGAACCAACGATAGTCAGTCCTAGTTGGTACGACGCATTCACCCATCCGAAACTGGATAAGGACGTTAGCATAGGCGGAAGGGCATAAGGGAAGTTTGCGATGCATACCCTTCTCTCGCAACGCCACGGAAATCCAAACCCTGGTTTCCATATTCGGCGTCGACTCTGTGTGGATCGACCGGCCTTGTCACGTCATACTTCTCGACGACGACTCCGTGGTAGTCGACGAAGGCCTTCGTGATCATGAACAGCCAGCGGTACGCCAATCGCTTCGCTTCCTCATGATAGCCGTATCGCTCCAATCCCACCCACGCGAGCATCTGCTGTGGAGCCCATCCGCTACATGCATGTCAGTACGAAGAACACTCGGGGAATTGCAGCAGGGCCAACTCACTATGGATAGTCCCATTGCCTGGTGGGTCGATCGATGCCCAGCGGACCGCGACTCGCTTCGGTCCCGCTCGCGAGACCGCCGAGCTCTTCGAACTTGGGGATGGCCACCTCTACCAATTTGGCGGCCTGGCGGGGGGACGCGACGCCAGCCCACATGGCCCAAAAGACAGTGGCCGACTCGTAGTTCATCTGCCTCTGGTTTATGGTGTCATAGTCGAAGTACATTCCCTTCTGTCCGTTCCAGAGGTACCTGTTGATCAGGATTTTACGCTTCCGTGATCTACGATCCCATTGAGCGGAAGTCGACTTGGTTCCCACTCGCAATTCGGGGAAGCCGGGCACAGAGAACTCGGCCGGAATGATCAGACTATCGTTGAAATGCTCATGGATAACCTTCGCGATATCAATCTCGTACTTGTAGAGTAACGAGTTGAGATCGATCGTCGCTAAGTCGGCACAGCATCCCTCCAGCCGGTAGGTCGTGTCATGGCCCGACTCCCGGACAGCACGGTCATGTAGGAAGTATTCGTCCAGGGCGGGTTCTTGGACGTGGCCCTCGTTGTAAGCTGTGATGAACTCGTCAATCGTCATCCGGTACATCTCAGCATATGGCTGCAAGGTGGAATCAAAGTGGCTTGGTTCGGTTTCTGGGGGAATTCCGATGCCATCCGGACGATACCGACTCAAACCAGTGGCCGGGTCGTAGCGAGGTGCCGCCATCCACACGGTAAAATATTCCTTTATCGCGGCAAGGATGCTGGTCCTCAGGAACTCCAACGCGCCAGGCTCATGCTTAATTTTCCTGTACACGCGGAGGGCCATATCGGTCAGGAACGGCGGCTGAGAACGCGACAAGTAGTATGACCTGTTCGCGTTCAAGATCTTTCCGTAATGCTCAATTTCAAAACAGAAATTGATCACCATGGACTTGGCCAGTTGCTCCTTGCCGTCGAGCAACAGTCCAAGTGAGATCATGTAGGAGTCCCAGCCTGGAAGATGTTAGCACGCCGAGATTTGGTTTTGGAAATAGTAAGCTGAAGGGGGCAGCGAGACATACCATAGAGCTCATTGAACCGACCGCCTGGAACGACGAAAGGCCATCCCTTTAGTTCTTCTTTTCCATCGGGACCAACGACCTTTTCCATTGCGAGCGCCAATAGACCGGGCTTCTCATTGATGCCTGGGAAGGAAGGTCAGCCATCAATCTATGTGGTGCTTGGGGAACAACTGACTGTATGTGAACTGGGCATCGATGACTTCCGGCAGCTGAACGACGTCGAGATTCAACTCAGGATAATCTCTCGCCACATTCTGATAGTATATCAGCTGCTCGGGCGCCCGCTTCGGCACATAGATCCTTGGCCGTGGGTCCTCCATCCTCTCTGCTTTCGGATCTTTGGTGACTGATTCAATCACACTTCCGTCGATACGGCGGGTCAATCCGTTCCAGAAAGAGGTCTTGATTAGACGGCTCAACCGGGAGACAGGATTTTCCGTCAGACGCGCCTCATCGAGAATGATGTGCTTTCTGCCGAATTCCTCCGCAATCGTCAACTCCTGCATTAGATTGGCTAACGCATAAGTGCCTCGGAGTTCGTGTCGTTTATATCCGCCGCTGTTTGCCGTTCCCAAAGATATCACCTACAATACACCAGTTCAGTATAGGGGTGGGGTGGAGGAAAGCTTCCAAGACGTGTCACGTACCTTTGGACCACCGTCTTCAATGGTGATCTGGAAATTACCATCCGTGTCTTCTGCTGCAATGAGGCGAGCCATCGTCTCCGCGACATTGATTACAAATTGTCTCGGGTGGTGATGCGAGAATGCATCTGTCAGATGTCAGCAATAGTTACGGCCGAAACGCGGATGGGTCTCCTCTGGGTGGTCCGCACCAAGTGATCCTCGTCGGTAAGGCTTGTGTTCGAGAGATGTGGTTCTCGGAGGACCATTGTACTCGTAAGCCTGAAATTGAGAATTGAATGTCAGCCAAACACTCGAGATAACGAAACAGATAGATTGAACTCCAGGGCCCCCAGCTCGCGAGATCGCCTTTAGCTCTTTCAACTCGTCCCGAACTTCATTTGCACAGGAACAAGGGTGTTTCGTGTGACGGCAGCACAGAAGAGACAGGAACTTACTTGTGACAATCCCCTTCGGGGCAACCCGCCATTTGAGTTACAAGGTTCAGAGCCATAGTAGATGTGTGCCTCGGAGAAGGGGTCACGTTCCTCCTCTCTCCACGACTGTGACGACATGGCAAGAGGGACAGATGAGACTGGTGTTTCCGCCAGTTTGTCCTTACGTGTGCCTGGTTATGAGTGAGGTAGTAGTCGGATTGTGTAGGAGTGAGGTGGTGGAGGGGTGAAGGTAGGGAGTGATGATGGTGGAGTCCGAAGAGAGTTGGCGCTATCTTTCAGCTCGGAGAGTTTAGCAGAAGCTCTGTTGAAGGTCGGGTAAGGTTGAGTTGAATGTTCGAAAAGAGAAGGAATTGAAGGAGGGGAGGAGAAGGGCGATGACGAAGATAACCAGTCGAAGAACGGGGCGGGGGAGGACCGGGGGTTAAGTACTCGACGTGTTTGCTGCAGAGGCGAAGTGACTACTTGATTGAGACGGGATTGCAGTCTTCTTTTTTTTCTTTCTCTCACTTTCTTTCACACCTCAAGAAGTCCTGACAAGTTGGTAGAGTAGCTCCAGTAACCACAAGTACTTGCGAGCTGCGTGTTTGATACCGGGCGCGGTCGCACAGACGAGCTATGACGGAAGTCCTCGCAGGGATGCTGCAAAGCAACCAGTCGAAGCGAAGGAAGGAGGGAAGCCAAGGGACGTCACTACGTTGGGTAGTGATGGACGGCAGGTCAGAAAATGGGTGGGTGGCAGGGTGGGTGTGCGAGGAGGGGTTGGATAAGCTGCCGCGCAGAGCAGAACAGATCAAAACAAAACAATTGACAGAGCAGAGCAGAGCAATCGACAGAGCAATCAACAGAGCAGAGCAGAAACGTCGACAGGCAGAGCAATCGACTGAGCAATCGACTGAGCAATCGACTGAGCAATCGACTGAGCAATCGACTGAGCAATCGACTGAGCAATCGACAGAGCAGAGCAGCAGAGCAGAGCAAAACAAAACAAAATAATCAACAGAGCAGAGCAAAATAAAATAAAAAAGCAATCGACAGAGCAGAGCAGAGCGGCAGCTCGGTGGATGCTCACTGGTGGGGGAAGGGGTGGAGAGGGGGAAGAAACCTAACATGCACCTCTATCGTTCCCGACAGTGATTGCACTGGCCCTTCTGCTGCGATGCCGTTGCCCTGCCCTGCCTCCTGTTGGCTGCGGTCTCTTCTTTGACTTCGGAGCGCGGACGACCGTTTGGCTCTCGTTATTATTGCGTGTGCCACCGTTGAATAATCTGCGCGCTTCGGTGGCATGGTCATAGATCTTCGGAAAGCTGCCCCCCCTCACCAGGGTGCAGAATCCCTGGCCAGAGACGTCGTTCTTGTCCGCTTCAGAGATGGAGATTAACTCTCTAGGTACCAGTGCTCATCGAGAGTGCTACGGTAGTTATGCCGCTGTACATACATCATCAGGAAACCCCAGGTCGACACTCTCGACATCTCGATTGCTTTGCATTTATTGCCACCACGCAGGTTGGCTCCAGATACCGGTACCTCCTCTACCTACTCTACCTATAGTACCTGCAGCCAACTGACCATCCCCGAGGGACGATGAATCCGAGGTGCCCGATGGTCTAAACTCACGATGTTTCAGCGCCACGCCCTCGAAAAGAAGCAACTCTGCAGGCTTTGTGAATGGCATTAGAAACACAAATACCTACTTACATACCTACCTAGCCTGAAGAAACCCCCCCACCACCACCCCACTTTCCCCCGCAATAGCACGGACCACGAGGCAGCCGCGTCTGGAGACTTATCGTCGGCTCCTTCCATCCATGGCCGGGGTCCAGAATCGTTGGGGTCCATGGCTATGCGGGCGTGCGGACGATTGCCAGGCATTTCCGCTTTTGCCGCCGGAGCAACGTCCGTACCCTTCTCCCGAGTATATGTGGTACCTACACTCGGTGATCGTCGAGGAAATTGATAACCGAATGCAGGGACTTTTGCCGCAGACCGCCATTCTCCTGTATACAAATTATGCCGGGAGAGATAGGTAGATAGATAGATAGCAAACACTTTTTCCGTTTGCAACCGCACGTATCTACCTATCTTCCGTGGCTTCCAGAATCCAACTTTCTCTCGAAAATCTCGAAAGCTTGAAATCACGTCGCGTACCGCGCGGAAAGTTTTTAAACTTTTCCACCACGCATCTACTCTAATTTCTGCAGTGCGCGCGGAGGGATGCGCATCGCAGATTCGCAGCCCCGGCAGTTCGATGGGATGGAAGTGGGAATGTGAATGTAATGGCGAAAAGCGAGGACCCGAATCCCCGCAACGTCTGAGGACGTAGTTAGTTATGCACCCTGTGCGGCCCCCATCTTTGAGGAGATAACTCCTTGTGTGTAGGTATGTACCAAGTGCCACCGGGTCGGATGCGGAATTCCCGTTCGAGTGGATCGTGGTGTAAGAGCAGCAGCGCCATCGCCATGTGGCTTTGGCCCTTGGGTTAAACCGTAGGTATGCAGCTACCACCGCATCTCTGACTTCCACAGCTTCCCCACAGAAGATTCGGGACGTACATACTAGTTAGTACTCAGTTACCTCGTGGGGAAGCTCAAAGCTTGGTATGGGGCACAGAGTACTGTTCGCTCCAACCCCCACGATGGACGGTCCCACATTGCACCCGCACTCCCGCAGGTTACCCTCCTTCCCTCGGCTTTTTCCGACCGCTGCAGTCCCCGCAGCCCAGCTGCCACGACTCACGCAGCCAGTTTCGCCAGTCTGCCTGCCATGTCTCCTCGAGCTCGCCCAATCCAAAAGAGCCCAAAAGAGCTCAAAAGACCCCGAGGTGGAGAAGTAGTCTGGTACATCAGGTAGGTGGGCCTTCCGGTCGTAGGACATCTGGTCCGAATAATACTTACCAACTGACATCTGCTAGGTAACTTACCGTCCTGGTTTGGGAGCTCCCCGCGCACATTGCTTGCGGTATAAGGATTCTAATCCGTAGCGGAACGAAACAAACAAAAACGAAAAACGCGGCGGACCACGGTTTCATGACCGCAGTCGACTCCCACCCTCGGTCCCCGGGTTGCGGGTTACGAGTTGCGGGAATCGCCCGAAGCGTTCACCCACCTTGCCCGCCCCGGCCTGAGTCCTCTTGCCAATCGTTACTCTACTTACTACCGGTATACTCCGGTCCTGGCTTGCGTGTTTGGTCCTAATTGTCCTAGGTATATAGTAGGGAGCGAGTGAAGCCTGCGAACAACCGGACGGTTCGTGTCCTGTACACACTACATGCCAGCTGGAAATTATGAACTCGCAATCGATCTGCAACATCTATGTGCATTGTGCACTGTGCGTCCGCGCGATCCCATGCAACGATCCGTCTCAGCCCGCTGCCCGTCCCTTTTCGCCACTCCCCCGACACCAACAACCGACACATAATACAGACAAGCGGTATGGGCTATCTTTAGCTGGTGCATTGTGCAGTGCAGTGCAGTGCAGCTCGGGATCCTGCCGCTGTCGACTTGCGCAGCTGCGCTCGCGGCACCAGTGTCCACACGTTTCCGTCGCTGGCCTAGCACAGGAAACACAGGAAACACGGGAAACACGGAGCGCGGAGCACGGAACGCGGAGCACGATCGGATACCCGCCGATTCGATTTCGATGGGGGTGGGATGCTACATGAGCGCCGGCACATGATCGGAACCACGGCTCTGGGGGTTGGGGGTGGTGCAGAGTTTGGACGAAGATCGAGGGACGAGGGATGCAGGATGTGCCGAAAAAGAAGAGGAGGAATGGGAAGAAGAAGAAGACGGCGACGAAGCGCAGGACGGATGTGTGCTGCACCCTGCGGCCTGCGGTCGGTCCGAGTTGCATAACGACAGCGCGATCCGGTCTCCAGGGCGTGAAGCTCTTCTACCTACTACGGTATGTACTTACTCAGGGATAGAAATTAGATGCTTTTACCACGGGCCCGCCTGCCTGCGGAGAGGAGAGGAGATGCAACTACCTACCTATCCGCTGATGCCGACACTTCTCAGTCAGAGAATCCCCCTCGGGCCTCAGCAGCAGCTATCACTACTACCGGTACTAGGTAGTATACCATACCATTCACCGCGCCTCTCTCCGCCTCCACCCATCTGTTCACATCCGTGCCGCAGGCCCGCAGCCTTTGAAGTTTGCAACACAGCTCTCGCTCGCTTCCCCACCCTCCCACCCTCCCAGTTCCACACGTGGCACCCGCACACGCACCCGCACAGCACACCCGACCGCCCCTGCCCTGCACCAGTGCACCGCGCAATCTACATCGATATCGCTAGTTATTGATTGGTCGTTGTCTGCCTATGTGCATTGTGCATCGTGCACCGTGCCGGCGTACTTATATATGTAGGGCATCGTCCAGTGTCCACCACGAGCGGCGCCGGCAACACCGATGGGGATGGCCGGCGGTGCTTACGGGTAACGGATGCGTCTCATGGCTTGCAATCGATGCATGTATAGTATGTGGCGGCCTGCAGGGAGCGGCGACGCGGCAGAGGTGCGTTGGAGAGGAGCTGTGGGTTGCTGAATGGCTGGCTGGCTGGCTTCGGTGCAGATATCCGCTCAAAGTCTTGGTAGGTACATTTGTTATCTGCGGCGAGGCCAGCGCAGTATCCAGACTCCAGAGCAACGAGCCCATGGATGGTGCGGGAAGGACATCGGTGGTTACAATGGCAGGTTCTTGGATTCAAGCATGAGTCGCCAGCCCCGCGGGCAATACAGATCCCGTCGTAGCGGCGGTGGCAGCCATCGTGGCGGACAGAACCGACGTGCCCTCCGGCCTACAGTAGTCAATAGTAGTATTAGTAGTAGTTATTAGTATATCTGAAATGAGACGAATACTTGAAAGTTGAAACCACACATGGTGCATGTTGTGACAACCATCTGGAATTCACAAATACGTGAAGAATTTTGCCACTGAAATCCGGTAGAGCTACAGCAGTGTACAATTTACGTAGTGTAGGCACTGCCTAATACTTCTCGATTCCGTAGGGACTCGACAGCTCTACTGTATTCAGCTCAATCCGTATAGTTTCCTCTACGGTATTCATTCCGTAGGCATAGCACTTTCTGCACTGCAAGAAAGCCGTAAATATTTGCTTGCGTACAGCACGTCTTACTCACAGTACGTATTGTTGAAACTGGAGAATCTCTACCGTATGCATACCGAATTCAGTGACCGGTGCATTCTGCTCAGCACGGCATTCTTTCTGTAGGACTCTTGTCGTCATAGTTCTACTACAGTCTAAGAACTACTTGATTGGCATAGCAACTTTTTCTCTGTACTACGTTGTCGTGCGAATACGGTAGTTCTCTGGTAGTTCGCTGGTAGGTCTCTGGTATTCTGGACAGTGCGTAATATTTTGCATCCGGAAGAACTGCGGTAGTTATTCCGGCTTTTTAGTAACACATCTTTACAACACTGCGTATAATTATTCCATACCGTAGGATTGAGACTGTAGGAAAGAATAAAACAAATTCCAGAGTAAATCTGTATTCTCCGTGACTGCAGGATTTAACTCCGAGCAATTGTGGTACTACTGGAGACCTTCCGCATCACTCGCATCCCACTTTTTGCTACTGTAGTCAGCGTCAAGAACACTTGCATACAGGTGCTATTCTATTCTATTCTATTCCTTCTATCCGTGACCAGAGAGAAAGAGAGAGATTCAGTTTATTTTCGCATAAGTACGGCCTTTTACGGACTATGGCGACTACACAGGTGTCCTTGCAGTGCTATCCTACTAGCTCCGCGGGGGTTATAGTAGAGTAGAGAGGGAGCCCTATCGCCTTTACCTACCTAATGTATATACTAAAGAGATTCCATCCGTGACCACGGATTGCGCTGGTTAGTGGTCGAGCTCAAAGGCGGATGGTCGAGTCACGAGTGATCGCTTGGTGCAAGAATCCGTGCAGTCTACCTACAGTAGAGCAAGTTGCGCTACTATCATAGGTCTAGGCTGGAACCAGCCCATCCGCCGGGCGATATATCCAACATCTAGAGTATGTAAATAGAGTAGCTATCGTCCAGCCGAAGGGATCTCACCGGTGGAACAACCCGTGGTTGGATCCGGGGCAAGTACGGGTGCAGGTGCTCCCCTCCCTCCCGTCCCACAGTTAGTTGTTGTTTTTCTCGCCCGAGAGGCGGGACCGGACTCAGAGGAGAACTTGAACCGGACTAGTTGCCGGGTCGGAGGGGTTTGACTCAAATACGGGACGAACCTGGAGTTCATAATTGTTTCATCATCTTGCATTCGACCGGTTCCGCCGGCCGGCCACGGACACGGACTCGGAGGTTGCCTAGAGAAATTTCATCCCCCCATACCCCATTCTCTGATCTCCCACACACCCCACACAAATACCCCACATACCTCGAGCGAGGGCGGGTTTCCTTGTGTTTCATCCGTTGTGTAGGCATTGGGCCGTGTTCGGCCATAACTGTTTAAGTACCACACTCCGCCTCCTAATCATATGTAGCCCTCTACTAGACAACCGATGTGCCTACTATTTTAGTAACTATTCCGACGGGTTTCTCCTCTTCCCCTAAGTTCCAACTAACCCCGAGGACCAAAAGTCAAGTACTCGGCTATGCAGGGCCATGTACTGAGTGATCCACCATGGCCATGCGTGCACACAGGACGGCGTCGAGTACAAGTCAAGTGTACAACTACCGTAATCTTCTAAAAAGCACAGAACAACGAGCCGTAGAGCTGCTCTGAGCGCTCTCATCAGTCATCAAGTGTAGAATATTGTGGCCATCCATCGCGGAATCGCTGACCTCGCCCGACCAGCTGGGCACCGATCAGCGGCGATATCCAGCTTCCTTCACGAGCATGTATTCGGGCTGAGTTATCGCGCTCGCCCATTCCATCCAACGGGCGCAATTCCCTAGAGTAGACAGGCCAGACGTACCTATTGCAATTTTCAACCTTTTCCCGCCACGGGGACCTCGAAGGAGCCCAGCCCAGTGAGATTCCATGAAGATTCCATGAACGCCTGTCCTGTCCTGTCCTGTCTCCGCCGGGCAGGGGGCGGAGCCACAACAGAACAGGCCAGGCCAGCTGCGGACCGTGGATGCAGACGGCACCGTGTGTATAACGTGTTATGTATATGTATGTGTATGTGTATACTGCCACGATACAGATACTACCTAGTACCATGTTGTTACTTACATACTTGTGTCGCAAGCACTCACTCACTCACTCACTCACTCACTCACTCCAAATCCCCCCCCCCCCCCAAGAAAAATAAACAAACAAAAATGAGGCTACATAGGTATCCTGCCAGCTTCTTCTCCTGCCATCTTCTCGGGGAAGGGAAGGGAAGGGAGGCAGTGTTACATAGCAAACGACGAACTCAAGTAGGTAGCCCAGTATCCCAGTGGCCCAGTATCCCAGTGGCCCAGTATCCCAGTGGCCCAGTATCCCAGTGGCCCAGTATCCCAGTGGCCCAGTATCCCAGTGGCCCAGTATCCCAGTGGCCCAGTGGTGGGGCACCGAGGTAGGTAGGTAACAGGTTGCCGCTGTGTGATTCGTTCGATCTCGGATCGGATCGGATCCGTTTGGCCATTGATGAGCACGAAACCGAACCGTGTTGTCGCATGATGGATCACGCCGGGCGGCGGCGGTCACTTGACAGTTGACTGTAGTTGCGAACACGATACATACGTACCGGTACCTCACTACATAGGGAGCAGAGCCGGACGGGAACTTGGAAGCTGTGCAGAGTGGAATGGAGTGGAGTGGGATCAAGCCGCACCGAGACTACAAGACTGGCTGGATGGATCGCTGGGGTATTTGGTTGGCATGGTGGTGGTGCTGCCATCTAGCTGATGGTAAATTCGCAATCGCTGGTATGTAGTCAATCTCTCCAGAGATCTCCGTCAGCCTCCGTCAGCCTCCGTCAGCCGTCAGCCAATCACGTCCCATCACTCTTATGTCTTCCAGCCCGATTTTCTCGCGAGGTGTCATCAAAATTCCGCAACAAAAAAAAGATCATATCAATTGTATCAATTGCTCTCTCCTCTCTCCCCCGCCCGCTCGCCCCTCTCACCCTCTCACCCTCACCCTCACCCTCACCCTCTTCCTCCCAACCACCACCTCCCCTCCCCATCCCCATCCCCATCCCCGCCCCAGACAGAAATTGTTGTTGTTTAAGTAAGATGTAAGTAAAGTATGCGCGTGCATGATCGTTGTAATGTTTAATACCCCCAACCGAACCAAACCAAACAAAAGAGAGCCCCCCTCGCCCACCGCACCCCACCGCCACCCACCAGACCCACCAGGCCGACCAGGCCGACCCAACCTAGTATGCTGCCCCCCACAAAAAAAACACCTTCAACCATGGTTTGCTATCCTGCTTGTCTTAATACGGAAAGGAAATGCGGAAAGAAAATAGAGAATGCAGGCGAATATGACATGGAAAGAAAGAAATAAATGGAAGGAAGAACAAGGAGAAGAAAAAGAAAAAGAAGAAAAAACGCCGTGATATACTCGTGCTTGTACTACTGTCAATGGCCGAATGGAAAAAGAGAGAAAGAAAATGATCCGATGTTTGGCTTTTCATGAAATGGGAGGTAAGGAAAGAACTGTAAAAAAAAAGAATACAAAAGCAAGAATGATATCGAACTGTGTATGCACGTCTCACTCAAACGGCCGTCAGCGATCCTCCAAACGTCCTTAGGTCCAATTGTTGCGGTCCACTCGATGTGGACGGCTGTTGATGGGGGGACGCCAATGAGCGCATTATGTATTCGCCGCGTTGGTGATGGTGGTGGTGATACTGGTGTGGGAATGGGGGGCTATTTGCGTTTCTCCCACCCCAGGACGAGGAGCCGTGACTATCGTCGGACGAGGGTGAGTGGCTGGTATCTCCTAGCAGAGGGGGCGATTGGTATTCGTTACTGCTGCTGAAAGAGCGGTCGTAGCCGTGTTGGGTGAAGGGATCCATGGATGTGGGCGTGCGGGTTCGGGGACTGATGGAATAGTTCGAATCGGCATCCGAAGCTCGTTCCTTGTCTGCTGCTCCCCCTCGCTTGTCCGATCCTCGGGCCTTTTTGCTGGCCATACCGCTGTTGCTGTCGCGAGTGCCGCCATCGGTAGGTGCACGATGTCTCTTCCGGGACCTGGGTGACCCACCACTCTGGCCACCCGCCGCGTCCTGCCCGCCATCATCGTCGCCAGTGTCCCCGTCCGAGTGTGGCTTATTTTTGACGCCTATCGATACCGCCAGTGCCAAGTCCACGTTCGGCAGTAATTCGACGTCGGGGAACTTCCCGCCGTTCTGCTGCACCTCGACTTCGATTTTATCCAAGAGCTTATAGACGTCTTCGATCGTCCTCTCGGGGCCAGTGTACTTCATGAGCCAGTTCGAGCCACCACCGGCGGAGCTTCTTCGTCGTGTAGGTGTGGCGGTCGAGGAGCGTCGGCTGCTCTCGCCGCTGACCACGAGCTCGCTGTTGCCGTCCATCTCGTCGTCCACCACCACCGCGGCACCATCATCACCCTCGATATCCTCGACGTCGTCGATATCCTCTGCGTTGTCACCCTCCCGGTTCATCCTCAGCTCCTCCCGTCGACGGACCTTGATCACCCACTGTCTGACGCCGCCCCACTGCTCCAGCCGCTCACACTGCCGTCGGACCAGCTGTACTTGTTGTCTGGCGAAGCCCCGAGGGTTCCGGTATCGTGATCGTTGGTAATGTTTTCGGCAGTAGTAGACCCACACGTTCTTGGGGATTTGCCGCGTCGAGAGTTTGTTCCGGCCGAAAATGTGAGAGACCACTTTTCGGAGCGGGGATTCCGTCATGCAGCCGGCGCAGTAAGAGCATTTTGGCTCTTCGTTCAGGAACTCGTGGGTGGCTGACGAACTACTACCGCCAACTGCTGGCGGTCTATTGGCCAGTGTGGGGGCTTCAACGATTGTTCCGGACGATGATGAGCCGGTGGGCGTTGAGGGCTCCGGCGATGGACGGAACAGCGGTGCATCATCTACTGTCTGCGTTGCCATTGATGAAGTGCGTGCCTCTTGAGTGGTAGCCATCCTCAATGCCGGACTGTACAACGCTCGTCAGCAAGGTCGGAACAGAACGTGCAAACAAAAAAGAAGAAAAAAGCTGAACCGTACTCTATATTGATGCTGGAATTCCTTCCACCCCGTTGCTTCCGTCCCTCATCAATGCATCCCCCAACTACACCCCGCCCCGTGAGCACCTCCACTGCCAGTACCTCCTCGAGGCTCCGACGACCTCCAAGCGTAGCATTCTCCATCGCTACATCGGCAAACCGCATCAATGGATCGGCGGTCCCACCGCCACTCCCGGAGGACTGGCCGGTTGGTGGTGCGTACGCATGTATCGGGGGTTGGTGTTGTGGTTGATATTGAGGCTGACCATACGACCTGGGTCTCGATTGAGCGTATTGCGGCGCGTACGAGGTGCTGGGGAAGTAACTCGTGCTTCCGGCTCCACCAGTTCCCTGGCCACCATGGGGTGGTTGGTGAGCAGTTGACCGTGGAGATATCGAGCCTTCGACCGGCATTGCCGGCTGTTGTTGCTGCATGTTTACGAAAGATGTGAAGGGCGGCAATGCCCTCTGTTGCTGTTGACGAGGCAGTGACTGTTGCTGCTGGTGGTGTTGTTGCTGATGCTGATGCTGTTGTTGCTGATGCTGATGCTGATGCTGTTGTTGCTGATGCTGTTGTTGCTGCTGTTGTTGTTGCTGTGGTTGTTGCTGGTCTCTGTTGCCATGGCCAAGAAAGGTCGGGGCTGCTGAAGTCGTACCACCACCACTCGCAATAGCCTTTCCCCCGAACCACGTACTGTTGGGCTGGTGTTGCTGCAGCATGGATTTCTCCAGTGAGCCAGCAGCCGCCGTCGAAGCGGCGATGGAAGGTTCACTGTACGGACTTCGGGAAGACGCAGTGTGCTCACGATACACAGTCGGAGCCTGTTGGTATGGCGAATACGGCAGGTTCGACATCATGTGGGGGTTTGAGGACGAAGCTGGCACAGGCGAGGACGTCGAAGATGGTATCGATGTTGTACCGTTACCATGGTGGACGAGAGGCTCCTTAATAAGGCCAGTGGCTTGACCCACGAGCCGACGTGGCTCGGGATTCCTAGCACCAGTTTGGTGGGAGGAGGAGGAGGAAGAAGTGGTGGTCGATGGAGGGTGAGGCGTGGCAGAATCTGTGGCGGGAGCAGTGATGCCCGTCGGCGAGGGGGGCCCATCGTTGAGAAGGCTACCAATTCTCATGGTAGGTTCTGCTGCGCTGGCTAACTAGCTGTAGGGGCTGATCTTCCTTTCCGTGTTGTTGTTGTTGTTGTTGTTGTTGTTGTTGTTGTTGTTGTCGTTGTGGCTATGGTTGTTGTTATTGTTGTTGTCGTCGTGAAGCTTGTTGATAAACAAGATGGAATAGAATGGGAAGGCCTCTGTGAGATGGCAAGTCGTTTTCCCGGTGTTTTGTACTGCGGCAACACAATTAAAAAGGAAGACCGCCCCGTTCGTCTCCTTCCCTGGCAGATGGTCGATGGCAGATGGCAGATAGCGGATGGAGCTTTGCCGTGTGGTCCCCTGGACAGCGAGCTTCCTTTCGTTTGCTGCGGCTAGTATAGCTCTTGCGGACGTGGTCGTGTGTACACGGGTGGCAAGTTGGTCAGTTTTTGTTTCTCGGCCACGCGACTGATCGGTGATTCGCCGAAATAACGGGAAGCCGTAGAGTGGACGAGAGAGAGGCTATCAATGAGGAAAAGGTGCGGAAGAAGAGCGCGGGACACAGACGGAATATATAGTATCAAATCTGCAGGGCGGGATGGAATGGTGGGGAATTCAATGGCCCTGCTTGGTCTTTTTTTTTTTTTTTTTTTGATTGGCGCCAGGAGCAAGTAGTTGGAACAGCGTTCTCTTCCCTCCCAATGCTGGAGACGTACAGGTGCAAGAAAAGGCCCCCCGATGGAGCTCCGTACAGCAGTATCTGATTCAGAAGACTGAAGCTGGAGGGATTCTTTTGCAGTGGGGATGGAGGTGGACGGACGAGACGGACGAGAGGGACGAGAGGACCCTGTGCTTTCCCAGTGCTCGCTTGCTGACGGCGAGGGAAAGAGATGAGGTGATGCTAACAGCCAGATAGGGAGATGATGATGAGGACTGTCATGCGGGAGCGGGAAGACCTCAACGCCGCCGTAATCACTGTGCCAACCTCTGCTATGTCACCCCTCTCCCTCCTCCTTCACCGACTACGTGGATGGTCGAATGGGAGGATGAGGCAGATGGCGGGGGTGTGTGCCAAAAGGGTTGTCCGTGTGGAACTCTTTGGGGACTTTTGGTAGGAAGAAGAGGGGTGGGAGGGGAGCTGGGAGGGGTGGTATCGGGAAGCACACTGCACCTGATGTCGTGTCCCGTCCAAACGCTTCGCCCTGCTTGTGATTCTTGCTTACCAAGGATGATGAGCCTTTGGACCTCTACTAGTGGGTTGGATTACTTTTGTGGAATTGACGGTGAAATGATGGTATGGTATCCGAGTAGGGGTGGTATGGGAGGAGGGGCGGAGGGCGAGGAGGAGGAGGGCAAGGAGGAGTACTAGGACTAGGACGAGGACGAGGACAAGGACGAGGAGGAGGTGGGGTGTATGGGTATATCTGACGATGGTGGTGTTGGATGATGGTGATGATGATGGTGATGATGATGATGACGGGACGAGATGCGGCCTGAACCAACCGACAAACAAAGATGGACTCACAATTATGGCTGGATCAACGCGGTGCACTCGTAACCGACTTTTGCGCACTCCCTTCACCGGCTCATTCTTGTTCTTCTCGTTCTTCTTGTAGTGGATTGTGACTGGCGGTCCTTCCCTTATTTCCTTTCTTTTTTCGCCGCAGTTGCAGTTGCAGTTCCAGTTCCCGACCCCTTCTTCTTCTTCGTCTCCTTCTTTTTCTTTTCTTCTTCTCAGAGATCCTCCGACAGCTCTCGCGGCGGCGGGAACAAACGAATCCTTATAACGGCCTTCTTAATTCCTTGCTTTTTCTTGTGTTTTTCTTTTCTTCTTCTCCGTCTTCTTCTTCCTCTTCTTCTTCTGCTTCTCTTCCCTTCTTCTTGTTCGTTTTCTTCTTCTTCTTCAGTTCCTTTCCTTTCCGCCTTCTCGAGCCTTTCGTATAGTAGTCCTCCTTCCCCGATAGACACCTTTTTTTTGTATATTCTTCCTATATCTTCCTATTTTTTTTAATAAATTTAATTTTTTTTGTTTATGTTTTGCACACACCGACCGGCGTGAAAAGCTTCCTCGTTGCCGCCAAATCCCTGCGCTTGGTGCCTGGCTGGCTGGCTGGCAAGGTCGTGCTTGCTTCCTTGCTGGCACGTCCACCAGAGACTCAGACTCAGACTCAGACGAACTATGTCCACGCGGCAGAAAGCCGAGGGCAGGCAGGGCCAGTGAACCTTTTGAGTTGAGGAGGAGAATTGACTGGACTAGACTGGGCAGGGCAGGACTGGGCAGGGCTGGGGGGAGAGGTCAGGCCTTGCGGACTACTATGTACTGGCCAGTGTGGGGGGAGGGCGGCTGTCCCTTACTTGGGGATGGGAGGGAGGGATTGGGGGGAGGGATTGGTGGGAAGGAAACGTTACGGGAACGACACACAAGGCGGAGGAGGGAGCCGGAGGCTCAGTGACGGACGGATCGGTAGCCTGTGTGGCCTGTAGCGCTCGGCGAGGCGGGGCTGAAACGCAACGCAACGCAAGCAACGACGATGTGATTGGATGATTGGATGATTTGATGATTTTGTCGATCGGGGCCCCCCGGGCGTCCGCAATAAACAAACGAAACGAAAAAACGGCTTCGGATGATGACGAACAATCAGAGGCGAGGCGAGCGAGCGGGTGGTTGACAGGATTAAGCTTGAGACAGGCAGGCGGGCAGGCAAGAGGTGAGAGGTGTAGGAAGGTTACGGAAGAGGGGCGGGGCGGGGCGGGGCGGGGCGGGGGGTGGTGATGGTGGGGAGGGGAGTGGGGGGGTTACGGTTACGTGGGTGCACAGTCAAGGCGAGGCGAGTGGAGGAGGCATGTCGTCGTAGTCGTCGTCGCTGGGGACAACCAACAATCAGACGAAGAGGCTAGGGTATTGGGGTTCTGGGTGTAACGACGAAAAAGGGACAAGCTCGAATCGGAATCCCTGGATATGATGATGCGGGGGGGATGGAGGGATGGATGTGTGGATGATGGATGGATGAGAGGGCAGCTGGGGCACACGAGCGAGGGCAAGGGCGATCTACTCTACATACTCACTGGAACTAGGCTGGGGGCTGGCCGGCAGCATCCATCCAGGGCAGTGGATTGACTGCCAGCTCCTGCAGTCCGTTTGAGCCCCCCCCCCCCCCCCCCCCCACACGAGCGGTATGTAGCTGGCAGAGCAGAGCAGCCGCAGCAACATCTGCAAGCACTCTGTTGAATTGCGTGCAGTCCAGTCAGAACCGGCGCTTGGATTCGGTTCCAAGCCGTTCCTGGGGCTAATTGGTTGGAGAGGAACGGATGGACTGGCGACCAGAAGACCAGGAGGCAGAAGCGGATTCTATTCTCTGTCGAATGGGCATGTAAGTTGGTTACTCTACTCTGGTAAGAATACGCCATAACTGACTATCTAGATGGGCAAGTACGATACTATGGAACGGCAGCGATAGGCACGGAGAAGCAGATGGATGGCGTATGTCTGGCTTGATGGCTTGATGGGCGTGATGGGCTTGATGGCTTGCCGGATGGCTGGACGAACCGCCGAATGAATGAGCGCGGGGCAGAAGGCTTTGGGCGTGGACGTAAGCAAGAGTCCTGTCCATCATCCATGGCAGCCATCCCTCACCCGCACAGTCACTCACGCGAGCTCGCTACTAGGTCTCCGGTACTAGTAGCTTTATCTACCTATTCTCCTAAGTGTATTTCCAAGTGTATTTATCTCACTCCCTCTCTCTCTTCCTCGCTCACATTCACGGCCCCGGGCCTGCAGATTCGTGCAGACCACTTGGACTTTCCGCACGCAGAAGCAGTGTAGTTACAGCGGATCCGCTCTGGGCCTAGTTAGTCAGTCGGGCGCTGCAGTTGCTTTATGCGTGCAGCGCAGCAGCAGCAGCAGGGCGGGGTTCATCAGAATTCCCCGCCCAACAGCAAACCGATATTACTTGTATGTCCCTTTCCCATCCCATGGACCCTGATCTTTGCTGGGTTCCGTCTTCTTGCGAGGCCGCATGGTTTTGTTTGTTTGTTTGGGGGGAGGGGGCGTGGAGAGGGGGGATGTACATGCTACATACATCCACCTACGGCCATTGCGAGGCGGAGATGCAACGGAGCCGTCCAGTCTCTAGGTCTGCGAGAGAGAGGGTGTGTGTGTCGGATCTGCAAGTGGGTGTGGAGTGGGTATGGGGTGAGTGTGGGTGAGGAATTCGAGGATGTGGCCATGGCTGTATGTGGCAGCACTGGCCGTGGCCGGTCATGTTGAGAGCCGGGTGTGCGTGTGAGTGTGTGTGCTTTTCTTGTGTGTGTGTGTCCACACCCCTCATCCTCGACGGCTCCGCGTCCTTGCCCCCGATTCTGGTGATCCAGTCTCTGATTCTGGACTGTAACTAAGTCTGTGTCCTCTACTTTTCCGGCCAAACCCTCGAGAATCCGATTGTGCCGCGAATGGTTCGCAATCGCTTGATTGATTCGACCGGCAGCTCGCCCCACCACCCCTCTCATGCATCCCTCCGTCCCTCCCTCCCCCTCCGTACTCTCCCCCCACCCACCATCCCACCATCACACCCACCATCACACCGATAATAGCCCCGCCTCCTGGGCGTGGTGGTGGTGGTGGCAGAACCGTCGAAAGCAGCGAACCAGCCGAGAATAACTAACGAAAAGTATGGTAGGTATGCGAGTGTAGTGTAGTGTAGAGATGGGACGAAGCAGCAGCAGACCCAGCAGCAGCAGCAGCAGCAGCAGCAGCAGCAGCAGCAGCAGTGGTAGTAGCAGCAGTCCAGGCAGCCGCGAGGCGTGAACTGTGAAGCGTGAACTGACGTTGAGGTCTACATACGTTACCGCGTGCCGCCCTTGAGGCTTGGAACGAACCGGACCGAACCGATGACAGTAGTGCACAGTCCACTGGTCTGTCTATCTACTGGTTTCAGGGAATGTTTGCTTTTTTTTCTGGCTGGTTGGCTGGGCAGTGAACGGTGAGGGGTCCGACGGAGTGATGACCGACTTCGACTGCGGGTTTCTTCTAGACTGGACGATCTGGAGTTCTGGAGCTCCTCTCTGCTTTCGCGAAACATGTGTACGCAGATAGATAGGGTGGATGCCAGATGCAATGAATGATGCAGGCGCACTTTATGTCTACGACGTCTCGTCTTCGCCGTCACCGTCGTCATCGTCATCGCCTTCGCCTTCGCCCCCTCTCGCGATGGCATGGGCAATGTATGTAACTAGTGCAGGACAGACAGATGTGATATCGAACGGTGTATATGCTACATACATCTGCAGACAAAACACCGGCCATGCAACGCAAAGCAAAATGAATCCTGGCTCCCGATAGCTAAACCCGTGGGTAGGTGGGTATGTCGGCAACTGGAAGCATATGTACATGCGTTCTCCATACCATACCTTGAGACTTGAGAGTGGAGTAGAGTAGAGTGCGGTGTGCATACATGGTACCTACATACAGACAGACATACATACAGTACGGTACAGTGCAGAACAACTTATCTCATCACTCCGCCCCCACCGCGGGCGTGATGACTGGCTCACTGGCTCGCTCATTCGGACGGTGGGACGATGGAACGATGGGATGATGGGACGGTGGGGTCCACGATTACATTGCACGATGGGGGGTGCACCGTGCTGATCGCGGCGGCGGAGGATTACAAACTCTTGGGGGCGTTCGATCGGTTCACCGCTTTTGCTTTGCTTTGCTTTGTGTTCGTCCGAGCCCCTCCTTCCCCATCCTCCCCTCCATCATCCTCCCCTCCATCATCCTCCCCTCCACCATCCTCCCCTCCTCCTCTCCTGCCCCCGCACGTCCCATACCGTACGGCATCGACGGACGGACGGACGGACAGACACGACACGGTGGTGCACACTGCCGAAGCACATACCTCATACATCGCAAAGCAGAGCACCACCACCACTATCCACACCGCCGCATCGAAGCGGATGCCAACGCCAACGCTAGACGTTTGTATGTACCGGTATGTATGTAGGTCTTGCGATTTGCGATTTGCGATCATGATACCTCCGCATTGCGTTGGTGATTCGCTACGTATCATACGAGGAGGCCTTGCATTCGTTTTTGTTTTGTTTTTTGTTTTCTTTTGGTTTCGCCCTTCCCTTTCGAGTCTCTTCTTTCCTCCATTCCTCCCTTCCTTCTCCGACGCTCGAAGCCTGGCGGCGGTGGAACATACATACGTACGCGGATTACTTACTTGGACGACGACTTGAGTCAGTCTTGGATCCGGCTGGCGATGGATGTGCGTTGCCGCCGCGCCCAGTGTCATACAGATTGATTGATTGATTGATTGTACCCGTGGTGTACTATACCTTACTATATGATACTCTACAGCCCCAGAAACAGAAACAGAAGTAGAAACAGAAACAGAAGTAGAAACAGAAACAGAAACAGACGGAGACCCGAGGACGGGAGAGGGGGGAGGGGGGCGTCCCATGCTTGGTTAGCTCTGTACGGTACGTGCAGCACGCAGATGATAAAATTCCATCGCAACTTGAAAAATATCGTATGTGAACTACATACCCGAGCAGGACAGGACAGGACAGGACAGGACAGGACAGGACAGGACAGGGAAGGATAGGACAGGACAGGACCGAAATACGTTTGGCAGCCACTACGGCATTATCCTCTACTACGGTATTACCCAGTAGAGAGTCAAGGCTAGAGTGTAGTAGGCTGGCTGGTCCGGAGTTCGGATGGACGACCCCTCCAACTCCTCTGGCCCTTTCTCCTTCACCCCTCCTCCTACGCTACGGTACGGTGCTTTCCTCCTCCTCATGCCTGTCTTCTTCATCATAGTTACTACTCCTACCCTACTACTCTACCATACACACCACACCAATCTACAAGGTATATCAATACGCAGCTTGTGTTCGCCTCCCTCCCTCCCTCCCTCCCTCCCGTGACCCCCATGTCTCAAAAGCTTGGTGATATAGTATATTATAGAGTGCTTCCCCGGCTTAAGCGGCGGCGCCGGCGGTTCGGGGGTTTGGTAGTAGAAGCGATGCGGGTAGAGTATATGTACTGTACCTAAAAGTACCAAAGCGTGTACCTGAGCATGTACCTGCCTTTGTATGTATTCGGAGTAAGTAAGTCGAGTACTCAAGGCCACATCTACACAGCTACCAGTACTAGGTAGCGGCATCTATACCTAGTAGTAGAAGTAGTAGTAGGTAGTAGTAATTACTTGCTTACCCACGCACTCCGCTGTACTTACTAGTAGTACGGGAGACATGATATATCTCTGTAGTTATGACGGCCCATCACACGATACCTACCGTATTGCAACTCGCAGAGAATGTGGAGAATGCGACAAACTACCTGGTTGCTTAGGTACTACTACCGGTAGTATATAGTAGACCCGACCATGATCGTGGACGGTGGCCCCGGCGAAGCGGTGAGAGCGCACTCCTGTCCGTTCAACCGTAGCTGCCCACCCACCCACTCACTCACCCAATCAATCATCCACTCGATCACTCACTCACTCAGCGGACCAATTGGGCTGAGTACCTAGGTAGTTAGTACTCTCTCCGTCCTTGATTATTCCATTCCAACGGCAGGGGAAGACTCGCGAGTAAAAGTAATGGGCATCCGCATCCGCAGCAATCGCTACATACCGTACTAGTAACTACCGGTACTACCGGTACTACCGGTATGTAGTATCGGGACTCTTGAGTCTTGTCGGTGCAAGAATTCGAACCAAAAGGCTTGGATACTTTCCCCGGGGGCCGGGTGGCGCTTGCGGTCGCCGTCGCCGGTCACGCCAAACTTGTTCCGCGTTTCGCTGCATGCTGGATTGCTGGATATGCTTAGGTCTTACTGTCTTACATGTTCCTCGCTTCCTATGTAGAGATATATGTGCCTGGAGGGTGGAGGATGGATCCGCTTCCGCCCTGGCTAACTCATGGGATAGGGATACTTTCACTTCTGCTTCCTACTTAGAATAACCAAGTAAGTAAGATGTACTTACGGTACTTGGGTCCGCCCCCGATGCCGTTATCCAGCGCTCGCGGGAGAGCGAGAGGTGAGGTGAGGTGAGGCGACTAGCCGAGGCCGCCGCCGCCGCGGAAGAGAAAAAAACAAACCAAAAAACGGACCAGAAAATAAAGAGCCCCCATCCCCTCCCCTCCCCTGTGTGTGCGCGATATGTAGATGCGTGCGCTCGATGGACGTGAACCCCAGTGTCCGGTTGGCTGGGGATGTCGCCATATATCATACTAGTAGGTAGAGTAGAGTAGAGCAGAGGCCATGCACTACTAGTATCTACTACTACTAGTTAGGGGTATGATATTTACCACTAGAGTACCCACATCGACTTCCGCTTCCCCCTGCTGCTACATGAAGTGGCTCTATATACTGGTTGATATCCATCTTTCCCAAATCCTACCATTCGCATGTATGGTCCCTGCACGTTTGATTCGCACCGTGCGCTTAGATACTAGTTAGTACCCAGTTGCCTTACCTTACTGGCAATCCGAACACCACCAACTACCTAGCCGGCCGATGTCTAAAAGACTGAAACTCCGAGTGGAGCTACCTACACTACCGGTGGCGACTCGGCGCGAGGTGCGAGGTGCGTGGTGGCGGTCCGGGTTAACTGGAGAACAGCGGTTGTTCTCCACTTCCCATCATCCATCCATCAAGCAGGCAAGTACCGGACTTGAGTAGTTATCAATCATTTGCAATTGCAATCGTCAAGTGTGATACGCCGCCACGGAACACTTTGATTCTTCAATGGCCTAAGACGGTAGACTCCGGGTAGAGTACGGACCACTTGATCGATCGGACTAACTAACACACGAGCCACTTGCGCGCATGGGGGAAGGGCGGATGGTAGATAGAGTACCTATAACTACGACTACTACTACTACTGGTACTTCTACATATAGATATACCAGGCCCTCAGAGTCCCAGACAAGGCTGCGTCGATCCCGGCCGCTACTCTAGATACAGTACTCTACGGTACTCTACGGTATGCGGACCAGGCTTCGGAGCTCTCCTCCTAGATACATATCATACCTACAGTGTACACACCTACCTACTCCAGAGTCTGCGTAAGTGAGTACTTCTTACCGTCATGTAGGTAGTCCAAGTATGTATTGTACAATACATACAGAAAGCCTCCCCCTCCACCCGCGGTCCCGCGGCGGCCGCCACTCGTGCAGTTCGGTGCAGTGCAGTGCAATTATACTATACTACGGTACATATACTCTACCAACTACTCTACAACAACAACCAGAAAAACAACCCTACCGGCAGATGTATCCGCCGCCCACAGGCTAGGTACGGGAAGTAGGTACTCTACAGGCTCGAATCGATAGCCTTAGGTAGGTATCGGGGGTATATACCGTACCGTGTGCAGTGTGCGCCGACATGGCTGGCTGGCGAACTAATAACTACTAGTAAATAAGTAGAGTAGAGGATTGTAGCTTTGTGGCTTTGTGGCTTTGTGGCTTTGTGGCTTTGTGGCTTTGTGGCTTTGTACTACCTAGGTACAGCAATCTACGGAACGTCGTCGTCGTGTCGTCGAGTGCAGAATTTAGGCTCCCCTCCAGAGTGGAGAAGTCGAGTCGGTAAGTACCTGGGTAAGTACCTGGGTGCGTACTTGGGACTTCCTTGGATGTATAGGTACCTGGTATATGTGCGTATCGCTCAACACTGCAGGTGCTTGCGGACCGACTGATCGGGCGGCCGACTGACTGACTGGATGGATGCCCGGCCGGACTGCGTGCTACTGTTGCGCACTACCGTACCGTATGTTCCATGGCCCGTGGTGGCGAGGGTGGTGGTGGTGGTGGTTGCGAGAGCGTGGTCGGGCGTGTTGCTATTGGTAAGTAAATACCTACCTCATACTCGATGTACTCTTCAAGCCCCCTCGCAAGTCAGTCCGCGCGGCTCGGATTTCTACCTAGGTAGCTAGTAGATCCGTACCGAGGCCAGTACGACTCGGGAAAAGTCGACGGACGGGAGCACGGGAGGAGGGTGCGTATGTACGGTGTTGTGCACTATTCGTGAGCTAGTTAATGCCGCTTGCAGGAATGATATCCAGACTGTAAACTCCTGAAGCTCCGCTCCGTACCGTAGATTTCCTATCTAGCTGCTCGGCGCCACCACCACGGCCCATTAATCAATCCATCCATCCAAGCAACATCTCTGTGGCGGCGCCGCATGATTTAGTATGTAGCGGCCACGATCTCCCGCCCCGCCCCGCCCCGCCCCCATAGCTCCTCCTACGGTACACGCACGCACGCACGCACGAGTACGTACATACATACGAGATAACGTACCGTATGTACGAGATATTTCGAAAGTTTGGAGAGCTTTTCGGCGGGGCCGCGGGGGCGCCACTGCAAGTCTGCAACCGCAAGTGCACGCGCGCACAGCGATCCCGAGATCAACATGAACATCCCAAGCGTCAGGTTCCGGTTCCGGTTCCATGTTACAAGTTCGCATTCTGCACGACATACTGTAGGTACAGTAGGTCTGCGTCCGCAGCCAACATGTATTGTACATGCCTATCTATCCGGTGCCGTCCCCATGGTGTGCGAATGATGGACAGTGATGCCTCTCTCCCATCCGAACAAAAAACAAACGCCACCCCACCCACGCGTCTAGACTTGGACTCGACCTCGGATGGCCCGCCGAAGCGACCCGCTCCACTGGTCGGTCGTCCCCCTAACTATGGTACTCTAGCTAGCTGGCCTGAGACATCAACGTCATAGGTACTTCGGTGGCGTGGGCGTGGGCGTCGCCGTCGCTGTCGCCGACCCGTGCGTGCGTGCGTGCGTGCGCCCACAGATAGATACGGTACCTACCATAACATTGTGTGGCTGTAGGTTTGTAAGTAGAGTGGTCCTCCATCTACCGGGCGTGTAACGTGGCCCCGAGGGAACACGGTTGGAAGTTGGAACAGCTGGTGTTTTTTCTTGCTCTCCACCGGGGATATCCAAACTACGCAGGTAACTCCGTAGGTATCGTGGACATCCCATCCCGTCCCGTCCCATCCCATCCCATCCCACGCGCTCGACGTACGTAAGAACGTGCCGCAACGCAGCGCAGCGTCGTGTGTACCGTACCGTACCGTAGTCTCAGCCACGCGAAGGTCGAAGCCGCGCTTCGAGAACCGACCGAGCGAGGATGTGCTATTCCGCAAATACGATGGTGGCCGGAGAAGGTGGGGTGGACACTGGAAAGTGCATCGGGATGGGAAGTGCAGGATTCGCGAGATTATGCCCGTTCCGAAGGATCCATCCGCCGTGGCCGGCCCGGCTTCGACCGAACCGATCGAAGACTGATGTGATCGACGCGATAGTGGCCCAGCCACTCGTCGCTGTGCTGCTCTGCGGGAGAAGGAGGAGAAGGAGGAGGAGGAGGAGGGGACGAATGACTGCACGCCACTGCGCTACGCTACTGGTGGAGAGTAGATCATCTGGATGGACAGGCTGCTGCTGCTGGGCGGGGCGGGGCGGGGCGGGCGCACACGGCAGTGCGTTCGTCTGTGTTCTGTGTTCTGTGCTTTCGTCCGTTTGTGCCGCGCCCCTCCCCGCCCTTCTCCAGCTTGGTTTCTTACGTGTTTCCTTGCATGTGCTTGTGCTTGTGCTTTGCTCGCTGGCAACTGGCCAGCCTCCCTGCTTGGCCGTCACTCACTGGCTCGCCTACCGACCGACCCGGGTCCGACATGATGTTTTGTTTTTGTTTTGTTTCGCTTTTTTATTTTTTGTTAATTATTTCGTTTTTTTTTTCTTCCCTTGTGAAGTTCGAACCCCTCCTCATGAGCGAGCGAGAGGAGCGGAGCGCCACGGCGCTCATCTCGGTTGGCAGCTGCAATGCGAAGCACCGATCCCCCGCCTCTCTTCCCCTCTCGTCCCCACCCTCCCACCCACCCATCCACCACCCACCACCCACCACCACCCCCCCTCTCGCTTCCAGACACTATCTGCAGCGATGGCAGTTTCATATCCTTGTGGAGATCCCCATCTGAAAAGAAAGAAAGAAAAACTTCGGACACCGCACGCAGGGTAAGGTCTGGGCGGAAATCGTAGTGAGTGTATGTAGAGTACTCGGTGCCCCGCCCCGCCCCCGTGACCAATCCAACCCAACCCACCCGACTCCGACTCCTCGACCAGCTTGCTCCTTCGAACTCGGCCTGCGTCTGGCTCTGGCGCTCGGCCAATGGGTATGCAAGTAGAGTAGCTACGCTGCAACTAAAACTAATATGCATAGACAGCATAGGTAGACAGCATACATAGCAAGACGGACCCGCTTCCCCAGTCCCCAGTCCCCACTGCATCATCTCATGCCTTCCAGACTTCCAGTTATTGTCAGTTTTGGGAAAGAAAACGAACCGGCGGCGGCGGTGGCGGCGGCGGACTACGCACTGCGGACTGCGGACATCGTTGCTCCTGGCGGTGCTTGCTTTGCTCACCTCGTGCTGACTGCCACGCGATGATGATGCTGATGTTGTTGTTGTTGTCGCTGCTGTTGTGTTTTTGTTTGCATCCCGATACTATTTCCCGGGGAGTGCCGGGGAGAAAGTACTCTACTCTAGAAAGAAGGAAGGAAGAAAAAGAGAAAAACAAAACAAAACCATGGAAAAGTCTCACCACGCGTACGGTACTCCACATACTGTACGTTTAAAATGTAAGGTATCGTTACATTAAATCAAATATCATATACCTACGGCAATATAGCGACTTGCGCACTGTCCAGGTAGGTACCGATTTGCCCAAAAACCCCGCATAAGCAGTAGCAGTAGGTAGCAGTAGCAGTCGGTACATGGCCGTCGGTAGCAGCATGTAACTGCTAATTCCGTCGAGTTGGAAGGGAGCGGGGGTTTCGCCTTGGTATAATACATGATACTTGGTCTAGCTCGAGGAGAGGAGAGGGGAGGGTCGGAGGCGACTCTGCTGATCTGCTTGCGGGATTCCTGCGTCGACAGTTACTCCACATACCTAGTCCATGTATGTACCTCGAGTACGTACCTGGTAGATATGGTACCGTATGGGGCTGACCTCAAACTTACCAGCTGCGTAAGTAAGAAGTAACGATGGACTTCTTTTCGGGTTTCCGACTTTTGAGAAATCTGGATGGGGACTGCGCTATACATGCGCCTACATACTCTACATACATGGCACTTCTTACTTACATACTGCACATGCAATGCGCATGGGAGATGACTCGGCCTTGGCGAGCGAAACGACGTCGGTGGGCCCGCTCGCTCGATCGAATGGACGGGCTGCTGTGTGAAGCCATTAACTACTAGCACCCGGGGTAAAAAAAAAAGGAATAAAAAATATCGAGGTGGGAAGGGGAGGGGGATGGAAGCCTGTTGGCTCGACCTTACCGCAGGTTCGCAAACTGTTCTGTTCTGTTCTTTTCTGGCAGTTGTGGGTAAGACAGTTTTCCTGCAGCCCATGATGGCCGTTTGGATGGAGGATTGGATGGAGGAGGCGTTCGCGTTTCCTTCCATACCCATTCCCAACGATCGATTCGAGCGCATAATTTTCGCTATATCGGCCCCGCCCCCCTCTCGTCCCCTTCCTGGTAGATATCGGGAGAGATACGGTAGAGAGAGGGAAAGAGTGTGAGCGTGAGAGAGAATCCAATCGACAGGTCGACAGCATCTAATTCATCCCAAGTGTGCGTGCGTGCGTGTGCACTGTGCAGCAGCGGCAGTTGGACGGTGGATGCTGGATGGCGGATGGTAGGTTAGCATGGCAACTGTTGGAACCGTGGGCCCCACGAGTGGTTCAGGCGTGGGGGGTTCCGTCTATGGTACATAATCGGCGGCGTGCAAGGTGCAAGGTGCCGACAGGACGTGATGACCCCCCAACGGTACCAGTAGCTATCGGTACATAAGTGAAGAGTTACAGCCGCAAGGCATGTAGGTAATTGATCATGATAGTTACCGATCACGATGGGGCCATGGACTTGGAAGTTGGGGCCACGGCGGACAGAGCAGATAGGAGCGAAAGTACCGGCCGCAACATAACACACATACCAGTAGGTACTAGCAAAGTACATGTCATCCAATCCAATCGCGAATTCTGCATCTTATGTCGCGCCACACCTTTTCCTCACCGCCATGGATGCACACCGGCATCATCCCCACTCCCACCACCACCATAACCAGCTGTCAACCCAGCCGACCGACCGGCCACTCTAGTATAGCCAGAGTACGGTATAAGAACAAACGAACTCGAATTTCAACAGCCCCCCGCAAGGCGGGGCAATGTTGGAATCGTATGAGTGTGCTGTAAGTAGATTAAAGGCCCCACCATCATCATCGTCATCATCATCAGCATCATCATTACGCATCTTGTATGTATGTAGGTCCGCCATCATCATGGATTCATGGATTCATGGATTTATGGATTCCCAACAGCAGTAGAGCAGACAGTAGTAGACAGCAGCAGACAGCAAACGCTTCTGCAGAGTAAGCACTTAACTACGACGGTAACCATCTACATATACTAGGTATATGTGACCTCTAGCATGTTCCCAACACTCGAAAAACTAGGCTGAACGAGGCGAGGTGGGGGGGGGGGAGACTGGGCGATGCCTCGCCTTGGCGAGTGAGTGCCAGTGATGGAGGGAGCATTTCCCCAGTCCCCAGCCCCTCCCCATCTTCATCCTCATCGATATCGATATCCAGCCATTCAGCGAGACGGACGCCAGCCTCGAGTTGGGTAGCAATATCTAACCCGTCCACCCCCCAATATGTACCAAGATCCAGACCGCGGCCCCCCCCAGTGGCTGGACTGGACTGGACCGGACCGGACCGTCGCTCACGGCGGTGGAGTGGTGGAATCCTGTGCGTCTATAGTACATAGAGTAGAGTGAAGCACTCCACCAAGTACCTAGTACCGGTATGTAGGAGCGCCCCCGGCCACACGCACATCCAGACATCCAGACACCTGCAAGGCAAGGCGTGCACTGCGGCGTCCGGATGGGATTCCTCAACGTTTGGGATGTGTACAGTATGTACCCTGTGCCTTTGCGGCGGCTGCTGCTGTTCAGTCCGTCAAGTACGTCAAGTACGTACCTACATGTGCGTCGAGTCCACCCGGATATCCCACCATCACCTTACCATCACATCACCACCACTATCACCATCACTGGCTATCATCACAACCCGTGGGGGCGACCAGTGATGCGATGCGATGCGATGCATGTGCTTAAAAGCCTACCTGCGGCTGGCGGCCATCATCATGTCAGTCCTCCCTCCCCCTCCCCCGCCCGCCCGCCGAGTCCCAGTCCCAGGCAAAGTATAGTACCTACTAGTAGAGCACTCTCCAACTACTTGGGTACGTAGAGTACTCTACGCATCGCACGCATCGAAACTCGTACACATGCGTACCCGCAACACACACCCCGGTCGCCGGGGGGTGTTGGTGGAAAGCCCGCTCGCCATTGGCCGGCTCGGCGGGGGGGCGGGGGGCGGGGGGCGGGGCGGTTCGAGGCTTCATCACTCACTCAATGCCTTCTCGGTTGGAAGTGTGTGTGTTTTATTTTAGTTATTGTTTTTTTTATGTGGTGGTTTGCTCGCTGAGCTCGGTCCCTCGCCCTCGCCGGGCAAGCCGGCATCTCCGAAGTCCTGGTCCTCGCCTTGCCAGCTGCTGTTGGAGCGGACGGACGTGGGGTGACGGTGATACGGTATCTATCGATCGTATGTACCGGTATGTAAGCACAGCACATGGGAATACTCTACCCAAGTGTGTTTGTTGGGCTCGGTGCGGTGCAGTGCGCAGCGGCGCGTCCATGTTGTTTCAGCGCCGGAACGGAGTTGCGAAAACCTGCGTCGCCCCTCACCCCCTCCCGATATACAGCTGCCTATGTCTCGATCGGAGCGTAGGGAAGACACGCCTCTAGATCGTGGGAGCTCCCCCCTTCGGATCTCGCTCGGACAAGACGCTAACTAATCGCTCCTCGCTCCGAACCGAGAAGGGCCCAAAAATACTCACCCCTCCTCCTCCCGGTACATTCGACGTATCGTATGTCCGTATCGTACCTCCATCCGCCACCACCATACCCCCCACTTTCTAGGTATTCCGCATTGAATAAATTCCAGGGTTTTGCGTGGAATTACCCACTTTAGCCCTAATTCGATAGATAAACCCTCATCCCGCCGCCGGATTTCAGATTGATTAAAGAATTATTTCTGTCTTTTTTTTCTTTCGCGGCGGATGATTATTTCTTCTTCCCAGGATTCGAATACATACCATGTTGTTCCAATCGAATAGAATCGAATGAGCTGTCCCGTGCGGCGGCGGCCACACACACATACACGTGCCCCCAGGTGCTTGCACTTGACTACTACTCTACCGCCCCGCAATAGCCGCGTCCAATCATCAACCTCGGCGCCCTAAAATTCGCAAACAAATCTCCCACTTTCTCGGCGCCGAGATCCCTCCATATCTATAGAGTCTCGACGCAGGGCGGGAGGGATGTCAAGGGGATCGTTTGTACATACATACATGCTATGTCTATAGTATGTATAGTATGTACAGATATATAGTATGTATAGTATGTACCTGGGAACCGACCGACCGACCAACCGACCGGGCCTCATATGACAGCCTCGTGATGGGGCGCAGATCACCGTATCTATCGTACATACGGAGTTCTGACTGGACTGGACTCCGCTCGTACACAGCGATGGGTAAGAAGTGCAGAAGTGCAGAAGTAGGCAAGTAAGCGGAAGGCCGAGCCTCTGCTCACGGGCGATGAGTGATGAGTCGTAATGCACCTTCCGGCTGGCGGTGAGAGTACGAATGCGAGACATCGTAGATCTGCGGCCAGATGCCTCGCTCGCTCGCTCACTAGAGCGCACATAGAACCGGGGTGCTGCGTGATTGTTCGCAGTGTAGGTATCATACGTGCGGATGGCGCCTGGTAAACATCATCCGGTTCGGTTTCGTACCTCATGCTCCGGACCTCCGGTTCCACGGTCCACCTCGTGTAATTTCGAGAATACTTCCAGATGGAAGCCCAAGCTCGGTCACATGGCTCTGGTGGTCTAGATACTCCAATCTACCCAAAGCCGCGTCCCTCCATTTCACAGTTACCGGAATCGAAATTACCGCCCCGTGATCCCAGCACCCAGCACCCAGCTCGTAGCTCCCGCTCGCAGCTCCCGCCGCCGCCAGTGCAGACTCAGCGCAGACTCAGTCGACGATTCCCAGGCTCCCAGGCCTTCTAGTCACCTAGTCTTCTCTCCCCGCCTTACCCGCGAGAAGAATACGAATCCGCCCCTCCCCTTCCCCCGTCCCGCCCAAGTACTCCCAATACTCCCCATGTACCGTGGTTAATTTACCAGCATTACCCGAAACGGCAGTGCCGATCCTGTTCCTGTCCGTCCCATCCGGCCCGCGTCTCGGCCACGGCAGATGGTCCTAGGAGCAGCGCCCGAGTGACGCCGAGTGCACCCGTGCCGTCGACACGTTGTCCCAACGCAACGCAACGCGGCAATAGATACTAGTAGATACTACCTGGTACATTGAGGGCACTTACGCAACGAGGTGGGTGGGGGCGGGGAATGAGTGGGGGGTGGGAAGGGGGGGGGGGGTAGGCGGTCGAGTGAGGCTCCGTGAGCTTTCGCGGCCGGCGAGCTGGCCGATCGACTTCGTGGCGGTGAAACATCATCAACCCACATAAACCATAGTTCGTCCACGCGGACAAGGGCGCGGGAGTTGGCGTTTTTTCGACAAGGGTCGTGGCGTGGCGCACGAACTACCTAGACATAGACACAGGCGTAGACGTAGACGTATGTAGACGTGGACGTGAACGGGATGCGCTGCGCAGCACAGAACCGCGCGGTTCCATGCGAGATCCCGTTCGCCTCCGCGGTGGGGCTGGCTGGCTGGCTGGCTGGCCGTGGGCCGTGGCTGCGGAGCGGAGCGTTTTCCTGTGCGGGCGGGCTGGGACTACTGCGGCTGCAGTGCGAGGGGATACCTAGCAGCGGTGAACCAGCTCCGTGGGCTCGAGGTGAAGCGGATTCCCCGCGGACCTCAAGGAGACAGGACATGAGCCCGACATGGAATCTCACTGGCCTTCTTTGATCTTTGAAGTCGCGGCGGGAAAAAATAACAAGGAAATTGCAAGAAGTGTGGCCAGCCTGGGAAACTGGAAACTGCGCCCGTTGGATGGGAATCATGGGATGGGCGAGCTCGATAGCTGAACCCGAATGCAAACTCGTGAAGGAGGCTAGATATCGGCGCTGATGGACACCTACCTCCTGTTAGGTATGTACCGGTATGTACCCGTCAAGTGACCGCTGCCCGGCGTGATCCGACAGACAGAGCTCGGGCTCGGGCTGAGGCCCGTCAATGATCAAACGGATCCGATCCGATACGATCCGAGATCGAAGGAATCACACTTGGCACATGGCACATGGAAAGTGCACTGAATGCGCCGCACTGGAGCCGGCGTTTTTTGACACAGCTTCCCCTCCCCTCCCCGAGAAGGTAGAAGGAGAAGACGGTAGCAGAAAAGTCCTACATGGCCTTATTTTATTTTATTTTTGGGGGGATTTGGTCGTTGATTGAGTGAGTGCTTGCGACATAAGTAATAGCTAACTATCCGGATCGTAGCGGTATATACACGGTAAGATAGGTATACACGCCGTCTGCATGTCCACGGCCCGTCCTCAATCAGTCCGCAGCAGGCCTTTTATGGTTCCGCCCCTGCCCTCCGCCCAACTCCCGCCCGCCACGTCTTTCCCCCAGCGACCAGCGACCTCCGGGACCCCTTCGGCCATATCGTTGCCCGCCAGAAAATCCCCGATGGTCTAACAAGGTTTCCAGGGACCTAGATTGGCCACAGTTTTCAGGCAGTCGGGTGATCCAAGATGAAGTGAGAGGATGAGTGATGACTCGTGACTTCCTCTGCAATTTCGCAATGCCGAGGGTTCTCGTAGTGGAGGTTTCTCGTTCTTCGGAATATATACCCCCATTTGTGATCCTATCCGGCCAAGATAGGTACAAGTCAATTCCACTCTTATTAAACTTAGTATGTATGTAACCCAACTATCGTACAACATCCTTTTGTCCCTCCTCCCTTCACCATCTATACATCCCCCTCCTCCCCCACCACGACCGCCACATCCTCCGTGTCCATAATATCGAGATCACTAAGCCCCGACGACTCCGGATCCATCAGTGATGTTGGGGGAGGCGGGTGCACAATTTCCTTCGCGGATCTTCCACGCCTGGGTTTTTCGTTTGTGTATGGCAGTGTGATGAGGGTAGAGGTCGATGTAATGGACTTGGATGGGCCTGCGGCGCGCTTGGACTTTTTTGCTGGTGGTGGTGCTGTCGACTGCTGTTCGCCGTCAATTTCCTTCTTGACGCCGTTCTTCCGCCTGGCTTTCTTTGCTGGCATAGGTTCCGGCGCTTCTTCGCCATCATCCTCCTTCTTAACGCCGTTCTTCCGCCTGGCTTTCTTTGTCGGCATCGGTTCCGGCGCTTCTTCACCATTATCCTCCTCCTTCATAGCTTCTTTATCGTGGTTCTCCTCCTTCTTAACCTTCTTTCCCCTCGTACTCTTCACCGGCGCCCCATCCTCCAAATCTTCAACCTCTTTCTTCTTCAGCACCCTCTTCCTTGGTGTCAGCCACTCCTCCTTCCCAAGCGGCCAATACACCCTTCCCTCGGGTCCACCCATTCCCAGCTCCTCCTCCGGCACCTCCTCCCTCTCCGCCTCGCCCTTCTTCGGCGGTCTATTATCATCACTCCTCTCATGCGGCGCGACCTCCTTCGCCCCTCCGCCGTCCTCAATCCCATACCTCCTGTACAGCTCAAACACGGCCTGCTCTTTATCCTTCGCCTCGATCATGAGGTCCATCGTATCGTCGCACGGCGGAAGGTTAAGGACTCTAGGGGAGTGTTTCCGCATTTCGCGGCCGGTGACGGATCCCTCGCAGGGCTCGGAGTAGTGCTGCTTCTGCGTGATGCCCTTGCGCGTCCACGTAGCCTTGATCCGTGGGAAGAACTGCTGGATGTCCTCGGTCCCCGCCCGCATCGACTCGTCGTGGATTATGTTGTTGTGGTGGTAATCGAGGACGAGCGGGATGTTGAGTTCCTCGCAGATCGGGAGGAGGTCGTGCACAGACCAGATCTGTGTTTTCAGCCACGTTCCAATTCCGAGGGCGGCGGCGGGAGGGGGATATACATACCACATCGTCGTTTTCGAGCACCAGGCGGGCTTTAACATCCTCACTCAATCCCGCATAGTTCTTTCTAAATCTGTCGAGCGTCTCCCCTTTGTCCCCAAACATACCGCCCATATGCAGGATCATCACTGCGTCTTTGTCTGCCTGCCCCTCCATTCCCAGCCCGCTCAGTAGCTGCGAGTGATACTCCAAATCCTTCTTGCTAGCCTTGATAACCTCGGGCCTAGGACTCCCCAGCTGCGTGAACTGCCCCGGATGCGTCGTAAGTCTATGACCAAACTTCATTGCGAGCTTCCCGGCCTCGCCCAGTGTCTCTCGGGCGAAATCGAGGTTGTAGCCGTACTTTGCGTGCGACGCGAAGGGAAACATCTCGGAGGAGATACGAAGGAAGCGGATTTTGTATTTCTCGTTCCAGCGGATCAGGGTGGACAGGTCCTTTGCGTTCTGGAGGGCGAGGGATTGCACGAACGGAAGTCCCGCTGTCGTCCATTCTCCCTGCTTGAGAATCGTTTCGATACGACATGTGCGCGAGCAGAAGACGGGCGGAACGCTAGTGCGGAGGTAGGTATTCAGACACGCCTAGACAGACACCGTATCAGCATATGTGTATCCGATGATTCCTTAGGTAGCGAGAGTGGTGTCTCACATATCCTATCCGTCCCTTGAACGGAATAGGCACGTAGGAGCTATTAAACTCCGGCGCCCTAACACGGGGCTCGTCGTCCTCTTCTGGCTCCTTCTTCACAGGCTTCCGTTTGGCTGCTGGTTTCTTCTTCTCCTCTCCTTCACCTTCACCGTCCCCATTCTCCTTCGCCGCCTTCGGTGCCTTCTTCTTTGTAGCCTTGCCCTTAGGCTTCACGTTCTTCCCCCCGTCCACCTCCACCTCCATTTCTGGCTGAGAGTCCTCCGACTCCGATTCCTCAGGAACAAACCCATCGCTATCACCACCCTCACCACCCTCACTCACGTCGCTCTCGATCACAGCAGCGACGACTGCAGCGGCGGCTTTGCGTTTCGGCGGCATATCTACCACACCATTAGCATTCCCTCCCTACAACCCCACCCGAAGCTTCCACAAAAATACACACATTGAAACCGTCTAACCTGTGTTCGGGCTTTCAATCGTGATATCCAAAAATTACTGAGGCTGTGGCAAAACACCGGTGATTGTGACAATATCCTCGAAACTGTTGTGGTCGACGGTACGTGTAACAGTCGAAAGATCATTCCATCGATAAGTAGAGTAGATAGAGTGTATACGAAGGAGACGAGGAATAAAGGAGTACAACTTTGGTATGTACGACGAGGTGAAATAAAGTAAAGTAAATGCAGAGGCGGGAAGGTGGAAGGGGGTAAGAGGTAGGGGTATCTGCACGATCTGAGCGGCAGATCATGACCAAGTAGATCCTCCGCACTCGATCGATGACACTAACATTGGAACTAGATGGACGTCATGATGATGGCTTTTGGTTCGTTCACAAGGAAAGGCGCTATGGCCCCACTCGATTCAGACGACATCCAACCCAGATGTATCTCGCGCTCACTCATCAACATTACAGAAATGCTATTCTGCCCAACTGATACCCAAACGCAACCAAGCACCGCTCCCCATTCGAGAATCAGAATCAAAAAAAAGCAAAACCAACACACAGTAGAACAAAAGAATAGAAAAAGTACAAGTCATGAGATTCCCAACCCGAAGACATAGAAAAAAAGAAACAGTATAGTATGAAGATGATTTCCCTGTCCGAAAATCATATGCCCCCGTGCCCATCCATTCGTGATAGCCCAGTATTCCCCTTTGGTACAGTATTTTCGTTTTATCGACAGGTTGGCTCTTCATTCGCTTGTGTGAGGTGTCCGTTTACTGTTGCACGATAAAGGTCCTAATCAGCTTACTATTCCCCACAGTGTAGCTGGTCCAGAAGCGGTCCGGATCGGCGACGGAGCCAGTGTCTTGTTTGTGGAAGAGGTTTCCGACTTCCAGACGCCGTTATCAGCCGCATCAAATGATCCGCAAGACCGATCCGGATTTCAAAGGTCAGAAAATCAAGGTGTACCAACCAAAACAGCATCATCATCCATGCCATCTCCTCCGTTGACAACCGCGACGGGTGCAGCAGAGGCAGTCTCGTTACCACCGAAGTAGTCGGCCATCTCCTGGTCAAGCTGCTCGGCAGTCTTGGGCTTGGAGCGACCACTACCAGCACGTCCGACACCACCACGAGCACCGGCGGTCTTGTTGCCACGAGCGGTTCCGCGTCCACGAGCAGTAGAGACGACAGGCTTGGGGGTCGTCTTGGGCCTAGCATCAGCCCTAGGCCTAGCTGCAGCAATCTTGTTGGGCGCACTAAATACGTGTCAGTGTTGTGCGATAGGACATGGTCGAAGATCTGGGACATACCCAACGCGATCGGCAAAGCTGGCGGGAGCATTGGGGTCAACGACCAATTCAACCTGCATATTCAATCAGTTAGAACCCATAAATCATAACAACTATGCTACTAACCTTCATGGGCCTGCTGTCAACCTCGACACCGTTGTACTTTTGAGCAGCAAGGGTGGCGTGCTCAGACTTGTGGAATTCGACGGTGGCGACACCGCGAGACTGTCCAGTGGGTCCATAGGTGAGAGTAGCGCGCCGGATCGGTCCAACGACCGACTGGAAGTATTCCTTTAAGAAGTAAAAAAGCTGCGTTAGAAAATCGTCCACAACATTCGATAGCTCCAATTTCCGAAAATCGCCTTCATGAGGAGACGAGAACGGAAGCAAGGGTGGATTCTATGATTAGCCATGGGCCCAAAGGGAGCCTGCAGAATCCAAGCGAATGAGCCTTCCCTAGATATACCACATGATGCAATCGTGAAGCATCAGGCGATTATCGGATAGATTCTGCTGCGATCCCTCTGGCGCCCGTCCGTAAAGCAACCGGTGAAACCACTCCGCGATGGTCCACCGCCCTCTCGATGTGATCCCAAACCGAATCCAAGTCGATAGAGGTCATCTCGATCCTCAAGGGTGAACCAAACGGTCGGCATCATGACATGTGCCCAAGGGCGCGTGCCAGATCGTGCCATGTTACGACATGTCGTAACGCGCGTGAATAACTCGAACGCTGGCGTAGATCATCGACAGGAGGGTTGCCTTCGCGGCAACACTTTGCATCAAAAACTTGCTTTATGGCTCTCGATTCCGTTCTGCAAATGTACGCGTTCTCGTCTCCTCGAGACATGCTTGGCATGACTCAGTCGTACAAGCGACGTACCTTAATCATCTGCTCCGAAACATCGAAAGGCTGTGAAGACTGTTAGAAACTGTCGCGTCGCAGGAAAGTAAACAGGACGACATACCAGGTTCGAGACAATGATTTTAGAGGCCGAAACCTTGCCAGAGGGTCCAGTGGGAATGCCCTTAGCTCTGGTGGTGGTGGGATTGGTGGGGGTGACGATAGAAGCGTTCGCCTTCTGCGCAGCAACTCTGGAAGAGCGCTTGCGAACACCACCGACGACAGCAGCTGCGGCCGGCTTGCCTCCACGGCGACCGGCACCACGAGGGCGGGTAGCGAGGATCTCGTCGAGCGAACGGTCAAGGTTGGAAGCCATTGCTTATGATCGTGGGAGTGAAGGAATGCGAGAATGTGTTATATTGATAGGATGAGTGGCAACGAAGACGCGACCGAGGAAGATAAGGATGGTTCGGAGCGGGAAGTAGGATGTGGTAGTTAGAGGAGTTGTGAAGGAACTTATTATTTCGCGAGGTCGTTGGTGAGGGAGTTGTCAAAGGTTCTTGTTGTCGCGCGGTGGTTGTTGTGATGAGAAGGAGGAAGGGAGAGTTGGAAGGGGGAGTTGAGGTTAAGGGAGTGGCGCTAGTGTGATTTCGCTGCTTGAAGGCTAGTGCAGCGTCAGCGTTTGTTGTCGTCCTAGGGCTCCGCCACATTTCGCGCAAAGCCAAGCCCTAAACTGCAATTGAAACAACTAGACAACGAGAGCTCCAGCGAGTGAGCATATCCTACGCAGGTATATCGGCACTAGTTGCGGGGGAAACCAAGAGTGCTTCACAGATGCGCATAGGCATAGCACTTCAGTTGAAGCTTCGTCTCCCTCTTCCACCCCACGGTGCTTAACGTGGAAGCTCTGGACCCATGATTTGCAACTCTACCTTGAAGGGTGCGCACTACCGTATTGAATGTATATTCTAAAACTTGTGACGGCACGTACGTTGGGGCATATTGGTGCAGTGTCAGTGGATTGTTCTCTATCTTCTGGACGCATCTCGAGGCATCACTCGAGACACAGCCGCGGTGAGATGTGGCGGTGCTTGATCTCTTGCTATCACTGGCGAGCAGTTGGCGAACTGGACACAGACCAACCAATGGCGTCATTGTGCATACTCGGAACCTAGCTTGATGGTTTGAGCTCAAGAGAATCTTCCATCAGGGGTAGCACACTTCATAGAACCCGTTGCTTCAGATCTAGGATGAAGCCGAACACCTAGATCTTGCTTAGAACGGGGCGCGGAGTTCCGTCACAAAACAGATCATAGAAGGTGGAGAGATATTGCAGTCAGCACTCCGACCTCTCTTCAGACGAGAACTCTCGTCTAATCCCCCATTAACCAAACGAAAAGCACAGGGCGTAGAACAGAGCATTCGGGTAGACCAGTTTCAAGTATTCAATCACTCTCCACTCATACGGTGAACCTCCCAGTCAAAGCGAGGAGGGTTAGGATAGTTCACGACAGACAATATTTCGGTGAAATATCACACCTTTCTATACGTGTGACGTGTCCCAGGTGAACCAGTCGCTGTCTTCGCAGCTGCGATACTAGTGCGAGAAAGAAACCTTCGGCTAGCCAGAAGATACATAGATTGCTGAAGATTGTAGTTAGCAGCAGCAAAAGAGGACGAAATGCATAAACGATCGTGAAGAGACACCTGCTGACAGAAATCCCGTTAGACAAGTCCACCTGTCTCTCGCTGTTCGTCCGCCGTACATGCACCTGGGGCTACAACACAACATACACAGCGTGTACATGTACTCGACCTTTATCATGACTTCGCGGCCCGGAGACAGCAGATGTGCATGTAAATGTCATGAATTGTATAGACGGCGACAGTATAACGCAAATGGACCACACACGCGGATAAAGGGAAACATTAGAGCCATAAAGAAAGCAACAGACGAAATGTAGTATACGCAGCAAGTAAAGGAACCCATAAACGCGTAAGCCCGCACCCAACGCGCCGATACCAACGCAACAAGACTCCAGCCGACTCATACCCTTAGCTTTTCAGGATTGCCAACCTCTGCCTCATATCCTCCAGACCAGCTTCGTCCTCCTCCAATTGCTCGGGCTCGACCTCCGGCTCAGTGAGGGGCGTGCTAGGCACCTCGCCAGTCTTCTGCAGCTTGCCGGCCATGATCTCGCTTAACACCTTATCCACCTCACCCTCTACCTCCTCGTCCATATCGAAGTCCTGTTCGGCAGGAAGAGTATCATCCAACATCTCCTCTATGATCCCTGCCTTAACCAGCTCCATACTCAACTCCCGCATGGTGCCCGTGAGCTCCGGCAGACGGATGAGGGAGTTCACATCCTTCATGACCGAAGTACTCGCGCGGATCGAGCCCTCAATCTTCCGCACCGAGAATGCCTCTTTGACCTGCATCATGACCGACTGCAGTTGGGCACGGGACGTAGCAAGACGCGTGGATTGTCGACGGATCCGCACGAGTTCGACGGCGAGCATGCGTGTCTGCTGGGCCGCGTTATGGCGCGACTTCGAGGCTTGGATGATGAGGCTCCGTGTCTTCGTCTCGAGGAGTTTGAGGTCGCGGATGTGGCGGTCCAGCTCGCGCGTGTTTTTGCGGATCAGTTGGTCGCATTTGCGGAGCTGGAGTGTGTGTGTGAGTCCTTATGCGACAAGGAGGAAGAGGATGAGGAGGAGGGAGGCGGTACTTGGGCTGCTGGATCAGGCTTCCAGAACATGGCTTTGATGGACTCCATGACTGTAGATATATAGTTTCGGGTCTGTCGGGGAAGAGAGGAGGGGTTGTAGAGGCACCGTTTGAATTGTACTAGTTCTCCGAGGAGGGTGGTATCGGTTTAAGCTTGGTCCAGATAGGCGCAGCTTGCGAGAGATGAGCTTGGTACTCGAGCTCCATGGAAGAGGGCTCGAGAGGGTAACCACTCATCGTGGGTCACCCCCGGCCATTGGTTACGGCATGCCCCGCGATGTTCTGTTTTTGGCAAATTATACCCCGCGCGGGATGAATGCGAGAGAACAAAGGGTGCAGGTTTTAATAGTCGAAATCCACTGGTTCGACAGATGCTTCCTTGATCAATCATCACCTTGATTTTCGGTGCATTTTAGATGGAATGTTCTATAAGTTTCGCTGCGCTTCTTCTGCTGTGACGCAGGTTCAGCGACGGATCCGCCCGCTAGTTACTCCTCTCTGCCTGCCCCACCGAACTGAAGGAATACACCAACCCCAAATCAACTAAGCAAAGCATTGTTCTTCCCATCTTCTTCTCGCCCACACCTCCTTCCTACCTACTCCTACACAAACCCACCATCCCCCCGTAATCAACAATCCCCATCGCCGCCTACAACGACATAACATAAACTCCACATCCTTACCTTTACAAATATGTCTGCACCAGTTACTCCCGAAGGTACGTTCCCCAATCCAAATCTCCTACCCCGCGGTCCTGTCGATTCCCGATCCTTGTCCCGTCTCTGCGATGTCGCTGTATTGAACTGCCCGTTTCAACCGCACATATCCCGCCTGCCCCATTGACACGCAGCATCTTCATCCAATCCTATCATTTTCCGAGACGCACAGCTAACACGACCTGCGCCTCAGTCCTTTGGGCCCAGCGCTCTTCTATCGACGACGATGAGAAGAACGTCGTCTATCTGACCATAACGGCGGCCGACATTCCCAAGGACTCTTTGAAGGTTGAGCTCACAGCCACCAAGCTCAGCTTCTCCGGCGAGAACAAGTGGAGGAAGTACGCCCTCGACCTCGAGTTCTACGCCGAGATCGACGAGAAGCTCTCCAAGACCCATCACTCTGGCCGCGGTGTCGAGTTCGTTCTGCGGAAGAAGGAGATCAAGGCTGAGTTCTGGCCGAGACTCGCGAAGGAGCCCAAGAAGCTGCAGTTCATCAAGACCGACTTCAACAAGGTTTGTGATCCTTCCTGTCTATCTGCCCGTTGCGGTGGTAGTGTGATGATTCCCGTGCTGATTGGCATTCGCTGTAGTGGGTCGATGAGGATGAGCAGGATGAGGCTGAGGAGCCCGCCATCCCCGCCGGCAACGACATGGACGGCGACATGGACGGTGGCATGGGCGGCATGGGTGGCGGTATGGGCGGTCTTGACTTCGCCAAGATGATGGGTGGTCAGGGCGGTGCCGGCGGTATGGGAGGCATGGACATGGCGAGCATGATGCAGGGTATGGGCGGTGCCGGCGGAATGGGAGGCATGGACATGGCCAGCATGATGCAGGGAATGGGCGGCGTTCCGGGTGGCGACGACGACGACGTACGAAATTCCCTCCCGAATGAATCGTGAAGTGCGTGAGCTAATGGTTCAATAGGAGGACATGCCCGAGCTCGAGGCCATTCCTAAGGATCAGCAGAAGGAAGTCACTGAGCAGGAGGAGACCGCCATCGAGATGGACGCTAGTGTCCCTGCCTCAAAGAAGATTGAGGAGGTGAACTAGATCGTCGCGGGCGTGTTGTAAGTCTACTGAGCTATGGCGAAAGGCGTAGTGCGGGTTTCTTTCAAGCATATTGTCCTGCACCTTCTAAATCGATGGATTTCTGGGTTTCCTTTTTGAATCTTTTTTTTTCCCGCAAGCACGAAGAATGAAAAACGTCGAGTTGCTGTTCCAGCGTCGAGTGTCTGTGTGTGTGTCCGCAACCATTGCATGTGAATGATGGTGGGATAGACAGGCAAACAAAAGGTATCAGAAAGACCAGACCCGTGCCAATGACTCCCAGAAACCAACACCGAGCTCAAAATCTACCCATCCAGCCAGCCAGAATTACTCCCTCCTAGCTGTCTTTTTCCGTCTGGAAACTTCAAGCTTCCGCTTCCACTCCCGCTTCCACTCCCGCTTCCACTCCCGCTGCCCAAATATCGTACATAACCGGTAATAATAAACACGCGTGTATTGAGCGTCGCACCTAAGGATGTCCAGTTAGCCTCTACATCCTTCACCTCCAGCAGCTCAGTCCGACATACCAGTTATTTTGCAACAACTACGGATACTGGCGCACCCTCGAGCTTCTTTCTGCTGCTGTTCTTGTCGGAATTGACCGACAGGAAGTGGTACAGCACAATGAGTGACATTGTGAGGGTTCCGAGGAAGATTGCGAGGGAGTTGAGCTCTTTGTCGGTGATCATTGTTGCTTTCTGTTGTGTTGTTTGTTCGAGGTGTTGTGTTGCGTTGCGTAAGGTGTTGATAGGTGTTAAGAAGCTGGGGTGGTTACGTGAGTTGCCTGCCGCAGGGCCAGGATGACGGCTACGTGGTACTCGGATAGAATGCAGCACGCCAAGAAGGGCGAAACTTGCCCCGCCGACCGCTAGGGGGACTGCACGAAACCGCAGTCTACACCCCACCGGTGAAGTTAAGTGAAGTGAAGAAGTTGAAGCCGTGAGTTCTTTGAGTACATCTCCTACTATCAATTGGGACGACCAAGCTGACAGTATCCTCTAAAGATAGATATACACACCCGCACCACACCTTCTTTGTCCACACGCACACGACACAATGCCTCCAAAACAGCCCAAGGGCGGCGCGAAGCCGTCGACCACCAAGGTGGTCGCTGACAAGGCCTTCGGAATGAAAAACAAGAAGGGAGGAAAGGCGCAGAAGGAGATACATAAGTTCCAGACGCAGGCAGCAGCAGCCGGTACTATGGAGGAGAAGCGGAAGCGTGAGGAGAAGGAGCGGAAGGAGGCGGAGAAGAGGGCTGCTGAGGATGCGAAGCGCGAGACTGCGGAATTGTTTAAACCCGTTCAGGTCCAAAAGGTTCCCTTTGGGGTTGATCCCAAGACTGTGCTGTGTGTGTTCTTCAAGAAGGGAGGGTGTGAAAAGGGTGAGTTTACCAACTTGACGTGGGATGTAGGGTCGTTGAGGTGTGCTGATTAAAGACAGGCAAGAAGTGTAAATTCTCCCACGATCCGGCGGTGGAGCGGAAACAGGAGAGGAAGAACCTCTACGAAGACGCGAGAGGGAAGGATGTCACCAAGAAGGAGGACTCTATGGAGAACTGGGACGAGGCGAAACTGCGAGAGGTCGTTAACAGCAAGCACGGAAACCCAAAGACTACTACCGACAAGGTCTGCAAGTTCTTCATCGAAGCTGTGGAGAACCAGAAGTACGGATGGTTCTGGACTTGTATATCGTCCCGACTAGCACCAATTATCGTGGGTGGATACTGATGGTTGAGAGTGTAGGTCCGAATGGTGGTGACGAGTGTATGTACAAGCACTCGCTGCCCCCAGGCTTCGTCTTGAAGACCAAAGAGCAGAGAGCGGCGGAGAAGGCGCTCATGGACAAGTCACCGATGGCCACTCTTACACTTGAGGACTTTTTGGAAGCCCGACGGTATGTCCTTCGATTCTCCCTGGCCACTCGCCACTAACCCGTTTTGCAGAGCCGAGCTCACCGGAGGTGGAACCCCCGTCACCGAGGAGAGCTTCAACAAGTGGAAAGCGGAGCGCAAATCCAAGAAGGAAGTCGAGGAGGAGGCTCGCCTTGCCAAGGAAGCCACTGGAAGAGCCATGTTCGAGAAGGGCGACTGGCAGAACGAGAGCGAAGACGAGAGCGAAGACGACGACGCTGATTTCGATCTCACCGCACTCCGAGCAGAGACCAAGAGGCTAGAAGGAGATGACGACGAGGTACAGCTCAAGCATTACGGTACCACGTAAACTCAAAACAACAAAATTGGTGTATGCTGTGTGGTGTTTATCATGCTGGGTTTTTTGCAATTTTAAAGGTTGCGTCTTCTTTCTTTCTTTTTCCTTTAGTTTTGCTGCGCTTTTGGGTGGGATCGTACATTACTTAAGGAAGGGGAGTTGATGTGATTTGGAACCCAAAACTTTTCTTTTTGTCCATGGGCTGGTTGGGGATTGTGGGTGATGAACATATGAACGAACAAACTGATGATGAGGAGGTGTGGTGTATGTATGTGGCGGAGGGGGGAGGAAGGGAGACTGCGGATTCACTCGCTTGCTTGCTCAATTCGATGTTGAATTTTAATGTTGCCATTAAAGTTGAAATGACCCTCTTCGTCAGATATGTAGAAGATTTCGGCGGTTAAGGTTGTAAGATATCGCACTTTGTGGCAATACAAGCTGCGGCTATGGGTAACCGCGTGAGCGGCGATCTTAATATCTGCTGTTATCTGACCGGGAACCAATGGGGGAACATTAATTTATCTCGCATATGGTCTTTCCCAAACTATGGCGAACCAAACTAAATTACCTCTTCTGCTCGCTCTATTCAGGTACAGGTAAAAACACCACTACCGTACAGTTCGTTACTACCTGTCCGGGAACTATGTCCGCGGTCAAGAATACAGCAGCGCCCACAGTGAGTGACATTCGCAGAACCTATCCTACCTACTGCCGTTACCGCACCCGGCTCTTACTTTTTACCGCGGGGGCGGACTCTTGGACAGAAATAAGATGTCTCTGGATCTGATAGGCTCCGAAGAACAAGCAAAAATCACCCAAGCGATTCTACCTTTCCTTTTTGTTCCATCATCCGAAAAACGTCTCCACCGCATTTACACCGAACTACCTATTCAAACTCCTGGCTTCCAGAGAAGTGGATCCTACGCAGACAGTTGGGTTCACTCTACTTGAAATCATGTACCTGAATTAATGTCGGGGCGCTTACTGCGCGTCGGAAACACCACTTCCACCACCCAGTACCTCGTCTTGAGAAACCGAACAGCCGTTACGCACTCACGCGGCGTCACTGCATTGTGGGTAAGTGGAACTCCGGGAAACTATGGCATCGTATTCTAGCCCAGGGGAAGTCATCTAAATCATCGGGTGGATGGTAGATGCAGTACACCGCAGCCGGGGCCTGCCGAGCGAGACTACAAGCTTCGTGCACATGCCTTGCAGGAATCTCCGAATCGCCTGGTCAGACATGATATTTCACTCGCTTGCCTTGGGGTTTCCTTGTAGCTCAACCTTCTGCTCACGGCAAGCGTGGTTCGTACCTAAACCTGGTCCAAACAACACCCTGGAAAATGCCACGATTCCTCTAACTATTACAACCGAAGTCCCAACATGATCCGATTCCGCGTCCGAGGTGGGGCGGTGGTATGTACGTTCCTTGAGGATTTTAGACCGGTTCTCTTGGCCGCCCACATAAACGCATGCAGCATGCAGCGTGCTTCGGCTCAACGCAATGATGGGGGAGAGAATCGGATTTATAACTTCCCCCATAAGTGTGATGTTGCCCCATCATCATCCCCGGAAAAAAGACACTCCCTATCGATTCAATTGCAATTGATATCCTCCACAATTCGCAATGCACAGCACCAAGCCCACTGTCGTGATATCCCCTGGTGCGTGGATGTACCCGGACATCTTCGGCAAGGTGATATCCCTCTTCAACGACGCCGGGTTTCCCGCCGAGGCCCTTGCCCACCCCACCATCGGCGCAGAGCCACCAAACAAGACACTTTACGACGACGTAGCGAGCTTCCGTTCGCGCTTGGTGAAGCTCGCAGACGAGGGGAAGGACATTGTCGTTGTGTGTCACTCGTACGGCGGATGCGTGGGTGCGTGTGCGGTTGAGGGCTTAGGAGCGGTGCAGAGAGCTCAGGCGGGAAAGAAGGGTGGCGTGGTTATGGTCGTGTTTATGACGGCGTTTGCGATTCCGAAGGGCAAGAGCCTGCTGGATATGCTCGGCGGTCAATGGTTGCCGTGGATGAGAATCGACGTACGTAGTTTACACCCCCCTCCCTCCCGCCGCCGACAATTCGCAGTTGGTTAACATGAACACAGGGAGATTACGTCCGTACCGGTCCGGAAACGTTTGAGTTTTACTTCGACCTCCCGGAAGCCGATAAACAGTACTGGGGTAAACGTCAAACACACACCTCTCGGGGAGCATTCACCAATCCCGTGACCTACGAGCCATGGAACGACATGCCATGCATGTACATTATCTGCGAGGTAGCTTTTCTTCCCTCTCACTTCCTTTTTCTTCCGCTGACTGTGTGGATAGGGCGACGAGGGTCTCAGCCAACCGGTGCAGGAACATATGTCCACGTTGTTGGGACCGGATGCAATTTTGTTCAGAATCCGCTCAGGCCATTTCCCGTTCTTGAGTGTACCTAGCAAGATCGTCGAGGGAGTTGCGTTGGGCGCAAAAACCGGGATGGAGAAGAAGGCGATTGCTTTGGGTAGAGGCGGACGGTTGTAGATATTGGGAGTATGTGGTAGCCAGCCGTTGTTTATGTTCTGTTCTGTATGTATAATCTAGGTGGAAATTATTGATCGTGAAGGAGATTTACGCCTCGCGTTATCAAAATTCATCGGTCAGCCAGTATGGTTCGTCTATTATCATTACTTGAAGTCTATCATGGAAATATTTACAGTGCGCCTGCTGAGAAAATATACAGAATTCCCACCCTATATGGGAAGACCCGGATTTCCCACGGGCCAAAACACAAACAAATAACCCCCTCAAATCGATCGCTAAAATGTAAACCCCAAACACCAATTTTCTCCAAGTGATCACAAACCCACCTCCCCTTTGTCGGCCACTCCAATCGAGCTCCTTTCACTCCATTCGACATCGGTTCTCACACCTATCGCATTGAGCGGGATCTCATCGCTGTGACCCCCCGCGCTGCCCAACTCTCCGCGTTCAATGGTGCTCGTAACGTTGCGTTCATTGCAATCCGGCCGCAGGACCATATCGTCTATCCGCTTAAAGTGCCGCTGCTTGGATTTATTCCCGCTGCCACCTATCGTCGGGACGTGGAGTTGTGCGGGACCATATGTTGGTGCCTGTTCTGAGTTTTTGTTGGTGCTGTTGAAGCCGCCGGCCACCAGTTTGATGAGGGGCCGAAGGGTCGGGAGACACGCGGAGATCACGCCGGCGGAACATTCGACGAGACACCAGATTACGGCTTTGGCTAGAGTCCCTGCGGTATGGTTAGTATGTGTTGGATGTGAGGGCACGGAGGAACCAACAGGAGGTATCGGAGGTCTCGAAGTCGAAGATTGTGATGAAGCGGTAGATGCTGGCGAAGACTACGAAGCTGCCGAGCGAGAAGATGAACAGTAGCGATAGTCGTCGGGGCATGGTGGTGTTTAATCCCCATACTAAGGGTGCAGGCACGCAAAGAATGAGGATATCTATCAAAGTATCAGAACACGGCACCGGCCATGCGAGAGATTGAGGAGACTACCTGTAACGATATTCGGCACACCCGTCGCAATGAACGCAGTCTTAAGCGCGATACATTCCCCCGGCATGAAAGGATTCCATGCTTTTCGTACGGGGTTGCACTGAAAGACCGAGACGAAGACGATGGAGCCGCTCCAGCCAACCGCGAGGAAACCGCATACTAGCACCGGCCACTTGATTCGTTCGAAGGTAAAGATCCGGCAGTACATTAGAAGGAGGGAGACCTTGATGAGGCCGTTGGTGGTGACATAGAAGACCTCTTGGGCTACTAATGTCTATTTGGACTCCTTGTCAGTAACTGTCCAGAATGTGCCAGAGTACCGCCATTACTTGTACATACCTTCAGGATTTGTGTCAATTCGTACGGGCTCAGCGCTCCAGCATGTAATCCCATTCCATAGTGTATTACTGTAAAACATATCAGCCAGACTTTCACTTCTAGGAATCCCCATAACTTCATACATAGTAGGCACAGAGAAGCAAGACCGAACAAAAACACCTGTTTACAAGTAAGCAACTATCCGTCTCCAGTCCCAGTCTACTGCGGCAATCGAATCCTCACCAGCGCTACCACCAGCATCCAATCGTCGATTCCAAACGTTGCACCCCGCTGAACTCTTGCGGCAAACCGTAAGGCCACAAACACCGCGGCCAAAATCGTGATGGAATAAACCGTCGTCCTGAGCTCTCCCTGTCTACTCTCCGAGAGGTCCACTTCGGAGGCCGTGTCATTCGTACTCATCGCGTTTCGTGATTCGGTTCTCGACGTGGCCGGTGCGGGATGGTGATATCGTCGGTTTTTCACTGTCTTGGGCGTCAACTTCCTGCATCCGATTCGCACTCCTTCAGGAGTAAATCCCAGCCATGGGGAATGGGGGAGTAGAGATATACTATAGACAATCCACCGCACGAACTGATGGAGTAGGGCGCCATATTCCGCATCCTTCCTAGTGCGTACCAATCCAATCGAAGAACCTCTCCCCACAATGTGCACCACCAAGATCACCTACCCTGGTTTGGTGCGGTCACGGCGAGAAAAAGTAATGTACCTCCGTCCGCGGCCGGGCCCCACAGGATACGACACAGCGAGTCGATCCGTGACATGGAAGCCGATGCTAGCACTACAGTTTCGTTGCAATATCACGTTGCATTATCGATATTTGAAACCTACGTTCGCTGAAGTCACCACACACGTGTTCCCCAACCAAACTTTCGTTCCTGGTGGGTGTCAGTCCGTGAAGGAAAAATTCAGAGACCGCCACATAAGCTCGCTTCGCTGACATGACCACCTACATACATAGGTCCTGCCCCTGTGGGCGCCCGCTGAAGCAATACCAGTTTCCACATAACGGATGGCTAGCTTGGCGTCAAAGGACCGAGTCCCCAACCTGAACCCGCGCTTCTGGTTCGGGGAGATCTGATCGCTCTGACCTAATCCCATGACTACAGATCAACTCCGAGAGTCAAAGCATTAAAGAGGCTGAGCCTGTGTGGTTGACTGGAACTCCGTATCCACGACCATAGCAGTCGCTCGCGTTCCCTCATCCATTGTCGTGTAGTAATTACTCGTGGAAAGCAATGCCTCCAGATCAAATTCAGTCCGTGGCCGGGCTTAGGGTGGAGGGTGGAGACAGCTCCGATATAACTACCACTGACAGCTTGTGTACGTAAAAAGGAGGGTCGTGCGCTAGCAGATCAACATGATCTTCCCCAGTTCATTGATAACCGTATGTAGTTCGAATACCGGTGGAGCGCTTCCTCGTATCAGGATCCACAGGATCCACAGCAACACCAATCCACCGTCCGTTCCGTGGTTATAGGCAGAGAACTGTCTCGGCTGTTCCGTATAGACAGAACCGCCTCATCAAAGAGGCCAACTCTCAATCCCGCCCAGAGACAACAGGAAGAAAAAAGCCATTCGGAACACCCGGATTCCCAAAAGCACCTCACGTCGTCCAGAAACCCTCAACTTTATCAATCGGATGGACGGTTGAAGGAGCGTCTACTCGAGACACAAGTTTCTACAGGCTACGGCAGAATGTGCCGGTATATATATACTTGGCGAGGTATATAACTCTTCCGACTGGCGATACGCGCTGAAGTGGGACCACTACGGATATAAACCTTCCCATACTCGATTTCCGTCAGGCACGGAATGCTGTGATCTCGGGGTCCAACCGATTCCTGTTGGAAGGTAGTTAACGGCGTACTATCTATAGTAGCGCCTCCCCCAACCGTCCGCGTGGATCTGGATCCTGTGAATTATTAAAAAAACTGGTGGTGCCAAACCCGGTGGTTGGTATGTAGGCGATGTCAGGTACCTACGTTGGTACAACAGAAGAGAAGCAAGATCGAAAGTTCATGCCGCGTTACCGGAACTGGCCACATCTTGGTTGATTGGTGCCACTCTTGAGGTTGTCAGTTTCTTCTCTTGAAGCACTGAAACTCACAAGTCCTGATGCTGAGGTAGAGCAGTACCGGCCGGCAGTGTAGCGTCAGCGTCACAGTTTGCCGGCATACCGGCATGCCGTATAAGTAGAGGGCCAAGCCTGCCATCTCTGACGATGTATGCATACGGACCCCATGCATTGGAAGTCGCAGAAGGATGTGTCCTTCCTTCCGTCAGAGCCGGCAGATAAGTGCTCTACTATGCATACCGGTACATGCATAGAAACACCTTGATCGGTAGTTAACTAGCGATTGCCAGTCTGGTATACTATAGCTACCGTCCTAAGGCGAGCAAACATGGGCTCGACAGGACCGCGAGAGGAATGATAAGTGGTGAAGCCACCACCCCATTTTCGGGTTGATTCGCACTCGCGCGGACCATAGCCGTCCATCAAGACCTCGCTTGCAGTCTCCACACGAAAAAAACGGCCCTTATCCCCGCTTCCGAGATTCCTTCCACGGAAGACACCCTACTACTATCTAGTAGTAATCTTCAGATCTACGGCGGAAGAACTTGTTACGGCAAGTTTGCGCTATGGTTGGGACCGCCCTGGGCCAACATGAAGTTAACACCCCGCCTTGAGCCGCTTATTTTTTTTACATATCAAAAAAAAAAAACCAAATTGTGAAAAAAAGAACTCTGCCAATTGCTTCGATCTTGATCGCTGTGTCATGTGGCAGTCTTCGGATTGCAATCTCCCCTCGAGTTGGGAAGAAAAGACACGGGTTTTGTTGGACGCGATGTCGTTTGTATGGTCAAAATCGAACCAATCATGCCAGTCACTCGGTACGTGTAGGGATATTCTGCAAGTGTTGGTAAGCAAAATGCAATGTCGCGAGGTTTCGGCTCAAGGTGTGCCCAGCCAGACCGTAACTACCAATCGAAATGTCTACTTCCTATGGTACATAGCTAAAAAATAATAATACGATGCCATCCCTGAAGCATCTTCGGCCCCTACATAGATACAGTAATTACTATAGTAGTACGGCCTCAGACCTCGTCCGGCGGCCTGACGCTGCTTGGAAACCTATCTGCGGAATCCTCTGTCGAACATACGACCAACGCTCCCGAGCGCCACGTTCCCGACGTACATACACATGTAAAAGTGCGCTATACTCCCTAGTAGTACGTAATGGTTTTAAGTGCAACTAGGGCCGGAGGGCCTCCGTCCCAGTCAAATGCTAGTCGATGATTCGCTAGATGCAAATACCGGCTTGGAATACGAATCCGTGCTATATACTCCGGCGTGGTTATGATACTAGCTGAGTTTTCGGGAATCCCGAGATCAGACGGACGAAAGCCGTAGTCTATGTGTCTCTCCTATGATCTTTAACCTATATAGAAAGTATTATACCTATGCATAGGTGCATAACTCTGCTTAAAGAGAGTTTGGTAATCACGGAAGCCATAACGGAAAAGGGTCACGTTCCTGAAGATCGTCGATACGATCACCCTACTAAATCAAGCGACCGAAACGACGGAAACATACATATAAGTGAGAGAAGGAGGTAAGGCCAGAGGGCGAATGGGGGGAAAGGTACAAGCAGGCAGAAGCCGTTTCGCAGTCGACATCCTGTGTAGACCCAGGTAAAGGTGAATGATCTGCCATGATGCCTACCCATAACCAATAGTTGGCCACTGGACTTTGCAGATGTCGCGCATGATATCGTTTATCTTTATACTCGCCTATGTACCTCGTCTATGTATCGGATTGAAAGCGAGGAAAAGGGAAATTGGAATTAGAAAGAGCATTCCGGTAAGGAATTCAAAGAGAGAGAAGAAAAAAAGAACAGTCCTCGGCCAAATTAGGTCACATGTCGTAGATTCCCGAGGGACTGGAGTGGCGTTCAGACACGCCAATGTTTCTCGGACCGAACCGACTCCAGACCACTCCCATCGCTACCAAAATACGAACCCCGGACAAAAACGGCTTCAACCGTAGTTACAGCCCTATGTACCGTGGGGAAAACCTGCTAAGCCCTCGGGCCGATGCTAGACTACTTTTTCTAGGGAACGCAGGCGGGACTGGATCACTAACTACCCGACTAACTAGTATTGGTGCCGGTCGAAAGCCGAGTGGCGAATCATGCCCGATGATCTGGATCCGACATCAAAGTTATATCCGACTCTGGTTTTTCCTCCAAAGCCTGGGAAATTCTGCATAGTGGTGCGGATATTCCGACCTGGACTGAGTTACACTCTAATAATCCACTAGGTAACTGCGGGGACGGATGATTGTGAACTTCGGAGCTGGGGACTCGATATTATCACCCGATATTATCACTCGAACATTAGACATGAAGAGTGCGCAGGCAACGTGGGCTATCCCTCGACACCTGTGACATCTAGAACAAGCTTCCACTAAGTCGAGCTATATTAATAAATAGTAGATGGATGACTGGCGACCGGTGGCTCTCATGCTGGACTCCCAAAGACTTGTGATCGTAACATCACATCTCATCGTGATTCATAGAAGCTACTGGTGGGATCATCTCTATAGTAGCGTCTATGGCTACGGGGAGGAGTACTAGGGGGACATTAAAACACGAGTTTTCCCTAGCACCCAGCTTTTTAGTGAAGTTTCGAAAATTGAAGTTTTTTCTTTCTGTTTAATCATCATTGCATTCGATTATCGATATTATAAGAATGTCGTGAATGTTTGCTTGCGTACAGCCCGTCTTACTCACACTGCACAGTGCGTATTCTTGAAACTAGAGGGTTTCTACTGTATGCATACCGGATTCAGTGACCGGAGCATTTTGCTCAGCACGGCATTTCTGCCGTAAGACTTTTGTCGTCGTAGTTTTACTACGGTCTAGGAACTGCTTGATTAGCATGACACTGTATTCTCTGAGACTGCTGGATTCAAATCCGAGCGGTAGTACTAAATAGTGGAGATGTTCGGCATCAATCGCACCCCACTTTTTGCTAGTGTAGGTAGATCATGGCAGCCACAAAGCCGGTTGTACAAAGCCGGTTCTTCCCCATTTTCCTACCTCGCAAGGCGGCCCGATGGCCGAAAATTGAAGTTGTCCTACTCAACAAAAAAGGATACTTAAAGCGAGTGATAACCATGTAAAGCGCTGGACGTTAGAGCTACAACTCGAACGCACAGTGCACGTACTATCTTCACGGCAGAGAGGGGCTGTGTAGAGGTCGCAGTCTTGAGCGTCAACCGCAGTACCTGTATATACCGGACTGGTGTTGACACTTGCGTCTTTCCCTGCGGTGCTGTTCGAGAGGTGATCGAAGTTGACCGTATGCACCACACAGCCAAAGAGTATTCCAAGGCTATCGATCACGAATACGACCTGACAGTCACTAGCTATTCATCCTGCAAGGCTCTGCGCCCAATGGCCATTAGCACCTCGATTGAAGCGGAACGTATTATCACTCATCTCCCACGCACGCACCACGAGTGATATACCCATGCGCCAAAAAGCAAATGTCGAAATCAAAAGCAAGGCATGCATATATATAGTACGCCCGCGCATAAAGTTAAAATTCGAACTGTCTCACGCAGCGGACGTCCTCCGCTCCGCACCCACATGCACATCCACATCCTCAGCCTCAGCCCCCCCATGGAAGACCCTCCGGTCAAACAATCACAGCGAATCACTCCCCCCACGCGGGGGACGGGGGGCGTATCGTGTCTCCCTCCCCTGAACCCAAAAGCAAGTTCACGTCGAGTTCGAGCTCCCCACAGCTGGAGGGGTAGCACAATACATACATGGAGCACACGCACGCACAATGACCGCACCCCGCGCCCCGCGCCGGCCGTCTCGACTCGGGGAACCCCCACACCGCTAATTCTCACCCGCGTCTGCTCAGCGCGCGTGGGAGCATTATCACTTCCTCCCTCCATCCCTCCGTCTCCCGTCGGAGAGGAAGAAGAAGAAGAAGAAGAAGAAGAAGAAGCAAGTGTCGGTGCGTATCTATTTACGTGGAGTACGTAAGTACCCACGAGTGCACGTAGACGGTCGAGTAGATAGTATAGACCCCACAAGCCCAAGCACGCCCAGCCCGACCCCAGCCCGACCCCGCCCGCGTCTCCTCGCCTTCGGCATAATACCAGCAGCGCGGCCCGAGGTCCCGTTAGCAGCCAGAGGCAGTGCGGGGGGGCGCCGTCGAGTCCTCGCCGCACCGATGGAGGGAGAGGGAGCGTGCGGATCGGTCACTCGAATCACCCCACAACCACTTAAACTGCCGCGACCCTCCCCCTTCCCCTGGGGCTTCTCCCTCCCTCCTTTGGGGAAAGGCCCGGGCTGGGCGGAGGGAGGAGGGAGGGGGAAGACATGTCGGGCCGCCTGACGAAACGTTGGGTTGGACAATGAGAAGGAAACGGAGTGTGTAGTTATTGCCATTGCCATGATCCAGATAGATCATGGGTCGCAGGTAGTTAATGACCAGACAAAAACAAAAAACAAATGGGCATCCTCCTCTGCACTGCAAGTCGGTGTTGTCCGTGCCTCGCGAGGAGGTGGTGGGGAACGGAGAAGTATCTAGAACTATGTAAATACAGTGCGTTCCATAACAGAACCCTGACAACGGCTGTTCTGTTGCACCGCACGCCATGGAATCGGGGTGATCTTGGGGATATCGAATCAACCCGCACCGCATGTGTGGGCTGGCTGGCTGGCTGACATGCTAAGTCCACTCAAGTCGAGTGAAGTATAAGTTCATGCAATGCAATGCACAGACAGAGCCCACCACACATTACCTGTCGTGGCACTGAAGACGTGTACCCTCCCCCGTCACCACCCCCTCATCCACCACCCCCCCCAGTGTCTTCCGCCCCAACATCTGCCGCAACGAACCCAGCAAACCGGGAAATTCTGCCATGTGCGTGTCTCAGCACTTGCACACTTGCAACCGAGATTTGCAGCCCCGTGCAGCATCGTAATTATTCTGTGTATGTGCGTGTCATATCAGTGAAGTAAATGGCAGTGCAATGTGCCAAGTGTCGGCATTGAACACCTTCATTCGGCCCGGCCTCTTCATAAGTTCGACCATAAAACGTATGTCGGAGAAGTTATATGTACATATGTGGCGAATTGCCACTAAAATGTCCAGCCAACCGCCAGCCAACTTCCAACTGCCAACTATACTGCCAGCCGGTGAAACCGGAACCCGATGTATCCGTGCATGAACGAACGCAACAGCCGGCAGATTCTCAAACATTTGATACCTATGTGGTTGCGACGACGATGGCGGTGGGTGCGGCGTAAGCGGGCTCGGTACGGCGTGCGTGGTCTGGTTTCCTGAGTGCCTAGGCACGAGCTCTAGTCCTCTCCCCTTTTATGCCGATATATCTCATCTCGAGCCGCATTTAGCCAGTAGAGAGGCAGACAGGCGCTCGCTCATTCGCGCGTCCTGGGATACCGGTAGTGCGTAAAGTATCTAGGTAGAGCACCGGCAGCCCGCCGAAACAGCTGTCAATAACGAAGCCTCATCCCGGCGTGCAGCCTGAACGTATCCCAGTTGACACAAATTTTCACGCAAGCAGGCACGCAGGCACGCAGGCAAGCAGGCAAGCAGGCAAGCAGGCAAGCAGGCAAGCAGGCAAGCAGGCAAGCAGGCAAGCAGGCAAGCAGGCAAGCAGGCAAGCAGGCAAGCAGGCAAGCAGGCAAGTAGGCAAGTAGGCAAGCAGGCAAGGCGGGCTCTTCGGATTCCCCGGAGGATGAACGAAATTTCCCGGGAACGGGAACGGTCGTATGAGCGAGCAAGCTGCAAGCAAGCTGGATGGATTGTTGGATGACACCTGTACCGGTACGTACTAAGCAGTAAACCAGCTGCCCCTCCCCCCCGCGCGCGCCCCCCAAGGTATCCACCCGCGCCCCCATCCCCTTGTGTTTGCATGAAAGCGAGGTGGAGATGGTGGGTTCCCAGTAAAGAGGCTTATCACAGCGCAGCGGTTCCCATCTCGCTCTCGTGCTCTCATCCCAACAGCCTCTTCGGGGCAAGAGCGATAATCGGTGGGACGCTGTCACGCAAGCCCGATCGGCTTCACCGGACGTGACACTTCCCTGACAGGAATGGGCAGGGCAGTGGCGGCGGCACCGGGAGAATCGCAGGCGTAGACTGTCGAAAACGGGCGCTAACAACGAATGGCGCCTGTCACTTATCGGTTGAATCCGATGTCAAGGAGGCCTCGGCGAACAGTCATTCAAGCCTTCCCTATCTGATAGGGCTCGCCTCTCTTTCCGCCTCCACCACCACCAGCACAAACGAGATTAATTGGAGCGAACAGAGCTAGAGCATGTAAGAACCACATAGAAACGTCGTTTATTCTTTTGTTCTCGCACCTATGTATCATGCAGTCTTGAGAAGATCCATAAGATCGAGTCCAAAGCCCCCACGCACTCCGCCGTTGCCGTTATTACCCTGTTGTTTCTGAGCAGCGAGCATCTTTGACAGCGATGCTTTGCCCCCTTTTCGCGATTTGCCCTTAGTCTTCGAGGATGTTTTGCTGTTGCTGATCGGCGGAGTGTTCGCTTCAGTGGGTATGGATGTGGATGTAGATGTGGTCGGTAATACGGTAGTTGCCGAGGAGATTATGGCAGCTGTTGTGGTCGCTGTGGTCGCGGTGGTGGCGCTAGTAGAGGTGGAGGAGAAGGCAATCTTTGAGCGCTTTGGGGGCGATGGGATATCGGCGTCATCGGCGGTTATCTTTTTGCACGCGGGGCATGTATACGTCCCATCGTCTCCATCGACATTGGTCTCTTGATCCCTCCTTGTTCTCCTCTCTGCGGTGTCTGTAGCGCTGCCTGGGTTGCGGATGGTGCCGCAGAAAGGGCATGCCACACCTCGTCGACTCGCAGCGGAAGTGGAGAGGTCCTCGGCGGACAGCAATTGGTAGCGGGACATCAAATGCGCGGATACCGCGGGGGCCGTAGTTGCAAGCGCATGTGAGGCCTCCCACAGATGTTGTAGTCGAGCGGCGTTCTGAGAAGTCGTGGTAGTCATGGTGGAGATATGTGGTTAGTGGCAGAGCTGGTGGGGAGGAAGTCAAATGCTTTATTTTTCGTCATAAGCGGCTCTGCGGCAGGGCTTGCAGGGTTCAGCCTTTGGAAGTTGGCTCGTGGGAACATTATCAACCCAATCACGCTCTTATTATGTACATGCAATCAATCCAAGATATTCTATCATGTCATTTTGAAGGAACGAGTACTCAGTAAGCCAAAATCGGTATCTGATATCTCTCGCATGCTAAGAAAAATCCAATCACAAGTGTATCCAACTGCCAACAGCTACAGAATATTCGCCCATTACATCAAACAGCCATTCTTTTTTGAGGAGTGGAGGTCAGAGCTACCAAGTCTGTATCTCTGGGCGCCATTCGTCACAAACACCTCGACAATCCACTCGTACCAGACTTTACGCTCGCTTGACTGCCTCCACATGGAGACGTCTATCTCGGCCTGATCAGGAACGTACAATGGCGTCTGCGGTTGAGAGGTTAGCCCGTCGGAAAAAGTTCTATGGATTGCTATGGGGAAACATACCTTCAAGGGAAAGAATATCGGAAACCAACTGATCATGTCTTTGCTCTTCTGATCAATGGTATCCGGCCTTGTGCTAAGCTCGACATTGCCGTACAGAACACTCTCGAAGTAACCGGCCAGTCCGTGAACCACTCCTCGTCGAGGTACTTTGAAAGAGGCTTTGCAGCTTCGCAAATTGTGGTCATTTCCGCCGTCACCCAACCCGACGAAACCCCCGCACATGGAGGCAGCCTCGCCTAAGACATTCGAGGGTACTGGATGCGAGAAGTCCCACATCCTCTCAATGTGATCGTTCTCTGCCAGACTCTCTATCGACTGTAACATCACCACATAAGGCGTCTCGGAGGCGTCGGGATCGTGCTTTCGGGTGGAGATATCCGCGAAGATTTTAGGCGCCATTATTGGTGTCAGATGCGCCGAGTAGGACTGTGGAATCATCACACCTCCATCGGCTATATTACTGTTAGCGCAGATTCGCGCATTGCGGGAAAACCCGAATAGATGCGAGGATAACTTACGATTCAGAACCCTTTGAACACCGTCCAAACACTCTGGACTCAGCTCGTTGTCCGCAAAGCTTCCTAGTAATTCCGATATCAGGATATCGACCGTAAAGCCCGGCTTCCAGGACCTCATGTCGCTCCTGATAATCGTAACAACGTTGTTCCATCGCTCGGCATTTTGTCTCTGGAGGTGGACATAGGCATTGGGATTCTTTTCAACCGCAACCATCTTGATTGTCCGCCGGGAATTCTTCGCAGCCTGTAAAACCCTGGATACGAGCGGGCCACGACCAGCGCCAACGACCGCAACAACACTAGAGTGAAATGTCAGTTGAAGGGGTTAGAGGGTGAGCAAGCAAGCCCACAAGGGTGCAAGCTACATACATTTCTTCTCCTAACTCCCTGTCTTCCAAAGCCAGCTCGATGGCCTTCTCATATTGATCGTACTTGACAGGATCTTTTTCGAACACTTCGTAAGTGATACTCTCCAGATTGTCGGCCAGAGGCTGCAGAGGTGCCTGGAGGAAGTCCTGATAGCCTGCGCCGAACCTTTCCACCGTAGACTGCGTCGGCTGATTCTTTTGCAAATGCCGGATGTAAATGAGATACGCATCATGCTCGTGCCGTACCCTTGAGGGGAGACCAGTGCTTCTGACTACCAGCGGGGCGCTGGTTTCGGTCAAGAGAATGTATGGAGTCGGCCGAAGCCTCATGTACTTCGTGAATAAACCCTGGTGGAGCTTGGATAGGACGGGGAATCCTTTGTTATTCGGGCAGAAGGTGGATGACGATACGATCAACATCCGCAGCGGCTCCGCAAACCACCGCCGTGTGACGGAGGGAGAGGGTAGCCTGGACGGTATTCGTAGGGCTGGAACAAATAGTCAGCGGGACTGGCCCAACCACAGATATTAAACTACAATTCACCGTACCAATGGCCAATTGCGTATTGTACCGACAGACCGTCCGTATTGTGTTCCAAGCATCCCAAGCTGAAAGTGGATCATACAGCGCGTTCTCCGATTTATTGTCCTCGTCACCTACCCATTCATCGACTGAGAATTGGACCAGAAGCTGCATATACGCTGAATGAGACAACGCGGTGCTTATTGCCTGAGCATATGCTGCAACGTCTGACCGAACCTTGGGGCCAGGAATGACGACGTGACCCAGACCGCAGAATGCCGCATACGCAAGTTCGAGATCCAGCACTTGCTTGGAAATATGAGCAATTAGGGGATCCGTAGATTCGATCTCAATCCACGGTGACACCAGCGCAATGACACCCGAGATGTGAGCTCCGGGTGCGAGGTTGACCTCGTCAGCCATTAACCCTTCGATATGGACATGCCGGCGGCGTTCCGATCTCGCCTGCTCGATTGTTCTCAGGACACGCTTGTGAAACCGGGAGTTGCTGATACGTCCAGTGACCATGTCATACTAAACCTCGCAAATATCAGCTCAGTGGGACGAGTAGCGAGTGAACGGCTATCAACTTACGCCAGAGTTACCCTCCGCATCAACCAGACTGGCGTCGACATTCCTGTCGGGATTCTTGATCTGATGTCCCACGCACCACACGGGAACGTGATTATTTTCGGCCGGTTGAGTCGTATCTGGTTCCATTGGGCCGAATCTGTAGGTGGAATGTTGGGATTGAGTAGGGCGATGCGACCGCAGATGGAGGGAGTCAGCGTTTGCGGTTGGAGGACTTCAACTTTCTCGCGATTCGGCGTTGGCGGGGGTGGTGGATCTTGGAACGAGAACTCTCTATCGCAGTGCAGGATTGGAGGGGTTAGAGGGGTTGGAAAGTACGCTAGCCATTTACACGCATCGCCGGTGCTTGGTGCGGCGTGTCTAGGCCTTGGCAAGTCGCGTCACGAACACGTCCCTTTAAACCCTACTCTAGGTAGCTCCTCTCCTCCCTTCCCGTTCCCATGTCATCACCACCTCTGTTTTGGATCCACCACAACTCCGATTATCCTCCACCCAATTGTCTTTGCGGATTTTCAAGCTCTTCTCCTATTCGGTTACCCGAAACTGCAATATGGCCCTCCACCCTCCTCTGTTTCCTACCTGCAACGCTCGAGACTCTCGTCCCACATGGGCACGAACCCCCCGCACATCACCCTCCATAGTTTCACGGCATACTGGCAGGACGAAAGTCTTGATGAAAATATACACGGCTCTTGTGGGGTCCCGGCCACTTCCCGACCTCTGTCGTCAATGGGAAACGAGCTTCCGGTTGACTCCGCTAGAGTTCGTTTTTTCGCCCAGTGGTGTCGGAACTTAACCCTAAGTCTCCCCGTTCATGTCTCGCAGATCTGCTTCCCAGCAAGTCCAGGAGAGCTTCCAGCGCATGTGCCAAGAGGTCGTACGCTCGTTGCCCCCTTCTGTGGCCCGGTCCTCGGTACATATGTACAGTTTGTGAAGGATACATGCCCTCCCTGAGGGTGTGTGTGTTGATGCATGGGACTTTGGCATCAGACGGGGTGGTATTGAAACCATTGACGGATATACATTCCGCTAGGTACTGCGAGTTGGGGGTTGGGTTTCCCAGAGCACGAATTGCCTTACCAACGGATTGCAACGCGCTTCATCCATCATGCCTGGAAGGACCTCGTCGGCACGGCTCTCTGCAATGCAGAAATGCGCAGGGCCCAGCGAACCTTGCAAACTCTTCCATGGAGAGTCCAGGTTTACATACGGAAGCGCGGACGCATATCATACTCACGGGCAAGACGTCATATTCCGGCGTGGAAACTCAATGCCAACTCCGACTCGCACCCCCTTCAATTGGTACTGCCCCATACATCTGATCGTCATCGGAGAGCCCGCTCCCTTTGCCCGAGTGGAAGATCTTGATTCCGCTCGGTTTCCTTCGGGAAAAAACTCGCCGGTCTGCGTTAATCGTCTCTCTGTTTATTTCCTCTGGAGAGACTCAGGCGAGACGAGCATGGGCATCAGGTCAAACCCATTCGTCCCCTCCCCGTTCCCGGGTCGAAGGGATGGCGCGGTGAGGCCACTTCAAACACGGCTTTTGTGGATGTTCTATTTGTCCGTGCTCCGTCTTCTGGCGGAGAAAACAAAAACTTGTCCCAGAGGGTTATGCGGTCACATACGGAGTCTCAGAGTTGCCAGCGGTCTCAGGTACGGAGGAGGGGGTCATGGGTAGGTTGAGAAGGTATGTGAAGGGATCCACAGGCTTATGGAGAGGTTATCCGAGTCGCCACTTGGCCGTCTTGGAAGTCCCGATGATTCTTGGAATGATTTCACGAGTGGCTTTTCCGTCCACGGGAAAAGCTTGTCCGAGTTCTTGTTGAGGGCAACTGCACGAGTGGGAACCTCCCCAGGAGGCTTCAGAGTTTCGTACTCGTCCGCTTTGCTTTTTGTTCCCATACACCTCGGGTAGGACTGTCTCGTGGAAAGGGAACAGAAGCCGTGATGATGTGACTCTCCTTGATATTAACGACTGAAGAGCTCCATGGTGGCTTTTGTGTTTGATGCTGGAGTAGGGGGGGGGGGTGGAGGGAGGACTGCTTTCGAGCAGTTCTCCCTATAATTTTTTTACCATAAGTCATCCCCGTCCCTTACTGAAAAGGTACCAGCTAATGTCTATAAACAGGCACGAGTCTGCCTGTTGTGCTACACCTCGTCTCGTGTTGTTTCATTTTTTCCTGAACGCCCGACTGAATGAAACATCGAGGCATATGCGCCATCTGCGTCAATATGCAACACCAATCCAAGTCCGCATCGTGTTACTTAAGGGGGAGGAAAGGGGAGCCATAGGCGAGCGAGTGAGCGAGCGAGTGAGGACGAGAGGATGTATATCACGAACTTGGAGAACTACTGCAACCCCACCTGAGTCCGAAGAAAGGGGTCGAGTGTGGGCTGTGAAACCAACCAAAATAGACGCACAGAAAACTGCGCCAACAGTCAACTGGGGAGGGAGGGGGGGATCCCTCCATGCCCACATGCCATGCAATCCGACCAGCCCGGCAGATTATTCCATTCACGCTACGTATAATTCGCTTAACCGCTGCTGCCATACTCTCGCATTCCCCCGTTGCCCTTCCGGGGGGCATATGGGCTCTCGTGGCCATCGACGGACGGCTGCAGTGCTCGTCAAACGGGAGGAGGGGGGGGGGGGGGGCGGAAGGGGGCATGCTACCATACTAACCACATGGAAGCATTTGTACTCTACTGTACTGTACTCTACTCTACAGTTACTCACCCTTCACCCAACCCATCCCATCCCAGCGCAGCGCATGCACGAGCCATTCGTCGGAATGAATGAATGAATCCCTTTCCACGGCGGCATGGGGGCATGGGGGCCGCGCGATCTGTACAGTGCAGTGCAGCCGATGTGGAGTGGAGTCGATTTACCTGTCCCCCGGTCAAGTCAGTCACTGATCGATTGATGGCGGATTACCCGCATCCCCGAACCGGTGAGAGCGGGTGTTTCCGTGTGGATAGTAGTAGTAGTGCTTGCGTTGGGTTGGGCTGGGTTGGCTGTGGTTGGGTTGGGCTGCGCTGGGGGAAATAAGGTTTCAACCTCGACCTTGTAATGTATTGTACGTACATGCCACCACCACATGAGCTGAGTGGTGGTGATGGTTCTGCTGCTGCTGCTGGTGATAGTGCTGGCGATAGTAAGGGTAGAAGCGATCGGTGCAACGGAAGGAAACTGGGAACGCGGGATCATCGCCAGGTCGTTGCCAGACCGAGGTATGATACATACTTCCTACATACATACCTCATACATACGTGGATGTGCACGGAGGAACTTGAGTAGGAGGAGAGGTAGCAGAGGCAGAGATTTAGGTAGCCCTGGCGAAAGCAGGCGGGACCGCCGCGCGGTGCAGTAGGCAAATGTCACTACCTACGGTATGTACCGTGGTGAACTTTGAACCTGTAGCTGAAGATCACCGGTTTGATCACCAGGGCCTGGCCTCATCGGAGCTTGCGATGCGAGACATCATACAAAGGATTCGAAGCGGTGAATAGAGTGCTCCCGGGAGTGGGTGGGGAAGTGGAGGGGGGGGTGCTTCTGGACACGCGGATTGGAAATCCGAGTGAGTGAGCGGGAAACGGTGAATTCAGCCATGGTCCATGGCCCATAAGCTCTTCAATCTATCGCGACCTATCCAGAAATCCCCCCACATCCCCCTTCCCCCCACATAGAATCTGCACACACACCCAGCCGGAAACGGGTGGCCTGGAACTACTTACCCCACAACCCCACCGTCCGTGGGTCAGCCAGCCAGCCTAGGTACCCTCACACAAGCCTGCCTCACCGTTTCAGCCCGCAGTCTCAGTCTCAGTTATCAATTCGGCTGATATCCCACCCTTACTTTAGACGAGTGCGGGCCGGTGGGGCGTGGCGGGCGGGGCGGGGCGGGGAGGTCAGAGCTTAGCGTTAATAGACGGGCATCCGTTTTTGGTATTTTTGTCTTTTTGTTTTGGGTGGTTTAGGTGATTTGGGAGTAGAGTAGTAGACGGACTTGGAACCGACTCCCACCTCTTCCTCCTCCTTCTCCGCTTCCTCCACCTCCTTCTGCAGCCAGTTGATCCAGCCAGTCACCGCCGGCCCCCAATAAACCGTCTCGGTAAAGAACCCCCCTCCCTCCCTCCCTCCACCTTCCCCCTAGCCCCCTCCCCGAAGGGAAATGCTGCAGTCATGGTCCGACAGATCAGGACTCGCGGGGCGCGTGCTCAGGGCCTACTTCTGGACGATGTGTGCATCGTCCCGATGCGGCGCGGACGCTGCTATCTCGTGGCTATGTATGAAGAATTAGGTACCTACCATGTGTACCACCCTCCTTGGAGCTCAGCCATCATGGTGTGTGTGTGGTGTTTATGTGTGCGTGTATGTGAGTGTGCTTGTGTCCGTCGATGTCAACGATTCGATTCCATCGCCGTCACCGCCTTATACGCTACGTCATCCATCCAGCCAGCTTGAAAGTTGAAACAATGCTCGACACAACACAGCTGGATGTACACATGTAGGGTAGACGTGTGTATAAACATAGTACATATCATCGGCGCCGCCATCGAGCTGGCCACGAAGGGAACTGCCACCAATGTTTGAGCTGGCGAGGCCGGTGTTTTGCCACCACTATTTACTATACATACCATCAGCAGGAAAATGGGATCGCCATGATGGTCGGGTCGGGGTCGGAGTTTTTTTTTGGTTTCTAGACCGCCAAATCCTCGCTGATGATGATGTCTCGAGCTGAACTATCCACCCATCCACCCACCTAGCTACCTACCTCTGTGATTCTTCAAGTGCCGGCCTACCTAGGGGAACATGAAGTTACGGGATGTCTCCAGCCAAAACGCCCTAGATATGGATTCCGCATACATACATGCGAGTACGAGTAGCTTAACTACCTACTCTAGATACCGAGCTCAAGCAGGGACCGCCGGGAGACACACCGCAGTAGTAGAGCTCAAAGATATATGTAGGTATGTAGGTCTGTATGTAAGTCCACTGCAAAAAGCAATACGATGACAAAGGCTAGTAGCCTGCAGATGTTCAACTGGCTCCACCGCTGTTGCTCGAGGATTGGGAGGGGGTGAAGGGGAGGGGGAAGGGGGGCAACGCGGTCATCCACAGGCTCCCCCATGCCATGAGCTTGTTAGAGTACCCCACAGTACAGGCTGCAGAGTAACAACTCCCTACTCCCTACCATACCATACCATACCATACCGTACCATACCATACCGAACTCCACTTTACGTGTTGGCGGCGGGAATGACTGAGTAGGTACCTACATCCATACATACATCCATACAGACATGGAGTACAGTACTATACATACAGCCATCTGAACCTGAACCTGGTCGCAATCGAGCTCCAGCAGCTTCCATCGATCACATATGATATATATTATCCACCCGCTGCGTCAG